TTGCAAGTTCTTATCTTCAGATCCTTTTGTTCGTCGCAAGGAAGTAGTTTTTACCAAGGTTACGAGTCGTGTCCACCCTCGAGCCTCTTGGTTAAGAATGGGCTTGATGACCAAACTCTTGAACGTTGCTGCGTCATCGAAAGGAGCAGCGCGCAAAAAGGCAATTAGAGATCCACAATCCTCAATTTTTTTTTGTATGGGAGTTCCTGTCAAGCACCACCGGTGTTTGGCCTTCAAGTTGGAAATTGCCTTGAAAATGGTAGTTTTGCGATTGCGTATGGTGTGTGCTAAAGAGTAGAGTGAGCCGAGAAACTTGTACCAAAGCCGGGGCTTATTGCAAAACGCGATCTACCTTCGTCTAGAACGACTCTGTGCCAATTAATTCCATACAAAGATACAGGGCCGTTATTGGTTTTGTTTGTTGTATTGTTGTAGTCGGCTTTGACGGTATCGTAAGTTGTGAGGATAACCTCAAAGGACCCAAAGCTCAGAGCAAGCTTAGCCCGTTCTGGACCATGATAGACGAGAAACTTGACTGAGTCCGGTTTGAAATGTCTGTTCGATCAGTACTGCCTCGACGACCTTCTTACTTTTTTACATGCCGGTGGAACTGACCGCTTTATCTGATCTTCCTACCCCGTGAGAGCTGAAATGTTTAGCATCAGTTTGGAATTCGAAGAGGCTTTAGTAACCTTCTAGACAGGGGTGTGACTACCAGGGTCGTTGGCCCTAAAGACATTCCATTTGAAGATGAGGTCGATGTTGAGCCAGCAATCAAGGCCAAGGCGGTCAGTGTTTTTCCCAGTCCCATGTCCTGAAGCTAGGTCAGTACATAGCGGCTTGTACTTGCGGTGGTCAGGGTCTTACATCTGCCGAGAGGCCGCCTAGACATAATTTTGGATATCCTGTGCTAAAGGTACCAGTCACCATGTTCTTATACCTGAACAACGACGTCAGTACACCCTTTTTTGGTATGTGCTACTTCAATGATGTTCTGCTCACGTTTCTTTGCCCTGTTTGGATGTGGTTCTGAGCCACAAGGAAGGAAACTGTGGGTTCAGTATATTCCCTGACTCTTTTTTCACCATCAGGGAGAGTGCCTTCTTTTGATGGCTGTAAAAAGTGTTAGTCAACAAGGGGGCAGCGAGGATACATCTATTGGATAATAACTTCTCACAGCTTCAGTTCTGTCAATAGCCGATTTTTTGCGCAAACTTCGTTGAAATGACTTGGACCAGAGGCGCCATCGAAAACCTCGACAATCTGTGATTTCGTTGTGGAGAATCTGTGATTTCGTTGTGGAGCTGACTTTGGGCGTTTGACGGAGTTGTTATGTCTGTTGTGTTTCTCGGGACGCATGCCAATGTTGAAAATCGGTACCTGGTGGTAGAAAAATCTGAGGATTGACGTAAAGTATCGACATATCATCCTCTTCCGGCGGCTGCAAGAAGTACCCCTTTTGGGACAGTAGCTTCCCGATGGGGCCAGAGTTGTCTCTAAGGCCCTTGATTGTAATAGCCAAGGTGGTAGTATCAATGGCAACAGCCGAGAACGTGATGTGGTACGTCTGAACAAGAGCGAGCAACACCAGGGCAGGGTCAGGGGGGACAATTCCGAGGAAAGCCTTTGAGTGTGGATCAAAGAGTTTGACGAAAGCTGGGTTCACTTCAAGTCCGATCTCACGCCGAATTCTACTCGGCTTGGAAGCTGTCAGGACCATGATAACGTCCGGAACATAGACCTGGAGGAGAAATTAGGTAGCCGTCGAACTACTTGAATGGGTCGAGGGTGCTACGAAAGCAAACGCACAACTCCGTAACAGCAGTCGACTGGAGGGTAGGCATCATCATCTGAAGCGTCAATAGCAGGGGTTTCATTCGACTGCAAATTAACATAAGCAGGCAAGTGACTAGCACAGCTATCGTCGACATCCATGCATTCCGCGAAGACAATATCTTGAGGCGGAGTAAAGCTGCTCTCGTTTGTGTAAGGAACTGGTAACAGCTCTTCTCTGGACCATTCATCTATGCGGCTCTTTTTTAGAGGGCCATTGGGGGACCAGTCTGTTCCTAAACAGACTTGCGGCCTCTTCTGGACCGGCTTTGGTATCCAGTCTGTGCAGTTGTGCTCGTGAGAGTCGCTCATCGTGATTTACAGCATCGGATGCCCGATGCTCCATTAAAAGTCGCCGAAGAGAGAAACAAACTTATCGGAAAGTTTGAAACTCTGGGAAGTGGCCATGTAAACGTAATTCATACGGTCAACAAAATCCGCAGAGGCTGTGTTGTCCTGTTTCTGCCTTGCTGCCGCCCTGCCTGCAGCCCAAAGCTGTCTACGCGCTGTGTCTGGCGCTAATGCCGCCTATTGGGCAATGATACGAGTTGGGAGCCAATACATTGCACTTTGAAATCTACTTGCTCTGCAAGCAAATCTGAACGTGTATGGGCCGGGCTAGGAGAAGAAGGCATCGAGTGAGGAAAAACGTAATTACGATTATCACGAACCGACTGTGGCGAGTGATGGCACGAAGAATGCGGAGTACCAACACCATAAACTGTTTCTCCGGAGCTTGCCGGCCCGCCCTTCAGCAACCAGTTGGTATACTCAGTACTTGACCGAGTGGGTCTAAGCGGCCATGATTTGCCAATTCCGAGGAGACAAGTTGCTGAGACACGAACATGTTATTCAAAGGCATGTTACATAGCACTGAATTCCCGATGCAAGGTGCACTTAGACTTTACGGAGTCCTTTCTCGTGCTAGCTCTCTTTGGGCCTCTCTAGAACACATGCGAGAACGTGTGTGTAGTCTGCCCGCGTCTTGACAACCACGGCTGCCATTCCACACCTCGTGTCTTAGGTACACTTATACAAGGAGCATTAAGCAGGGCGTACCTTAATTCTTACAGCGTCCCCACATTCATCGTCGTTCTAGCGATGATTGGCCCTCGAACTGGTTGAGCCATAATCTGGTTATGACCGGTACATACGGAGTAGATTTCTCCATGTCGGGAGAAGCCAATCTAACTCTGATGGCATGTGCTGTCTGGCAATACAAAGACATTCATCCCTTTTTCCTAAGAAGCTTAGTTGTTAACGCTCTTCTAAAGTGGTCATGTGTTTAGGTAAGACATAAGCATGACGTTATGTGTCAATGCTACTATGTAAGTAACGACAGACTGTCGACTCTGTTTTTAGGGGCCGGCTAGCATCAATGTATCTTACTCCGTATCTTACGAGCAATCTAAATTGCAACTGTTTTGGTTAGGCCCGCCTATGTTACAAGCTTTCTAGTCTGTGCTGCTTGGCGCGTTTCGCTGAAGAAGCTCACATAGTAAGCTTATAAAGCAACCCTGCAAGACAGCCTTCGGCCGGATAGCTAGAGAACGATCCAGACCGTTCTGTCTTTGGCCAAAAGCAGTGGCACATCTCCGAGAGGCAGTCGAAGACAACTCTCGTATTTTACGACATGGAATGGAGTATGGCATTCTAACTCCTTCAGAAGTCCTTTGAGAACGTCGCAGATCCGTCAAATGAAGCAGACCGTAAGTCCAGCCTGCCACACTCTTTTCATGGATTCTGCCAGGTTTGACCTTCAGCACTGTTCTCCCCCCCTATTGCGACTTTCTGCATCGACCTAGACCCGTTTTCCAGGCCCCGCAGTTTGTCCATCACAGAATGCGCCGTCGAAACCCCAAAACTAAAGCCTTGACAACAATATCGTCGCCCACTTTGCGTTGCAGCGTGTGCTCTCTTCTCTTCGATCAAGTCTCCGGATCCCTTTGAGCGCATCACAACACATTTTCGAGACCCTCAGGCGAGTGTTCGCAGTAACGTGACTCCCCGCGCATCTAAAACATAACATTTTCTGATTTCCCTGTATGGAGTATCTTACGAGCTCCCTGTACCCGCTTCTCAAGGCTTGTCCGCCCCCCTTCCAGGGATGTAACGACGTACGGAGTACTCCGTAATGGATTTCCAGACGTGCGAAAGGCAGATGTGAAACGGCACGCTGATCGGATGACGGCTAGCGCGCAAGAAAGAAGCCAGACTAAGCGGGAATGGAATGCTTGAAGCGAAATTGGCACATCTGTGCAAAGGACAAAGAGATGAATTGACACTAGCCCATGCAAAAGCGTTGCAGTGGCAATGTCTCTGCGGCCGGCGCATAATATACTCGTAGAGCCCGTTTCCGACAGCCGTTCCATGGTGCTTATTTCGGATCGCACATCTCTCCACAGACGTAATCCTAGAAGGGATTGAGCCCACTGTAAAACCTGCACCATCGAAGCCGCCATCCCGAGCTTACGACGCTCTGCGAGCAGACGAGGACCGCTGCCAGATGGGCTGACCGGCTGCCGAGCAGGCTCGATTCTAAATGCACTCGTGTCCTCACGCGTGCTCACATTTCACGAATGCCAACATTGCACATGCTCCGAGGGAATGTGAGATGTTCTTGGGATTTCGTCAGACAGGCCTGGTACAACCTCTTTGTCTTGAAAAGAGGTCACACCTTCCTTTGTACGTGAGCAGCGCTTACCTGTCCAGACAAACGAAAAACCGAGGCCGAGAGTGGCTTGCACACCCTCCTGGATCGTCTTGCAGCCACCCCCGTTTTTTTTGTCTCGACTGCTACTATGTAATGTTGTAACAACGGTCTTGCTTGGGTTGGGACAGTTGTCTGGTCGTGATCCGCGCCTCCTACAGGCTTGCTTCCTTGCAGCGTTTGCATGGTCTCCTTTATTTCACATGCTCTTCTTTAATGTCCGGATCCGCCTTCTGCATTCTTCACCTCTTTTCTGCTTCACATCTTCTTGGCCAGTCTCTCGTTCTGTCCCGTATATAACACGCCACTTTGCCTCCATTGCTCCCGTTTTCCGGTCTTTGTCGACATGTGATGATCTCTGCACTCACGCTCGTTGCCACTTTCTCTTCACAGCTGGAGTTTCCGCTATTTTTCTGGTTCTTTAATACACTTCTAGGCACGACGTTCGGCTGGAACCATGGTCTCTGCTGCGCTGAATGGCCTCCGTCGGTGGACGCTGAGACAGCTGCAGCCCGTGTACGAGGAGCTGGCAGACGAGGAGCGCATGGACGAAGAAAGAAAGGAGGAGGAGCTGAGCGAATCCAGCCTGTCTAGCCTGTCCAGCAGCAACTCGAGCGCACCCGAATACGCACCAGGGGGTCAGAGAGAGCTGAGCCCAGCGACGACCGCCTTTCGCCTGATCACCTTCATCCCTATCCTGACAGTCCGGCTATTGCACACCGGCCTGGTATTCCTGACCGAGCCGGCTCGACGACGGGCTTCCCGATTTCAAACCGGCTGGCCACCCATCCACGACAAGCTCGGCTTTCTCATCGTATTCGTGCCGTCCTTCCTCCAGCCGAGCGGTCCTGGTTCCGCACGGAAACTGCACCCTTCTGCATGGCTTGGTATGGCATCTCTCTTTCTTACTCATCCACAACTCCCCGCCACCACAACTTTCTCTGACCACCAACAGACGGCCTTCGGGGCATTGCAGCATTTCTCGTCGTCTGGCACCACGCGAGCCTCCTCTGGTTTTCCTGGAGCATCCACCGGGGCTACGGCAGCTCCGAAAACGACAACCGGCTGATTCAGCTGCCTTTTCTGCGACTTGTCGTGTCCGGCCGCCCGCAGGTGGCCATCTTCTTCGTCGTCTCGGGCTATGCCCTCAGCTACAAACCGCTCAAGCTGGCGCGCCAGGGTCGCCACAGCGAGGCCGGTGAGGCCATCCACTCGTCCGTCTTCCGCCGCCACCCGCGGCTTTTTATCATGCCGGTCGTCGTCAGCTTCGTGGCTGCCCTGATGACGCAATGGAACTGGTACGGCACTTCGGACCAGGGCTGGACCGGCGTGGCGGCACCCGTGCGACGGCCGCCGCGACCGGGCACGCTGTCACGGCAGTTGCTCAACTGGGCGCTCAACGTAAAGTATCTGACGAGCCCGCTGTCGCGCGATATGCAACGCGGCCGCCCTTTTGCGTATGACAACAATCTCTGGACGCTGCCGGTCGAGTTCGACTGCTCGCTCGTCATCTTCCTATGCCAGGCCGCCTTCTGCCGCCTTCGCCCGCAGGTCCGGATGCTTCTCATGGCCGGCATTGTCTGCTATGCCCACAGCTACCTATTCTGGGAGATCTTCCTCTTCTCCGGCGGCATGCTTCTCTGCGACCTGCACTTTCACTTGGACGGGACAGGATCTTCTGGCAGCAGCAGCAGCAACACTGCTTCTGAAGCAGCCGTTCCTCCGGTCATTTCTGCCCGTAATCGCCGACAACTTCGCAACGCTGTTAGCATCTTCTCGTTCGCCACCGCCCTCTTCATCCTCTCCATCCCCGACGACAACCAGGGTGGACCACACACCCCTGGATACCGGACGCTGTTCTCCATGGTCACGGACGTGTATCGACTGCGCAATGAGCGTGATAACTTTTGGATCCCGCCAGCTGCCGTGCTGCTCGTCTGGACAATCGACCGCACACCCTTCCTGCAGCGCCCCTTCAACTCCGCCTTTGCCCAGTTCTTAGGCACCATCAGCTACAGCATGTATCTGGTACATGGCCCGCTGATCTGGACTGCCGGCCACTGGCTCGTGTGCCACACAACGGCTCTCACAGGCACCGACACGGACTTCCGCTACGGCCTGGGCATCGCTCTGTCTGCTCTGGTTTTGTGGCCAATCATCATATATCTGGCTGATCTGGTAACGCGCACAGTGGACGTGCGTGCTGTCAGCTTTGGCCGGTGGTTGTACGAGCGATGGGTGGTTAAGGAACCTGAACCCATCATTACGCGGCCGATTTCTTAAATCAAGTGCTCACGTGACCGTACAGTCATCGACTTGTCGGAAGCAAAACAAACATCACCTATCAACTTTCCGCTGTATTATCCCACGCTTTCTACGTACCTGGAATAAGGTACTTCAAAGAATGATTAGTATTTATCGCCTGGAAGAGCTTTCTTCTGTTGGAGTTCAGGCTTGAGTTGGGTTGGTTGGCTTATTCAATTTGGGGTCATGAGTTGTCGATTTGGCAGGAGTTCGGGGCGTAAGGGTACGCATTGTTTCGAACGCCATATATAAGTGTCTTGCTATCATATAGCCGGTAAAGGAAGGTCTTGACACTGTCTATTCTATTGGGCAGGTGGCAAGGGAAGAACGAATTTAAGCGATTATATAATGACACTTTGGTCTTCAGATTCACAACAATCACCGTGATGCTGAGCATAAATGTTAATCGAGCTCCCAGTCAATGTAACTTCTTCCCCTTCTACTAGATCTGCCACAACCTTGTCTTTATTCTTTTATTGTCACATACCACAACCCCACGCTTTTACTTGATTCCTAATCTCAGTCGCAACTTCCGCGTCTCTCACCTTTTGTCTTACCAGCAGAAGCCTAACCCAGAGCTTTGATTTGCCCATTTGTTCTTCCCCAATCACAATGGCTCTCTCCATTTCCACCCTCGTTCGAGGTGCAGTGGTCTTTGCTCTGCTCCCTTTTCTATGTGGTGTCATTGGCACCTCAGTTGCCGACGCGGGTCTTCCTGCCCAGATGGACTCTGAAGCCATGGAGAACATGAAGGCCTATGTCAGCTCACAGCCACAATTCTCCGAGTATTCTCCTGCTGAAGACTTCACATTTGTCTCCGACTTTACAGCTCCCCAAGCCGACTCAATTGCAGAGCTAATGCCCACGGCTGATATTGGGTTTACACCTGTTGTTGAGGATTCGCTCGAACCGGAGGTATGTGCTGACAACGCATATTTCCTCCAGTCCTTACAACGGACGCCAAATACTTGCCCCGTTCCACTGAGTCGTGATGGTCACCGCCGTCACCGCCGATTTCCCCGCAAGAATCAGACGGCTGTAGACATCCTCGACAGTTCGCATAGCAACCCGGCGGACCCCAAATCCTGGAAACCATGGACGCACCCCCCTGAATGTGGTGTTGCCAGCAGCTATTGCGTATTCACTCAGACGACACTTCCGGCGTCTGGCAGAGGCATCCTGGACAGCAACAATATGGCTAGCAATGATACCTCGCCCCAGGGCATCAGCATTATTACCACTCCCGAGCAGGCTGCCTACAGCCTCAACCCGCTCGAGCTCTCGTTCGCCCCGGAGTTTCTCGAGATCTACAAAAAGTTCGCAGACCTCCCACCGGCCTTTGCCGTCCATCAGCATCCTACCTCGCCCCTGAAGGGTGATGGTTTGTTCGCTACCAGGTCCATCCGCGCAGGCGAGCCGGTCATCGTGGACAGGCCAGCCCTGCTGGCCCACTTCAAGGTCATGACGGACGAGATGACCAGGGCCCTTGGCTCAGACGAGGACGACCACGGTCTGGGCCCCGAGACAGACAGTGATCGGACACGCATGTGGAATGCCGCAGCCGAGCGGCTGCCCCCACATATAATTGACCGTATCTACAACATGACCGTGCTTCCACGCTACAACAAGCTATTCCAGATGTTGCCCGCTGAAGATTTCTCACCGGAGAATGCGCCGCCGGTATTCTCGCACATTGAGAAGGTGTTTGCTAGCAACTCTTTCGCCATGACCGTCAAAGGCTACGCGTACAAGGCTCTCTTTCCCAATGTTGCTGTAAGAACACCTGATTCCCTTCACGCTGTGCAATCAATGCTAATTGCACATTAGAAAATCAACCATGATTGCCGGCCAAAGTGAGTTTTTTTACTTCATTTGAATCCTTTGTCGTGCATCCATTAACTTTGCAATAGTCTATCTGCCGACATTTTTGGCGAAACAATGACCATGGTCGTTTGGGCCAATCGAGACATTGAAGAGGGCGAGGAGCTGACTATCAGCTGTAAGTGAACCACAGAATACAACTGCCCACCTTTCTTCCAATATGCTCATTCTGACCATCGACGACAGATCTCAACGACCTTCTGCCATCCGACAGGCGCAGTAAGGTCATCAAGCGCCGTTGGGATTTCCAGTGCCAGTGCGACCTCTGCACCGGTAAGGCAGATGGCGCGCTTGAAGCCTCGGATAAGCGTCTGCAACACATACCTTCCCTGATCGGTCAGATTGCCAGGGACATGGCTGACAGCCATGCTGATAAGGCACTAGAGGCGGCGCTGGATCTGCGTGCCATCTACATTGGTGAGGGCTTGATGCGGGAGACGACCACAACCGAAAAAATGCTGCTTCTGCCAGAAATGTCCGAAGAGGAAAGAGATCGGGTCAAAGACGATCTGATGGCGGACCCGTTCGGCCCAGCTGGTCTTGCCAAGCTGCTTGGCCGGTTGTACTTAGCCAACGGCAAAGAAGCGGAGGCTCTGCCCTATCTGCGTGCAGCCGTGACCGAGATTGGACGGCAGACCTTTGCGTGGCCAAACCCGGAGAAGATGGCAGAAATGTGGCATCTTGTGCAGCTGGTGGAGGCAGCCGAACGAAAAGTCGACAAGAAAAGAAAATGGTTTCTCTAGATCAGATGCACCCGCATAGAAACATGGTTTCGACGATTTTGCATACTTTTGTTTTGATGTTCCCTTGTTGAGGATTGGCCATAAATTTCGTCAAGTTTGCTATAACTTGGTACATGACTCGCAAAATCGCATTGTATAAACGCTTAATTGTAATATGTAAAACGAAAATAAAAACAAGAACAATCAGAAAAACAAGTACCAGTGCAAGGCAGAGCAATGCGTGTTGGAAAAAAAAAGAAAAAAAGAAAAAAAGAGCGGCAGCCTAGGCTACAATGGGAATGTTCAGCAGCCGCAGGCCGTTCTCCAAAACCTGCCGGGCATTTTCGTACATCGAAAGGTTTGCCTTTAACTGACCGACAGTCGGCGTCTTATTGCCGAAATCACTGTCTTCGCCGCCCTCGTCTTCGCTTCCCTCTTCATCTTCGTCCAGACCTTCTTCCGAATCGAGGCAAGTTTTGATCGCATCTGCAAGGCGATGGAGATAAGCCAAAACGATGCTGGGTTCCAGCGACTTGAACACTGAAGAGGTCATCTCTGGATATTGTGCCATCATCCGTAGAAGCTCAGCGGCGTCTTCCTGTTCCAGCACCGAGTAGTCGATGGATGCGTCCTCCTCAGCCTGGACCTGCTTCTGCAGCTCTGCGATGTTCAGCTGCAGCATGGCATGACACTCTTGAAGCTGCAGGCCTGTATAGCCGGCAAGTGAAATCATCCGTTTTGGGTCGAAGGTCGATCTTGTGCTGCGTCGGTGGCTCATATCCTGATCCAAAATGGCACTGATGGCGGCCGTATCGCCAATGTGGGCGACCTCCAAGGCCTCTTCCCCTACATTCTCCCCATCCCCATCCCCAGAAGCCTTTTCTGCCAGCAACTCCGCCGCGATAGCTTCCCGCATAAGCTTCGAGGTCCCGTCGATGATCGCGTCAAGAGTCCGCACGCCCCCAAGCCGCTCTGACAGGTGTTGAATGCGATCGAAACCCACGTGCTGAAGCTTCTCACGCAAATCAGACCGGCCCATCAGGTCCAAAGTGCTAAACACTTGCGCAAGGTGGAGTTCCTGGCGCGAGCACACCACATAAATCATCTTGTCGAAAGCAAAGGCTCGCTCGCGGTCGATGGCAGCAGCGACATCCCGCAGGAGATAAGTGCTCGACCCATTGCGGTAGCGAACAACAACACTGCCTAGGCCCTTCTTCACGCCGCTGTGCTTTGTGAAGTCGATGACCATGTGTCCGTCACTTTCCTGGGCGATGTCCTTCTCCTTGAGTGTCGTCATGACCTCTTCCATCGTCTCGGGTTTGACTTGTGATTCACATAGGTATTCGTCGAACCGAACTCCCATTCGATCGTACGCGGCCTCAAGGTTGGTAAGGGCAAGGCTGCGGAAACGCTGTCATAGGGCCACAGCATCTGCATCGCCGTCTTCCATCTTTTTGAAATAGGCATCGCGTTCCTCAAAAATTCCCTGGCCTTCCAAAGCTTGAGCATCCTGGTTCGCCTCCTTGGCATCTTTAATCGCTTTTATCTCAGGTCTGAAATCTTCCTCGATATGCGCTTTAATGTCAAGGAGGTGGCCGACTGGGTCTTCTGCCAAAGCATCCTCCTTCCCATATCGCTGCCAGCCAACGGCAAGCAGTCCGATTTGTTTGCCCCAGTCGCCTAGATAGTTCAAACGAACAACTTCACAGCCCATGGATTCGTACAGGTTGGAGATGAACGATCCAAGAATGGTGCTGCGCAAGTACATGTCACTAAACTCACTCGGGACATTAGGAGAGGAAAACTCGACGACCACCTTGTTGTAGCCTTTCTCGGGAGCAGTCACATCTCTAAGCCCAAGCTGTGTCTCCTGGCCGTACAAAGCACCCCGATTTCTGATATACGGAAGTAAAAAGCCAGGTAGGGTGCGAAGCGAAAAGAAGCAGCGGATATGAACACCTTCAACGAATATTCTTTGGAAGAGAGGAGATACAGGCCTCTGTTTCTCAGCGAGGAATTAGATTGTTAGCCCATATTCTTTTCTTGAGCAAAAGGTGAGATTTTGTAACTTTCACGCACATGCAAGTTGAACTCTCTCTGCACGTCTTCGATACTTAGTCGGAGGCGAGGGATTATAACGTCCAAATCGCCCAGCGATATGTCACTTGTAGAGGCAATAGCCGCATAGATGGCGGACGCGTCCAAAGTGAGGATTGATCCCAGAAGGGTGGCGAGGTAGCCTCTGAAGACATCAATTGGCTTAGCCAGTACGTCTGCTGCTGGGAATCGTGGCACCGGCATCTCGAGGCCGAGATTTACCAGTAATGCTTCCAGTCCAGCCACGGTGGCCATTGTGAGCTATCGAATGTATCAAGAGGTGGCAGCCCTGGAGAAAAAGAAGCGTCGTGCGAGGTTGATGAGAATGAGAGAGCCAAAAACAAGAATATCAAGCACAGAAATATTGCAGAACGGGTTGACTTCTGCCCGAGCATACACTGTAAATTCAGCCTAGGAAAATCTCGCATATTAGGCAGACTGGCGGTTGTATTGGGACTCAAGGCAATGAAAAGTGGGCGACCGGTTTGACTTGAAAAAATGAGGCTGAAATATGACCAGCCAACCGGCAGGCTGGCTGGTTTTGGCGCTCGACCCGCGCAGAGTATTCGCTCTCGTTCTTGTCCCGGCATTGGGTACCATCGCAGGTAAAATGTCGAATGGGAAAGGAAGCTGGTCGTGCATTCCGAAGGGGGACGCTGGTCTGTCGTCCTGTCCGTGCTTCATCGGGTAATTCGAAAATAAGGTCACCGCAAAGGTTGGAGATAATTGCAGCACTAGGAGGAAACAGGGCAGCGCTAGAATTCAATGACCGGTGCCACGTCTGCGAGGTGATGCGATGCGATGATTTTCCTTGATCTGGTTGGACGTGAGGCAATCTGCAGCCACCATTGTCTGTCCCTCTTGGGGGCCGGGTTTCCTGGTCAATGAAACAGTGACACGTCGACGAGTCCAAGTCGGACCGGTGTGAGAACGTATTCTGCCCAGCTAGCATAACTTCAGAGTGACAGCTACGAGCCAGTAGTCAAAATGAAGCGGTTGGACAGTGTTGCAAATACAAAAGCACAAATCGCGGATGTCCTTTAGATTGTGGCGAAAGTCGGCCGGTTACGTCAGCATATATGTGTCGCGACTACCCGACAGGTTACATCGTATCTCTGACTTTTGTTTCACTTGGCCTCGCCTTGGCAGCGCTCTTGGCGTAACGGTCGAACACAATCGGCGTTGACGCACTTGCAAGCCTCGACGACCTGTACTATACACCATTTGCTTTCCCCGCCTTTGTTCTGCTTGTGGTAATCTGGTCGAATGCGTTCTGCTTGTCTTCAAAAATGAGTACAATTATTAAGAAATACAACTAATTGATAACCCATCATAATAAACTGTTTTCCAAAAGAGTAACACTCGAGGAAAAGGTAGTACACGATCGGACGGATGGACACCTCAATCCAAACTTGACCCCTCTTGGCCAAAAGCAGGACAAAGGCTGGGAATATGGCAGCCAGGGTGCCTTTGTTCATCAAAGAGTAGAGCCGTGACGACGGTTTTCTTTGATGCTGCAATAGACCAACATCGCCGTTTCCGGCAAAGTCAACCTTTGCGCTGGTTCTTTATATATAGTTTCATCTAAAAGGATATTGAAATTTCCTCTTCGCGGTGCTCAAGTCTCTCCCAGAAGCTTCCTCTCAGAAATATCGCAACTTTGTGACAGATCTTTGACCCATACTCAACCAACTACCCACCATCATCGGTCATCATCATGCCGCCCAAGCAGAACCCATCCGCTCCTCTACCCAACCGCCCCAAGCGTAATCGAAAGCCAAGCCTCCAGGCCATCGAGGCGGCTGAGAACAAGGCCGCAGAAGAGAAATGGCTAGCCAAGAGAAGGAAGGGAAAAGCAAAGAGGCAGGCTCAACAAGCGCAGACAAATCCCTTCAACGTCTCAGCGCCGGCTCTAGCATCAGTACCACAGCAGCCTCTTCCACCACCTCCAGCAGCTTTGCCAGCACTTCCGGTGCCGGTCTTACCGGCAGGCCCGCAGCCTCCAGTGCTACCACATCCTCAGCAAACTCAAACGATAAATCAAGGAATGGCTCAGTTGGTGCTACAAACACCAATAACTATACCACGACCTCTAGCACCGTTGGCACCACCTCCTCCACCGGCTCTGCCATCCGGGCCACCGCCGCCTGTTCCGCAGCCACTGCAGCAGCCACCTTCTGTTTCTGTTTCGGCTCGAATAGTGCCACAACCACAGCCACATCCAGCTTTGGCACCACATCCAGCATTGGTTCTACCATTGACGCAATCGTCGGTGCCCCCGGCAGCTCTAGCACAAACTCGAGGACAGGATGTGCACAGATCATACGTGGACGCCCTGCAGTACGAACGTGACAGTTACAATAATCTGCACGACTATTTTCTGGTGGAACAGACTATGAAGGTGAGGACGCCCGTGATCAGATGGGACGATATGAAACCGCCCACGAATGAACCAATAGTGCCACTGAGCCACGAACACGAGCCTCCCACGCCTCAGTTTCCCCATCCAGATGACATCGAGCCTAGCAAACGTTCCAATCACGTCTTTGTCAGTGGTGCCAGTGGTGCCAATGGTGCCTTCGGTTTACAAGGAGGCGGCTTATGTGGTGGTGACCATGCTGGTGCTGCTGCCTCTGGCGATGATGATCTTCCACCTCCACCAGCTGCAAAGCGGCGCCGCAATCGGAAGCGGCCAGTATCGGCGTTCTCGAAGCCGCCGGTGGCGACAAAAAGACCACCATCGCAGCCAAAGAAGGCTCCCACTTCTGTAGCAGCCCCTGTGCAGCTGCCTTCGACTTCAGTCATCGCGCCTTTGTTGAGAGAACACACCCTCTACATGGCCCGGAAATTTGGACGAATCTGGAAGCAGGAGCACGCTCAAAAATGGTATGCGTACATTTGGTGGCGGCATCGAAAGCAACGGCACGTTCAACCCTCATTGGCGAGCTCTTCCCTGGCCAACAAAGAAATTACATGTCAGGCCTGCATAGATGTGTATGTTCGCAGCAACAGATTTGTACCTTCCGACGAAGAGCGCTGACATGTTGCGATAGTGCAATGCTGGCAATGCACGCAGACGTTCCGTCATTTGTGTCACCATACGCTTTGAAGTCGCCGTCTATCCCATCATGGAACTCGTTCAAAGCAGATGAGCCACGCAACCGCGGCTCACAGCATGACTCGCTCAAAAGCTTCCTCGAGCACCTGCTGTCGCTAAATGTGTCCCATTTACCCATCAGCTCCTCAGACTCGGCCTTGGTTGCAGAAGGCCCAACCTGTGGCAGCAGCGATCTCTACTTGCCGGAATTGCAATTGTCTTCGCAAATGCCGATAGTGATGCCCCCACCTCCGACCCCCCAGCTGGTATCAGAACATTATTTCGAAAGGGACTCCCCTGTAGACGATAACACGAGCAACAGCATATCTCCAGGGTCCAGTTCATGGTGGCACCCACTGGAAGCGGCTGCTCCCTGTGGCCGGGAAACGTCCTGCGCAAACGTGGGCTGTCCGCGTTGCTACTACATGGCTTGTCCATGCGTATGCCACAAGGACGCGTCCAACTCGTTTGTTTCAGCTGGCCGTGACGAACCAGAGGACTGGGTCGACTTTGACACGGCACTGACCGATGTGGCCACAGGAACAGAAGAGCTTCCTACGAACGGGAACTCAGAGCGACGTGCAGCGGCCGCGGCAGGAATGGTGCCGGCTATAATACCTATGTTTCCTGCTGAACTTTTCGGCCGCAACGAAGGTGGCAAGTTAAGCCCGAGGAGCTTTGATATGGATTTGGCGCCATACGTTTAGGAAGGAAACCTATGTTTTTCTTCGTGATTCTCCGTGTGGACTCTGTACTTTTGTTTTTGGTAGTCGTTTCCTGTATTATTTCAACTTTTAGTTACAGATAGTTATGTTTGAATATTGATTGGTAACAGAAGTAGAACTCCTTAGTCTCGGCGATTTCTTTGTGGTCTTCTCTTTGAATTTGAGACCGAGGAAAACCGCCTTTCTGTGATCATTGATCTGTGATTAAGAACATCTATTTCGGGCATATCTCACCGCGATCCTTTCAAATTCGCACAAGGGTATGTTTACTCTGTTTGTGATTCTGCATTTGCTACAAATGCCTCCGAATTCTCACCAAGCAAACTTGAGCTAAGTTGATGGAGTACGCGGCGAATACCAAATTCTGTGACACGATCTCTATTGAGCTTGCAATGTTATCTACGGCTTGGGTTCGAATGGGCCTTTCCACTTCTGGTAATCGAATTATCCGTGGCCTCTTTGACCACAACACAAAGCCAGCTCCTTCGTTACTCGCTTTATCTCACTCGTTCAGAAAGACGCATCTGTTCATTCATGATCACCAGTCTCTTTGTCTGAACAAACTGGACAATATGCTTGTCCATAAAGGCTCAAAAGACGGAATCAGTGGCGTTCGGTCGAACAAAGCTGCTGGTCCTGATGAAAATATTCACCTTGTTCGATTCCCATGGAGGAGACCCCTATAATAAGAACGAACTGTGTCGTGTTCTGGGAACAGAATCGGCAGAAGCAGAAGCAGCATCAGCATCAGAAGCCACATCCATTTCAGCATCGCATTAGCATTAGCATCAGCCTTTGCATCGTCGAGATCACAAATCAGAAGTTCCAGCACAAACAGGACCTTCTTATCTGTCTTATTAATTAATTTCACATCGTCAACAATGGCCAAGAGATCTACCAAAAACGCCATCGCCAGTCGCGCCGGTCGCGGGAAGTTTCAGGGCGGCAACCGGATTGCAGCCCGGCCCATTCGGGAGCAGGCCGGTGTTTTGCTCAAACGACGCCTAACGTCTGCCTCGCGTCAGAAGACTGTGCAGGAAACGCGGGCGGTAGAGTGGCAGAGGATGGCGGTCCCTGCTGCCGTCACCATGGGGGCCATGGCCAGCACATCAAACGAGCTGGTCCCCATTGCCGGGCTCCCGTCCATCGACGACGTCTTTCCAGAGTTCGGCCAGGGCGAGATCCCGACCATGGGGGCCATGACGGCCAGCACTTCTTACATGCTGGCCCCCATCTCTGGGCTTCCATCCATCTACGACGTCTTTCCAGGGCTCTGTCCGGGCTCGGAGCCTCTGCCCCTGCCGGACACCAATCGCCGGGCGGTGCCAAAGTTCGAGATCTGCGGGCAGCAGAACTGCGGCAAGCATCCTGAGTTGCATCCGTGGTGGCAGTGGCCGTATCCGGCGACGACGTGCTACAAGTGTTTACGTCAGAGCACACCGAATGAGCTGCACGCGCTTCCTTGTGGCCATGCTCTCTGCCATGGCTGTCTGGAGCAGACCGTGGCCGAGATCAATGCGAACGTGCAACACGAGAGCTCCTGGGCCGAGATATCGACGCATCTGGAGGAGCACTGGGCAGCATCCAGTCCCAACGGCGGCTCCGGACAGCTCGACAGCAGACAGCCAATCCTGAATAGCTCCCCACTCGACCGCGCCATGGCCGCCGCCGGCTTCCACTGCTGCGGCAAGAACATGCACCTGGAGCGCTATGCGATGTGCATGACACCGCACACGGTGCGCACCTTCTGGCTGGCCTGTGAGGCCATCCGCTGGCCGCTCGATATGGCGCGAAACCGGTGCGGATGGCCTGACTGCGGGCGCCTGGTCAGTCCCACTTGTTCCTACGTGCGCAACCACGGTACTGTGTACCATTGCCTGTACTGCCAGGGCAACTCGTACTACATCTGTAAGGGAAATCTCGTCCCGGCACGGTAGATAGTTTAGACTTTATGAATGATGACTAAGCAGTTATGATACAAACCGGTGGCCGATGATCTCGTAGCCTATAGCCAATCATGCTGGCGGATAATTTTTCTAGCCAGGAAGTGCGCTGTGCCTAAACCGGACATCTCCTATCGAATCCACTGGGGGTCTGGTACGGAGTGCACACTGCCGGTGCCGCCTACTGCCGAAATTGGCGCCATAAGTGGTACTTGATTTAAAATACGAAGCAGAACAATTACAGTTTGATCCTGATATTTCTGCCATTTTGTCCTTGTTTCTGCTCTGGCCTTGGGGTTAAAGAGGGAGATGGTTATGGCAGCGCGACTTCTGGTTGCTGAATATCCTTTTTCTTGCATATATTGTATATTCGAATAAGCGAGCATCATGACCACGGCGGGGTTTCTATCCCGAGGTTTCGCGCGGCCAAACAGCGACAGTTTAGGCCGTCACGGCCGCCGAACACATCACAGCCAGCCACATTTTCGCCCTCAGTCGTTGCTGCAGCTACGTGGTGGACGCGGCCGTCCCCAGTCGACAGCCACTGGACCTAGATCTGGATCTACGACAGGCAAGACTCTGCCGCTTCCAAAGTCGAAACCGCAACGCAAGAGCCTTCCGGCACCCGGCCCTCCCAAGGAAGACCCGATCCCGATCGCTAACAATGTGTCACCGCTGCCGTTGTGGCAGCGCTTGGGGCCATTGACACGCGCTGCTGAGGGTTACGCGCGAGCACAACGCAACCGACCCTATGTGACACAAGTATGCAGCTCCCTGGTCATCGCGCTGTGCGCTGATCTGTCGGTGCAGCGAATGAGCGCCTGGGTGGCGGAGAAGGAGGTCGTCCCGACAGATTCAATCACCCCGACCTCTTCTTCCCCCCTGTCCACATACTCTTACGATCCCGTGCGCACTGCTCGCTCCCTTGTCATCGGCGCCATCTTTGCCATTCCCACTTACCGCTGGTTCATCTTCTTGTCGCGCAACTTCAACTACTCCTCCCACATCTTCTCCCTCACCGTCAAGATCGTCGTCAACCAGCTCTGCTATACGCCTGTCTTCAATTCCTATTTCTTCGGCATGCAGGCGTTGCTGGCCGGCGACACGCCTCAAGAGGCCTTCGATCGCGTGCGCCGCACTGTGCCCATCAGCTTTGTGAACGCTCTCAAGCTGTGGCCCGCAGTGACCGCCTTCAGCTTCACATTTGTGCCGATGGAGTATCGGAGTGTTTTTTCGGGCGTCATCGCTGTAGGCTGGCAGACGTATCTGATGTACCTAAACCGGACGGCGGAAATGGAGGAGGGAGAAAGGCTGAGACATTGCGCGGAATCCGCTTTATTACGATGATCAGAGTATCCACAAATAAATTAGTAAGGCGTAGAATTTTACAAGAATCAACACCACCGTATATGATACGACTTCACTCTAGTTATGCAAGCTCTTCTTTTCTTTCTTTTCTAGAAAAGATGGCGCTCCCGCGTCTCCGCCCACGGGCGTTATTGGCAATACTCCGGCCGCAGCCTCGACTGACCTCGGTCACCCGACTCAGTATAAATACAAACCGATCTGTCTCAACCTCTCCCCACTCAGAAGCTGGTGTTTCAGCCCCCTCAACTCAAACTCCAGGCTCGGAGCAGTCCCAACCTGTCTCGAGATTGCGATCGGCCTTCTGGATAACGTCCATCAGCCTGTCCGTATTCGCTACATACCTCTATGCCACAGACACAAGAGCATCGGTCCACCGTTGGTTGGTGCCGCGCCTCCTGCGCCTAATCTACACGGATGCCGAAGAGGCCCACCACATCGGCACGCAGTCTATGAAGATCCTGTACCAGTTGGGGCTCCACCCACGCGACCGCACAGACGACGAGGACTCACAGAAGAGCACGCTGGCTACGACCGTGTTCGAGGAGCCCGACAGTTTAGCGCTCAACAACCCCATTGGCATATCTGCCGGTCTCGACAAGAATGCAGACATTCCAGACGCGCTCTTTGCTCTGGGTGCTGCCGTCGTTGAGGTTGGCGGCTGCACGCCGCGTCCACAGGCTGGCAACTCGCGGCCGCGCGCATTTCGCGTCCCCGCCATCGAAGGCTTTGTCAACCGCTACGGACTGAACTCCATTGGGGCTGACGCCTTGGCCTCGCGTCTGCGCGCCCGTGTCCGCCAGTTCTGCCGCGACCACGCCGAAAAACACCTCACCGAGGCGGACGTCCTGTCAGGCGCTGCTGGCGTCCCCCCGGGCAGCCTCTCACCCGGCCGTCTGCTGCTCGTGCAGATCGCAAAGAACAAAGACACAGATGAACGCGATGTCCGGGCTGTCGCTGAAGACTACACCTACTGTGTTCGCCGTCTTGCCCCCTATGCAGACGTCATCGTCGTCAACGTCAGCAGCCCTAACACGCCTGGCCTGCGCGACCTGCAGGCTGTCGAACCTTTGACGCGCATCCTGGGCGCGGTTGTCGATGAGACTCGAAAGTCGGCCAACAAACTCACTGCTATGCGGACCATTCCAACTCGAGTTATGGTCAAAGTCTCACCTGACGAAGACAGCGACAGCCAGATCGACGGCATTTGCGAGGCTGTTTGGGCCAGTGGCGTCGACGGCATCATTGTAGGCAATACGACCAAACGCCGAACAGGCCTCATTCCGGAGAAATTGCGCATTCCCGTAGATCAGCAGCGGGCCCTTGCTGAAACCGGTGGATTCTCTGGTCCAGCCATGTACGGCCGTACTCTGGCGCTCGTGAAGCGTTACCGTCAGCGGCTTGACGAACAGGCACTGCATCTCACGGCGCCGATGAACAAAGACAACGTTAAACCTGTGGCACGTAAAGCACTGTTCGCATCTGGTGGCGTCACAACGGGAAATGACGCTCTGAACTTGCTCAACGCAGGAGCTAGCGTAGCGATGGTGTACACGGGCTTGGTGTATGGTGGTGCCGGGACTATCACAAGGGTGAAGCAGGAACTCAGAGACGAGATTGCTTGTTTTGATGTAAAAGAAAAGGGTATATAAACGCAAGATCGACCTATCCTACTTCGCTACTTGCATGACCAATAGCGATTATACATCTCTAATGGCTTATCGAAACGCATATCTGCTACCAGCCGATCTTCTCTTTAACCGAACAACTTATCGAGTGTTTTGGTTGCAATAAGTACCTTGCTATGGTAGGGCTTCAAATGCATAAAACTGGCCGGAGGTGAACTGACACGGACCCCAGGCACCTAGAAAGCGGTTTACTTTCTTCTGGACATGTGTGAGTCTCAACCGCAACTTTTTTCATCAGGCGTCAGTCAAGGTTTGCTTCTGTTCTTTGCGAACTAGTAAAATGCAGACGCCTTATTTAGATATTACCGAGCCTGAGCTGTCTAGCAGCCAATAAGCTGATGGATACCTCCCTCAAGTGTATGTGCGGGACGTCAGCAATCAAGGTGGCCAAAGAGCATTGTCCCGGTTGTGGAGCCGATCGTTGTGCCTACTGCCCTATCGCCAAGGTACAGATTCGATAATCGTCATGCCACGTACTTGCGCAGTAACTGTCGCCGTAATTGTCAAAAGTACAAGTCATCTTTTAGCGAGTAGGTGGCGTTCTAAATTTCGTTCGAGGCTAGCAGCGCTCCTCAGCCTTGTGGCAGAAAATTAACGAGCATATTTAATAAGAAGCCACCGCCCTACCATGGAAAGCAGCAGCATCAAACTGTTACTTCCTGCTTTGGAAGGATCTCTTCCTCTCGATAGGGACTGCCTACAACCACAAGTTATAGGATCTGTTGTTTCGGCCGATGTTTGGAAAAGGATCGCATACTACTAAAGAGAAGAGAAAGAAGGGAAGGGGGGGGGCGAGTTTTATCGTTGAATTGAAGCTCGCCATAATGCTCTCCATGTTTCCTCCTTCTTTTTCTTGTTGTGAAATAACCTGCTGCAAGTGCCAACATGCCCTGCGCAATTGACAGTCTTATTTCTTGCCTTAACGCTAACGCAAGGCATTGTGCTTTGCAGCTCGCCCCTCTTAGGGGTATATGTTCAGAGAGCGCAGTGGACTTCCAGGACGATGATATTACGTTGTCTCCAGACCTGTCTGCCAATAATGGCAGTTATAACTTGCACGACAGCAGATCCAGATAACATCTCAGATAAGGAGTGCTGTAAGCTAGCGTTCTAGGGCAGGCCAAGCAGTGGGTGAGCTGCGTGATATGTACGTCCCGCTCAGATGCTTAGCAGAAACAAGAAATTGCTTCAAGCCCCGGCGAGCAGAGAAGAAGAGAGCACAAGCATCTGCTTACTGCTCCCGTACATAGTCGTGGCGCCCTTGAAGGTTGGGCTCTATTTTCCGAAAGTTCGTCACCTGCTTTTAGTTCCACTTTTATCTATTTTGGGAGAACGCACGAAGACGTTGAAGGCAGCTGATCGTATAATACTTGTGCAGGCCAGTGGAAACTCTGACCCGAAGAGTCACGTGCAATATCTGACGAGCTAACTGTACGGAGTACATTGGGTCATGCCTTCTCCGCATACGATATCTTGCCACGCGACGTCCCCGTGCCCAGCCTACCTACGTATCAGACCTCTGCTGTCGATGCCGAGCTGGATGCATATACAACAGGGCTGGGAATGGCGAGAGCGTCTTATTTTCGGATGTAAAATTATCGTCCGCAGCTTTTTGAGCACGAGACGGCGTAAACATCATACATCTCCTTGAAACGACACGCTGTGCCAGAATGATTCGCAGGCTGCTCGCTCCATCACAGAAAGCTCACCAAGCCACCTAGGTGCCTGCCTCTCTTTCGTTGCATAGGCTAGTACTGGTTTGTTTCTGTTATCTATCACGCCCGCGCTTTCCTCTCGGAGGTGCCGTTGTTTCACCGATAATGCGGCTCAGCACAGAAGACCCTGCTGTCTCGGACGCGATTGGACACCGGCAGATATAGCCTTTTAGATACAACCACGTTGATGTATTGCAGTGCTAATATAACGTCATTGTGTAAGTCATGGGAGCAACATCAATAAATGCAGAAGCAGTCTTGTACACCCGTTCGGAAAATTGCTTACCGTTCGGCGGGTTCGCAAATTCATTCATACAGATGCAGACTCAGATGCCTTTCATTGCTGCCCAAACCAGCATGTCTTTAGTATCTATGCTTGCAATACCTCTTTCTATTCGACGTATGACATGCTTTTCATAGTATAATAAGGCGAGCAGACTAGAGTGTGAGCCCAAGGATACAAAGATGTGTTTATAGAATCCTTACGCACGTATGCAGACGCAACCCTTCCCCCTCTTCCTTTAAAAAAGGTGCATAAATACGGCTGAACCCCTGCTGCTTACTCAAACAGTTTTCAAGACAAAGTCGATTTTGTAATTCACAACGGCGTGAGCGATGATCTCGAAGTGAAGACAACCGCTTTTCATAGGCAACCAGAGACTAGAATTCGCCCACTATGGCAAGTGAGCCTGTTGGCAGCAACTGCAACCCGAGCAGTTCCGCGAACAGCAGGAATCAAAATCGTCCATTTTGCGAGGCCCTAGAGGACGATGATGACTGCCCTCACAGTTTCACGTTCAGCCGGAATTTTATACCATCCTGCATGAAAGCTCGGCGAAAGGAAGAGAAAGCATTATATCCCAAAGCAAACGTCAATGCTCTAAAGAAGCACAGCAAACGTCAAATTCCGAGACGCAAAACTGCTATAGTATACAGTTACTCTCCAACAACGCTGATAAGGCAAAGTACAGCATCTACCGGCTTCGGTATTTCTGATACGTATGAGCCAACGAAGGGTCCTTTGTCTCCTAGAGATCTCTATTGGAATCTGTTGACGCCTGTAAGTGTTCCTTAATCTCTTCTCCTAGTATCCGTTCCTTTAGTTTGGAGGAGGCTTATATTTTTCATATAGCAGTTTAGAGGCTGTGCTGCACACTCTAGCAAGGGAAAGTGTTGCGATCCTTGCAGCAAGCATGAGAATCACAGAAACCAGAGAGTGATGTAAGTCTGTATCATGTGTTGATATTTACAGTCCACTCTAACGCTTAGTTGCCAGTTACATCACAAGCCTTGACGCCTGGACTGCCCCTGCTCTTGTACTTCCAGCACCGGAACAGGAGGCTGAAATCTTGACAGAATTCATACACAAATTCCTAGAACGCGAATTTACTAGCAGGATAAAGTTACTGGTAAGTACCGATCTCTTTGAACAATATTTACGCTTGTGTTGATGTGCTCTCCTAATATCTAAAGGCCATAATGAGACCTTCGACATTCTTTTCTCTCGAGTTCCAGTTGTCTTTCTACGTTCTGAGAATCAAAAATAATCCCAACATAGACACGCGATGGGACCGGAACAAAAAGCTTTGTCGCCAGACAATGAAGCTGTCGCTGAACGAAGACGAAAAAAATGCTTGGTTGCAAGAAGCAAAGTCAGCTTGCTTGATTTTTGGCAACGAGTCAAACGTCTGGGATGCTTATACTTTAGTTGACAATTACTATGACGGTAACAGAAGCGAAGACAATGTCGAGAGCTACAACAAGTACACCGAACCCGCCTTTTCGTACAGCCTCCCAACTCAAGGTCGTCTGGATGCGAGGCAGCCACGAGACAGTCCTCAAGAATTTTTTTTTGATGGTCCTCAATCACCGTCTCGCTACATGTGTTAGTGAGCAGACTAATCTGTTGAACTACCTTCAGCGCAAGGGAGGCTTTTCTACACCTAACTCGCATGCTGTCAATGTCTAACACGGTCTACATATAGACGGAGGCACATTGCCAGATGCTGCAACAGAAAAAAGCAATGACTCCGCAGGCCAAAGCGGCCATAGAGCGCTCGTTTGCGGATATTTACATAATCATCAACTTATCAATGAAAGTCTATGCCAGCCTATCGCTCATTCTACAGAATCTACAAATTTTCGGCAACCCGATGAAGAGCAATCTTCTGAAGGGAATAAAACCCAACAGCGTGGCCTACGAGAGCATCGACAACCTAAGCCAGGAGATACTTGCCAGTCTAGGTGACCTTCGTACTGTTCAATTGCACCTTGAAAACTTGAAGACCAAATGCGAAAGACTCGAAAAAGAGGCAAGAACGAAAGCAGACGCTTCAACATAACGAAATATTCTGACCGAATCAAATAGTTCTGTACGAAGAGGAAAAATATCGATTCTGAAAGGACCACATTAATGCAAAAATTGGTAAGAAACCTAACTTTCTGTCTTTTTTTGGACGTGCTTACCAACTCTTTCACTTTTGTTCTTACTTAGGCCTTACTTTTCTCAGCCCCAGAACTTTCTGCTAGTTTACTGCAATCTGGCGTGGTTTCAAGCCACCCGGGCTGGCTTCATTTTTTTTTCTTCGCGGTCGCTTTCTGGTTTCTCTCTGTTGTGTTTGACTACCTAATGCCACTTGGACAATCTGTTTCAGGTTGTCTGAAAAACGTCGCTCTCGAGCGGTCTGAACATGATGACACTGGAGGTACATACAAAACTGAGAAAGATATGGACGATGGTGAGGATGATGACGAGAATGATGAGGATGACGAGGATGATGAGGCAGGTGATGATGATGATGATGACGGTGGCGACAACAGCATTGAAGGAGCCCAGGCAATAGAGAGCCCAACGGGAAGAAATGAAGGCACTTCACCAAATAGCCGCACGGAATCAGCGGCACCTCACGACATGAATTTCCATAAGATAAAGAGTAGCACTGCCTCTACCTCAAACCCGCCCCCCCCTGCAAACCCAGCACGTCCACATCCTGTTGCACTTCCTACCATCAAGACAAGAGACGACAAGTCCGGACTGCTTTTAAGATTGAGAATAGTGGACCCCCGTGCTTTCATTCGCAAAAATTCTGCACGCAACTCTAGCAGTGATGTCGAATTAGGCGAGTTTGGCCATGATTACGGTCGAAGCAGCGGAAGTACTCCGTAGCTGGTATGGTTATATGGGCAAGCACATAGCATCTTAGATTTATGGCGCTCCAGATAGAGGCCCCACAAATTGCAAATTACAGTTAAGACTTCAGCTTGTATCGACTGAATATGATAATTCCGCATGAGGCTCTGCGCGATCAAATAATATATCGTGTACTCGGTAATTTCATTGCGCCTTGAAATCCTAGTTCGGGAAGGCGTAGCCACTTACAGAGTAAGGTGCATCGAAAATTAGGCTAGGCTGAGCAATTTGTGATTGAACCGTAAGCTATCAGCTACGGGCGGTCCATCGACAAACTAGCCAGGCCGCGATCCGTCTATGGTGTGGCATACAGAATTCTTGCATTTCCACCTTGTCTTTATGATACGTCGATGGATCTCCCTCAAGTCCTCTGTGCCAACTATACAGGGGCCGGTTGTAAATTCTTAGCAATCGCCTTACAAAGGGGTTATAGCTCGCATGATAGGGGGAATGGGAATGGGAATGTAGGAATCACCTTGATCCTGGTTGATCCCACATCGTATGCAAAGTTGTCAACTACAAAGAAAACGCTGTGGTGCGTATCCTATCATCAGAAGTGCTTCATAAGACTTCAATGGGAAGCCAAGTAAGGGATTTCGTCTTTAAATGTAGTATGCGTACATATTGAAGAGGAATAAGGACTTCGAAGCGTTCTTCATTAAGCAAGCTTTCGATTAGTATAGTATTAGACTTGCAGATTCGAACCATCATTGCTTCTGAATATATAATGCATTGGCAAGATTAGCGAGAATATGGAAAATAAGCTGTAACCAGGACTAGGAGCCCGAGGTAGAAGAGCAAGACGTTGACTTCGTAAATGACCAGATAAGTCAACTGGTTTTCTTACCGAACCTTGGCTTTTGTTATCGGACAGTATGCACAGCGCTCGCTACTACACTCAAGACATGATTCCTTCTGGGCCGTCATATACGACATCCCACATTTGGACTATAAGCCTTTGTGGTATGCAAAGTAAACAAAGCCAAAACCTTGTTATATTGGAGTTCGGAGCAACATATACAAGCCCGTATAAAATCGTATTTAAATGGGGGGTCTAAAACGTCTAGTTCAGATGGCAGTCGGATTCCTGGCTTTTCTTCAGGTATGTACTTGCTAACTTAGAAGCTGTTTTTTATATCTGCTATGTATATATATATAACTATTTTCTTGTGGCAAGTAACCTTCCTATTCCCAGGAGCCGAGATCTGCCTGTTCGCCCACATCCACAATAAACTTAGCCAGCCCACGGGAAAGCTCTATACTTAGCTATACTTAGCTAGTTGGTACCATAAAAGAGGTGCATAGTTCTAAATTATAAATTATTATGTTTTGTTGTAGTATCAGACCATTTGCCTGATATTAGTTCATACTTCGTAAAATTCATATGTGGGCCTTCTTATGTATTATATAGTATAGAATAGGGCTGAAAGGGCCTGATCGTCTCGACCTTTGGTTCTTTCAAAGAAAGAACCAGCCGGACACGCCGAATGGACAGGTTTGTAGGTTCACTGGTGCTTTAGCCGCAAGGAAGAAACTGTGAAGGAACATTGGATTCTGTAATATCATTATGCTGCTTACGTGCTGTTTCAGACTTAAATCTAACCATTCGTTTTGTAAGATACTCTGTTATGTTCAAGTAAACTACATATACAGAATTCTTTTCTAGTGGAATATTCGTCACTCATTTGTCTATATTTCCTGTTAGAAGATTATATCAGGCCCATGTACTTGTTATCTTGTCAACGGCCATTAAAGCAGCATGAGCCAGACTGCCAGAGTCAACAATAGCTATAAGCAATTGATCGAGTTAGATGCTGCCAACGCCCCCCTCAAGTACTACCATTCTCTGATCTGATCGTTTTAGTGGATCCCCTAATCCCAGGCATACGATACGCGATCTCACTCTTGCTTTCAAAAAGCCACACGCGAATTGTTGCAGACGATCGAGCCGCGCCTATCTGAATTTGATTTGCCATTCGTGGATATACCACTACAAACATACCGTAAATGGGTGTATTGTCCTCGCTAAAGGCGCATCACCCTACTGGCAGAACGATGCCTAGGCCTTGGCTTGGTCCCCTTCTCCTCAAAATGTGCTTCCTACCCTACCGTCTGCTGACATTCTTGGCTGATATTTCGCCAAACGACTTGCAGCTCTACGACGTGTTCAGCCTTGTCACCTCATTCGATATCTGGCCCCAAAAAACAGGAACAGAATGAGTTGAAGCCCCCCTTTATAAAAAGGGATAAGACACTGAATTTCTTTTATCTAAATTACAAATAAATATCACAGCACATGACTTCTAAGCACGTTGAGGATAGAGTCGCCTAAAACACATCAATCGAAGTTAAATCACCGTTACCCAAATCACAGAACACCTATGGAAGACTGAGCAGAAGCTTCAGCAGCTTTGGGTAGTTGGGCGAGCTGTGTGGCCATTAGTCATGCAAACATAGACACAATCAGTAAGGGGGCAAGAGATGGTTCTTACCCAAGACCAGTCACTGGGTCCCAGCCCTTTGCAGCCGGGAAACCCTCAGTGCCACAGCCGGGGTTGCTACCGACGGTGATGTCGTTGAACACTTCGGGGTGTTGGTACTGCGGCGGTCAGTCGGGTCCAGGGAGAGGAAGCACGCTGGTGCACAGAAGGGGACAGAAACATACCAGCACAGGGTTGATAAAACCGAGAGTCTTCTTGCCGGCGGCAATGCGCTCCTCGTTGACCAAGTTTAGCATGCTGGCCCACAGTGGCGCCGCCAGCGACGTGCCGCCAATAGCATACCATGCACCGTTGAAACGGGTGATGTAGTGCTCGCCGATGGCCGACACATCCGGGTAGCCACGGCCAGCACGGCGGAAAACACCGGTGCCGACGTTGGCCATATCGGCAAGACTGGTGGGCGCGTCGTCGTAGCCTGTGAAGTTGAGCTGCACGGTGTTGAAGTAGTTCTCGACAGCGGAGCTCTGGTACGCCGGTTGGTCAAAGTAGTTGCTGAAGCCACCACCAGAGGCAAAGCGCTGGGCGGCGTGCTCGGTCAGTCGGCTGGTGTAGTTGCCCGTAGACGGGTTCAGCGACGTGGCGCCGACGGCCAGCGCATAGGGACAAGTGGCCTCGCTGGATGGGTTGAAGATGGTGCCGGCGCGGCCACCGGTACCGAGACAGCCCTCGACGGTGTTGGTGTCGCCCACATACGAGGCCACGCCGTAGTCGCCCGATGAGATGACCACGCTGACGCCCTGCAGGCCCAGCTTCATGATCTCGGAGCATTGGCGCCGCCAGTAGTATGCCGGCAGATCGATCTCGCCGCCGCCATAGCTGATGCTGATCACGTTGGTCGGCTCAAACACGCCGCACTGCAGAGTGCCGTTGTAACCACCCGGTCCAGCGTCGGGGTACGATGGGTCCAGGCATTCAGGCGTGACACAGTTGCCTGTCTCGCCAAAGGCGCTGTATGTGCAGTAGGAGCCGTCAAGGGCGTCGAAGAAGGCTGGAGAGTCAGGATGGAGCAGCTACAAATTGGACATGACGGGATCTGGGTGGCTTACTGTTCAAAAAGCCCAGATATGGCGTCTTGGCCGTCGTCTCGTTCTTCTGGATGCGCTCGTCGTCCACCTGGTATAAAACGGTGCTCTGCGGGTAGATGAGAGGCATTGCTGCCTGCAAGTCGAGGTTGGCTTCGGCGCCGGCCTGTCCAAAGGGGACAGCCCCCACGGCTCCATCAATAAGCCGTTCGATGGGGTATGTGCCCTTGGGAATAGAGGGATAGGCAGACGCAAAGTACCCGTCCAGATCGGCCTTGTTGTAGTGCTCGTTCAGACTCTCGAAGATGCCGAGCTCGTTGCCCGTAGCCGCCTTGGTGGCGTTGGGAATTTGATACTGGGCTGCAAAACAGCGTTAGCTTGCGTGTCCCCGTTTTGTCCTCTCCGGCCCTGCCTCTCAATGTACCTTTTACACAGTCCGGCGTCACGTAGAGCGCGCAGCTCACGTTGCCAGAGGCAGCCGGGTAGATGGCATCGGCAACGGCATCGGCGCTGTGGATGGGCTCGGGGGTCAGGTAGTTGCCGGAGGTGCCACGACGCCCGATGCTCTGCAGGTCGCGCTTCTTCTGCTGCTCGCGCGCGGCCTTCTTGCTGTCCCACCGCAGGCGGATGCCCGGCGTGATGTAGTCGACATGGTCCCGGATCTCGTGTGGCAGGTGGTAGTGTTCGGCCGCGACGTCACGCGTGGCCGATCCGCTGTGCTCGAAGACGTAGTACTTAGTCAGCAGCAGATCCTCGACCTCGGCGGCCGGCGCGTCGAACTGGAGCCACTGCTTGTTGGCCGACAGCGTGATACGGCCGATTTCGATACCGGAACCGGTCAGCCAGCCGACCACAGCGTCGATGGTGGTCCGCTCGGGCGCAAAGAGCTCCACAACTTCGTCGGCCGTCAGGTGCTGGCCGTAGTTGGCCGACTTGGGGTCTGTGATGGACATGAACAGATCATGTCCCTCCTGCATGTTGCGTTGTTTGAGGCCGATACGCATGGGCAGCATGGCGTTGCGCGGAACCGCATCCGTGCGGCGCCACATCTTGGACCAGTGCGGCAGTTGGCGTTCGTGGACAGCGTGTGTGGCCGGGATGCTGCGGCGCTGGCTCTGGGCCGAGGACAGCCCGACGGATGCATGCGGCTGGCCGACTGGACTGGCAGCCACCTCCAGGGCGACGCTGCCGAGAAGGGCGCCACAGGCGAGGGTCTGGAACAGCATGGCGAGCAGACCTCTATGGGGCTAACGGGTAGACTGAAGGATAAGTGATAAAGGAGTCCGTCAGAAGGACCGACTGCAAAAGAAGGGAAAAAGGAAGGCAGGGGAAAGAGGAGCAAAGCAATGAAAGGACGATCCAAAAAGATCAAAAAGCGACGGACGAAAAGAACGGCGATGGGACTTCAGATGTACGCAGCTGAAACTAAGTAAAGAATGACAAGAGAGTGACTGATGCAGAAAAGAGGCAGTCTTTATTGAGCGGCAGCGACAGCAACGGCTGATATTTACATAGATGGCAGAGATCGGCTCTCTGATCCCGCAAATCCGTCCGCGTCCTGTCGTGGCTCCTTCCCTCTGAGAGCAGATGCGCCCCTGCCTTCATATGGACACTCTATGGAGTACAGGCTGCACAGCTATGACGACATTGCTGAACGGCGGTCCATTCTGCTTGCCAGAATAGGCCTCCAGACGCCTATTGGGACGTTCAGATATCTTGCATATAAGAACTAGGTCTAACACGGCGATTCGTCGTGGGCCGTCTAATGAGGTTGAAACAATTGGCAGATTAGGAAGGGACTGAGACAGACAAGGAATCTGTTCCTGCTTGGGCGCTAGACCCCCCAAACAGCTCCACTGGTTCCGCTGCTCATCCAAGGCCGTTTCTTGGCACTTGGATTCTGGCAAGACTCTGTCTCGTGCTCTACGTCGTAACCATGCAATTTGCTACCAACCAGGGTATCTTGCCGGCTCCTGGGCCGTGCAGCCCGCTTGTTCCTGTTCCACACAGCTGCCGTGTGCTGAAGAGTGACCGGTCCGGTCGCTCGACAATGGGTGGCAGTGGAGCTGCCGGTTGAGATAGCGATCATCAGCCGCTCCGGAGCCAGGAACAGACCAAAACCAAGGCAGCAAGTTGCCCCCGCTGCAAGGATCGGCATGCATCGCTCCAATCCCGCGGTAAGTCTTTCGCTATGCAGTCGTGGCACGTTAGCTGATTAAGAACTCTTGCCCTGTACATGCATTTTACTTCGTACACCGTTTCGAGTATCACAGCCAGTTTGTGCAAGTCGCAGTGTTTTCGGTCATCTTATTTCCTGCTGTGCTCTATCGGGAGAAGCACGATAGTCGCACAGTTGCTCGTAATCGTGTATCGTATTTATGTAAAGATCCTATGTATGACTCGCCATGATTTCTCTATGCTGACACATGATACACCGGCCACTAGACTCGCATTCATCATGGTTATTGATACTCCCATACTCCGTACCTGTCGTCTTCCGGTATGTACCGCGCACGTGACCCAGCAGACAAGGCCAAACGAGCCCGTCGGATATTTGAGTTTGCGTCGCGATGCTCCCAGAAAGGCCGAGTGTTTTCGCCTCCTCTACGGAGTGCTCTCAGCTCAGCAACATGCTCCTTGATCACTGTAGTCCTTGTCTCTATCTTTTCCATTTCGTCTGAGTAGCCCAGCATGACTGACTCATACGCCACTTGATTCTAGCATCATTACATGATGAGTTCAATGTAGCAATATATATCAACCCGAGTATCCTTCTCGTCTCCTACAGTTTTCATCTCTTACTATCTCAGATCCAATCCCTTCTTACAACCGCAACTGCAGAATACATTCTTGCAAACAGTCAATTCGCAACAACAACCACCTTCCAGCAGCAACCATTCGGATCGTCCGATTGCTTATCTTGCACACAACTCTTACACATCTCTCTTGCATACCACGATGCGGGCTTCCTTAATCCTTCTTGGCTGTGCCGCTATTGCTTCTGCGCTGAAGTGCATGCCATTTGCCGCAGACTCAGAGAGCCTTGCAGCCAAGGCAATCGCAGACCTAAGGATCGTAAACGCATCTGACGGTAGCGTACACTTGCCCAAGTTCAGCTGCAAGCTCACCCAATCCGAAGCTTGCTCCTTCAGGGATAGTTTGGCCGAAATGGGCATCAATTCTTCTCTGGGTTGTTTCGCTGTCAATCTCGGCGCCATGGCCACGTCTGTCTCGGTATCTACCGCTCCCACCAGCACACTCGTCACCATGACCACGTCTGACCCGGGAGCGCTTTAAGTGGCTTCATGCCAATACTCCATTACCTGAGCGGGCGGATATCTTTGAGTTGGAATACCGCGTATCGATTGGCGGATATAAAAATTGTCAATTTGAGGCGTTTTGGCAGGTTATTGATGGATGTATTCGTGATTTGGTGTACTTTACTGTCCTGCTACCATGCATTTTCAGTAGTACTCCGTACTCCATAGCAGTTATAATAACCTTGATTTCCCTGATAGGAATGGTCTGTGTTCGCTCTTGTCATCGTGGGTCGTCTAGACGCTCTTCGCACATGACCGTGATATGCCTCAACTACGCACGTGCCGGCTACTTTGTGCTGGCAGTCCGCGAGACGCGGCTTGCTGCACGAGTACGACGTACTCTTGAACGACTTGTCATTTCGGGTGCTATATAATGGTTATCTCACTCTCTAACGACGGCTATTCCTCAACCAACCTTTACCCATACAAAACTCCATATTGTCGCCCCTGAGATTCTCCAAATATGTGGACCTCTCCTTTTCCCTCAGGCGTCAAAATATTTTCCGGACCGAACCCCTGACGAGGCCTCCTGACTTCTCCTTTGTTGTCTACGGACCTTGGAGCGCGCGGGATGGTGAGCCTCGGTGTGTACAGAGCAGCCTGCATGCCGCAAAGCGCGTCGTAATGTAGGTTGTTCTTTCAGGCTGCAGGTTAGGTTTTGGGGGGAGCCCTGTAATCTGGCCGCCAAGATGCTGACAAAGAACCGGTAAACTGTATGGAGCTGGGGGGTCGTGGACACGGAGGCGGCTGTACGAGCATTCTGCGGCAGACGGCTCAGCCACAGGTGCTTTGGCTGCGTTGCAGTCCCCTGTAGTTGCCACTCGACCATCTGCTGTTACTGGGTGGAATGCGTGTTTACACTGTCTGTACTCCGTAACGCATACTAAAGGGAGCATTACAATACAACCTATAGCTTGCGGAGTTAGCGTGTCACCGCCGCCCCTCTCCGCCTCCTCAATTAATCGCATACAGAGCACAAGCACAACCACCGCCCTGGTCCATCAAAACCCGGCGTCCCCTCCCGACTCCCTCTCTCTCTCGACATCATCGTCACTGAACAGTCGCCATCGTAGCCCCGACACCATCGACGTCTGCCGCCGGGGTTCCATCGCATCTTGCATCCCGCGGCTTTTCATCCGATATTCCGATTTACTCCCCGCTGCAGAGAACTTGCAATTTCGGTTCCGTTTGCATCGTTTTTTATCACCCCCACCCGCCATCGCCATCCTTCTGTCATCAGCGTCTAGCAACGCAAATCCGAGGCCAATCGGAGCCTCTGACAGGCCACAACACCCTTTGACTCCAGACAACCGCTAGCTACAATGTCGACGTGGAAATTGACAAAGAGTGAGTGCTGAGAGAGAGACCGGAAGAATGCACGCAAGCATGCAAGCGTGGCGGTTTTGAAAGCAGCAACAGCTGACCGCTTTATTTTATTTTTCGTCCTGCAGAGCTGAAGGAGACCCATCTGGGTCCTCTGGCAAACTTTTCCCGATCAACGTCCACGTCCACAATCACGGCCGAGAAGGATGCGCTGACGGCCACCACCCCCGTTGCCGGGGCACCTTCGAGCAATATTGGTACGCTTAAGATGCATGGGATGTATGGGGTGGCTGGGAAGTCCATGGGGGAGCCTCCTCTGGCTTCAGCTGCTGACTTCTGCACTAGCGGCATCCGAAGCATTAAGCCAAGCACCCGTCATCAAGCCGCCAAAGCCCGGTATCCTTGTTGTCACCCTCCACGAAGGTCAGGGTTTTGCCCTTCCCGAACAGCACCGCAATGTGTTCAGCCCACAGCACCAGTCGTCCATGTCCACGGGCAACGCCCTGGCCGGCAGTAATGCCAGCTCGGCCCGGCCAAACTCGTCGCAGCGTCAGGGTGCAGCCTTTGCAAACGGCAGCCGGCCACAGACGGCTGGTGGTAACGGGTTCAACGGCGTGCCCACCAACCACGGCCGCATTTCGGGCAAGTACATGCCGTATGCGCTGCTGGATTTTGACCGCATGCAAGTCTTTGTCAACTCGGTTGAGGGCACGCCCGAGAACCCGCTCTGGGCTGGCGACAATACGCAGTACAAGTTTGATGTGTCCCGTGTCACCGAGCTCGCCGTGCATCTGTACCTACGCAATCCGAGCGCACCGCCAGGCTCCGGCCGCAGCCAGGACATCTTCCTCGGCGTGGTGCGCATCAACCCGCGCTTCGAGGTGCAGCAGCCGTACGTCGAGGACCCGAAGCTGAGCAAGAAGGACCGCGAAAAGGCGGCGGCCGAGCACGCAAGCCGTGAGCGGGCGCTCGGCTTCGGCGGCTGCGAATGGGCCGAGGTGCAGTACGGCCAGGGCAAGCTCAAGATCGGCGTCACATACGTGGAGAACCGCGCTGGCAAGGTGACGATTGACGACTTTGAGCTACTCAAGGTCGTGGGCAAGGGCAGCTTCGGCAAGGTGATGATGGTGCGCAAGAAGGACACGCGCCGTATCTACGCGCTCAAGACGATCCGCAAGGCGCACATCATCTCGCGGTCCGAGGTGGCACACACGCTGGCCGAGCGGTCGGTGCTGGCGCAGATAAACAACCCGTTCATTGTACCGCTCAAGTTCTCCTTCCAGTCGCCTGAGAAGCTGTACTTTGTGCTGGCCTTTGTCAACGGCGGCGAGCTGTTCCACCACCTGCAGAAGGAGCAGCGCTTCGACATCAACCGGGCACGCTTCTACACGGCCGAGTTGCTGTGCGCGCTCGAGTGTCTGCACGGCTTTAACGTCATCTACCGCGACCTGAAGCCGGAGAACATCCTGCTAGACTACCAGGGCCACATTGCACTGTGCGATTTCGGTCTCTGCAAGCTGGACATGAAGGACGAAGACCGCACGAACACGTTCTGTGGAACGCCCGAGTACCTGGCGCCCGAGTTGCTGATGGGACAAGGCTACAACAAGACGGTCGACTGGTGGACGCTGGGCGTGCTCCTGTACGAGATGCTGACGGGCCTGCCGCCCTTCTACCACGAGAACACCAACGAGATGTACCGCAAAATCTTGTCGGAGCCGCTGTACTTCCCCGGGTCCGACATTGTGCCGCCGGCGGCCAAGGACTTGTTGACGAAGCTGCTGAACCGCAACCCGGCCGAGCGTCTGGGTGCCAACGGGTCGGCAGAGATCAAGGCGCACCGCTTCTTTGATGCCATTGACTGGAGAAAGCTGCTGCAGCGCAAGTACGAGCCGGCATTCAAGCCGAGTGTGGTATGTTCTGATTTTTGTTCCACTATTGTCTCTCTGCATACCCCTTTTCTAACAGACCAGACCGACGCGCTTGATACGGCCAACTTTGATCCCGTATTCACGACCGAGGCGCCCCAAGACTCGTTCGTCGAGGGTCCTGTGCTGTCCCAGACACTTCAAAACCAGTTCCAGGGCTTCAGCTACAACCGGCCGATTGCCGGGCTAGGCGATGCGGGCGGTAGTGTCAAGGACCCGTCATTTGTGGACAGCATTCAGGACAGCAGGTAGACGTGGAAGGAGGGGGTAGGGTTGGAGGAGCAGCACGCCGGGCTGCTATAGAGGACAGTCTGAAAACGAGGCTTGCATGTTGTCACGGAGGAAGCGAAGAGCTCATTGCTGCTGAATTTTCGTTTATATTACCTCTGGATCTTTCTGTTGTTCGTCTCGTTTCCTCTTGCTGTCTTGCGGCTCCTTTCCGCTCGTTTTGTGTTTCCCTGTTTGACTGCCCGCCAGCAGATGTGGCCTACGCTTACCTGGAGCTTCCTTGGCGTTTTGCTTCTCGTTCAGTCTTTATTCTAGCTTAGTCTCTTTTTAGGCATTTCACCAGAACGGGCGTGTTTTGTTATTGCTTTCCCCCCTTCATTTTGCTCAGAGCTGACTGGATTACTTCTGATTGGAAATTGCTAGACCAGTTTGGGCTTTCGATCATTATTACCATGTGCATTTTGTCATCGTACAGGTCCGAGAAAGAGAGACAAATGCATGCGTGACCAACCAGCATCCAACGGCGTTGCTTGGGCAATCGGGGAAGCGATAAGCCTTACTCAGCCGTCTTCCGATGACCGAGCAGTGCGACGGGTGGCCCGCTTTTTCCTGTCTGGGCGTCGGAAGAAAGTGCGAGGGGTCGGACCTTCTTTTGGCGAACGCATGCTTGCCATTAAGCCCCTCACCAGACAGCCACCCCACCTTCCTGCCGCTATATTGCTCAGAGCTTCGGCCAAGCGCCTTGCTGTGACGCTCCTGCTGTTCCGTGTGGTTCTGCCATTCGTAAATCAAAGATCATGGTCCTATTAGTGATCGCCCCAGGACGCATGCAGGGAATAGTTAGCCGATTGTCTGCGGATTTGTCAATAAGTGGGAAGCTATGTACCCCCCCGTTGTCTTGCTCGTAGATTCGTTTTTACTCTCGCGGATTAGGAGGGAATTTCTGAATACTGACGAAAAGGTGGAATCCCATACTGGGCCTTTTTTCGCTCAACTACTATTAAAGCATTTTCCCTCTCCTTTTCCTCTCCCTTATCCTTTCCTGCATCTCACTTTACTGTGAAGAGAACCAAAGCTGTAAGTTCAATACCGTGCCAACATGGATAGAGTGATTTTGCAGTCCGACAATTCCGGCCAGTGACATGACATGTCTGGGAACGAAGTAGACAAATAGAGCCGTTAGCAGTCGGCCGGCTTGCAGCCGGGATTTCACTCATTGGTGCCATCGCCGGGTTGGGAGCTCGAAAATGCCCGCAGTTCAGACGTGGCGGGGCTTTACCTTTTTTGCACCTCACACATTTATGTCACCAACTCTATAAAGGAAGCCAGTGCAGAGCAGAGGCGATTTCTCACAGCTAACATATTTCTGTGTCAGATCCTTGTTCTCTCTCTGATCTTTTTGATCTTTCTGATCCTTCTGATCCACCAACTTTCTCTCAGGTATGCAAAGCCATTAGCTTCGGAACTGTTTTGTCGTGCTGTCTGCCCTTCCCGATGTCAATGCTGCGGGGAATGGAAGACGCGGATGTCCACTCCCCAACAGCAAATGCAGGGATGCCATCAATGCTATAAAGCTCCCGATGGACAAGACAGAAACCGCTCTCTCATGGCTCTTCTCTTTTCGTTTCCCCATGCTGACTAAAGCTGCTAGGTTCATCTGTAGCTACGAGATAACCCCCCAATTACATTATAATGCCGCAGGCCAGCGCACTGCCCGTATGGGCTGAGCTTCAGAAGCACCGCGACACCGTCGGCAAGGCGTTTGTCCTCAAGGAGGCGTTTGCCGAAGACCCGAAGCGTTTTGACAAGTTCACACGGGTGCTCAAGCTTCCCGCCAGCATCTCGAGCAACGATGGCGAGACTGAGATCCTGTTCGACTTCAGCAAGAACTTTCTGACGGGGGAGACCCTGGCTCTGCTGCTGAAGCTGGCCACCGAGGCCAAAGTCGAGGAGAAGCGCGAGAGCATGTTCAAGGGCGAGAAGATCAACTTCACCGAGGACCGTGCCGTCTACCACACTGCTCTGCGCAACGTCGGCTCGGAGCCCTGGACCATGACCGTCGATGGCGTCGACGTAGTCAAGACCCCTGGTGGCGTTGCTGACGTACTCGACCACATGAAGGAGTTCAGCGAGGAGGTCCGCAGTGGCTCCTGGAAGGGCTATACCGGCAAGAAGTTGACCAACATCGTCAACGTCGGCATTGGTGGTTCTGACCTGTACGACAGCTTCCTTTTCTTTCCTCCCCCACCGATTACTCCAACTTGGCGCTGACCGAACAAACAGGGGCCCTGTGATGGTGACCGAAGCCCTGAAGCACTACGGTGCGCCTGGCATGACACTGCACTTTGTGTCCAACATTGACGGCACCCACATGGCCGAGGCGCTGGCGGCATCTGACCCAGAGACGACGCTCTTCCTCATCGCTTCCAAGACGTTCACAACGGCGGAGACGACCCGGAACGCCAACACGGCCAAGGACTGGTTCCTCGAGAAGACCGGCGGCAAGGGCGAAATTGCCAAGCACTTTGTGGCTCTGTCCACCAACGAGAAGGAGGTGACCAAGTTCGGCATTGACAAGAAGAACATGTTCGGGTTTGAATCGTGGGTTGGCGGCCGCTACTCTGTGTGGAGTGCTATTGGCCTGTCCGTCAGCCTGTACGTCGGCTTCGACAATTTCCACAAGTTCCTGGCCGGCGCCCACGAGGTTGACAAGCACTTCCGCACCACACCGCTCGAGGACAACATTCCTGCCATTGCCGGTCTTCTGAGCGTCTGGTACTCTGACTTTTTCAACGCCCAGACGCACCTCGTTGCTCCGTAAGTATACCTCGGACCTGGAAAGACGCTGTTTCGATCTAACACCTCACAGGTTTGACCAGTACCTCCACCGCTTCCCAGCCTATCTCCAGCAGCTGTCTATGGAGTCCAACGGCAAGACGGTGACGTCTGACGGCAGCGCGGCCAGCTACACCACGGGTGCCATCCTTTTCGGCGAGCCCTGCACCAATGCGCAGCACTCGTTCTTCCAGCTGGTGCACCAGGGCACTAAGCTGATCCCCACCGACTTCATCCTTGCTGCCAAGTCGCACAATCCGATCTCAGACAACATCCACCAGAAGATGCTGGCTTCCAACTACCTGGCGCAGGCTGAGGCCCTGATGGTCGGAAAGACGGCTGACCAGGTACGCGCCGAGGGCGGCGTGTCGGAGGCGCTGGTGCCGCACAAGGTATTTATGGGCAACCGGCCGACGACGAGCATTCTTGTCAGCGGCGTGATCGGCCCGGCCGAGCTGGGCGCTTTGATCGCGTACTACGAGCATGTCACCTTCACCGAGGGTGCTGTCTGGGACATCAACTCGTTTGACCAGTGGGGTGTCGAGCTGGGCAAGGTGCTTGCGAAGAAGATTCTTCAGTACGTCACACAGTGCAGAGTGATGGCCTACTGCTTTTGGTGTTTCAGATAACTGACCGTTCGATTAGGGAGATTGACGAGCCGGGCAACGGCACGGGCCACGATACGTCAACCGGCGGCTTGCTGTCTGCGTTCAAGAAGTATGCTACGATCTAAATGGATGACTGGATGATATGGTATCGTGCAAAACACGCCTGGAACGCATGCTTGGTGATGACAAACTGCAGGAAGTACGACCCAGGATACACGTAGCCGACGGCTCTTTCGCTTCTGATTCACGGGAGATTGGCTCTAATTTTGTATAAAACACGAACCAGGAGGAGGGTCGGTGGGAGCACATAGCGGCAGGTTTGTAGGCCAGGCCTCGGTTTGTGAAACACATTTGTTACTCAAGCAGAACAGCCAAGAAATACACAAGACAGATAACCCGGTCATCGATCCTTTTCTCTTTTTTTGAGATTTGCTCTTTCCTTTTTTGGCGAGGAAAGCTTGCCGCCGTAATTGCCCATAGAAACGCCGTTCCAAACCCATTTGGGGCGAATAAAAAACAAGGAAAAAGAACAGCGAAGAAGCAAAGATACGCCCACACATTGTTTTCTTACATCACCGCCCATCCGGTCTCCCACCTCATCACCACATCACAACGAGTTTTCGGCCGTGTTTCCAGCGACGACGGCGGCGACGGCGGTCGGACTGCTGCTTGCGTTGCTGTCGCTGCTGGCGGCGCCTTCGGTCTTGAGCTGCGCCAGGCGTTCCTTGTGCAGCAGCGCGCGCTTGCGGTTGCGCAGGTCAAAGTCGAGCACGTGACCGTAGCCACGTCGCTGCAGTTCAGCCTGGATCCGAGCAATGGACCAGGGGCCGTCGAGGCCGTCGCTGCCGTCGGCACTGGCACTGGCACTGGCATTGCCGCCAGGACCGCGCAGCCACTGGTCGACCTCGTCCTTGAGCGCGGCCGGCAGCTTGCGGGCGCGCGGATCCAGCATCAGGTCAGCGGCGGCGTGGTTGTGGCGGCGGTGATCGTCGTTGGTGTAGTGGACGGCGTAGCGGTCGGCGCCAGGGCCGATCTCGACGAGCTCGAACCGAAAGGGACACTCGCACTTCTTGGAGATGCGGTCGGTCGTGGGCTTGCGCTGGCGCCGTCGGGACGTCGACGGGAGAGCGTATGCGTGGCCGTGGCCATGCGCAGGGCCGTCGATCATCGACATGACCTGGTCGGCCTCGTTGTCGTGCTCGTTGGTCATATCATCGTCTGGCCCTCTGGCTGCCGTCGTTGCCGTCGTTGCCGCCATCACCGCCCGGTCTTCGTCCTTGGGTCGCAGCCGCGATCGGCCACCGCGGAAGCAGACCATGCGAATCTTTTGGCGCCGGCCGTGCGACCGCGTGCCGTTGATGCGCATGCTGTAGCCGCGCGGGATGGTCCAGCCGTCCAGCTCGTCCTGTAGCGAGGCCCGGCCGGTGACGAGAAAGCCCTCGGGCAGGGCCTCGAGCCGGCTGTGGCTGGCCTCGGTCGGCCGCAGCTCCCGCGGGAGAAGGGCACCGTCGGACACAACATCAGCAGCAGCAGCAACAACAACACATTGAAGACTGTCTCCCTCGTGCGCCCCGTCCATGTCGATTCTCTTGCCAGGCTCCTCTTCTTTCTTGGCGAGATCTCTCTGACCGGCCGCTTCCTCATCGCTGCCGCCTCCGTACTTGGCTACCCGTCTGTTCTGCAATCGCGATCGTGACGGCCTCTTCAGCCGGTTGAAGCTCGTCGATAGAAGTGCCTGCGTGGCCTGCTGCTTGGGTGTCGATGAAGGCGGCGATGCGGCGGACGAGGACGACGAGGACGACAGTGACAGTGACGAGAACGACGGCGCAGATGTGGGAAGCGGCCGGCGACCGGCTACCTGACCGGCTGCGCTCCAGTCGGGATCGCGACCGCTGACGCTGACGCTGACGCTGCTGCTGACAGCCGGCAGCTTTGGCCCGGCTCGCGGCGCCGGAGGAATGCGCAAGGCCGTCTCGATAAAGCTCAGCCGCTGGTCGATGGTCGTCAGCGAGCCCAGCAGACTGCGCAGGATGGGATTCGCGTCCGTCATGACGTCGCGTGGCGCGGCGATGGTAGAGACTCGGTGTGGAGGCAGCCGATGATGCGGCTGCTGGTCAGATCGGTGATCCCGCTTGGAAAACGCCCAAGAGGCATCGTCCCCTACGGCGAGAGTGCCACCAGAGAGCCGTTCGAGCAGACGGCGAGGGAAATGGGAAATGAGAAAACGAGCAACTGGAAGAAGGCCAGGTCCAAATTGTCCAAAGGTAGCCCTCCGAACGCTTTGTGGCCGGCTGGTGTGGAAGAAGACCGGATGGATTGCACTCACGTCGCGTAGGGTCGGACTCACGATCATCCCGTTCCGGCTATGCAATTGTCTATTAATTACTCCGTATCTCTGATAACAATACGGTTTTAGTATGTATGCGTAATGTGGCGCACGTGATGCGCAATTTAGCCAGCCCGTCCTGGTTTATTAGTCTACGTCTCAGGTATACAAGTACGGTAGCATCGCCTAGACCGGCTTAACTCGCGCAACTTTGTTTGAATAAAGTCTATAGAACGACGCATAAGTTTCAAGGGTATCCCGACGTATAAATGCAAAGAGATATGCAAACACCCGTGAAAAGAGACTAGTGTCCTGAGGGTGTGGAGCATGGACCTAGATCCGTCCTGGCTCACGATGGTATGAGTGGAGAGATAACAAGGGCAATCCAAGCAGTTTTGCCATCGGCGTCTTTGAGTGGAGTCCAGTGGCTCATCAGCTTCTGGGTCTTGCTTGAATCGTGTCCTCTGCGTTCAAATGCAATGTTGCTGACGGATCGCTCGCTGCTGTGTTTCTTGGATCGACTGAACGAGAACAGCCTGGCCCGACGCGAGGTGCTATCTGTCAGACTGTCCTCTCCATCAACAGGACTGCCGGTGGGCGACGCAAGGCCAGCGCCGAGGCCAGCAGAGACCGCGCCCGGCGCCGGTGCTCCACCCGCCGGTATGGACAGCTCCAGGCTGGCCGGCTCGGCAGCCGCAATCCGTTGCTGCACAGCCGCACGGAAGAGTGGTGTAACAGAATTTGAACCAGCAAGTTCCAAGAGCACGTCAAAGACGTCATGGTACAGCACCGCATCTTGGCCTGCGTCTCCCAGTCCGAGCAGCTCCAGCATAGAGTGCGAGCAGAATGCGATCTTGAATCGCGAGCTATCTGTTGGAATTGCGGGCGGTGGCACTGTCGACGACTGTGCCGAGCTGTTGTGACGGCCGCTTTGCTTCGGAATGGACGGTGGAGCCGCCTTGTCATGCGCTCTGCTCGATTTAGGCATGAATTGTAGAAGCATGAACCGAGAGTACATGGGAAGGCTGCTGTCAGCACATTCGCCGGTGGGCGAGGGCGTTCTGGCTTTTGACAGTCCCAAGACTGGTTCAGGCGACTTGGGCTTGTTTTTTATCTCGTCCGTCGTAGGAGACCGGTCCTCGGGAGACGCGATATTTGCTGGAGAGCGCCGCATTCGAGAGAAAGGGTTGAACAACGATTTGGTCGAAGAGGAAGTCGCAGATTTTGGCGACTTTTGTGGACTGTTGCTTTGGTTGCTGTTGCTGGGATTCTCCAGTATAAGAGATGAAGGCCGCTCCTTCTTACGGCGTAAGCTGTTGCCTGCCTTCTCAGAGCCATCGACGCCTTTCTTCGGCAAAAGGCAGGCCGGGCCGTCGCACTTCAGGGCATCCAAAATCCCGTCTTTTGATTTGATCACATCCGAGACATCAACCAGCCCAACGAGGGAAAAGCGTATATGGCCTCGGGACGAGAGCAACGGGCACATCGACACATGGCTCCAATAAGGCTGCTTGTCCCACCAGCGGCGATTTAAAACAATGTCCTGCGTGAATTCGTCTCCCTTGGCCTGTTGCGCCCTCATCTTGGGGCTGCTGAGACAGCGGCCGCTGCGAGGGATGTCTTCAGCCTTGGGATAGCCGATGATGTGAGCAAAGCTGTCCGAGGCGTACACCACCGGATTGTCAGGGCGGTAGGGGTCGGTCAGACAGAACGCGTGACCGAGTCCAGTGAAGCGGAAGGGGGCCTGTGCCGCGCGAGCAGAGGGGGCGCCCAGCGATGCCTTCATGCGGAGGTCCAGTTGGTGCTTGATAAAAGCCGGGTAGATGTCGCGAATGATGCGCTCCTCGATGTGGGCAGCGGCAGCTCCAAACAGCATCTCGAGGCCGGGCAAGATGGATCGCGAAAGGTGCATGACGTCGGCAGTGAGAGGCTTTGCAAGGGTCTGGGGAAGGCCGAGAGAGCAGGTAGCGGCAAGGCCGGTGAACCTGGTGGAGATGTCGGCTAGCAGGGCCACGACTCCGTGCACAGCCTTGTTGTATTCCTCCACCTGGAGCAGGGTTAGAAACTGGAGGCTGCAACGGCAGGGAACAAGCACAAGACATGCACTCACCTTTTCTAGAAAGTCCAGGTTCTCCTCGTTGTTCTGGCTGCGAGCAAAGTCCCACAGCCGACGGCGGGCCTCTGGGTCCTGGAGGACGGCAAAGACCATTTCGCGGCTGAAGAGACCAGGTCCGTCAGGGGCTCCAGGGGGGATCCGGTCCCTTTTGCTGCGGCTGCTGCCGTTCAAGATGCCCTCTCCGATGCTCTGCAGGAGGGCGTCGTCCTGTGCCTCGCCCGTGGGCGGCAGCCGGGTAGAACCGTCCTGGTTGTAGTCAATGTAGCGCCGCAAGGCGGCACTATTTGTGTGCAAGGCGAGTCCCGAGTTGCTCCGTAGACGGTGGACGCTGATGGACACGCTGTTGTCCCGACTCAGTTCCCGGCGGCTGTGACCCGTTCGCTCAGCCGAGCGACTCTTGGACATGGAGGGAGCAGCAGGCTGGCTGAGAAGCGTGGCAGAACGGCGCCTGGAGGTACGAACCGACGCCGAGGGAGACGGAAGCTGGGTGCCTGCGGACTTCAACGATTCCAAGGACTCCGAGGATAGCAGCGGCAGCGGTAGCGACGAGGGCAGGCTTTGGTGACGCTGTTTTCTAAGAGCCTTGCTCATCTTGGCCGGTTCCGGAGCGCGAGAAGAGTTGAACGAGATGGCCGTCAGAGGTAGAGCAGAAGGCCAGGCCGTGCCGTAGGATGCCAGCCGTGTGGTTGGCGATGCGACCGCAGTCGCAGGCCGTGGCACTGTGGTCGTCGTGGTCGTCTTCGTCTTCGTCATTGCCATTGTGGTGACCATGGTGTCGACTGGCGATGCGTGAGGGGGAGCAGAAGTGGCGCTATACCATGGCAGAAGAGGCGGAGAAGAGAAGCCAGAACAGGAGAGAGGAGGATGATTCGGCCGAGAGAAGTATATCGAGGCAACGAGTCGCTGGAAGCATGACGGTTGGCTGTCACGAGCTCACGGCGACCGCGGACACGTTGGAAGAATCAGGGGGGGGGAGAAGCAACGGCGATGTAAGAAGTTGGGAGGCTGAAGTAATGAATGGAGAACCGAAAGGACGTGCGCCCATGTATCTTAATAAGAACAGGATAGGCTGTAATAGCATCACCCACTTGCAGCCACGCTCCGTAATTGGATTAGAGACCGGGGAGGAAGGGGCGTAGGGTGGGGGTGTGTGGGCGGTCGCGGCTGCTTGCTATCCCCGACTGGCATCGTTCTGGCGTGGGCAAGGAAGGGACTAGAGCCCAGAGACATGCACGCGCATCGCACCTGCCGAGAGGATTGCCCGCCGTCGCCGCCTCTGCAACAGGTTTTTGGCGCAGAAGGCGCGGCGGAGAGGAAGGAACCCCGCCAACAGACCCGAGAGGCAGTTGCAGACAAGGCGCCAATGCACATAATCAGTGAGCTGCCGGCCCAAACACAACTACTGCTGCTCTCCAGCTCTCGCCGTCCCACCTGACCCACCTGGATGATCGATGGAAGGGGTAATAAGTCGAGGCGATCGGATACCCACAATACCTGGCGATTTGCAGGTACAGGCCTATTACTGCGAAGCCTGTCTATAGAAGGGGCGCCTTCATCTCCTAGTGCATGGGACCGGGAAAAGGGGGCAGGGACTAGACGGGCACGGAGGACGGAGGCTATCTGGATGGACAGGCCTCCCAGGATCGGCCAACAGACACGAGGACTGTGTCCCGGGCATTCCGGGGCGTTGGAGCAGCAGCGGAAGCGTGCCCGAGAGCCGATATACGGGCTACGAGTATTAGCAGAAGGGGAGGGGGCGGCCAATAATGTGTGTCAATACAGTGAGTACGAGGTACGGAGTAGGGTGTACTCCATACTGTGATTACCAGTCTGCTTCTTGCGTGGCTCGCCCGAGCAGAGGCGTCGTGTTCGGTTGAGCGAGAGCAATGATACGAGTACCCATACTCGTACACGTAGTGCTCTGCCACTCGGTGCAGAACGTAATACTGTGGGTCTCGGGCTAGCGAGGCGCCCTTTTTTTCCTTCTTTTCTTCGGCCTGTCTTTCCTTTTTCCCCTTTTCCCTTCTAGCCAGGCCTGGTGGAAGCGAATGCACGGTCGCGAGCGGAGAGCGGGCTCCAGGCGCCGCAGCGTGGCTGCAGGGCCCTCTGGCATGTCAGCGGCGGTCCTGCGAACGGGCCGCCTGGCCAGACTGCCCCTATGCTCGGTCGGGTGTAGCGCTGCAGATGGTGTGGACAATAGCGCTGCATGGCGGACCAGGGCGGCTGAACAGCGCAAAAGGCCGCCGAGGCAGGACGGTCACAGCTGCTAAAGATTCGCTGCAGGTATCTGATCTGACTACAGTACGACGTCTGTATTATCTTACATTACCAAGACTGTTGGGTCTTTCCTTTTGGGGGCAGAAAGGAGGGGCTAAGGCTAGCTGCTACCATGTTTGTCCTTAGTGCTCTCAGCCGGTCCAGGCCCCCCTTTCCTCCCCTATTGTTGGCGGTCGGACTCGGGCGACTCTGCCAAGGGCCAACGGGCTGGAAGAGGCCTGGGCTGGACTTAAGCGAGCGCTATGCACACTATGCGCACCTGCATAGGTCGTGCGAATGTACGGCGTACTCTGTGCTACTACTATGAAAATGTTGGGGAATCTGGGATCCACGTGAACCGACAGCCTACCATCAGCGACCGGTCACTTTTTGTTTATTTCCACAACACGCGTCTAGCACCCGAGGTCTTTTTGCTTCCACAACCTGCTTTCTCTTCGTGAGGACAACCAGTCATATGGCCGCTCGCCAACTCGCCAACCATGGCGCGATCATGTCCGATTCAGATCTCTCTCCCCCCCCCTGTCCATCATCAGCCCGGGACTTGGCAGGTCGGCGGCAGCACGTCCCAGGTTGCACCCTCGGTGATACCGAGCGTAGAGGGCCGCTTGTCGACCGTGGGGTGAAGAAGGATTGGCCTTATTGGGCACACGTACATGCGTATATGTGCGGGAATATAGAGCGAGAATGCAAGAGGTAAGGCTAGAACTGCTGCGACTGCACTCGGCAGAATGTTGGACACATGCAAAACTCATATACATCCCTACATCCGCCTTCTTTCGGCAAGATGACGAATGGACTGCGCCATCTGGCAATCCTGAAACAAACAATATCATACTATGTAGACGGTTCAGCCGACATGCCACCCACAATCTAGCCTCGGTGTTGGCGATACAAAAGTGCCACCAGCCTATCGGTCCAGCTTCTCGCGCACGCGTCTCACACGCTCCTCGTCCAAGGCGCTGCGCCAGCCACAGCCGTCCGCAAACTCGCAGTAGCCGCACTTGAGCGACGCCTCTTCGATATCGACGCCCGTCGCCGGCCGCAGCCCACGCCACCACTGCAGGTACCAGTCCAGGTATCGGTCCAAGACGGCATCGTCGACCGGAATGACGTTGGTGCCGATGCAGCGACCCGAAGACTCGTCGTTATTGCTGCCGCCATCGCTGCCGCTGTCGTTATCGCTCTTCTCATCCTCTGACGGGCCGTCCTGTCGAGCCGTCTGTTGACGAGGTCGCCTGCGCCGCCGGAGCGGCCGGAGCCGATACTCCGCGACGACGAACCGTCCCAGTGAGTCGGCGCCGTGCGGAAACGTCAGCGCCAGCTCGTCCTGCAGCAGCCGTGCGAGCGAGCGCAGCGTCCCATAACGCATCGGACTCGGTTCGGCCGCTGCTGCTACTACGGTGGCGGCGTCGTTGGACCGGGTAGGCGTCGTAGGCGCCGAATCTGCGTCGCTGAATATCTCGTCGTGCAGCTCGCCCATCTGGGCGAGGAAGGCGTCGGAAAAGGCCGCGTCCGGGTCGAGCGAGTAACGCTGGAAGACATACGCATAGTCCAGCCGGCCAGCGGCCATGGCGGCCAGGAAGCGGTGGTACAGGAACAGCTGGATCTTGGTCGGCCGCACGGCCGCGCCGGACGGCAATGTGCTGGAGCCGCGCGTCTTGATGTCGGTGATGTAGGCCTTGCGGACTGGCTCCAGTGGCGGTGGTGGTTCCCGAGGCCTGCCGGACGACTGAGACGGCCTTGGCGGCGAGGAGAAGTAGTCGGTGATCCTGTTGGCTTCGTCTTCGTCTTTGCATTTCACTTTCTCTTTCTCTTTCCGGCCTCCTGCTTTTCGGGTTTTTGTTTTTTTGCCACCCCGGCCCATCATCGCCGTCGCCTCCACTACTTCGGCCTCCAGGCTTGGGTCTGGACAGCAGAAGCTGATGGCATCGATGATGCCGCTGACGATCTGGCCGTCTACAACGCCCCAGACGTCGAGCTCGCGCGTCAGGCCGGTCTCGCGCAGCGTGCGCACGCCCTGGATCATGTTCCAAAGCTTCAGGCCCTGCACATCCTCGCGCGAGACGACATCGACGCGCACGGTGGTATGCACCTCCTCCTCCAACCGGGCATGCACCTTGGTGCCGGCCCGCATGGCCGCCGTGCGCGTGCGCCGGCCCCCCGGCAGCCGCGTCAGCGTGTACTCGTACTGCAGCTCGCACCAGGCGCCGGCCGTCAGGTCGCTGACCGAGAGCGGCTTGCGCGGCGCCGTACGGAAGCGGGCCAGGGGGGAGGACTGGTCAGCATCTGCTTCTGCGTCAGTGCCTCTGCTAAGTGGACTGGGGCCCAGATCGGTGAGAGCGTGAGTCACTGCAATGGAGCCGCTCCTCGTTAGCCAGACATGCCTCCTCCCATGGAGAGACCCGCAGGCAGCCAACATGTCTTACAGTCCGGGTAGACGATGTTGCTGCTGCCCTGCTCGGAATCGACCAGGACAGACGGCTCGACGGCGCTGGCCTCGAGCCTGGCCGGGCTGGCCGCACAGCGTGACGGAGAGCCATGTCCGTGTGGGCTGTGGGCCGTCGAGGCGGGCGCAGCAGTCTGGAGAGAAAGCAGCTGGTTGACATGTTCCTCGAGCGAGAGATCCCAGCCGTAGTCGTAGTCGCTGTTGTCGCCACTGTCCTTCTCGTGGTCATTGCAGCTATCAGCGACAATCATCACGATAGAAGAGGATTCTCATTCTGAGGGTATGCGTGCTCCTGGTAGACGGTGCAGGTGCTGCAGGCAGACTGTTGCTGCCAGGCTGCGTTCAAAGGAAGATGTTTGGCGATTGGCAATATTGCAGCCTGGAGAATTCCGCGCTAAGAAAGATTACGTCGTATGGAGTGCTCCGTACTCCGTATTATTACATACCCAGTTAGCGGCTAGTTGGTCCCGGCGCTGTGGACAGAGCTCGAGCCCTTCTCTTCGACTGTTGGCACTCTGTTCTCCTACGAGGTGCAGCTGCAACATGCACCGGCTGGCGGAATGAGATCTTATTGCCTCGTATTCCCTATAGCGTTCTGCGAGCCCCTATTACCGCTGCATGTCCTAGTTTCATGTTTGTCCTGGCCAGCCTCCGGAGCAGTGGGTCGAGCAGCACTGCTAGTGTGTGGCTCTGCAGCTCCACCCCCTGTAAGTCAGCCCTGTAGTCGCTACGAATTAGCTGCTCTGTCTGCAAGGCAGCAGCAGCAAAATCCCGGACTGGAAGACGGAGCGCTGTTTTGCACAGCCCTCGTGTCTTGTGTGCCTGGCTATCACATCACTTGGTTCCTGGGTCAGCCCTCATTCCCTTCCTTTCTCTGTTTCATTCTCCACGGACATGAAGCCAGCCGATGGCCGGTCCTACGAGTTCGTTCTCCCGGATGCGTCCTTTCCGTCGGCCCTTAGCCCAGGCAGCTGCCAGCTGGCCGAACATAATATCCCAGCCGTTGTCTTTCATACCACTTTAGTAGGACTGTCTCTGCTGCGCCGGCTCCATATTTTGCTTTTTCTCCTAGTGACCCTGTGATCCCGGGCTCTTTGACAGGGTCTCGGTCACCTGATACTTTCTACGCCTGTCCCATCGTGATCTCGATAGGTTTTCACGTCTGATGCCACCTGCTTCCCTGTATACGGGTACTGTTCTCCTCGTCATCCATCCTGACCTGGACTCTTCGTGTTGGACAATCAAGGCGTCGCATTGAGTCCCCGATCCACCAATGGTTAGCAAGATCCCGGACGGGCTCGCAGATGCCCACGCTATGCAGGATCAACCCCACAAGAACACCTCTCCTGAGAGCACGCATGCCAACAGGCTGACCATCATGAATCTTCCGCCCGAGATCCACATACAGATCACACGGCAACTCATCTATCCCGACGCTCTGTCCCTCAAGCACACCTGCCGCTACTTTTACACCTTTGTCGACACCGGGATCAAGCTCAAGGTCGACTGGTTTCTGTCCCGTCGGCGTCTCCATCTTGACTGCCCCAACGAGACCCGCTGCGACCTCGGCAGTGATCTTCGTTTCTGCCGTGGAAGCGTTCCGTAAGTCTGCCCTTCATGTCCCATGCCGGTGCCGGATGACCACTTACAGTCTTCGCCAGCCTTCTTATGAAACGTCGCCGCGAGCATATCGAATGCGAGAGCCGTCCTGGCTTGGGTTGCCTTATCTATGGCACCGCAACTTGCACACACCGGCGTCGTCCTGGATTCTTCCAGCGCTGGTTCCGGAAGCGCCTGACCGTGGAGATGTGGTGGGTACTGTTGGCACTCGTACCACTGCTGTTGTCGTCGCTGTGGTTTGTTGAACTCCTCAAGTCCATCTTCTCCTGAGGTTCATGGACCTCGTCTTGGGACGATGGGGTGACTGTTGCGCGTATATCACGATTCCAAAACGTAATCAGCTGTGCCGAATAGTGTAGGGTACGATCACCAATTAGTTGTATGATATAGAACAAAAAGTGTAAGTCGCTCGCATGTAGAAAGTGCAAAAATGCAAAACGTACAGCAGCGGGTATTCGCTGGTCGTCACCGACCCAACTACTAATCCGCCGATTACTGGTTTAACTAGGGGAGAGCGGACGGGATCCCGTGCTTTCCAGTATCTATGGCCGTACGTGCTAGATTTAGGTACAGCAATGTCTTGTATAAACTGGTGTGGATCACTTTCACGTGACCGTGCGGCCCTGAGAATGACGGCATTTCTGCGTTTGTCCACCTTTCAGCCCCTCTCTGCAGCTCTCGTTAACCAGCTCTAGACTGCAAGCGTGTCGTCTGTTCTTGTGCAAATGCTACTCGGAACACGCTTGCTTGGCTCAATTCGAAGATACCGACAGAAGACACCATCTCGGCTCTCTCTCAGCACATCTGCGCCGTCCCTCTCGGTCTTCTCGGCCTTCTCGGTCTTCTCGATCTTTCCAGTGTCTTCTGAGCCCAGCAGCAGCCGCCGCACCTTTTCGGCCACCATGTCGTCGTTTGCGCCCAGCCCGAAGACACAGGAGCCGGTGATCACGCGGGTGACGGACCTGAGCACGGCCGACGCCCGCTGGATCGCGCTGAAGCGCATCGAGTACGTCGACCAGGTCGGCAAGGCGCGCACGTGGGAGGTGGCGACGCGCAAGACGCGCGGCAGCGCCGGTGTTGATGCGGTGGCCATGGGCAACGTGCTGCGCCACCCATCGCGGCCGCCGGCGACGCTAGTCGTGATCCAGTACCGGCCGCCGCTGGACGCCTACACGGTCGAATGGCCGGCCGGACTCGTGGACGCGACCGAGACGGCCGAGCAGGCGGCCGTCCGCGAATTCAAGGAGGAGACCGGCTACGACTGCCGCGTCGTCAGCGTCAGCCCGCCACAGGCTGCCGACCCTGGCATGACCAACGCCAACATGCAGCTAGTCATGGTCGACGTCGACCTGCCGGCCGACCACGACGGCCGCGCCCCCGACCAGCGGCTCGAGGACGGCGAGCACATTGAGCGCGTCACCATCCCGCTGGCCGACTTCTACGATCGATTGGTCGAGTATGCCGCCCGCGACCGCTTCGTCGTCGCCGCCAAGCTCTTCCACTTTGCCGCCGGCATGCGCTTCGCGCAGACGACAAAGCTGACATGAGGGAGAAGAGCAGAAGGACACGCACGGCTGTATTCTTACAATGTTGGGTTTCATGAGATGCTGTAGAGCATCCGCACTCGTTCTTAGTCAGGTGTGAGATAATGTTTGATTTCGGCAGCCACGCTCTCAGTTCCACAGAAAAGAGACCAATACACAACACATGCGTTTCCGGGTATCTGTCCCCTGCATCTTTTTCGCCTCTCCCCTACAGCTGCCATAGCGTACGTTGCTTCTCCATGCGGCCGCGCCACTCGAAAGCTTGTCCCGACATCCGCTGCAGGCCCTTGTCCACGCGCCGTAGCTTCAGCGTCATGCGCGGACCGATTTCCTGCAGCGCCACTTTGACGTCCTCGACACCGGCCATGGTCTTGCCGTTCTTGTCGGCCACGCTGCGTTCCGTCGCCCGCTTGTCGCGCACGGCATAGCGGTGCCGCCGCACAAAGACGTAGTCGCGCTGGTTGTGCAGCGTGACCACCTGGCGGCCGACCAGGTCCGGGTTCGGCGGAAAGAGCCGCCCGAGCACGCCGCCGACGAGCTTTCCGAGCGACGTGTCAAAGTTATTCATGATCATCTCAGGCGAGTGGCCGGTCGAGCGGCCGTGGTTGGGCAGAAACTTGGCGTCGACCCAGGTCTGGATGGAAAAGTGCAGCATGGGGCCGTGGGGCAGCAGGGCGATGTCGAGACCCGAAGCCTTCTTCAAGTCCTCGTTGACGATCATCAGAGCCGTGTAGCCGCGGTTGGTGGCGTAGCCGGCGATCTCGCGGATGCTGTACTCATGGTGCACAAATCGGTGACCCGACCGCGGGATGTACGTGCTGTTGGGAAACAGGTCGACGAGCGTGTGTGCGTACTTGTGAATCGTTGCATGGCGGGACGTCGTGATCAGGATCCGTGGCTCTGCTGGCGCCGGCTCCTTCAGCAGCTCTGCATACTTTGCGGCCATGGCATCCTGGCGTGCTGCCTTTTCCTCTGCCGTCGGAGGGGCAGCCTTTTCCTTGGCCCCCTTTTTCGCAGCCGGGGTGGCTTCCTCTTCGTCGTCGTCATCGTCCCCAAGAAAACTGGCTAGGTCGTCGTCGCTGTCGACATCGCCTTCAACTTCGGCTTCTGGTTTGCTTTTCTCCTCCTCTTCCTTTTTGGCCTCGTCCTCTTCCATCTCCTCCACCTCCGTTTGCGCCTCCTCCTCTACCTTTCTCCGCTTTCTCCGCGCATAGTCATCTTCAGATGCCGGCCATATACGTTTGTCCTCAAGCGTCTTTGGCTTGTTCTGTGCAAGTCGCTCTGCTCGCAGCTGTGGGTTTTTATCTTCCTCCCTCCGGCGAGCCTTCCGCTCTTGAATGCGAGTCCGACCCTTCTCCTTCTTGGCGTTGAGCCAAGACTCCTGTCGTTGAATCTTGTTCTTGCTTCCCATTGTATGCGATAGCGGGATGAGGCCGCAAATGTGGTTATTTCGTTCAATGTGCAGCCCAGTACTCTGTAGGTTGGCGTTTTTCGACTCAACTTTTTTTTCTTATCGACTCATTGGCGATAGCGATAACACGGATAAATTATTTTGTGATGACTAATCACCATACTATTGCTTGTTCTGGTATTCCGATTCCCACAACCGCTGCCACTTCTCCTTGTCCACCGCAAAGTCGCGGACAAAATCGTTCTCCAGCTCGTGTGTCCGCCGTCCCAACAGAACCATGCTGTGTAAGGGCAACCCGAGCCTCTCGTCAGCATCGCACAGCTCCCGTAGCGTTCCTGCGACAAACACCTGGTCGCGACCGCCAACGCGAGCGGCGCCTATGGCGAGACTGTCTTCGCTATAAACGTCCTCTTTGCGCTTCTCCTCGACCTCCAACATCTGGCTGGCGCAGGTGCCAACGGTCATATAGCGAGGGGGTTCATATACGATCCGGCCGCGAGCAAGGCTCTCCAAGTTGGGCTCCTTGACCTTGATGTCCAGAAGGACGAGGGTGTGAAGGCCAATGTCGCGGTTTTCCTTTACCCGATCATAGAAGCTATCTGGGCGCCAATTGTCGGTGAAGAATACCATGGAAACCGTCTGTCCAAAGTTGTACAACTGAAGGCCACAGGCACCGATGCCGGACATGATGGAGGCATTCGGAACAGAGGAGACAGGGATGGACAGTTCGCGAGCGCGCAGGACAAGGTCGGTGTGTGTTGTAGCACTGTTGAAACGTCATAAGTCCATGACCCTCAAAGCTTTCAGACGCCTAGACACTCAATGCTTACCCAAAGGGGTCGCCTACAACGAGGAAAGCTACATCTTCGGTCTGCGCGTTGGCCAAGATGTCGTCGCTCTGGCTCTCGACCATTTCGCGGTCGGCAATGACAATTGAACGGCCATAGTATTTTTCCTGGAATTGAAGTGTCAGTATTTCCATTTATCTGTCTTCCCAGGTAGTACAAGCGGAGAGACAACTTACAAGTACTGCCTGGTCGACCAAGAGGATGCTAGTGTATGCCTCCAGGTACACCCGCGAAGCCTTCTTGACAATTTCGAGACCTTTGACCGTAATGTCTGTCTCGTCAGAGAGGCCTAGGCCAACAAGGTAAAGCATGTTCGCAGCCTGTCTATATGGTAGATGGCCTCGAGAGGAAAAATGCAGGAAGCTTTGGCATTGCCCCTCGGCTTATCGCGATTAAGAAAAACAGAAAATAGAGATTGGTTTACAAAGTAGTAAGTCGGATATAAGGGTATTCTTGTAAAGAGCAGTCGACAAGGAAACGGAGTGTGGAGTACCTAGCTCAGATTCATACACGCTTGTAACGGTCCAAAGCAGACACGCACCTCGCGGCCAACCGATCACAGCCTCGGAGCAACGCGCGCACGCCACGATGTCGAAGAACGGATCCGCGTACGGCACGGCGGCGGGCGACACGGAGTTCCGCAAGACGCGCAACCTGGACGAATATGCGGCCAAGGCGAAGGAGCGAGAGGCGAAGGAGCGGGAAGAGGCCAAGGCGCGATACGAGGCGAAGATGGCGGGCAAGCGGTACTACAAGCCGCTGGACGGCACGGAGACGCTGACGACGGCGCGGGCGGCGACGCTGGACCTGAGCGCGCAGGTGGGCAAGGTGCAGATCGTGGCGATGGGCACGGCGGGCGCGGTAGGCCGTCGAGGCCGCGGTGCCGGTTTCTACTGCGAGACGTGCGACTGGACGGTCAAGGACAACCTGCAGTGGGTCGAGCACATTAACTCGATGACGCACCTGCGAAATCTGGGCCAGACGGGCGAGGTGGCGCGCAGCACGGCCGACGAGGTGCGGGCGCGCATCGATGCCGCCTGGGCGCGCGTGGAAGCCCAGCGACAGCAGGCCACGGTGAATCTGTCGGAGCGGCTGGCGCTGCGGCAGCAGGAGGACGAGCGTGAGCGCGAGCAGCGGCGCGTAAAGCGACGCGACCTGGCCGACCGGAAGCGCGCCGTGCGCGAGGCCGAGGCTGCGGCGGCCGCGAAGCCCGACTACGGTGAGGACGTCCGGGTCGAGGGCGAGCACGACGAGGACGACATGATGGCCCTGATGGGTATCACTGGCTTCGGCTCGACCAAGAAGCGGTAGCCTGCGGGGAACAGCAGCAGCAGCAGCAGCCGCTGGACGTGATTGCCTTCAGCGGTCTCCGAGGTTCGTCATTTGTAACTAGACTTTGGCCTGTCGGACATGGCGGCGTCTGGTCATTATCATACGAAATGCCCTGCTTTGTAATGATTTGTTGTCTATGCATACATTACCTACTGACGATTTCGGTCAGTGTCCTGCCATTACGGAGCACTCGTACTCGATTATAGGCGTTAGCGGCGCTAAAGGACCCCGCGTCACCGCAACGTTGGGCGACTACTAATATTCGGTCCGCCACTCTTTTTTGCTCGGGAACAAGCTCTTTTCCGTCTCTCTGTCTGCCCTCTGCCACGACAACGACGTCTGTTGTGCCCCCACGAAGCCTGGACCGACACAGCCGATGGCCTTGTGACCACTGCGGCTCTCCGACTCCACGCCAACCCGTCCCAAGCGCACTTGACAGCCCCGACACGAGACTCGACGTTCAAGGCCGAACGAGGCTCTCGCTCTCCCCTTCTCTCTCACGACCCGTCCTGCAGGCCGATGCCGCCACCGAATGCTGCGACCTCTGGCGCCGCCGGGCTTCTGCGGCGCCAGCTCAAGCAAATGCAAATCGACAAGGACATCCCCGGCATCTCCTGTGGGCTCGTCGACGACAACAACATCTTCCAGTGGGAGGTCATGCTGATGATTAGCGACGATGTCAAGTACTATGGAGGTACGTTTCCTTTCTGCTCACCGCTTCATTCTGCTCTCCCGCTGACCAGGGCGTCCCTCGTGCTCACCAGGCGGCAACTTCCGCGCCCACCTCACATTCCCGTCCGAGTACCCGCTACTTCCCCCCAAGCTCACCTTCCAGTCACCGATACCATTCCACCCGAACGTCTACCCCAACGGTGACCTCTGCATCTCCATTCTCCACCCGCCCGAGGAGGACCGGTTCGGCTACGAGGAGGCCGGCGAGCGCTGGAGCCCCGTGCAGACACCCGAGACCATTCTGCTGAGCGTCATCAGCCTGATCGCCTGCCCCAACGACGAGAGCCCGGCCAACGTGGAGGCTGCACGGCTCTTCCGCGAAGAGGTCGCCGGGACCAGCCGCGAGTTTCGCCGTCGCGTGCGGCAGTGCGTCCGCGAGAGCCTGGGCGAGGAGTGATGGCCGGTCGCATGGAGGGAAGGGTTATTTTTCTTTGACGCATTCAATATTACGTTGTGCCTGTTTCCCGATTCGCCTTTGTTTACTCCTTTTGAAATCTTCTCCACTTGATTTGTATCCAGCCCACACACAGCCGGGCTACTTTGTCTTTTTCGGAACGTCTCCCTCTGCCGTCAGTTCCAGAACTGGCGCGACCACCCGCTCCCATTCCTCTGTCCACCGCAGCTTGCTCTCTTGCCGAGCGCCCATCCTCAGCTGTCCGAGCTCTGCTGAGCCACTACTACCATTTCTTGGGTCTAGGAGCCGTGCCAACAGGTCGGCAAGCCCGTCGGAGGTGGTGAAGCCCCGTCCGTTCTCGCCCTCGCGTACGAGCTCGCCAAAGCTCTCGTAGGCAGAGTAAGCCACGACCGGCAGGCCAGCCCCGAACATGTCGACCACCTTCATGGGCAGGTCGACGCCCGAGCTGGACATGTGTAGGCAGACGCCGAGGTCTGCGAGGGCCAGGAGGCGGGCGTAGTCGCTCATGGGCAGGAACGCCGTGCAAATGCTGATCTGGTCGGGCGGCAACTGGCCGGCGGCGACGAGCGCGGCGATCTTGCCCTGGTAAAAAGCCTTTTGGGGGCCCTTGCCGGTGATGATGGCAAGGATGGGGGAGCGAGCGTCGGTCGAGGTCGTGGACACGTAGCGGACGAGGGCATCAAGGAGCAGCTGGAAGTCTTCGTCCGGCGTCCAGGAGGTGCTGCTGACGAGGACCTTGGCGCTGTTATGGTCGACAAGGTCGTCGTCGCCGAGGATGCGGGCCAGCTCGCGGCCGCGATCGATCGGGGAAATCGGCAGCAGCGGCAGCGGCTGGAAGAGGGCGGCGGGGCGGTCGTGCAGGACGGCGATGGGCGAGGGAACGGCGTAGGGAGGCGCACGCAGCTGGGAGGCCATGGCACGGGTGACGGTGAGGTTGGCGTCGCCCAGACGGCCGCAGAGCTCTTCGTAGCGCCGGGCCAGACGCACAAACGGGTGTCGTTCGGCACTGCTGCCGCCACCGGCCCGCGAGCCAGCCAGGATAGTCCAGCCGTAGTTGTGCCAGTCAATGAGCAGACGGGTGTTGCGCAGTCGGCCGACGAGGGCGGCCACGGCCAGCGTGGGAATCGACGGCGGGTTCTGCACGACCAGCCAGCGCGCTGGCTGCGTGCTGTAGGCCAGCACGAGCAGCAGGTTGAGCACCTGCCAGACCACCTTGAGCGGACCGCCCAGCACAAAGGGCAGCTGGCGCAAGGCAGCCGGACTGGCCGTCAACGGCACGCGGGTGAGCCGGGGATGGCGGGCCAGCTCATCGACGAGGTCCGATTCTGGAACGGGTTAGTAGCTGAGGGGGGGGGGGGTGAGAAGAAACAGAAAGATCGAAAGAACCATGGTCGTGGTCCGAGATCACCTCCGAAATGACCGGCCCATGAGGACCTCTCTCCTACCTACCATAATAGCCAATCAGCTGGACTGGGGCGTGCTGGGCAATGCTCAGGGCATGATACTGCATGCGAGGACTGCGGCCGATATCGCCAAGCACGAGCACCTGTACCGATCGCTTCTCGCCCCGATACCGTCGCGGCCAGGCCAAGACCAGCACCAGCAGAACAGCCAGCAGAGCGGCGCCGGTGAGCGAGACGCCGAGAGCCATGCTAGCGATGTGGACGAGATATGTGCAGGTCCCGTTGTTCGCATCCAGCGATGCTGCAAACTGGCCGCGAACAGAACGGCTCCACAAATACTTGCGCGACGCTCTGTACAGTCATGCAGATGACGACCCCGTCCTCGCCGTTTTCGTTGGTTTCTGCCGCTAGCTCGCAGTTGTGCTGGATAGCCAGCAGATTGGCGACTCTCGAGTCGATTCGCGACGTAATGGATTTGGTCTTCTGGCCGTACAGACAACTCGTAATGGATTCGTATCGTGTGGCCATACATAGTCGCGGAAGGACCGTATTAGCTAGCTGGCTCCAGCACGGCCAATCACACCTGCTGCAGCGGCCAAGGACAACACAAAAAAGGAAAGCGTCGGGGACAGGCCTGGGCTCCACTCCTGGCAAAGGGGTTTTCGTCTTTTGTTTGTCTGTCTTCTTCCATCTTCCGTCTCTGCCATCTCGACCTCGAAAGCTGCTGTTCGCCTCTCTGCCGCCCTATCGCTCAGGCCAGGGAGCAGTCACATCACCGCCCGGGCGACTCAATTGGCAGTCCTGTCTTCCGGTTTCAGACGCCTGTCGTTCAACACCATCATCTCCGAACCGATCTTCTCAGCCACGGCAGAAGCAGATTAGAACCAGCAGAAGCACGGAAGAGGCAGCTTTGAGCCTTGTCGTCCGTCCGTCTTCTGCCCGCATTCCCCAACATTTGCCTCCTTTCTCCGGGGCTACGCTACCCCACGCGCCCTATCTCGGCTGCGGCCCCTCCCCAGGATGTCGTCCCCTTACGCCTTACCCAACCCCACCTCGTCCCGCGACCACTGGCCGAGCTATGGACAGCACTCGAGCTCTCAATCCAACGGACAGTCGCTCGCTTCTTCGCCTCATTCGCATGCACCATACATCCCTTCGCCTTTGAGTCGGAGCCCCGGCAACGGCGATGCGCGGCTATACCGGAAAAACAACGGCTCGGCCTATTCCCTGAACGCTGCAATCCAAGAGCACAGTCCCGATCACGATCATGACCATGACCATGACCATGACCACGATCACGACGACCATGACCACGACCATGGTCACGACCATAATCATGATCACGATCACGACCACGATCACGATCACAGACATGACCACAGTCATAGCCACAGTCATGGACGCGGTCACGGTCACGGTCATAGCCGCAACCACAATCACAGCCACAGCCCCGAAGTGCGGACAGAGGTGTCCTACACAGCCGCTGAAAGGCAGTTCGAGAAAATGTACTCGCCGCCGGCAACATCGACGACGATGTTTGGCCCGCCGAGTACCGGAGCCCAGTCCCCCGTAACGGGCTTCGTGCTGCAGCGTACGGTAGAGATGCCGATACTGCATGCCATCATGAAGGAGCAAGACTCTCGGAGAATATTCTACTTCATGTGGTACGTCTGGCAGCTATGTGGACTTGGATTTGTGGGTGCCACAGCCTCTGACCTGTCCCTCTAGTCTCAACTTTTCCTTTATGCTTGTCCAGGCATTCTACGGCTACGTCACCGACTCACTCGGCTTGTTGAGCGATAGTATACATATGTTCTTCGACTGCGTGGCCCTCGGGGTGGGCCTGTTTGCAGCGGTGGCCAGCAAGTGGCAGCCAAACGAACGATTCCCGTACGGGTTCGGCAAGATCGAAACGCTTAGCGGGTTTGCCAATGGCATATTTTTGATGTGAGTGCCAGAAGTGCAAGGTGTGCCTCATCATTGCGCGCAGGTGCTAACGCGCACCACAGCCTTATCAGCGTCGAGATCATGGTCGAGGCGTTTGAGCGAATCCTCGGCGGTCGGGAAACACAAAGGCTCATGGAGCTATTTATCGTCAGCACACTGGGCCTATTGGTGAATCTGGTCGGCATGTCCGCATTTGGACATCACCACCACCACGGCGAAGGCCACGAGTGTCCGTCGCACAGCCAAACGCACGACCACAATCACGATCACGATCACGATCACGACCATGGCCATGGACATGACCATGAGCACAATCATGGCCACAATCATGGCCATGATCACAGCCACGGCCACGACCACGGCAACGAGAACATGTACGGCATCTACCTCCATGTTCTTGCGGACACGCTCGGCAGCGGTGCGGTGATCGTATCGACGGCGCTGACGCACTTTTGGGGGTGGGCTGGCTGGGATCCGCTGGCATCGTTTCTCATCGCAGTGCTCATCATGGGCTCGGCAGTGCCTCTAGTCTCATCGTCGGCGCGGCGGCTGTTGCTGACAGTGCCGGCGGCGCTGGAGTACTCGCTGCAAGGGATATTGGCGGATGTGGCTGGCCTGCCAGGGGTGTCGAGCTACGCGGCGCCACGATTCTGGGTTGACGACCGAGCCGGATCGCAATCACGGCTGCTGGGCATGATGCACGTGGTGGCCAGCCGGGGCACCGACGTGAGCGATGTGCGCGATCGGGTGCGCAGCTTTTTGCTGGACAAGGGTATCGACGTGGTGCTGCAGGTCGAGCGGGAGGACGACGGAATGTGTTGGTGCACCTCTGGGCGCGCGCCGGGAGTGTCAGGGGTTCCGGGACACGGGGCCAAGCCGAGCCTCGCCTTTTGAATTGTCGGGTTTGCTTAAGAGGTTGGTGGAGTGTATTCCGGGACAATACGGTTATCGGGCAGGCGTTTGAGGGTTACTTAGGCAGGTTTCAAATCTATTGCGACGGGACATATAGGCAAAGAAATGTTCAGCTCCTGGAGCAAAGCCGAGTGCGGATGTGAAGCGAGAAGGCCGGAAAGAAGGATGGAAGAGACAGCGAGCTCTCCGGTCTGCCGAGGTTCGGAGGCTGTTCTGCGCTGAGGTCCAGGGAAAGAAAGCCCCGCAATAAAGGTTAGATGTGGGGTAAGCATTTGGGGTCCGCGAACCGGTCGTTTTTTTTTTGCTTTTTTTTTGCTTTTTTTAAAAATGGCCTTTGGAGATAGAGAGCTTCTGGGGACACCAGCCGAAAGGCCGAGGCACAAAGCACGGCGTGAGAGCTGGGCAGTGCGAGCTTGAAGAGGCAGGTAGTCGCACAGAGGGCACAGAGGATTTGCGCACTGTGCACTGTATGTAGTAGCTATACGGTGTATTGTGCGAGGATTCTTGGTCCAACTTCGTCGTGTCTGGCCATCGAGCCGTGTGAGCTGGATGCAGAACAAAAGGCGAGATTGTCTGACAGCAGCTGCGGTGCGAAGAGCCGCGCGCAAGTGGCAGGGCGGACAACCGGAGGGCGCCCGCTATAGGTGTTCTCGTTAGCCTGTTGTTTTGATACTTATGGACGGCAGTGCTCCATACCCCGGAATATAAGACAGCCCCTCTTGCACGTGAAAGTGCAGCTACAAAACAGGAAGGGCCGACGGGTGGAAAAAAAGAGCAGTCTGACAGAGGACAACGAAGGGACGAGATTTCAAGCGAGAGACGACAGCAGTGCGACTCTGAGCTTTGCGAGTACTCTTCTGCGGTCGTATCTTTGTTCTTCGCTCCTCTTGGTCCCTCTTCTTCTCTCCTCTCTCTCTCCCTCTCCCTTCCCCTTCCTCCCTCCGTCCTCTTCACTGTCCATCGACACAATGGCACAGAAACCAGACGAAGCGCCATCGGCTGCCTTTGAACCGGTGCCAGAGCCGGTGCCGGCACCGGCTCTGGCGCCGCCGTCGGCGCTCTCGGCACAGCTGCGCTCGTTAGCGGCCGGCGGCTTTGGTGGCATCTGTGCGGTGATTGTGGGCCACCCGTTCGACCTGGTCAAGGTGCGGCTGCAGACGGCCGAGAAGGGCGTGTACTCGTCGGCGGTGGACGTGGTACGCAAGAGCATCGCGCGCGACGGGTTGCGGCGAGGGCTGTATGCGGGCGTGAGCGCGCCGTTGCTGGGGGTGACGCCAATGTGTGGGTGTTTTTCTCTCTTTTCTCTTTTCTCTTTTCTCTTTTCTCTTTTCTCTTTTCTCTTTTCTCTTTTCTCTTTTCTTTTTCTTTTTGTCTTTCCGTCTTTTTGTCTCCCTTCCCTAACATCTACAGTTGCCGTCTCGTTCTGGGGCTACGACGTCGGCAAGACGCTCGTCCGGTCGATCTCGGCCGCCAACCCGGACGGCTCGCTCACGATCGGGCAGATCTCGGCGGCCGGCTTCTTCTCAGCGATCCCGATGACGGTCATCACGGCACCGTTTGAGCGCGTCAAGGTGATCCTGCAGGTGCAGGGCCAGCAGCAGCTGGCGCCGGGCGAGAAGCCCCGGTACAGCGGCTCGCTCGACGTGGTGCGCCACCTCTACCGCGACGGTGGGATTCGGTCGGTGTTCCGCGGCAGCGCAGCGACGCTCGCGCGCGATGGCCCCGGCTCGGCAGCCTACTTTGCGGCGTACGAGTACATCAAGCACGCGCTGACGCCCAAGGATCCGGCCACGGGTCAGCCGGCCAAGGACGGCAAGCTCAGCCTGACAGCCATCACAGTCGCCGGTGGCGGCGCCGGCATCGCCATGTGGATCCCTGTCTTCCCCGTCGATACGGTCAAGAGCCGGCTGCAGACCAGCACTGAGCCCGGCATCACCGTCGGCTCCGTCGTCCGCGACCTCGGTACGGCAAGGGCGGCATGCGCGCCTTTTTCCCCGGCATCGGTCCGGCACTGGCCCGTGCTGTGCCGGCCAACGCGGCCACCTTCTTGGGCGTCGAGCTGGCCCATCAAGCCATGAACAAGATGTTTGGATAGGGGCTGTGACGATGAGAGCGTGGCCTGGCCAGAGTATGGCTGGCAAAAGGGGCCACCAGACAGCAGTTTTACATGCACAGATAAGCGACTTGACAATTGTATATAAGCAGGTTAGACATAGAGGTGGTGTGGTGCCTCAAGGGCGATTCTAGACGTCCGGTCCGTGGTCCATTGGCCAGTGCTTCTCAGTCGTGTTAGTCGTGAAACTTGCCGCCACAGCGCCCACAAATGTCGCCAGCAACGGCCAATCGCAAGGCCTCGACAGCCCCAGCTGTGACGCCGAGACGGTCGACCATGTCGGCGACGGCATCGGCGCGCAGGGTGCGACAGGCACAGACGCCACAGACGCGCGAGGCGCCGGGACGCTGGATGGCAAGGCCGGTGGCGCCACAGCGATCAAAGATATGGCCGCGAGCGCAGGTAGCGACCTGGTCTGTATCGATGGCGGCGTGGCCGGAGCTGGGGACATCAGCGTCGATGGGCGCGCCGCAGATGGTGCACGTCTGCGCGAGAGCGCCGCCACCGGCGGGCAGGAGAGTATGTGGTCGCGTCCGGACAGCTGGCAAGACCGGGGGTCCGCGGCCATACATGTTGGACCACATGTGGGCTTCGGTCGAGATGGGGGGCCGGAGATAGTTGGTCACGTGATCGGCCAGTTCACCCGGAGCCGAGTCAGCGGCTGCATCCTCGGGCCAGCCAAACAGCACGCGGCTGCGATCGCGATACCAACCGCCACGGTCGACTTGCTGGGCGGCATGGTCGGTGACCAGTACGGCCGTGACGCCACGAGCGCGTGCAGCCGCGCCGGCGACACCACCAGGAGCCAGGGCCAGGCCCCAGAGACGAGCGCGATGTAGATACAGCTCGGGGCCGCTGGCAGGAGCCAGCCGGAGAGGATGGAGGGAGGGGTCGAGCATGCTGTGGTCGAGGCTGTCGCTGGCTAGCTCGTCGTCATCGTCGTCACCGCCGTCGTCACCGACACCGGGCGTGGCGCTCACTTTGATCTTGCGGGCGACGTCGAGCGTCCACTGGGGCCAAGCGGCAGGCGGATCGGAGGGGACAGAAGGTGGACCACCACCGGTCTCGTACCAGTCGTCGTTGGTGGCCGTGGCCGACAGGCGGACGAGCGTGTAGGCGGGCGGGCCGACATGAGCAGCAGGGGGGTGGATAATGAGATCTGGGGTGAACAAAGAAAGAATGAACAGATTAGAAAGAAAGAAAGATAAAAAATAAACAAAAAAAAAAAGAAAAGAAAAAGAAAAGAAAGACACTCACCTTGGATTGGATTCGTCCGGGCCTCGTCCTCCGACGGATAGGCCGTGCCACAGGCCAGCAGATCGTGTGCAGGCGGAGGTCCGCGAGCCGCCGCAGCCGAGGCGGCCAGCAAGACGACCTCAAAGGGCCGAGCGACGAGCGGCGTGGCCACGACGCCACGACAGACCCGGCTGCCACCGCTGCTGTCGTCGACCGTCCAGATGCCGTCCTCCCACTCGAGAAAGGCGTCGGTGCCGAGGAAGAGGCAGAGCCCGTCGACGTCGTCGGCATCGATCCGGACGATCACTGCGTCTGCTGCATTGCTCGTCGTCGTCGTCGTCGTCGTCGTCGTCGTCGTCGTGACGGTCAGCCGACGAAAGCCGACATAATTGCAAGCCAGATAGCCGACCAGACAGACCTGTGTTGTCGTCGTGGCATCGCCATCCCGCCACGCCTCAGCTACGACCAGCCAAGGACTGCATCGCAGCCCAAAGGCCGTGCCGCCCGGCACAAAGTGCGCGTCCAGCGGCGTCGTCTCACGCATGCCGGCATGCGGTCCTGCCGCCACAAACCGGGCTTCTTCTGCGACCTGCCAAGGCGTCGGGCCTGCCACTCGACCAACCCGCAGCACCACCACCTCGTCCTGGTCTGTCCGGTACAGCAGCAGGGCTCCTCCGCCGACCAGCGCGCCGCTCCATGCGACCGACACCACACACTCGCCCATCTCTGTCTGTGGCGGCACCACCAGCCGCTCGCCCACGGCCCAGAGCACCTCCCAGTGCGATGTGTCGTAGTGTCGCGTCGGCCGTCGGCTGCCTTTCTCGTCGTCATCGCCCGCACCCTCGCCCTCGCCGTATACCGCCACCACGCCGGCCGACGTCAGCACCGCCAGCACCGCCCGCCGGTTGCGCCCAACACCGGCTGGCGACCAGGCCAACGCCACCACCGAGTTCATCGTCCCGGCTACAGCCGTCAACGGACCGGCTCCGGCACCGCCTGGCCGGCGGTAGTGGCTGCTGCTGCTCTTCCGCATCGACCGTGCGCTCGTCGTCGTCGTCGTCGCCTTTCCTCGCGTCTTGGTCCGCTCTGCTTCTTGCTCTTCCCGCTCTCCTGGCTCTCCCGTCTCGACTGTCTCATCGTCGCCTCCCTCGTCGTCCCTCCCAAACGGAAACGGCAGGCCGGCTGCCGCGTACAGTCGCTGGTTCACGCGCACGTCCAGCGGCGGATGCGATACCGGAATGTGCAGACTGCCGGCCGCAAACTGGCTGCGTGTCTCCGTCTCGGTCGAGATCAGTGCATCGTATCCGTTACCACCTTCGCCCATGGCCGTATCGCCGTCCGCCTTCCTGTCCTCGTCCCCGTCGTTCACCACGCCCTCCTCCTCCTCCTCCTCTTCTCCCTCCACGCTCTCTTCGTCCTCATCCCCAAATTGCGGCACAAACACGTACACCGAGTCGTCGGCAGCCACGGCCAACTCGGCGTCAGGTGACCAGGCCAGCGCCCGTTTCGCAAACGGTGCCGATCGAAGCGTCAGCGGCCGCAGTGGCGTCGCCTTGTGCCGCTTCTGTCGCGCATCAGCAACCGCGCCTCCGCTCTTCTTCTGTTCTGTTCTCTTCTGCTCTTCCTCTTACCCTTGTTTTTCTCGGTCCAGTCATTGCATCCGTCATGATGTCAAACGCTCCTTACGAATAGCGCGACGCGTGCTTGCCTAAATTGAACAAATCCAATTCCATGGTGGGGTCCATAACTCGAAGCTCAGCTCGGCTCGGCTCAGCTCAGCTCAGCTCTCTGCCCTCTGCTCGGTCACTAATACGTTTAAAAGGCAGATCAATTCCAGATCATATCGGCTTACTTTACCAAACCAACGCCAGGCCGTCATTAATGATACAAGATATACACATCCGAAGCCTCACGCCTCCAGGTACGAGCTGACACCCCAAAGCAACGCGCATCCAGCCAGCGTCGTCGCCCCCAGCACCTTTTTTGACCACCAGTGCTCGTCGGTGAGCGGCTTGGCCAACTGCACTGCCGACGGCGTCTTGCCCGTGCCTGTCGGCCGCGATGCGTTTCCTGCTGCCCGGGCATCTGCATCTGCACCTGCACTGCTGGCCTCGGCCTCGGCTGCCCGCTTCTGCAGCGCTGCGATCGTCCGGCTGATCGCCAGCAGATCCTCCTCGAGCGTGCTGTTTGTGGTCCCAGCAGCAGCAGCAGCAGCAGCATCCTCCCCGTCCACCTCGACGTTCTGCACGTTGCCGAAAAAGTCCGTCACCAGACGGCTGCGGGCCGCCTCGGCGCCGCCGTGGAAGAGGTCGTAGCGCACGCCGGCATGTGAGTGGATCTTCTCGTAGTCGTACGAGTCGAACAGGTCGCCGACCGTTTTCTTGCTGCCGAGATCGGCCACCTGCGTCTCGAGAAACTCGAGGTTGTAGTACGTGTACCGGTCAATCACTGCCACGCCCACGTCGCTGTCGGCGTGGTGTGAGTACGACGACTGGTCCAGCTCCGACGATCCGGTCGCGATGATGTTGGGCGAGTATAGCCGGCTGTACATCGTGTTGGCCTGGCACGTGTCGATCATGAAGAGGATCTCGTGGTACCGCCGCTTCTCCCACATCTGCTCAAACGCGTCCGCCAGGTCGATCGCCCCGATCTCCTCCGCGTCTTGGAACTTGAGAAACTCGTTGCCGCCGTGACCCGTCATGTACACCAGGATGTTGCTGCCGTCGTCCGTGAGCAGCCGTTTGCTGCGCGGCATCTCCTCCCCCACCCGGTCCGTCAGCAGCCGGATAAAGTTCTGCACCGTCACCTCGTACCCCCGGTAGTCCACCTCGATGTTGTCGCCGTACAGGTCCACTGCCCGGTCCGCATTCGAGTACACCGTCCCGGGAAACGCGTTGCGCGGATTGCACGCCATGTCGTCCGGCAGCATCAGGATGATCTGCGAGTCCGGGATGCCAAGCCGCTTCACCGTCCGGTAGATCGACAGCACATTGGCCAGGTGCCGGTAGTTAAACCAGAACCGCGACGTGCACACCAGCACTGCCCAGTTGCTCGTGTGCTCGCCCGCCACCGGACTCGCCAGCAGAGCCACCACCACCACCGCCGAGAGCAAAGCCGGGACCACCGTCGTCCACCGTGTCCTCATTGCGTCGTCGTCTTGGCTTGTTTGTGTCTTTTCTCTTGTGTTGTGCGGTGACGTCCTTTCCCTTCTTGGATTTATCAGCAAAGCGACAAAACAACAAATAGCTCCGTACGCAATACATACGGACTACGGACACGGATCTCCTTACTCCTAAGCGCATACTGTTTAACTGCATGACCGCCTCTCGCAATGTCCGCCCGCATGCAACACAGATCCGCCCCGCTAGCAAGCTTTGCATTAGTCGCACGCCCTCCCCCCACACCAGCACCTCTCAGCATCGGAACACCGATGCCCGAGTGCAGCTAACAGCTCTCTCTCCAGGGGTTCGAAGAAACTAATCGCCCCGACATATGGGAAACTCCTCGCGCTAGCAGCTTTCCCACCGTCACTCGTTGCTGCCAGACTTGGCCCATCGCATGTGACAAATCGGAGGGGAAATTTCGGTTCCATGGACTGACTGCTCATTCTGTCCTCTCTTCGCCAACACTCCCGTCTCGCTGCTCTGTGCCTTGCAGCTCCTTCGCCATCCACATATTTGCCTTTTAGCCAATAGCACAGTCCCGTCTTCCCTCGTGTTCCCCCGGCCACCTCTCCTTACTTTTGATCACAAGCTCTCGGATTTATTATAGCCTCTTCCGACCTCCAGGCGCTTTATTTTTCCTCCATTCATCTTCTCCCACTTACTCGTTCACTCTTCCGCAGCTTCTATCCTTGTTCCCAAATGGCGGTGCTACTCGCATAATACAGCGGATGCTTCACGGTATGTTGTTGCCAAGAACTTCTTGCACAATCTGTGCCTCGACTCCTACCTTCCTTGCAAGCTTCCCTTCCCTGTCACGTTCCATCGTCACGCCACTATCCATCTTGTCATTTCATAAGTTGCCCCATCTCAATCGGACGAACAAAGCCCCTCTCTTCGTCCTTTCTGCTATATGTTCATCATGGTGGTTATCTTGCTTCTGGTTCTGACGTGCTCCCACCAAGATTCCACAAACTGTCCAAATCTGCTTGTTACGCTCGCCTCAATTTGACCGCCGCTCAGACTACCCTTGCTTGTTGCAATGGGCCGCCCGCCTGCATACATATTCATCGTCAGGTCTGTCCATGTCGCCTGCTGCCCTTGTTACTGCTGTCTGACTAAGCTAGGCATGGAAACCGACTCGATGCTGCCGACAAATTATGGCATCTCTCCTCGCCCACCCCATTCGACCCGCCCTTGACGTATGGAGGTTGGGCACAGTCGAGAACGATCGGCCAGCGCATCGGAAATATTCTGCGAGAGAACGACCCTGCTGAACCTCGCTCTGTACCAAACAGCCCCGCCGTGGCCTCAGCCCCAAACAGCCCTGCCATTTCCGGCGACGCCCCTCCTCCAGCCAAGAAACGCCGTTACAACGTCGTCATACACAGCTCGCCATTTCTGCGATGCATTCAGACGTCCATTGCCATTGCAGCAGGCCTCGCCACTGATCCACGGCCTCTGGAGTCCTCCCCAAGCAGCCCAGAGCCTCTATCACCCCTACCACAGCAGCTTGCGGTCCAAAATACTACCGCAGTGTCGTCCGATATCACCCACCCGAAAGAGACGACCCCCAAAATAAAGAAGACCCTCATGCGCCTTGATGCCTTCCTGGGCGAGTGGCTGTCGCCTGGATACTTTGAGCTCATTACCCCACCGCCCAGCTCGCACTTGATGGTGGCCAGAGCAAAGGCCGACCTTCTACGCCGAGAAGACTACTCAAGCTTCAAATACACTCCTGGACACACGTACTCCCATTCCACCAGCCAGCTATGGGGTGGAGGTGCGCCTCTCAGCCTTTGGGCATCTCGCCTGGATGAGAACGAAGACGCGTCGACGTTCAGCCCACGGCCAGTATCCCCGACAATTCAAAACCTCGCAGCTGACAGCTTGTCCTTGCCTAAGAATGGAGGCCCTCCGAGTCCGCGCTGGTCGGGCGGCCGTGGGGGGGCTGGAAATGGCACGCGTCCTAATCCCGGTGGCTACGTGGCACCAGTCCCCCAGTTTGCCCTGTCTTCCAAAACACAGGCACCAGTTGACTACGTTGCACACGCCCGAGATGCCTGCGTGGAGTTAGACTACCAGTGGGACTCGATGCGAGCGCCGCTCGACTGGGGCGACGGCGGCGAGTTTGGAGAGGAATGGCCTGCGATGCACCGCCGGTTCCGCAAGGGCCTGCAGCATCTGGTGGATTGGTACACGACCAGCGACGATCCTACGGAGCCCGTGACGAAGCTGGTCCATTTCAAAGCACCCTCTTCGCCGACTGGCGGACAATCGATGGATTGCGCAATTGAGGACGACAGCATGACGGTCGACAGTGATGACGATGACTACATCGAGGAGTCCGTCGTCATCCTCGTGTCCCATGGAGCCGGGTGCAACGCGCTGATTGGGGCTATCACTCAGCACCCGGTTCTGATGGATGTGGGCCTGTCGTCGCTGACAGCAGCTGCGCGAAAACCGGGCATGGACACAGCACCGACACAAGTAAGCCGCTCAGCTGGCAAGGCCGGCAGCAGAGGCGGATCGGCCATGGGCACAGACCTCCTGCACAATGCCAACGGCGTCGTTCCCCTCAACCAGTACTACGATATGAAGCTTTTTGCTAGCACTGAGCACCTGCGGTCGTCAAACTCATCGCCATCTGTGTCTCGATCGGGCAGCATCGCCGGCGTCTTGGGTGGCACGCGTGCCCGCCACTCAAACTCGCTCTCATCTGCCCTTTCTGGCGTCGGCTTTGGGGAGAACAGCTTCGCCGCCCATAGGAGCATTTCGGCAGGCTCGTCTTACGGGACCGGACGGCGGCCGTCGGGCACCGCGACTCGCCCGACGTGGATGTCCACCATCACCACCACACCTCGCAGCAGCGGCAGCTGTGGTGGAATCACTGTCGGCAGCGGAGCTACGAGCTTTTCGTCACCAGTCACCTCCAGTCCCTTAAGTCGCGCTACTAGGCCGTCAATTGGTCTGTGGTCACCCGCAAGCGTGAAAAGCTATGACAACGATGGGGCCATGGACGAGGATATGGAGATCCTACTCAGCTTTGGCCCGGAAAGTGTTTCGGAGCAGCAGGGGGGAGTCAAGGAGGAGAAAAAGGAGCAACAAAAGCTGTCAGTGCCTGCCACAGTTGCAAATGGCCAGACTGAGAAATGTGCCGCCTCCTTGTCCACGGCTGTCACGACACAGAACGGAGGGAACATTAAGAACGGTGCGTCGAATGGCAAACAGCTGGAGGCCTCAGCCTCATCCATGGCAGACTTTTCTTCACTAGGCCCAGCTGCCATTGGGGGGCTATGGTCAACGCAGCCAAAATCGGCTGTAGATCTAGAACCAGTGCACGGCATGGCGTCGACGAAACGGCGATGGTCAGTGAATGATCGAGCATGACAACAATGTTTTTGTTGTGACCTTGTGAACAGGGCGGGATCTCAGCTTTCTCTTTTGTGATTGGGATTCAGGTACGGCCGGGCAGGGTTGTTTGCCCACAGGACAGTTTGATACATTTGTGCTTTTGCGTAGGAAAAGTGCTTTATCCGGCTTATTTGGACAGACGGCCCAGTGTTTTGATGACTGTGTTTTCTTTGAATCATATCTTTATATGGTGTGGACATGCGCCTCTCACCTCATACCCAGCATTGATTGAAAGGCAATAGGGACAGCTCTCACATACGGCCGAGGCATCACATTGCGTACCCTTGATTATTATGACAAACAAAAACATTCAATTGGGTAATTAACGTAAGACATGTAGCGAGATCCAACTGCTGTTGAGCAGACAGAGTGTCATAGAATAGTATACAGAGTAAATGCGTTACACCAAGTAGTCATACATGACTTTTCTGCCCAGAAATGGGACCGAGAAGCAAAAGAACTGTCCATCTTAGTACCAAAATGGCCCCATTGGAATGATAGAGGAGAAGAGGAAACGGTCAAAGATTAGGACAGAAAGGACAGAAAGAAGGGGGGGAAGCACAGCCGGCTTGCGAAGGAAAGCGAAAGTCGGGAGGTAACAAGGGAAAAACAACAGAACAAGAACCAGGCTCGGAGCACTCCATTACCCGTCACAACTCATAACATGCAAATAAAACCAAAGCAAGACGCAGTCTCGTCCTAATAGGCTTGACCAGGGACAGGCTTGCGACCGATCGGGCCGGTTCGCGAGCCGGCTGTCCTGCCAAGCGGGCTTGAACCAGACGGCCGGACCTGCTGGGCCGGCAACTCGACGGGGCTTTGAGGTTGGCTGCTGCTAGTTGGGTATGGCGGCTGATTGCGCACGGCGGGAGACTGCGGACGGCCACCGGCCGCCGAGGAGGGCCGGTTCTGAGGAGCACCATATGGGGGCTGTGGCCGGCTCATCATCTGAGGGCCCATAGGACTCAGAGGGCTCTTAGGACCCATCGGGCGGGGCTGGCCGCCGGTGTTGATCGGAGGGCCTGCACGGCCTCCACCCGGTGGGGGACGAGGCTTCACAGGACGGGCAGACAGACAGGTACGAGGCACCACGCCCTGGCGGGAACGGTCAAGACGGATGCACAGTGCCTGACACGAAGATGTTAGCCATGGTTGAACTGGTGGACTCGGGTTGGAGAGGTCTCAAAAAAAAAAAAAGAAACCCTTACCCAGCCATCGTCATACTGGTGGAGGAGACGGACAAGCTGACCGGCGCGCAGTTCCATCTCGTCCTCGAGCGTGGGAATGAAATCGAGCTGAACGCGGTGCACGGTGGAAGAGGCCGGGCCGCCCGCAGCGGCAATAGCTGCACCGCTGACCGAAGGGCCCTGAGGACGATCGGTCGACTCGGACGTGAAGCTGAACTCGGTACCGGCGGGACTGGCAGGGACGGGGCCCAAACTAGCCCCAATGACCGGTGGGGTCAGAGTGAGATCCAGGGTGCTGGGCCCATCCTTGCGGATAGATGCCTTGCGGATCAGCGAAGTGCCTGCACCAGCAGCCGCAGCTTCAGCGGCTCCGCCGGGGCTGGTAGACGGCTGCAAGGCCGGCGAGTTTGACGATGCCGGATGCTCGGCATTGTCTCCAAACGGGTTGCTGACGGCACTAGCACTCGTCGACGGTCGTTCCCATGCGCTGGTGCCAGCTCCACGGTTGGCCATCGGTGCCTGGTTTTGGAGAGCAATGGTAGAGCCGTGGCTGGCTCGGCGGTTCGGGTAGTTGTCCTTTTGCTGCTGCTGCTGCTGTTGCTGTTGCTGTTGCTGTTGCTGTTGCTGTTGCGGTCTACCTGCCGTAGCAGTGCTGCTGTTGCCAAGGTTGGGCAGGAACTGGCCAGATGGACGCAGGCTGAGACGTGAAGACGCCGAACCGACAGCAACACTGGTGAGCACGGCACCACCTCCGGCGCCACCTCCAATGGCAGCATGGTCACCGAATGGTCCGTTGACCTTCTCGTCGTCATCTAGCGGCCTACGCTGAGTCTGCTGTTTGCGCCTGCGGAACAGGAAGAAGACAATGACAGACACGACGAGCAGACCGCCCAGCACACCAATGACGATGCCGGCCTTGGCCCCGGCACTGGTGCCGCCGGTGGTCGTCGAGGTGCTGGAAGCCGTCGCGGCTGCCGACGTGGAGCTGGCGGTCAGCGAGGCCGACGTGGTCGAAGCTGCTGTCGGTGACGTGTCCAAGGTCAGCGCAGCGGTCTCGGACGTAGTCATTCCGGTCGTCTTGGTCGAGGAGCTCGTGGCGCTGTCGAGCGTTTCCGAGGTCGGAGTCGAGGTCGTCTTCCCCGTGGCTGTGGTCGCCTTGGTTGTGGCCGTTGTTTTGGCGGCGCTGGTAGTGGTCGCGCTCGTTGTCTTTGTCGGCGCTGTCGTCGTCGTTACCGCCTTGGCTGATGTGGTAGTCTCCTTCTTCGCAGCTGTTGTTGTCGTCTTTTTGTCGTCGGCCGCAGCTGTCTTAGTCGTCAGGGCTCCGGTGTAGCCCGAAGGCACCTGTGTGGTGTAGACGGTCTGGACTACAGTCTTGCCCTTCTGTCCTTCAAAGACATCTCCCACGGCGCTGGTAATGCTGTCCCAAATGTCGCGGGCTAGCATCCCATGGGGGTGATCTGGTTGTGGTGCTTGCGCCATCTCGGCAGCTCTTCCGTGTCTGGGAAGAAGGACAGCGGCGTTCAAGTTGGCTGGCGTTTGTCGTGAAACGGGTGTTGTGTGTTGTTCTTTGGAAGAATGCTCTATCTCGCCAAAGGAATGGAATGCTTGTGACCTGTCTAGTTGCAGGCGCGTAATGGGTAAGATACCGAGTTGAAACGAATGTTGCGGTATAAAAAGAGTGTCGTCGGTCTCGTTCAGAGACGTTGCAAAAGAGAGTGAGTGCGAGAGGTAACGCGGCCAGGAACAGAGACCATGAAAGAGGGAGTTGGTCGAGAGAGGGAGGACCTGCAGCACGAGGCAGAGAAAATACCGAAAGAAGGAATGTGGACAAGAAGAGGGCAGATGCGACTTGCAGGAGGGGCCGCTGCAGGTGAATGGGGACAACCGCTGAAGAGAGCCACTTGAACCTGGCCTGTCTCCTCTTCAGCCCAACGAGCAGGTGTTATTGACCCCTGTACTTTGTATGTCGACAGCACCACGAGACGGGTGGATGTCCGCGTCGTATCTTACGAGATGCGCCAGGGTAGCGACCAGTTGGCTTGCGCTGTCTCTTCTGTTGTCCTCTGCCTGCAGCCCGTCGAACAGGGGGGGTGACTCTCGTGCCTGCAGATCGGGGGAAAGGCCCATCGAACGGGGCTTAGAGGAGCCCATCCAGGCACGCCAGTGCTCCCATTGGCTGACCCAAGACAAAACGAAATGAATTAGGCCAGGGGTTCGCGTTGCTAGCGTCTGTCCTATCGATGAAGAATGGAAAAGTTCTTTGAAAATTCCCTCGTAGCAAGTGTTTTTTTTCGTCTACTGTTGTGCTCTGTGAATTGCATCTTGCGGTGCGTTTATGCGGAATCCGTGCACGGGCCTGGCAAGATAAGGTGCGTCTTCGAGCGGTCGTGGCCGTGGTTGTGATCGTGGTCGTGGTCATCGATTTGGAAGCATTGTCGGTCGAATCATTCCTGTCCGTTTGATCACGACGCGTACGAGTACTCCGTAGAGCGGCAAGGATGGTCGCTCCTGCCTGTGATTCAAGCACATTGTTTCCAAAATAGACGCCTAGCCACTTTCAAAACAAGAAGGAGCCTGTCGGTGGCAAGGTACGGTTTACCTCTGCTGTCTGCGACTTATTACCCAGACACAAGTATGTACCTTATCTCTTCCCCACTCACTGGCTAGGACGCCTTGCCTTTTGAAACACCGGGCGGACTGCCACAGGACGATCGCCATTTCCATGCCTTTAGCATAGGGTCCGCCCAAGACATTGCTAATGACGTGTTGGGCGGCAAGCGCCCGTGGTGTCAACAGCCGAAAGTCGCGCCAACGTCGTATTCTACAGACCCGCCCAGAGAGTACGACGTACTCGTAGGTTAAGGTTATTACTATGTATGTACATACGACAGGAAAAAAGACGCGGAACCACTCGGTCGCACCATTCGGACTTCATCGACATCCCCGACTAGACTGAAAGTGCTCGATTTCCTCCTATGTACTCGCAATCTATACCCGTATTTTGTAGTCCTTCAGAAGTCCTGTTCGAACTCCGGTCGCAAATGTTCCCATCCGAAAATAAACATTTCCAAACGCCATCCTCAAGATGAAGGGGGCTGACCCTGTCCCCAGCCAGGCTGTCCCTGACCTTGATTTTGCATGAAATAGGAAAAGCTTGCAGGATTGAAGCCGGGCGTGGCAGCTGACTGTGGAGGTGCTGGGGGCCAGGCCTGCCGCTGCTGTTGCTGCTGCTGTGCCGGGTAGCCGTAAGGCGGAGCTACGGCCTGCTGGAAGGGAAATGTGACCTGAGGCTGCTGATGCTGTTGCTGTTGGTGCTGGTGTTGTTGTTGCTGCTGCCAGTTGAACTGGTTCAGGACCGCTGCTGCTGCGGCAACAGCTGCTGCGGGAGGCGGTGCCACCGCCGGTTGACCATGCCCATAGGTTCCTCCAGGAGCTGCTCCGACAGCTGCGTACTGCGGTGGAGGAGGAGGGAAGGGCATTCCGGCAAACGGCCAGGGAGCAGCCGGCTGTGCCGTCTGTGATGTCTGTGATGGCGTGACGTACGGCAGAGAGATGGGCGTGTTCGGCTGCTGGTATTGCTGATGCTGTTGGTGCTGCTGTGGCGGCCGAACCGATTGCGGCGAGCCAAACCGGTTTTGCGACGCGCCAGAATAGCCGTCTGCAGTTCCGTTGCGGCTATTGACAGCACCGCCGGCATAGCTGTCTGCAGCACCGCGACTGAATCCGCCTCCGCGTTCCCGGTGTCCCCTGTTGCCTCGTCCACCTCTATGGCCGTGCTGTCCTCTCTGGGATCCCCGGAACGAACCACTGCCACCGCCACTGCCACCACCACTACCACCGGCACCCGGCTGCGTCTGGCCCTGGCCAAAGTTGGCCGGCCGAGACAGCGGCTTGTACGGACCGTCGTCCTCGTCGTCGTACTGCAACCCGCCGCCGTTGCCGTTGGCGATCTCGTTGCGCAGCGGATGGTTGCCGCCCTTGCCGCCTCGGTTCGCCCGTCCGCCTCGGCCGCCTGCAGCTCCGCCTGACGCGGCGCCACCACGCCTCTTCGCCTTGAGATCCCGCTTGTATGCCGCCTCCTTCTCGTCGTCCGAGAACTCCATGTCGTCCGCGCCCACCTCCTCGTCGTGGAGGTTGCTGGCGTCCGAGCCCTTCAGACCGCGCAGCTCCTCGGTGAACACGAACACGGCATGCTTCGGTGGGTAGTACATGTCCTCTCCCGGCAACAGGTGGTCTTCGCCCGCACCCGTTTGCATCGGTGCATCCGCTGCCGCTGCTTCTGGTACGGCTTCGGCGCCCGCGTTCATTTCGGCATCCTTGCCTGTCGTGTCTGTCGTTGTGGCCGCAGGCTCGCTGGCAGCAGCCGGTGCAAAGCGCAGCACGTACAAAGGACCCCGGACATTGCCGATAACGTCTGCCACCACGCCGACAACGGTCCGGTCGGCCTTGCAGATCACTGAGCCCGCATCCAGCACGCGGTACGCCCCGTCTGTGTTGCCCTTGATCACCGCCGAGTTCTCGACCACGTGCATGATCGGCCCCAGTAGCACAATCGCTTCGTCGGCACCAATCTCCACGTTCGGCTTGGGCGGTGCCGTCTCGATCTGTTCGTTCTTGCTTCGCAGATGCATACCGCCACCACCACCACCGCCACGCTTGCCGTCCTCGTCCTCGTCATCCTCGTCCTCCTCCATGGCAGCATGCATCAGCATGCGGACGGCATCACTGATCCCAGGCAGCCCGGCCGCATCCCCCTCCTCCTCCGAGTCGCTGTCATCAGAACTGCTCGAGTCGGAAGATGACTCATACGGTGAAGAATCAGCCTCCCATTCAACGCCCTCTCCGCCGTTTCCTTCTTCATTTTCTTGCAGTTCTTCTGTTTGCGCTCCAGCTGCGGCGTCAACCTCCATCATTCCCTCGAGTGCGGCCTCCAAGGCATCGATGACATGCGGGTCAGCCGCCTGCTCAGCCTGTTGATCTTCGGCCGTTTTCTCTGCAGGGATTGGCTCCTCTGCTTCCGGTTGTGATGCTTTGCTGTCTACTGTCGGCACAATCTTGTTCACCTCAACAGAGATCACATCAGTTTCGAAATTGGTGGCCACACTGTCCTCCGCTGTTTTGAGAATTTCCACATCTTTGCCAGTCTCCTGTGCTTTCTCTGTTGCCGTGACTTCTGTATCTACACCCTGTCCTGCACTCTGTAGGAAAACCATGGTGTCTGTGGTCACACTTTGGGACTCTGCAGTCCTAGCCTCTGTATTGGAGACAGTCGATCCGATATTGTCTGTCTGGTGTATCGCCGGCTCGCTTGCTTGTACAACGCCGCCTGCAACTGCTGTGGTTGGCTCCATGGTGGCAGAGGTGGTAGTTGAAGAAAACCTTCAGAACAAAAATTAGCTTCCGATAAGAACTTTTTTCTGCCGTCACAATTCTTATCAGTCGGACAAATGTGCGCCGTCGTTCCGAGATTTGGTCGCCGCTTCCTAATGTGGCTTAGTGTACATATTGAACAGCTATAGGTTCAGTACTCCGTACTATGTAGTCATGTTCGCATTCTGTAGCCGCTGGTTCTCTTTCTGCCGACTTGCCCTCACTGTTCGTCGGTATCTAATGGCACAATGGCGTCACCACAGCAAGAAGAGAAGGAGTTCAAGCACCCCGAGGCGTCTCATGCCCGGAAGAAGTGAGCCGCATTCCTGTTCTTGCTTTTCTTTCCACTGTCTTTTGTGTGTGCCCACTTTCTGACGCTTTCCATCATTCGATAGAAACAAGAATCCCAACAGTATAGAGCCAATCACCGTTTTTTACATGTTCATAGCCGCAAACCTGTTCTCAGCTGTTTATGCACCGATCCAGGACTGTGATGAGACCTTCAACTACTGGGAGCCCACCCACTACCTCGTTCATGGGTACGGCCTGCAGACCTGGGAGTACTCGCCGGACTATGCGATCCGCAGCTGGCTATACGCCGGCCTGCATGCCGTGGTGGCCGGTCTCCGCCGCATTTTGCCGCAGACGTCCAAGGTCGGCGAATTCTATTTCGTCCGCTATGTCTTGGCCTTTGTCTGCACCATCTGTCAGACCTTGCTCTTCCGGGTAATCAGTGGCACGATTAACCCGCGCATCGGCTTCTTCTTCGTGGTCGCGCTGTGCACCAGCCCGGGCAACTTTCACGCCAGCACTGCCTTCCTCCCGTCTAGCTTCGCCATGTATGCCGTCATGTTAGGCGCAGCCTCCTTCATGGACTGGCGCGGCGGACTCAAGACGCTCGGGGGCATGTTTTGGTTCGCGGTAGCCGGCGTGATCGGCTGGCCGTTTGCGTCTGCCCTGTGTGCCCCCTTTATTGTTGAGGAGGCTTTTCTCGCCCTCTTCGGTGGTGGGGAGGCACTCTATGAGAGCTTCATCCGGGTTGCGCAAGGTGTCGTCGCAATATTTCTACTAGTGGTACGTTCATCGTTACATCATACATGTGTTGCTCGACTGTCTGCTTAGTGCTGACCCTGTCTCCTAGGTTTCTGATACCATTGTCAACACATTCTTTTACAAGAAGGTCGAGGCCGTCGCATGGAACATTGTCGAGTACAATATATTCTCCTCCAGCGGTGGGCCGAACCTCTATGGCACCGAGCCTTGGACGTTTTACTTCAAGAACCTCGCCTTGAACTTCAACATCTGGTTCATTCTCGCTCTGCTGGCGTTTCCCCTGTTCCTTCTTCAAAAGGCAGCAGGGTCATCTGGAGGGTCGCTGCGCGCCTTAGTTTTCCTATCGCCCTTTTACATGTGGTTGACCATCTTTACGTTCCAGCCTCACAAGGAAGAGCGATTCATGTACCCGGCCTACCCCTTCTTAGCGCTGAACTCAGCAATCTCCTTGCATATACTCCTCGAAATCCTCGGGAGCAGAGGCCCCGGAAATCTGATGGGCATGATCCCAGCAAAGCTCAAACTCTTCTCGGTCGTGGGCGTCTTCTCGACGTTTCTGGCCGTGAGCATTCTTCGCATCTGCGGCGTGATATCGGGCTATGCAGCACCGCTGTCCCTTTATGACCCTCTTGGTGCACAGCTTGCGCACATCAACTCAGAGCAAGGCATAGGTGGTCGTGGCGACTTTGTGTGCTTCGGAAAAGAGTGGTACCGGTTTCCAAACTCGTTCTTTCTGCCGCGGGACATGCATGCCAAGTTCATCCGGTCTGAGTTCCGTGGTCTGCTGCCCGGCGAGTTTTCCGAAGCCCGGACTGGATTTGGCTTGTGGAGCGGCACGTGGCTGCCAACTATGGGGATGAACGACATGAACGAGGAAGACATGGGGAAGTACACGGACATCCGTACGTGTGCCTTTCTTGTGGACACGCAGTACCCCGAAAATGCCCGCAAGGGACTTTCTCTGCCGCCGAACGAGCCCGACTACGTGGCCGACACGGAGAACTGGGATGTGGTGAAGTGCCTACCTTTTCTTGACGCTGGCAACACTGGATTTCTGGCTCGAGCGCTGTGGATACCAAGTTTTGACTTTTTGCCTCCGCAGCTGCAGCGCAAATGGGCACGGCACTGCCTCTTGCGGCGGAAGAATAAAATTGGCGAGTAGAGGTTTGCAGTCGAGAGATGAGGAGAACCGTATCGGGCGACCTCCTCTGCAATGAACTGCATCGATTTATTGTATGCTGCATGACTGGATGCTTTGGAGAGAGCATGAATTGGCAATTGGCCGATCATACATAACACTACGAAAGCATACGCCTGTCCTCGTAGCCTTGCCTTCAATTCGGGCACGCATTGTTCGTATGGAACTGTTTCTCTTACGTAACAGCATAGCGAGGAGAGAAGCCGAAGGAGCTACAAGAGGCGGAAGCAGAAGCAAGCACAACACCGGTCGTTGTCTTATTTTCTTTAGCAGTATATCCACCCTCTTTGACAAAGATTTCTCCGTTTCATTCATCCTACATGATAGGTAGCGGTGGAAATGTTACTTCCAGTTCATTGGCACCAAAGGTGATAAGGTCCGTTGTATCTTATGTTACCGTGCTACTTGACCTGCTTACTGGTTTACCTAATTGACAAGTATACCCCTAGTACTTCTATCTTGTAACGGGAACACCTCTGCCGAGTTTGCGATCGCACGGAAGGCAGAAGGCTAATTTGAAAACAGTCCAGCTACCGTTTCGGCAGGCCCGCAGAACATGTCTTGCGTGTCGGCCTGGAGTTTTTGCCCAACCGCGCAACTCCACCTTTTGCAGCTCATGATGCCTCGTTTAGCTTACAAGCGGCCGGTCAGGTCCAGCTGCACAGCGTACCGCCTCAGCTTGTCCAATGCTCGTACTGGGCTAATTCTGCGCCAGCGGCCGCCCAATGGCCATGAAATACTTCACCAGAAATAGTGAATTGCATTGCCTAGACGGAGAGAAAACCAGAATCCCTCCCCACCGCCCAACATCCCTGCATAGCCAGTCTGCCAATACACTGTCCCAAGAAGAAACGCCTTACACATGCCTTATATATTTCTCCGTCGTCCTGACCCGACCTGATCCAAGCCTATTCTTCCGTCACCAGCGCCTCCAGCGTCTGCATGGCCCGCGATCCCTGCTGCTCAAACTTGCTCACCATTGCTTCGCACTCTTGCTTCAACTGCCGTTCTGCCTGCTCGGCGTTGTAGAGGATGAACTCCTCCACCGTCATCGCCTTTTCCGGCGAGTTCAGATCCGCCCCGTGACGAAGCAGGCCCTCTACAATATCACTGTTCTCCTTGTCCACGTCGAACAAGGCCTCGACATCGACTGCTGTCCAGGGTGCTGTGCTCTTCAATCCGCCCATTGTGTGGTTGCGCTTGGACGGAGATCCGGCGCGCACAGGTGTCGTTGCCGTGGCCTGCACAGGTGCCAACGCTATGCGCGTCTTGGAGACGCTACCGGTTGGCTTCGATGACGGCGGCTGATTCTCTGCATCTGACGATTGTGGTGACTGGGATGGCGACAGGACTGCCTGCATAGCTGAGGCTACCGGTGATATATGGATCGCCCGCGGCGTTGCTGGCGCAGCAGGGGCACGATGTGGTGCTGGGGGAGGCGCAGGCGGCGGAAGAATCCTTGTGACCTGCCGCTTTTTTGTCGCGGCCACAGCAACCTCGCCTGCTGGTGTTGGTACTGCGACTGGGCCCAAGGAAGACCGTTGGGCCGCCGGCATAGGAGTGATGCTGACGTGGATGGCAGCCGGTTCTGGTGGAGGAACAGGAGTGGGCGCAGATGCAGAAGCAGCAGAAGCAGCATTACTTTCAATGCTGGCGCGCAACTCCAACGACTTCTTGGATGGCCGTCCGCGTCCTCGCTTCGGTAGTACAGCTGCGGCTGCAGGTGCAGACACGGATGCTTCAGTCGTCTCGTGCACTGTCGTGTTTGTGATTGTGATGCTGGTCACGCTGTCTTCGTGCAGCTCATCGACTTCGTCCGCATCGATGGCTGCTGGTTGCTGCATCACCTTCCTGGCCCTGGCCTTGCTCTTAGCTTTGCTCTTCGACTCTGGCTGACTTTTGAGCTCTCGTCGCGGTTCCTGTTCCACTGCTGGCGCAAAGACTGACGCTGGCTGCGCCTCCTCAACCTGTTCGGCCACCTCAGGTCTCAACCGGGCCGTCTCGGTGGCCTCCTTGCCTTTCCGCGTCTGCTTCGACACTTTGCGTGTTACCGCTTTCCGGCCCTTCTTAGGAGCCTGCATCTCTTTTAGGGCCGGCTCGACCTCCATCTCCTTCTCAAGTGTCCGCAACTCCGTCTCGATGACAGCCTCGTCTGGCACTGGCACTGCCGGATCGAACATGGCATAGTTACTACTGCCTTGTGACTGATCCAAATCGCCGTCCACAGTACTGCTGACGCGTTTGCGCGTTGCGCGCTTCTTCGCTGCCGGGGCTTCGACTTGTGATGTGTTAGTTGTCTCCACGTCGGTACTGTCCCGCTTCTTGCCCCGGACAGCCTTTGGTGCCGGTGGCTCTATCTCCTGGATCGGATCGGCATCTGCATCCGACAGTATCTCCACTGGCTCGTCTTTTTTCACCCGTGTCTTTCGTGCTTTTCCTGCTGCCGACGTCGCTGCAGCTTTGCGGGCCCGCGGCGCCTTACGCCCACCCTGAGTTAAGACTGATGTGGCCGTCAGGATGCTGTCATCTAGGTCGACCGTGGACGGCGCATCGGACGCCGCTGTCGCAACAGACTGGACCGATAGTCGGGACACTTTTGATGTTCTCGTCGCCTTGCTTCGTGCTGTCGCCTTCTTCGGCGCGGGGTACTTGCTGATCAGCTGAAAAAAAGCACAGTTGGGCGATCGTTTCTGATGTTCCTCCCTATCAAGTGTTAGCCGGACCGTTGGGATGAAGGTTCACAGCAAGAAGTAGCCTACAATGGCTTGTCCCCGGCTTCCCATCCGTCCAGCGCCAACTGGCAGTAGGCGCAGGTCGTATTATCGTCTGATTCGAGCGTGGGAGTGTACTGCCAACCAGCCTCGGCGAGCTTTGGAGCGCAGTGTCAGCAGACAGTAATGGGATTTTGATTACTGGATTGGGCTTACCTGTTTGGTTTTGCACTTCCACCCCTTCTTGCTCTCGTAGGGCCACCGCCCAGCAAAGGTCGACTTGCGGGCTTCGACGAGGTATGAGAGACGCGGATCCTCGTTGACGACATCGCCAAGCTCCAGCTCAATGGCGGCGCAGATAGCCCAGCCACAATTTCCGGAGTGCTTCAGGTGTTCCTGCAGCGGATCGTCGTCTTCCTCCCAGCCGTCCAGGTCCTTGTGGCAGAGAAAACACTTGACATTATCGGGATTGCTCGGTTGGGGATTGAAGAAGAAGCCGGCTCGGGCAAGCTGATCGGGTCAGTAGGTGGGAAATCATTGTACAGTCCTCTCGGGCCTGAAAAAACGCACGTCTATGGCAGTTGGAGACCTGTGAGGCCATGTCAACGTTTTGGGGGCGCGAGCGCTGGCGGCAGTTGATGTTCTCCGTTTAGCGACAAGTTGTGGGCCTTGGAAAGAGGCCAGACGGTTCTCTAGCACAAAGAACTGCGCATCCTCGTCGACGGCGTCCATGGTCGTGATAAGGCCAACAGACGTGTTGGGGAGCAAGGAAGAGAACTAGGGCAAGAGACGCGTCGCGTGCTTTGAGTATGTCGAAATAGGCACGTATCGTGGGCTGTGTCGGTCTGCAGAAGTCGGATCACCGTTGTCGAGGCATCAGGCGGTGTCGTTGTCAAGAGCGATCCATGGAGGAGATACGCGAATCGGAAGATGAGTTTCGCAGTATTCTACGGAGTAAGGCCCGTGGATTAAAGCTTGTGGACCAGAGATCTGGAAATGGGCGGGGATAATGTAAATTGCGAGTTTTGATTGGCCAGCAATTTCGTGTTTGTTTACATATGCCGCATAGCCGTCTCAATTATATAAGCACACCATATTGGATGCGAGCATAGCTGCATGGCGCTGCACACGAAACCGTTCTCTCGGCCGTGTCGGATATTTTGCCGATGCCTGTCTTCTATCTTGTCCAGGGTTCCGATTCTGACACTGAACACTACGAGTACGGAGTTTACGCCCCACGTGTACGGAGGTTGGAATATGGCGTGACACGCGCCCAGAAGGGCGATCCTGGCTACACCCGTTACAAGAATGGAGTCGGTATGCAGTTATACGTACTCATAAAGGCTCTACGATGCAGTGACCAGGGCTATTGCTGTGGCAATATGACCTGTGGACACGCTCTTTACGCATAGGTGCACACGCCCGAGCTCCCACAAATGGGAGGTCTGGAGCGGCAAGAGTGGCTCTTTGTCTTTAAGAGGGGGGCGCCTTCCGTTTCATGCAGCTGGGCTTTAGTACTCGCTCTCTCCTCTCTCCATAAACATTCACAGCTTCAAATACCCAATTTCTCGCTTCTCGCTCTCGATTTCGAGTCAACCTCAGCGCAGGCACCACATTGCCCCTCCACACATCTCCTTGTTGTAAAACGTGCTAAAATGGTGAGTACAAGTGACACAATGCAGACACGGCTGCTATGCAGCAGCCATCCCTGGGACCGGCCTTGGCTGGCAGCGGTTGCCGGCGTAAACAAAGCAAGGAGGACGGCAGCATCTTAGTGGCGCTGAGGGTTTAGTTAGTGCGCGTCCGCAGCAAACATCGCCCGCGGCCGGCGTGATGGCAAAAAAAACAAAAGGCCCAGACATTTCGCGACCATCTCTGCAGCCGCACCATTTCCGCCATTTGCTCTGAATTTTGCAGTTTTCATCTTCCATCTTTCATTTTCCATCCTCCATTGCCGGCCCTCCTTCGCACCGCTGCTCCTCTCCTCTCTCTGTCATCGAAAAGCCCCGTTCGTCATGGCTTCTAACCAGTTTGAACCGCAGGCGTCCACCAACTACAAAGAGGCCTTCTCTTTGTTCGACAAGCGCGGCAACGGCCGGGTGACGCTCGATAGCCTCGGTGATCTCCTGCGCGCCTGTGGCCAGAACCCGACGCTCAGCGAGATTCGCGATCTCGAGAAGAACGTGGGCGGAGACTGTAAGCGCATGACCCTTCCCCTTCGCCTGCCGATCTGGCTGCTGACAAGCATATGTGCGCAGTCGACTTTGAGACGTTTCAGCGTATCCTCAACCGGCCGGGTGGCTTCCGCGACCCGGGCGAGCCTGATGAGTACTGCCGCGGCTTCCAGGTGTTCGACAAGGACATGACCGGCTACATTGGCGTCGGCCAGCTCAAGTACATCCTGACGAACTTGGGCGAGAAGATGACGGACGAGGAGGTGGACGAGCTGCTGAAGGCAGTCGACACGAGCACCGGCCAGGTCAACTACACAGATCTCGTGCGGACAATTCTTGCCAACTAGAGGAGAGAACTGGGCAACAAGGAAAGGTGGACTGGGCAATATCGAGGCAAACGCCACGGATGGAGGCTCAGATAGGTATATACACAGGGAGCACGGATGGATGGCTGGCGTTTGTTTGCTTCGGTCTGCGCTTGAAATGAAGTTTGTTTGAATTGTTCGTCTCGCAGCTTGTGTCCGTACTACTTGCTACTGTCTTTCTCACCCTCCGGCCACTTGACCCTGAATATCCCCGCAGATTGCGTTATTCGGTGCTTTAGGAAGCACTAACGCTTAGGTGTCGATTAATATTACGACCTCCCCACAAAACGCCGTCTCCACACTATTAAGCTAGGTGCAACAGAGCTTCCCCTCCTTACGTGTTCCTGCCATTCATTGTTCAGACTCCATTCACCCAACCCTGACTCAATCACCTCAACACTGGCGTCTCAAACAAACACCGCCACACGGAAAGTCAAAAGAAGAAGCACGCCGCTTCTTTTTCTTCTCGGCTTCCTCATCTCTGTCGTTCTTGCCGTCACCCTGGCTGCCCGCGTAGGCTCAATCAGGCTGTCGTCTGCATTTTTCAGCGGTTACTTGTGGCGTCACCCTGTCTTTCCAGCACCATTGAAGCAACAGACGCCATCGTTGATTGCGTTCACTACTTCATCTCTGTACCTACAGTTTTCTACTTCTACCAGCACTGCTGCCTACCAGTCCTTGTTGAGCTCGTCTACCACAGTCATGGCCGACAAGTACAAAAATCCGCCCCAGGCGCCGCCCACCTTCACGGGCACCAAGGAGAGCATCCTGGCCGATGCCAAGGCGCTATGTGAGAAGACACGAGGCATGCTAGACCAGGTGGTGGCCGACGTGCCTCTGACGGATACGAGCAAGGCGACGTTTGTGACGGTGATGCAGCCGCAGGTGGAGGACGAAAACGAGGCGTCGCTGTCGGCGCACATTCTCGGCTTCTACAAGTATGTGTCAGCAGACGGTGAACTGCGTGACGCGAGCACGGAGGCGACGAAGCTCATGGACGATTTTGGCATCGAGGCGGCGATGCGCGAAGACGCTTTCCGGGTGGTGGATGCGGTGGTACGCGAGTATGGCGGGCGTTCAGCATTGGAGGCGATCGAGACGGCGGGGACGACGGACAGCAAGACGGGGCTCGATGCGGAGAGTGCGCGACTGCTGGTCCGGGAGCACAAGGGGTACATCAAGAACGGGCTGGACCTGAAGGGCCAAGAGCGCGAGCGGTTTAAGGAGATCCAGAAGCGGCTCAGCCAGATCCAGATTGTGTTCCAGAAAAATTTGAACGAGGAGAGCGGTGGGATTTGGTTCACGCGCGAGGAGCTGGACGGGGTCCCGGCCGACGTCGTGGACGGGCTCGAGAAGGGGGCAGAGGGCACGGAGCAGGCAGGCAAAGTGAAGCTGTCGTTCAAGTACCCGGACCTGTTCCCGACGCTCAAGTTTGCCAAGCTGCCAGAGACGCGGCGGAAGGTGTTTTTGCTGAACGAAAACAAGTGCAACGAAAACGTGGCGCTGTTCCACGAAGCATTGGTGCTGCGCGACGAGAAGGCGCGGCTGCTGGGCTACGACAACCACGCAGCGTTGCGGCTAGAGGACAAGATGGCCAAGACAGTGCCGGCGGTGAACGAGTTTCTGGAAGACCTGCGGCAGCGACTGGCCCCTGGTGGTGCCAAGGAGGCGCAGCACTTGCTGGCCCTGAAGGAGGCGGACACAAAGGAGCTGGGGCTGCCGTTTGACGGCAACTACTACCTCTGGGACCACCGGTACTACGACCGGATGATGGTGGAGAAGGAGTACAGCATTGACGAAAACAAGATTGCCGAGTACTTCCCGCTGCAGAAGGCGGTGGTAGCGATGCTCAAGATCTTTGAGCAGCTGTTCGGCTTCGTCTTTGTCGAGCTGGGCGAAGAGGACCGGGCGCGCATCAGTCCGACCGGACGGGCCGAGGACATTGTCTGGCACGAGGACGTGATCGTGTTCAGCGTGTGGGACGACGTGGCTGGCAGCGACGGCTTTGTCGGCTACCTCTACCTGGACCTGCACCCGCGGCCGGGCAAATACGGCCACGCAGCCAACTTCAATCTGCAGCCGGGATTCGTGCTGGCCGACGGCAAGCGGCGGTACCCGGCTACGGCGCTGGTGTGCAACTTTAGCAAGCCGACGGCGACGAAGCCGTCGCTTCTGAAGCACGACGAGGTCGTCACGCTCTTCCATGAGCTCGGCCACGGCATCCATGATCTCTCAGGGCGGACGCGCTTTGCCCGCTTCCACGGCACGGCCACGGTGCGCGACTTTGTCGAGGCGCCCAGCCAGATGCTCGAGAACTGGTGCTGGACGCCAGCGCAGATCCGTGCCCTCAGCAGCCACTACGAGACCAACGAGAGTATCCCCGAGGACCTGGTCGCCCGCCTGGTCTCCACCAAGCACGTCAACGACGCGCTCTTCAACTTGCGCCAGCTGCACTTTGGCACCTTTGACATGGCCGTGCACACGCCCAAGACGCACGCCGAGATCGAGGCGCTCGACGTCAGCAGCCTCTACAACGATTTGCGGGCACAGCTGTGTCTGCTCAAGGGTCCAGAGTCTCAGGGAGAATCTAGGTTGGCCTTCTCTTTCCTTTTTCCGTTTTCCTTTTCCCCTCTCCCTCCTATCCTTGCTGACCTCTCAGCAACTGGGGTAATGGCCAGGCCTGCTTCGGCCACTTAATCGGTGGCTACGACGCCGGCTACTACGGCTACCTCTTCTCGCAGGTCTACTCGACCGACATGTTTGTGTCCGTGTTCAAGGCCGATCCCATGGACGGCGTGCAGGGCCGGCGCTACCGCCATACCGTGCTGGAGCGCGGTGGGTCGCAGGACGAGATGCGCACGCTCGAGCAGTTTCTGGGCCGCAAGCCCAGCGGCGACGCCTTTTACGAAGAGCTGGGCATCCCAGTTTGACTCGGACGGGCGAGGCTATAGTGTATTGGCTTACTAAGCAGACAAGCAAATGCCCGCCCTCGGAACGGATAGAACTTAGATAAAATCAGTAGCAGGTGAAATAGAACCTGTGTTGGGTTTGTAGATAAGTGAGATTGCAGTGCCAGGCAGCTATGTATAGTCTATCTGAACCACGGCCTTGAAGGTAAGAGTACTCATCCCCGTACAAGTAATGGGTAAGTGTACATAGTAGAGGAGGATAAAATTGTAAGCCTTACTTTGTGACAAGAGTACTTATTACACTGCACTCGATCCATTCAGTTGATTTAAGTGTGCAATCATGCCCTAAGTTGTATTTCCCTTGCCAAGTTATGCCATTCGAATTCAGCCTTCCCATCCTCGTATCCAATCAATTGTCCCACCAAACCGTACGTCGTGTATAAGACTCCCACTGGGCATCGGCCCTGTGACCATGAAGCGTAAGATAGGGGTAGTAAAATACCCGAAAATAGAAACGGAAAGCGATGCCTTCGAACCGAGAAGCAGTACCAGAGTATAGCACAACAAAACTATAAATTTTCTTCCACCTTTTCCTTCATGGCAGAACCCACTTTACATTGACGAGGTCCTCGAGCTCGCAACTCATGGACGCCTCGTTCCCGGTCATGTCGTAATCTCCCTCTTTTTTTAGGACGTCAGTCATCTCGGTAGCCAGTCCGGAGGCACACATAATTTTGTGCGAAGGGACTGGCACGAGTGTGCGTGGTGTGGCGTCGGCAGAAGCACCAGAATCAGCACCATAATCAACACCAGAAGCGACAACCATGGTGGGTGTTGAGGGCATGCTGGCTAGCGGCGGTGCTGTCGCAGACTCGGGCTGGGTGACATCGACGCCAAGTATGTAAAAGTACTGCGACTCGCGCATCGTCAGCAGGTTGGTGCGGTAGTCATGGGCGCTTGCGGCGAAGCCGGCGGAGACGGTGTAGGCGCTATTGCCATGGTAACCGCTGGTGCTGTTGTTGCTGTTGCTGCCGCTGTCGGGTGTGATAGAGGAGGCAGCCAAGAAGGGCGGCGACGAGTGCGAGTGGGCAGCAGCGGCGGCAGCGATGGCAGCTGATGTGGCGGTGGCGACTTGGGACGACGTCAAGATAGACGAGTCGGTCGTCATTCCGTGATAGACGACCGAGGTGCCACCGGGGCTGCTTGTGGCCATGGCGGAGGCTGCAATGGCCGAGTTGGTATCTGAGCCGGTAGCAGCAGCCAGAGCGACGCGCGAGAGATAAGCCAGATATATGTGGTAGAAGCGCATGCGAACATGAATATTGCGCGAGGTCTCAAGGGCGCCGACCATGGACTGCAGCTCGGCCTGGGTCTCAGCCGGGAGGGCTCCACGGATGGGATACCGAACGATGGCGGGCGAGGCAGCGGAACCGCCGTGCAACGGCTCAGTCTTGACAACGGGCGACGAGGGTGGCGACGAGAGCGAGGCGGTGACACCGGCAGCGGCAGCCGAACTGTCGGGAACGGTGATTCGAAGAGGCCGCTTGGAGCCGAGCAGTAACTGGGAAAAGCGGCCACAAAGCGGATGGCTGTCGGGGTGGTTCTGGGATGCGGAGAAGGAAGCAGCAACGGCAGACACAGCGACAGTGGGCACCGACTGGGAGCGGTAGCGAGCGCGTGCGAGCGAGAGTGAGAGTGTAGCATCCTGAGCCATGAAAAGGTCGGCCATACACTGCATAGGCAGGGCGAGGACGGCGAAATGGGCGTCCGAGGTGACGACGGTGGCAAGTCGGACAAATATGCGCGTCAACGGGTGGGCGGCGCCGAGGACGATATGGGTCAGTTCGCGGATGTGGCCACAGAGGGTAGCAGCCAGGGCACGAAAGTTGGGAGTGTGGCCAAAGGTGAGGCCCATCAGATGGAAGAGAAGAGACGGGTCCTCCTCCTGAACGTGCTGACGAAGTTCATCCATGCAGAGGCCGACACGGCGGAAACCGTCGTCCAGCGAGCCCGAGCCGATGAGATGGTGGCCGAGGCGCATCTTCTGACCCCAGAGTCGCAGCCGGTCGGCGCCGTCCTGGCTGCCAAGGATCGACACAAAGTTGCAGCAGCTGTTGTTAGCGGCCGTGGCTGTCGAGTCGCGCACCCAGAGGCCCTTGTCGAAGGCACCGAGACAGTAGTCGCGGGTCAGCCGGGCGAGCTCCTCGGAAAGGCGGACCTCAAGAGGAGGTGCGAGTCCACGTGAGGGAGAAGAGACGGCTGTGAGGCCGGGGGGGACCGAGACTGACGAGGCGACCGAGGACAAAGGCACCAGAGACGGCGGGTAGTGATAGTAGCCAAAAGCTGACGGAGATGCCGAGGACGAGGCTGGCGGCGACGAGGCCGAGGCAGACGACGACAGCGAAGTGTACAGCGGTGCCGTATGAGAGTGGTGGAGATGTGAAAAGCCGCTGCCGGCTGGTGTTTGATGCTGCTGTTGCGTATGTGGTGGTGGTAGTGGCGGCAGGGCGGAGGAACAGGCCGACGAAGCCGGCGACGAGGAGGCCGAGCAAGAGAGGCTGGGCACTGATATAGTGGGAATGCTGCCGTGGCGACGCGTCAAATTGGCGAGATAGGGGTGGAAGCCCATGCCCATAGGCACAGGCGACGAGGCGGGCGGAGCGGCCCAGGAGGATGTGCCACTGATGCTGTTGTTGCTGCTCATGCTGTTCATTCTGCTGCTGTTCATGCTACTGCTGCTGATGTTGTTGCTGTTCATACTGGTGCTGTGCACACTGCTGCTGTTCAAAGTGCTCATGCTGCTGATGCTGTTGGTGCTGCAAAGCGGCACGGCGACAGTGGCACGACGCTGCGGCGGAAGTGTTGGCAGCGGAAGTGGCAGCGGCGAAGGTGATGGCGACGGCGTGCGGCATAGGATGCCAGACGTCTGGGCGTGACCGGGAACGAGGTCTAACAGGTCGTCACCGGCCTCGAGACGATGCAGCAGCGTAGAGTCACGCTTGAGGTACTGCTCGATCTTGGCCCAGTCGACACGGCGGCCGCGCAGGACAAACGACGAAGCCTTGCCTTGAGCTGCGCGCTGACGCTTCAGAAGCAGCATGCAAGCCACATCAGCCGCCTTGTAGTTCTTGTCGATGGCCCACTTGCTGATGCGGGTTTTGTACATTCGGGGACTGAGAAATTAGTGGTGAGGGAGGACAGAGAGAGAAGAGAAAGGAGAAAGAGGAGAAAAGAAGAAAAGGCGACAGTAATGATGAAAAGGACGAGAAGATTGAAGAGAGTTGGGTGAGAAGATATTCTCTTCTCTCATCACTTCATCTTCATTTTCACCAAAACCAAAGGAGGAAGGAGGGGCCAGAGCAAGGAAGCGCAAAAGAGGCAAGAGCAGAAACGGAAAGAGCTCACCTCGCATAAAATCCATGCTCTCGAGCCATTATCTCGATGACCTGATCCAGATGCAGACCACGATCCCGGTACAGCTCTGTGATGCGGGCCCGATGCATGTCCCAGTCAGCCGACCGAGCCCACTGCCACTGGCGGCGACGACTGCCACCGCAATGGGCGTCGTCTGACGATGTTGGTGACGGCGGCATCGCCGTGCCGTTAGAATTCTGTTGTTGTTGTTGTTGTTGCTGCTGCTGCACCTTGGGAAAAGCCTTGGTAAGTCGGTAGTGCTGGCGGTGGCGGCGATGCTGCAGCTGCTGTCGCTGGGCCGCCGACGGGTTACTGCTATTGTTCCACGCCATATTGGAGATAACAGACGATGAAGGACAGACAAGAGAGATGTGTCAAAATGGGGAGGAAAAGAGACGAGCTGAGGGAGGAAGAGGGCCACGCATGGGGGAAGCTTGTGGATTTATGGGGAAAGGACAATGACACGGTCCAGATGTCAGCTATCAGAAGCAGGCAGTTTTGACAGACGTCGGAGAGCTCGACCACGGCAATCAAAGCTAGAGACTAGGATTAAGAGACGGAAGAGGACCTGGGTGGGGGAAGAGGGAGGACGAGGGGTCAAGTACTTCGCAGCCGCGAGCAAACAAGGTTATGAAGATTGTGATGGCCTGGACCGTTTCAGTCTCGTCCGAAATTTGCGAGGGGAGTGAGTTGGCAAGACGGTGGGTACAGGGGGGGGGGGGGGGGTGGGGGGTTGCTTTTACAAGAAAGACAGCAAGACGGGTGGGGGACCGAGATGTCTAGATAAACAAGATTCGCGAGACCTGCTATGTACAGGGAAAGCACACAATGAAAGCGAGCCCAGATTACAAACACGCTGTAACTGCTCTCAGCGTACCGGCTATTTTTCCATTCTTTGTCGTTCCTTTTATCTTGTTTCCTTTTGTCCTCCAATTTCTGTCTCCTTATCTGTGTCCTTGAGATACCATGTGTGATGGTATTTTAGATTGGCCTCCAACAGCACGCGCCGCTCTCTTGCACGGCAGAAAAGGTAATGGAGGCCGAGATGTGATCAGAGAGGCAATGATGGGAAGATCTACAAGCACTACCGGACAATGATCGACCGGTAGATTCTCCAGGTTCTCTGTACACAGAAAGCACCACCCCTGCTCTTATACAAATACGATCTATTTCCAGCCCGCTGATTGGCCCGCTGTACGCCTTCCGTCCTTTCTCGTCCTAGCCGTGTCTCTCGGTGTAGTACTGAGCAGGAAGAGAAGTGACCCTTGCAGAAACGCGAGGTGCCTGGCTGAAGACAGTCTACACGCCCCCTGCCATTCCATGACCTGCTCTACATGTCGTCTAACGGCGTGCCTGGCACCTGTCGGTCTCGCCTGCCCCAGTTCACTCCAGCGTCCTGTCTCGGCCTTTCTTCTTTCCAAACGGTCTATTGCTTCTCTGGACCCTCTTCCGGCGTCTGCGGCGTCTGTGGCGCCTGCAGGCACACCATCGCCCATCGCCCATCGTTCATCGGCTGGCTGGAACGGGGGCCATTCAGCGGACGGAACGTCGCATCGTTCGGATCTAACTCGGGAATACTTGTATTTTGGCATTACACCTTCCAGACCGGGGAAATGAAAGGCGAGCGTGCGAGCTAGCAGGCCGGAAGCCAAGTACACGAAACAAGTAATACACAGATGGCAAGGCATAGGGCTTCTGCAGAGAATATGCTCTGTGCCTTGGATTTTAGCGCACCGTAGTCTGGTCTGTTGGGTCGCTAGCCTTGCTGAATGGCCTGGCCAGAGGGAAAAATCGAACGATGGGGTGTGCGCGCATCTCTAGACAAAAATATTGGTGCTAAGGCACCGCAACAAACCCAAACAGCCCTCTTGGGGAAAATAGATTTCATACTTTCTTTCATCCCTCCCCACCGGCCATCTTGGCGGGACTATAGCCTTGCGGAGGTTTCTCGCGATTGACTACTACATACTCCGTACACGTACGCAGAGACGATGCTGCTATTACGACGTACGTCGTATAGCTACCCAGCTCGGATTCGTTCCGATCGGCTTCCATATGTCGTATCCCTGCTAGTGGCTCAAGGCTCTCTGTCCTGCGCGTGTCCACAATGGGCAGATCCACCCGGCCTGTACGCGTGATGTATGCATCCACTTGGAACTGCAGCTGCATTGCTACATGAGCAAGCACTTCTCCGGCGCTCTCTCACACCCTCTTCCGCGCTCGCTCGCGCTCTCTCTCTAGATCCTATTTGGGACCAACCAGCTCTGGAATAGCTCCGAGTACCTGGGCTGAGCAAAGGCTCAGCCTGCCAGCTAGCTAAGACCCCATCTGCAAAAGCAGGTTTCTGCTCACCTGTAACATCTACCAGAGCGGTCTGGACTGCCCTCGGACCGAAGCGAATCGCACAATGCAGCCCTGAGCTGCTGCTTGCAGGACCGCCTATGCGCCGTACGAGCACACCGCCTTTCTCTCTCACCGGCCGGTCTTCTTGCTGCGTGTATCGACCATAATCGGATGCGTTCCGAAGAACAAAGAAAATGAAACATCCGGGCGTCTGGGGAAATCGCCCATTGTGGCTGCCTTGCGTCATACAGTAACACATTGTTTCTTAGTACGCAAATGCGGTCTAGTCTCTCGGGCCCGAGAACCCGAGCCGAGAGCCCGGGACAGCAGCCCAACACGGTCACGGGACCTTGTAGAAGGTGGTGGCATTTTGTGGCGTGCTCTTGTCCAAGACCCTGACGATTTCAATGACTTCCCAGCCCGTCTCAAAAAGACAGCTGCCACGCTGGCAGAGGACTTTTGACTGTTTCGATCCTGACACCTGCCAAACGCGTCAGACAGCTGCTCAACCCTGGTTGAATCGCAGCGTCCGAGTAGATGATCGACAGCCCAGCAAGATCCTTCGCTTCGTTGTAAACAAAACCGCGTCCGCAGACTCAGGCCATCGCGGCCAGATCTTCGTTTCACATCCCAATGTCAATCAACCGTATAGTAGCTTTCGCCCAAAACGGATCATTTAGCGGAAGCTATTTTCCGATTTCCGGCACCCCCCTCTTTCGCCTTACCAGAGCCGAGGCTGTACTATAGGATTAGTCGACCCTCTTTGGTGTCGGGCAATGACAAACTAGACGCAAATTTTGTGTAGCGGATCACTCAGAATAGACAGCCGCACAGGCCGGACCGCTTGGCTGGTTACACTTGGGGGCGGAGAGGTGGGCCACTTATCTCACATACCAGCTGTAGTAAACGGAATAGACCGGCTGTCGATCAATTTGGCGATCATGATCTGCTGCACCCCCCTCCTCTCTGCTCTCCCCACTTTGGGACGGCTGGTCGAGCTGGTCTCGACTTTCGACATACAACCAGCGCCAACTGTACTCCGTACCGTACAAGTAATTTGAGCGACTTTCATGGCCAATCATATAGACCGACAGAATTCCCCTTTCATCTACACCCAAACACCAAGGGATGAACTATATCCCGTGCTATCTCCATCCACAACAGCTTGATTTTTGGTTTTCCGCGGCCGCCAGTCGCAAGCCAAGGCTGCCATCACGACGTCGCACCCGGTTGCTTACCCTATACGTCCGTACGAGCACGCCAAGCGTCCGAATCAAGAAGGGGCTCCGAACCATAAAGAGTTAGTCCGACCCAAGTAGAGATTCTCGTCCTCCCGAAGGACGACACGGCATCCCGTCGGCCTCGGACTGTTGCAAATGAAAATACTATATTTCGCCTGTCGTGTTGGAATGTCTCTTGTGTCCTCGCCTCTGCTGATGTTGGCCGCTGTTTCCCTTGTACTCCCCTTGTACTCCGTAACTACGAGCGCTCCTTTTGCCACGTTTCGGCGTTCCGCAACCAACTGTACCTCAAATGACTGCAGATCAATAATGGCAGGCAAAGAGAGTTTGCTGACCTGTACCGTAGTTGAAACACGATCTGCAATGCCAATGACTCGTTCTGCAAAGTGAAGCTGATCAAGATCCATTTGCACAGTCATCTGCCCTGACCACTTCCCAAATAAAGTTCCTACCCCTGTTTATAGTCGCCCAGAATTCTGTTGCTGACTGACGATGCATCAGAGGGCATTAAAAATACTGACTATCATTGCTCTGAACGGCGGAAACGGCGGAATCGTGACCGTCATGGCGGACAGCGAGACGCGCAATGGTTATAGCTTTCACGCAAACATGGTTGACAGCGTATCACGTTGGCGGCTCAGCCGTAAACCCGTTGCCAAACGTCCAACTGCTAGTTGGCAGTGACTCGTGCTGGAAACCACAATTCCTAGCTCCACGTCCATACATTCTTTCCCGGAGCTGTGACGAGGTCATCCCGAGCAGTGCCAGCTGCTCCGGCCGTGCTGCCAGGCGTCCCAGCCGTTCCAGCTGTCCTAGCTGTATCAGGTATCACAAATATCCCTCCCAGACATCAGATATCTTACAAACTGCCATCAGGGAGCCGTCTGATCCGTTTTGTCGGCCACTTTTGGACAGCTGACGGACACGCCGTTGAGTTGCGTCCCACGGTTCCTGGTGCCTCGAAATTTCACTCCCCTTCGATCAGCCACACGAGTGGGTCTGTCCATCTAGCCTTGGAGGTCAGAGAAAAATACACAGTAGTTTGCCATGGGGCAACCGGAGCGGCCGAGCAAGCCCCTGAAACCAAATCACTGCCACACGGAGTACATTCTAATACAAATTTTTTCTTACTGCTCCCGGCGGAACCCACAGTAACGACTGTCGAAAGCTCGCAGAGACCAACAGCTCTATTATGCGTGTAGGCGCCCCATCTAGCCAAGAGGAATGCCAAGTCCGTAGGAAAAATTAATCAAGGCAGGGAAAGGGGCAGCTAGTCTTGGCCCTTCACACCCTCACGCCATACTATGTAACGCAGACTCGCGATGAATGAGAGGGGAGAGAGGTGATTCCGCATTGGTACTACGTACAGAGAACTTGCCTCGGCTTGCGTATCCAGCCCCTCTCTCTCATATATCCGTGCAGGTAGGACGCTCCACCGCCGAAGAGCTATGGTTCGTATTCAGCGTCACCGTTGGAGCTTCACCTAGCTATCCGCCAGCTAAGGCTAATCGAACGGGCGCCGCTGGTAAAATAGCCAAACCTTTAAAATGTTGCGAGTTGCCTTGAATGACACTGCTGTTGAGATGCCAAATTTATCAGCCAGGCGGGAACATGGACGAAGGACAGACAGGCCGCATGGCAAAAGATCGACAGGCGAACAGTAACCTGTATGTCCAATTGTACATATGTACATAGCAGCTGCTTGGGCTCTCAGATGAAAACCCGTATGTTATGCCCGCCAGCGGAGTATATGGCCCACGGAGATACGAGCAGTGCGGATGTTTCCTCTACATCCTTCGTATGATCTACCATGTAGGCAGCACACATGCAAAGTGCTGGCCTTCTATCCCCCCATCCCTCTTGCTCTAGTTACTCTTGCCACCTCTGGCTCGTAACATCGTGCTGAAATGAGATTCCACCCTTTACGAACGACCAATGGGGAAAGCATTTCCGATGTGACTGGAGAACGGCAAGCCACTTAGTCTATCGAGTTGATAAACACGACGAGAACGAAGGAGGGGGGGCGTCCACGTCTAAACGCGACGCTATTCTAATCAGCGTGCAGGTCACAAGGGAGAATGGAGGTCTGGCGATCGAGTTTGATGTGACAATAGCGGCTGTTTTGAGCAGTTGAGGCTGTCCCGAAACTCCCGGAGAAGATACCGAAAAAGATGTCGGCCAAAACATCGTTCCCACTAGCGAGATAAATTGTCGATCAGTTCGCCGAACCTAAACGTGAAGATCAACGTAGAGGCTGAGAGGCAGTGGAGAGCATCCAGATGAGAGACCGTTATGCAGCACAAGGGGGGGCTTGGAACTGTCTGGAGACTAGCGGAAGGATTTGATAGTATTGAAACGCCCGAGTAAACATGAATCTTTGACATGCCGTCACTCCTAGAACAGCCTACAGGATAACACGCACTTCGCCCCCCAGAGGCCCCTTGAAGGGTGCCACAAGGACAAAGCTAACAGTGCTCAGCACACCCATCATCCCATCACTCAGCGAGTTGCATGAGAGCGAAAGACATCCCTGGAACTTCCGCGAGAACATGTGGGAGACTGTTACTGGTAGTACCCCCCCTTTCTCGGTTTATGACGCGGATGGTCATTACTGCGGTTGCGGTGATACGGCCCCCATCCCGAGTCGTTGTTGCTGTTGTTGCTGCTGTTGTTGTTTCCCTGATGGTGGCGGTTGTTGTGTGAGCGGTCACGACGGGATCCGTGACCACCCCTAGTATTGTTGTGGTTGATGTGGCTGTGGCTGTGGCTGTGGCTGTGGCTGTGGCCGTTGTGGCTGTTCACGTGCCCCTTGTGGTTGTATGGGTTCGGCTCCGGCACCGACTCCTCGACCTCGGCCTCGAACTCCTCGTACTCCTCTGCGAAATACTTTGCCATTTCCGATTGTTCATGGCGCATAGCTTCGTCCGAGAAGACGAACCGCATAGTCGTCTCCTGGCGCTTCGGGCCCGCAGCCTTTGTCTTGCTGCCGCCGGGCCCGGATCCCGTCGTGGCCGGCGACGTCGCCGATTTCGGTGTCATCGGATTTGTGTCTCGCTCCTCGGCCGCACATTTGTCGCACCAGCTCTCGATTCGGACAAGCTGTGGGCCTGCATCGACCTCCTCATTGATCCTAATCTTGATCTCGATAAACCTGTCGAGCTTGAAGCGCGGCCCGATCTTCGTCGCCTTAGTAAACTGGGTGTAGAGGTCCAGGAGGTCGAGCAGCGTCTCCACAATGCAACCCCTGCTGGTGTGGAATGCCTCTGCGTCCAACGCCCGGATGGCCTCGACGTGCTTGCCGAGGACGAGGGCCGTCAGCTCAATCACACTGAGGGCCATGGTGAAGGACGTCTGCTTGATGGGCGCAAACGTCTTGTACAGGTCGATGGACATGGGGTATGCCACAGCCAAAAACTCCTTTGCATCTTCCGGCGGGATGAGCCGGCGAATCATCTTGATCAGCAGCTTCTGCGGGTGGCGGACGCGAAAGTCGAAGCCCACAGTTTGGAGGATGAGACGATCAAGGCCAACGATAATCGTAGAGGGCCGCTCAAAGATCTAGGAAGAGTTGCAGAAAAGTCAGACCATGTCAGAAGAAAGCAGCATAAGCATATGTATAGACTGACCTTGTCATCGGGCGCAGTCGGCTTGTCTGCGTTTTTCAGGTTGTAGGCCGCACACAGAACCTCCTTAGATTTCTTTATAGTGTCCTCCACCTTGCAAGCCACAAACAGAGCCGACAAGGCAGCATCCTGGAAGTTGTATTCAGCATCTCGGAAGCTGAGGCGGAACTTGTGGTAATATGTGCAGGCCGTAGTAAACGTCTTGACAGGTCTGTGAGCAACAGTTAGCCTAATGAAGACAGGGGAACGTGGTAGACCAGGAGAACCCACAACTGCAGCGACTCCCGGACATTATCGATCAGCTGGACTCCTTGCAGACGGTAGCTGTCTTCTCTAGATGGATCACAGCCCTTGTCGCGTTGCATCCGTCGCAGCTGCTGCTCCTGGGTGTACTGGCACGCTACAGAGACAACTCCCGGGTACGGGCCCTTTACTGGTGGATGCACATCAATCGGTGGTGGTGGCGGTGGTGGTAGAAGAGGCATATCGGCCGCCATGTGTGTTGCCATCCCCATCCCGCTGCCTCTTCCTCCACCCATTCCGGCACCGCCTCCATGTCGATGACCGCGGCGACCCATCGCGCGAGTCCAACGCGAGGCGTCCAGCGCAATTCGCAGATCAGCCGGTCGAAGTCAGATCGCTCGGCCGGCGTGTCGGTCGTCGCAGAGCAGCGCGTCGGTGCTTCTTCAGCGCGGCGTGCTTTCGTCGTGCAGCTGCCCTGTTCTTATCGCTGCTGCTCCAGTTTGCGGGTGCTTCGCGCATGAAAAGCCCACTCGGTCCTACCAGCAAATCCAATATAAGGGGGCCGGTGATAGGTGTAGATCCACAGGTGCTGAGGCTGCGTGGAAACAGCTGCGAGGCTGCACAAGATGTCGCGTCGATAGGTGTTTCTTTCATCATTTGCAAGCAGAGACGCAAGCAGCTGCACTTTTTCTCCGCACTTGATTGGTGGGTTTTGCGGCCCTGGGGCTCCGCTCTATTGCACATAGGCGCTAACAAGCAGTTAGGAGTCGAGCCGCAGCTGCGTCTGCTGAAAACACAGCGGCTGTCTTAGGCCCCTGTTCCACTATTCTCCGATTAGATAGCGCCTTGTGACGTCAAAATACAGCCCCTCCAGGTGTGAATGGCTTCAGTGCCGAAGAGGAGTAGAAGAGCCGAAAATCAAGGGGCACAGCGCTCCTTCCCTTCTCCGAAATTATAGCTTGACATGTATGGTGAACCATTCACTTTGGAAAGTTAACTTCCACCCGTCACCTCTCCATAAATAGCAGATGTGAATCTAATTCACATTAGAGCCGGGACTAGCTGGCTCAGAGAAAGGCTGGTGACTCTACTGAAGAGGCTGACATGAAGCTGACTAATCTACCCCATTAAGCGCAGCCAATCAGAGGTCTTATTTCACCTAGTTATCACTGTAGCTAAATCTCTCCGTTCACGAAAGTGGGCGGGCATCCTGGCTGTAATCATGACGGCATCAGAAGAGAGCAGCTCTGAATTGAGCCCGGCTCAGCTGAACGCCCTCTTCGACATCTTGACTCACCATCAGACATATCAGGAGATACAGAGCTTCAAACAACCGGAGACAATTTACTCATATGGATTCCCTTTTGCGCAGAGGCTGGCCAGCAATGAGGACGGAAGTGATGTCGCAGGCGACCAGACAAAATGTCCCATCTATGCCGACAAGTCGGACACTCCCACACTGCAAATGATGCTGACTAAAACTGTTCTTTCTCTGCCGCCGGCAAAGGCGCTGCCGGACGATTTCTGGCATGTACGCATCCAGGAACTCATGGCCTTGCTGGGAAAAGCGGAGCTTTCTGAAAGCTACGACCAGGGCGCAATGGGCACGCGCAAGATCCTGGCAACGGCCTCGTCGTCTCTGCTCGAGTCAGTCAGTCGTGGTATGTTAGGCGGATATCCGAGCGGGGGAGGCGACTCGTCAGCTGCACATACCATTGTGCCGGATCGGACCTACGACACGACGAACGCTGTGGAGTTTTCCCAGGCCTGGGATGATGTTGTGCGTGCCATGATTTACGGCACCCTCCTAGACGATCTATTTCTGTTCTGCGCTGAGCATGAAGACATTGAGCAGCACTCATCTGCCGTTCGCACGGCTGTGGACTACATCATCATTCAGTCAGTCCTCACTGCAGTTACGAATGTAGAAAATTACGCGCTGATTTCGACTGACGGCATTTTCTAGACTTGCTGAGTTCTTGCATTATGTCTTTGTGCTCTCACCAAATGGCCGGTACTTGGTGAAGCTAGCGGAGAATACGCAGAGGATGGTTCCATATGCCCTCATACGGCAGACTCTGCGTGTTGGTAACGCAGCTACCATGATCAATGCTATGATGAAGCTGCTTTTAGCTAAGATAAGCGTGGGAGGCCTTACGAACTGGATGGGCTTGACATCATCCGCTGGCGAGGGAATGAATCTGCTACAACGGTGAGCCATGAGCTGCATTATTTCTCAGCGTATAAGACAGCATGGCTAACAGTGGTAGTATAATCGCCATGGTGTTGTCATATGACTCGTCAGACTTTAGGAAGGCAGCAGAAAAGATCGAAAGGGACAAGGATGGTCCTGGCGCGGCACACCTAGAAGCTATCAGGGAGCACCTCGCAAGGCCGCAGCAGTACCATGAGGCAATTCGAAACAAGAGCGTGGAACAGAGCCAGTCGATTGTCATTGCGATACTGGAGTCCGTTGATCCGTCCCTGGTCGGCTCTATCAACGACAAGCAACATGCCCAATGTGCCCAATACTACGCATCGTTGCTTTCCATTCGAGACCGCAACCAAATCACCGAGGTTTTTTGTCACCAGAGCCCAGACCTGTTCACTCAGGTTCTGCGGGACGGCATTTCAGCTTGCGATCCCATTCTGCGACGGATTCATGACAAAATCGACCTCAAGGAACACCTCGGGGATCTTGAGGGATTTTTGGACGAGTTGATTGAAGTTTGCAAGGGCCAGAAGAAGGCAGTCACGCCCTTTAGATTTGCCAGTGACACCGTCGGAAACGGGGCCTCACTTCCGACGGTGAAAGACTACACCGATCTTCTGAGGCGGAACCGCCACCTTCTCTACAAATGGCTTCATCGAGTCGCCAAGGACACGCCTGACATACGGGAAACATTTCGGGACTGGGCTGTCAGCGCAGTGACAGTATTTCGAAACCCCAACGTGACAGTCAACGCCAGCAGGCAGGAAACAAGTGAGCAGCACAAGAACAAGCCGGAGTCAAGCCGAAGGCCGTGGCCGGATGGCGGTTCGGGTGCCATGAATGGCAGTCTGCAGGGCCTCTTCTCGGCTTTACCGGCCGAGACACAGGCATCAATCGCGCCTCTGATCGACGCTCATGCGGCCTACATCGACGCACTGGACGAAATCGCAATCAAGCGAAGGCAGCGCCTGATTGATATGATCAACGGTAACGGGAGCAACGAAGACAAGAATTCCATTGAAGGAGACGGAAAGGCAGCCAGCCCAAGCCGGTTTCTCGCACGTTGGCAGGCCCTCCTGGACGATACGCTCATTGGCCCGGCGACACCTACGGGCCCGGTTCGCCGTGGACGAGACGTTGCCAACATCACGGCACCAGGTAAGATGGAGGTTAGCGGGAGCGCTTCAAGACGGACGAGTGCAAGGAACAGCCGGCAGCCATCACCGGCTCGACCTGGGTTGGCAAGGGCGGAAACAGCCAAGGTCTGGAGTCTGAAGCGACCAGACGTGAAGCTGGTGTTCGAGACTTTGGGGCCGCAGTTTAAACAGCTCTTGCAAGAGCGGAAATAGGGGTCGGCAAACCAGAAAACGAACAGTATAAAAAGAGCGGAAGACATGATAGAACAACGACGGCAGATGTTGGCGCTTATCATGGACAAGGACAAAGTATGAGCTTTAAACAAGACCCGATTTTGACGAAGCGAAAGAGCACGGGCTTTAGTAACGTTTACTTTGATTCTTTAGTCTTTTGACAGATCTGTTCTTGTCGTATGTGCACAAGCGTAGAGAATACAAGGGGACGAGACCAGACTACCGAACAGTGGCGCCCTTGAGGGACTTGACGGTGCAGACATGGCCGGCAGCAGTGACAAGCTTGCCAAGACCAGTGGTGGCGAGGTCCTTGACGGCGGCAGCGTCGAAGCCGACCTCGAGGTCGTCGGTGGTGGTGAAGCCTGGCTGGAAGGTTTCCCAGACCTTCTTCTTGGGGTTTAGCTGCTTCTCGGGCTCGCCCTGCCAGCCCTGGAAGAAGACGCGCTCGCCAGCAGGAGCATCGGGCGGGGGGTTGACCAGCTCGACGGGACCGCCGTGATGGTCCTCCTCGCCTTCGGCCAGACGGGGCGAGGCGGCCAGGACCATGGCAGCGGACTTGATGCCGCGCATCTTGACGGGCTTAAGGTTGCAGACGACGACGACACGGCGACCCTGCATCTCCTCGAGCGGGACGAGTCCGTTGAGACCGGAGCAGACGGTGCGCACGACCTGGCCTTCGTATTCCTCGGTGTCGGGCATGCCCTTGGCGTCGCCCATAGCGATGGTCGAGACAAAAAGCGAGTCGGCTTCGGGATGCTTGATGGCCTTGAGGACGTGGCCGACGCGCAGGTCGATAAGGGCAGGCGTTGCCGGCACAGCTGCTGCGGCCGGAGCCTTTGGCTGCTTTGGTGCCCGTTCCTTCTTCTCCTTCTTCTCCTTCTTCTTGCCCTCGGCTGCTGGTGCCGGTTCTGCTGCCGGTGCCGCTGCAGCCTCCCTGGCCTGCTTGTCCTTTGTCCGGTCGACGAGCTCGGTGGTGGCGGCTCCACCAGCTGCTGCTGCCGCGGCTGCCTTCTCTCCTTCTTGAGCCGCTCCTTCTCGGCCTTGGGGTCGATGGGTGGCGCCACGTACAAGATCTCGTCGGCGTCGACGGCGATCCGGTCGGCGTCGGCCACGGCGAGCCCGAAAAGCGGGCTGCTCTGCACAAAGTCGAGCAGGCGGACGACGTGCGGATGACCTGCCTGGCCGGTGCGCTGCTCGGGTGTCCAGGCCTTGACGGCCGGTGCTAGCGACTCGTACAGGGCCACGTCGGCCTTGGATGGCTTCACGCCCAGCACGGTGGTGCGCGAGGCCAGGTGTGCGTTCAGCTCGGCGATCACCGGCGACTGTGCGGCCGGCTCAGCGGCGGCTGCCACCGCTGCTGCGGCCGCGGTCCATTTCTGGATCTCCGTCTCCTCGGCCGGCGTGTAGGTCTGGGAAGCGATGGGCACAAGCGTGGAAGCCATGGCGGACAGCGGGCGCAGAGGCGTGATCTGGAAGCTCCGCAGGAGAATGGGGCGGAAGAGACGTAGGGCGAACAGCTTGGCGACCGTTGTCGGAGATGACTGTTTCAAGAGGGAGGGCCGTTCGAATCGTTCGAATCGTTTTGCAGTCAAAGTATCGCGAGAGTGACTTTTTTTTGCTCTTACTGCCCCGCTATGGAGCTGGCTTCCAGGTCGCTGAGTCAAGAGGGGCTGTTCGGTTCCCTTGTGTGCCTGAGAGGTAAGGCAGAGTCACTTTACCAGCCGGGAGGGCAGGGCGTGACCACGCGTGGCCGGACCCACCAAACGCAAACGGGGCACGCGTCGCGCCCTGGCGCCCCCAATTTGGCAGTGACGTCTGGTGACGCACACCTTTTCCGCTTGAGCTCAGATTTCTGTGACTTTTCGGCGTGCAGCCATCGATCTGGACTGATTGCACACACACCAACCTCGGAACGATGGCAGACAGCAAGGTGAGCTCTGTGGCCGACGCTGGGAGCAGCGCTGCCAGCGACAAGACCAGTCTCCCGTCATCGCCGCCACCGGCCAATGCGGACGGAAAGGACGAAAAGGATGACATTGCTGCTTCTGCTACTACCATAACGCCAGACGAGCAGGTACTGATGGAGGCCGAGGAGAGGCGAGCACAGAAGGCCAATGCGGTGGAAGAGCAGCGACGCATGGCAGCACTGCGGCGCAAGCAGAAGAAGAAGGCCGAGACCAAGGCGGAGCGAGAGGAAAAGGCCAAGGAGCTGGACGAGCTGCTGCGGCAGAGCGCCGCGTTCAGCGACATCCTGACGAAGAAGACGCAGGTGCTGGGCCGGGTGGGCTCCGGATTCGACGGTAAGGCGCTGGGCGAGCACGACCTCAAGATGGCGGCGCAGCCAAAGTGTCTGGTGGGCGGCACGATGCGCGACTACCAGCTGGAGGGCCTGACGTGGATGCTGGAGATCTGCCTTCAGAACATGAGTGGCATTCTGGCGGACGAGATGGGCCTCGGCAAGACGGTGCAAACGATCTCGCTGATCGCGCTGCTGCGGGAGCAGGAGCAGTACCTGGGGCCGCATTTGATCGTGGCGCCTCTGAGCACACTCTCGAACTGGGTCAAGGAGTTCAACATGTGGACGCCCTCGATTCCGGTGGTCATGTACCACGGCACACCGCCACAGCGCAAGGCGCTCTTCAAGGACGAGATCCAGAAGCACCTGCACAAAGGCCGGCCGACGGAGCAGTTCCCAGTCGTCTGCACCAGCTACGAGATCATTCTTCGTGACCGTGCCGATCTCGCCAAGATCAATTGGGAGTTTATCATCATTGTAGGTTGCCCGTTTCCCGTGCGGACAGGCGATACCGGCGAGCCCGTACTAACCAGGTGCAGGACGAGGGCCATCGGATGAAGAACTTTGACTCCAAGCTGTTCCGTGAGCTGCAGACGTTTCGGTCGGCTACGCGGTTCCTGATCACCGGGACACCGCTGCAGAACAACCTGAAGGAGCTCTGGTCGCTGCTCAACTTTCTGATGCCCAAGATCTTTACCGACTGGGAGGCCTTCTCGAGCTGGTTTGACTTTAGCGAGCTGCAGGATGAAGAAGGGACGGCCGAGTTTGTGGAGGACCGGGCGAAGCAGGCGCTGGTCAAGAAGATCCACATGGTGCTACAGCCATTGTTGCTGCGACGCGTCAAGGCGGACGTGGCCAGCTACCTGCCGAAGAAGCGCGAGTACATCCTGTATGCGCCGATGACCAAGGAGCAAACGGACCTGTACAACGCGATCAGTGACAAGACGGTCGACACGCGAAGCTACCTGGAAAACATGGTGGTGGAGCGGCTGACCAGCTCCGAGGCCAGCACGCCAGCGCGACGGTCACGGCCGGTGGAGGCAAAGCCGATCTCGGTGGCGATCCGAAGCAGCTCACGGGCGAAGAAGATGGAACGGGTGGAAGAGGTGGTGATTCCGACCAGCAAGCCGAAGAATGCGTTTGCGATGTTGATGGGTAAGACGGCGAAAGGAAAGCCAGCTACAAGTATGGCGGCTGCTGTGACGCCGGCCAAGAGCGCGAAGCGAAAGGTGTCGCCGGCTTTGGCCACGGAGGTGTCGCTGCCAAAGAGCGCCAAGTCCAGCCGACACTCGACGCCGACGACGCCTGCACGCGGGAGGTCTCGCAGCAGCCGACGGACGACGTACCTCGAGGTGGACGCGTCGGACGAGGACAAGATGTCGGACGCCGAATTTGAAGCGGCGCTGCTAGACGAGCTGCTCTCGGTTCCGGACGGCGAAGATCGGGGACTAGCGCTGTCGGAAGGGGAAATAGAACGGGCACAGACACTGGAGGTGGCGAAGCGGGAGATTGGCAACAAGAAGCTGGGCAACCCGCTGATGCAGCTGCGGCTGGTGTGCAACAGCCCGCACAACTTTTACAATCCCTGGCTGGCGGGCGAGGAGGCCGAGGCGGACCAACCGATCGACGAGAGCATCGTGACAGCATCGGGCAAGATGTTGCTGCTAGACCGACTGCTGCCGTCGCTGTTCGAGCGAGGCCACAAGGTGCTGATCTTCTCGCAGTTCAAGACGCAGCTGGATCTGCTAGAGGCGTACTGTGCGGAGCTGCGGGGGTGGGCAGTCTGCCGGATTGACGGGTCGGTGGCGCACGCAGACCGGCAGTCGCAGATTGAGCTGTTCAACGCGGACGCAGCGCACCGGCTCTTTCTGCTGTCGACGCGGGCGGGCGGCCAGGGCATCAATCTGGCGAGCGCGGACACGGTGATTCTGTTTGACAGCGACTGGAACCCACAGCAGGACCTGCAGGCGCAAGACCGGGCGCACCGGATCGGACAGACGCGACCGGTGGTGGTGTACCGACTAGCAACCAAGGGCACGGTGGAGGAGGAGCTGCTGCTGAGCGCGGACGCCAAGCGGCGGCTCGAGAAGCTGGTCATCAAGAAGGGCGGCTTCCGGACGATGGACCAGAAGATGGCGGACGGCGGGGACGGGTTGACGGCAGCCGACCTGGATGCCGACGCGCTTAAGGCGCTGCTGCTCAAGGACGGCCAGGTATACGAGTTCGCAGGCGACCGAGAGGTGCTGAGCGACCGGGACCTGGACGTGCTGTGCGACCGCAGCGACGAGGCCTATGCCCAAGCAGCCAGCGGCCAAGGCGATGCCGACGCCTTCCGGGTGATCGAGACAGGCGCCGACGGCATCACGGAGTCGTTCAAGAAGCAATGACGGATAGATAGAGAATAAGATTTTGGCTGCACTATGCACTCTTCAACTCACCACTGGAAACTCTCTTCAAAGTACTCGACATGGCCACAGGTCGGTGATCCGAGCAGATCGACGACGGCGCGGCGAGCGTCATCGGCCATGCGAGCAGGGCCACAGGCGACGACAGCCAGCCGGCAGCCGGGCGCGATATTCTTAACAGCGCACTCGACCTCGCCGCGGACGTCTGGCCGCCCGACAAGCAGACGGGCCTGTCTGGGGAGATCTGGGATGTCTGGGAGGGGGAGACTGCCGCTGTTGTCTGCCGACGTGATGTGAACGTCTAGCCGAACGGTGCTGTTGCCATCGAGCAGACCGGCAAAGTCGGTGCGGATGATGTCGACGGTCATGGCGGCCTCGCGAGCGGCCCAGACGACGTGGACAGCACGCAGCCGCGACGCCCTGCCGATACCGCTGAGATGCGAAAGCGGCACGACGACGCCGCTGCCACCGACGACGAACAGGACGGCGTCAAAGGTGGCCAGGGGTGGCGCATGGCCGTAGGGCCCATCGACGAGGACAGGCAGCGAAGCAGGAATGAATGCGGTGGCGGCCTTGTCACGCAGACGGGCGGTGAAGCCGTCGTACGGACGGACGAGAAAGGTCATGGTAGACGGGTAGGGAGTGTGTCCAGCGACCCGAATGGTGGCAGAACTGTCGTCGAGAGCGGAAAAGGAGGAAGAAGGGCCAGGCTTGGCGTCCGGCTCGGCTTCGCCTCCCACCGACGCTACCGTGAATGGATGGCTCTCCCAGAAGCGCCAGCCGTCCAGCACATGCAGATAATAAAACGTCCCCGGCCGGGGCTGGTACAGGCTGGTGCTGTACGGGACCACGAGCCGGACCAAGTTGGACTGGGCGTCGTACGTGGCCGCGGCCCGGACGACATGCCAGAAGCGCGGGTGGAAGGCAAGGATGCGCAAACTGCGGAGAACGCGGTCGGCCAGCCAGACGGCAGTGCAGGTCCAAACGAGACCGTCGAACCGGCCGTGGAAGATGGACACATGGCTGGATGGTCAGCGAAGAGAAGAAGGAACCCTGGAGGAGACAAAGGAAGAAACGACGTACCCCAACATGCCGGCAAGCACGAGGATGGACAAGACAATGTGCAGGACCAGAAAGGCTTCGTAGACATGACGACGCATCCAGTAGAGCGAGAAGCCGAGGAGGAGCGACATGGAGATGGTGGCCTGAGGGTTAGAAAGGGACGAGACGAGACGAGAAGGACACGACAAAAACTCACTACGCCGCCGGTCCACCAGAAGAATATGGCCCACCACTCAACAAAAGCAGCAAGGCCATCATCTGCCGTTTTGGCCGCAGTCAGCAAGACAGCCGAAGACAAGGACAGCAAGTCACTCACTTCGACACATGAGCAGCGTGTAGCCGATCGAATGGATGATGGCCTGCACCGTGGCCACCCGCGCAACCCAACGGTGAAAGTTGTTGAATGTGCCAAAGTCCCAGCCCGTCAGCCAGAGGAGGACATTGTTGCGCATGCCAAAGAGCCAGATGAGCGGGAAGTTGGCATAAGAGACGATGCCGGTGCGGTCTGAGACGTAGCGGAGCAGCTGTTCGTGGACGAGAGGATAACTGGGAGACGAAGAACAAGATCAGCCCCGGAGGACAAGGCCATACAGAGACGAACGAAAAACGGGCCAGAGACGTACTACATGTTTCCGGAAAACGTCTGATAGCCTTGAACGCACGACAGCACGTTGATGGCCACAAAGACGGCAATCGTCAGGCTCTGCACCCGTGGCGGCACCGTGTACCAGCCAAAGTCCTGTGCGCAGCGGTAGCCAAAGGCCGCCGGCAGTGTCACATAGCGCCGCAGCCAGATGCCCGGTCTTCCAGCAACCGCCAGAGGTGAGCTCTTGGCCAGGGCTGCCTCGTCGGCATCGGCATCAGCGTCGGCGTCGAGACCGTCGGCAGCACGTCCGGCCAGCGGCTGGTAGTCGGTACTGCGAGCAACTATCCGCCGGGCAGCTCTCTTCACGACAGCGGCCATGCGGCAGGAGATGCCAACGATAACAACAACCATCCAGAAGAGGAGCATCATGGTGCTGTGGTTGGTGATGGTTGCTTAGTCAGCACAATGTATGGGTACGGAGTCGAGTGGACATACCTGTAGGCGAGATGGTGTTTGTGGACATAGAGCCAGTCATCCTGCAGTGACAACGGGTCAGGCAGGCAAAAAGCAAAAAGGCACCGGACAGAAAAAGAACAGACGCACCAAGGTGTCGTATCCGTTCCGGTACAGCGCTTCAGAGGGCACGACGGCCTCGCTGATGTTGGCCGGTGGAAAGTCGACGTCAGACGGCTGAAGTCGCCGCAGCTGGGCGACATCTTCGTCCGAATAGCCGGAAACGAGGTCATGGTATGGTGGCAGCACGTTCTGCTCCGGCTGCCGGCTGCTGTCGCCGACCGTGGCACAGGTCCGATTGAGCCGTTCGATCCCAGCAGCCTCGTGGTAGCCGGCGCAGTAGACGCGCAGACAGAGGTACAGCGACGTCTGCAGAAGGCGGCTGCCGCAGGCTTTTTGCACGCGTCTGCTCGCTGGCGCCACATCGACATACGCGACCGCCCCGACGACCATCTGGCAGGCGTCGGAGCAGCGGGCACGGTCGCTGCGCGGGCGTGGCCGCAACGTCTCGCCATCGTCGTCTTCGTCGTCATCGTCGGGAGCATTCCGTGGACGGAGCTGGTGTGAAAGCGGCAAAGACAAAAAGGAAGGCGAGAAGAGGTCGGAAAGATCGGATGCCGTCAGCCCATCTGGCACTTCCAGCCAGCCATCGACAGGACTGCCCAGACTCTCGACTCGCTGCTGCTGCTGCTGCACATCCGCGGTCACGCCCGTCCAGCAGACCGCCAGCAGAATCCACAAAAGGCAGGTCGAGGACGTCATCCAGCCTCTTTCACGGCTACTGCTGCTGCTACTCTTCCTCTGGTCCATTGCAGGTCGCTTGTGCGTGCAGACAGAAGCAGGTGGGAAATACGGTTCGCTCTAGCTCCCTGTCCGCTCGGGAGATGGATGAACAAATGCAGACTCGTCATGGGGCGGATGAGGAGCAGACAATCGCAATGGAGAGAAGCTGCCCTGCGCCAAGATCGCACGGAATCTAATCAGATCCGTCTTTCCTCTATGATTGGCTAGTCGGCACAATAGTGGGTCCTCCCTGCATCGGATTGGCTCCCGGTGTCTTGGCCAACAGTGGCACTCGGCGCAAGTCGGCTGGCCGTTGCAGACCAGCGGCGGCGAGGTAAAAACAATTCAATTCACTCGGCTCGTGTGGCCGTCTCCAAGCACTTCTGGCAGTGTGCATTGAAAGCACAGGTATCTTCGAATTTGCCGCAACACCCCTTGCACAGGTCCTAGCTCAGACAGCCTTCCACGAATAAAAAGAAAGTGAAAAAAGAACCAGAAAGAAAAGGAAGAAAGAAAAGGACAAAAGAAAAGGACAAAAGAAAAGGAGGCAAATAAAAGTATGCACAAACAGGGAGCGGAACAGGTTCGGGTACAGCTGTCTCACCCCAAGCTCAACGGGACCTCTGAGTCGTGCAGGGAGCCGAGCGACTGTCGTGCCTTTCCGTCAGCCGTTGTCAGCATGGACGAGACCTTGGGAGAGCCGACGAGCGTGCTGTCGGTGGCGGTAGTAGCCAAGGTCGTGGATCGGGCGCGGTCTCGGTCCCAGCCTCGGTCGTGATAGGTGTCGGGGCCGGCGCTGATCATCACGGACATGCCTATATCCCCAATGCCGAGGCTCTGGTGGCGCGGCAGGATAAAGGCATTATTGGGTGGCGTCCGTGGCATCCACGACGGCTGGGGCAGCTGTGACGGCTGCGACGACACCGACGACAGCATGACCACGTCGACCGTCTTCTGCGACCACTGTCTGTGGGCGGATCGGTCGGACCGATCGGACCGGCCGAGCCGGCTGAATTTCAGTCTGCGCATCCGGCTCGAGCTCAATGATTGGTCTCGCGGCAACTGTTCCTCGGTCGGCCGGCTGGACTGGCTGCTGTGGAGGTGGAACAGGTCCGGCATGACACGGACGATGAGCAAGCGTAGCGGCGGCAGCGACACGCAGACGATGCCGATGGTGCACTCGGCAATGGTCCACATGACGGACGAGACGAGGTCGTCTGTTGGGTCAGCAGGTGTGAAGTGTGGTGTGCGGATGAAGAGAGGGCATCTCACGTGTGACGTCGACCGGGTCTGACAGCAGATGCAGGTAGGCCAACCGGACGATGGCAGCGACACAGGCGCTGTAACGTCAGCGGGTGCATAAAGGAGGAGGGAAGAGGAAAAAAGATTGAAACAAAAGAAGGAAAAGGGAAAAGGGAAAAGGGGAAAGGGGAAAGGAAAAAAAAAAAAAAAAAAAAAGAAACCTACAATCCGCCCAGAAAAAAGAGCACCGAGATGAGCAGCTTCTGGCGCAATGGCAGCTGTAGCCGCCAGAGGAGCGGGATCGGTATGACGCAGAGCATGATGTCGGTGACCACGCTGATGGCCGTGCTGGCGTACAGAAAGTCGACAAAGGTGTAGCATTTGGCGCCGACATAGGTCACGTCCCAGGCCGCGTGCACGGGTAGGCATTCGAAGATGGTGGCCGGCAGCGCTGCGATGCCGAGGCCGGTGCTCACGGTTGCCGTCCCGTACATGAGCACCTTGAGCCGGCCGTGCGGATCAAAGATGTAGACGTACGACGACACGATTGAGAGTTTGGTGAAGCAGATGGCCAGGGCGTAAAAGACGTTGGCCACGAACATGAACTGGAAGAGTGTCAGCTGTCGCTGTCGGCTGTCCGACCGAACGAATTCCATCTGTACATACCCGGATGCATCTCTTCAGGTGCGGGATGATGGTGACAAAGTCCAGGTTCCAGATGTGCTTTCCGAGACCATACTGGGAGGCTGCAACGGCTGTCAGCATGGGTGGTCCCTTGCACAATGAATCGGCCTGTCTTACCGGCAAGCACGGAGGAACACACGACGATCGTGAAGACGGACGCGAGCACGATCAGGTCTGTGAGTGTCAGCACGTCGAGCTGCCGCTGTCTTTTCTCATGGCTCACTCACAGTCGTCCACCAAGAGACGGCCGATGGTGTGTCGTCGCAGCAGCAGCCGCAGCGACACGATCACGGTGATGAGCGAGATGCAGGTTGCCGGCACCGCAATCACGACGCCCGTCAGCGACGACTTGTCCGACAGGTCGAATTTGCTGATCTCCTCGGGCGTCACCGAGAGCAGCGAGTTGCCGTATGGACGCCACTCGGGCAGGCCGCCTTTGAAAATCATCGAATAAAACACACTGCCGTTTCAGGTTATTGCCTGGATGTTGTGTTGTTTGGAAAGAAAGTAAGAAAAGGAAAAAAACTATCCTCTGGTCAGGACAAGAAAGACACAACAGAGATAGAGAAAAGAACGACAGTAGGCGGTGCTGCAATGCAACGGAGCCCGGACACCTTCGGTTGGATCCAGGCTCCGTTTCATCCTGCCAGAACTATGGTTTGGACAGCAATAGTGGTGTCTGGCGCATCCCTCTGTCGGGACGTTTGTCACAAGAATCAGCAGAGCCTCGATGCCGGCCGGACTCTGGACTAGTACCACACTCTATCTTCAGACTAACCCAGTACCCGTGCCACGCTCCACTGCTTGGATTTGCAAAACGCGCACCAATTAAGTTGGCGCGTGGCACGGCGAGATATCCCCTCCCGGGCAATCTCGCGCAGGAAAAACGTGGTGGCCACATTGTCCCCTCCCCCATCTCGGCCGATCTGCTCATGATGTGCACTACGGACGGCATCGTAACAGAAGAGGAGCTGGCAGGCAACAGGGTGCTCAGCTGGCTGGCTGCTGTCCACTTCGTCGGAACTCGCCCGCTCCCTTCAACCTCTTTCTGCCTTCTCGCCTCTCCTTTCCTTCTTTCTTTTACGACTCTCGTCCCTCCTTCTTGCCTTATCTTTCCCACCTCTGAGTTCTTACATCCGAGCAGTCACAATGCCCTCGTATTAGAGTTATTCGACATCCCCTGACACAAGGGGTGCAACCTCCTCAAAATAAGAAAGACCACTTGCGTTGCTCAATACTCAAACCCCGTGTACAGGGGTTCCAACGGCTCCCTAAGCTTGCCTCAACTCGGAATAGGGCTGGTTCGCTGGGATGTCAATGCGCTGCATCGCCTTGAACAATGCAAATACCTCGCGACACTTGGACAAAGAGGAGCAAGTGCGAGCTGTCTTTGGAACGAAATCGTCAAATTGTGGACCAACTATGCCAACCGATTGTTACCTCAGCCCTTTGCCCTCTTCTCTTTTTCCCCTTCCCTTTCTTTTTCTTTCAATGTCGATCTCTCTCGGTCGCGCTACTGCGCGCTGTCCAAGGCATCACAGCGAGCTGATGCAAAATCGCACAACATCCAGCTATTTTTACCGCTCTGAAATGGAGCTCAATACTACCGGACCGCGACCCTTTTTGGGGACTATTGAAAGCGATCAACAGCCGGGTCGGGAAATTAGTATTGCTGCGACTGCCCACTTGGGGGACCGTTCCCGGTCGCGGCGTGGCTGAGAAAATTGCCAAGGTCGCAACCACTACAGATTCCGGCCGAACCCAATATTTGAATCCCGCATTTCACATGCTTCTCGGCGCAGCATCCCGCACTGCTCTCAAGACCGCCGAGTCTGGCCCATGCTGTTGCTGGTTAGTGACGATGAAGCGCTGCTGCTCACGGGCCGTCGCGTGCTGCCGATAGCCCCCCCCTTGCTGAAGAAGCTCTTGGCCGACCAGCCAGTTTTGGTCGGCTGCGGCGCCAACATCTCCTGCTGCAGCGTCTCCGTTAGGATATGTGACTGTGGAAAAACACCGTAGCGGCCCTTGCTGTCGGTGCCGGCCCAACACCAGTAGTCCGCGTACAGGCACTTGACGTTAAAGATCGTCTCGCCCTTGTCAAAGTGGAGCCAGACAGAGGCAGCGTCACTATTGGCGCCATCGTCATCTTCGTTCACGCCCTCGTCATCGCTGTCGTTCCCTCGCCTCCCGCTCTTGCCGCCTTTCCCTTCGTGTCCACCTCTTGTACTGCCTGGTGCTGCCTTGGGCTTCCACTTCCACCTCGCCGTCACCTTCATCCCGCTACTGCTCTCCATCGGGATCTCGCTCTTCCGTGGCGGCTCAATCTGCACGGCCTTGGCTGCAAAGGCGCCCACGAAGCCGTCGTGCCAGCCCAAACACCACTTGCCTTCCCACGCCTCTGGAAACATGAGCCCGACGATGCGTGCGCCTGCCAGAAAGTGCAGCATGTCCTCGGTATATCTAGGCGGCCGCATCAGCTTCTTCGACCCGTACCGCTGCATGTGGTCGCACACTGCCGTAGCCACAGCTGCTTGACCGACCGTCGGGGGTACTGGTATAGGCATGGGTGACCGCACCAGGTGCAGGTCGAAATCGTTGGCCAGCTCCGAATCCGGCTCAGCCATCTCGCCATACACAACACTGATGCCAGGCACGGCTGGCAAAGGCTGTGGGTGGCGGGCCAGGTGCAGTAACAGATGGTCGGGCGTCGTGAAGACGGTGGCATCGCCCTCTCGCACCGTAGCGCCAGCCTGTACGCAAAACACGCATGCATAGTTGCTCTCAGCCTGGCGCTGCGACGCCAGATGGTTGCTGAGGTGTGACTTGTAGAGCAGGCGCAGACGAAAACGCACCCCTCCCGCCTTGGTGAATGTGGCCTCGGCTGAATGTCAGGTCAGCGTCGGCTGCAGCAGAGACAGTCAGGAGGGCATAAAAACGGTAGATACACACGCTTCTTCTCCATATCGAGCCGAACCTCCTCGTAGTTGTGGGCATAGCCACAGTCGACGCAGCGGCCGATGGTTGTCTGCTTGTTCTATTGCATGTCAGTCAAGCCACACTCACAGGCATCGAAACAAGACGAATCGCGTACTGCAACATAGCCACCCTGCTGCTTGATTCCCTGCCAGTGTCCGCCCAGCCGGAACGACTCGGCGCCCTGGCAAAATCCGCCCAGCTTGACGAAGCTACTACTGGGCCCGATGCTGCAATCTGGTTCACGCACAAACCCGCGCGTTATCGGAAAATCCAGGCTCGTTCCTGTGTCAGCCTCCGATCCGCCATGCAACCCGGCGTTCGAGCTCTCTTCCGCCAACATCAAGCCGTTGTCATAGTGGCTGTCTGAGGGGGCCGACGGCAGTGTAGCCGGCAGCAGACTGAGCGGTGCCGGTACGCTCATGGCCGACGACTGCAATAACTGACCCGGCGTCTGATCCGGCTGCTGGTACGGACGATGAAATGAGCCAGTCCAGTATTCTCCATCCCGCACCTCTTCCTGCTGTGGCGCCAGCTGGTGTGACATTGGAAGGCTGATTGGCGGCATCAAGGGTGATGGGTCGAACCGAATGAAGTCCTGTATGCTCTGGGAAGGCATCAGAGGGGACAGCGCTGGAGATGGCAACACACTGGTGGAAGACAAGATGTTCCGCTCAGCTCGGCCTGAGAGCGCGGGCGACGACACAACTGACTGGACAGACTCGGCCGACGGGACCGACCGGATAGGAGGCAGGCTAGGGGAGACGAAGGGTGGTGGGAGGGTGACAGACGTCATGTGTAGGGCGTTGCGCGGATCGCGGGGATCGGTCGCGGGTGGCAGAGCCGGTACGCAGCTTGGCGAGACCATGATGGGAGACCCAGACGTGTAGCTGTTGGCAGTTGAGGGCATGTAGGAGGTGCGCGAGTCGGTCATCCCGCCCGGGCTTCCCAGGCCGTGGTCAAAGACAGAGGCGGCCCCGGAAACAGTCAGCGAGCTGAATCGCGACAGCATCAACGGACTCTCGTTGTTGCTGTATTCCGTAGCCATAGTCTCGCGCGACGTCTTGCCTCGCACGCTGGAGCGCGCGCGTCCCGTGATGGAGGCCTGATGGTTGCGCACCCAAGCGGAGGTGCGCGGGATGGCAGCCGAAGATAGCAGCGGTGACGTGGTAGAGGATAGAGGCTGAGGCGGCGATGGGTGAGATGTAGCATCGATGATTGTAGGCCTGCTTGGGGTGATGCGCACTGCGTCGTTACTGCTAAAGGCATCGTCGCCGACGAAGCGGTCTTCGAAGCCGCGAGAGCTGGATGTCGTCGTGGAGCCTCGCGTGTTTCGGCGCCGAAGATCCAGCAGGCTCTCGAGCCTGCTGGAGCCACTGTAGTTGATATGGGGCGCATCGCAGTCAGGGATGGTGTCCTCGTCGCCCAGGGCGGCTGCCAAGTCGGCTACAGGTGATGTGGGTGTAAAAATGGGAATAGACGTGAGCGCGCGGGGATGCATCGTCGTCGTTAGCGAGGATCGCGGCATCGGTGGCATTGATGGCACCGGGGGTAACGGTGGCAGTGGTGGAAACGTCATTCCCCGGGTCGACGCAATGGTGGCCGCAGCTGCAGCGGCCAGCTGCGAGGCCGTGCTCTCTCGTCGGGGCGACTCCAGCTTGATGCGCTTGGCGTGGTTGATGACGTCTAAAGCCAGCGAGCGCGTGGCTGCCTGCACGGCAGCAAACCGGTCGCCATCAAACGTGTCGGGCTCGATGTAGTCTTCAAAGTCGTACAACAGGTCCTCCAGCTGCAGCCTCTTCTTCTCGATGTCGTCTGGGCATATCAGCACGTGGGCCAGAACGTGTGAAGGAGACTAAAAATACCCACCCTGTTGCAACATCGCTTCCTTGAAGGCGTTGCCATACTTTTCCGCCTGGCCGTCCCAGACAGGCTGCAGCCGTTTCATTGCCCGCTCGCCCTCTTTTACCAGAGCCCGTCCAGCCTTGGCGAGGAGGCTGTTGGCGCCGGCTGCGTCTCCATTGAGATCGTCGCCTGCCTCGCCGATGTTGGCTACGGCCTCGTTGCCACGTTCCGCTACCTCCCGAAACGGGCGGAAGATGAGCTCGTCGGCATCGACACCCATCGTTGCGTATGCGCGATTTGGGGGACCGGGCGACGTGCGGATTCGCAGCTGTGCATCCACAGTCGTCTGCTGCTTGATAGATGTTGTACGGAGTAGAACGAGGCTCGGGGGAAAGGAGCTCCAGCAGGATGGAAAGAGGTGCCCTGTGACCCGCAGGTCTATTTGCTCTGTATCTGCATCACTCTCATCTTCCCCAGTTCTAGGATGCAATCTATGTCGTAAACCGGTGGGGACGGGGGAGTCAAATAATTGCAATAGCACACAAGTGTGAGTGGGGAGAAGGCCGGCCTGAATGGCAATACAGGCTTGATCTAGTTTGGTGAGTTTGCGAGAGACACAGAAGCCAATCGTTCGACCGCGTCAGAGCATGCCGTTGCGGGCACTCGCGGGGTGTTCCTGCGTTTTCGGACTCGTCTTTTCTGGCCAAATCGGTCAGGTCTTCCGTTTCCCTTTCTGGAAGGAGCGAATCATGCAATTAGCATTGTTTTTTCAGAAAGGGGCACCAGTATAGCCCCTCTGCTCTAAGAAGGTCAACTCCCGACGTCTGAGGCCGCAATATTAATATGGTGAAGTAGCATTAGCCAGAAATGGCTGGTGAGGGTCTAGGCGTCGGTCTCCAAACCGAGCTAAAATACTCCGTACAACAGTCGTATTCCCCAACTAGGCTAGCACTACTTGATGGCGCCTTTGCAAGTGTTCTCGAAGGAAATTGACCTGCAGAGGTACTGTATAGCAGGCCCCACGCATAACGGCGCGCGGATGAACGAACAAGTCTATCTGTTGGCGGGTGCAAGTCCTTGCGAGCCTTTGACAGCATCATCCTTTCAGCCTATCTTCAATGTTGCCATGTGTAATGGACAACGTATCTTGGCAGTCCTATCCGCCATATGTATCCATCTTATAACTGGCACTATGGATGGTGCGAGAGGCAAGTCCGTGGCTGCTTGCTGGCATGGGTTTGTCTGGGGAGGCGCTATTGTGGGCGATCTTGTCTAAATGAGATGGCAAATCTGTACTCCATACGGAGTACGGAGTACGGAGCATATTATTACCGTATCGTACTTACGTATGTAGTGGCCCTTGCTCGGATATTTTAAATGCTGGAACGACTTTAGGGACATATTTCCCGGATTACCCATAAGCTACATAATACCGTCCTACACGGGGCCTTCCCAAAGAAGAACATTTAGTACAGCTCAAGGCGAAGTACGGAAACCTCGGGATCCCGTCCGCTCTCCTAAGATGAGCCAGCAACTGTCACATTGGTACTCCGTAGTTGGGTCGGTGACGACCAGCCAATATTGATGTTTTGCCATTTGTGCCATGCACTGGTGGATGTGAGCTATCGGTGTTTTCCAGCGAACATATTCCTAGCCATTATAGACTTAAAGAATTGGATATCATCCTAAAAAACAAACCAAAAACATGGAGAAGGAACCTTGAACAGTTATTTCAGCCTGGCTCTTGGACATGGCGATGCCCAGGTGGCAAAGCCCCACTTTACCTTGCCTTAAGCCATAAATGCATGCCGATAATGCGCTTATCAGAACGTGAAATTTTACACCACCGCAAAGCTCGACCTGACTGCTCACGCCCTCCGACTGGACAAGAGGCAGCACACGCTCGGATTCTTTCTAGACATGGCCACAGCCACGGTGGATGCAGCGGGCGCTACCGCGACCGACAGTGACCCCGTTGTCGCTCGCTACAACGTCTTTCTCAAGCCACAGCTGCCGGCCCACCAGAAGCTGCTGGTGCTGCAGTACCCCAACAGGGTCGACAAGACCTCTCCGCTGACGAGCTCCGGACTGTCCCCGACCGAGCTGCGCGTGAAGCAGGCCTCCGGCATGGTTGAGATCGACATTCCGCTCGACTACAACAACGCCTACGACCGCACCAAAGGCATGGCTTGGGGCGGCGCCCTGGCCAGCTCGACCAAGGCCAAGGCTGGCGGCAGCCACGGCCTGGCCGGCGGCTTTGGCGTCGGCGGCGTGCAGGGCGCTCGGGGGCGGGCGCTGGCTGGAGCAGGAACGGCTGGCGGGCGCTCAGTGTCGACCACAGCGGCCGGTGGCGGTGATGGACACTACGGGTCGCTGGACTGGTCAGAGGCCATTCGTCAAGACCGTGTCCTCCGGTTGCAGACGCTCGGTGGCATGTGTCCGCCGACACGGACAGCCGAAGCCCGCTGGATGATTGGCGTGTTTGATGGCGGTACGTTGGGCTGGTCGATTGCTTATTTGCCTTTCTCTTTTTTTTTTTTTTTTTCCCTTCCTTTCCCTTCCTCTCTCCCTCTAACATCTACAGGAAACCTCCACCTGACACCCGTCAACTCGCTGGTTCATCTTCGCCCGCAGCTGCATCACATCGACGCCGAGGCGGACCTCGACCGCCAGAAACATCGCGACTCTGCCGGAGCTGACGGCGGTGCTGGCGGCCGTGGCGCCGGCGGCCCGGCAGGCGGTCCCGTAGCTCGTGCCATCCACATGACTATCAAGAGCGCTGGCGCTGACGGCGACGAGGTCGTCACTGAGACCATGGCCGATCGGCTGCGGGCCGTGCAGATGGAAAACTGGACGCGATTGACCTACGTCGGCGACGACGACGAGAACTCGTGGGACGTGTACAACCAGACGCTATTTCTGCGCGAGACTGCTGCTGCTGCTTCTGCTTCTGCTTCTGCGGCTGCCAGCTCGGCTGCCTCGTCGACGGGAGCGACGGCCGGCGCCGACGACGACGACAAGGAGAAGAGCACAGACATCCTCAGCGCGACCGACACAGCCGACGACAAGCCGCTCGTCGCAAAGGTGCCCTCGCTGCGGACGGCCTGGCAGGAGAACGACCTGCTGCAGGCCATCAGCGGAATCCAGAAGCCAGCCGACGACAGCTCGGAAGCAGCTGCCGCCGCAGCAGAGGTCGCTCGACAGACAGCCAGGCTTAAGGCCAAAAACAAGGCTAAAGCCAAGCAGAGACTCGAGGGCAATGCTGCCAGTTCGGCTGAGGCTGTCAGCTCGGCCGCCGTCAAGCAAGAGCTCTCAGTTGCGGACGGACCTGCTCCAATCGCGCGGAGAGGACGGCCTTCCGCCACTCTGCCACCATCTCGTGGACGTGGAGGCAGAACAAGACAGACCGGGCCAGGTCGCGGCTCGGCAATGGACATCGACTAGGCTGGATTTGATGCTTGTTGCATTTGCTGGCGTTGGAACGGTGGCTAGGGATGGATATGAACAGTCGAACCAACATACATTAGGCAAGTATTTTTCAATCGGGGTTTACTTCAGTGCAATGGCGTCTTCACGCATTCTGCGTCTTTCCGCCCAGACATATTCTTTATTTCTCGTTCTTCCTTTGGCATTACAGCTACAGCCGATTTTTTGCCTCCTTGACTCTCGACATGGTTCATTGCTTTGCGATTCTCAATCGGCGGTTTCTCATCAAAGCCAAATCCCAAACCATCTAACATGAATTTCTTTCCTCCCACCCCCCCTTCTCCCCACATCATTTATCCAACCAGAGTCAATAAAAAACGCTCTGTGTATGGTGGAGGCTCTGCCCCTTTCGTTGTTTCGGATTTTTCTTTGAAAAAGAACAGAAATAATCCAGGTTCCACGGGAAATCATGGTAATCCCTTTGGCAGTCACCAGGGACTGGTCGTGATATGATCGCATGCAGTACATAGCTGCCTTTTGCCGTATCTTTCGCTCGAACAACAGTTTCAAATCCTTGCTCCCCCTTCCTGTTTTTTTGGGTGTCTCGTCTTGACTAGGTCGTTTTGATTTTTTTTCGGGTTTCTTTTTCCATTCTTTGTGTTTGTTTGCATCTGAAAAATGGTGCACGCACTTCATATCCGCTCTCATTGCAGAAGCTCCACGTCCAGCCCAATGGACCGCATGAAGAGGTTCACATTCTGCAGACGTTGCGTCGACAGATCGACCGGCAGCGTCTTTGCCACGGCGACCGTGTCCATGACCCGGTCCTTGACAGACAGCACGAGGCGCTGCTGCTGGTCCGGGTTTGCACCGATACCAAGAGCTGCCAGAAGCTGCCACACATACATGTCCTCGCCAGAGGAAACCGTTCCCGGGAAAATATAAGGGAGAATTGGCTCTAGGACGTTAAAGAAGTTGGTGTATGCAATTTCCCTATAATCATGTCAGTATGATGCAAAAGTTGGAGGCGATGTGCAAAGGGGGGGGTCTTACCAAGTCTGCCATTGTTGAGAGGTACCAGCGCCACTCTGCTTCAGAATCTCGGCGCGGCTAAGGATCATAGTCAGAACGGAGGTACCGACGCGCGACTTTGCAATCACGTCTACTTTGAGGTTGGTGATAAGGCCCAGGACGCCTGTGACAAGATCCAGCGGGAGATCGTTCATGAAGCCAAAGAGGGTGTTCATGACAGTTCGCATAAACAGATCAATGCTTTCGCGGAGCGCAGCATTCAGCTGAACATCGTTGTTAACCTGCGCCTGGCGAACAATGTCGAGCTGATCCAGGTGCACCACAATCATTGTCAACACCGTCGCCCGGAGCTCATGTGACAGATGCTGAAACACGCGGGGGATCGCCTTCTTGCCCTTGGGAATAGACAGGAACGCAATGAACGGGTGGACAGGAAACTCTCCAATCGGCTCGTGCACCTTGAGCTCACGCCAAAGCTGGGCGCTCAGGTGCTGGGCCGTCTCCGACCACTCAAGCTGGCGTTGCATCAGGTCAATGTCGTTCGGGTCCGACACCGGTGGCGGCATCTTGCGGCCGTGGTCCTCCAGCTGCATCAACGTCATGTACACCTTCTCAATGCTGCTCAAAACCGACTTCCGATCCACGGCACGGGCGCCAGTGCTAGTGGGAGACTGCTTATGCGCACTGACAGGACGGTGGTTCACGTCAGGGCTTCCCGCCGCACTGCCGTTCTCTTCACGCTTGATGTTCAACAGTGGCTTGGGCGTCTTGGCATTGCTGAAAGAGATCTTGCCTAGCGACCCCTCGATAACCAGCTGCTTGTTTTTTGGCCTGTTCTTCGCGGCCTCGACAGCCCGCTGTACCTGCTGCTCCATGCGCTGCATGTGATTCTCAGCTCCACGCTCACGGTTGAGAAACCTGCGCGAGTTCATTCGGCTGCCCGTTTGAAAGAGATAAGTCTGGGCGAAGTTATTTAGAGGCTGGCTAGGGTGCTGGCGACTGCTGCCACGAATGTGGCTCAGGACCTGATAGTAAAAATCCTCCCTCAGAGCTTCGTCGGTGCCGTGCTCATTGGGGTTGCCCGTTGCAGACACCAGTTGCTGGAGTTGAATTCTGGTCACAAAGCTCTTGTCCTGGGGCGTCATCAAACCATTGTCCTTCGACAAGATAAATATCTTGTGGTTTCGCTTTGCCCGCTTGGCCTCCTGCTCCAAGTACGCTGCCTTTTCCTCGTCAGAGAGGTTCGCCACTTGCGATGGGTGCGTGATGATGTGTCCAGGTCCAGAATGCGAACTTTGTTGGCGTTGATGAGTAGGATAGCCCTGAAGACCAAAGTTCTCTCCTCCAGAGAGCCGGTCAGGGTTCTGAAGAATCTGCGTTGGCTGGACCGGGCCGGGAGCCTGGTGAAATGCAGTAGGTTGATATTGAAGTGGGATTTGAGCCGGGCTGGAGGCCTGAGCTGTTGCGGGAGTCATCTGCTGCGACTGAGGACGTTGCAAGATGGAGATCGGGTGTCCCTGTCGCTGGCTGGCATCTCCCAGCGCCGCAAATTCTGGGAGGACAGCATACCCGTAGTCCGTCGGCTGAGCAGGTGCCACAGAAGAAAGCACCTGCTGTTGGTAGTCCTGGGGCTGAGATACTGCAGGCTTCGACTTTGCACGCATGGCGGCCTCAACCTCCTCCAAACTCATTATTTTACGGCCGCCAGGTGCGGCAGCCTTGGGATCTTGACCAAACGATGAAGACAAAGCAGGCTTTTTCGGGGCTACTCCCCACAGGGCAGCATCAACCTCCATCTCTGGTTCCGGCTCCTTGTACTTCTCATAGCCAGACCGAGCAGGCCTAGAAGAAGATGGCGCGAAGAAAGCATAGCCCTGGTTGTTTTGGGGTGCAGCCCTTTCATGACTTGCGGCAGCTTTCGCCATCGGCTGTAGACGGTGGAAGCGAGCATGCTCTTCTTCTATGGCATCGGCTACTTTAGCCGTCTGGCCGAAGAAGTCGAAGTCGCTGCCTACTTTGGACGAGATGCTTGGCCCGGCGTCGTTTGCGCCATCACCAAACGTGTCATCGTTGAAGGCATCACCGGTTTCCTCGAGGTTGTCGCCAAGGCCGTCGTATTCGTCGAAATCGAGGGCTTCGTCGGCAACGACACCAGCATTAGAGAGTCCCGCAAACGGGTCATTAATCTGGGAGAAGCCCGGCGCGGAAGCGTTGTGCCGCGTAGGATCGAAACCGAAAAATGACATTTTGACGTATTCCTTGGAGCCGAGAAGAAAGAAACGGGTATGATCAAATACCTGAACGTAGTCATGATAAGCGTGGGGACTGACGTAAGGGCATACGGCAAATTCTTACCGCTATGCAGAATAGAGCTGAGCTGTAGCAATAGTCTCAAGTATAACCATGGTGCTAGAGAGTTCCGGCAAACTAGGATGTCTGACTCGGGGACCGAGCTTGAGAAGCAGTTGCGAGCAGGCAGTGCTGTGTCCAAATTAAAACAAACGCGAACAGAGGAAAAAAATTGCGGGGAAGCAACAGAATGCAAACTAGCAGAATGGAGGATGGAAAGAACAACGAGACAGAGTGAATTCCTGACGAGAAGCGAGCCTTGATTTCTGGCAAGTTGCGCAAAAGGAAGCCGTTCCTCGCGGGGGAGACTGTGATTTCCGTGCTTTGGTGGTGGGTGAGAAACGTTCCAACTTGCGCAAATGGGGACCAAACTGTGGGTTTTGCTCAAGTTCACAAGCCAGTTACAATCTTGCCTGGAAGAGATCTTCACGTGATCTTATCGTTTTGCTGAACAAAAAATGACACAATGTGCAAGTAGATGACTAATCGGCTTTGGCGTCAACAAGTCCTAAACCTAATCTTGATCTGCCGAGGCGGTTATATGTAACTACATACAGACGGTGTCGCGGAGCCCACTGTAAGGGCCGCAGAAATTCTAACCTTCTTAGCAGTTTTTTTGCAAATCTCCCATGGCATGTACGAAGACAAGACCCGATCGTAGGATAATGTTCCTATCGCAATACGGCCTGCTCAGTTGTCTGTATAATATAGTTGCTGCAGCGGTTGCATCGGCTGCTGCCTCACTTACACCAGTCAAACACCTGTCCAATTACGGGGTAAAAAGTCACCATCTCCGCCAAAGCGAATTCCATGTATACACTCTAAGGCTCGCCTACTTTGGTCAGTAGATTGGGAATACTGTACGGAGTACACATTCGTACATATGGCCGGCGATGCATTATCCCGTATTGTAAGACAGTAGAAAGTACTTTTTGAGCAAATACTAATCACTAGGGCCAGTCGGACCGTACTTTGTCTTCACAGATTCCGTCATTAACCACTACAATCTCAAAGGTGTTGAGCTCCAGGAGGGCTGGCTGACCGACGACAAGCTGACTGGGGTCTCTTTCTAGCCTTGCAGGATCTACAAAACATCGTCTTATTATCTACGAGTGACTTCCGGCTTGGACCGCGCCATCCACCTCTCCGGGATCAGGCTGTCCCTTCACTCACAAGGGAATGGTTTATCGCCGTGCCAACTCGGCAATCAAAACCACTGGATCCTAAGCATAACCAATCGCAAGCAACACCGCATAATCGGTATAATAGCAACACTAGGAGCAAGCCCCTTTGGGCAGTCTTTCCTGCGATCTTCTTGTGATCTTTTCAGCATCACTTCGTACATTTGTTGTAGCAATCTCTCCAGGTGTGAATTAAGCAGTCGTTCCGGCTAGCAAGCGTATAACTCGATTGAAGTCTTACAGCCGCTTCATAAGCCCCCTCATGCCGCCAAAACGCTGGCACTCTTCTACATAACATACTTCTTTGGGGGTCTACTTACCAGTAGTCGTATTGACAGAAACGGTAAGCTTTAACGAGATGTACGAGTACGATACGATATAAAACAATCAATCGTCGGCTGCCTGTCTATAGTCCGACCTGAGTCTCAAACCAAGTAATTAGATATTGAAAGAGGAACTGTTGCTCCGAATTTTAACCTAGGCGACTATTTTGACATCTTTAAACTTGGACGAATCGGATTTTATGATTCCAACGCTGTGATAGTCTGGGTTGTCATGATTAATGGAGTGGGCCTCTACGTACGTGACTAATGGCTTATGACCAAATGTGACATGTACATTGATTAGCATTCACGCACAGACTAGAAACAAGACAAATTTGGCGCCTACCTCGACCAAGGGCCTAGAAGATGTAACAGAGGCATATAAAGGTTTATATAACGGCGATGCAAACGAAGGGAAGTCTAGTCACAGATGCATTTGATGGGAAACTAACAAAACAATAGATTTCTCGGTGCTTGTATAAAAGTACCTTATTTCTTATAACTTCCGTATAATACGTATGTGGCCATCGGCAGATACTCCAAAGTTAGTTGCTGCTGTACCTAACAAGCTTTTGTGCGCAGTCCACCTGCGAGGTTTGATTGTTTCTATTCAGTGTATAGCTGCTTCTCCAATTTCTCTTCCCCGGAAACAAATCCTCGATCAAAACTAATCGATTCTCGGCTCAATAGTGAGTCGTGAAAGTCTGTCTGGACTAAGTACTATAGAATTATGGAGATTGCACATATTCTAGGTGGTATTGTACTCAGTTGGTATACTCCTTCTGAAGCAACTTGGCAATCGTGTTTAGTCTGTGGTTGACGTTAGCTACCAGTATTTCTCAAGGATGTTGAATGAGGCAAGCCTTACTGAATGTTGCTGGTGCCTTCGTAAATGGCGCCAATCTTGCTGTCGCGGAAGTACTTCTCCGCGAGACCCTCGCGGACGAAGCCCATGCCACCCATCCACTCCACAGCCAGACTACTTACGCGGCCAGCTACTTGCGACGCGTACAGCTTGGCCATGGCAGCATCCTTGACAAAGTCTTCGCCAGCCTCCTTCTTTCGTGACGCGTTATAGACCAGTGCTCGAGCAGCTGCAATCTCGACATAAGACTGTGCAAACTGGTGTTGCATGCCTTGGAACTCGCCGATCAACTGACCAAACTGTTTCCGGTCGTTCCAGCAGTACCTATGCATTTGATCAGTCTTTACTGGGGCCATTATTCTAGTGGATTAGACCAAAAAAGGACACCCACTTGACAGCATTTTCCCAGGCACCCAAGGCCAGGCCGGTCATCTGGGCGGCAATACCGATGCGGCCCTCGTTCAGCAGCCCAATGGCGTATTTGTAACCGTGACCGCGCTCTCCAAGCAGGTTCTCTTTGGGAATATCGACGTCGTCAAAGTTGATGACGCATGTGCTGCTCGCACGGATGCCCAACTTCTTTTCCTTCTTGGCAATCGAGAAGCCCTTGGTGCCCTTCTCGACTAGGAAGGCGGTGATGCCACGGTAGCCCTTTGCCGGGTCGAGGTTGGCAAAGACCACAAATACATCAGCCTCCATGCTGTTAGTGATCCACATCTTGGACCCAGAGATCCGGAAGCCCGACTCAGACTCCGTGGCCCGCGTAGCCAGAGCGAAGGCGTCAGACCCCGATACGGGTTCCGACAGACAGAATGAGCCGACCGATTCGGTGGCCAGCTTGGGCAGAATCCGCTTCTTGAGGGCTGGGCTGGCGTATTTGATGAATACGGTGTTGACCAAGGTGTTGTGTACGTCCACCAAAACACTGACGCTGGGATCTGCGCGAGCCAACTCCTCAATTGCCACAATGGCAGATGTGAAATTCATGCCTGAGCCACCATACTCCTCTGGAATCTCGATCCCCATGAGGCCCTGCTCAAACAGCCGCTCCACAATTTCCGGATCCATGGCCTCGGCCTCATCCATTTCGCGGGCCTTCGGCAACACGATCTCGCTGGCAAACTTGGACACCGCTTCCTGCATGGATGCCTCGATATCCGTCAAGGACGTAATCGGTAGTGGTGGCATCTCTACTTCATCGGTGCGCCGTGGGGTTGTCATTGAGAATTGGCGAGCATTGCTAGAAAGTGTGCATCGCAGGCGTCAATATCACATGCCAATGTCCAAATCATAATGGCGGAATTGACAAAGCACGGCTGGGACTTACGTTCGGGGGCAAACGCTCCATGCTGGCACCCTCCGGGGAGTAGCATTTAATAGCTTAGAACTAAGGGACACATGGCCCTTTCGAAGGGCTGGACGAAAAGCTCTTGCGAACGAAGACATGTCTAATTGCTCTGCGAACAGGCAAAATATGTGCAGAAAAGCAAGGCGCGTTCCGGTCTTTTTGGCAATTGAACCGGTTCGATCAAGGGCGACGTGATAAAGAGGAATAGAAAAGGGTATGAACAGGAACCAAAACTAGTCGCAAGAAGATTATGAAAAAAAGAAAACGGAATGAGTACAGAGTACAGCTTACGGCCCCGCGGCTAGAATTACTAGTAAGTTTGACCCAGCTTGAACCGAGGGTATCCATTGCCCTTGTGAAAGTCGGACCCCACGTCTAACAGATTCGCCGGGGTAGAAGTCTTGGCGGTGCCACTGCCGAGTTGTGGGGGATTCGCAGAATTCTTGTTCCGGAACGAAGTACGGGTGGCTGCCGGGATTCACGTGATCCCGTCTTTGGGTCTTTCAAATTTTTAGAGCTTCTCGGATATGCAGAGGCATTTTGAAACCAACCACCGGAGCAGCTCGCCACCGCCGCCATGCAACGAAGCCTGGTGTCGCCGCTCATGCGGCTGGTCCTGCGGCCTGCACCTATTCCATTCCAGCGACTTGAGGCGGCCGTGCCTGCGATGTCCCGCCCAACCCTGTCGGTCGGATTCGCCATCCAGCGCGCGTTTTCTGCCACACCCGCTCCGAACGCAACACTGAACCAAGTTTTAAGGGTATGGCCACCCGCATCATGGCCAATTGCAAGGCATTTCACGGTATCTGACAATGCAGGGCTGCCGGAAACCACAACGGGCGCGTCACGCCGTGTCGCCGGCACTGTCGGAAAAGCAGGCGCCAATGATGAAAGGCGTATGCCTTAAGGTCGGCATCACTCGGCCCAAGAAGCCGAACTCGGGCGAGCGCAAAACCGCACGTGTACGGCTATCCAACGGCCGCATGATCACGGCATACATTCCCGGCGAAGGCCACAACATCCAGCAGCACAGTGTAGTGCTAGTTCGAGGAGGTCGCAGTCAAGATTGTCCTGGTGTGCGTTACCACTTGATTCGTGGCGCTCTGGATTTGGTACGTGAACCCTCAATATGTGCTTTACGACAGCGTTACTGACAGACGAAGGGTGGTGTGTCGCACCGTATGACAAGCCGGAGCAAGTACGGTACAAAGAAGCCCAAGACAGCCTCGGTGGGCTAGACGGACCAAAAACAACGGTGGAACGGGAAATTAAAACATATTTTTGAAAGCCAGATATGCCTTTTGAGCTATTCTAGTTGCATCCAGAGCTAGGTCATAAATATCGTCTCGTTAATATATAAAATGCGTAGAGAATAGGGTAAGAAACGGGTTTGCCATAAGGTCACTGGTGATAGGTCTCGATAGAACGTCCAAAAAATCGAATTTGCAATCCCATGGTGCGCCGGTATGCGAGCTCATTTGTTCAAATAGAAAGATCCGCTCTGTTCAAAGAGTGTTGTGCCAAGTACCTAACAAGAAAACTGTGTTCAATCGTCGCATCGAAAGCCGTGCAACCTGTATAGTCGGAAGCCGGTTTTCTTTTCATTTCTCTAATGCCTTCCCCTCGAACTGTCCCAATTAGCCTCGTCTCCTTGTCTCTAGGTCTGCTTCTCCCAGCCGTCCGGCTTTAGCATGTGGTTCAGCTCGAAGAATCTCGACGTGCCTGTGTCAAGTTAGTAGACTGGCTCATCGTAAAATTGTAAGGGCCATGGAATCTGGTAGATATGCCAACATACAAGAGAACCCCTTCCAGTCAAAGTTTTTGCTGGGGTCGCAGTGACAGTGAAGATCTTGGCGCGTCTTTTCACTAGTCGGGCAGTGGGTGAAAGGGACGTGATAGTACGCAATATCGTCAAAGAAGTGGAGCTCTTCTTTCTTGAGCATTAGGGCGGCAGCAATGGAGTGCACGGGTGCATCGCCCCATCGTTCATAGAAGAAACCACCATCCTTGTCAAGCGACTCGAAGAAGTCCATGTATGCCTTGGAGCGAAGCCAGTTCAGGTTACCGACCTCGAAGTTGGACCACTGAAGTGTATTAGCCTCTGTTCATAACAAAGCGTCATCTCAAGTAACAAAATCAGGACTTACAAAGTGGCATTTGTTGTACGTCTCGCCGTTGTCATCGCTGAGGAACTCCATCGAGTTGCCCTCAACGATATGCTCCGGGTGCGCCTGCATGAATTTCTTCGTGCTTTCCCAAAGGGTTGGGATCGTCTCGGCATACTCGTATAGACTCAGGACGAAGGAGTACTTCTTCTTGTTCTCGTGCATGTAGCGGAAGGGGTCGTAGTGGATGTCGCAGAAGTACTCAACGCTGGGCTCAACACGCCAGTAGTAGTCGTAGTTAAGCATAAGCTCCTGCTGGAAGAAGAAGCCTGACTCAAAACGACACATGTGGCGGTAGCTGACCGAGTCACCATAGATGATCTTCTGGCGGCCCATCTCTTCGCGGACTTTCTGTGCCTTGTCCTGGTCGATGTGGTCCGGGAAAGACCAGTGCTCCTTAGGAATCACACCGTAGTGGGTCTTGCCAGAAATGAGAGAAGTGGTGACAGCCTTGAAAGTGTCGTCAAAGGGCTTATCGTTGAGGAACACCCAGTCGTAGTTGAACCTCCGGTTGAACCGGTCCTCCACCTGCCGGATGGACCGAGCCACCTCCCAGACGTCGTTGTTGCGCGCAAGCGTGACGAACGTGGCATTCATACGCGGACCCGGTGCAATCTGGTTCAATTCGTAAAATCCAGAGTCGTTTGGCGTCATGGCCATCGGCGCCTCGGCAGAGCTGCCGCTGGCCGTCTTGCCAGACGACGTCTTGTCGCTAGCTGGGGCCGTGCCGGTAGTCTCGGGAGCAGCTGGCGCAGCACTCCCGTCTGTCTTCGTATTTGTATCAGAACTACCGGTGCTTGAGGAGACAGGCTTGCCGCCAAGCATTTCTGGTGCCCGCAAGGCAACCGTCTCGGAGGAGTTGGAAACGATGTAGAATATGGCAACAATCTAGAAGGACGATCGGTTAGATGTGTCCGAGTATATCGTGCTATGCACTGGGAGCTGGAAGGCTGGCCAGCTGCGGATCTGAGCTCAACGTGGCCGAACCCGTAAGGGCCAGCAACGCGTAGAACCAGTGACGTACAAAGAACGCGATCACAATGTATCGCACATATCGAGCGTTACCGGCCATGGCTGCGGCAAGCAAAAGGCGACCCGAAGGACGCTCGAACCAGGGTGTGTGAGTAAGGAGTGACGGTAAATGGAAGGAAAAAAATGAGAGAAGAGGAGAATACGGCTCAGACAAATAGTAAAGTTGTTCGAGATGAAGAGGGAAAGAGAAAAAAATAAGGGAGATCGACGAAGGAAGAGTAAAAGTGTGGGGACTGACTCGTACGGAGTACGAAGTATGTATTCATCTACATGAGAAAGAGACCTATTAGCCCCAACACCCCTGATTCAAAAAACCTCCGTGTTGCCCAATAGAGAACATGTATCTTACACGTACGAGTACGTAGTCGCGTCAGACGCAATAGGGTGGGTCATAATCACGTGAATAATATCAGTGGGAATCTCAAGCTCCGCCAATCCGCCAATTCCACGGGTCAAGACACTTCCTAGCATTTTCTGCCGTACTCCCTTTTCTGCTCCGTACATAGTAAGATACTTATCTTTTATCATACCACATCTTGCACGCATGCCTCGGAATACAAGACGTTCGCTCTCATGCTTTACTCGTACAGTCGTAGCCGGTCGAACGCGTTCCAGCGGTACGCCTTATCAGGGAATGCAAGCAATCCTCCGTAACTTCCCCTGCTACTATGTAGGGAGGCAACCAGCCCCTTTTAACAGGGGCAACTCGTATAGATCTATTTGTCTCGTATTTCGCTAGCGCTTTTGGCCCTAAATAGCTAACGCACTCCGTACTCCGTCGTAATCCATACACCAAGATAGAACGACGCTGCAAAGCCGCCTGGAAAGTTGCGGGAAATGAACAAGCATTCTTATTAATACATTGAAAAGTTGCCGAAAAGATTTGTGAATACTCCGTAGTTTTTCATTGTCACGTGTTTCGATCTTCTCGAACATTAAAGACTCCGTACGGAGTATTAGAAACGACGTAATTGGTAACTGTCCGGCCCTGAGCGCAAGCGCCAAGAGATCCAAGTCTGGTAGCTTAGGGCTGCCGAACCAGATCAGTCAGCGGGGCCGGCCTGGATAGATAGCACTCTTGGGAGCCGGAGGAGAATAGAATATCGCCCTCTTCATTCTTCCCTCTTTCTTTTTACTTAAAAGCAAGGAGGTTAGAAGGGGAGGGGTGAAAGGGAGAATACGAGAACGAGAAGAGGTCGCTTGATCTTGGATCTGCGAGGCGTTCTTTTGTGGCCAGTTCAGTTTTTGGAGTAAAAAGTACCCCGTATAATCTGTAGAGTAAGATACTAGCATTTGTCACTCACCAGGTGTCTTCGAATCGCATCCAACGGAAACCTCCCACCCCCCTTATTAGCCTCTTTCCAACACCCGTCGTGCACATACTCTGTACTATCCTTACAGAAAGTGGCTGCCTTTTTTCAGTCAGACGGCTAGTAGATTCAGAACACTTTACTTAAAAGATCGGCATAATGCACAGTCACATACCTAATAGTATCATCCGCCCCACTTCCGTAAGACTGCAAGTAACACGTCGGAGTACGGAGTACGGGACGAACACTCCTTGCTACTTTACTCCTTTAAGTTATATGAGAGAATGAAGCTGATTTTATCATAAGACGTTCGAAATAGCGTTCCCAGCTTTTAGGGGCCGCAGTCAAGAAAGCACTAGTCAAACACATATTTGTCTATTACGTACTTCATATCACAGAAGACGCGAATATGCATACTTTTATACAAGATACAAGTCAAAGATAAGATATTACTTGAAAGTCTTCTAGTTACATACTTGTCTTTGACCTTTACCTTTATTCCACTCCGCCTATTTGAACAGCTTCTTTTCGTTCGCCTGACTGTTTACTTAGTACTTCGTTATCGATGCATTAGCGGATAAACTAGATGTTGCTGGATGCCCAATGAACCGCGTCTAGAATATCTTCCGGAAGGTGTACTAGATAGAACAACGGCTATAAGCTTTTCAAAGACACGGCCTTCAAATCAAACCCCAGTCTTTCTAGCCTGCCTTCAACTTCTAGTGTCATAGGCGGAGTCGAACCTTATCACTGCGTGACTCCAACAAATGCACCTTCGTTCAGTTCAAACCCCCCAATAACAAAACACATCTTTCAGTCTATCATTGGAAAGACCCCGATTGATCCCGCAAACTAGTATATGGCGCAGTGGGGGGTTGACAAATATTGCAAGTATGTTCTCTCTTCCCATCCAGATACAATAGTGGCATCAAAGCATAAATACACAGATCTTCGATGACACGGACAAAGACTAAAGAGCATTTGTAAAAGCACTCTTCTGCGGTTATAACAATATAGTCCGTCATATCCAATCCTGTGTCAGCCCAGTGGTATCGGTAATAAAATCGGATACATCGACTTTCATCAAACTGTACTATCTGTAATCATAGTCAAGCATGAAGCCCTTTGCTAGTAGCATCCTTAGACCACATCTAACACATCCAGAGTATAAATTGTTTACCAACTAGACATTGGAGCTTGGCGGAAGACAACGTCTTACTAGAACACACGCGACCGAAGTGAAACCTATCGAAGACTGTAACGTCGCTATAGCAGAACCTAAGCGATCGGGCAATCCAATTGCCAGCTTTGAAATAGAGGGGGGTGTAAATACCGAACAATTGGGGCGCTTTTAAGAAGGGAAGCAGGAAATGTTATGCGCTATATCTGTGCCAAGGGTCGGTGTACTTACATATTATCTAGCCTTGAGGGAAACACTCAATTCTGATAGGAGAACGGTATTTGTTGGAAACATATTTTTCTGTATAAACTGGTACCACTTTCATAACATTTTCATACGCGTATAACCGAAAAATAGACCTTTAAAAGGAATAATAAGACCAGCCGCTTGGATACCATATACTTTCATTGCTTGCCCAGTCGGACAAATGGTCAGGCTACCATGGGTCAAGGTAGTGACTTGCTGTTGAGTAGGTGGAGGGCGGAGCCTCCTATACCACGCTTTCGCCAGAACACGTTCAACAGCAAAGACAAAAAGCGAGAGGCCATATTCTTCCTGGCTGCGGCATATCTGATGAGACTACGAGGACCAGGTCGTTATCTCAGAAGGCCTGGCAGCCAATCTACAACAGTCTTATTCTGTGTGTCGTACCGATCGAACAGGCACCATAGCATTCGGCAACTTCATCACTCCTATACCTCCACAAAGTATGTGACATAGGCATGTTTCCAATAAGCAGCAAGGCGGCTTGAACATATAGCCTGCTACTTATTCAGGCATACAGCGTTCATGTCTCGAAAGCATATAGGGGCGTTGCACGCCGGCAAGACAATACCGTCGTTACATGTAAAGCTTGTACAAGGGAGCTGTAAATCACGCGAGCGTTTGGCCACCATTCATAGGGCGCACAAGGCATCCTGACGAGTTCCTACTTCGTTGCCGTATCATTATAGACGCGATGTTACGACCATACATGCCTTTCAGATAAAGCGCTTTATGTAAAGAGCGACTTACACCCAGACGAGTCGGCGTGCGCGGATGTTGCAATACGTTGCTTTTTAAAAGGCTATATCGCATTGGAAGCAGCTCGCCGTGGCCTACGTTCGCTTAGTGGCAGTCCAGAGATGGCTTTATATTCTATATACCAACTCGCGCAACCTTTAGTGGTGGATGCGGAGCTAAACGAAGTCTAACAAAGCGTAACGTCTTGGGAAGTGCCCCGTGACGTTGCCTTCCCCACTTACCAGTTCGGGTGTCGAAAAGTCCTACGGTGGTAGGACGGACGTCGTTAAGATACAGGAGTGCTCGGGGTTTCAGGCAACTGCCATGAACGGGTGGAAATCCTTGTAAAGAGGACAGAGGTGAATACCTGTTAAGACGGATTTGGAGCCCATTTCACCGCTATCCCTCTCTGAAGATATGGCAATCACCTCCTCGGAATGATTTCAATGACGCTCAATGCCGCCTTTCTAGTGAAGAACGGTGCAGAAATACAGGGCGGAACGTCCGAACACACGGACCACCTCCGCACTACCAAAGCCCCTCTCCTTTCTCCCCTCCTTCCATTTTTTCCCTTGCGATTCCGTGTTTATATTTTGGCTTCTCTGTTCGTTAACAACATCTGAGCGACGAAACGACGACAGCATCCGTCCTGGCCTCGAATATCCGCAGGCCGTCTTCGCCAATACCGTCAGCCCTCTTCAAATTTCGGAGACAGCGGCTCTACCAGGCTTAGGACAGCCGTTCCTGAAGCTCTAGGATCGTCCTATCCAGCATTTTATCCTCTGATCTGGCGGATGATTTTGCTGGCGGTCTTTCTGCATACTCGCCTTCCAATCTCCCTATTCACAGAATGCCCCTATGACAAGGCTCTGATATAATAGCGCACAGCACGAATGTCATTCAAGCGACGAGCCGCCGCCAACTCGTCCTGCTGAATCCTCCCCGCCAGGTTCCTACCCACATTTAACGCCCACCCTGCATCTCTTTCTTTTGGACACCGCCGTATCTCCTCCCATTCTCATTATAATTCACATTGCGTATTATCCCTCCACCACTGTCTGCCTACCTCCTCGCACTGACAAAGACGACTCAGCAATCATCGGCTACCGGTTTGTTTCGTCACGCGCCACTGCGAAATCGGGAACCGTCACAATTCTCGCCTATCTCGGCTACCCAAACAAAACCCTTTGTAGCAGTTGCCGCGCGTGAAGTCGCGCGGCCCCAGAGCAGCAACCATGAACGAAGACGACCGAATCATGGATATCTACAAGAAGATCGAGCGGGAGAAGATGTTGATCCAGGCAGCAAGCATGATGCGCCTGCAAACCAACAACGATGCTGTCCAATCAAAGCTCGACTCCCAGATGCGCGAAGGCCGGCGCAACCTGGAGTTTTTTGAGGAGAAGTTGCGTGAATTCCAAATGCGACGTCTCGGCCAGGGCATGGAAAACGTGAGCCTTGGAAGTGGCAGTGGCTCTGCAAGCGGCTCATTGCGACCCCTCAGCACCGATATGCACCCAGACAATGAAGGCCCCCCGGCCCCGCCGCCAAAAGACGCCTCGTCATGGGCAGACAATTCAACGCTGGCTTCCACCAACCAGCCTGGACGGCAGAGCGAGTTACAGTCTCCGAACTTTTCTGTGTCTCCCGCGAAAATGTCTATGCCCAAGGCGCGGCCCAACTTCACGAAGCTTGGTGAGCCTGCTTCTTTTCCTCTCCTCCTTTGATGTTTGCCCATGCATGCTATATCGCTGGTATCTTTCAGCCAACTGATAACTGTCAGATCTGATCAAATACGACACGCCCTACCTTGGTCCGAGAATCCAGCACATGCTATCGCAGATACAGTTCAAACTCAATGTCGAAGAGCAGTACTTGAAAGGAATCGAGAAGATGGTCCAGCTTTACCAGATGGAAGGCGACAAGAAGAGCAAGACCGATGCAGCCTCCAAAAAGGTCGAAAGCAAACAAAAGATTACCCTGCTGAAGCAGGCGCTGAGACGATACGAAGAGCTGCACATTGATATCGACTCTGCAGACTCACCAGATGGTATGCCAGTGCTTTTTGCAGCAGACTTCATGCTCATGGCTCTGTGTTGGGGCACTATACTGACTGAAACTAGATGACAGTGTCAACGTCGCAAACATGCGGAAGCCGCTTTCTGGCCAGCTGTCCATCCGGGTGATGTCAGTCAAGGATGTCGACCATGCGCCTACTGGCCGCTTTAGCCGCGGGCCCGAGTCCTTCATTGCCGTCAAGGTCGAAGACAACGTGGCCGCACGAACGAGGCTGTCAAGAACGGACCGTTGGGAAAACGAGTTTCACAACATCGAAGTTGACAAAGCGAACGAGATCGAGCTCACCGTATACGATAAGCCCGGAGAGAACGCCATCCCGATCGGCCTGCTCTGGGTCCGCATATCCGACATTGCGGAGGAGATACGTAGGAAGAGGATCGAGGCCGAGATCAACTCCTCCGGCTGGGTGTCCGCAGACAAGATGTCTCGCGACAGCGGCCGGGCCGCGCCACCCCAGTTTCCCACCACTCCGCAGACCCAATTTAGCCCGCCACCAAACGCGCCGGGGAGCTTCTCACCAACGCAGCAGCAGTCGCCCCAGACGCAAGAGGCCGGCGGTGAGTTCCCACAGCTGCCACAGCTGGCTCCCGAGCCAATCACCGGATGGTTCAATCTAGAGCCCACCGGGAAGATTCAACTGAGCTTCAATTTTGTACGCCAGAACAAAGACCGCCGCCCGCTCGACCTTGGTCTGGGCCGCAAAGGCGCCATTCGGCAAAAGAAGGAGGAGGTGCATGAGATGTACGGACACAAGTTTGTCCAGCGCCAATTCTATAACATCATGCGGTGCGCCCTCTGTGGTGACTTCCTCAAGGGTGGCGCGGGGATGCAGTGTGAAGACTGCAAGTACACCTGTCATGTCAAATGCTATTCGAGCGTTGTCACCAAGTGTATCAGCAAGTCGAATGCCGAGACAGATCCGGACGAGGAGAAGATCAACCACCGCATCCCCCATCGTTTCCAGGCCTTTGGAAACTACACTGCCAACTGGTGTTGTCACTGTGGCTACTTGTTGCCGTTTGGCAAGAAGAGCTGTCGAAAGTGTTCAGGTTCGTCGGCCCTGCCATTTCCCCTGCATGCCGCCTGCCGACATAGACTTACCTTTCTGCAGAATGCGGCCTTACTGCACATGCTGGATGCGCCCATCTTGTGCCGGATTTCTGTGGCATGTCGATGGCTGTTGCGAACCAGATATTGGAGGGCATGCGGACGCAGAAGAGCCGCCAAAAAGCCTTGTCCTTGAGCGACCGTACTTTACGTCCTCTGAAGCCGGGTCAGGCAGGCCAGCAATCGCCATACATGTCTCCAGGCGCGAGCCCGAGCCTCTATGGTCCTGGGGCGGCGTCTCCTGAAGCTACAGAAGCAGCCAAAGCGATGTATGCGAGCCAGATGTCGCCCAAGCACGCTGAACGGCCAGACCGCACGTCAAGCATATCCAGCTCGGCAGCAGCAGCAGCAGCGACATTGGCGATGTCGGGATCCATGACGTCTCCGGGGGGCACAAAGGGTGGTTCGGGCGGATATGGAGACCCGTATGGAGCATTGCAAACGTCACCTACCCAGGCATACGGTAGTGCGCAGCAGCAGCGGAAGTATAACCCTGCGGACTATGCCAACATCGGTGGCCAATATCCCCCAAGCCAGCCGCAAGCGTCGCAGATGATGCCGCCCGCATCGTCTGCCGCCTTGCAGCAGCAGCAGCAGATGCCACCGCAGCAGCAACACATGTATCAACAGCAGCCGACATCGCTCCAGCAAGCACCGCTGATGACGGAAGCTAACATCAAGCCAATGCTTCCCGAACAGGCGGCGGCTGCGCCGTCGTCGGTGGTTGACCTCGTGACGGGAACGGCGCAGAAGAAGCCTCTCCCATTGGCAACAGACCCAGGCACGGGTCAACGGATCGGACTCGACAACTTTAATTTCCTTGCGGTCCTTGGCAAGGGCAACTTTGGCAAGGTGATGTTGGCAGAGACGAAGCGAACGCAAAAGCTGTATGCGATCAAGGTGCTCAAAAAGGAGTTCATTATTGAAAACGACGAAGTTGAGAGCATCCGGTCGGAGAAGCGGGTGTTCCTCGTTGCGAACCGGGAGCGGCACCCGTTCCTGACCAATTTGCATGCGTGCTTCCAGACGGAGACGCGTGTTTACTTTGTGATGGAGTACATTAGAGGTGGCGATCTGATGTTGCATATTCAGCGGGGGCAGTTCGGCACGCGGCGGGCGCAGTTCTATGCCAGCGAGGTGTGCCTGGCGCTCAAATACTTCCACGAGAACGGGGTGATCTACCGTGATCTGAAGCTCGACAATATTCTCCTGAACATCGACGGCCACATCAAGATTGCGGACTACGGTCTCTGCAAGGAGGATATGTGGTACGGGTCGACGACAGGGACATTCTGTGGCACGCCCGAGTTCATGGCGCCGGAGGTACGTGTGGGCGGTAGTGAGCAATCGGCGCAGGATATGCTAACAATTGCGACAGATTCTGCTGGACAAGAAGTACGGTCGTGCAGTGGACTGGTGGGCATTTGGAGTGTTAATCTACCAGATGCTGCTGCAGCAGTCGCCATTCCGTGGCGAGGACGAGGATGAGATCTATGATGCGATTCTCGGAGACGAGCCACTCTATCCGATTCACATGCCTAGGGATTCAGTGTCGATTCTGCAGAAGCTGCTCACGCGGGATCCGGACCAGCGTCTGGGCAGCGGACCGACAGATGCGCAGGAGGTGATGTCGCAGCCGTTCTTCCGCAACATTAACTGGGATGACATCTACCATAAGCGGGTGCAGCCGCCGTTCCTGCCGACAATCAAGAGCGAGACAGACACGAGCAACTTCGACTCTGAGTTTACGAGCGTCACGCCGGTGCTCACACCAGTGCAGTCAGGTATGCAGCTTCTTAATTGGATGCTTCCGTTGTCTGGATATGTAGCTAATCATTCCGGTGCCGCTACACAGTTCTGTCGCAAGCGATGCAAGAAGAGTTCCGCGGCTTCTCATATACGGCGGACTTTGTATGAGGATGCTTGGACGAAGTAGTTCAAGGCAGCAGTTGTCGACATTCCGCAAGCGCGCACAAGCGTCAGTGGGACGGGGGAAAAGAAGAGGGAGGCTTACACGATGCTCGTTTTGTGTGGAGTGTGGCCTTAGTTCGGATCCGGCCCGGATGATTGGATGCGAGTGAAGAGGAGTCGACGTTGACGGATTAGGTGTTGGCAACGTGTCTGATTCAACGGATATTTTTTTATTCTGATATATTTCAGGGTTTCTGCAAGCAGCCCGTGTCTTTCGTTTCATTAATTTTGACATTCTTCTGACCGAGTGTGCTTGAGCCAAGGCTTTATACAAGGACTTATCGATACGAGGTATATGATAGATGACAGCAAGGGATTAATAGCAAATCTGGTGATGTTGGTGGGCCAGTCTCTTTCTATCTTGTTTTGTATGGCGCTCTGTCTATTTGTATATATGCATTATCGGCTTTTCAGTTTGCCCTCGGCAGCATCAGCTTTTCGTACAGGTCCTCGCACCCAACATATATACACACACGCGCGCGTATCTGTCTAGGACAAGCGCCAGACTAGCAGGGCAATGAAGCCGACGAAGCTGGCGCCTGCAGCGGCGCTCTGGGCGGCGATGAGCGAGACGTCTCGCTGGCGCAAGTAGACGGTCCGTTCGCTGCACAGGTCGGCGACCCAGGCCTCCCAGCGAGCCACGTCGACGGCCTGGGCGGCAATCAGCTTGGCGTGGTCCCACGAGCTAAGCCAGACGGGCAGGGAGAGCTGGGGGAGCTGGGGGAGCTGAAAGCGCTGGAAGATGAGGCGAAGGTGAGCGAGGCTGTAGGTGGCGGGAATATCGTCACGTGACACATCACGTGCTTTTTCTAGAGGGACGGTAGAAGCGAGTGCCTCTGTGAGGACGGGTGCTGCAGCATCGACGGGCAGCGACACGGAGGCCGAAGAGGGAGCATCGGGGATGGTGTCAGAGCGTTGGCGGATGTCATGAAGGACACCGGCGAGGGAGTTCTGGACGTCGGCGAGCTGGTGGCGGACGTCGTCGAGGACGCTAGACTCGGCCTCAGCGATGCTGCGCATGAGGCGGCTGCGGCGCCAGGGCTCGGCGAAGAACTGGAGGACGATGAAGAGGAGGACGTTGACCATCATGAGGCCCCAGGTACCCCAGGTGCTCTGGCGGCGGATGCGATCGCTCCAGACCTGTTCCTCGTGGTAGCGCTTGAGGATGCCAGCCGTGACGGCAGCACTGAGGCGAGACTCGGTAGCCTCGGCTTCCTGGAGGCGCTCGACAGCGCGGCCAGCAGCAGCCTCGAGTTCGTGATCGTGGCGGTAGAGGCCAGTGAAGCGCTCGAGGTCGGCGGGTGCCCAGGTGTCCTTGCGCGCGAGCAGTGTCGTGACCTCGCGCTGCGTCCCGGCTCGCCGCTCGTTGACGGCCTGGTATTCGCGACGGGCCACGTGCAGATCTGTCTGCGCAGCCGCCAGCTCCGACTCGAGCTCGGCATTGCGTGCCTTGATCTGCTCAATGGCCGAGTAGCCGGTCAGGTCGTTGAGCGTTTGCGACGCCACCAGCACGCGGCCCTGCAGCTCGTCCATCACCCGGCTAAACTGTGCCCCCAGCCGGGTTCGTCCCGACTCGGCCACCGATGGCAGCTCAGCATCCGTGACGAGGGTGTCGTCGTTGCGTGGCAGGCTGCTCTCGGCTCGTGGTGAGGCCTCCTTGTCCCGGCTGCTCTCGTCGACGACTTCTGTCTGCACTGCCTCTGCTTTTGCTTCTGTTTCTGCGGCCTTGCTCTCAACAGGCTCGGCTGGCGACGGCATGGCAAACGATGGCAGCGGAAACGGCAACGGCGGATACTGCTGCTGCTGCTGCTGTTTCTGCTTCTCCGTGCTGCCATCGCCCGGCAGCCGTGGTGGCAGAGAGCTGTACGATCGGTAGCCGTGACCCCGCGTCACCGCTCCACAGTCCGGACACGGCCGTCGGGACCACGGCTGTCGTGGCGGCATCGACACCGTCCCAAAGGCCTGCCAGCGATACACCGCGCCACAGCCGGTCCTAGCCACCATCCCCGACTTCGTGCTCGTTCCCCCAGAGAGCATTGGCCGTCGCCGTATGTTTGGCCTTGCCACTGCTGCCACTGCCGTCATCCAGCTCCGTGATGCCGTGCCCGATGGCCCGGCTCCCCACCATGCAGCCGCTGGTCCGGCCATGCTCGATTTTCTTGGAGCGAGCTCGTATCACTGGCCCGGTTTCGGGCTTCCTTCTCTGGCTGTTCTGTCTTTGTCCCGCTGACTCGGTCGTGTGCACAGATCTCTCCTTGTCTCTCAGGTCTCGCGCCCGCTACAGGCCGCCGACGGTCTCTGCACGACGCGTGGTGCCTTGCAGTCGCTCGGAGAATGAAAGAGTTTTGCGTCAGCCAAGATTCGGCTTCTAACATCCGCACTGCCGTGTCGATCGTCGTGTCAGCCCCAGCTCGGAAGCAACGCGTCCGGCTGTCAATTCTGTGCTGCCGAGTCGCTGCAGCCTCGCTTTGTGGTCTTGCCGTTACCACCTCCAAAATAGCTCACAAGGTCCCCTGAATATCCGGTAGTGCTGCCGCACTTGCTCGGCTTTCTCGACAGCTGCACTTGTCGGCAAAAACCGCCTAGCAGCCCACCTTAGGGTTATTCTGCCGGTTCATCAGCTCACACCGCCTTTCCCAACAGCAACCGTGCCTGCAGCTGCTCTGCCATGCACCTCGATATGGTCACGATTGCGAAGCCGCTTTTCTCGTTTGATACATATATGTCTATTTGGACGTGCACTCACACACATACACACACATTCCTCCGTATACTTCTGGGTATCGCGTGTTGGCCTGCCATTCTAACCCTTCCAGCAGTTTCGTTTCGGCTTGTTGTGCAAAGTCCCTCAGGAATCGACGACTGCTCTTGCACGTCGCTGCTTCGCCTGTCCTATTGCCTAGACCGCTGTCCGTTTTCAGCTCGCCGGGATCCCAGTCCGCGACATCTGGTGTATCCATCTCTTCTCTTGTCCTCTCGTCCTCTGGTCCTCTGGTGTCTATTTGACATTGGCCAGGATCATTTGGTCGCGCGCCGACGCCCGCTTGGCATCCTTGGCCTTGCTGTGCTTCCGCCGGTTCTCGTCCTTGCGCTTGATCGACTGTAGCATCTCCCGGTTGATGTCCTGTGCCTTCTTGACCACCTTGGGCAGATGGCGATGCCGCAGGATCCGCCGCACCTCCGGCATGTGCTGGTACCGCTCCTTGAGCGTCGCGTCGTACTCGAGCTTCGTCTTCTCTGCCGCCGACTTGATGCCCAGACGCTGCGACGCGTTGGCCCGCCAGAGCCGCACGTTGCCCTCGTCCGAGCCCGTCAGGATGTAGTTGGAGTCTGGCGACCAAGCCACTGCCTGCACCCGGCCTTGCCGCTTCGTGTGGTAGATGTCGCGGCTTGTGCCCTGGTCCGTCTTGAACAGCCGGATCGTGCGGTCCCAGGAGCCGCTGACGAGCTCCGTGCCCGTCGGGTTGAAGTCCAGAGACATCACCGCGCCCGTGTGGCCCTTTTGGATGTTGCGCGAGCGCTGCATGTTGCGCATGTCAAACTGGGAGCAGCAGGTCAGCAGGATGCAACGGAAAAAAGAAAAGACAATAAGAAAAAAAAACAGCAACGCACGTGGTAAATGTTGTAGTCCTCGCTGCCCACGGCAAAGTTCATGGCCTCCTGCGGGTTCCACGCCAGATCGTTGCACGCAAAGTTCAGCACCGTCTTGTGCACCGGCATTGATGTCCGCAGGTCGAAGAAAACCAGGCTGCGGTCGCTGCCGCAGGTTCCCAGTATGCTGGTCTCCACCTGGTTCAGCCGGATGGCCGTGATCGTGTCGACCGACTTGGGCCACTGCAGCGTCTCCGTCACCGTCGGTGTTGGCCGCGACACATCGTATACGAATATCCGCGATGACCCAGACACTACGGCCGTCGGTGTGGTCCGGTGGCTCGAAACCGACGTGAATGCGCAGTCGCCGAGACCCGACGTCACAGCGCCCGTTGCTGTGTCGATCACAGAAATGTTCCGGTCCGTACCGCACTATAGAGCATGACGGAGATCTGGTAAGCAAGAGCTGTGTGTGCACATGGGAGAGGAGCAACTTACGGAAACGAGGTACCGTCCGCTCTGATTCTTGATCCAAGAGATGCCCTTGACCATTCCCTGCCGCGCCTATTAGCAAACTGCACGCATGTAAGCGCCACAATGACAAGAATGAAAGGTGCAAAGTACCTCGTGTGCTTTTGCCCGCTGCGTCTCGGCCCGGGTTGACAGGTCCCAGACCTTGACAATACCGTCTGCACTTGCTGAGGCGAGTCGGTCTGTCGTCTCCACGTCCTTGGCCAGGCAGTACACGCCGTCCTGGTGGCCGGCTCCCAACTGCGCTATGAACGGTGCCGCAAACATGCGGTCCAACTTGGCCGCCGTCAGAGCTCGCGTGTACTCTCGCGCCTGCTCGAACGGGTGCAGGGCTGGGTCATGGTTCCGCTGTTGGTGCTGCGATGCCGCAGGCGCTCGATTCAAGACCTTGACTTTCTGCCACACTGTTAGCCTCAATATAGGTCTCTAGGCTCCAGGTCCTTCCATCTGGTGTAATTTCCACTTACCATGCTTCTTGTGCTGTTGTCGGGCAGGTCTTTGCCTTTGCTGGAACAGACAGAAAAGGAAGCATAAAAAACACGGCAGAAAAATTGTTATCGTCTTTTTTTCGAACAATCAATAGTGGGGCATTGGCTGTATAAATAATATCACGTGATACGTACTGACCTGAACTTACTCATCACAGCAGCGCGCTTAGCGTGCTGATAACCCCGGTTTGCGTTGCTCGATCACATCGAGTAATCTGTCTGTGTCCCCCGCAAAACACTAAACGAGCCTTATCTATCTAGCAAGTTTGCCCGTATAACCTCCCTGATGGCCCGCCAATCACAGTACATCTTGCCGCGGGATCGACGTATTATCCTTTATCGGAATGCAACTATGCTCCTTCTTACCTGCGTCTAATGAGGTCTTTTCTCGCTAGAACTCGAAGGACCTCGTTTTTGACAAGGTGCTAACGGCGTCTCCGAGCCCTCCTTCAGCTAATGATGCTACCTTGAGCATGTCTCAGCTGGGAGGCTGCACGAGAACACATTTATCTTTGATCACTCGCCACTCTGGGCCATCTATGTGGGGGGAAGGAGAAAGAACCAACGCTGTTGGACAGACGGTGTGAACGGACAGACAACACTGGCCAGCTCGAGTCTTGGAAGCAGATAAGGGTGCGGGAAATAATGCCAATTCGACAGCAGCAGACAATGGGTCCTCTGCCGATCGTGACGCAGCTCCCAATTGAGGTTGCCAGCACCGACAGAGCGTTATATAGGACGGCGCAGCGCCCAGCACAACTTGCATCTAAGCACTGGTCTTGGAGTTGGCTTCGTCAACAGACACAGAAGCTGCCTGTACTGCCGGCCCACTCGCGCCTGCTGGGATACACGCCTCTTGCTGTAACCGACGCGGACCTACAAGAGGCCCCTGCAGACGGCCCGTCCACCATGATCTTTCAACGCTTGGTCGAGAAGCTGGCCGTCGATGCCGAACCAGGCCTGACCACGGCCCAGCTGATGGTACGTTCTCGTGTAGGCGCTCGACCATCGGACAGGACTGACACACACAGCTCACGAATAAAGACTTGAAGCCAGTCGAGCCAGAGCGGCGCCAATGGGGATCCTGGAATTTTGTCGCGTTTTGGATCAGCGATGCCTTCAACATCAACACTTGGATGATATCATCGTCCATGGTCGTCTCCGGCCTTTCGTGGTGGCAGTCATGGATCTGCGTCTGGGTTGGCTACCTCATCGCCGGCGCCTTTGTCTGTGTGACTGGTCGCATTGGCGCCACCTACCACATTGGCTTCCCGGTCGTCAATCGCGCATCCTTTGGCATCTGGGGCAGCTTCTGGCCGGTGTTCAACCGTGCTGCCATGGGTATGTTCTCTGACACTTCTACTTCTTGTTCTGTTATATTTCTGACTTTAAAACAGCTTGCATCTGGTATGGTGTGCAGTCATATATCGGCGGAAAATGCGTCTACTTGATGATCCGAGCCATCTGGAAGAGTTGGGTATGTGTCTATGAAGCCATGGCTTCTCGGTCTATTGCCTTACACCGACTAACTGTCCTGGCAGGACCGTAATACCATTCCCAACACCTTCTCGGTGGATTCGGGCACCACCACGGCAGACTACGCCTCCTTTTTCATCTTCTGGCTGGCCTCGTTGCCGGCTATCTGGTTCCCCGTCCACAAGATCCGCCATTTGTTCACCGTCAAGGCCATCTTTGTGCCATGTGCCGGCATTTCCTTCTTCATCTGGGCTCTCGTCCGGGCTGGTGGTGCCGGCCCCGTCATCCACCAGAAGACCAGCCTCTCGGGATCCACGCTCGGCTGGACCATGGTCACCGGCATCATGAATTGCATCGCCAACTTTGCCACCCTCATCGTCAACGACCCCGACTTTGCCCGCTTTGCCCCAAGAGGCCCCGTGACGCCTTCCTCCCACAGCTTCTGACCATTCCCTTCAGCTTCGCGCTCACTAGCTTCATCGGCATATTCGTCAGCTCTGCTTCTGTCGTCATTTACGGCGGCGAGCCGATCTGGGACCCGCTCGATCTGCTGGAGAATTTTATCGACGACGGCCACTCCGGCCAGCGGTTCGGCGTTTTCATCATCGCGCTGGCCTTTGCCCTAGCCCAGCTGGGCACCAACATTGCCGCGAACTCCGTCTCGGCCGGAACGGACCTGACGGCCCTCATGCCGCGCTTCATCAACATTCGGCGCGGCGGCTACATCTGCGCGCTCGTCGGCCTGGCCATGTGCCCCTACAACTTGCTCAAGTCGAGCAACCAGTTCACGACGTACCTATCGGCTTACTCGGTATTTTTGTCGTCCATTGCCGGCGTCATGGCGTCCGACTATTACGCCGTACGTCGTGGCTACCTCGAGGTTCGCGAGCTCTACGACGCCCGCAAAGATGGCCCGTACTTTCACACCGTCGGCATCCACTGGCGCGCATACGTGGCGTACATTGCGGGCATCTTGATTAATGTGGTCGGCTTCGCCGGCGCCATCGGCCGCAAAGTGCCTGCCGGTGCCATGTACATCTACCATCTCAATTTCTTCTGCGGCTTCCTGGTCGCCTTTGGCATCTACTGGCTGCTCTGCTACATCAAGCCTATTCCAGCCTGTAGCCCAGACGGCCGGTGGATGGAGGTGGGTGATGCAGTCAGTGAAGACTACAATGACAACGATGCTTCCGGCTACCTGGACGAGGAACACGGACAACCAGACGGTAACAAAAGGACTTCACGTAAGCGCATTGTGCAGTTTTGATCAGCGAGACTGATATTAGTGCTACGTGAGGTTTGTCGGAAGTCGGACGATAAGAAAGAGAGGTATCAATATGTCGTACACAATGATAGATACCCCTAATAACATCGACCTAAGCTCATACCATCAAGAACATGCCCGCTTCGGAAATAGAAATGCACATTACGCAGAATTGAATATTTGAGCGATTTGGTTGACGAGGTTCACGCGTTCTAAGTCGCTCTTCGGGTGCATCTCAAGCAATATACGATGAGCACGCCCACCCGCTCAGTTGTCGAGCATAAGCGACGTGACGCACTCAATGGCAAAGCCAAAGCTGTGCGCATACCAGCCGGGGCCCCAGTAGCTGAGTTCGATGTTGTGCGGCGCGGCCGCGAGGATGCTGGTGTCGATGCGGGTGCTCTTGGGAAAGGCCGCGGCAAATTCGTCGAGGTGTTCAGCGGTTGCATGCCAGTAGTGGTCTCTGCCGGCGAGAGCGAGCAAGATGGGCACCGTGACGTGGACGCCCCATCGCTCCCTCCAGGTGTCGAGCCAGGGATGGCGCAGCGAGGCGATCTCGGGCAGAGGCATCGGGTGGTCGAGGCGGTCGGCCTGGGCGTAGACCTCGTCGGCGGCCGTTCCAGGCAGCAGCAGCGTGCTGTCCTTGACGGCGACCGGGATGCGAATATGCGACGGAGGCGGATCTGGCTGGGTCGGATGGCCACCGGTGGGCTTGAGCTGCGTGCCGAAGCCGGAGAGGACGAGGCCGGCAAGTCGATAGTTCGCCGGCGAGGCGGCGGCCTGGGTGGCATCGAGAGCGTGCAGCGCGGCAGCCACGATAGCACCCGTGACTCCAAAGCTGTGGCAGTGCAGGACGATGCCCTTGCAGCCATTCGGAAGGCCAAACTCTAGCCAAAGCGCCGGCAAGATGACCCGATGCAGCAGGGTGCCCCATTCGGCTGAGAAGTCGGAGCCCTCAGGCACGGGTGTTACTGGCGTCGTTTCGCCGTAGCCGGGACGGTCAATGGCCACAAACGGCACATCCAGCGCACTGCTCAGCGTCTGCGCCGTGCACGTCGGTGTGGCATCAAAGTAGCTGCTGCTGTAGCTGCCGCCGTGAAGGCCGACCACGAGAGGACGGTACTTTGGCGGGCAGGCCCATTGGGCGGGCGGTCCATGCACAGTGTGCAGTCCGGATATGACGGTGCCGTCCAAGAGCGTGATCTTGAAAGATTTCATGGATGTCAAGATCTAGGCTAGAACCAACAGATGCGAATAGAGGCCAACAAAGTTGAGATGGGTGCTTGTTGCACTATGGCCGGCGAACGACCACCCCGTCCGGTATCCATGGCTGTCACATACCCGTATACCTGCATATACGTATTGTATTGTACACACGTCGTAGTATCTTGGGTCCGCAGGAGCAGGTATCCGGATATGCCCCGGCACGAATACAAATGACCAGATCGTCGCAAAACTACCGCATGGCAGGAAAAGCGGGTCTACTGCGGGCTGTCGAGCAGTTATAATTCGTACATAGCCCTCCAGTGTGGGGACATAACTGGCCAATGAGCTGTCTGAAATATATGCCCAGGCCAAAGCTGTCTCCATGATGCGGTCTTTTTTACACGTCATTTTACATAGCAACGCCGATCAAGACCTACAAGCGCAGATGACAGCACTAACGACGACGCCGTCTGGGACACCAGAGCAGACAGAGCGGGAAGGGCCGACAGAGCCGACAGAGGCATCCGCCCCAGCATCGCCTCTGGAAGAGCCTGCAACCAGAGAGGACTCGGTCGATGAGGACAACTCGCCGGGAGCCTCTGTGGACAATGATCCACCGGTCGGATCCGACGCTGAGCCGGTCGAGCACCACATCCTTGCCGATGACGAGTCGACCGACGAAGGCTTAGCGTCCGAAGCAGCCTCGGCCGGCTCGACGTCTCTGGCGTCGAGCGTGCGCGACTACCATTTTGAGAACAGCCGGCGGTACCACAAGTTCCAGCAGGGACTGTACCAGTTTCCCAACGACGAGCCGGAACAGGAGCGTGAGGACATGAAGCACACCGTGGCCATCCACCTGCTGGGCGGAAAGCTGCACACGGCGCCGCTCGAGAACCCGCAGCGGATCCTCGACATTGGCACCGGCACCGGCATCTGGGCTATAGACAGTGGGTTGCTCCCTTTCGCCTGGGCTACAGGCTTGCTGATGACAGCACAGTGGGCGACGAATACCCCGAGGCCGAGGTGACTGGCATCGACCTGAGCCCGATCCAGCCGCAGTATGTGCCGCCCAACGTGCGGTTTTACGTCGAGAACGCGGAGGAGCCGTGGGTCTACGACAATGACACGCTCGACTTTATTCATCTGCGCAATATGTCGACCGCCATTAAGGATTGGCCAGGTCTGTTTCAGCGGGCGTTCCAGTATGTTTTTTTTCCGCCTTATCCTTTCTTCTTTCTTCTTTCTTCCTTCTTTCTTTTCTTTCTTTTTTCTTCTTCTTTTTTCTGCTTTCTTCTCCCTTTCCTCTCTCTTCCTTCTCCCCTTCTCATCCAACCCACAGGGCCCTCAAACCCGGCGCTTGGATCGAGCTGCCCGAGTTCCGCTGGGAGTACGGCTGCGACGACGGCACGATGCCCTCCGACTTCACGCCGCCCCAAATGGTGGCCAACATCCGCGATGGCCTGGCCAAGTTTGGCGTCGACATGCACGCCACGCGCACAAACCCAGACCGTCTGCGCGCCGCCGGCTTCGTCAACGTGAGCCACGACGTCAAGAAGGTGCCGGTCGGCCCCTGGGCCAAGGACCCGAACCTCAAGACCATCGGCCTGTACAACCGCAGCGTCATCTACGACGGCCTGCAAGCCATCACCGTCGGGCCCTTTACTCGCGGCCTCGGGTGGAAGCCGGAGGAGGTCGAGGTCTTTCTGATCCAGGTGCGGCGCGACCTGAAGAACCCGTCTGTCCACTCGTACGTCTACTTCCACTCGCTGCGCGCCCAAAAGCCTGTGTCGAGCTGAGCTTGAGCAGAGCTGAGCTGCGGCTCTTGTACATAGCACTGGCATCACATATGTATATTTTGCTCTTGCGAACCGTCAGATCCTCGTAAATAATGGAAGGCTATCGTTGAATACGCGGGCCTCAGAAGTGGCTGAGTAAGCAGGCCTTGAGAACTGTCAAAAGAGAATTCAGACTAGGCGAAGAAGTCTATATTCAAAGGAGAGACCCGTAGGCGAGACTTTGCAGTAGACAAACGGGCTCTATTTGTGTTGCATAGAGCCATCACTCAAAGAGCTCATGGATCTTTCTTCGAGCACTATCTTCAACAACCCCAGCACATATATTAGATTCAAACAGGGAAACACAAGAGCTTTGCATAAGTATTCATTTTCTCCCCCAATTGCGCTACCATCGATTTCCGGCATATCTGGACATTGGGTATACAAAGAGCACAGCATCGGATCTGGCTTCATCTTACAACAAAGGAACACAAAAGCGAACGCCGTTCAGCCTGGGCTGTCCTGCAGGCCATGGCGACTTGGCAAACTCGTCGTGGTCCATACGCCGCCCTGAGCCAGTTTGACAACGGCATTGCGAGTACAAAATGGTAAATCCCCCAACTTCATAGCTGCCATGTCATCAGCGCTCGTCGTCCGGGTGGTATGCGTCATTCCAGCCCGCGCTGTCTCGACCACCGTCGCGGCCAAACGAGCCATGCTGGGGGAACGCAGCACCACCGCTGCCACGGCTATCGCTGCTTCCCGCTCTGCTGTGCCGCCAATCGTCGTCTGGTCTCGATCCAAACGACGGAGGCCCTGGTCGCTGGCGCTGTCTATGTTGACCGGTATCGCTGCTACTTCGTCCATCTCGGCCACCTGGAACGGCCGGACCACGAGACTTCCAGTTCTGGCCGGTATAAGGTCGCTGCGGCTGCGGCCCACCATCATGGCCGTAGTCATCGTCATCCACGGCATGTCCCCGGTCTGGTCCATTGTACATGCCACCAGCTCGCGAGCCCCACGGCCCGCCACCACCGCCGCCACCACCACTCGGAGGAGGAGCCATGGGATCGGCGTGCATCCAATTTTGACCGCCGTTGCTCCCGAAACCATATCCATAGCCAAAGCCAGGGCTGTTAGGCGGCATTGGTCCCGCCATGAAGGGTGTTGCAGGAGGACCAGCATCGCTCCAGACTGGAACCCATGGCGCCTCGTTGGCGCCAAATGGTACACCCATTCCCATGCCCATTCCCATACCTCCTCCCATGTTCATGCTTGGACCCATATTCAAGCCTGGGCCCATATTCACCCCTGGGCCCATGTTCAGGCCCGGGCCCATATTCATACCCGGGCCCATGTTCATCCCAGAGCCCATATTCATCCCAGAGCCCAGATTCATCCCAGAGCCCAGATTCATCCCAGGGCCCATATTCATCCCAGGACCCATGTTCATACCCGGACCCATATTCATGCCCATGTTCATGTTCGGCGGAACGTTGGCGCTGCTGCCTCGACCGCGGCGTGGTGAGAATGGATTCGGTCCTGGCATGTTCTGTTGCTGAGGCTGTGGTGGGCGGAAGAAAGGGCCCTTCCGCGACGCCGGAGGTGGCTGCATTGCTGCCGCCTTCGAGAGCGGTGGCTCGGGCGGATGAACAGGCGATGGTGGTGATGGCGGATACATTCTCTGTGGCTCTGGGGAGAATTGTGATTCGCTGTCGTCCCAATTCGATCTACCGTCTTCAGTGCCGTGCGTGTCTCTGTATCTATCTGTCTCATGACTGCTTCTCGAGCTGCCGCTGCTCAGGTTGGATGGTGCGGGGGATGGTGTAGGTGGCGTCGGCGGAGTGGGTGGCGGGGATTCTGACATCGACGACGGTGCCGAGTGCTGCGAAGAAACCGCACCTCGGGTCGTGTTGGTGTTTGCGTGCTTCTTTCTCCTCCGGTTTCCGCTGGTGCCGTTGCCAACACTAGCGGCTGCTGAAGAGACCGGAGAGTGGAAGATAATCTCGGTGCCACCATCGGACCTGTCGCTGCCTTGGCTCTCATCTTCGTGCCCGTTCAGACCGTAAGCACTGCTGATGTCATCTTGTTCGTCGCTGTCCGACCTTGACCTCCTATTGACCCTCCTGGGCTGTCGGCGCCTGCTGATCTCCAAGTTTCCACCCCCAGAGGCTACCTCGGGGTAGCGTAGTACTTTTTCAAGTTGCCTGTCATCGTAGTCCTCGCTGTCTGAGACGGGGCCGGCAGCCAACTGTTTTCTTGGCGGCATGACGCCTCCACGAAACGGAGCTTCGGCTGACTTGTCCTTGCGCTGGCCGTGCAAAGCCCGGCGGTTGATCCCTCGGGTGTTGTCCTCTTCATAAGCCTGAGATTGTTTGGACCTGTTGTCGTTCTTGCGGTGGTACGATTGCTGCACAATATTGAAACCAGCCGGCTGGAAGAAGGGACCGGGCTGCCCCGGTATGTAGGTTGCCATGTCAGAGTAATCGCCATAGGTGCCCGATGTCTGATATGGCGACGATGAAGCAGGCGATGAGCCGTAGCTGTTTGTGGAAGGACCAGGGCTGACGAAGAAATTGTCGTCGGAATTGGGATATGGAGGTGGAAGATCATCCTCTTCGAGTCTTTCATTATGCCCTTGGAAGGGCCTGTTTGCCATTTCAGACGCCTTGGGCGTTTCAGGAATCGTGGGTTCAACGTCGAAAAATCTGTCTGTCGCCTCCTTTTCATCCGCCACGTTATTGTGCACCACTTGGCGGGCATCCTTAATGGTCTCCTTACGGGTCTCTTCGTAAACAGCATTCTGAACCTCCCTCTGGACCTCCTCATGAATCTCTTCATGGATGTTCTCCAAAGTCACCCTATTACGGCCTTGGGTAGCAGTCTCTTTTAGAACTGGCACCTCCCCGCCTTTCTCACTAGGCCCCAATATCGGAGCTTCGGGGGCATCTTTCAGGGTGGGTTTACCGACACTTTCAGCCAGGACGGGCCGGGACAATCCAGCCTTGTTCTTGCCCTTCTTTTTCTTCGAGCCTGGAACCTGAGAGATGGGTGGTACAGCGACAGGCGGTGAAGTGACAGGTGGTGGCATGACAAGAGGTGCGATGGAGTCCTCAGCTTCCACAGCCGGTGCCGCCTGTTCCTGTTCGTCGACAGCCTGGGGATGCGATTGATCTTCAGGTACATACACAGCCTCCTGCAGAAGCCAGCTGACCGTTGTGGCGGGGAGATGGACCAACGGGGCCGGTTCTGAATCGGCAGGACTCAGGTGGCTATGGATGAAGTTGTATATCCAGTCTGCGGCGTCCAAATTTTCCGACGGTTGGCCCTTCGCTCTGTCCTTCTGGGCCGTAGAGAAAAGCAGGAGACCGGGGCCCGATGGCTCATCGTCGTCACTTGCATCGTCGTCCAAGGCGTCGTCGATTTCTCGTACATAGGTGATAACAGCCTGGCAAAGCGTCTCAGCCGTGGTCTGGTAAATTCTTCGGCGTACCGATGCGCCAGCACCTGTATCTGCGGGACTGCAGACGACGAAGGTCAGGACAAAGACAAGGGGAGGAGCGAGAAGGAGAGGCCTAAGGAAGCAGGATACGGACCTTGCCTGTACAGTAGACAAGCGGATAGTGGTAGCGGCGAGAGCAAGCGTGTTCTTCATCCACTCCATCTCGGTCAGACGGTCGGCAGCATCGGAGCCAGGAAAGAGGGCTATGAGGCGGTCCAGCTTGCTGGTGCCCTTTTTGCTTCGCTTGCGGCTGTTGCTCTCACGCAGCTGGGACTGGAAAGAAGTCTGAACACGGTGGATCCGGCTCACGAGGGCACTGATGTGTGCCAAAAAGGCCTGGGACAGACATATTCGCTGGTCCTGCAACTGGAGAGCTAAGCTCAGGTCGGCAAGCGCCAGATTGAGGTTGGTGAACGCTTGTGCGATGCGGTTGATCTGATGTTCAAAGCTGCGGATCTCGGATGCAAGAAGAAACAGGTCCTGGGATAGCTGGATGCCGAGGGCGGCTGCGTCCTCAACGCTGGTCGCGACCGGGTCCATTGTCGAGAGAGGGGGGGTCAAGGTTGGACTTTCGGTTGGGTCGATGCCCAGCTCAGAGGTGGGCTGAGAGACGGAGAAGAGACGTGAAAACATCAGTAGTGGAGAAGAAAACTCCCATCCTGATCCTGATCAGGATCGATGGGGTTTTCTCGTTGTTGGGCAGGATAAAAGGAGCAGAACAGCAAACGCATCGATCGGTGCTGCATGCGAGAGGGAAAGCGTCCCGCAGATAGTTGCAGTGGAGCCGAAGCCAGGTGATTTTTAACTATTTCTTTCTGTGACTCGTAATCACCCATGCAACACCCCCATGTCGAGCCGTTTTCTTCACTCTACACCAGTCTTGCGCAAATACTCCTCATGAGCAGAGGGGGGGGACGCATCAATAGGGAACAGCCAACAGGATATGAGACGGTGGGACCCGAAACAGAATGTTGGAAATGGCTTGGGCTGCGCTCATTTTCCCGCGATTCGTGAGTCCAGGGAAGGCCATGACGTGGCGAATATCTCAGGACAAGGCAAAGGAAGCAGAGGAGGCAGAACTGCGCCTGTCCAATAGACAGACGGCTATACGGAGTATGGAGAGTCGTTTTATCTTTGCATAGTACTCCGTAAATCGCTTGCATTTGAGCTTGTATGTATGTGTGGCGTGCGATAATGCATGTTGAATGGGCATCGATGCATAGGAATGGACGTATGGTTGCAGCCAGCAGAAACACGAAACACTTGTGATAGGATAGGGGTGAGGGGTTCTTGCTTCAGGCGGGAGGGGCTCTTTCCCTACTAGGCTTTCCTGGCTCTGTGTCCAATCATACAGTACGTGCACAGAAAGTGCGGTCCGTTGGGTGGAAATGGCCCATTCAGGAAGGCTAATAAGAGGAAGCCGCATGCAGTAATACGCGGGCAGCATTGTGATACGGCGTGGAGGCCACTTAAATTGTAATTCCTCGTGATCGACCAGTCACTTTCAGCAACCAGAGCTACCTGCATGGCTTGTTTGGCCGAGACTGCTAGTTCCAGAATCCCAGAGCCCTACTGGCCAATAATGTTAAGCCAATCGTGTCTAGGGTGTTGGCAGTGTCCTCGAGACTGGTCTCATTAATGGGTCTCGGCTTCCAGCCGATAAAGACCCTTGGCGTTGCAGATGGTGGCCATGACGACGCGTGAGGCGGGCCACGGGAAGTCAGGTTGCGCCATGGAACGCACATACGGGGTGGTAGGGATACTCATCAACAATGCGGACACTACAGCCATGTGTCCGTCCGTGAGGCTCTTGGTAGTGGCCGTGGATAGACACCGGTGCTGAGAAAGACGGAAATGAGTCTTCTTATGTCGACAACAACGAGGTCGAGCGGCGAGTCCTGAGCGGCGGCCTGATATTAGTTCTCACCCTTAACATCATCCAGAAAAGACCTACGTGAGTTCGAAAGGAATTTATGAAACTTTGAGTGTAGATCTTACATGGATCTTCCACCTATCTATCCCTATACCACTCAAATCCGCCTGTGTCATTTGCCTCACAGAAGAGCCATGGTTGCGAGATACCATTCACCCTTAAGACAGGCCCGAGGACCAGATATACAAACCATGAAGTATGGCGATGGCGGCACCGTTGACTCTCTATCAATCAGGGTCGCAGTCATGAAAGGCCAATCGCTTGGTGACAAACGTCACTTTCAAGGACGGAGTGTGCGTGATGTATGACGAGATCGTCGCAGATCGCAGGGCAACCCAGAAGCTCAAATTTCTCATTCAGCAGCCCGTTTCCACAAATGATACTACGATACCTTTACGGAGTAGCTTTGACGTAAAGAGGTCGATGCCACATATGCGTTATTGGACAGGAAGCAATGATGCTACAGCCGCTCGTGCTGGCGATTTTTTTCACTGTTTGCTGCACCTGTGCCGCGAAATAGTGTGAGATAAGCACTACAGGGACGGGCAAAACTCGGGGGACTGCTAGACTACGTGATAGCAAATATTCAATTCAGATCAACTCGGCGCAACTCTACCAAGCCGGCAAGTTTCACTGGAAGGACACAGTCGACAATCTATCAGGACATGCCCAACACAATCCATAGGAAGGACCAAAGATGCAAAACCATTGGTTTTATTTGTACTTCCGATCCTACTCGGCACCCCAGAACGCCAGTATAATGAATCTGCAGCACAAGGTGAAGAAAACAAGAAAACGACAGAAACAAACAAGGAGCATGAGAAGTGGCAGGCGCGTGGATATGAACATGTGGGCCGAGAGCCCGACAGAGAGACCGACCCGACGACAAAAGAGTTACTTTTTCATCCCCTGTCTGATCAGATGTCCAGCGCCTTCTTTGCCGCGCTCTTCTGCTTCTTCAATTTTGCCTTGTGCTCTGCAATAACCTTGTCTAGGCCGCTGTCGTTGCTCTCAGGGAGCTTGGCCTTCTTGGCCGGTCGGTCCTCCTTGGCGGCAGCACCCTTGACGGCCTTCTTGCCCTTCTTCTTCGTCTGGACGTCCTCAGCCTCGGCCTTGTCCTGCTCCTCGGCGACGCCAGCGCCAAAGGTGCCGGCCTCGTGCTTCTTTTCGTCGTCCTTGTCGTCGTCGGTCACTGCCTTCCGCTTCTTGCCCACGTTGGCCTTCTCCCGGCTGGCGGCCGCGGCCGCCTTTCTTTGGTTGTCTTCTTGGCCTCGATCGCCTTGGCCTCCTCCGACCCGTCCTGGAGCACATCCGCACCGCTGACCCAGAGCACGTCCGTCTGCCAGATCGGCAACGCCATCGTCCGCGGACCCTTGATGAAGAGCGCCTTGATGTTGCTCCATCCCTTGGGCACGTGCTTGCTCACCAGCGCCTCCACGACTGCCTCCACGTTGGCTGCCAGGTGAGCTGCCGGCCAGCCCGCGCTGCCCACCCGCACCGCCGTGTTGGTCGACGGCGACAGGCTGATGAGGACGGAACCGATAGCCCGCTGGATCTCCGTGGCGATCTGCGCGGCCGAGCGTGCCGTCGACGTCGCCTCCTCCACTGCCACGGCTCTCTCGTCCGTGCCCGCCGCCGTCTTGCCGCCGGACGCCTTCTTCTTGGGTGCCTTGGCCCGCTTGCCGTCGGCACCTTTGGCCCGCGCCTTTTGCAGCACTACCGGGATCGGTCGCTTCGCCGTGCTCTTATAGAACGTCTTACCTAGGACGCTGGGCAGCCGGTTGACGATGCGCTCGTCGGCCACAAATACGTCGTGCTCCGCAAAGAGCTTCCTCTGCGCCTCGTAGGCCTTGAACTTCTTCTGCAGGTGCGACAGGTCAATCACGCGGCTAATTCGCTTGCGCAACTCGGCCGGGAACTCGTCCGATGCGACAATGTTCTTGTACGCCCGCTGCGGGTCCGCCGTGATAATGCAGATCGTCGACTCCTCATCGGTGTTCAGAGGGTACGGCACAACCAACTTGCTGGGCTGCAGCCGCCGTGAGTCGTTGACGTGCTGCTTGGTTGTGAGCGTCAGCCAGATCGGCGTCTCCGCCGTGCTGCCGGCCATTCCCTGCTCTCCCTCTCCATCGCTCTCGTCCAGCAGGTTCTTCTTGCCCGACTTCTCCTTCTGAGCCTTGGCAGATTCCTTGATGTGGCTCAGCAGAGCTTTGGACGCCGTCAGCACCTGTTTTGGACCGTTTCCCTTGGTCAGCTACATCGTCGTATTATCAGCCACAACTCTGTGCAACTTTGCCTCACCTGTGCCGCATCTAGTGCCAGCGGTGCAGATGCATCTGCCGTCGCGATATCCTTTGAGGCAGACATGATTGCAAAGGCCGATTGAGTGGTGTTGCTGCAACGATTCTGCCTTTATGCCTCGAAACCGTGTAAGTTTTGCGGGGCGGAAACAGCAGATGAAGCCGAGAAAAAAAAAATCTACCAGTCTACCACCTTTTCTTTCTGCCAGGCGGTGTAGAAATACTTGACCGGCATAAAGAGGTTTGGCTGTTGGCGGTGTGCAGAGCGATTAAACAAACCAATCACGTAGCTTCTGGCACAGCCTCGTCATATGTGGATCCCAGATGCGGGAACGGCATCATTGACACAATCAGAGTGGCTGGGCAAGGTTGGCCAAGCAGCTCGCGTTTTCGTGTGGGGGCTACTATTTTCTTTTTTCACCCATTCTTGAGCGCCTCGCACTATTGGCCACTCCGTATATTCCTGACAGCCGGTCTATATCCGCGCGGAATGAAAACGTCCAGCGAGTGGCCTGCGCAGAGTACTCCGTAAAAGTATCTTCTCCTCGGTCGATTCCTGTTCCTGGAGAGTAAGCCATACTCCGTAGAAAAGGGGGCAGTAGTAGACACGCCGTCATAGGAGATAGTCCTGTCGAGTGGAGGCTCGGAGCAAAAAAATGAAACTTCGGAGACCCGAAGGAGCGGGAACGGAATAGAACATATGTCTGGAACCCGGAGACCGCTCTTTCCCATCGGACACAGCCCGCATGCATGCAAAATTTGCAGCAGAAGGTTTCTCCAATTGCTTCTCACTCACACCACAGTGGGATCCATCCACATCGTGACAGTTAGGGTCTAGTAGGGGCTCGGCGGCTAAAACTCGTGTGCGGAGTGAGGGTCCGATCGGTGGCCATTGGCACTGTCACGACGCGCTTCTTCGCTCCTGCCTCCGGAAATGGATACGAAGCATGGCGCCATTGCCCCGAGTGACAGTCTGCCCCGTTTCACAAATTCTGCAGCAGCAGTTGTGCAGCCTGGCGTGCTGGTGGGAGACACGTCGCCTACAGGGCGAGGGTGCTGTAGCTTAGAGGACAGGCCCCTGAAAAGACGCGTCCTGTCCGCCCAAACGCCCCCGAAACTGTACCGCATAAGCCTGCTGGCGCTAAAACGCCAACGCGGTATGTCTGTAGGTTGTTCCAGCGCGTCGTTCCCACTTGGCATCCGAGGAAATGAGATAATGACCGCGTCTGGAAAGGGAACCTCCCTTTCCCCTACGCCCCCATTCTCTACATTAAATTCGTAAGCCGACCTCTTGGCCTTCACAAAAGCGGTCCTTCTGACTTCTGCATAACGTGGGCAGACTGGATCCTTTCTCTCTCACACTTTTTATCTTCTTGCTCCCATTGACTCTCAACATTTGCGTCACCGCTTCATCTACGTGCTCAGCTTACACGTATGTGGCTGCGCGGAGACGCGAAGAAAAACTCGGACAATAGCCAAATAGCGAAACTCCACCGGTCCTGGTTGGGACGCGCCTTTTCCCTCTTTATCTCGTGGCCGACCGGCAGTAAAACTAGACTTCCTGCCTCTCCATATCATCTCGTCTGACCTGCTTCTTCCATTGCTTTCTTCCCTACCCCCTTTCTCTGCTATCTGGCCTGGTCATGCTCTTGTCAACACGTCGGTGATATCACATCTACACACAGCAACAATGGACTCCTCGCCTAGAAACAAGACCGCCGAGAACGCTCTGCCTTCGGTGGCCGGCGTGAAGCGTTCGGCACCGACACTCCTTCCACCCTTCGAACCGCTGTCCTCCTCACCTGGACTGCCACGGCTCGTCAAAAAGGCACGGGGAGGCTCGGCAGCACCCAGTTTCAACAATGCTCGCACCAAGTATCCCACGCCGGTGCCGACGTCCAGCACAGGCATCCTGTCATCCTCGCCACCGCAGCGTGGCGGACCACGTCCTGTCTTGCAGCGTACCGCGTCTACCTCGGAGCGTGCTCCCCTGGGTGTTGTACCGACGGCCGAGCTGAACGAGAACGGCGAGACAATGCTTATGGGCCGCTCCAGCAACTCCTCGCACTACCAGCTGTCCGCCAACCGGTTGATCAGCCGCGTTCACGTCAAAGCACGATATGTGCCGGCTGTCGAGACCCTGGAGCCAAACCGAGTAGAAATTGTGTGCTGTGGATGGAACGGACTGAAGCTGCACTGCCAGGGGCGGACATGGGAACTGGGCAAGGGCGACACGTTCACGAGCGAAACCGAGAACACGGAGATCATGCTAGACGTGCAGGATGCCCGGGTCCGTATCCAATGGCCCAAGAAGGATCGCAATGAATTGCTTGGCGGCATCTCCGACTCATCGTGGGACGACTCTCCGCGCTCCAAAATTGTGGCTAGACGCGTTCCTGGCACTCCAGGCGCCCCAGGTGCATCGCCGCTGCAGTCCAGCCCCCTGCGTGGAGCACGTATCGCGTCGCCCGTAAGCCCGACGCCGGCCGGTATCCCGGCATCTGGAGCTAGCCTGCAAGCCCTGTTGGCTCAACAGCTAGGCAGTGATGGAGAGGATGAAGACGATACCGGCCCGGCAATCCAGATTTACGAAGATGGCAGTGCCGACGAGCTCGAGCTGCCGGTGAAGGGACCCAGCCCCGGAGACGCGAGCTTTGCAACGGACGTGATGGACAGCTTCTCAAGCGAATTAAGCGAGCTCCCTTCAGACGACGAAGACAACAACCAGCACGACCAGAACAACGACGACGACCTCGACGAAGAAAACGATCCGATTATCCACTCCTTCGGTCCCTTTGGTGCGAATCTGTCCAGCCGCTTCGCTTCGGTAACAGCACGCAGCCCACAGATTGAGAGGCCACGGCTGAGCCGCATTCTGTCGGAGGACGACCTGACTATGACCGCCAGCTCCAGAGAGGCCGATGCCGGTAAGAAGGGCATCCGACGTCATCCGACAACAGGCAGGTCCTTGTCACCGCATGCACAAAAGCAGGAGCGTGATCTGGCAACAGAAGACTTGGACGATGTTGACACCGACAAAGCGCTGCTAACAGACGGTGTGGGGCTGGGAATTTCGGTTGCCACTGAGAACGCCAGCAGCCTTGCGTCACCAGTAATTAGCAGCAATGTGGACATTGACACGGTGCGAAACCATCTGATCAACCAGCTCGCCTTTTCGCGTCTGTCGTCGAGCCCATTGTCTACGATTATGAGCAACCTGCCGGCAGAGGAGCGGCGCGACCTGACACGCGATGGATTGCGCTACATCATCGATGGCACCAACTGCGTCGGCGTGATCCTGCGGCAAGGCAAAGATGCTGCTGGCCAGGCTTTGGAGAGCGAGTACTACTACATTGCCGATTTCGATGAGGACCTGTCTCGGAAGGCGGTCATCGATGGCCTGCGCAAGCCTAGTTTGCGAAACTGCCGCAAGCAGCACAAAGTAAGACCAGGATGCCATGATATGCTAGTAGAAGTGGCTCGAGATGTGGGAAGATTAGTGACTAACACTGCATGCAGCAATACTACTGGAAAAGGCCACGAACTCCGTGAAGTGACACCGATGACAGCCCACGAATCCTCTACCCCACATTGCACTGGATTCGGGGAGCCGCGACCTTTCCGTTTGCACGAATATTTTTTTTTGGTCCTCTTTATGTTTCTGTTTCCTTTCGACAGCTGCGATTCATACCCCCCTTTACTTCCCGAGTTGTTTTGTTTGTTGCATAGTCTGAGGCGTCTGCTTGGTGTTTTCTCATGGTTTAACGCTCGTCATCCAATCCTTTCTATTGGTGTATGTTGTTTGGAGGGCCGTTGAGGACGGTCGAGGTGGCGAGACAGACACCCTTTTGGGGGGTGTTGTGCCTTGCTTTTTTTGGGGACTGTACGAATGAGACGCCACGGGTGAGAAGTTTGTTTACTATGTAGCAGCTACATCATCTTGTACGCAGGACAAGAAAGACATTCGAAACAGGTGTATACGATTTTGACGGAGGGGATTACGTGTCGGTGTTGCTGCTGGTGCTCCTGGTGAGGCTATACTGGTAATTGGCACAAATGTAAGATAGGAAGCAGGACGCCTATAGGCGAGTCTCGACCGGACTTGGAGCACGTGCTTGGACCACCTATTAAGAGCCGGCTCGTCGTCATTACTTCCCCGCTCGAGATGGGTGAAAGAAAGAGCGTGACAGTGGAGAAAGATGTCACGCAAATGGGCTGGTGATTTCACTAGAGCCACGCACTAATCGAAATGGAGAGTACAGCCGTGGAACTGGTGCTGCGCAGTCTCCGATCCTCTGAGAAACCGGTAAAATGAGGTGTCCTCGAGCAGCTTCTGCCGGTTTCCGTGCTATGTGATTACGAGTACAGTGCGGCTGGACCCTCTCGGTATATAGATCTGCTGAGACCTGATTTCGGAAGGTGGTATATCGCTCCCTTCCCTCCAAAACCAACAGTATCGGATTCAAACCGAAATAAAAAAGGTCAGCAGAAGTCGATTGCCTTTCAACGTCATCTCAGATCCTTGTATATATAGGGTCCCTATATATAGCATGTAGATATGTTACGTTTTCATTTTGCTGACATCTATGACAATAGATACTAATTCATAAAACAACAATGTCGAAGACGCAAGAGAAACTCGTCGGCGTGGCTACATCGCCTCCAGATTCTTCACCACTCAACATCTTCCACCATCTTCGCCATGGCACAGCTGGCGACGCCAATGCCCATGTCGAGACCGGCACAAGCCAGGACCCGCTCGTGGCCTTTGAGCACCACCTCCTGGCCCATCCTGCCAACAGGCCAGCAGCCCCTGCCCGGCTATCTGCCCGGTCACTGACCGTTCCCTCTTCACATCTCGGCCGCCGCCCGTCTCCATCTCCCGATGCCCGTCGCTGCATGGCCGCCACCGAGGCTTGGACGCCGTGCCTGGACCGCTGCCAAAGCTGGGATGGCCAGGCGTACAGACGTGCCATGATGGTCAGGGCCACAGGGATCCTCTGCGGATCGGCTGAGGCCAACGCTGCGGCCAACAGCCACGAAAGTCCCGATCATCTGACAGGACATGCACACTGTCTCGACGGACATCATCACCACAACCACTTCCACCACATGCATGACGTTAATGGCAGCTGCAACGACTACGAGGCTAACCGTGGTTTCAGCGAGTGCGCCAGTGGGACCACCTGAAAAGGATATCATTGAAAAAGAAAAGAAAAAAAGAAAAACAATGAAAGTGCGAAAAGAAGAATCGAGATCCCACCAGGACATGACGACATAGGAGAAAACCGCCCGCGTGTTATGGGTAACGCCATGGAAGACATAGGCCTAGGCTGGTCAAAAATTGCATCGGGAAAACAACAATTGGCGTTTGCGGCTACGACAGGAACAAATTGTAAGATATGATTATGCATGATACTACTCGTAGTCGTCTATGATGATGCCGTGTGGAGCAATAGGCCCACATGAAGCGGATTGAACGGCTGGAGGTTCTTACTGAATAGCCGGGGAAATATACCCCAATCACAAGCACCACTTTTATCCTTTCGTTAAAAGATCATTTATCGTAAATCACTATGTACGGGACAGTGGTTTACTATTCCTACTTGCATACGGAGAACAAAGAAACCACCCGACAACCCAATATTGGAGATCTATACCTGGCTAAAAGTCGGTAAATAGGTTGCCATATAAGCGACTGAGGGGGATATAAAACTGTAAGAACAATAGCTATCAAAAGCCTGGTAGGTGGACAGACCCGTCCCGTTGCTCTACTCCGTAAACATCTGTGAATGCCGCAAAGAGCAACCCGAAATGAGTCGCATTTCAATCTTTGTGCCGAATATGACACCATACTCCACCAGCGACCAAATATACACAGAAATATAACAGATGCGAAGTGAAAGAAAGGACCGAATGCACGATGGCTTAACTCGAACCGGTATATCCGTTAATTCTTCGGGCTGCTACCGGCGCCTGTCAGCTGCTCACCCGCCAGTCCCAGTACATATGACACACCGGCCACCCAGGTAGCGCCGACAAGCATGCGCTTGGCGATGCCCGGTTTCTTCGAATTCTCATCTTCGTCCGCCTTGTTCGCCTTCACCTTGGCCCCGCTGAACACGGGTTCTTCACGCCGGACGTCAATGTTCGATCGGAACTTGGGCGTTGTGGGCAGATCGGCGACAGTCACCGCAGCGGTGGCAGATTCCTCCAGAGGCAGCAACGGATCTGGGTTGGAGAAGCCAGAAGGCGACGCCGACTTGATCGGCGATGTGGGAGACGTGTCCCGGGCGCCTGTTTTGTCGATGGGGTTGACGGCCGACGTTGCCTGCTTAACCCCGCGCGACTTGCGGAAGACGAGGACGTCGCCGCTGCCCGACGCAATTTCGAAGCCCTGGGCCTCCAGAGGCCGGAAGTGCGGGAAGAACTTGGTCGGGTGCGACAGTCGCAGAAGCGCTTCGGCTGGCGTCAGCGGTACGGCCGTGGCATGCACTGTTGATGCGGTCTCAGCAGTGCTGATCGCCTGCGTTGCCGGATCGTATGCTAAGATCTTGTACATAGTGTTGCTCTCATCTGGTGGCGGTGCAGTTGCTTCTTCCACGGCCACAGAACCAGTCTTGGCCTTTTTGCTGTAGCTCTTGACAAATGTCGGCCATGTCGTCATTCCCTGACATTCCTCTGCGTAGGACGTTTCCAGACCTTGAGGCTGTGTCGAGTGCGGGTCAAGAACAGCTTGCCGTCGTTGCGTCTTGGTCATGTGTTGCGTAGAGCGTTTTTGCTTTGACTTGATGGTTATGCTAGCCATCTTGTCAATGGCGTCCGCTTCTGCGTTCATGCGTGTCATTGCCGATTCTAGCTCCTCTCTCTCTGGTTTGCTTTTGGACGGCTGGCCTGCAGCCGGAATAGAACCACTGGGACGGGAACCGTTGCGCAGAGAAAGTTCCTCGTCATCAAGATTTCCTAGACTGCTAATTTGGTGGAGAATCTTCGAGCAAGCTTCATCCGAAGCCTTATCCATGCTGCGTGACTCCTGATCAGATTGCCTCAGGCTTTCAGTTAAAGAATCCACAGGGGCCGCTGACTGCAAATTAGACGGCTCCTCGTAATTCACAGCCCCGTGGAAAGCCAGCTCAGAAAAATCAACAGTACTTTCGTTGTTTGAAGTGGGATTTCCGTTCGATTCATTCCACTTGACACCTTGTTCGTACTGCTGCACCTCCTTCAGATCGTATCCAAAATTATGACCGTTCTCTTCGTCTATGGAGATCGGCTTCCCATCTGGTTCGTTGTGTTTCAGAGGCTTGTACTGCTGCAGTTCAGCCTGATCGTAGCCATGGTGTCCCGGTTCAACAGGAGTGGTCGGCTGGCCGTCGGGCTCATTCCACATGAAGGGCTGGTACTTGTCTAGCTCAGCTGTGTTGTAGGAGGGTGCTGGGTTACAATGGCCCGACGCTCTGCCATCTGGTTCATTCCACTTCAATGGCCGGTACTTTGCCAACTCATCCGGGTCGTAGAAAGATTCGGAAACTTCCGAAACAAGTGGCTTGCCATCTGGCTCATTGTACTGGACCGTTTTATATTTTTGTAGGTCATCATATCGAGGAGAAGCTGTGCCTTGAGAAGTCGGGGCGGAAACCTCATCGACAATAGGCGCGTATTTGGCAAGATCGTTGTACTTGGGTGATGAACGTTGTTCCACCTGGTCAGGCTGACGACCCCAGAAAGTCCCCTTGTACTTCCAGGTCATATAATTGGCGTCGCTGCTGTCTGATATAGCAGAAAGGTCGGGCTGGTTTTGGCGCACGTATTCTTCGCTCTTTTGCACTGGTTTAGACGCAATGCTATCAATCATCACTTTCTGGTAGGCACGCAACTCAGCGGCCGTCGGAGGAAGATCGGCGTCGTATGTTTGGTCAGAAGCAGGAGATGCAGTTGCACCTGTTGCCTTCTTTGTAACGGATGCACCAGATTTTTTGGCGCTTGTGGGCGAAGGAACTCGCGACCTGTAGGAATTGAACGTGTTGCCTGAGGTAGAGACGTTTTCATCGGGAGATTTCTTGCTAGATAACTTAAAGACCTTTCTGTTTGTGATAGGATCGATGAAATAGTCATCCTCTCCGGATTTTGTTGTCTGGGGAGGAAATTGGCTGGAGGAGCCGAGACCGACTTCTTTCAGGATTTCAGCGTGACGAGAGACATAGCTGCAGATGTCGTCAAACGGTGACGCCCAAGAATTTTGCGGCTGTCTTGGGGCTGCTTTGCCGTTCTGTATGTCACGGAAGAGAAAGTCACCCCAGGCGGCGGGCCTTGCATTGTCAGATTCTTGTCCGGACCGAGACCCTGTCGTTTTCTCGTCGGGGCCAAATGTATCTCTACCACCGTGTTTGCCAAAGGCGAAGAACCGCTTTGGCTGTGAATGCCGGCCACCGCAGCGTTTGAATGCACTAGGAGATTCGTCCGAATTCAATTGCTGCTCCCACATAAGTCTGCGGCTGAAAGCCTCGACATGTTGCTTGTGGTGAAGGGCTCGGAAACGGCGGCGGGCTTCCCGGTGCTGATCACGATCAATACTATTTGCCCACCAGCCGAAACCGAACGCTCGAACTTGTTGATATTGCCGTTGTCGATGAAGTAGAGACGGCACGGCGGAACCGAGAGCATGTGCGCTGGTAGCGTGGGACAGGCTCATCCTTGTCCGGGGTGGAAGAGTGGAGACGGAGGTCAACATGATTGCGAAGCGAGAAGAGGACGAGTTGTTGGAACCATGCTATGCAGCAGGCAAGATAAGCAGAATCTAAAGCTGTTATTAGACCTGAGCGGGGGATTTCGAAGCAATGAAACTGCAAGAGGCAACGTACCGTGGGAATTAGCCTTCTGGAAATTGGGTTAACGGAGTGCAAGAAAAGTAAAGACTACAAGGCTTCGACCATGGAAGCTGAAGATATTTAGCAGACGAATTTGATGGCAGGTGGGAAGAAGGGAACCGAGGTGGCCTGGCTTGAAACACAAAAGGTGGCATCTGTGTGATGACAAACCAAATGCCAGCGGAGGATTGGGGGAACAAAGAAGCGCATAGGCTGTATAAAAAAAGAGGAGTGAGGCACACGATATGCTGACCGGACCACAGGAGGCAGCAGGCCATTATGATATGGGGCAGATGGGCTCCGCAACAGTAGCATTAAAAGCAGTGAGTCCGCCCGCGGGGAAGTGCTCTGTATTCCGTGCACGATAAGGCCACGGTGGGGACACAAAAGTGGACCCGTATGCCTGGTGTCGTCACTTTCTCTCCTCTTGCTGGAAGTTCACAAGTACAGCAGGCCAGCTACTAGGACGTCCAAATCCCAAAACCAGCTGCCTTCTCCCATGTGCGGGGTTAGCAAGTATACGACGAAGCAGACACTACGTTGACCCGAATGATTCCCCGTGATGATCGCGGCAACTCTCGCTGAAAATTTGGCCAACCACTGCCGTCCTGTGCAGGATAGGCAAATCGGAAATGATAAGGCTGTCATACCCGAATCTGCTTGCAGGAAATTCTCGTAACATCCGCGGAGCCCCGGTTCTGTGGTGCCTGACGGACGATGCCATCGTGCCTGGTCGTAGATCGGCTTCCCCACGGGTGGTTGACACGTGATAGCGTGATTTCCGCTTTATGTCACGTGCTGGCTTAGCTGCCCCTCCTTTGTGGCGAAGCCTTCACGACGCCGGATGAATCATCTTCTCGAGGCTTCCGGTAGATGGCGGCAGAAAATATTGTTGCCCCAAACGGCTTGTGAGGTTCTGAATGGTTTCTATGTCAAGATATTTTTTCTTGGGCCTTTCATTCTGCCTCAAAGAGCTGCATATCTCATTAACAGTCGTTGCCGTTTGGCATTTCTTTCTGACTTTTTCGTAACCCCACATCGACTACACTACATCGACGACGTTTGCTCAAACCCACCAGAATAAGCAGCTCTATTGTCGTCGCCGCGCCATAAGTCCGTTCGAATCCACCCTACGGACGGCACTCCTAGTACACGGAAGCACATGGTTTCAGCGGTATACGTCGACCTATCCCAAGTCCTTGGACCGCCACCCACCAGAGATACACAGATATGAGCCGACCAAGACCAAAGGGCCGGCTTCCGCCCCCCGGCGCGGCAAGCTTTGGTTCTATTGGCCCTGCTGCCGGCGGTTTTGGTGGCTTCGCCCCCGTGCAGAACAAAAGCGGCCTTGCCTACCTGTCTGACCGGCATGATCTGTCTGGCATCTCAGACGCAAATGCGGTTGTGCAGTTCAAGAATCTGCTAAAGAAGGACGGCAAGACGAAAGCAAGAGCACTAGAAGAATTGGTCGCTTATGCGCAGGCACATTCCTTTGAGAGCGGCGGAGTAGAAGACGCCATACTGGAGGTTTGGGTACAGCTTTTTCCCCGATTATCTATCGATAGCGAGCGAAAGGTCCGAGAGCTCGCCCACAATGTACAGTTCGAATTCATGAAGTCTGCAAAAAGGCGAATGGAAAGACACGTTCCCAAGATTGTCGGACCGTGGCTTGCGGGCGTCTACGACCGCGATCGGGCTGTCTCGCGGGCCGCAAGCGATTGCATCACGTCCTTCCTGAGCACGGAAGAGAAAACCCGGTTGTTCTGGAAGAAGTGCAAGCTTCAGATCCTGGAGTATGCCATTGCGGCCCTGAAGGAGACGCCCACGACCCTGAGTGACATGCGGTCCACCACGGAGGAGGATGCCGCCTTAGTATCACACCGCGTCTTATACAGTAGTCTTTCGCTCGTCATGGCCCTGTTGAGGAAGTTGGATGTGGCGGACACGGATGAGCTGCAAGACGCCTATATCCGCCTCTTCTCTCTCGACCGGCTCATGGGCTGTGCAGTCTCCAAAGACAGCCACGTCCGGAGGGCGGTGTACGAGGTCATCAAGGCTGCTCTCGAAATAAGACCGGTCTTCCTGGAAGCACAGATGGAACGGCTCACACATACGCTGACACAAGATGCTGTCAAAACGAGTCAAACGGGATCGGTTGGGGTGTTGATAGACCTGTTGACGTACGTCTCAAAGACGCAGCCGCAAATATGGGACGGCAAGGTCCATCCTCTCACACAGCTTCGGCCGTTAATGGAAAAAGGATCCCAAGGGGATCTATCACACAACTTCTGGCAGAACCTAGATGCGCTACTCAACTCTGTGCACCCGAGCTGCCCAGGAAACATTTCCCAGAAAGAGGCTGCCAATATCCTGATATCGTTCAGGACCGGAATATCCCGACGAGAAGAACCAAGGAGCAACGCTGTGAGCGGCTGGACTGCTTACCTTTCGATGGCCAAATATCTTATCGGCACAGTGGAACCGAAAGAAGCAATGGCTGGACTTGCCGAGACTCATATATTGCCCCTCTTTGGGCATTATGTGTATCCACCAGACAAGTCGGTCTGGAGCACGGGTGCGCAGCTGCCCATCATCACAAGGGCATCCCTCCTGTGTTGCCGGCCAGTCTTCCCCGACGTCGTGGAATCGGCGCGGGCTGAATGGACGAAGCAGTCGGCCGCTCTGGTTGCACGGATGTGCAATTCTCTGCCAGAGGTGTCAAAGGATTACGCGCGCTCGCAGCAAGAGATTGCCAACGAGGGCGATCGGTGGTTTTCGTTGATACACGACGTACATCGGACGGTGCAGACGGCGGCATCTGCATCCAGCGGCCCGGCCAACTTGGTCGAGGATGTGCTGCTGAAACCGACTCTGGATCTCGTCCGCAGCGCCGCCGATCTCCTCAAAAGACGAAACTACAAGCCGTTTGGTGCTGCGCATGTCGTCAGCACGGCCTTTGCCCAGGCCTCCCACATTCTTCGGCGCGAGGGCCGAGATGTCGCAGAGGCTCTTTTCCCAGTACAAGATAAGAATGAGCTTTCCCTGCTGCTCGCATCTCCGTCAGCACCACAGCTCCTTTCGGGCTTGCGGGCCATGGCAAGCATTCCGGAGTGCGCAGAGCTGTACAAGTCGGCATTCTCGGCCGTCATGGTTCTTCTGCTCGAGAGCACTGATTCCGAGACGACGGCAAGGCACATCACACTACTCATCAGTGACACGTCGGATTACGCTGCTTCAACAAGCCAAAGCAACGAGGCGCTGCAGACATGTCTGAGGAAGTTGTGCTTCGATACGGTCGCAAGAAAGCTCTCGAGCTGGGACCTTTTCAGAGCGGCATTTGCATACAATGCCTTGTCGCAAACGACTGGCAAGGCTTTAGCATTTGATGTTGTACAGGTCCTCGGCACTCCAGACGTAGAGGTGGGAAGCGTCTTGACGGCCTTGGAAACTATTGCAAGCAAGAACCCCGAATTTCTGCCACAGGGAGAAACACATACGCTGGACCTGGTCACCAAGCTGCTTGCAGTAACGGAGATCAACGACCCTTTGCTGTCCTCCAAAGTCGAGTTACTCCGCTCGCTCATCGGTACACACTCCAAAGGAGAAACACCTCTGATCAAGATCATCCAGGAGAACCTGGACAGCACAGGGCCGGATTCTTTAGAGATAGACACGCTTGTTGAGCAAGCGACGAGCATATCGAAAAGCGCCACAGCAGAGGAGAAAGAGAGCCTTTTCCCGAGCACCAACATTTGGATGAAAGAATTGTTGCAGTTCCTGCAAGAAGACCTTGACCCGGCACTGTCTCTTACGAGTCGACTCGGCGGGGCCTATCTCCTGGCACACGGATTTCCAAAGCAGGCCAATACAGGACCGATCAAGCGCGACCAACACGGGCAGTCGATTCCGGCCAGGATGGCAGCATACACACTGAAGGTTTTGGAGGATGGGTTTGACCTTTCCTCTCTCCCGAAGACGCTCGGCGTTGAACTTCTGTATATGCTCTATCTGGTGGCAGAAATCGGGTCGGACCAGATCGCTGTAGCCAGCTCGAAGAGTCTCTGGGACGCGCTGTCTGACCCCTGGGCGGCGTCTGTGGCAGAAGACACAGTCTCCCAGATACGCGCGCTGCTAGCTAAAATCGTCGGCGGCGCACAGGGCGAGACGATCTGCCAGGCACTGATCGAGACGATGCTTCGGCAAACGACCAATGTTTCAGCGCTTTCCATCTACACGGCACGAGCTCTGAGTGAGCTGCTGCAGACAAAGGTGGACAGCCGTGGGTTCACGCCAGCCGAGCAAGAGCAGGTTGCCAAACTGAACATATGGAAGACGAGCCCCGAGACAGCATTGGGGGCGGTGGCGGTTCTTACTGGCTACGGCGAGCTGCTAGGGCCATCCAAGACGGTGTCGACGTTCTGCAACCGACTTGTCAGCGACGTGGCGGGAGCCAAAGCGGACAGCGAGTCGACGCTGTTGACGCTGGTGCTGCTTAATGCATGCATGTCGGTGTACGAGATGGGCGAGCTGCCGGTTGCGACCAATCGTCTGGTGTTTACGGTGAGGCAGATGACGACCTGGTTTGTCACGGAGGAGTCGGACAGCGACGAAGACGAGGAGGAAGAGGAGGGCGAAAGGGGGGAGAAGATCAACGAGAAGCTGGTAGCCAACTTTCGTGTGGCCACCGAGAGCTGCCGGGCACTGCAACGTCTGCTGCCCTGCATCAAGGACATATATGGGCCGCACTGGGAGCGAAGTATAAAGTTCTGCGTCGAGCTGTGGACTCGGGCTGCGGAGGAGCCTCAAGACTCGAGCCTTTCGTGCGTGCAGGCGTCGCTGAAGCTGATGGGAACACTGGAGGCGATGGAGGAGCCCAACGACGATCTCGCAGACGCTCTGCAGATGTATAGCGGACCGAAGTGGCAGGCGATGTTGGGCCTGCTCTCAGCTAAGAGGTCCGAGGCGGGCCAGGCCCAGGAGATCGTGGACGCGCTGCTCTGCCGGATGACAAGGAAGATGCCGCTGGACCAGGTCAAGGAGACGAGCGGGCTGTACGGACTGATGGCGTCGGAGTCGCGCGAAGTGCAGACGGCCGGGTTCAACATATTGCACCGGGCGATCCCAGCGGCCCAGGAGGAGCTGTCGTTCAACGTGATCCTGGAAAAAAAGGAAAGGCACGGCTGCCGGACGAGCTGCTGTCATTGCTGCTGGACGCGCCAACGCTGGAAGACTACGCAGACGATGTGCTGGCAACGTTCCCGACAGCAGTACGATCGTACCTGCTGTCGTGGCAGCTGGTGTTTGACGCGTTCAGCAAGGCGTCGGCCAAGGTGCGCGGCGACTACGGAGAGCAGCTGGGCACGGCAGGCCACCTGACAAGCCTGCTGGACTTTACGTTTGACGTGCTGGGCCACTCGGCAGCACATGCGCTGAACCTAGACAAGGCTGGATATGGGGCAGCGCAGATCACAGGCTACAACATCACAAACGGCGAGGCAGAGACGGACGAACGCAACATGCAGTGGCTGCTGGTGCACCTGTACTACGAGAGCCTCCGGTACCTGCCAGGGTCGTGTCGGGCGTGGTTTGCGGCATGCCGATCGAAGCAGACGACGCTGGCAGTGAGCACGTGGACGGCGCGGTACTTCTCGGCGATCCTGACGGGCGACGTGCTGGACGACGTGGTGGCGTGGGCAAGCTCGCAGGAAGCCGAGGGGGCAACCGGAACGGACGAGAAGGCACTGCAGGTGCGGGTGAACAAGGCAGTGCGCGAGGTGGTGGCGAGTTACGAGGTGGACGACACGGAGGCGTCGATGGTGGTGCGGCTGCCGGAGAACTACCCGATCGACAACGTGGTGGTAGAGGGCGTGCACCGGGTGGCGGCGAGCCCGAAGAAGTGGCAGAGCTGGATGATGATTGCACAGGGCGTCATCACGTTTTCCAACGGCAATATCATCGACGGGCTGCTGGCGTTCCGGCGGAATATCGTGGGGGCGCTCAAGGGACAGACAGAGTGTGCGATCTGCTACTCGATCGTGTCGGAGGACAAGCGGATGCCGGACAAGCGGTGCTCGACGTGCAAGAATCTGTTCCACCGTTTCTGTCTGTATCGGTGGATGGAGACGTCGCACAACAATACGTGTCCGCTGTGTCGGACGAGGATCACGTTGAATTCGGATAGGGATCGGGAGAGGAGGGGTGGGGGGAGGTAAGGGAGAAGGGGTAGGAGAGGAGAGAGAGGAGGTCACAAGGAGAGAGTAGGGCAAGGAGGGAGAGGGACAAGAGAGAGGAGAGAGGAGAGGGGGACAAGAGAGAGGAGAGAGGATAGAGGAGAGACAAGAGTATAGCCTGGATTGATGACATAAGCACGGAAGGCAAAGGATAAAACATGGCAAATGGCAAATCAGTATCTCTATTCTGCTTGGCAGGTCGACTGGATGGAAGAGCACTAGGTGTCATCCTAGTCATCCCAGTCACTCTCACCCTCACAACTTCCCGTTGGCCCGCAGTGCCTGGTCGCCATCGACGAGCACACACCAGCCCTCGCTGCCGCGGCCGCCCTCGCCGGCGACGACGGTCTGCAGGGCAGTGCTGTCGTCGGCGTCATCCGCAGACCTGGCCAGCGCCAGGACGGCGTCATCAAAGGTGCCGGGCTGCAGCCAGACGGCGGGGATGCCGAGACGGCGGGCTTCGCGCAAGAGCTCGAGCGTGACGGCCGGTGGCGTGATCACTGACACGGCCGTCTCGTGCGGCCGCGGCAGGGCAGCGAGATCGGACAGCACCGGATAGTCGCGACCGGCGACGACGATGTTGGCCGTGGTCGGATTGATGGGCGTGGCCGGCAGGCCGCGGGCGGCGTACCAGGCAAAGACTGGGTGCGATGAGAAGATCGTTGATACGTTTTGCATCTGCACCTTTCACTCACTCTTGTGTCCAAACTTGGCCGTGTTGTTGCTGGCGCCAACGACGGCAAAGTAGGGGTGCGCAAAAAAGGCACGGGCGCCCGCGTCGGTCGACATGGCGAATGGACAGCGGCGGCGATGATGGTGAAGCTGAGAAAGATGGTGATGGCTGGCGAGAGATAAAAACGCCAGACGCATTCTGGCTGATAACGTCATCCTGGCGTCTTCTGGCCGGTCGATTCCATGTTTGGAAGGAGCCAACCAGACGGCTACAGTCCACCCAGAGTACGGAGTATTACGGCATCTTTCAGTATGCCATCTGCGAGCATTCTGTCTGCATTTGCTCTTCCTCTTACGTCACCCCAATTGTGACTCTCACTTCAGGCTTCATTTCAGCTTACTTATCAACCAACCGGCACCGCATCGGCCGAGCTCGCAGCCATGGTGCCACTTTCCTTCTCTGTGCCCCGTCCCGCCCAGACCTCTTCACATGCACCCCGTGACATCAGTGCCAGACCCACAATTCTTCAATGCCCAGACAGCCGTCCTTTCCCCAGCAGCACCCACCGTCCTTCCCGTCCGAGCTTCGACAGCAGTATTAATGCAATTAAACATTGCAAAACTTTAATACGATAATAAACACACCTAGCAATCCCTGACCTCGAAAATTCCACCTCACCATCCCATCCCTAACGACGGCCATCTCCCCGATCTCCCGCCGCCCTCTCTCTCTGCCATCGGTTGCCGAGCCTGCAAGCCAACCAATCCCGCCTGCCAGCTGCCGTCTCTGAAACTACCATCCAAACAGCTCGTCGCCCTCTCCCTGCCTCTGCTCCAGACATGCGTCGCCGCTCGCTCGCTTCGTCGCTTGTGCTATAAACATCGCCCTTGCTTTTGCCAAAGCCTTCTCTTATCATAATCCCCATCTCCGCCACCCTGCGATCGACTTTGCTTTTTGCGCCCTCTCTTCGCTCCGCTGACCGGTCTCGCATCTCCGCTCGTCTGGCCGTCCGCGTTGCGCCAGTTCCCTATTGCCACCACTGCCGCAAATCGCATTTTCAGCCTCCTTTGTCGCAATGGACGGCCTTTCGCGAGCCGAGTATCCCGGCATGCTGGTGAGCTCTCCCACCACCCTCCCCATACCCTGTGCTGTCTGTCTGCGTCGTGAGGGCCTACTCTACCAACGCACCGCCGTTCCCGCGATATCCGGCAGGCCGGAGCCTCGTTTATCGCGTCCCCCTCTCTACCTCACCCCATCTCTCCTTTTGCTTCTGTTTGGCGAAGCTAATGTCGAGCTCTGTCTTGTAGGCCAGCTTGCAGCCGGGCCTCGCCGTCTTCGTCCTCCAAGAACGTGCCAAGCGGATAGGGAAAATCAACCAGGAAATCGCCGACTGGCTGTTGGAACGACGAAAAGTCGAGGAACAATATGTCGCTGGTCTGAGGAAGCTTCTGCTTGTCAAGGCGCCAAATTCGGCCTCTGAGCTCGGGTAGGTCAAGACACACACCTCTGGACACGATCCCGGCCCGGTTTCCCCTTGTCGCGACCGGCTGGGTGGCGTGTCTTCGGCGTCGCTCTACTTTCTGACATTTCTCCTTCGCAGCGTCTTCCAGCCGGCATGGGAGTCGATCCTGAACGCCATCGACGCCGTTGCGAACTCCCACCACCTGTTCAGCTCAAGGATCGAGAAGGATATCGAGGTGCCGCTGCGGTCCTTCCAGAACACGAAGGAGATGGGCAACCTGACCACGATATCGGCCAACCTCAACCTCGTGGCCAAAGAGCTCGAGGACGCCCAGGACAAGGCCGACAAGCTCAGCAAGAAAGGCGGCAAGACGAGCAGCCAAAAGATGGACGCCGCCACCCAGCGGCTCGAGAGCGCGTCGCAGCAGTGGGACTCGCAGGCGCCGTTCGTCTTTGAGACGCTGCAGGCGCTCGACGAACAGCGCACCAACCACCTACGCGACATCCTGACCCAGCTGGAGACACACGAGGTCGACCAGACTTCACAGAACCAGGCTACGGCTGAGGCGCTGCTGAATGTCATCCTCGAGATCAAGACCGAAGACGAGATTCAGGGCTTTGCCCAGCGCGTCACCGCTGGCCGACCGAAGACGGAGAGACGCGCCGCTTCGCGACAGTCCACCATTCCGGGATCCAGCAACAGCTCGTCGCATCCGTCGCATCCATCGCATTCATCGCACACGTCCCCGTCCTCCCACCCGCCTCTGCCTCCCGTGCCACAGCAGCACCAACAACAGTACCAGCAGCAGCTGCAGCAGCACCATCACCAAAACTCAACGCGCAGCGACGATACCGTCTCGGAGCACTCGGGTCGCAACGACGTTCCGACAGAGTCGAAATTACGCAGCCGCCTCGGCACCATGCTCGGACGCCGGCGGCAGAGCGTCCACAGCGGCTTCGGACCCTTGTCACCGGGCAAGGGTAGCAGTTCCTTTGGTGCTCGGCCGTCGCAGAGCAGCCACGGCCGTACGATATCGCCACGCGCGTCCTCGAACAATCTGACGGAGATGAACCACCGCCTGTCATCTCTCGCCGAGACGCCCGGCTCGCCAGAGCCGCCCAGCACGGCTGAGTCGCACGTGCTTTCGGCACGCGAGGGGGCAACCAACGGTGTCAACGGCAACCACGGCGCTCACGGTTCCAGCGGCACGAATGGTTTCGGCAGCGATGTGTCGGGCGGTGCAACTGGTGCCTCTGGTGGTGGCGCGAGAGCGGCAGCTGCAACGATGCACGGGATGACGGCAGACGACATATTCGGCGTGCCACCGCCGCCAGGTCCGCCTCCATCGCAGCAGCAAAAGGCAGCGGCAGCGGCAGCGGCAGCGGTGGCACCATCGTCGCCAACCAAGGATGCCGAGGGCTTCACCATACCGGCGCGGCCGAACGATCCGATCTCACAGGCGCAGCGGGACGCAACGGCCGTGGCACTGGGCGAGGATGGTGAACTGGCTTTCAAGCTGAACATCCAAGAAGAGCCTGTGGCGGACGAAGATGCGGATGCCAAGAAGGCAGCCATGTCCAACGTGGCCAACACGCTGACGATGGCGATGCCATCGCGCAAGGGGGGAACAGTGCGCGGCCGCCGCGACGTGCGGAACACGATCTACGTGCCGTCGATGCCGGTGCCAGACCTACCGACGAGCAGCAGTCCAAGCCTGCGGCCGACCAGTCCGACGATTTCACCGCCAGGGTCGCGGCCAGCAGCCGTGGCAGCGCTGGCGTCAGAGAACAGCATCGGCAACGCGTCGGACACGCAATCGATCCGGTCGGCAACGTCGCTCGGCGGTCTCGCACACCTGAAGCATCCAGACATGTCGGGCCCAGGGCTGAGCACGTCTGTGATCGAGACGGTGTCGGCCAGCTTTGAGGACGGCGAGCTGAAGCTGGCCAAGATTGCGGGCGAGATTGCGTTTGCGTACAATCCGTCATCAGCGTCTGTGAAGGGTGAGTGTTTTGTTTTGTTGCTTTAGTGGTGTTTCATGCTGACCGGCCAGACACAGAAACGATTCGGGTAAACAACATGGAGCTGCTCGAGGCCATTGGGCCCAACCGCATCTTTGTGCGCAACACGACGGCAGCGGACACGTTTGAGCTGAACACGACACATCTGCAGGCACACAAGCCGGCGGTGGGCTTTACATTCCGGGCGCTCGGTGAGAGCGCGACATCGCTGGGCAAGCACTGCCCGCTGGTGGTGAAGCCGGTATGGAAGCCGACGGGCGACAAGCTGGGGCTGCTGCTGCAGTACCGGCTTAATGCAGAGGCAGCAGCGACGATGTCAGGACCGGTGACGCTGCACAACCTGGTGCTGATAGCGACGTACGAAGGCGCGCGGGCCAGCGGAGCGCAGACGAAGCCGACGGGCACGCACATCAAGGACAAACACCTGGTGTACTGGCGAGTCGGCGACGTCACCCTGACGGATACGTGGGCCAAGATTGTGTGTCGCATTCTGGGCCAGCAGGGCGGCGAGCCGCAACCGGGACACATTGAGGCACGGTGGGAGTACGCGATGCCGGCGGTAACGGAGAGCAGCAGCAGCAATGGCAGTGGCATCGGGATCAGCATCAGTCAGCTCGAGTCGACGGGCCACGGCAAGGGCAAAGACCGGGCAGACGAGGCTGACGACGACGAGGCTGACCCGTTTGCCGACGACATTGCGGTGGTGAGCTCGAAGCCAGCCGACAGCGGAAGCGATGCAGGCGACAGCTGGGTGGAGGTGCCGACGGTGCGGCAGATTGTCAGTGGACGGTACGAGGCCAAGTAGGGCGACCGACAGCGACAGTAAGATATATTTTCCTGCATATTTGTTCAAATTCCATGTTCCATGTTGTCATTGGTTTGTCAGTATATCAATCCGTTCTGTGTCTTGGTTTGACCTTGTATCCTGCCTCTGTGTTTTTTTTCTTTCCTCTCTCTCCTTTCTCATTCTTCTCTTTTCGTCTTCCGGGGACGTGGCTGCTGCAACAGGGCAGGCAGTAGTCTTGTTGGATAAGGGGAGTCGTTGTCCGATGATAAAAAGGGGTGTGGATCACGTCTGCAGGGCAGTGCCTGCAGAAGCCGTTCGTTATAATTTTCTGAATTTTCTTTCCATTTCCGTCTGTACAAGACCCAGCCAGGGGTATGAGCCATAGTTAATCAAAACGTCTATCCGCGACAGCGGACAGTCCATGTTCTATTACGTTTTCTGGTATGCCGTCCATTCATCGGTCCTCCAGCTCCATCCGTCCCATCCGTCCGCCCATTGATCACGTGCTTCCGTTGCCTTGGCGCGCCTGTTCCTCGCAGAACTCGAGCGTCAGGGCGGCCAGGAAGCCGGGAATGCAGCCCTTTTCGCGCACCCAGAAGCGGATCTGGTCGTCGATGCGGCGGGCAAACGGGCTGCGCGGGCCGCCGCCGACCTTCATCGTGCCGCGCTCGCCGTCAAACACGATGCTGTTCTCGTGCTCGTCCGTCGTGCTCGGGCAGAAGGCCGACTCAACCCGCATCTTGCCGTTCGGTATAAAGGTCACGTGCCACCCCAAGGTGCTCTCGACCGCCTCCTTGAACTCGGCGCTCTTGGCCGCCCAGACCTCCTTGAGCCGCCGCGCCGTCTTGTGCGCCGATGCCGCGTCCGTCTGGGCTGCCGCAATCTCGCGCTGGCCGGCCGCCAACACCGAGAGCGGTACAGTCGAGAAGGGCGTCTTAGCTTTTTGTCCGGTCACGTGACTCAATAAGTCCGCATTCTCTTGTCGCAACGCCTCCAACGTCGCCTGCTTGACGGCCTCGTGCTCAGCGGTCGGGTTTGCCCGCAGAGCCAGCACACGCACGCCAGCCGTCTTTCGCACCCCGGCCAGCTGCTCACGCGTCACGTCTAGCTCTGCCTCGGCCGTCCGCTGGGCCGTTCGCGCCGCCGCCAGCTCGTCCTGCAGCTTGCGCGCCCGTCGTGCCAGCTGGCCGAGCTGTTCGTTGGTGTTGTTGGCGCTGTTGCTGTTGTTCTCGTCTGCATCGTCGACTGGTCGCGCCCGCTTGACACCACCGACGTCAACGCTGCTGCCTGCCTCACGGCTGCCCTGCTCGGCTGCCTCGAGCGCTTTGTGCAGGCCGTCGGCCTCAACCCGGTACTGGTCGACGAGCTGCTCGAGCTGCTCGATCCGCTCGGCCTTTTGCCGGTCAAACTGCTCCGGGTGGAAGGTCACGTCCTCGGCATCAAACGCCCGCAGCTGTGTTCGCAGGTACTCGACCTCCTTGACGGCCAGCACGCGCTGGCGCTCCAGTCGTGCCCTGGCCTTGTCGGCTGCGGCTGCAGCTGCTGTGGTTGTCGGTGTGGCTGCCGCTGCGGCTGTTGTCGCCCCACTCGCTGCTACCATTGCCTGTTTGACGCGCTCTAGCTCGGCTGCGAGCCCGTCCTTCTCGGCCCGTAGCACCTGCAGGTCGGCGTCCCGCTGGGCGACCTCGGGCTCGACAGCGCCAATCTTCTCAGTCAGGGCGGCGGTGCGGAAGCGCTCCTCCATCAGGGCCTTGGCCAGGGCCTCGGGCGAGTCAAAGTCGCAGCCGTCCTGGTCGAGGAAGGCGGCCCAGGCCCGGTGCTCGGCTTCGAGCCGCTCTCGCTGGATTCGCTCCTCGGCCAACTCCTGCTCGAGCGCGGCCATACCATCAAATCGCCGCTGCAGCGTCCGTTTTTCTTCCTCAACCACCTCGACGGCCCGTCGTGTCTGTCGCAGGTGGCGCAGCTCGGCCAGCTGCTCGCGGTTCGTCGCCTCGAGAGCCCGGATGTGGCTGACCTGGTCCTTAAGCTCGCGCCGGATAATCTCCATCGTGGCCGCGTCGCCCGTCTGTGCCTTGAGCCGCAGCACGTCCGTCTCGAGCCGGCCGACGAGGTCCTCGCGCTCGGCCAGCGCTGCCTGCATCTGTGCCAGCGTCTGTTCTCGCTCCTCTGCCGCGCTCTCTAGCGCTGATGCCGTTCGCTGTGCTGCTGCTACCTGGCCTTCCAGCTCGGCTGTCCGCCGCTCGTGCATCCGTGCCGCTGCTGTCGTCGTGCTGTGTAGTTCTTCCAGCTGCTCGCGCAGCACCTGTGCCTCGTCTAGCGTCTCGCGCTGTCGTCGCTCCAGCTCTGCCCGTCGGCCCTCTTCTTCGCCGCGCAGGGTTGCCAGCTCGTTCTGCAGCGTTTCTGTCTGCCGCGTCGCTGCTGCCCGCTCGCCCTCGGCCGCCTGTCGCTGCTTAAAGTCCGCCTCGGCCTTGCGCCGTGCCTCCCGCAGCTCCGCCTCGTGCTGCAGCCGACCCATCTCTCGCTCCTGCTCATACGTGCTGACTTGGTATCGCAGCGTGCCCACTTCCGCCTTTAGCTCTTCGATCCGCCGCCGCTGCGCCTCGTACGCTCCTGCATCGGGTGGCGCCATGTTCTCCTTGCTGCTCTCGCGCGTCGCTGCTACGTACGATGATGTCTGCCGAGACTCGTCCCCTGCTGCTGACCCTGCTGCTGATCCTGCTGTTGATCCTGTTGCTGCTGCTGTGCCCAGTCGGGCTGATGGCCGCGCGAGTCGCGTCGACGTGGCCTGGCTGCCGTTTCGTCTGTTCTGTGGCCGTGTCTGTCGCTGCACACTGCCTGCTGGCGCGCCTGTATCGCCCGTGAGGAGGTTGTATGATGGCTGTGTAGAGGTCGAACGGGTAGGTCCCATCTTGGACACACGTCAGCTCTGCATCACCTGCAGACACGCACACTCTCCACTCACCCTGTCAGTGCCACGGTAGCTTCCGTGTCCAATCAAGCAGTCGTCCGCGTCGTCTCCGGTTCCGCCACTTTGGTCGTGTGGTGTGCCCGATCGCAGACTCAGGATGCTTTGGCAACCAGTGATACATCAATCCAGAACGCGTCGCTGTTTCCGCGTTGGTCAGTCTGTCGTGTGTCACGTGCCGATAAGAAAAAAAATGCGGGGCCCGAAAAAGAAGCAGCTTCGATGCATAGCTGCGCATTACAGCCGAGGAAGGTGCCAGACATTGTCTTTTTCTTGTTTTGATTTTGCTTCGTTTTTCTCTTTTCCCATATTTCTGCCGTCCTGATCTGCTCCATACTCGTTCGAGGTCGACCATTTAGCTCTCTCCGGCACCGCTGGGGCGCAATTCTGCTCCAACCTCGCTACGGCCTCGGCAGCTCGCGGCTTCACATTAAGCCGTGGCGGCCACTACCATCCGTTAGTTGCATGCTCGCTTCTATTTATGGGCCGAAAGCTTTCTCCTCTCCAGCTTCCCCGGATCTCCCTCCCGCTGCCCATCCACACAGTCCTGATGGATAATTGCCCACGCTGACACCACTGCAGCTGTGGCTGCCCCGACGACTCTCCTTCCAACGATCAGCCAAAATGCGGGCAACTCTGGCAGGCCTGCGCAAGGCACACGCCAATGCAGCCCAATGGCACTTGGGTGCTCTTCGAAGACAGCCAGCAACGATCTACTATGGCCAAGCGGCCCAGCGACGAAGGCTCGCGACAGAACGCAGCAAGAAGGCGACAGACCCGACGGACGAGACAGTACGGTCAACATCGGTGCTGTCCTCGTCTCCATCGTCGGCATCGACCGAGGACTGGGAGGATGACCCGAACTTCAACATTGAAAAGTTCTCGGAGCTGCCGAGCAGCGACTTTGGCGTAAACCAGCACATGGTGATCAACGACGAGTTCAAGGAGGCGCTGCGGCAGATTCTGTGGCAATTCCGGGCGCCGATCCGATATGCATTTGCCTATGGCTCGGGCGTGTTCCCGCAGAGCAAACACGACGGCCACGTGGCGACAGAGGCGGAGATCCGAGCCATCCACCCCAAGGCACCACTGAGTGTGCAGCGCGCCCAGGACGGCACGCCCAAAATGATCGACTTCATTTTTGGCGTGACATACACGCAGCACTGGCACAGCCTCAACCTGCACCAGCACCGCGACCACTACAGCGGGCTGGGATCGCTGGGATCAGCCGCGGTGGCCCACGTGCAGGACCGCTGGGGCGCCGGCGTGTACTTCCACCCGTACGTGGTGGTCAACGGGATCCTGGTCAAGTACGGGGTGGTGAACCTGGACACGCTGTGCGGCGACCTGAGCGAGTGGCAGACACTCTACCTGGCCGGGCGGCTGCAGAAGCCGGTCAAGATCCTGCGCGACGATGCGCGCGTGCGGCTGAGCAACCAGATCAACCTGCTGTCGGCACTGCGCACGGCGCTGCTGCTGCTGCCGCCGACGTTTAGCGAGCGCGAGCTGTACAGCACCATCGCGGCCATCTCGTACCTGGGCGACCCGCGCATGCAGCTGCCGACGGAGAATCCGCGCAAGGTGGCCAATATTGTCGACCACAACATGGCCAACTTCCGTCGTCTGTATGCGCCGCTGATCGCCACGCTGCCGAATGCGGCCTTTGCTGATGCGCGCTGTGCCCAGCTCGGCTGGCTTGACGACGACGACGCCGACCTGCGTCTGGTCCAGGACATGGATCCCGTGCGGCGTGCCAACATGGTCCGCCGTCTGCCCAAGGCTTTCCGCGAGCGGCTCTACTTCCAGTACCAGAAGAAGCTGGCCATCCCGCGTGTCGAGTTTGACGCCATGATGGCCAGCTCACGCGCTGATGCTGCCGCAGCTGGCTTCAAGCGCCAGCAGGGCGGCAGCTTTGAGCGCCGCATCGTCGAGGACGATCCCGACGAGCTGCGCCGCAACGTCCGCCACGTCATCCGCCAGACGGTCCACTGGCCCAGCACGACGCAGAGCCTGAAGAGCGTGGTCACCGCCGGGATTCCGCGGTCGGTCCGCTACATGGGCGAGAAGTGGGACAAGTGGCAGCAGGGCCGGAAGGAGAAGGGTGAGGAGGTAGGCAGCAGTCCTGTGACGAGCGAGAAGCCAGGCGAAAGCGAAAACAACAAACAAGAAAATAAATAGATGGCAGCTCCAGCTTTCCGGTTCTCACATGCGTCCGTCCACTGTACATAGACCAGTGTCACCGCAGCACGACGCTTTGCCTTTATTCTGTCAAAACGGTTAGAACAGGTTAATGGAGGCAGGCTGGGACACTGAGACAATACTAGTACGAGTAGCTTTAGCGCTGTAAAGCGCTGATGGCCAGACCGTTGCGGGCGCTAACCCTATTCCGGTGAGGCCTGCTGCCTGTTGAGGCCGCCGCTAATTGAGGCCTGCCAAAGTTGTCAATCTCACGCCCTTTGCAGCTTACGCCCTGCCGAGTTGTCGTCTTGCGGCCGTTTAAAAGGAGCAGAGGGAGCTGCGGCAGTCGTCGATTCTTGACACGCATCGTGACGTTTATATAGACCAAACGAAGCGATCGATTCGACACCCGGGGACCACAAAGCATCCACCCATCGAGACCATGGCCCCCCTTCAGCTGGTCTTCCGAGAGGCGACGCCAGGCGACGCCGACGCTGTGGCGGCGCTAATCAACGGTGCCTTCCGCGTCGACCAGACGAACGAAGTGTACGTGGACGCGGACGGCGACCGGAGCGGGCTGGTGGTGACGAGCGCTGCGGCCGTGCGGGCCAAGCTGGCCGAGCAGGACGACGGCACGGCCGTGGTGCTTGTGGCTACGGCTGGCTCTGACCCTGTCCTCCTCGCCCATGCTACACTCACGAAGCGCGAGGACGGCGCGGTAGCCTGGCTCGGGTTCCTGGCCGTCGATGCCGTCCACCAAGGCGCCGGCCTCGGCAGCCAGGTGCTCACACACGTCCAGAAGCACGCGTGCGATCGCTGGAACGCCCGCCGGCTCGAGTTCGACGTCATCCGCTCGCGCGCTGGCCTGCGCCGCTTCTACGAGCTGCACGGCTTCCGGCCCAAGACGGCCGCCGACGGCAGCTTGGTCCTGGCGCCGTTCCCCTACGCCGCCCACGGCGACAGCTGGCACGGGCTTCTCCGAGCCGACCTCGACTTTGTCGTCTACAGCAAGGAGCTGTAGGGCTCGCAAGACCTGCCTTCTCTGCTCTCTGCAGACACTTCCCCCCCAAAGGAGTCCGTACATTACAAAGATGCAAGCCATATACCTTGAAGAAATAAACGAAACAGCACGCAAGCCTGGCTCGCGTGACAACTGCGCTCTTCGGGCTGCAGATCCTGCTCTCATTTGTAGCCTTTCTCCACCTCTTCTTCCCCATTTATTTAGCCTTTAGCCTCAGCCAACCCAACTCCCACCATCCATCTCGCCTCGCGACAACCAATCGACACCATGGCCACCTCTCCCAGAACCTGGCGCGACACCGTCTGGCTCGTCTGGTTCTGCATCCAGATCCCTGTCATCTTGTGTGCGTCTGCTCCTCTCCCGTCTTCTCCCCCTATCCCTCCAGCTAACCTCCCAGGCGTCGACATCGTCGACAAGTATCCGGCCTGGCTGTGTGCCAACCCCGGAGCCCCCTTGCATGCCCTGCATCGCTTCCGCCAGTGGTACATTGCCACACACAACGACCCGGTCGTCCAGTGGACCCCGGCAACACATCCGCTGCTCTCCAACGGCGGCGGCAGCTGGGTCCCGCTCTTCTTCTGGATCGAGTTGGTCTTCACCCTGCCCACCGTCCTATACGCCGTCTACCGTCTGGGCTTTGTCCGCGGCCGCAACCGGGCTCCTCTTGGCGGCACCACTGGCCCGCTCGAGCTGCTGCTACTCGTCTACGCACTCGAGACTGCCCTGACGACCGCTGTCTGCATCCACAACATCAGCTATTGGGACCCCTCCATCTATTCTTCTGCCCAGAAGAACACCTTCCGCTTTCAGCTGATGGGCCCGTGGCTGGCCATGCGTGCGTTATCCTCTCTCACCCGTCACTGCTGACTGCTTACTTAATACTGACTAAGCAGCCTCTCTCCTCTTTCTCGACATGTACTCCCGTCTGCTGGCCCGTTTCTCGCTCGCCGTCAACACGGACAAAAAGACGCGATGATCACGGACATATAGGCATGGCCTGAGCCACGTAGCACGACATGATATCATAGCGCAAGACAAATCCTAATGTACAGGTCTCCCAAGATAGAATAGACATCCGAGAATACACTTGGTCTCAAACAAACGCCCAAAGAGCCCCTATGCTCTTGATTACTCCCTCCCCTTCTATACCGTCCCGGCGGGGTATGAGCTCAGGATAGTTGCTCGCTGTGCACGTCTCTAGTCGATAGCCCGCTTCGGCGCGATGCCCCAGCCGTTGCCCACGCCGTTGACGCCGTAGCCGAGGGGCGTGGCGCCGCCAAGACTGCGAGCCTTGAGGCGACGGGGCAGGACAGTGCCGAAGAAGTAGACGGCCGAGACGATGGAGCCGGCAAGAAAGGAGACGAGGCCGTAAAAGACGGTGCTGGCGCTGACGTGATTGCCCATGCCGGCCCATTCGACCCGGCCCTCGGTCTTGGGCAGAGCTGGCGTGGGAAACCAGCGGACGGAGAGGCTGAGCGGCAGAGGGTCGCCGATGACGAGGCGTCGCAGAGCAGTGCCGGTGTGGTGGGTGTCGCCGCCGCCGTCGCTGGTGTGGCCGAGCGGACTGGTGCTGTAGGCCACGCCCGAGTCGAGCACGCCGCTGTCGTGCGGGTGGATGTGGTGCTTCGGCAGGCTGTGCAGCAGCACGTTGAGGTGTGTGGCCATGTGCAGGTGGCTGAGCTGCAGCGTGCCGGCCAGCGCAAACACCAGCGGCACGTACTCGGCCGCGTACGGCCGCTCGCCCACGGTCTCGATGTGTGGCGCCGGCCGTGTCGCCAGCCGGCATGCCAGCGGCGCGTCCGAGTGCACGTAAAACTCGAGCAGATGGAAAAACGGATCCGAGATCATGGCGATCGTGCAGTTCTGCTCGGCCTCCACCCCGTACCGGAACTCGAGCGGCTTCTGCGTCTCGCTGCAGACTGGGAACGGAATCCACTCCATCTCATCGTTGTCCAGCTGGATGTGCTCGCCCGTCTCTCTGTCCGCGTGGCCGACGTTAGAAGACCGTCCTCGCGAGGGGGGGCAGCACGGAAAACACGCACGAGCTCCGGTTCATGCACTCCACCTTGATCGGGTCGCCGTACAGATACGACGGCAGGTTGAGCTCCGTCGCCGCCGCGATGCCAGGGAGCGCCAGCAGCGCCACCAGAGCTGCGCCCGTGGCCGAGAACTGTCGCGTCATGGCGAGAGCAGACGTGTCGAGGGGTAGCTGAGACGACGATGGAAGAACGGAACACAAACAGTCCTGCGGACTACCAAACTTCCGCAATCTGGGCTTCACGCGTTTCCGGCAGACGTGAGTGTGCGCTGCGGCTCCGTCTGGATCATGGCTATGCCGCAATGTCGTCGCGGCGCATCGATCGAGGAGAACTGAAAATGACACGGAGACGTAGTTGTTCCAAAGTGGACTAGCGGGATTTTGAAATGTGTGGCTGAGTGTGGCTTTAATTTTTGCATGCCTATAAGTTCTAGCCCGCCACCCTCCGTATTTGTGTGACCTACTTGATTTCCCTTCCGCCAATCACAGTCTGTTTTTCAGTGAATTCACGTGTCTAACAACTGGTTGGAGTATGTGACTAACTATACCTGACCTTTGTATTCTGCACGGAGTAAGATAAATATTCCTCTTCGTAAGACATTACCACATTACTTCTCTTCTTCCTTCTTTGTTCCTAAAATCATATTTTTTCCATCACTTTTCTGTTCCTCCACCACTACCACAAAATCATCCACTCTGCTTTGATTACACGCGCACACATACGTCCTTAGCTATGGCAGGGAGAGACGGAACATATAAACGAACCTGGACCTGGAGCGAGCGATTTGAGGCAGCTCAAATTGCCTACAGCAATGGCTACAGACCGCCCAAGGTCCTAGATCCAATCCGCATCGGGCCAAAGCTTCTGTTCGAATCGGCCGAAGATGTCCAGAAATTGCTGTGCCTTGACTACCTTCCCGAGACGTTCCAGTCGGAAACTATACCGTTCGGTGAAAACGAAGGCACCTCTGTCTCGTTCCATATTATAGGCCACTGTATGAAGCTGCAGCATTCGGACCGGAATTTCTGGTCATGATCGATGGCAAGAAACGTACTCTGCACACGCCGACAAAACTCCTACGCAATTTGAAAAAGGAAGCTTAGGTATTGTCGTCAGACAGTAACTGGCGATAGTGGAGCAAGGATAAAGTAAGCCAAAGGTATTTTTTTGTCGTTGAATTTCTCAAGCTAATTTTAAAGGACAAAACTCTCAAGATGATGACAAACCGGCGACTTGAGCGGAATTCACTAAAAAAGTCCCCCATGACTCTTGATGGGAGACGTGAGAGCTTATACTGTTGTTCTATCTCACATGAGGAGCACAAAGAGGGGGTTTCCAGGCTCAGGGCACGGAAGATCGATCTTTTCTGTAAGGCCGATACCAGTCTGCACGTTATTTTGTTGCGGTGTAGAGAAGCTCACCTAGAGGAAAATTGATCTACCCTTCATGCGTGATATCTTGATAGGAGTCTGTCATGCAACGTGAAATTAAACGTTTTATGGAACAGATATATTGTGCATTTCGATACGACAAAGACAATCCATACGTGGGCAACTTCTCTATGTTGCGGTTTGTACAACCGGCATTTTAATTACGAATATATCTGCTATCGAGCCTGTTTCGGCCACTTCTACACAAGCCAGCGACAACGCTTTGGGCGTTTCCAATACGTCACCGAGGCCATGTGCCAAAGTGCCGAGAGTATAGAGTACTCCGAGCTGTTCACTTTTAGCCGCGTAATAAGTGAAGTATTGTTGTTGGAAACATGGCTAGCAGTATGTTATTTTCTGTATTATTAGAGCCCTTTACTCGTAACAATGGAGATTTGATACTCTTATTTGCAACTCTTCTGAGAGCAGTGTTGCAATGTGTTCCACAATTTACAGTCTGAATGCAAACGTCTCGATCATTTAGCCTTGCTGCTGTTTTGATTGTTAGATCCGTGTAATCAAGTGGACATGGTCCTAAACCAACGTAACAATAGATCTAGATGCATGCTAGAAGACCTGTCTTAAAGCTCTCATTAAACGCTCCGAACGAACAGGCGTTGACAGGCGCCTCGTCACATACATTCTATGCAAGCAACCTTCCTGCCGGCTTTGAATGTTGTTGTTAACGTTATTATTGTGAGGAACTAGTGTCACAATGCCAACTCATGCACTGAACCTCGTCACCAAGCTGTTCCAGAGTTTGAATTACGTGGCCTTCATCATCCCTTCCTGGCCTCCTACTTCCTTCCTTGCCCGACCCCTATATAAACTCTGATCAAGGTTGACGCTGTTACGGCTTGCAAGTTTCTTCTCCTCCTCTTTTTCTTACAGCTTTCACCATCCCACCTCCCAATACTCTTTTGCACGTCCTTTTTGACTATAACTATTTCAAAAAGAAAGAAGATGGCGTCTCAACCACTGCAGTCTTTTTGTTTCGGAATAGAGCTCGAACTCTATCTAAGACCAAAGCTCACCCCCAGTATGAACAAGTGGCTCACTGCCGTCAAATGGAGCCCGAGGGACGGACGCTCAGATAATTATCATCGAGCTAAGACGCATGAAGTGTTGCACGAAATTCTGCTTAGTGAGAGTATCGATGCTGCTGTCCCTGAAGGAGACGAAGAGGAAAGAGGATTCCAAAAATGGCTCATCGAGGGAGATGGTTCGCTGCGTAGTGGTGAAGGCGACGGCTACTGTGTGTTCTCCATAAAACCGAGCTTGTGGACATTAACTGACGGGATGCTCAAAGTGGGAGTCGAATCGATATCGCCAATCCTCTTTCCCAAAAAGGATTGGCGATATGACCTTTGCCATCTCTACGAGATTATAAGTAGCAAATTTGAGATAAAGGTCGGCGCGTGCTGTGGCACACACGTGCACATATCTCCGGATACGACTCCTGGTCGCAGGTGGACCCTAGACGAGCTCAAGTCCATTGTGAAAACTATTGCTTATTTCAATGTCGGCGTGGTGGACATGCTGCCACCAGAGAGGAAACAGAACCGGTACGCGGTGCCGAACTTTTGTCACAGAGATTCCCCGCACAACGTTCGGGGGCTGCACGCAACGGCGTGCAGCACAGGGGACTACGGTCCTCTGTTCTCTCATATTGACCAGGTGGTGAGTCCGGGGGCCTTTGCCCATTATTTTCCGAACCGCTGGTGGGAATTCAACTTCAGCAACATCACCGACGACAGTAGTTCCTGCGGAACGATCGAGTTCCGAAGCGCGCCTGGATCGGAGAAAGTAGACACGGCTATTCATTGGGCCCTTTGGCTCATGTCGTTCGCTGCATCAGCGGTCCGTACGAACTGGTCAGCGAAGAGCCAAGCAGCTCGCGGACAAACTTCGGTTCCAGCCCTTCGACAATTTCTCATGCAAGGGCAAGCCCGGCTTCCTTCCCATTCTCGTGAAGGAGGCCTGAATATCACGAGACTAGTCAAGCAGAATGGAGTCGGTGCCACACTCACCAGAGAGGAAATTGCCGACATTGAGAAAATCAAGGCACTTAAGGAGGAGAAAAAAAGGAGTTTCGGGAATTGAGAGTTTCTCCCTGTTTTTCATCTATGGTTTTGAGCCAGTGTGTATGTTGTCCACTGCTCTTAAAACGATGCATTTGTGGGGGAGGGTGGCGACAATATCTCTAGCACACGAGTCTCTCAGACCTGGCGTTTAGATAAATCAATGAAGCACTTCGAGGCAGGCTACATACGTCTACTCTTACTCTATGCTCACAGCTGCCGCTCCTTGCAAACGAGAATACTTTTGCTACCAGTCTTGTCAGCGATTTCAGATAAAACTGCTTGCCCCGTTTCACTGACCAAATTTGACATCTCGGTGGCCTGGCATGCTTCGTACACAGTTGCTGAATGTGGACCATGCCACAACCCATCTGGGATTACCTGCCTCGATTCACAGCTTGTTGATGAGCGATTGTAGATAGATCAATGCCAACGTAATGTTGTTTGTGGATTCATCATGGCCGCTTCCTTATAAAAAGCTTTAGCTTGACCTGGTTCTTATTATTTGAAATGGCGCGGTCATGAGACAAGCATTGTATGGTAGCGACACAAGGTCTTTTGCAAGTAGCATTATGTTAGATAGGACTTATGTGCCAAAATATGATTGTTTTCACGGCAGGATATATGTCATACGCGATGGGGCTCCTATAAACGGTGATTCGTTATTACTAGGTATACTTCGAAGCGGAGCTATAGGATAGGTCTCCTGGCACGAATCGACCAGAACGGTTGCTAATCAGGACGGCAGCAAGGCTGGATGTTCAAATCGTTTGTATGAAGGCTACAGAATGTGAAACACAGTGCAGTACTGCTTTCGAAAGCGTGCAAATAAGCCATTTTCTAACTCTTTATCATGAGTACAGTGAGTCTTTAAAACAAAAAAAAACCAGTTTAGTGCTAGCCGTGTACCTAAGACCGAGACCTCATATACGCGGCAAGCGGAACTGCATCTTGGCATGGCTTGGCTCTACCATGCAGGATCCGCAGTTTATGGCTGTGCAGACACACCATGACGACGCACTTATCCCCAAGTGAACTGGGGGGGCATGACTTGCGTCTTTCCGCGCAGGAAGTACTAGCATTGATAGTGCAAATGCAACTGCAAGGGGAATAGCGCAGATACACTACATTAATTAAGGGCTCTGATTGGATCATCTGCCTCGGCGACAACAGACTTGGAGGCACGTGCATGTCCAAACAAATACGTATCTCAAGAACTTGGACCCCCCAAAATTGAGCTTCGTCGCAGAATTTCCAATACAAAACAAACGCCTTCCTGTCCCGGTCCACACTAGAAGTACATTAGCGACCATGGCTGCTTCACCTCGTCCGGGTCAAAAGACCGCCCTGATCACTGGGTAAACACGAAGAAAGCAGCCTCTGGGGCGAATGCATGTGATGCTAATCTGGGGGCAGATGCACACCTGGGGGTATTGGCCATGCGGTGGCCGAGGAGTTCCATGCAAAAGGTTAACCGCGTGATTCCAATATCGCAGTCTGTATTCCAGATGGTGCCGTATTTGTTGGAAGCTAACGTGTATCATTATCAGGCCTCTTTGTCATTGCCTCCGCCCGCAGACTGGAAGTGCTGGAAGGCTTGGCGGCCAAGGGCATTGCCACCGTGGAACTCGATGTGACGAACAAAGAGTCTATCGTTAGGTGTCGAGAAGAGGTGTCCAAGATCACCTCCGGCCGGCTGGATATCCTGGTCAACAACGCGTGTGTTGCCGGTCTCTTTCTCGATGATCTCATCCAAATGCTTGCTGACTGACTATATAGAGGCCGCACACACGTCGAAGCTGCCACAGACCTAGACATGGATGAGGTCCGGGCCACGTTTGAGACGAATGTGTTTAGCGTCATGGCCATGTGCCAGGCCTTTGTGCAGCTGCTGATCGAGGCGCGCGGCCTGATCATCAATATCGCGTCGATCGCATCCATTGCGCCGTATGCTTTCGCCTCGGCCTACTCGGCCTCCAAGGGCGCCGTCATCGCGTACTCACGCACGCTGCGGCTAGAACTGCGGCCCTTTGGCGTCCGCGTGACCGTCGGCATGATCGGCACGGTGCGCTCCAACATTGCCAGCAAGCCGCGCTCACTGCCAGCCGACAGCCTCTACCTGCCCATCGCCGACGTCTTCGAGCAGCGGCAGACCTTCAGCCAGACGAACAAGACCATGGAAACATCCGAGTTTGCGCGCCACCTGGTAGCTGCTGCCCTGCGGCCAGAAGCACCGCTGTTCCTGCGCAGCTGGTTCGGCCGGCCCGATTGGTTCTGGTGTGGTGGCATGGCCACTGTTGCATGGCTTGGCACCGTCCTGGGCGAATGGGTGGTCGATGCGTCGTGTTGGAGGCTGTTTCGCCTGTGGAAGCTCAAAGAGATTGTAGACCAGAAGCTGAAGAAAGCATAGGCAAGATCTGTCCGCCTGTGGAGAGGCAGGCACACTTGACTTTCATCCTTGTTCCTTATGTACATCTTGTCTAACGAAGCGCCAGTTGTTTTTGCCGTTCCTTTCAGTTGTCCGAGCTTGTCTGCGGAAACGACACGAGCTAGTATCTGTATATCTGTACTTTCATATTAATCAAGCGAGTCCCCGGGCATATGTACCGTTGATCTCAACTGCACAAGAAGGATGTGTATTGAGGCCCGGAATGGTCGTATTCGACAATTAACATGTAGGGGACAGACATTTTTCATCGGTGTCAAGATGAAGGATAGAAATTTGTCCTGCAATTTGAGACATCCCTATGTAGAGGTAAGGCAAGACCTGTCTTACACCCAAAACTCCCACAATAGCCATGCTCAAACAGACCCAATATAACGAAATAGACGATAGGCGCAATGACGAATAGATCGACACGGTAACCTTACAGCTCGCCCGGCATATCTTGCAGCTGCTGAGACGGCGTGATGGTCTTCTTGAAGGGACCGAAGAAGTCAGAGAAGACGGCGACGAGGTCCTTGTCGCGAATCTGCATGTGCTCACCAGGAACGGTGCGGAAGTGCAGGCGGCCCTGGTCGTCGAGGGCGCGCAGGCCGAGCCAATCCTCCGTGTAGAGCGGGCGGGCGCGCAGAGGCACGTTCTCGGTCCCGTTGATCTCGGCAAACCAAGCAGACTCCTTGGGGATGACGGTGGCATCCTCGGCGAACATGTACATGGCGAAGCTGGCCAGTTGGGCCATGTTGTCGCGATAGGTAGTGTTCTTGACATCGCGTTCGTTGTTGATGTCAGCGAGCAGGTTGGAGTGCTCGAGGTACTGGACGTAGCGCTCGGGGGTGGACGGGTCGCGGAAGTACTGCGCCGGCACCAGGCGGCTCTGCACGAAGCCAGACCAAGTGTTACCGCGCAGCAGAGCCATAGCACCTCGACAGACAAAGTCGGTGGCGCCGCAGTCGACAAACTCGGTGATGCCGTTGTGCTGCGAGCCAAAGGTCACGAGAGACCGCACCGGTGGCCGATTGCACCGCTCGACGTAAGCTCGCAGAAACTGGCCGCCCTGGCTGAAGCCGAGCGCATCAATAGCCGGTGCCGTCGACAGGATCGGATCTGCTGCAATGTCGTCGCAGACTTTGGCCACCTGCTCCGTCACGTTGCCGAGAAAGGTCGCCGACCGGTCGCCACTCGCGCTGGCGTCCAGCTGCACAAAGTAGACGAGCGTGCCCGGGTTGATCTCGTCAGCCAGCTCGCCCACCTTTCGGAGGCCTTCGGCCGCATAGTTGTCGCCAAGACCTGCAGGGAGATGGGAGCAGACGCGTCAGCGAGAGAGCCATCAAGGAACCAGACCAAAGATGTGTTACCATGCCAGATGACGAGCGGCAGAGGCGTGTCGTCGTCGTCATCGTCGTCATCGTTTCCGGATGTCCGTGTTACAGCCGAAGCCAGGGCCAGCGACCCAAAGGTCAAAAGAAGCTTGATTTGACGCAGCAAGGCCATATTTACAAATGTGCTGATGGAATTGAAGTTGGACAGGTGAACCGGAGCCTCTGGAAGCTGGTGGCGTTAGTGGTTGCTTTAGCGGGGGCTAGCGCTTTGGGGTGGCCCAAGCTCCCTGTTTCGGGCATGGAGAAGCTTATATCCGACTACGGAGCTATTGATTATTGTACTCCGTATATCCAGTAGTCTCCACAATCATGACATGAAGAGCAAATGCCAGACTCAATCGATCTCGGTAAGCTATATGCCCCATGACCCTGCACTTCGCCCGGAGCTCATAAACATGTCTTGAAATATGCGGTTAGTGTGGAGAGACCTCTGCAACAAAGTTCCCGAGGGCATTTGCCAATCTCCGTGCCTGTTTAAACTCGCATTATCGACACTAGCTATACTAATAATTTTTAATTCAGAATAGGAGTGCGGTTCACGTTGAAGACACCGAGAAGGAGCCTGCATTAACTCCCACTGCTCCGGGCTCGCACTACTACTGCCCAGAGAAGGATGGTCCCGATGTAAATTTGGCGAACAGAACAGAATAGATCATTGCACATAAGCTTTAGTGTGGACCCGTCCTTCGATATCTATGGCTTCGCCAGATGACTGGAGAAGTAGGCTGGCAGCCACAGACCGTTACAACAATGTCCAAAAAATGTGAAACAACCCAGACACCCCTCCGCCATCTCGTCGAGGCGTCCGAACCAGCGGGTGGAAACAGATTGCTAATGTCTTTGATGTGTGCACAGCGAGGCAGCAGGACAGCACACAACTTTGACTGCAAGTGCATTTATGCTCGAGAATGACGCATACATTTCATCCTCGTCCAAAGTGAGACATCTGAGTGTCATCTGCTCTCCCGATCTCTCTCGACTGACTCGTGCGAAGGAAGACTATGAAACCGCCTGCGAGCTTCTCTCGGAGCCGCCGGCAGCAGCAGGAAAGAACGTGCATGGCGCTATAATGGAGGCGAACCTGGGGGACACTATGAACCACGACGACGAAAATGATCTGCAGATCGGGTCTTACACGCAGTGCTGCTACATCTCGAGTGGCGTCACGGCCGATGTGTTTCGCAGCGGCACCCGGGCGCTCAAGGTGATCACCGAGACTAGAGACATGCAGCCGCACGACCATGTGCGGGAGGCCAAGATCCTTGGCCTCGTTTGCCGGCAGTGCATCCCGCTTCTCGAGACGTTCCACGACCAGGAGCAGCGCTTCGTGCTCGTCTTTCCCTACATGCCACTGAGCCTCGACGCTGTTCTCGCTCGGACGGACGAGCTGCTGTCTCTGCAACGGCTGTGCAGCTACTTTGTCGACATCTTCGGCGCCCTGGCCCACATTCATGGCCTGGGCATTATCCATCGCGACGTGAAGCCGTCGGCCTTTATGATGGCATCGCCAGACGGGCCCGTCCTGCTGTCAGACTTTGGCACCGCTTGGCATCCGGCGCTGTCCCAGGCAGTCGAGCCGGCCGATGGCAAGGTTCTCGACATTGGCACCGGCCCGTATCGGGCGCCTGAGGCGCTGTTTGGAAATCAGGCATATGGCCCGTCCGTCGACATGTGGGCGGCCGGTGCAATGTTGGCAGAGAGCGCTCGCCGTCCGCCATCTACCCTCTTCACGTCGCGACCGGCCCATGAGGACGGCAGCCAGCTGGGCCTCATTCTCAGCATCTTCAAGACCATCGGAACACCCACAGCCGAGACGTGGCCAGAGGCTGCTTCGTTTAAGACACCCCCTTTTGAAATGTACCGCGTATTTGAGCCGCCGTCGTGGGAGGACATTTTGCCCGAGGTGAACCCGCATATTCGTGCGCTTGTAGCAAGGCTCATCAAGTACGACAGCACGAGAGCGACGGCTGAACAGGTGCGTCGGTCCCCCAAAGCAGAGTGAACGGGATTTTGCGTGATGACAGTACTGACAGACACACAGGCCCTCGTTGATATTCTAAAACTGGCTACTTGATTTGTTTGCGGAGGTCCGTTGGATATTTCGAGTGCATGCAGAGAATATAAGAATTTAGACGAACGTGTCGATGGTTGTCACATCTGAACGAACGGCATATGTTAGCACTATGTGTATAGTTGCTTCAAAAACTTATGCTGATGTCACTTTACCACTGTGCGAGCTCTTACCATATTCAATCAGCAATACTGTCGGCGCTTTACAGAGCATCTCAGGAACAGAAACAGCAGCCACCGGCTGCGGCCAATCTGGCTGAACCTGCAAAACAAGAAGCGGTAGTCTTGAGACTGTAGGTTTGACTCACCCTCTTTTCATCCAAAGATGGCCAAAACGGCAAACATAAATTGCTATCACAAGACTGTCTGTCCGCATTACAGTAGTGTGGTGGACTTGCCATTGTTTTCCAAAAGCGCAGGTGGTCTTTTGAGTTCAATTATATTGCCGACGACGACAAGTGTCAAGCTTGTGTCGCCTATTTATATGCAAACAGCAACGAGATCAAGTTCGCAAAGTAAACTGTACTATGGAAAAGAGCATTTTCACCAAGGGCAGCTCTTCGTATAGAACCTACGTACAGAGTACACCTTTCATTCTTGTCTGCAAGTAAAGCTCGCCAGAGCTTCGAGCAATCCTAAAAGCATTTTTTTAGTGCGAGCATATTAGACATGTTCCCATAGGAGAAAACAACGCATACGCGTTGTCTAGATCCCAAGCTGAGAGTTCCCGGGCAATTTTCTATACAGTTGGTGGCGTATTAATTTCCTTTTGGAACGGCATGCTTTTTTTAAAAAAAAAAATACTGTGAGTAAGGAAGCAGCTTTGGCCCTGCTTATAATGTGAACTTCAAAGGGGTGTTGCTTGAGGTTCCAAGAAGCCTTTTGACCCATAGAAAGTCGTTTTTCTATAGTCCCTTCTCCTACTACACTAGACCCCTGCCATTGTATATACACATCCTCCACCCTTGGTTTAATATGTAGACTTAGAAGTTGTGAACTTGAGGCTTGGTAAAGCCTAGCTGCGTAAAGGCGCCGTTGCGACCACCAAATGTCTTTTCCATAGCGGGCGGGCCACTGATAAAAACCTTGCTCACGCCTGTAGCCGTGCCACTAGGCTTCTCGCTCGCAGCGTCCGGCACGATTCCGACGCTCTTTAGCAGCTCGCCCGTTACGTAGCCTTTGGGGTACTGTGAGTCGGCGGAGGGGTGGCTAGCGACAATGTGCGTGGTAAGACGGTCCGGATAGGCGCGCTGCAGGGCGGCCAGCTCAGTGGCCAGCATGACATCCCTGTCCGCATTCACGCCCCAAACGAGCGTGACGCGCGTGCGGTCTTCGGGGTTGAGCAGGATGCCGCGCACGAGCTGGTAGCAGGGAGTGATGCCCTGGCCACCGGCAACGACGCCGACGTGGGAATGCTCATTGGGCTTGTAGGAATAGGCGGGGATGCGGAAGAAAGTGACGCTGTCGCCGGCCTGGAGCCCGTGCAGATGTGTCGACTGCTTACCGCCGGGATACTGCTTGACGAGCAGATCGACATGGCCAAGCTGTTCTAAAAGGGGTGAAGGATGTTAGAACTATTAGGTAGACATTGGGTAGACAAAAGAAGGGGGGAGGTCGACTCGCCAATATCCACAGGCGTATAAGGCCGCAAGACGGGCAGCCAACGCCCAGCCGGGAAGGTTATGGCGAGCAGGGATGAGGTCAGAGCTAGTCCGTTGGGCTTTTTGGGGTCGCCGAGGTCGAAGCGCAAGCGCTTGACATTGTGGTTGATGTCCTGGCTGCTGGCCAGCTTGAGGGTGTGGAAGCCAAAGCGCGAGAAGGTGGGCGTTCCGCCGGGCGCCTCGGCCTGAGCGGAGTGGCTGCCGCGGCCATGCAGCGCATAGTAGGCGCCAGCAGCGACGACGACGGAGGCCAGAAGCAGAGACGTGTTCATGGTCGGGCTGGCAGCGGTGGCGATGCGTGGGCGAGGCCGGGACGAACGGCCGGAAAGGAAGCGTGCAAACGGCTGCTGGTGCTGTGGCTGGGAGAGAAGCGGTCGCAGGTCGGAGCGACTGGCAGCGAAGAAGGGTGACGGCATCGTGAAGGAGGGACGAGAAGAGAGAGAGTGAGAGAGGGGCTGGGGAAAGTTGCTTTATGAAAACTCTTTGGCAGGAGGCCGAATAGAGATCTCAATGCAGACAGGACGCAATGCTAGCTGAGATACATTCACCGGACAGCAATGCAAGTGACGAAGACCGTCGTCAAGATCGTGCGTCTTGATTTGCTGGTCTCGACAGAGAGAGCTGCATGTGCCGGAAGGTCGATTGGGGAAGTCCCCGGCACCGTGACAGCTTATATAGCCGGAATGCTAGTCTCGGGTGCGTCATCGCTGATCGCTGGCCTGAACAGGCCAGAACGGCCAGAACGGTCGTTTGCGCAGAGTCCGGCATCTGCAGTATAGTGTAAGGCATACTGCTAGGATTGGATCGGTCTCGGCGAAGCCGCCGCTCTCGGGCCCGATCTGTAGGATTCCCTAGTGCTGAACACTCCAGTGGGGCAGGCGATCAGGCCACGCCTTCCCAAGCTCCGGCTGGGGAAGAGAGTGATTGGCCATTTCTACAGGAACGTCTGGATAGTGACGGCCCCGAAGCTCCCGACACCAACATGGCCGAGCAAGCATGCACCTCTCAACTCTTCTCGATACGGAGTACATACACATGATGCTGACTCCTCACAAAGGACGAGACACGTGACCGCACTTCTCGCCAAAACGCCTAACCGTCAGCCGTTTAGCACAAGGCGGCCTCGTTTAGCCTTAAGGTACCATTTGGCTGGTGATAAACCGGAATTTAGTCTGCTGCCTGTCATGATAGCACGATTCAGAAGCGGATTGTCTGTTGATTTGTACACGGCGGCCCTGGTCTGAACTGCTTCGTGCATCCCCAAGACACACGGTCGAGGCTGCCGCCATGGCCGAACTGCCATCACCCTACGAGTGCTCGCACAATGCTGGCGCTATGTCTGCAGTGACTGTGTCTCCGCCTGTCGCCGTGCTGTCATCAACACGCAATCGCCACCCGTCGCCACCGCCCAGCTACGAGACGGCCGTCCGGAAAGACCGGGCCGCGTTGTCTGCCGGCGAGACCCGGCCACGGCACCTGGACGGCCAGCAGAGCCAGCAGAGCCAAGGCCGGAAGCACCAGAAAGAGAGAGACCGGCAGATCCTGGAGCGCGTCTTGCACAAGAACGGTGGCGGTGGTGGCTGCCGGGGCATCACGCGCGACCGTCTGGGCGTAGCCCTGCACGACATGGCCCTGGCCGGCAACGAGGCAGCCGTGCAGGCGTTGCTGCGTGCTTACGCCCCCATCGTCTTCACCGACAGCGGCTTCGTCGCCAAGAGGTCCGACGGCTGCACCCTGCACGCGGCCCTTTGAGGTGCCGCTCCGCATCTGGCCGTCCTCATTGCCGACGAGTTCTGGACACGGACCTAGGAGATGGCGATCGCAAATGGGACGTCCTCCACCGACCTCGACCTCGACCCCCGGACTGAGGACGATGCCAGGACCCGCGCCCTGCTCGACGCCCGTGATGCCAACGGCTGCACACCCCTGCACATGGCCGCCCAGGCTGGCATTTCCGACGCCGTGCGCGCCCTGCTGGCCCGTGGCGTCGCTCTCGACTTGCCCGACAACCTCGGCCGCACTCCCCTCCATATAGCCGCCCGCTACGGACGCGTCGATGCTGCTGCCGTCCTGCTCGCCAACGGGGCTGACGGCCAACACCTGCTGCAGCCCACGCTGTGGAACCGCGCCGCTGCCAAGGACAAGGCCGCCAGTAGCATCGACACAACCAGACGAGTCGTCCCACGACGACCACTTCCTTCAAGCCATTCCAGCCGTTCAACCCGGTGCCTGAGTGGGACGGTATCGCCGGCTGGGATATACCCGGTGCTGTCGCCAGGCCCTCTCACTCCTCTGAGAGCACCTCGGCCTCGGTCCCGGCCCTAGCCTCCACTTCCGCTCTGAGAGCACTGCCGCCGTCGCTGCTGCTACCCTCCACGAGACGCCACGAAGCGCCGCGCAAACACCTTGCCTCAACGCTGCACAGCCCACAGTACAGCTCCTGGCGCAAAGGCTGCGATACCTTACTTGCTGAACACCGTGCTCAACGCGAACGAAACCGCCTCGCCGATGTGCCCAAGGACATGCAGATATGATGCTCGACAGAATGCCAAAAGCAGAATCGCCAAAGGCTGTCTTCAGTCGCGTATCGCCTGGATATCCCACTTTCCCCTTCCAGATGTACATTTACGTTACGCATGAACAAGACCTGATATTTTTAGAATCTAGGAAATCTCTCGCTGCACTATACACCATATGTTCCGTTATATCTTGCAAAGTTCGGGCTGTTTGCTAGCTGTATGTCCTTAGACAAAGGTATCGGGCAACCACATGTAATCCCATACATGGCCATCCATTGATTCTGTCAGTTTGCCAATTGAACTGTATCTACCTCTTTTATTTGAGACTTTGCAGGACCATATTACGGTGTATAATACCTCTAGTAAAATATCTTACGTACTGTCATGGATAAAAGGTGGACCTCCAGTCCTTCATACTCCATACTCGAACGCCGGCTCTAAAAAATCACCTTACATTGTAGTCGTAAGCGTACACGTACATACGACGTACATAGTAGGGCAGTACCAGAGATGGATGCAAAGCCCCCACCGGTTCGTCCTGTCCCAAGATAGCCAATATACTTTGCAACTTGCACAACCCAGATCTTGAACTAGGCCCATCGTGAAATCAGGTGCTCCGAGACTGTAGCAGCTACGCCCCCGTTTTGCACCCCATCGCCTACCATGCTAGCGGCCAATGCTGGCTGGCTGCCATACTTGACAAAATGTTGATCGATGCGCCAAAAAGAATATATTCAAGCGTTACTTGAAGCCAAGACTGCCCACACACGGGATCGAACCGTGGACCTCAGCATTACGAGTGCTGCGCTCTACCACTGAGCTATACGGGCTAAGGACCGTAGTCACGTATCTTGCTCCGATCCAGGCAGGGATCGAACCTGCAATCTCTTGGTTCGTAGCCAAGCGCCTTGCCATTTGGCCACTGGACCTTGTTCAATTGACAGCAGGTGACGCATATGATAAGAAACAGTCTGTGAGCGTTTCTTGGCTGCGATGCTGAATTTGTCACGCCACCCTAACTGGCTTCTCCTCCCTTGACCAGACGACAAATGCCACGAATGGGGTGTCTTGGTCCTATCTATGGCAGGCTCCAGCGAGCAGTCTCTCGCAATGAAAGTCAATGCCGACCACCGCTAATGCCATATAGCTTGTCCGGCGGTGTGGCCGATGAACCGGCCTGCTTGAAATACACAACACTACGTTCATAGCTTGGGACCGATTGTCCCGACCACAGAAGCATTTTAATGAATACCAATTTACATTCAGCAGTTTATTTAAAAAAGCATTTCCGTACATTCATTCAATCGCTAGAATTCTAGGGTCCCCGGCTTGATAATGCCCAACAATAGAGCGCCATAAAATTGTTCCCTGTATGCTTTTGCTTTCCTGTCCCCGTTTTGTGGGATGGTGCCCGCATTTGGCACACAGCTTTCTTCCCTTGTCCGACGCTCTTCTTGGCTAGCCGACGGCAAGTGAAGGCTCGTATGAAAGATTAAAAAAAAAAAAAAAAAAAAAAAAAAAAAACAGGACAGCATAGGTGTGGTATATGTATAACGCCGCCCGTTGTCTGCAGATCCTGTCTGTCTGACACGGTTGAACCCCCAAAAATTGCAGTCTAAAAAAACAGTGGGATCAGGAGGGGGTTGAAGAGAATCGAAAGTCGAAGACCGATCAGGTTGGGCGACTCAGTCATCCTGGGAATCGGCCTGAACCCGGGCGACGATCTCTACGACGCGAGGGAACAGTTTATCGCTGTCGGTCAGGCCACAGACCTTGCGGACAACGTCCTCGGGCTGTTCGCTGGCCATGATCTTGCCCAGCTCAAACGATTCTTCATCGCCCTCGACATTCTGGAAACGGAAAGCCATCTCGGCCGCCTCCAGCAGCGACGAGCATTTGTGGCCGTTCTCTGCCAGCTGGGCAGCCGGGCCGATGAAACGTTCTTTGCGCGAAAGCTTGCGCATGGGCGCGCGGCCAACACGCTCAACGACGTCTTCCAGATGCGGGTTGCTAATGCGAGCCACGATCTTGCGGACATAAGCGTCCTGTGCTTCGGCATCGATAGCGTGCTTGGTGGTGATTAGGTAGGCCGTCTCCTGCAGCGCACGGCGCACGTGGTGCTGAATGTGGCGGTCCTGCAGGGCATCGTAGACGGTCCGCTTCTTGAGGTTGTAGCCGTGGTAGGCCGCGGTCGCGTGGCCGGTGTTGACCGTGTAGAGCTTACGCTCGATGTATGGCTCCAGGTTGTCGACCCACTGCACGCCGTTGATGGGGGGCGCCGTCACATCCGCAAAAGGTGTGCGGTCGACCACCCACTCGTAGAACTTCTCCAGTGTGACGTCCAAGCCGGCATTGGGGTCCTGGGCTGGCACAATCCGGTCAATGGCCGAGTTTGCGTACCGGGCGCGCGTGTTGTGATCGGCCAGCCGGTCTTCTGGGGTGCATTCGCAGATAAAGTCGGCCAGAGTGTCGGTGGCACCGATGGCGTTCTCACAGGCAATCACAGCCAGGGGTTGCAGGTCTGCAGACCGCTGGTCGATACCCTTGGCAATCACCGGGGCGATAAAGCGCAGGATGTTGGGACCCACAGAGCAAGTGACGACGTCGGCCGTCGAAATTTCCTGTATCAAGTCGTTCTCGTGGCTTCTGGAGTTGATGGCACGATAGTTTGTGATTGTGTTCTCTGACGTGCCATCGACACCAACCTCAATGACCCTGTACGACTTGCTGGTGTTCAGCTGGTCGACGATATTGTCAGACACATCGGCGAAGATAACCTCGTAGCCAGAATTGTGGAGAAAGCAAGCCACAAAGCCACGGCCGATGTTGCCGGCACCAAAATGCACCGCCTTCTTCAAGCCTGTTGAGCTATTTGAGGCCATCGTGACGATTGGCTGAGATGTGAGTCGAAAAGAGTGGTCTGGAGAAAAATAGTTGTTGGTAAGAGAGAACGGAGTGAGTGTAGGATGTATCTTAGGTTATACGGTAGGCTGTTGGGACAAGTGCAAAGATGTGATTGTGTGTAAGTAGAGTACGATTGTGAAGATTCTGTAAAGAAGTTGTTTATGATCGTGAGCGAAGTGAGAGATGGAGCGGATAGAGACCGCCCTTATATACTCACAAGGAAGAAACAAGGGAAAAGAGACGAAAAGTGGGCTTGCTGGCCCAGGATATGAAGGAGGGAAACTACAGTCCAGGGCCAGGTACGAGTTTCGTGCTGAGAGGCATCGTCATACAAAGACGCCGTCTCAAAGTAGCCTTATCCAGGCGAGTAAGTTGCACTGCTAGTGCAGGCTGACGGCCAACTGTGTGGGGCCATTTTAAATAAGTGTTGTATACAGTGCGAAAGCAGATCCCAACTAGAGCCCCTTAGCAATGTCGCCACGCCTTGGCAGTTAGTGGACAACTCACTGCACACTGTGGCGCTAATGGCCTAAAAAGCCCGGTCTTCGTCTCACTATCCCCTAGCGGCTGTAACATACGAGCGCAGAACCGCGGTGCGGCGCCATGTGCTGAGGCGGTGCAGAGGACGCAAAATGAACTCGCACTGGCGTTTTCCCAAAATGCGCTCTTGTCGCCTCTTGCCTGAGTGGGTCCACGCCTTCCGGAAGGGTCCACCCCTCCTAAAGAGGGGAACATCACTCTGCGGTCTGCTGTCGGAACAGCGCTGATTGGTTCCGCCCTGTCCGCTGGCTTTGCTCCCTATCTCTACTGGCTAGTTGCGTCATAGTGCTGTAAACCTGAAGATATGGAACAAGCGGTGGGGCTGATACTGTGAGTGGGCTGCATTCCCACTGGTCCGGCAGAGACCTTTCTTTCAGGTTCCGGTTTTTTCATGTCCATGGTCCTTCCTACTCCTTTCGGCACCTCTACACGGTAAGAGCGCCAAACCCCACGATGGGCTCCTTTACGGCCCTTTACCCCCTGCGCCTTCCTTCGGTTTGACCAATCTGTGTGTAGCCAACAAAAACTGTGTGACGCTGGCATTGCGGTGAAGCAACGATACGCGGGCGACAGGTCGTTCGCTGCTGCCGTACGGAGTACTTCCTCGCACATACATACGCCGTACTCCGTACTGCAACATGCAGGGCATGCCCCAACAAAATTTGTGATTGGTAGGGGTCAATCAGGGCGAAGCTACCAGGTACGGAGTAAGATACAATTGCTATCTTCACAAAAGCAAATTAGAGACCGTATTCCGCACGAATAGTATACCCTGCCCATACAGGCCTCCTCCGGCAGGATGACGACAGAAACCGCCTGTGGGCCAGCGAATTGCTGCCTAAATGGCTGTCTCCTGCCAGCGCAGAGGTCCGCTGAAATGCCCGCTGCAATGCACAGCGCTGCTACATATGATGCATATCTTACATCGTACAATACTACTTTATCTGTCGTATCTGCTGCCAGAGGTCAATGTCCGAAAATAGGGCTCACGATGACTGTGCATGCCACATGCACTGCCCGCTGAGATATTATCGAAAGTTGCACCGTCGCCGCCTCCTATTTACCTGTTTGCACCCCCGATATGACTCTTCATTCTTGCTTGATTTCGCCTGTGTGGGCTGCCTACAATATTAAACCGCAATACAAAATTTGGCTGGGCTGTTTTCTGGCCTGCTTCTGGCAGGATCACGACAAACCGTAAAGCCCTCAGGCTGCGTGCTCCCAAACCGCACCGTGGACCAGGATGCAGCAGCTGGAGAGGGAAACCCGGCAGAGCCTGAGCCATAAACCCAAACGTCTGCTGATTTGGACGAGGGACGATGGACAACAGGCAGAATCACGTGTCTGTCAGGAGTAACCAATCTTAACTACCCTGTCTTCCAGGGATACGAGCAAGACTTGCGCATGCTGTGCATCGCAGCTTCACGTCAGATTTGTGATTGATGGGTCAGACATCCTCACATGTTCAGCACGAGCTGAGAGGTGCTCCCATGCAACTCATCCCGTTTTCTCGATGCCACTACTACACTCGTCCTGCAGGCAGTCGTGGGGGTACGGACACTGTGCTCAAACCGAAGACCCGGCACGGCCAACGAGAATCCGAGAAGTGTTGATGCATGGGATAGGCCTTCCAACCTGTACGTCGTACTCCGTACTCCGTACTAGCCATCTCCACCACTGCCCCCGCTCAAGGCTACGACTGCATAAACTGATGAATGTTGTGTACAAAATGTACTGTGCATGTAAAATACGTAAAACACTTGCCGTTTTATTCCCTACGGCTTATCGCTACTAGGGGACTTGTTGACTAGTAGTGGGGCCGGCCTCACCCGAGCGTATGAGTATGACACTCGGCTACAGCATTGTTTCCACAAGCTCACGAGCAAAGAATACCAAGGAACTGGAAGGGGTCGAGACAAGTTCGCAGCAACTTGGGCGAAATGTAAGTCCCACTTCCTGCCGTCTTAGTCTCAAAAAGCCCATCATTGTGAGTATTTCATGGCGCAGAGGCTCAACACGCTTGTCTCTTTTTTCTCTCCTGCGCATTGCATGCATTTCGTCACATACTAGCTTTAGTCGCCAGCACATTAGATGCTCTTAGACCCTTACTTTGAGCTGTACCGGCAAGGCAAGAGTACGGAGTAGATAGCAGTACGTCGTAGTGCACTCCGTACTACTGCACTGCACGAGTAGATGCCCCTCTCCTGCGTCATCTGTGGGGAAAGCCGGGGTTGTCGGGCGGGCATGAGACCAACTCTATCCGAGGTAGTCGTGCATCGTATGGGGCAGCTTCTCAGTTTGGAGGTCTACAATAGGACGCGGGCAGACGGTGGTACATATCAGACCTGTCAGCGTACGCACTTGTAAACGAGGAGGCTAAGAAGCGTAGTCTACGCTAAACTATCATGTCGTTCTCATTTTTACCACAAGGACGACAAGGATCGGCGCCTTTGCCCAGCTACATAGTACAGCCATGACTTTGAAACCAGCAGAAGCCTCACGATGAGCCAGTTGGCCTGTTGGGAAATGCGTCATGTGTGCTTCTCTGAATTGAAATTCTCGTCCCTACAACATGGCTTGACTCTCCTTTTCTTATTGCTGTTTCGGTATCTCGGCGAGAAAGGAAAAAGAACATCCGAGGTCGATGCCGGACTAAAACTAGTCTTAGCACATCTATGCTCGCTGATTCATTGTTTTTACTAAGTACGTGTCCAAAAGCGCCGCTATCGTACGTCGTAGTCCGTGTTGCCGGCTTGATTCGTTAAGATGACAACAGACTTGGCGCTAATTCTTGTGATGTGCAGCAAGCCGGTCCTATTTAGCTTCGCTGTACTCCGTGAGTCGCATTTCTCCAAAGCAAACCCCAGGAATGCATTGCTTGCCACAAACATGCCCACGGTGTCAAAATAATACGAGAACAGCCGGCGGCGTAAAAGATGGGCTCTAGAAAAGAGGGACAATAGACGCTGTGTGGAAAAAAGGTGGAGACAACAATTCACCGTGGCTGATATCGAAGTGTACAATACCACCATAACGTACGGAGTACGGAGTACTAGCGAGCTTCGCGGTCCAATGCCATATTTGAGAAAGACAGACACAGCAGGCATCCTAAGTGCGCACATATATGGCCTTAGTCGGCTGGCTCTCCATAAAGTTGGCTTGTCACGTTTCCAATCCCGAGTCTTTCTCTGGCCTTGTGCCTGAGCTTGCTACGCTGTATTCCGTAAGACCTCAGTCATACCTTCAGCCTCATCAGCCTCGCCAGCCTCGCAATCTGGACAGCAATAACGACAGCAAGCGTCGATGCAGGAAGGTTGCAAATGGAACACACGGTCGGGGCCACTCTGGCATAGCTGCTAATGCAAACGTTGCCAAGTTTCTGTGATCCGGAGAGCTGGTCCGATGGCGAAGGCCTTAAAAAGGTAAATTCTGGTTATGTGTATACAGAGTATGATTTTACAAATCTGTAAAGGCGTTTTTTTGTTTGGTTTCATGGATCTGGGTAGGTTGAAGCGCGGACGGGGATTTTCATGAACATCGAACCACCTAATCGAGATGCAAATCGGCTTCTGGCCTGGACAGCTGGTGTGCTCCAGCGCTCTACAGGGGCCCTGGGCGCTGGACGTCCCCTGAAAGTTACATGATCGTTGCGCTAGCGCAGCTCGGAGGTTCAGATATGGGATCGCTAGTCCCGTAATGGTCTAGCTCATATCTCAAGATACCGAGATGGGCTTGAAGAAGCCAATCCACTCGGGCTGTTAGCTTCTCCGAAATCACAAAATCCGAGTTACCTCATCGACGAGCCGTCTTGGCCAGGAACGTCCACACACCGGCTTTTCCCTCCTGCATAGTTGAGAAAACTGCTCGACCACTCGGTGATACAGCTTCTGCAACATTCACCGATCGCCGGTCAGCTATCCACCTCTACTTAAACCGCCTGTGCATCGAAAATACCTCGTAACCTCCCCGCCGTCGAACCACCCGGATTGCTCACTCTCTCGGCCGACCAGACTCCCCGCTTCAACGGCTTCCCGATGACTGCCACATCTCCTATCCGCACGTCAACCTCCGGCGAGGTCGCGCACGCGGACTTGGCTATGACGGCGTCCAACGCGCAGTCCCATCACTCATCCCACAACCACAAGCACCATTCTGGTGCTAATGCCGCAATTATTGAGTACGGCTATCCCCACGGCCACCTTGGCCACCTTACCGCCGAGGAGGACAAATCTTTCAAAGAGTTCAAACAGTACCTGATCAAGGAGGGCGTGTACAAGCCCGGTCCTCCGCCGTCGCACGACGACGCAACTCTTCTGTGAGTTTTCCCTATCTCTGCCGGTCCGAGTTCTCTTTCTGAGGGAATGCGGGCTGGGCAGCTCGAACGGTGTGGCTAACGTGCCGGGTCACGCCAGCCGTTTCCTTCGTGCCCGGCGATGGGTGGTGCTGGATGGATACAAGCAGTTCAAGGAGACCGAAGATTGGCGGGCAGCCACACAGCTGAACCTGCTGTACGACACGATCGACCTCGACGGTTACGAACAGAGCCGACTGCTGGTAAGATGGCAACGAGCGTGCGGCGAGACATAGGGGCGTAAAAGACATGACTGACGTGTTTCCGAAGTATCCGCAATGGACAGGCCGCCGAGACAAGCGGTAAGCCCTCTCTCCGTTGTGCTCGCCGTTTCTTCTTTCACTCATGACTCCTCTTTTAGTGGTATCCCGGTCTACCTATTTGAGATCTGTCACCTCGACTCCAAGACGATTTCCACGTATGAGAAGACGACCAACAACACGTACAGCAAGGCAAAGCCGGACGGGAACACGCCACCGCGGCTGCTGCGCCTATTTGCGCTTTATGAGAACCTGACACGATTCGCACAGCCGCTGTGCACGCAGATGCCCGACCGTGAACACGCCACTATTACGCCCATCACGCTGAGCACCAATATCGTCGACGTTTCGGGCGTGAGTCTGCGCCAGTTCTGGAACCTGAAGAGCCACATGCAGGCTGCCAGTACACTGGCCACGGCGCACTACCCGGAGACGCTGGATCGTGAGTGCGACCCTTGATGCCCGTCGTGCTTCTAGAAAGTTGCTGACACGTGCTCTCTGCTTCGTAGGCATTTTTGTAAGTGACGCTATTCGGCCTTTTTTACTTCCTGCCTGTCTGCTGACAACGGCTGCAGATCATCGGCGCGCCGGTGTTTTTTACCACCGTCTGGGGCTGGGTCAAGCGTTGGTTTGACCCGGTGACCGTGTCCAAGATCTTCATTCTCGGCCCTCAAGAAGTGCTGCCCACGCTGCTGTCGTTTATTGCCAAGAAGGACATACCGAAGAAGTACGGTGGCGAGCTGGACTTTACGTGGGGCCAGATGCCCAACCTCGACCCTGCTATCCGCGCGCGCACAACGTGGGAGAATGACTTTACGGACTTTCCCAAGGGCCCGCTGTTCTGGCGGCCCATCGACGGTGGCCGGGTGGAGTGCGTGGCTGCCGGCAGCGTGAAAAAGGTCGAGCGAATGGCGCGCGTCTGCACGATGCCAACGTGCTTCAAGGGAGCTGCAGCCGTGGTTCCCGAAGAAGTGACTGGGGCCATTAAACCCGTGGTGGCATCGTCCTCGAACGGACACGTCGACGCCGTGGACGCCGAAACTGTGGCCAAGCTCGAGGGGCTCACGGTCACTGAGAAGGCTGACGCAACACCCGCAACAGTTACCGCTTAGTGCGACCCCTACAGCGTGGACATTACTCACCGACACTGCTGACCGCAGCTGCAATTTCTGTCAACGCCCCTCCCCCCCATTTTTCCTCCTTTGCATGCTTGTGTTCAAATTGTCTGTTTGCTTTTATCTCTGTTTTGTTCAACATGGCGGCTTGGACCTGAGACTCAAGACTGTAGTAGACAAAGAATACACGAAATTTTTAAAGCGCAGAACTTGGCGCCGAGTTTACTGGGGGCAATATTATATGTAGTATCAAAATCTAGAGTGCACAATGAGAGCAGAACCACGCTCTTCACGCTGCATCCTGAATCTGCGCCTGGTTGTCGGCAGCGCGTGATGGTGCGTGACCGCGGCGCCGTCGCCATTCGCGCACGCCGCGCTCAACCTCTTCCCATGTAACGCCGTCACGGACGAGCCACATGGTGACGCCGAGGGTCTCGACGTTGCGGTTGCGGCTCTCGTCGTCAAAGAAGAGGAAGTCCTCGTAAGCGATGCCGGTGCGGCGTTGCAGCGCCTCCATGTGGCGCAGCTTGTTGCTGGGGTAGATCTCGAGGCCGGCGTCGAAGGCGTCGATGGCCTTGATGGTGGCTGTCTTGGAGCCGATGGCGGCCGCGCGTGCTTTCTTCAGAGGTCGGACCCCCCCGCTACCGGCTGTCTCCGGAGGTGCCGGCACCTGGAGCAGCCGCAGCAGGTCCCTGGCCAGGTCTGGTGCCGACGTCCGGCTGGCCACGCCGACGCGCAAGCCAGCTGCCGCCAGCGCCTGCAGCAGGTCCGGCACGTCGCCGTAGAAGCCAAACGTCTCACCGATGCGATCGACCGCGATCACGGGCGCCGGTTGGTTGGGCCGGGGGTGGGCGTGACCTGCGCGCGCCGCCGGTGAAGCCACCTTCAGCGGCGGCGTCACGTGTGTGTCCACCCAGAATGGCCAGAGCGTGTAGTCGAGGTCGAAGACGAAGAGGCGCGGCAGCGGCAGGCCGTCGACAAAGGCCGAGGACGGGTGGAAGGGGTATGACGAGGCCGAGGCCGAAGACGAGTGCTCGGCTGCGCTGCTGCCCGCAGTGGACGCGGCCGACGACGTCGCATTGTTCGACACCATGGCAGATGGTCGGCGGCGGTGAAGACGGCCAGGACGGAGGCGGGTGGCGGCAGCGTCGATGACATTGAAGTGTGCTCAGCGCAAAGATTGGCGTCGAAATTGGCGATCATAGGGCCGTGGAGGATACAGTGCATACACCATGGGCACTGTCCCAAGGCGTCGTGGAAACATGTCATCGCTCTACGGAGTAATTGCCATCGCTGTTCTTATTGGAATAAAATGTCTAAACTAGCTGGAGTCAGTTGTAGTCTAACCCTTTGGCAAGAAATCATAAATACAACGAGGCCGACATTATGCATGAATCGGCGTGCAATAACAGTACCCCGTACATAATTCGTACGTCTACCAGGCCATTGAATCCCTGGCGAATCACTAGGAAGCAGCGGCTTGGTGCGCCTTCCTAAGCTATGATGAGTTCTTCTCATCGAAACACCTTTAGTCAGTAATTTGTACAGCTATTTTCTGCACTTTGCCCAACTGCCGTCCCCCCTCTTCTCGGACTTCCCCTCTCCGCCTCCAGAGTTATGTACCCCATTCCTTCTTCTCGGACATGGACGCATCTTGTGCTGCCGTACCGAAGTCACGGTAGAGGGTGTGTGTAACACCTCGACCAATCCTCTGTACAGAACTTTCCCTCTCGATTCGTTTTGCTTCTATTGCACCTGATCCCTTTTTATTATTATTGAACGGTGTTCTGCCTTCAAACGTGCAATGAATATCAATCTGTACCTTATCAAACCGCCACCTCTCGACCACACACCAGCACGACAACAGCAATTTCGAGCAGCCGGTCAGCTTCTCTACCAATCCGACTTCTTCGTCTACCTTCCCATCTTGTAATTCCACCCATCGACTAGACTAGCTGTTATGACGGTCAATGCATTGCGCAAAATCCAACTCACCCACCTCGCCTATGTTTACTACAGGCACAAGGACGCAGTCACCGCTCGAAAATTCATCGAGGACTTTGGCTTCTTCGAGGAGAAGCAGGCTGGAAAGCGCACCTACTACCGTGGCTACGGAACCGAGCCCTTTGTTGTGTGCATAGAGGAGGCCGACGAAGCTTGCTGGGGTGGCGCTGCATTTGCAGTAGCGACTGCCGAAGATCTCGAGTATGCGGCCGCCACACTGCCGGCTAAGTGCCGGCCCACGGCCGTATACGAATTGACCGACGCACCTGGTGGCGGCCGTGGCGTCACTTTCTACGACCCCATTGATGGCTTCCCCTTCCACCTGGTGTACGGCCAGCAGAGAGTGGAGGCGCGTGATCCCATGTTCCCAGTGATCAAAGTTAATTATGTGTGTGAAGCAAGCCCTCTCCATGCTACGCTCCCTCTCTCAGCTGTCGATGCAATTGCGTGCTTACTGCATTGGTATAATAGCCTGTTGAGAAGAATCGACCAGTGAACCGATTCCAGCGTTTTGAGAAGCGCCCGGCACCTGTACACAAATTGGGCCACTTTGGTATGTGCGTGACCGACTTCGTGCGCTGCTACGACTTCTATTCGACACACTTCAACTTCTTTCCCAGCGAGCTGGTACACGACAGTGCTGGTGTCAACAAGACGGTCTTTTTTCGGCTCGACCGTGGCGAGCAGCAAGTGGACCACCACGTCTTTTTCCTATACGAAGGTGGGCTTGCAAACGTCGAGAATAGAATCACAAAGACACAGATCGAAGTCTACTAACAATCCCGACGTTAGGTCCCAAGTGCCACGTGCACCATACATCCTACGAGACACATGACTTCGACACGCAGATACTTGGCCATGACTGGTTGCGGGACAAGGGCTACAGGAACTGCTGGGGCGTGGGCCGTCACGTCATGGGTAGTCAGATTTTTGACTACTGGTTTGTGCCATAAATCTGCGTACTAGCTGCATACTGCTGACGTTCATTTGCAGGTTCGACCCGTCTGGTTTTATCTTGGAGCACTATGTTGACGGTGACCTGCTCAACATGAGCGAGCCGACGCACCACACGCTAGAAAAAGACGCCCATCTGCACGTCTGGGGTAAGACACCTTTTCCTGTCAATCGGTTCAAGGTGCTAATCCGGCTTTCTCTAGGCCCCGAGGTCCCATCGACATTTATGGACTAATCGATCCATTGCTTGCTCGTGTACTAAATCATACTTTTCCACGCATCTCTTGCGCTGGTTCGGCAACCCCGCTGCTTTCCAAGCGCCGGGCGTTACGAACTAGTAAAACGTGCTGCTGCTATATTCACCAAATGTATTCCGCCTTTATGTGTATTTATATGACTTCAGCGACTAAAGCAAACATCTTTAGTCTTTCGACCAGGAGCTCGGCCGAGGAGCCGTGGGTAGCCATCTACAAAAGCGCTATTAGCAAGTCAGCCGCAAACGATTGGAATATTCTCCACCATTATTTCGTGAATAAGGTATCTTACCACCCGGATCCACCAACTCCGGGAGCTAACAGGGTACTTTGCCAAGTTATAAGGCATGCGTCGTCGATGATCGTACACCGCATCATACACCGCGTAGCGCATCCCAAGCTGAACACTACGAAACTCTCCATAAGTGCAACAGTGGAACTGATGAGTGCTAGTTGTCTCCTTGTAGTATGTCTCTATGGCTTGCTGAGCTGAGTTTTACGCAGCCGCTAGCTGTTTACAATATACTCTTGCCTGCAGCGTGAAGTGAGATGTATTTCCCCTCGTATAAAGTCCTTTATCTCTCTTCGTCTTCCTGTGCCTTTCCCTCTTTCGCACAACTCAAAGATTTGTCGTAGACATGATGGCGTTGTACTATCCCGCCTTGGCGATTTCGACGCCCAGTGTCTTTCTGGCTCTGTTGGTGGGTAGCTACTTGTTCTTCAGATTGATGATGATGGGCCGGCACGGCAACAAACTGCCCCCGGGGCCCCCTACCCTTCCGATCATCGGAAACCTGCATCAGATTCCGAAAACCGGCCTACATTTGAAGTATGACGTGTTATTACTGAATACACATGGCAGTAGATGCTGATTATTAGATTTCTTGAATGGGCCGAGCAATATGGCAGTGTTTTCTCCCTGAAATGCGGGTCAGACACTATGATTGTCCTAGCTGATCGTAAAGCTGTTCACGACCTGGTTGATAAAGATTGCTTGTGCAATTATTTTTGGTTATCGCGGTGTTGCATACGACTCTTTTTTCGGCCATGTAAGCTATTATTCCTGTTGATATCTTCTTCTTTTCTTTTCTACTTAAGTCTTGGCTTCCCCTTTCTTGGGTTCTCTCCTAATCATTACAGTGTGTTTACGATGCCCTAGAGTCCTTTAGCGAGTCCTTGGGTCTGAGTTCCAACCCGCCCGTCAAACAGTTCCCTTTTCTCCGGTACCTGCCTGACTGTATAAGTCCATGGCGTGTACGCGCCCACCGCGCTTTTAACGCCATGTCTACAACATTCAGTACCGCTAGGGATACCGTGGACAAACGGCGCGCCGCTGGTGACTGGCGTGCGTGCGTTTTGGACCGCATACTAGACAGTCCTAAGCTTATTGGCACCATGCCGGGAAAGCAGCTTAATCACTTCATAGGTGTACTAGTCGAGGGTGCTACGGATACTACACAGTCGAGCATCTTAACGATTATTGCCAACCTTGCCCGCTACCCCGAGTACTAGCGTTTAGCCCAGGCCGAGATTGACGCCTGTTGCGGCACCCAACGTATACCTTCGTGGTCAGATTTTGATGCTCTGCCGTTTGTCAACTGTATTGTAAAGGAAGGCCAGAGATGGCACAGCGTGTACGGTTTGTCCTGTTCTATCTCTTTCCTTCCTTTGTATAACCTGACAGTCGTCTAGTATTCCGCTTGGACTTCCCCACCGCGCCTCTGAGGACAACTGGTATAACGGTATGCTAATTCCAAAGGACGCCACAATTATCATCGCGTCTCATGTTATCCACCATTCGGAGCGCTGCTATGAGAATGCCAACATTTTTGACCCACGCCGCTACCTTGGCCACCCGCGTCTCGCCAACAGCTATGCCGGCAGTCCCGACTATGAATAACCGTGACCATTACGGCTACGGCGCAGGTCGTCGTATCTGCCCGGGCATGCACCTGGCCGAGCGGGTGCAATGGCGAGCTATAGCGAAGATACTGTGGGCCTTCGACATTGTGATGCCCATCGATCCGGTTACTGGAACCGCCGTCGTGCCTGAACCTGAGGCCTATGAAGAGGGCCTCGTATCAGGGTCCAAGCCTTTCCAGGTCGAATTTAGGCTGCGCAGTCCGGCTCATGAGGCAGTTATTCTACGTGAGGTGGAGGGGAGCTTGGCCGACCTTCGCAAGTACGAGTAGGGTGTTATGGGGATATTGTGTAAAGATGTCTGCAAGGATTGCAAAGGATCTTAGAGCCTATGCCTGCAGGTTTAGTGCCTATGCTCGCCCCAAAATATAACGATGGATTGGTATGGCCAAAGAGCGTTAGGCAACGTCTTGTATAACACACTTTATACATATCTTTTCACTCCATACAGCTAGCCAAAACCGGTCTCATAAATCTGCTTCACACAGGTCACCATTTTCAGAAGACGTCCTCTTACTTGGCTGTCTTCTCAGTCGTCCTGTGCTACCCGGACTATGATCTTGCCGCGTGTCCGATGCGTCTTAAGCATTGTGTATGCCCGTGGAGCATCATCAAACGACACGACTTCTTCGATGGGCACTTTGATTTTCCTCTGCGCAATAAGGTCCAGCACCAACCGCTCGGCCGCAGGATCGTTATCATTCATGAGTACCGGTCGCGCGTGGTGACCACCACCCAGGAAGCTCGGCAGCACGTTAATCCACAGCGCTTCCGTGATAGAGGACACGGCGACCTGCACGTAGCGACCATTTTGCACCAGGCAGCTATCAGCCGCCTTGTAGAGGGCAAAGGGCGCACCGACGAGGTCGACGGCGAGATCAAAGGGGTGCTGAGCCTGGCTGGTGGCTGATTGGGCTGCGAGGGTATCGGCAACGCTCGTGGAGCTGTAGTCGATGACAACATCGGCGCCCAGGCTCCGGCAAAACTCGACGTTGCGTGTGGAGCACGTCGTGGTGACGTGGTAGCCTTGGGCCTTTGCAATCTGGATGGCGAAGCAGCCGACGCCGCCGCTGCCGCCGTTGATGAAGACGCAGGGAATGGGAGCTCCCGCCCCGGCCGGAAGACTCTCGCTTTTTGCCTGAACGGCCTTGAGCTGCGGTACCAACGCGTTCCAGGCCGTGGGACCACAGATGCCGATCGAGGCCGCCTGGTCAACATCCACGCCCTCGGGCACGACTACGCAGCCGCTGCTCTGGGCGAGGACATACTGGGCCAGTGCGCCGTGCTGTGCCATGTTGTTTGTCTTGCCGGCCACTAGCTGTCCTGGAACGAACCCGGGCGCTGTTGCTGCCACCACGCGGCCGCAAAAATCGGATGCTGGTGTCGCTGGTCGTCGCGGCAGAAACCGGCCGACCACCGGCAGCTCCGGGATTTTGTAGTCGACCGGGTTCACTGCCGCCGCCAGAACACACACCACGATCGCATCGCTGCCCGGCTTCAGAAGCCTGAACGTCTCTGGCACTGGGTAGTCGCTCACAAGGCGCATGCGGTGCTCCATACCACCCTTGGCCGACTCGTAGACCCAAGCCTGCATCGTTTCCGGGACCGGGCTGCCAGTGCCACTACTGCGTGCCGTCGTAGCCGTTGTTTCTTGCGGTTCTTGCGACATTTTCAGCGAGAATAGTGTGTTGTTTTCGGATCGCGGGGTAGTCTGAAGGTAAGAGACGGAAGGAGATAGCCAAAACAATGTTTGTAATGATAATTATGACGTGACGTAGGTGGAGGGTAGAAACACGTGGTCACGATACGTGTCCTTTGGTTGTTGGATGGATATCAATATAGTGAAGCATATGCCCTGATCGCCATACTCTCAATAAGCAAGACGTTGGTGCATGTATGCCAGCTCTCTAGGGACATTGCTCCTTGCCTCGAAGACTGTATGAGTGAGGCATATACTAGAGTGCCTTCACTGCGGCTTTGGGGCTAAGTACGATTTTATAAATTCGGGTCCTAGTACTCCGTCAGGTCTGGGAAAATCGAATACTTCAGTGCGATGGTAAGTGAGCGAAGCTGTTTGATTGACTTCAAGTATCTTGTGGTACGGAATACCAATTACTGGCAGGAAGGAAGACTCTCGGAAATACAAGACTATTTAACACCACGTCGTGTATCAGAAGCTATCGCCCTCCCTGGCGGCGTGCCCGCGCGGCTTAGTCCTAGCCTTTGCCTTAGACGTGTAAGATCCTCCGCGTCCCAGTACTGCTTGATGTATAACTGGCGTCGAGATCCATTAATAGGTCGGATTACAGCATCGGTCCACAATTTCGACATTTCATGGGAAGGAAAGTGCATGATAAGACCGCTATAGTTCCGGCTCATTTCGATCTTGACCTCGGCCGGTAGTTGAAAGGCGATACGACAGGTTCTATCAGAGTTTGACAAATGCCTTTTGTGTTCATTAAGGCTTTGGCGATATCGATCGAAAAATGGGTTGCAATTGTTCGGAAACTCGATTTCGGCTATCAAACCTCGATCAAACCTAATGTACACATGCAGCCGCATTGTGTTCTCGGCCATGTTAGGAAGACTACATAGGAAGCGACATTAGTTTGGCTCTTGGTTCTCTTGGGAATGTTGAGTGACTCGTACCTGCGGTGCACTTGGCCTGAAAAATGAAGATAGCCTTCTCATACCGTGCCAGCTATACATGGAGAGCAGATACACCCATATATACTCCGTACCCCGCTCACATTATTACCCGCTGCTATTAATAGCAGTCCAGGAAGGATGGCCAAATAAGCCGGGCAACGTGGCAGCAGCATAGACCCGACCAATAGAGATTTGGTCGTAAGCCTTGATATTATTGCAAATCTACAGTAGGGCAGAGGAAGCCTTTGCCTTATCTCTCTTAAGCTCCTACTTTTTCTTTTTGTTCATGGTCAGTTTAGCGACTCTGAACATGAGTCTGAGTGGGGATCTAGAAAAGGGGCTCGGGCCTGGCACGACACTTGAGGCTGGTACGCATTTGCATCCTTATAAAAGAGCCAGCCATTCTTGCCTTACTAATTTCTGAAAACAATAGTGGAGGAAAGCTATAGTCCAACTGCGGACGGCGTTCTGCCGTCTCCTAGGCAGAGAAGCTCCGGAGGCAGCAGTCGCTACATACGTAGCCGTAGTTCTATGGAACCATGCCGAGATGACAGAGTACCCTCCGGAAACGAGGAAGACCGCTTTCAGAATCGTGACAGCGAAATATCTCGCCGGAACAGCGAAGACAATCCTGAAGCTTACTCCTCATGCAACTACTCGTCTAAGGCCCCCTGGAAGGGCCACGAGGTTGGAACCAGGCACAGTGACAGTGAAATATCCCGCCGGAATAGCGAAGAGAACCCTAAAGCTTACACAGCACACAACTGTTCGTCCAAAGCTCCCTTGAAAAGCAACGAAGTTGGAATTGGACGCAGTGACAGTGGGATATCTCACCGAAATAGCGAAGAAAATCTTAGCGCTCATTCCTCACCCAAACACGCATACAGACCTTTCATATCTGACTGCATCCCCGAACCAGGCGGATTGAACACACTAGATTTAGACCAACCAGAGGAATGGGCATTGAGGCACCATTTAGGTGGCTTGATCGTCAAGTTGGACGAGCTAAAAGTCGGGTGGGTGCAGTCGGCTATAACCTTCATTTCAAAGCACTGGGTTAGTTCGGATGACAGCACCAGCTCGGACAAAAGAAAGACAAAGCCAGGATACGGTGATAGAAGCCGGTTTCGAATTAGCTTTGCGGAGGTCCAGCGTATGCGCATACGCAAGTTGCAATGTCTACTCGTCAAACATGTTGTTCAGATGCGGCTCACAGGCACCGAGTCGACTGGCTGGGAGCAGACATTAGATGAATACAGTGCGTATGACTATCAGCCGTCTTTTGATATCTAGGCCGCACATTAATTTGCTTTTAGTCAAGGCACTACAGCATCATGACTACATGGAAAAGCGCAGCACATCGGCCCGCGACCCCTTCTTGGCCACGGGAGAATATGCCATTGACAACTATGTGCTAAAGAGCTACATCGGTGATAAGTTTGATAAATACCCTAAACTTGAGACCAGTGTCTCGCTTAGGGCCTGGGAAGACGTCAAGTCAAAGGGTTGTGAGTCCATCTGCGGCACTCGCTACGATAACATACAGAAAACCTGGTGGAGCAAGTTCAAAGAGCGCATCATCCTCGCGGCTGTTGGAGGCGCCTTTCTCATCGGACCAATGTGGATAATGGTGTTGTTGAGCGGGCCCTTCAGCTCGCTCATTTGTACGACCGCTTGTGTGGCAGGCTTTGGTATCTTGATATCCTACTACCTTGAAGACGGAAAGGACGTTCTGGGCAGTACTGCAGCATATGCAGCTGTTCTTATAGTGTTTGTAGGGACAAGTTCTTCATGAGAACATTGAACAGGATCAGTCGAAAATCTTCCTGTCAAATGGCTAAGTAATGGGTGGAAAAGACGGGCTAGGTGCGAGACGAATGATTAAGACCCATGGCATGCGGGTGATTGTAGGCTAGGGTTGCATATGGAATTTAGTTTTATCAAGTTTCGATTATACCGAGGCAATGTGATTGATGCCACCGAAAACTTTTCGTCTGGTGTCAATGAGGTGGGATGGAGCCCTACGAATAACGACATGTGCTTAGGGACCACCACTTTCCTGATTCCAAGCACTTAGCCGGCCTACAGGAGCAGACAAAAATGACGCAGATGTCAGAGGCTGCGGTCCGGCTATCTCCGCTTAAAACTAGAGAGGCGTTCAAAGCCGTCTCTACACATTGCCAGAAAGAGACAAGAACGGATAGGCTAACAAGCTTCTTCTTCCATTTGGATGACCGCGCCCCACAGTTCGCTTGGGGAGCTTAAGTTAGCCCCGATCTTTTCTACACTTGCGTAAGCTGGAGGATAACGGCAGAGACGTGCCGACTTCCGGGACAGCTTCCACTGTAGCGATAAGAAAGTTTTGCGGGCGAGACAGCGAAGTTTTGAATAGGCCGAGTAATGCGGATTGCCAATCGTCGGGGTCGACTGCATGTTCCTGTCGCTGTTCCTGGCGGAACTTGGTCCGGTTTCAGTTCTGCGTCTGCGATAGGCATTCTCACAATACGACGATGCAACGATACGGCGATGTGAGTGATATACCGCGCTAATCATGGCCGAAGCCAAGATTGTACTCTAAAAAACTTGAAATCGTGCATCAGTGAAGCCTGCCAAAATATATCGGGAAAATATATTGTGAAGGGCAATGTTTGTTGACGAACAGGCTTGTAGCTGGAACGGACATCTTTCACAACTCCCGTTTCTGTTTCTTGTACGTCATCTGCGGTTCTTATCATGCCTATCAAACCGGCAATTGCGGACCGTCTAGCTGCACTGATCCCTGACCGATCCTGTGGGGTCTTATGGTTGCCTGCCGGCGTTCTTTGGGAGAGTCACTGGCTACTGGCTTGCTTTATCTGTCCTGCACATGAGCACTGAGCTGTCTGCAACGGGGAGGCCATTCGCTTGCTGCTTTGAGGATAGCTTTCGTGCTTTGCTCGCCTAGGCTTGCCATAAAGAGGAAAATCGGCCCTTACTACACGTACCGAAGACGGAGCTTTATCTATGGCATCTTTTGCACGAGCAGCAATCTCGGCCGGGGTAGATTGGGTGGAGCTGTACCGGAAGCTTGCGAGTTTTTCTGTAGGTAGCAGAGATAGTCATAAGTAAGGTTTGCCCGGAGGACTCTTCTCCCACTGGCTTTCCCTTCCGTTGCTTCCCCCAGACGACTTTCCCCAAGCCAGCAACGATGAAGCTCTCTTCTCCTATCTCGGCAGGCGCTCTTGCCAGCTGCGCACTGGTGCTGGGGCTCTTTGCACAGGATGTGGTGGCGCTACCGTCGCCCAAGTCGTCGTGGGTGCGCAAGGGCCGCAGTCGTAAGGCCATGGCCGACATTCTCAACGGCAAGACCAAGGGGAAGCGGTCCGGACTGTGGCAGGACGCCTGTGCCAACTCGACGGCCAGTGTCGTGACGGCACCCAAGGCCAACGTTTGGAGCAGCCTGACGGACGTGGAGGCGTCGTCGGTGGTGGCCTGGCTGTTTGCGCAGCCGGAGCTGAATCTGACCGTTGCTGAGAACGCGACAGAATGGGACAACACGCTGTGAGTGGGGGAATGCTGGGTTTTAGACACGCCGGTGTTGATTCTTGGGGTGGAAAGTGGTATTTGCTGACTAAGCAGTCTTCTGGTCGAGCTCATGCCGCCAAACAAGACGGACGCGGTAGCCTACCTGGACGGCAACGCGACAGCACCGGTGCGGTACGTGCACGCGGTGCTGGATAACCGGGCTTCGGAGTCGGCGACGTACCAGGACATCCTGGTGGGTCCGCTGCCACTGGACAACGCGACGGCCTCGTGGGAGCCGCTGACGTACGTCTACAACAAGGAGGGCGGCGATGGCAAGGTGCGAAACCTGGACGCGGACGACGACACGACCGACTCGGCATGGCTGTACCCGATTGGGGCGTCGATTGCGGACATCACCCTGGACCTGTGGAACGCAACGGCAATGGGCCTGGACAACGATACGTTGGATATCTGGGGCATCGATCCGCTCTGGCAAGATGACGGCCGGGTGACGCGCTGGGACACCTTCTGGATGGACACGACGGACGAGTTCGACTCCGGCACGTTGCTGCCGCTGGGCCTGTACTTCAAGTCGGACGTGACTGGCCGTGACCCGAGCCAGTGGAAGCTCGAGGGTTGGCTCTACAACGACATATTCTACCCGACCACGGAGGCCTTCCGGGCTGCCTACTGGAGCGAGGGCTTCGTCAAGCTGGGGGCCAACGTCGAGGGTGCCTGGGGCCACACCGACCAGACCGGCCCGGTCCGGCCGCTGGACACGCTCTACCCGCCGACCACTATTGCCCCGGCTGGCAGCCGGTTCTCCGTCGACGAGGAGGAGAAGTACGTCGAGTGGATGGGATTCAGCTTCTACATCTCGTTCCGGCGCGACACCGGCATGGCCCTGCACGACATCCGGTACAACGGCGAGCGGATTCTGTTTGAGCTGGGCCTGCAGGAGGCCCTGGCACATTATGCAGGTGGGTTGCTTTTCTTTCTTTTTCTTTTTCTTTTTCTTTTTCTTTTTCTTTTTCTCTTCTCTACCTTTGTTCTCTACTCCTTCTATCCTAATACTGAATCTCCCAGGAAATGATCCTGTCCAGTCTGGTACGGCCTACCTCGACTCGTACTATGGCTTCGGCCCCTACGCCTTTGAGCTCGTGCCCGGATACGACTGTCCAGCCTACTCGACCTTTCTCAACAGCAGCTTCTATGTGTCGGAAACGACGCACACGCATGTCAACTCGATCTGCCTGTTCGAGTACGACGCCGACTTCCCGATCCAACGGCACAGCACGAGCGAGTACGTGTCAGTGACCAAGAACACGTACTTTGCCGTGCGCTCCGTCTCGACCGTCGGCAACTACGACTATGCCTTTACCTACAGCTTCTTCCGCGACGGCTCCATCGCCGTCGAGGTTCGCGCCTCGGGCTACATCCAGGCGGCCTACTGGGCCCACAACCAGGACTACGGCTTCCGCATCCATGATGCTCTCAGCGGCAGCATGCACGACCACGTCCTCAACTTCAAGGCCGACTTTGATATTCTCGGCACGGCCAACTCGATCCAGCTGGTCAACCAAGTCCCCGTCACCAAGTTTTATCCCTGGAGCGGCGGCAAGCCGCGCAACACCATGACACTCGAGCGCTCCTTTGTCCAGTCCGAAGACGAGGGCCGGTTCAACTGGGCCGACAACAACGCTGCCCAGGTCCTTGTCGTCAACCAGAACGTCACCAACGACTTTGGCGAGTACCGTGGCTACCGCATTCTGCCCTACACAGGCACTGCCCACCTGACCGTCACCGACTCCAGCAACCTCGTCAACGCCGCCCACTGGGCCGAGTTCGACGTCCAGGTCACCCGCCAGAAGGACACTGAGCCGCGCTCTGCTTACGCCTACAACACTCAGGACGTCAACGACCCTCCCCTCAACTTTGCAAAGTTCTTTGACGGCGAGAGCCTTCTGCAGGAGGACCTCGTCGTATGGCTCAACCTGGGCATGCACCATGTACGCTTCCTACTCTCCCTCTTTCTCTCGTCCCATTCGCTGACTTTCAGATCCCCCATACCGGCGACCTGCCGAACACTGTCACCACGACGGCCCACAGCGGTATCCAGTTTATGCCCAGCAACTACTTCAGCCTTGATGCCAGCCGCGAATCTGTCAGCCAGGTGCGCATTAACTACGACAGTGGAAAGGTGACCTCTGTGAACACCTTTGGACAGAAGGACAATAACTGCTCGCTCGACTTTGAGCCTGTTGAGCCCGATTTGTATTCCTACACCGGCGACGTAGTGATCCGAAAGTTCCCTTTCGATCCCAATCAGCCGTACTATGAGACCGACAGCATCGAGTAGAGCGGGGGGCTGCATTTTAATCCTTTCTTGTACTTGTACTTCAACGCAAAAGTTTGCACGTCGGCAATAAAGTAATGAGAGTTACGAGCCTGTCACAGAGTTTGTATGCGTACTCCGTATATGATGCTCATTTATGGATCTAGCATGTTATACCACAAAGTACCTTAGGACACAACTTGATTTAAAACCACACCAGTGGGATCCCTTGTCTCATGATCGCCCCAGTCTGCCTCCCATCCATTGTCGGCAAGATATTGCTTCCAAGCCTGATCATCGTCATCGAGCCGCGTGGAAACGTCAGGAATGACAAAGTACGCTACAAGTGCGCCGAGAACGGCAAACGCCGAGCCGACAAGAAATGCGACCTGGTCTCCCTTGGACGAACTATCCGAGTACGAATTTTGGATGGCCGTGAAGACCTGGGTTCCGATGGCGGCTCCAGCCTTGGACCAAGCCGAAACAAATCCCATCATTTGGCCTCTGATTGAAGTGGGGAAACATTCGGATGCAGTGATGACGACCGTACTGAGGAGTCAGAAATGTCAGTCGAAACCCAGGACAGAAAATAGCTCTAGAGGAAGATGTAGCTCACCTTCCTGGGCCAACCTCGCCAAGGGTCAAAAAGATGCCGTACAGAACGATGAATAGCGGGAAGACGCTCTGGATAGGACCCATGGCACCACCGAGGACAAAGCCGAGGACGGCCTGCAGACCGAAGCCGAGAGCCATTGTCTGTCTCCTGCCGATCCGATCCGAGAGATAGCCTCCGATGAAGGGACCAGGGATGTAGAAACAGTTGATGACGATGCCCCAGCCCAGGTTCTTGACCAGACTATCACTTTCGTTCATGCGCGAGATGATGGTCGAGCTGAAGATGCCAAAGGGAATGCTGATCCAGTTGTACAAGAACCAAGTGGCCGCAGCCCCGATCAGAGACCGCCAATAGCGTTTGGCCGCGAGCCAATACGGCGTGCGCTGCTTTCGCATGGCCGAGCGACGGTACGCGGTCGAGACGGCCATGCGCATGCGGAACCAGAAGATGGCCAGAGGGGGGACCAGGCCGAGGGCAAACGACGTCCGCCACACGATGTGGTATTTGCTCTCCTTCTGGTCCACGCACAGCAGAAGCAGCAGGGGAACGAGGCCACCCCAGACGTAGCCCAGGCTAGAGGACAGGTCGGCAAGCATGGCGAACATGAAGCCACGGCGCTTGCGGTACTTGTCGTGCTCATCTGTCGCCTCGACGGCACCGGCACCCGACACGGGATATTCTCCCCCGGCGCCGAAGCCGGCTACACCACGAGCGATAATGAGCATCCAGAGCAGGCCCGTGGGCGTCGTCCCATTGGCGGCCGTGGACAGGACGATGCCGAGAACGAGGATGATGGTCGTGGCAACGGCACCGGCCTTTCGGCCCAGCTGGTCGACCACGACTCCGAAGCTGAGCATGCCGAGGATCATGCCGATCAGAAAGGAGTTGGAAAGACGCGTGTATATGGAATTGGTGAGAGTATCGGGATAAAGGACGGCTAGGAGCAGCTCCAGGTTTCCAATCACGCCGGCATTGCTGCGGACTGGTCAGCACAAACGGCAGCAAGACTGCAGTAGAATCGGAAGCATCTTACTATCCGTCCGAGCCTATAGCCAGGCCCGAGAAGAGAACCATGAACCAGACAGACACCTTGCTGTAGTAAACCTTCTCGGGCTCGGCGCTATCGAGAATTCGGCCATTGTCGATCGAGACCACCCTGATGGGGACGCCATCCTTTTCGCCCGCCTTGGTGATATCTTCATTCTTGGCAACCGCCGAAACGGGCGCAATGGTTTCCTCATCGGCAGCCATGGAGACGTCTGGGAACGGGTTGCCGTCTAGAGCGACCGACAGATGAATGTGGACGCAAATCGGCGGAGCAGCAGTCCCTCAACAACTTATAACGCCTCATCATGCCCTTGCGAATAAATGGTGCATTGCGACGATGATCGATGCCAGATCGAGCAAGTCCCATCGGCAAAGGTGCGATAAGATGCTCAGAGACCCCTGCGAGCGCGCAGATGGCCGTAGATACGGCTGCAATTCTAGGAAAGTTCCTCGCTGCATTACGTTGCCTCCATATCAGATAAGCTGCAAGCCGATCAGCAGGGCAGCTGGAGCCGGGAATGCGACTCTGATGACTCGAACTTGCCTCTGGTATCTCGGCACGAAGACGATCGCGTCAAGTGTGCTGTTGGCAAGTGTAATCGGGAAAGAATTACCGGGAAACGACCGGGGAACAGAGCGGCGATTGTGGCTATGGTGCCGAGCTCTAGCGGTGACGGCCTGTTCCGCTGGGAAGCTGTAGGGGCCCTGTTTCGGACTGTTTTTTTTTTGCCTAGTCTGTCCGCTAACTTGTGGGGGATGCTGTCCTGCCATCCTCAAATAGGCCACATTCCAAACCGTTCTCCAACCTGCTGTGTACTTCCTGGCGTTGCAAACCAAACGAGCGTAACAATGTCGAAAGGTCTCTACATCGCAGCGGGGGCCGATCTGAGTGCGCCGCCTGCGCGCTGTAGCTTCTCGTCGTCGCCAAAGCGAAAGGCTGCCACATGGCTGCTAGCAGGCGTCTGTTCTCTGGCCGCGCTGCGATTCGGCCTACCGCTGCCGGCGCTGGGCCGGATGCAGCTGTCTGTGGCCGAACGGGCGCAGCAGTGCTCCATCGACAACCTGCACAAGGACCTGTCGTTTCTGGATGCGGCTGTGCCGATCGGGGCGAACGAGTTTATCGAGCGACGCGATCGGCTGGCCAAGGCCCTGGTGGCATCGGGCGTCGATGCGTTTGTGCTCGAGCCCGGCTACACGTTCCAGTACTTCGGAAACACGTCACAGGTGGACTGGGAGCCATGGGAGCCGGAGGAGCGGCCGTTCCTGATGGTGGTGCTTCCCGAGACGGATGCCGCTGGTGTCGTGTCGGCCAAGACAACCTTTCTGGCGCCGCACTTTGAAGAGGGACGGGTGCGGATGCTGGGAATCCCGTCGCGCGACCCCGAGCTCGACATTGTCGTCTGGGAGGAGCACTGGAACCCCTACGACACGCTGCTGCAGTCGCGGCTCTTCAGCCGGCTCGCCGGCCAGACGCCCAAACTGATGGTCGACGAGGAGATTCGGGACTACATTGTCCGCGGGCTCGACCGGGCCGGCTTCGAGACAGTCGGCCTCAGCACCGAGGTTGAGCTCGTGCGACAGATCAAGAGCCCTGCCGAGGTCGAGCTGATCCGCGCCGTCAATACAGGCACGGTGGTGGCCCTGCGCACGATGCGGCCGTGTCTGGTACCCGGCCTGACCGAGGACGAGGTGATGACGATCCTGGACAACGCCCTGCTTTCGCTTGGCTTCAGCCTTTTCTTTAACCTCGTCCTCTTCGAGGAGCACGGCGCCCTGCCACACGGAGGCTTTGTCACCGGCTGGAAGAAGCTCAAGCACGACTCCATGGTCGTCATCGACGTCGGCGCCCATTATCTTGGATACAGCTCCGATATCTGCCGCAGCTTCTTCATCGACCCGCCCCGGACGACGTCGTCGTTGCGCCGCGCGCTCGGCCGGCTCTTCGGCTTCGGCCAGGACTATGAGCACAGTGCCGTCTCCGACCCGGCAGTACATGCGGAAAAGCTAAAGGTCTGGTCCGTCGTTCTCGAGGCTCAGGCCGCTGCTGCTGCGGCCTTCCGGCCCAATAATACAGCCGCCAGCGTGGATATTGCGGCAAGAACGGTCATTGACAATGCGGGATACGGCCATGGCTTCACCCATCGACTCGGCCACGGGATCGGCATCAAAGGTAAGCACAAACGTCGAGCAGTGACCCTCACATCTTCTGACAAAGTGGCGCAGCGCACGAATCGCCCTACTTGAACAAATGGAACACCCAGGTTCGGCTCCAGGCCGGCATGACATTCACCGACGAGCCGGGTGTCTATCTCGTCGGACGATTCGGTGTCCGCCACGAAGATATATATCTGGTCAAGGAGTCAGGGGAGGCGGAGCTATTGTCAGGACCGCTTGCCAAGAGTCCCTACGAGCCGTAAAGGTACTTTCAAGAAGTGGACAGTGGGGTGGGTGTCTTTGGAATCATTAATCAAGTCGCTCCTATTGGCGGTCAATGCTCAGCGATGCGAGCCAAGTTTGGCCGAGATGTGCATGGAAAAAGGAATTGGGAATGGCGTCTCCATCAGGACATTAATACTCCGTTTAGGCGGCATTTGCAGGCAAACGGCATCTGCTGTTGTTTAGTAATATATCACTTTCCGGGGATAAAACTTAGCGGCAGTGACGTACGCCATAGGTGTCTGCTCTGCACTCGGGCTCTGTAATACTCTGTAATTCTGTACTTTTTGTTCGATAGCTAAGTCCCTCGGCATCGGTGCCTACCTGTCCAAGAGAAGCAACACCTGATAGGACTATATGCCAGCAAATCCGCCCACAGAAAATATAGAGCTCGTGACGCTTGCGAGCGAACACGTACGATTCTGAGCATAGATAACCAGGTTCGAAACGCGGTCGGGACAATTAATGCGTAGGCGCCCGATTAGTCTGTCTAAAAGTAAGACGGACTCGGACATAATAGCGCTCTCCCGCTGTGGACTCGGAGTTGCTGGGGGTGGCAGCCTAGCAAAAAGGGAATTGTGGGTCTTCGGGGTTCTGGAAAACGAGGTTCAGCTAAAAAGAGCTCCTTTACTCGGGGGTAATACTTGGGAAGAGTACGAAGTACAGCGTAAAGACCTTGCGCCGTTTCCTCTTATCTTCACGACTGCCTACCTCCTTGTAACGATGTTTCTGTTTTCGTATCAGTGTCTCAAAAAAAAAAAACACACGCACAAACATTCCCTCCTTGTCCTACGAAAATGGCATTGCAATATCTCACAGCACCATCCTACGAGCATGGCTTACGAGCGACCTTGCCAGCCGACGAAGCCTGCCAGATGTACGCACCACACGCCCTGCTAAGCTTTATCGACTGGCGTAGCGGCAGTAGGCCGCTGGCATGGCGTTCAGGGTTGCCGCCTTCGGTCAGCCTGGATGACGATGGCCGACGACGACAGAGCAAGAAGACGGGCGGACCTGGAGACACAATCGATGGCCACCGGCGCATCCACCACGTGCACGCGGCAGTGGACAGCTTCGAGCGCATTCGATACGACATGAACGACTTCGTCAAGTCGACAGTCTGGGCCAACCACGACCGGCTGCAGACTCGACCGTCCGTGATCGAGGGCGGGCAGCAGCGGGGAATCTTTGTCAAGGAAGACGACAGCACGGCGTCACGTCACAACCAGCAGCTCTTTCCGCCATGGCTTGCCCTCACCGCCGGCGAGCACCTCCACATCCACGCCGACGGCAGCTCCCACATGATCCTCTCGCTTGCCGACGCCACCACGGCCATCGAACGGGGCTGGGCCGAGAGAGAGGCCACGATGACAGCGACAGGCGACAGAAGAAACGACAGCAGCAACGGATCCGTCCTGCCGCTGGGCTACGTCGCCGTGCACGCGCCGCGCAACGCGACCGAGCTGGCCGAGTGGAAGCGGCTCGCTATGGCCAGCGTGCGCTACTGCACCCACCCATGCAACGGAATGGAGATCAGGCTGCCAGAACGATTATGAAGCCGGGTTCGACGTTGTCGTGTGGGATTAGACTTTGAGGGTCTCTGGCATTTAGCGGGGTTTGGAAGAATTAGCGGGTGTCGGTGGGGCATTTTAGTGGAATGCAGGCGTTCGCAGGAGACGATCAGAGAGGGAGATGGGCAACTCTTGGTCATTGAAGTCTATTTTCTACACTATTTTCAGCTTACAATCTGCAGCTTGCAACTCCTCTATGGAGTTCTCAACTCTAAAGTTTCAGTGCAATACAAAACATACAATCTTTCAGTGGTATACCATTGCCTTTTAACACGACCAAGACGGCAATATGGGGCAATCAAGCTGAATCCGACACGTCCTCTTCTTCGATATCCTCCAGTTCCCGCACCGCGATGAGCTGCTCGTCCTTTGCCTCGCGGTGGTATTCGATATCTTTGTACCAAGCCTCATTGTCTAGCGGCAGCGTTGGTGCAGGGAAGGTCGTCATCTTGTATGCGTGCAGGGCCTCTGCTCGCCAGTCGGCACACTGCTGGCAGAAGCCGCCGTATTTGAGCTGCCAGTTCTTGCGACACGCCCGACACGTCTGGCAGACCTCGCACCAGTGCCGCGGTCGCACCACCTTGGCCCGGCAGCAACAGCTGCAGCGCCGCCGCAGATAGCCGATCTCGCCGTACATCTGCTCGTAGGACTTGTCATTCTCTGCGGCCAGACCTTCGTGGCTGGAGGACCACAGCCGTGTCTGCAGCTTCCGCATCTGTCGAAAGAACAGCGTGTCCAGAGTCCCATCTCGCTGCAGACACTCGACACACGTGTCGTGCACCTTCAGACAGATGTCAGCGCCCCAGGTCGACCGCGTCGCCACCTCCTCGGACCAAGCCATCATGGTCAGGAAGCAGTCCTCTCGCAGCAGCTGTCCACAACCGTCTATACAGATCTGATATCCATAGTATTTGTCACCTCCCCTGAGCTGGCTGACCAGTCTGATGGCCTGCTGCTTCCGCCAGCTTGTCTTCATCGTGCCCTGCTCCAGGATGCGCATCCTCCACGATGTCGCTGCCAGTGCCATGCACTCTTCGTACGTCAGGTACTCCATTATCTCCATCTTTAGCTCCACCGGCAGTGCTGACAGGTAGTCATTCTTGCCCCGTGGCTGCAGCTCAGAAGGCGGCCGCAGCAGAGACATCTTTTCTGACGGCGGCGTCGTTTCTATCTGGTTGTCGGGGGGGAAAGCTTCCGTGTGGAAAGGCAGCGGCTCGCGGGGCTTGCCGGTCGCAATTGTGTCAGTCTTCTGTGTCTTGGAGAGGTATGTGCCCGTGGTCAAGTTCTGGTAACGGCAGAGGCGGTGCTGTGTCCGACCAAAATCGTCCAAATCAGCGAGATTGCCCATCATCAGAGACATCTCCTGTGTATCTACATCCAGAATTGGAATCTCAGTATCTTTGTCGAGACGGCTACACCCGCCAGTAGACAGCTGAATTGATCGATTATGCATAACAAATAGGGGTTGACTGTAATAAGTTTGTGTTGTTGGGATATTCTCTATTGATCTTTCTCAGCTTTTGCAAGATGTGTATTGCTCCAATAGATTCCTTCATACAGAGGGGCAGCAGAAGCACATTTATATAAACAGTAAAGAAGGGGCGACAATATTTTTTTGCTTGTTGCTTATGGCAGAGAAGTACCCAACATAATGATTCTTTGAAGTCTCGGCGATGCGTCTTGCGTGGCCAAAGGGCGAGCACATAGGTTGGACCAAATAGCCACTCGCTTCACGCCACCCCCAACACTCTCTTCTTGCCACTACCTATTTTCAATGACTTGGGCTAGGCTTTTTTCTTGGGCATCGTGATGAGCATATTTCTGGTAATCTGCATGGTACAGTGTAGGCAAATGGGTTGCATATTCCACGTAACCCGGTACCTTGTGCTAAATATATCTACGTTTCGCATATTTGCTACCCATTGCCTGGAACCTATTTTTCTGCGACAGCTACGTCGCTCTAGGGCCAAGACTGAACTGACATCAATACTAATCTCTAGCCTGCTACAAAGCTCGTCACGAAGAAGGTTCTTGTTCTTTATAGAGGCTTTCCGTCACGGTCTTGAAGGCTTACGTACACGTACACTGCACATCACGGAAACAGACCCGCATACGACTCCTATGTATGTTTAGCAAGTCACTCCTTCAATCATGATACATAAATAATTTACCTCATGTTCGTATGTGCATTAGTCACCCAGAGTCAAGCAATGGCTCATCTGCTGACGACTTCAAAAATTGCACTAGTTTATTTGTTGTGCAATGTGCTCCGGATAGCAAAAAGAACTTTCTACTTCACCAAGGACACCTTCACAGTCACCAACAATACTTGTTGGTTAGAAAATATTGAAGACAACATTTTGAAAAATTCAACCCAAGCATGGCCAAAACTGGCCAAATTTCGCAACTTAGTAATACCCTCAGAGTACTCAAAGTAGGATATGTCGTTCAGAAGAAGCGTTCAGACACTGGATCTCTGTGCATTCAGTTCAAACAAACGGCACTACATATAATTGAAAGTTGATCAAAAATACAAAACGTACAGCAGCGGGTATTCGCTGGTCGTCACCGACCCAACTACTAATCCGCCGATTACTGGTTTAACTAGGGGAGAGCGGACGGGATCCCGTGCTTTCCAGTATCTATGGCCGTACGTGAAAGGTATACGTTTGCTATGGATTGAATTATGGCTGACAACATTCTACAATTCGACTAATTGTGGTCTACTTAATTACTAGAATGAGCTTCGCGGCATGTTTAGTAAGGTACAACTTCTAATAGCAGTTTTAGACATAATCGCTTAATGGCATATTAAAACTGATATATACACTGGTTCTTATCACGTGCTCCTTTAGGGGTTGTCTTCTGCCCTTCAGATGCTTACGAGCAATTCTTAGCTAGCGCATAGAATGCTGCAGATGTCAGCTCCAGGAACGGCGGCATGGTCTGTGTGCATGTACCTCAGCACTGAGCCGAGGATCTGGGCGTGCAGCAGGCGTTGCCAAGGCCGTTAACCCGGGAACGGAAAAGGTCTAAGGCACCGGACGCTATCGTAATAAAGCCACTACTGACTATTTCCGGTTGTGGAGTTTTGTCGCGTCTTGGGAACTGCTGGCAGTAGAGAAGACGCAATACTAACCGGATGTAACTATCCCTGGGCAGTTCCAAAGGCGTGTGATAGTAATGATTGCTTCCCGCCAAATGCACAAGTATCTAGCATCCTGTGCGCAAGGCCGATTGGGGTTCAAAGTCATACATCTTTTGTTCAGATTCATCTCTATCAAATCATATACACGTTTATAGCTTTAGTTGTCTGCCGCTTTCTGTGCCATTTCTTTCTCGTCCCTTGTCTGAAAATCGGACTTGTATGTGCGGAAGTCACGGACGCTGACGCCCTTCTGGAACATCTCATCGAGCTCCTGGAAGCTGCGGCCGGCAGTCTCGGGCTGGTAGAACCAGAGATAGACGATGCAGAGCATACCAAGGCCGCCAAAGACGTAGGCGGTCTTGGCCCCCATGTTGGCCTCGTTGGGGTTGAACATGTAGGGGATGACAAAGGCCCAAACACAGTAGATGGCATACTGTAAGGCGACGCCGATGGAGATAGTTTTGACGCGGAGTTTGGAGGTAGAGACCTCGCAGAGGAGAGTGTAGGCAGTGGCGCCGAGGGAAACGTTGTAGAAGTAGTTGTAGATGATGATGAAGGCGACGGAACCCTTGATGGCGCCAGGACTGCCCTCGGTGGCCAGACTGGCAGCGATGAGTAGGATGATGGTGATGGAGATGGTGCCATAGAGAGTAAGGGAGCGCCGACCGACGTGGTCGACAAGATACCAGGAGCAGATGTTGCCAAACATAGCGAGGCCTTGCTGGACGATGTTGAGCTTGAAGCTAGCGTTGGTGCTGTAGCCGGCGAGCTGGATGTAGTAGGTGCCGTAGGAGGCGATGAAGTAGACGCCGCTGAGGGCCTGGATGGCCATGGGCATGACGGAGATGACGGTGCGGCGCAGGTTGGAGCGGCGGAAGCAGTCGAGATAAGTGCCGCCAGCAGCCTCTTCGCGGGCGCCGTCGAGCATGGTCTGGATCTGGGAGAGGCGGACGTCGAGGTCGGGGCTGCGATAGCCGAGGCGGCGAAGGGAAGCAACGGCACGGTCGCGATGGCCGGAACTGAGCAGCCACATGGGCGACTCAGGCATGAAGGGGGCGAAGAGGATGCAGAGGCCAGAGAAGGCGTACTGGGAGCAGAAGATGGCGCGGTACGCCCAGCGGGAGTTGGTCGTGCCGGTCTTCTCGACGATGATAGCGGCGGTGAGGGGACCAATGGTCATCATGAGGGCCGAGAGACAGGTGGTGAGGCCACGAAGAGCGAGCGGCGTGATCTCGCCGACGTACGTGATGGAGACAGTCATGAGGATGCCGGCGACAAGGCCGTTGAGGAACTTTCCGGCGAAGAAGATGCCGTTGGTGGTGGCGACGTACTCGAGCGAGACCGAGGCGAACGAGAGCAGCAGGGCACCATTGATGACCGGGCGGCGACCGACAATGTCGGCCAAGAAGCCAGCACCAAAGGTGCCGACAATGGAGGCAGCGATGCCGCCACCGTAAAAGGCTGACTGCCACTTAGTCTCGAGCACGTAGGAGCCCTCAAAGGCGTAACCAAAGTCCTTACGGAACTCGGGGATGCTCAAGACGGTGCCGCCGGCCTGGTTCTCAAACGAGACCAGCAGACAGGTCACGTTGGCAAAAAAGGCCCAGGCAAAGACCAGCGGCTGCTTGCGGATGGCCTGCAGCATGTTGAGTTGGTGCTCCTGGCTCTCGGCAATGCGGCCGAGGTCGGCCTCGGTGGCGGCATCGTGAACATGCTCGACGCTGCCGACATGTTCGTCCTTGTCCTTGTCCGACATGGTGAAGGGTTGGGGTGAGGATAGGGAATTGGGTAGACACTACAGCCTGGGAATGAGGCACAAAAAGGACAGAGCAGCGTGTCGGTGGGCAGATTGCCATATATATATAGAAGCTAGGATCATACGAGGGTCCCGTAGGATTCTTGGCGTTTTCCTGTTTCCGGTTCTGTGCGCGTCCTGTCCCTTTTTTTCCACATTCCCTGCCACTTCTTGCGGGAGAGAGGCCATTCAACCCAGGTAAAATCTGGGGTCTCCAGATGGGGACCCCAGGAATGGCTTGAGCCACGCCAAATATCCACTTTTGCCTGTCGGCTGACAGTGTCGGGGAGTATCGCAGAAGCTAACGACGGGGAGTATCGGGGTGGAGCTGCAGTGCAAATAGTATCGCATTAGTGCTGTGAAGGGATGCTGTTTGCGACCAAGATCACCCAAATAAAACTGGAAAGGCAAGATGACAAGCACCGGTAGAGGGACGAAAGTCTGGGCGCCAAGACACGTGACCGTCGGCACAATTGTTTTCGGAAACCGATGCTAGGGGCTTGTATAGCTGGATTTGCGAACAGGACTCCACGGGGAAGAGCTGCAGACGATACGGAGTACGGAGTATATCCGACGAATAACCGAAGGAGCGACCCCCCACCCCCACTTGGGGTACTTCGTACGCGCAAGGGGAAAAGGAAGACCCACAGGGCAGGAGCAGGGACAGACAATGGCTGAGTGAGGGCGTATTGCATGATCGCGTGTCTCTGCAGAGAGCCAGAAGCCGCACCACACCACGTCTCGGCAGAGCCCAGAGCGAGAAGCGGCCGAGCGATGGACCGAGCGGCGAGTGGGCCGACGACAAAAATGGATCGCAATCGCCAGTGTCCATCCGTGATGCCTCTGCTGGCCAATCTGCTGTCAGATCCCCTGCCAGTGGTTTCTGCTGGAGGAGTTGGTGCTGTCGGTGGTGCTGCTATTGCTACTACTCCTGCTGCTGCCACGCCTGCCACCGCGTCTACTGCTGCCCGCCGCACAATGTCGAGGCAACCGGCCTCTTCACCGAGATCGACACCACCGCCGGGCTGTGCAGAGCCGCCGAGCGGGTCACGCGAGTCCGTGTCCTACGGCCGGCGGCGGGCTGTCACTGCCTGCGTTATTTGCCGTGCGCGCAAGACTAAATGTGACAACCGGCGGCCGGTGTGCGGCTTCTGCAGTGCCACCGGCGGTGCCTGCAGCTATCCGGACGACACCGCTGCCGACCACTCAAAGCTCGACCGTGGCAGCCTGGCCATCCTGCAGCGTCTGGGCGAGATGGAGCAGACCCTGGCCGCGCTGATTGGCGACCGTCCGCTGGGTCGTCTGAGCGCCGCCGACAGCACGGCGCCGGGCTCGACGCCGGGCTCACGCCCCGGCTTCTTCGACGACGGCCTGATGGCTTTTGACGATCCCATCACGACCACCACCGCGCCCGACAACAACAGTCAGCCGCCGCCCAGCAGCGATCGCCCGCCAGCGGCCGACGTCGTCACCCGCAGCTCTGAGATGCGCGTCGAGAACATCCTCCAATGGCCCGTCTTCCACACCCAGGCATATCCGTCCCTCACCGCCACCCTCGGCCAGGACGGCGCTCACATGCCCTTCTCGGCCGGCGACGGTGTCAGCGACCTCGACGCCGACCTCATCACCCAGCTGGTCGAGAACTTTCTCGCCACCAACCACATGAAGAACCCCGTCTTCGTCGTCGACCAGCTCTGGGCCCGCGTTCGCGACATTGCCGAGACTGGTCTCCGCTGGGACGGCTCGACCTGTCTGGTAGTGCGTGTCTGTCTTGTTCCTCGCTTCGCTCGCCTAGTCTGCTCCACAGCTAACACAACTCCAGCTTCTGATCTGCGCCGTCAGCGTCGTCTCTCCTCCCTTTTCGGCCGAGATGCAGCCTGGTTACTCTCATCGCATCGACCGGCTCCAGCGAGCCGAGCACTACTTCCAGATGGCCCAGCGACGCATCGGCATGCTCTACCACACCAGCTCCCTGCTCGCCGCCCAGTGCAGCTTCCTCACCGCCATCTATCTCATGGCCACCTTCCGCATTATGGCCGCCTGGAAGGCCTTTGCCCAAGCCGGCACGCAGTGTGTCGGCTGGCTGGCTACCCGTGGACACACGACCGGCCAGTCGGACGCCCAGGCTGCCGCCTCATTTCAATCCCCCCCCACAAATGGCGGCATCCACACCGTCGGCGAAGATACCTCCCGCAGCGATGGCGAGCAGCACATGGAGGAGAGCCTCTACTGGAGCTGCCTCAAGAGCGAACTGCACGTGCTTCCCCACGTGCCCCACTTCTCCCACCCATCTGCGAGTGCTGACTAATCAGTGAACTTCGCACGGAGCTGGGCCTTCCGGGATCGACGCTCAACGAGATGCAGTACTCGCACGCATACCCGTCACCGCCGAGCCCGGAGCATCTGGTGTCGCGCTACGGCCAGGGACAGCATGAGCGGGACCGCCTGGAGCGCAGCTGGTTTTTCTACCTGGCCGAGATTGCGCTGCGGCGCATTATGAACGACGTGCTGTCGTCGCGTTACGGCGCCGGATCGTGGTACTACACGGCACCCTGGTGGACAGCCGAGGGCGAGGGCTGGCTGCGCGGTGACGTTGACCGGTTCCGCCAGCAGTTGGGTACCTGGGAGGCCATGCTGCCGACCGCCATGCGCTTCCCGGCCGACGAAGGCGCCGGTGGCGTCACGCCGGCTGAGCCGACCGGTGACGCCTTGCGCGGCATTTTGCGCGGCCACCTCGTTGACATCCTCGACGTGCTCTATTTCCCGGCTGTGCGCGCCGTCGTCTGCTGCCATCGCCGCGACGATCTCGGCCCTTACGTGCTCGCGACCGCCCGCGATGGCCTCGCCAATGCCGCCTACCGCATCGCCATCTGTGAGGAGGGCTTCTGGCACCGCCACCAGGGCACCTGGCTGATGATCCGCACTTGCTCGCGAAGCCTGCTGCAGCTGCTCGCCGTTGCCCTGCGCGCCCGCGACGAGCCGGCCCTGGCCGCCCTCCTGCCCGACGGCTGGCGCTACTCTGCCGCTCGCGTCCTCGCTCTCGTCGAATATTGGCAGCATGAGAGCGCCGACCTCCGGCTGTTGCTGGTTCGCCTGCAAGCCATTATCGCTGACCTCGACAGCACCAGTGGATCGGTCGGTGGGAGACTGGCGGCAGGAGATGTCGTCTAGCCGGCCGAGGTCATGTATATCTTGAAGTGTCTACAGTTTCTTGAACCATTTCTTTACAATATAACTGTTGAACATGAAGACGAAAACTGTAATTTTGAGTCTCCTTCTTCGGAGGTACACCTTCTGGCTAGTTGACTGCAGACAAACCCGGGCTAGATGATAACGAACAATGATGAATACGAGGTTATGGTGGTAATGGCTAGTCTGCGCCACCAGTGTAAAGGGAATGCTCATTGTTGATCTTATTGTGAAATGTGTGATACGGCGAATGGGCGCCGAAGGTGGTGTGCACTAGGATGAGCAGAGGCTGATTAGGCAAGGTGCAAATTGGTATGTGTGTATACTTGCGCAGAGTACTGTGAAAGTCGATGCGCCTTTCCTCGGGAAGTCTAATTGAACTACTTTAATCCGCCCATGTGCCTTTCGACCTATCAGGGGACCGTATGGCCCTATTCGCCAGAAAGGCTACAGTATCGTTTCACGCCTCTTTTCGGTCTTTGTATGAGGTTCAAAATAATGAAATAGATTTGGGTATCTAGCAATGGTTGACGAGCTGAAACTGTCCTGAGAACATTTCGTACTGTGTTCAAATCCGTTGAGTCAATTCTCGCTCGGTGCTTATTAATGGGCTCGCAAATACGCCGAGAGTCGCGGTCATTCAATTTTCTACTTATTTTTGGTCTTCACCTTCCCGCAACCCTATCGGGAGCAAACCATTAAACAACCCAAGACAGCATGCCATACGCACCATGGTCTCGCTTACCGTCACCGAAAAGATGAACCGGACCTACATCAAACTCAGAAAAGGTTGCAAAGCAATTACGAGCGAGAATCTTATCCCGAGCAAGTTTTACGCTTGGGATTTATACTTGCATGCTGCTCGCAACCACAGGAAATTCTACCGTGCTGCCTACACACTTTATAAACTTGCCCATAGACTCGTCCAGGCCTGTGAGAGAATCCCTCCACTGGCCCAGAAACCCCGGAAACGCCGCAGGGCTCTTCCCGAGAAGACATTCCACTGCTTCCAACGCCTGCCTGCCGAATTAAGACTGATGGTGTGAGAATATTCCGCGCTGCCGCCGCCCTCACATTATTTTACAACATACAAGCTGGTAGAACGAGGCAACAATCCCGCCGCATCGTTCATGGAAGATAAAGGGCTATGGATGGCGTGCCGAGATTCTCGCAAGGCTATCGTCCGTGCTTGTCGCCAAGACGGCACTCAGCAACAGAACTAGCTGCTTTCCTATCACCAAATTACTAGAGAGGCACTACCGGCGCCTTGGTCGATTTGACAAGGATAGCCAGCGATTCCAGGAGCAGATCCGCAAGTTTGATGTTCTTTTCAGAGTTGTCTATCGGGAAGATGGACATTTAAAAAATGCTTTGCGAGAACTCTTTGTGAGATGACAAACTCCGAGACGGGCGAGAAATGGTAGCGTGCTTTCGATATGGAGTATAATTTGCGAGGAGCTGAGGTGGAATCGCCTATTCAAGTAGAGCCAGAACACGATATCTTTAACAATTCGGCACGGAGGGGGGGGGGACTTAAGTAAGGAACCGGTGCTCTACAAAGTGATTCAGTAACGGTTTCGAATAATTACGTAAACACGGCATCGCATTGTGCTTCATAGAATCTACATACAGAGAAGCTGTAGTATGGATGTTCCAGGCAGCCTAGTACTTCTGCTTAGTAAGCACGAAGCTTTACGACGTACTAGTCGCACGTGTGGGGGAAGCGACAACCTATTGCATGCATGTGCCGTCGCAACTTCCTTTTCGGGACAATAGAAGACATGCAAGCCTTTCAATTGAAAGATGCAAATTCGGTTTTTATCACTTCGTGCTCATTTTTCTCTCTCAACAACCATCGCTCGACCATGTGCGCCGCAGATACGATCCATCCCCTCTGCCATCTAGCTGACCTTGACAAGACCAGATCATGTTTTCATCTGGTGCTTTTCCGATGCCCGCTCATTGGCTTTCGGGATGGAGCTGACTTGAAGCTCGACATTTTAACATTCGAAAACCGGTGACGGCGACGAGGTAGGCTAGGCTCAAGGGGAGCTAGGTACATATATATTTACCATGGGATATCGAATGGAAGATGACCAACCTCATCCGAATAAGCAAGCCTCTGCCGCACACGCAGAGCGCGTAGCCCGCCGAGCCACTGTTGCAGCTGCTGCTTTTGCTGCAAGTCCGGACCAGCCCTCCCCGGCCCCCCCCTCTCCGGCCTCACCCTCACCTTTGCCCTCCCCCCCCACACGTCACGAGCCCCAATCCCCACTCGCCTGCGCCTGTTCGCTCTCCTCTGCGTGCCCGCTCGCATTCGCCGCCTGACGAGCAGAAGCAGCTAAAGAAGCTTGAAGATGCCGCCAGCAACACGCGTGTGAGTCTTTAATCTACCTAAACAGAACATCATTCACATACTGATATTAGCGACTGAAAGCATCTCTCAACGGTACGCCCTACCATTCATCCCTTACCTAATCCTCACCTGGTCGACTAACATCAATTTCTTCATAGAAGCAGCGCGCCAAAATTAGGCTAAGGGTTTCGAAAGTAAAATCATCACTCTTATATACTAATAAACTGTTTCAGCGCCACAATTTCCGCCTCGAAGTAAGTATTTACTGTGTTGGGCTTTCATATTGTTTTTGGAATTAAATACGCATTTGAGACTGTACCTAACTATTTTCAAAGGAGCTCAGAGGGCAGGCCGAGGCAAGCAAACCAATGTATCAACAAGCAGACCCGTACAATATACTGATCAACAATTTATTTTGATAGGTATACGAGAGCCAGGCCGCCAAGGCCCGTTCCCTCGTCCTAATAAGCGTGCACATTGATCCTAAAAAATCAAAGACGTTTATCTAATATGATTATTTAGGCAAAAGAGGACGAGCTTCGAGTAAGTCTATAGATATACAACACTGCTACGCTGCTTAACTAACTTATCTAATAGCGGTATACCGCCGTGTATAATGTACTTAGTAAGTCTACAGCTAGACTAAACTCGAGCTAACACAAGTGCAGCATCTAGAGGCCAACGCCATCGTGGCCGAGCACGAGCTTGCCGAAGCTAGACACGGGGTCGCCGCCGGAGAGGACGGTGGCGACGAGGGGATCGAGGACGACGCCAACGACAACTTAAGAGGCCGATGTTTAGGCCAAAGAGGAGGAAGCAATTCTTTGCTTGAATCTGCAACTAAAGTAAGTCATTAGCTTTACGACGAGAATCGAAAGTGCAGGACTAACATTGAAGTCAAGGCGCGTTTGTTGCGGGGGTGTTTTTTTTTTAGCCTCTTTTTTACGCTTATCAATTATGAGAAACGAGGCCCCTTTGCCCACACAAATGAACCAATGAAAAAAGCTACCCCCCCCCCACCCCCCCCCCCGGACCCAGCACCTAGGACTGCTATATGGCTGCCCATCAGCCTCGTAGCGTTAGACGTGGCTGTGGTGCGGGGGTGTTATTTGTATAAAGATACATTACAATGCGCAGCAGTGGTTAGGTCCCGAAGACTGGCCAGAAGACACCAAAACACAGTAGGATTCTATTCAGAACAATAAGACTGGACTACTGACGACGACCATTCTGTCTACAACCTATTCCCCCCCCCCTTTCTCATTCTCTCATCAGCACCTCACCCCCTAAGGCAGTAGCAGCAGCCCCCGCACCCGCAGAAAAGCGATAGTTACCATTTCCTTGAGTAGGACCGGAAGAAGAGCTACTAGAGGCCGTTGCGGAAGCAGCGGCAGCAGTGCTAGAAGAGCCGAGAAGGTGGGTGTTCCGGCCCCTGTCCTTCCCCCGTTCGTGGCGGTCGTCGTCATCGCAGCAGATGACTAGATACTCGCCGGGGAAGTACTTGGCGACCCACAATTCGGCGAGCATGTCCTTGGTGACATCCTTGAGGAAGTAGGTCAGAGGGACACCGGCGGAGCCTTCGGCGGCTTTGCGCAGGTAATCCTCAAGGGCGGTCATCATGGAGTTGATGTCGAGCATCTTGTTTGCGCCGTCATCAATCTCAGAGAGGGCGGTCAGGGCAGCCTTGATTTCGCCGGCCTTGAGCGTGACCATCTGCTGGCCGATGCGGGCAGCATCGGCGGCCTGCTTGATGGTACCCTGATCAGCGGCAGTTGCGTTGTGGATGGACGCGATGGCCTCGAGCGACGACTTGGGATCGAATTGGGCAAATTTGTCGACGCCGATCTTGACCTCGTTGGCCACGAGCGACGGAATCGTGCCCATACTGACCATGGTGACGTGCGACGTGACTTGGTGCGAGCTGATGATACTCTTGACATCATTGGCGATCGTATCCGTCACGCCGAAGCCACCATTGCAGCGCTGGAACCACGCGCCGGCGTCCATCTGACCCTGCAACGTCTCGACCATGCTTGAGAGCCTCTCGGACACGTTGGTCGTCGAGCTGTTGAGGATGTGCACCATGCCAACGAGGCTAGACCCGAACGTCATGCCCGAGATAATGCTGAACTTGTTCTCGCAGGGGCCTCCAGGACGAACTATGGGCATCTGATGAGCCAGGTCTACCATGCAACGACGATTTGTCACATCGAGCCGGTCTCCAGGGAAAAGCCGATTCCATACCTTGATGCCCTTGTCAACGTCAAGGCCCAGCGGCGCCATGATGGACGCATTTTTGTGCGTGCACGATGCTGAGATGACCAGCGTACCCATGATGCGGTGTCGGCTCATCTGCTCGTGCACCTGCGTCTGTGCTGATCGGCTCATCTGCCGCGATGCCTCACCACCCATCCAGCACGTCGACTTGGCCACGAACTTGGAGATGGATGACGCGTAAGCACCCGCCTTGGTCGCTTCCGATTTCGCGTTCTGCGTGTTGTCGTCCAACGTGAAGTACTGCACGTCCATGTTGAGCGAGTCTGCTGACAGCGGCATCGTCTTAATCTGCGACTTGACAAAGTCCACCGGGCTCTCCACCTGCGTGTGTACGGTCCGGACTTTTCCGCGCAAGTCCTTAATCTTGGCCTCCGCCCGAATCTTGGTCTTGGCATATTCCACGGCCGACCGCTGCACCTCCCCATTGAGCCGCTCAATCTCCATGTCCAGGTCGCATGTGTCGATGCCCAGGTTCGACAGCTCCGTCCGCGTCATGTCGATGCTCCGCTTCGACATGATGAGCGAGTTCAAGTGCTCCTGTGCCGCATCCACCGGCGCCTGCTCGTTCGAAATGTCCTCTAAAACCCGCAGAGCCTTTATGTTGATGACGCCGCCCAGAGACAGGCTGGGGTCGTAGGGAATGCTGGAAGGCATGATGTTGTAGTAGAGGCCGCTGAAAGGCAAAGTAAGATAAGAATGATAACTCTGAGTTAGGTAGTCTGTTGGATTTGAACTTATGGAACTAGATGAGGAGTTGACAACCAACTTCTTGGGGAGCACGACGAGGGTATATATACAGGGAACTGAGGCTCAACAGAAAAAGGCGCAATATTGACAAACATCTGATTCTTGTCAACGCGTAGAGCAAATGCGGCTTACGTGTGACGTCGATGATACAAGGCCTCCCTATGGCATATCTGTGATCTATCTTTCGATGATGCTTGAGAGAGGCTTAGAGATTGTAAGGCAAACTCCAAAGTTGACGTGTTAGCTGTACATGACAGACGATCTGCAGGGATAGAGCCCAATGCATCCAATTTCGTCGTTGCCTAGTTGTAATGTAGCCAGGCGGCGCGAATACGGAGTAATGAGGCTCATCATTTCTATGTGGATAGACACAAGACCTCACACCCCGCCCTTTTTAACCTTACTTCATTCGCCAGCTTACGGAGCAGGGATGACTGGGCACCTATAATATATCAATACGGAGAGTGCCGTACTGCCAGCATTGAGCTGAACAACTGTGGGGGCATCAGGTGGATTAAAACGCTACTTCGTAAGCTATTCTCCACCAGATTCTTACGACGTACAAGAAGACTTGCGGTTAGAAGCGGCCTATCTCTGATTTATTCCATGATAATCCAAGTTAAAATCGACCTTCATTTGCACAAAAGCATCATATTATGCATTACCTAAAGGACGATTCTCAAGTACTTGTCGACAAGGGCGCCGAGACTGATGCAATGCAACCTGTCAAGCATTGGAATCCGCCACACTATGGCCCTTCCGCCCCACTTGTCCATACAGGCCTGTGATTGGTCAGAAGACAAAAAGCGGAGCCTTACACTAGTATTAATACGGACCCCCAGAAGGGTCGCGATGTATCTATTTCTTCCTAAGTACTCCGTACACAACACTCTTTCGCCTACACTAGACCCTATTTAGCCTCCTGCTCCTTACAGTGCATCACGTTATATGACCGCCACGTATAGCCTCCTTTAACCTTGACACAGCCCAATTCCCGTGCCGCGCCCCATTTTTAGAACACGTCAACTCGACGTGTTGTAAGATAAGATGAGACAGTGAGCGCTGATTCGATGGTTGGCAGTTTTGTGCAAGTGCCACTCACTCTCTTCAACTGCATAGGACTCTTCGATACGAACGTAAAAGCGGAGCACTTTTACCTTTCTGTGTATATAATATCATAAAATATAGGTATAAAATCTCAGCTGGAGGGGACTACCCCTCTTCTTTATCTCCCCTCTACTTTGTATATCAACGCTTTCATACACATTTTCTGAACTATGTCCAAGAGCACGAGCAATGGGCCGGCACCGCCAGAAGCCATCTCCCATGTTGCGTCTACTACCATACCACCGACGTTTGACGAGCCCATACTGGCGGCCGAGGTTCCTGACGGAGGCGATGTAAGTCTTGATAGGATAGAACAGAACGAGGAGATGGGTGGACAAAACTGACGTGTACAACCAGGGTGATGACCTAGAGGAAGATAGAGACTCGGCTTACGATGATACGTTCTCGTAGGTTTTGTAGCCTCGGAATCGTCGAGGAGCAATTTTGACTCGTATCTCTAGGGCTCTGACGGCATCACTCTCAAGCAGCGTCTTGCAATACCGCAGCTTTCACGGGCGAACGTTCCATAGCGACAAGTACAACGCGTACTTTGTACCAAATGACAATCAACAGCAAGAGTCGCTTGACATTTCGTATGACCAGGCCATCCATTCCCTCCGTGTATCTTGCTAACGGCTTTGTCTCTCAGACACCACTACCTAACACTTCTGTTAGATGGCGCCCTCTTCTTGGCGCCCGTTCCGGAAACGGTCAATGTCAGTTTTCTTGATGGTCAAGCTGAATACGAATCCGTGCAAACGAACGTGTCCTGTAGAAAGTACTTGATGTTGGCACTGGCACTGGCATTTGGGCGATGTATGGATATCCGCGCTATATTTGTTTGCACGATACTGATTTTTACGTCCAGCGACTTTGGCGACAAGTTCCCAAATGCCCAAGTCATCGGGACCGACATCTCGCCGATCCAATCGATCTGGGTGCCGCCGAACACCAAGTTCGAGATGGAAGATGCCACACAGTCGTGGACATGGCCCGACAACGAGTTTGACTTTATCCACATGCGCTATTTGGTAGGTGCGATCAGTGACTGGAATGCGCTCTTTGCACAGGCATACCGTTGCTGCGCGCCGTCCGGCTGGTTCGAGTCATGCGAGATACACGTCGAGCATCTATGCGACGACGGAACGGACCAGAAGGCCCCGGTCCTGAAGCAGTTCTGGCGACTCTACGAAGAGGCTGTTCCTATAATTGGACGGTCAATGCGCGTTTCCATAGACGGTACGCAGCGGAAGGCGATGGAGGCTGTTGGCTTTGTCAATATCCAAGAGAAGGCATTCAAACTGCCTGTTGGCGGCTGGCCAGCTGACAAGAAACTGTCCGAAATTGGCCAGTATAACCAACTAACTCTACTGAACGACTTAGAAGGTACGTTCTCAATCTAGTTATATTCCTCTTTTCAACGTTGTATGCTTTTTACATTTTATACAGCCGCTAAATATCAGCAGGATACACTACCTTTTTGTGGAATGAGGTGTTGAAATTGGGCAAAGACGAGTATCAGATGTTTCTTCTACAATTCCGCAAAGCTGTCAAAGACAAGAGTCTGCACACATATTATATAGTTCGATATGTTTGGGGGCAGAAGCCGAACGAATAGTGGTAACGAAATGGCACATAGGACTAACAATGCAGACGCCAACTTTATGTATTTCTTTACTTCTGTTCATTTTTTTATTTATCTTCTTGTCGAACTGGTCTTGCAACTACCTGATTTACGGCTTGGCAGACCTGCCACCAAACTGCCCGGCAGCTATGTTCTGTAACGCAGCTTCGCTCAGCTGTGGTAGCGGAGTCTTACCGCTCTCAGCTGTGACAGGAGGGGCAGGGATAAACCCAACAGCAACGAGGTACGCCAAATACGAACCCAGTGCCTCTGCATTGACCGCATGGACAGACGAGGCCGGCGCAGCCCCTCTTGTCACTGTTTCCTTTGCGTACAGGTCCAGTGCTGCCAGAGCATTGGTGTCATCCAGCTCGGGCGCTATGGTGTTCCCTGGCAGGTCCCCGACGACGAAATGGAAGAGAGGCAACAGAGCGTGAGGCTCGGTCTGGGTATCGTCGCTGACGTAATCCTTGACCTTGGCGGCCCAATCCTGGTACGGAATGCGTGCAGCCGCATACCCATACACCTCCAGGGCGCCCATCCAGTCGTTCAGGGTCAGACGCGGATGGCTGGTCACCTGGGCCACCGCCATGTTCTGGCCCGTGGCCTTCGGCATGTGGAAGGCCGCAGAGACGACGATGCGGTTCACCTGTGTGACCGGAACAGCGTTGAGCGTGTTGGAAATGTCAGGGCGTCCGCCCACCTGCAGACAGCCCTTCCAGAGCCGGACCAGGAAGTCGTCTGTCACCGAGGTGCCCGTTGCAGGGTCACCCGTGATGTAGCCGGAGCGGATTATCGCACCGACAAGACCACGCTGTCCGGCCTCGCGCAGCACATACTCGCTCGCCCACTTCGACTGTCCATACCCAGTGCCGAGGCCCTTGCGGCTGCCCTCAAGATCGTCGGCCTCGGGAACCGGCTTTCCGTCCGGGCCAGACGAGAGCTGCACGTAGTGGTCGTTGTCGAGTGTCGAGGTCGAGCTCACAAACGCCAGCCTCTTGGCCTTTTTGCCTACAGCACACAGCTCGATGCAGGCTAGTGTGCTCAGCACGTTGGCAGGCCGCATCACCGAGTACGGCAGCATCCAGTTCACCTGGGCGCCGTTGTGGATGACGACATCGACTGTGTTACTTAGGCGCTCCCACGTGTTGGAATCAATGCCAATGTGCGGCTTGCTCAGGTCTCCGACTACAACCTCGATCCTGGACGAAGCGATCCATGCCGGAGACCAGAGACCGTAGGCCTTCATGACAGTCTCCAAACGGGCAAGCCCGGCCACTGGATCTTTGGCACGAACAACTGCCACCACGTTGGCCTGGGTAGGACCCTCGAGCAGTTCGTGCACGATGTAGGAGCCCAGGAAGCCAGTGGCACCGGTCAGGAGCACCGTAGGGGCGGCCGAGGCAGAATCCCACGTCGTTGCTGCTGTGGGGATGGTCTTGGGAAGCTGACCGGCGAGGTCGCGCGCGTCCACGGCATACGCCTCGTCCTGGCCCTTGGCGTCGACATCCAGAGGCATCGCATCCAGACGCAGGCCGATGGGGTCTTGGGCACGGTCAATCTCGGCAGCAAGCGCCTCCAGCGTCTGGGACTGGAAAATTGCTCGAATGGGCACATCGGTGTGCTTCCATTCTTTGTTGATGCGGAAAAACATCTGCTGCGCGAGAATCGAGTGTCCTCCTTCATCGAAAAAGTTGGACTCCGGTCTGAGCATCCGTGCGGAGCAGTTGGGAAGCACCGACGCCCAGATTGACGCTAGAGTCTTCTGGGTCTCGGTCATGTTGACAGACACGGACGACGCTCTCCTCTTGGATAGGAAGCTGAGGTCTGCCTCATCTGGGAACGGGAGCGCGGCTTTGTCGATCTTTCCATTGGGATCTTCAAGAAGTTAATATGATGTCCAGAAGCAAGGCTTTCATGCAGTAAAGAAACGTACTCAATGGCATCCGAGCTAAAGGGATGAACAGGCTGGGAACAGCATATTTAGGGAGTCTGGTAGCAAGGAACTTCTTGCAGTCCTCAGACAGGGACTTGAATTGTCGAAGCATCTGGCTGATCGACTCGTCCGGAGAATGCACCTGGAGCTGTCCGCCTTGTTGCTGGAGATGTTGGAACCAACGCTTGGTCTCGGGAACGAAATAGGTGACGAGCGTGTGCTCCTCGTTCTTGTCTCTCCGCACCAATGTGACGTTCTCGCGAAGATAAGGGTGTTGTGACAGGTGGGCGTCGATTTCTCCCAGCTCGATGCGAAAACCACGGATCTTGACCTGCGAATCGATTCTGCCCGTGCACTCGACGCTTCCGTCAGGCCGGCGCCGGCCAAGGTCGCCGGTCTTGTACAGACGATCCTGCGGCACGGGAGAATCGACGAACCAGTTGGCCAGAAACTTGGACCGGTTCAGCTCCGCCGTCTTCTCGTCGTCTCCGAGGTATCCCTTGGCGAGACCGCCAGCTCGCAAAAACAGCTCTCCCTGCTCACCAACATCACACAGCCGCTTCGGGTTATCCCGGTCCACCACCAAGAGCTGGACATTGAGCATGCCCTGCCCGACCGGTATAATGTCGGGAAGGCTGTCTAGGAACAGAGGATCCCGGGCCTTGCTCGGAATCTCCAAGTAAGAGACCGCCCGTTGGCTTTCGGTCGATCCGTAAAGATTGATGACACTCGCACCCGGCGCCAGGTTCCGCAGCTTCGCCGTGTCCTTCTTGGTCAATAGGTCGCCCACGAAGAAAGCATTTCGGAGAGAGGAGATCAAGGCGGTGGCGCCTCCCACAAGGATCTGCCCCATGGCGGGAGTCAAGTGCGTCACCGTGACGCGGCTCTCCTTCATCCATTCGGCCAGAAGCTCGTAGGCGATCACGTCCATCGGAGGAACGATGATCTTGGCACCCAAAAAGAGTGGCGTAAAAATGTCTCGCTATACCAGCTCGTTAGACCATCTGTAGTGAACCCCCCCGGTATCGCCGACAACGAGCTGCAACCCACCTGAATTGGATCATGAGCGATTCCAGACAGCATCGTGAACCTGTCTTGGTCCGAAAGGCCAAATCGTTCCGCCATCCAAGGAAAGTAGTGCGTCAGGGAGAAGTGCCGGCCCAACACACCCTTCGGCCGGCCTTCCGAACCGCTGGTGTACGACAGAGTAGGGACTGACTCCGGCCCTACGACGACATTGACTGGGTCCTCGCGGCTGTAGACTGAGGCATCTAGGCAGTCCTTGCCGTTGACGATACCTCCGCGCAGCTCTCCGTTGTCGCATAGGGCGAGAGCAGGAATGGACGACTTGAGGCTCAAGCTGCTTGCGACAAAGTCCAGAACGGCCTCCGAAAGCGGACCGGATTCCTTGTTCGCCATTTCGATGCAAACAAGGAACTTGGGCCTCGCAATGTCCAGCAGCACCTTCTGCCGTTCGGGAGGGTACTGCGGATCGATCACGCTGACGGTCGCACCGGCTTTGAGAGCACCCATATAGGCCACCACGAGGTCGACTCTTTATCAGTCAGCAGCTGCAAGCACGAAAAAGAGGAGATCAACAGACCCTCGGTATGCATATATCATGACGACATCGCCCACTGCACATCCATGGTCCAGGAGGTGGTGTGCCAGCAGATTGGCGCTCTCGTTGATCTGCCGGTATGTGAAGACGCGCTCCTTGGTGCGAGAGCTCTTGGTTTCCACGACACACTCTCTGTCGGGGAACTTCTTGGCATTCTGGGCAAAGATCTCGTGGATAGCTACGCGAGATGAGGTAAGACGGTGCCCAAGAAAGGAGGAGGAACGAGAAGGGATTATGACATCCTACCTCCACGAAATTCCCCCCAATGGAGATCGACTGTCGGGTTAGGAGCTTCCATCTTGCTCGTCCTGCTCCAGTATCGGTCTTCGAGGTGCGAGGTGGACGGAACATGTATCGCAGGTCAAACGAAAAGCAAGCTCAAATTTTACTAAGCCGTGAGTCACGACAGACCTAACAAACTTTTATCCGACACCTGCCGCGCGCTTTTGGTGGGGTTTTTAGGAGGGGTTGCAGGCAAGGTACGAAGATGTTCGCCGCAAGACCACTAAATCCCCTATAGGCCAGGGCACTCAAGGGCCCCTTCAAAGTATCTTACATGTGGGTTACGTATTCGAATTTGGCCAAGTTTGTCCCGCTTTTTCCCATTGATCAATCAGAGCTCCGAATCAACACTTTAGGCGTTCCGAGCTCGTGTGGCTTCTACTCCGTGCACCACTAGTCTGTCACGCACGTTCTGCGTGATCACCAGTGTAAGACCCGTACGGTAATCCTTGTGGGATATTCGTCCGGACCAGTTGCACGTATCGTAGTAAGCTCTAAGGCCTTCAGAAGATCTAGTGATGGTATTTCGTTCGGTGGTTGACTGATTGAAGACCAGACTGTGCGCAGTATGCGCGCAGATCAGGGCTTCGTCTTATCTAGTAATTTCGGCGGCCGAGGTCAAGTCAGGTGACCTCGGGGAAATCCACACTCGGACATCCTTTGCACTAAGCCCGTTATGGTTATCTCGTTTTTCCTGAGAAATAAACGGCATGCTGAAAGGACGGCCATCAGCAAATTGCCCTGAATTGTCATTTGAAAATGACGACCAGGCCAAAGTTAAGCAAATCTATGTGAGACATAACCCAGACTCTCAACTGGTCATGCGACAAGCCCCCCCCTTCAAACAAAGGTTGGGCTTCGAATGCGCGCAGCAGGCAAGTCGCCTCGGGGGGGATCACAATTGCTATAAAATGGTGCTTCAACCCCGCACAATGCACAATTTTAATGCCCAAGGCGACTGTTTGCTACGGCTTCTAAATAGGCGTTTTGTGTTGCTCCTCTTAGCTGCGTCTGTACTCAACATTTGCATGAAGCAATCACGCACTTAACAAGTCGAGGTCGAGACAAACAACAATACGCGACATGTAACGTCCATGGAACTGACTACAACAGAGTACGGATTACTCCGTACAAACCCTTTTTTTTTTTTTTTGTGATATAGAAGTCAGGTGACTGCAAAATCCCGTGTTTCACAACGGCCCTAGACTAAATTGGGGATTCAATTGATTTACTCCGTAATTTGATTTACCCTCAGTCACGTGCTTCTTGCGGCCAATTTCGCATAATATTTGGCCCCTTAATTACCCAACGCCGAGAGCCTTAATCATGCATCAACTGCTTCCTCAACATTTTCGAATTAGAGCATCCACGGATGCTATACCGAATTTATTCTGCACACATCACATGACCACTCATTGAAGACTCGGCGGATTAATTCCCCTTCATTCAATGACGCTTGGCCAATCAACATAGCCCAAAATTTGACAATGCCAAAGCAAACGGCCACTGCCGTTTCCTGGGATGGCGCGCCTCCAGTATCAGAGAACGGCTTCACTTTCGTCCATGGCGAGCTCTTCGCTGAGTCTTCTGGCCAGAACCGACACCGGCGAGCGACGGTCGCAGAGCTGAAAGCACATGTCGCCGCTAGCAGTGACAAGGACAAGCCGGCGCATTAGTTTGAGGCCCAACTAGTCCACTACGGACTGAAGTCGTCCAAGACAAAGGCAGTAGCTCGGATGCGACTGGTAGATGCTGTCAATGCTGGGAATTTGAGTGTTCCGGAACATGTCTCCAAGTTGGAGGCCAAGTTGAAGAAAGAATGGACCAAAAATGACAAAGACCTGAAGAAGGTATCCAGCAGCAGTACGGGCTCTGGGTTGATAGAAGCAAAGAAGGCTACGGCAGCGACAGGGAAGAAGCCAGTCAACAAGCGGAAAGCCGAAGCTACTTTAACGCCAGCGACTTCATCGACAGGTACAGCAAAGAGCAACACGAAGAAGGCGAAGACAGCGGCCACTGCTAAGGCTACAACTCGAGAGACAAAACTCAGAGTGGCAAAGACAGAACCGGAAGGCCCCAAGGTGCAAAAGAAGCAGACCGCTCGTAGGGGTGGCCATTCACAGGGACTCGTGCGCGGTGCGTCTACGGCAGTTTCTCAGCCTCAGGAACGACCTGCCCGGACTAAGCAAACCGCGAGACGGAGTTCGGCCTTCATGGCACGGGGCCGAATACCAGCTCCATCGCCTGCTCAATCCTCCGGCAGACATGACTACGACATGAACAGCGAAAATCAAGGCTACGACGAAGATGGTTCTCGTGGATATGACGAGGATGAGGACAACTATGACGAGGATGACTCTGATATCGTTCTTGCCCCTCTCGGTCTCTTAAATGGTAGCTACGAGATTCAAAGCGAGTATGTGGAATCCGAATGGAACGTGGGCTCGGAATTCTCTCTGGATTTGACACTCGAGGGCTCGAGTCTTTGGGGTTCCTTCGATTTGGGTATCCTCGAAGGGGTAATATTATTCGAGGAGCGGCCTTGGCAATCATCCCACGATCCCGTACCAATCATATGGCGTGGCCGCGAGCTTGATGGCCCTATCTCCTACGGCGACCAAAACGAAGGCTGGATGAAGTTTTATGGCAATGGTCGGGTGGAAGGATGGATTGATTTCTCCTCAATCACTTTTCAGGGCGACAGACTCCAGGGCCAAGGCACCCAGGGGACTAAAACCGCCAAGAGTCTGCGTAATGAATGGCTTGGTTATTCTGAGGACCAATATGAGTATGAGAATAGATCTCGCTGGTAAATTAGACCATTCAGCCGGCAGCGTATAGCATTCAGATCGCATCTGAAGGACATAGTGGCATAGAGGTGGCACATCACCTACACGGCAAGGCACATATGTATGGAATATTTCTGGTGAATGAATGAGATCAGAAATAGCCAAAAATCTGTTCGATTTTAGTCGCAGGTGACGGGCTAAACCAGTTTTGATGGGTCCGGAGCCAGAAGGCTCTGCGGAGGGGACAAAGGGCCGACGAATATTCGCGAGCTGGCCATAGATGCGGTAACTCAAAACAATAGGAGAGCTGTTCTCTTCGATGTCTTGGCCCCTTTTCTTTGTCTGTTTGCTGCTTCTTCTATCATTAGTCAATTTGCATGGGCACGATCCCTTGCGAGTATAAGATAGCAACGCACTTCACTCTACTTGTCGGAATGGTATATCTGTCCTGGTTTTGGTGGAGTTTCAAATAAGCTTGTTCAGTATTCTACAAGAATTGCAACCTGGCGTCATTGTCCACTGCGCCATTTTGGGTAAGAATTGTACGGTACTCCTTTTAGTTAATACACCCGGACACATTTCGCTGTCAGTAATAAGTTTGGCGAAGGCTTGTCGTCGCCCCGTCTGTCTTAGAATTCCGCTAACGCTCCTGTGTATAACGGTTGACTTTATGAACAGCACAAGCTTCTGAGAAATATTCCTGTATTTCTTAAACCTTTGCTTTCTGCAAGCCCGGTTGTTGTTCATGTTAAATAACAATAAAAAGAGTGAAAATCAATGACACCGCTGAAGTAACTATCAATGCCCTATACCGGGTTCTAATTGGAAAGGGCGGGGCAGTGCTTGAGCCACTGTGTACCACTGATGACGAATCAATTGGTGAGATCGTTTCATGTGGGCCATAAGTTGTCTTTGATTTTTGGCCGGCCGTTGTGGACGTACGGTGTGGGTAAGCATGATCGGTCGTACCGATAGCGTTTGGATGACATGAAAAAGTGGTAGACGTAACGGTAGATATTAACGTAGCTGTTAAAACAGCCGTGCAAGGTGTTTCGACGTAAAACAATTGGCTGCAGGTTGATATGGTAGTCGGGGCCGAAAGACATGTCACCGTAAATACTACGACAGTCGTTTCTGTGAGGGTTGTGGCTGTCTCCGGCAGTGCTGTAATGATTGTGGTCGAAGGAATGATTGACGACGTGGACGTATTAGCGTTTTCCCAAAACGTAGTAGTTGAGCTCGACGCGGTGCCGAGATACGTCGACTGGCTGGACTGAGATGAACAATCTTCGGACAACCTGGGCGATACCAAGTATGTAGAAGAAGAGCTATGCGTTGGTGACAACGTAGTCATAAAGGATGTAAAAAACGTAAACTTAGACTGTACAGATCCCGGTGTGGCTAGAGAGCCGATTGATCTAGCGGAGGAATTGGCAATTGATGCCGGGGTAGTAGTTGATAGTGACACAACGGTGGCTGACGATCTTCCCGTGGTATGAGTAGTAGGGTGAAACGATAGGCTTGTTATGGTGGTGCCGTTTGCGGATCTAGGTGTAGAGAACATGGTGCTTAAGGTTGGAGACCAAGTCGTTACATTGGACGTTGAGGAGGTCGTTGAAGATGTTCTAATAGGGTGAATGTTTGTGGCAGAGGAGAGAATGGTAGATTTGAAAGCTGTAGACTTGGACTGCATGGTCCCTGTTGTTGATATCAAGACCGAAGACATATTGACAGCTGAATAATACGACGAGTGAATTGATGAGCTTTCAAAAGAACGACTGGCTTTAGACAACGACAATATAGTTGAGTTATATGTCGTAGATATAGACTGCGTAGGTCTGCTTGAAGACATAACGATAGGCGAGGTTGAAGAGAGATTAGCGACAGTGAACGGCGTGGAAATCGCCAAATTTGATGAGGGGTGAGATGATGATTTAGAAGAATAAAGGCTTATAGAGAGCGAGGTGGAGAAGTTCGACACTGTAGAGTTCAGTTGTAAGAATCTCGATGAAGATTGTAGACTATTTGAAGTTGAGGATAGAGTGGTAACCATGATGTTCGAAGTCGTACTCGAGAGAGACGGATAGGTGGTAGACGAGAGTGGTTTAGTCGATAGTAAAGATGAAGTTAACAAGGAGAAGGATGCTGAAGAGGGTATAGATACGAGAGAAGTAGGAGAAGTCGTGGGCGACAAAGCCACTGATGTAGACGACGGTGAGATAAGCGTGGATGGCGCAGTAATAGATGCGGATGAAGAAGAAGTCAGTGTGAGTGATGGCGAAGGGGTTGTGGATGTTACCGATAGAGGTGTAGACGAAAAGGTAGAAGATATCGAATTAAGAGAGGTAGACGACGGTGGAGAGAGCGTGGACGCCGATATAGATGACGACGAAGAAGGTGACACCCTACAGTTCAAAGGCGCCGTGATATCGTTCGTGTCCATTGTCACTGAGCCATTGAGGGCGTATACTCCTCCCTCCAAGGTTGCTCCTGTCGTGATGGTTACCGATGTCAGAGCGATGATATTACCAACAAAACTAGTGCCGGTACCAATAGTTGCTGAGCTGCCAACCTGCCAGAAAATGTTGCAGTAAGAGGCACCATTGGCCAGAATCACAGAGGCGGAGGTATTTGTTGTCAGAGACGAGCCGATCTGGAATATCCAAACACTATCCGTGTTTCCCTGTGCGTCCAGAACAAGGTTCCCTGTCAGTTGCGCGCTGGTATCAAAGCTGTAGACACCAGTTGTGAGAGTCTTTCCGCCCAAGTCCTCGCCCGTCAGGTCAACGCCCAAGTCCTGAGAGACAGCAGCGTTGTAAGCAGCCAGTGCATCATTTTGAGCTTCCACTGCCGTTGCATCTGCCGCATGGACCGCCCCATTCGTCACCACGCCAGGAGGAAAACCCGAGATGGATGTTCCGGGAGAAACTCCGACGTTGCCGTTGACAATCGAAGTGCCGGTATTTGTTACGGCTGAGCCTGCAAGCGCTCCAAACGACAAGGCGGTGCCAAGATCTATTTGAGCGGTGCCGGTTCCTGCGAGCACAAGTGCCAAGGTTATGAAGCGAGTAAGCACCATCTTAAAAGAGGAAAGGAGTATGGTATAGATGGGTTAGCCCAGAGAGTCAAATTGTGTATGAAAAGATTAAAGAACAGGTCGTCAGCAAGTTAGTGATGAGTTTGCGCTCTGTGTGTAAGCATAATACCAGAAGCACTGGGAAATACGGAGGCTGAGAGTGTCTGTTTATTCAATTCATACAAAAATGGATCAATCGGGACGTAAGCTCGATACGTTGTCATCTTGACGGTCGCAGCGTTTCCACGCAGCAAGACGAATGCTTCTGTACAAACAGAACAACAAAAGACAAGAATGCTGACATGGAATGGAGTGAGCCAAGTCTTGGGCAAATATCACGAAGTGATCATGATCTTTGTCTTGGGTGCGTCGACTTTGAGGCTGGACCCGACGATCTATGAATTCCTCTTGATAACAGGCCTATGTATCCCAGATGGATTGTCCTCTGCAGTTTTTGCTATAAGGCGTGATCCTGGGGGCCCATTAAGGGTAACCTTGATGAGCTTTCGCTTGCGTCTGCACCGCAACACCAGGTTTGATTTCGAGCTCGTTAGCTAGCGGTACCATTTACGAAGATCAAAAAATTCCATTTAGAAATATGTTCCGGGACCTCCTTGTACGAGGTGGTTTTGGACACAAGTACGGATGTGGTCTTGTGCTGGGATAGCGCTAGGCCAAGAGCGTTTCCTTAATCTTATTTCAAGCCTAGATTGGAAGAGTTGTGGGAGTGGGGCATGGAGAAAGGTCTATTGAGCACGAGACAGTATATGTCAAATTATCCAAAAAGAGGGTGGGACCCCACTGTTATTCATTCTTGTCTTATTTGCAGTTTGTATACAATTCGACAGTATAAGCGTCCATATCACCAGCCGGGAGAACCTCTGCTTTTCCGAAGGTGCAGGCCAATAGGGAACTAACACAAAAACCAGCAGGAGCTACGTTGAGAATAAGAACCCGCAAGTTTCAGCGCCCAATCATTGGTCAAAACTTAAAATCTTAAGAGCTCCATTGAAAAAGAAGAACAGAAAGAAGAACAGGTTGGCGACTAGGAGGTGGTTCTTGCAATCAACTGAACTGAAGACGATATTCCCTGGCTTGTTAGGGTGCTGAGATGCTCTGTTCTTATGTATTTGGTACAATTAAATTTATTGATATGCTAAGTGACGCTTTGAAGACCATAATAATTATCAAGAAGATGACAGAGAGGACTGTACGTGATGCGTCAGCAAATTGAATACCCGTGATCAATCCTACGAAGGCCTGAAAAATGCATGGAGACCGGTGCAATGTTATGAAAATTTCCTGGTATTGTGACCACCCATGTGATAGGGAGTTTCTCGTACCCAGCCCATTGATCTAACCAATCTTAATACACCGTTTACTGTAATTGACAAGTAAACCTAGCTAAAACCAGTTTGTTATTTATTTTCGAAGGCCATGTGATTTAAAATCTCCCCAATCACATCGATCCGCACAGTCACAACGTCGCCGTGCTGCAGCCACACAGGCGGTTGCCTGAACGCGGCCACGCCGCTGGGAGTCCCGGTCATTATGACGGTCCCACGACGTAGTGTCATACCCCGTGATAGATGGCGCAGAACAGTACTGATGTCGTAGATCTGGTCATCGATGCCCGTCTCTTGCCGCCGCTCGCCATTGACAAAGCACTCCATGTGTAGCTTTTTAGGATCGGGAACAGCACGCGGCGAAGCTAGCACCGGTCCTAATGGCGCAAACTTGTCAAAAGACTTGGCCACTCCGTGCTGGTTGTTTGACCGAGCCGGCATCTGCCACCAGCGGGATGACACGTCATTCCCTGCCGTGTAGCCTAGGATGTAGTCGGTGATGTCGTCGGCCTCTGTCAGATTCTTGCAGTCCTTCTTGATCACGACACACAGCTCGGCTTCGTAGTCTAGGTGGAGACATGACGGATGGATGGGAATATCCTCGTAGGGGCCAGCCATGGCATCTGGGGGCTTCGTGAAGACCGTTGGATACTCGCCATAGGAGGTCTGTTGCAGGCTTGTGAGTAGCAATTTCCTTTGCCTGAGGAGAAGGCTGTCTTCCGCAGTCCCTTCCAATTGCGCAGCCTCTCACTTACATTTGCCTCCTTTGCGTGTTGCTTGTAGTTCAGACCAATGCATTCGAAAATGGGCGTGCGGGCCAAGGGGCTAAGCACCTCTTGAATCGTGTGCTCCTCTTCAGTCAAGACGAAGTCGGAGTCCCACGGCTCCTTGCCGCGGAACACAGGAACCTTACGCCCCACGAGAATCGCCTGGGAGTGGCAGGGTGCTAGGCCGGCTTCGCCGAAGTGAACGTCGCCGTTTTCGTCACGAAAGCGTACGAGACACAAAAAAGAGGCCATCTCAGAGTATCTTTTATGCTCAGTAAAGACAAGAGTATGCTGGAGGAAGTAGGAGGTGTGCGTCTCTCGAGAAAAAGCCGCACAAGAATGACAGTAAACGATGACCAGCTGTAGGAAATGAAAGATGCGAAGTCAAGATACAGTACTGCCTGCTTTGGTCGCTTGCCCCGGAAGGGGGGACAGCAATAAACTTCCCGGCTCTTCCGCCTCGCACTTTAAATGTAGCCTTTCCCAGAATGGCATGACGCCGGCTTCGGCTTCGGGCAGACAAGATGGGCACGTTCATCCCCGCAAATAAACCCCTGTTGTGTCTCGGCTTCCCCACCGACACTAATTTGGTGCGAATGACCTTAAACGAACCCCATGTTTGTTCTTTCACTCAGGCCCTGTTAGCCTTTGTTGTTTACGAATGGGAGGGCCGCAATATGCAAAGCACAGCGTGAACAGAGACCTGTGCATTTGGCGCATTGGACACATATGGGTGACTGGAAGCGTGGACAAAGGCCTATCGGTCCCATTGCCAGAGTAATGGCCTTGTTAGCCTAGGCGAGATATCATGGTGGAAGCACAGAGACTGCCTATTTAGATCATCTCTATCCTTCTGTACTATCCATTTTCCCCTCTCGTTTTTTATTATCTGTCATTTTTGAACTAGTTTACTACGCGTTTTGTCCCCCCTTGTATTAGTATTCCATTTCACCCTAATCATGGCCGCCTCGGGTGTATTGCTGTCTCCAGCCTATCTTGGGGGCATTGCAGTGCTGGCCGTCATTTTGCTGCTGGCGAAGCTTAGTACAATAGGCCGCCGCCCGCGTGACCTGCCGCCTGGTCCACCGACGCTGCCGCTCATTGGTAATTTGCACCAGATGCCAACCAAAGAGGCGCATCTGCAGTTCCAGAAATGGGCCAAGGAATACGGGTAGGTTTTTGGGATTCTCCAAAGTATGAAGCCTAGATAACTTACTGACTCCGCCAGCCCCGTCTACTCTCTCATTCTTGGTACCAAGCCCATGATTGTACTGTCCTCCGACGTGGACGTAAAAGATATGCTAGACCGCCGTAGTGGTATCTACTCAGACCGTCCGGATATGTTTATTGCTCAGAAGATTGCTAGCGGCAATCTGCGACTGGTTGTGATGGTGAGCTCTGTAAAACAGTAAAACACTATCCCCAATTTTGAAGAGCTGTATTAACATTTCAGCGTTACGGCGACAACTGGCGCATGATTCATAAGATTGTGCACAACATCTTGAATATCAAGGCCGCAGTAACTTATGTGCCATACCAGGATCTCGAGAACAAGATCTTCCTTGAGTCTCTACTTGACTCCCCAGACGACCTTTTGCATCACATCCGCCGCTTCACCTACTCCCTCTCGACGCAGATGATCTTTGGCTACCGTTGTGTGAACAACCGGGATCCAAATTTGTTGCAGCTATTCACAGTGTGTTCATGGGTCAAACTATTCCTGATGTCCTTGTGTTATGTTTTGTAGCATCCCGTGCTAATAGCAGTGCTTCGAACACTGGGGCAAACTCTCGAACAGCTCGAGCGCGCAAACGGCCGACCTCTTTCCGATTTTGCAGAGGCTGCCATCCTGGATTGCACCCAACGTCAGTTACGCCAAGAAGTTGCACGCGGTTGAGAAAGAATTGTATGTAAGCCACTGGATGCGCTCGAAGATGGCGCTCGAGAACGGGACAGGCTTGGTACGTACAGATCTGTTAAGAGAGAGAGAGAGAGATGTGCTAATCTGGCTGCACTTATAGCCTTGTTTCTGCAACGACTTCTACCGCGCCCAGACAGTCGAAAAGTTTTCTGATGATGCTGCTGGATACATGAGTGGCTCCCTGCTCGAAGCTGGCTCCGATACAACTGCGTCAACCTTGTACGGGTTTATCCTGGCGCTGTTGGTGTGGCCCGAGGTGCAAGCGAAGCTTCATGAGGAAATTGACCGCGTCGTGGGCCCGGACCGGATGCCAACGATAGACGACTGCGAAAGCCTGCCTTACGTGCGTTGCTGTATCAAGGAGAGCCTACGTTGGATGCCCACTGTGATCCTGGGCGTGCCGCATGCGGTGATACGAGAGGACTACTACAAGGGTTGGCGTATCCCGAAGGGGTCGACGGTGATCAACAATGTCTGGTGAGTTATTCCTTCCAGCGCTAAAAGTCACACTTCTAACTTATCAGGGCTATTCACATGGACCCCGATCGCTGTCCCAACCCACGGGTCTTTAATCCCGACCGCTTCAAGGATGACCACACCACGCTTTACCAGTCTGCTGTTGGTGATACGACAAAGCGCGACAACTTTGTCTTTGGCACTGGTCGTCGTCTGTGCCAGGGCATCCACATTGCCGAGCGGTCACTGTTCCTCGGCATCTCGCGTCTCGCCTGGTCATTCACTCTCTCACCCGCCAAGGACAGCTTGGGCCAGCCCTGGAAGTACGACACCGAGACATTTGTTGGTGGAATATCAGTACAGCCACAGGACTACCCGTGCATCATCACACCGCGATCTGCCGAAAAGGCCGAAATCATCCGTAAGGCTGCGTCGGAGTGCCGCACCTTGCTGGATGATAAGACAGGTCAATGGAAGAAGATACCGGATGGCATGGCATTCAGCACTTGGGTGCCGGACCATGTCGAGCCCAAGACGGAGTACGACTAAGGAATAGCATAGTCTGGGTTTGGACATCTTGATCTGAACACTTTCGTTTTGTTTCTGTTTTTGTTCCTGTTTGAGATGTTAAGATACGCGCGACTGAAATAGCAAGTTACAGATTGTACGAAACTGGGCGTGGTCTACTTTGAATGCTATTGCCTCAGAATGTGAACAAACACAGTGCCAGAAGCCCGAAAGTGTTTTAAAAACAATGACCGAATGATGCACCCTTGCTTTGATTTTGCGCAAAGACATGTGCACGAGACCTGAATGCCGTCTTGTCAGGCAAAAATATACTTATCAGAAAAGTGAAATCAAAGATGAAACCCATTTTCGGAACGCAAAATCACCCGAATAGCACAAAAAACGTGAAACGAAACATGTTTACCTACGCCGTGTGCAGTCCGAGACTTGTTGGTTCGGACATAAGCACTGTTCATTATACAGTTTATTTATTTAATTATACTTATACACTAAAGGTGGACCATAAATAAAAACCCCATGGGGAAGAGAGGATCCCGGGAATCCTTTCGGCTTCGGGCTCAATAGACGATAACGGCGCTAAGATGTAGCGAGGGCCAGCTCACTATGTTCTGATCAGCATACCCACCCTATCGACCGGCTCCGTATTGACTCCCCATGCCCGGCCTCGGTGTTGCTGTTTGGGGCAACCCTAACAGCTGCCGATGTAGTCGCTGTTACGTAGTGGGCTCAGTTGCACGCGAGGCAGTCGCTCTTTATAGGTTCTTTATCGATTTATTTCAAGAATGGGCGTTTGTTTTTCGATTGCGAGCCTTCAAGCCGAAGGGCGAAACAGTCAATAGCTAAACAACCCCCTGAGCCAAGCGAAGAGAAGATAAGGAAGAAATGGCAAAACAAGGCGAGATTCTGAAAGAACCCCATGTCTTGCCTACAGGAACGGTTCTCATTGCTGGTGGTGGTCCTGTCGGGTTGATACTGGCACGCGTTCTGTCGTTTTACGGAGTGAAATCGGTGTTGTTCGAACGTAACGCAACGACGACGAGCTGGCCCAAGATGGACCTGACGAATGCTCGATCTATGGAGCTCTTTCGAAAGATTGGTCTTGCTGACGATCTGCGGAAATTCGGGGTCCCGGCCAACTTTGACCAGAATGTGCTCATCTCGGCTGGACTGGCTGCTGACACACCTATCACAACATGGAAGCTACCAGGCGTGGACAAGTTCCGCGCCCAGATTCGCGAGAAGAATGACGGCAGCCAGCCGCTGGAGCCATGGCAGCGCATATCGCAAGCCATCTTTGAGAAGTGGCTCGAGGCGATCTGCGAAAAAGACCCGCTCATCAGTCTTCACTACAGCCACCGAGTTGACCGGGTGGAAGAAGAAGAGGACCATGCAAAAGCAGTCGTCACGGACAGCAAAATCATGATCAGCACTGTCTGGAAGTCCGACTACGTCATTGGCTGTGATGGTGCATCTAGCAAGGTTCGGCGTTCTCTCAGCCTGCCACTGGATGGCGGACCTATGTAAGGTTCTTCAATCGAATGGGAGATGAACAGGGAGTATGTGCCGATTGCTAACGAGCTTCATCTTCTCTAGTCCATCCTGTGCTCTTCTTGTGCACTTTAAGTCCAGGGATCTCACACGTCTGCACAAGCAAGGTCGTTTTTGGCACATCTTTTTCCTCGGCCAGTCGGGCGGTTTCGAAGCCGCAATCATATCACAGGACGAAAAGGATACCTGGACGACGCATCTGTTCATGCCCGTGGACGCTAACCCGGACGAAATTGATTCGCACGAGGCTGTATACCGTATTCTCGGTGGCCTCTACGGCAACTACCACATCAGGATTGACGAAATCCTGGTCCGCTCAGTGTGGCGACCGAACATTGCGGTCACGCGGAAGTGGGCAGGGCCTCATCAGCGCGTGTTTCTGGCGGGCGATGCCGCCCACCAGAACATCCCTACAGGTGGCTACGGCATGAACATGGGCATCGGCGATGCCTTTGACCTTGGTTGGAAGCTTGCGGCCGTCATCCAGAGCCAGGCCGGTCCGACGCTGCTCCGGTCCTACGAGCTGGAGAGGCGGCCGGTGGCCCTGCGAAATGTGGTGCACTCGGGCGTACACTTCCGCGTGCATGAACATCTCAAGGAGCTACTGCTGGATGGGGGGGACCCGCGTCGGGTGGTCGAGGACACAGACGAGGGCCGGGCGCTGAGACGCAAGATCCACGAATACTACCAGGAGCACGACGGCGAGAACAAGGACTTTGGCATCGAGATGGGCTACCGCTATACGTCGCCGGTGATACTGCGGCAGGATGACGACCTGGACGAGCCGGTGTGGATGGCTCGCCAGTACGTGCCGACGTCGTGGCCGGGAAGCCGACCGCCGCACATCTTTCTGTCAGATGGGACGCCCATCTTCGACAAGTTTGGGCCAAACTGGGCCCTTCTCGTGTTTACGGACCAGGACGTCGGACAAAGCTTCTTGATGGATGCGGCATGCCGACATTCTGTGCCGCTGCTAAATGTGTACCTGGCCGATGAGAAGCTCGCGTGTAGCTTGTACGAGAAGAAGCTCGTGTTAGTTAGGCCGGACCAACATGTTGCGTGGAGGGCCGATCAGATTGATGCAGACAAGGACGCCGAACGTATCTTGCAGACGGTGATAGGACGAATTGAGACAACCACCACTCCGACGAATGGGAATGGAAACTTCGAGACTAGATCGGGGTTTGAGGCTCGACTTACAGACCTCGTAGAGGTCACCACGCAAGTCAATGGTTTCAGTTTAGATAAGCAGGGCGATTTCCAGCGGTAGGAGATCCTAGGCATTACGCAACAGAGATACGCAGATAGAAAAAGCCAACTATATGCACATATATCAGGCTTTTCTTATTGAAGCTAGGCGTCGTGTTTCTTAACGGCCTGTCAATTTATATATTCGTTTATTCGTTTTGACGTTGCTGTTTAAGGGGGGGGGCCTAAGAACTAACACGCCTGCCTCCCTAAGGGCATGCGACGGGAGAGGCAGGAGACGGCCATAGCTATCTTAACCGCTCCTAAGGCCTTACTGGGTGGTTGCTTAAAGGCAGCATTTATAGTGTCTCTTTAGATGACGCAGTAGGAAGGCGTAGTACGTTAAGTTAAGGGTTCAGTCTTTGTTGTAGGACCTATAAAACTTTAAAAGTATATATGTAAGTATAAAAGTTGCATAAAAATTAGCTATAAGCCCGGTAAGCCGCATCTACACAGCATTTTTAAGTATGAGAAGCATAGACCTTTAGACTGTCTGCACGGAAAATGCATTTGTACGGGTGCCCTTCTTTTTGGCCTTTGTTGGCCTAATACCGCTTAACATTATACAGAAAGCCTTGTTCCGGTCGACCGCTTAAGGGTCTAAGTACGCCGCTGCTATAGATGACTCGACGGGCAGAGACAAATAAAAGGGTGGAAAGGAAAGAGGCAAGTATGCAGGTGAAGAATTTCGAGACTACTGACACAATTTCAATTTGGATTATAAGTGGTAACCGGAGGCTCTCGACTGCTGGGTGTTAGCAAACGTATTGTCTAGGTATAAGATAAATTTTGTCAAAGCAGGCTTCCTGCTATTATTTATATAAAGCGATGATCTTCAGAATACCACCCCTACCATTAATATTCTCAAATAGCTCCTATTCTCCTCACTGCATACCAGCAATTTTCTGTGTTCGTAGGCGGCATAACTTTTTACTTTTTAAAGCGTCTACTGAAAAGTATATATATGTGTAGTACCCCAATCCCTAGGTCTACGGTGTTCAAAGTGGCGGTATAAGATATACAATTGATTCCTTATGTGAAATGCTTATCCCATTCACAGGAGGGACGGTAGGGGGGCGGAGACTATGCATAAATGGCTCGAGGCTTGCTTTTCTCCAACATATGCAAATAATGATTTGCTCATAAAGACACTATCCAGATCCGCCAGCTTCTGGCCGTCTCACGTCAGCTTGCTTGTGATCTAGAAGACTGCCGACTATTTTCGTTCGACAGCCAGGTGCGGATATACACCTCCTGTACAACTGTATACCTCGACCCTGTGGACACGGACAGCGGTTTCCCATGGCTCTTGCTTCAACTGCCGGTCCGAGTCCTCAGGGCACGGACCGATACGTATTTCTGAATATCCTGGCTCTTTTCCCTCTGCACTCTCTGTAGTAGAGCGTAGAGTGGCCATACCGGTGTCAATGTTCAACGTCAGACCGGAAGAGCAGGCAGAATTTTGTCCAAAGGAGATTGTGGCCTCCCCAGATGTCGTGTTGACATGTTCTGTGTATGTCACTGGTTTAGATTTTTCTTCGGCTGTGGACCATGCAAGAAGCCGCGGCCGTGGAGCCAGTTCGAACAAGAGATGCCTATCGTCCACGAGGTAATCACAGTCCGTATCGTAGTCGTCGGTTGTGCAAAGAGGCGAGCTGGTCATGATGGCGAGAATAGTGGCCTCGCTGCTCGCTGGGTTTTCCTGAGATATTCTGCCTCTCGTGCGTTGAGCCACTTTCTGAATAGCAGCTGTTGTTCCGTAAATTAGGACAAGCTTCCCGCTGGATTCGCTGTTGAGAGCCTGAACCACCCCATCCATAGAAACATCCGAGATGTCTGATGCGTAAACAGATTTTGCGTTTTTCAAATTATCATAGTCATCTTCGTCCTCTCTGAAAGGGTATACAAATTCAAACGCTTGTGACACGAGAGTCGGCAACTTCGTGTCACAGGAGCCAGGCCGAGGAAGGGCAGAGAAAAGAGCTCGCCATAGTCCCGTCAACTCCAACTCAAAAGACCACTCACGGGCTCTGCCATCTAGCTATTAATCACGTATATGCTTAGTACTGTTCCGTATATTCGGTTTTGTTAGCAGTTTTGGGGGGGAACCTACAAATTTCTCAGAAAAAGCGGCGTAGTCCTCGAATGAAACGGACGAAACTGAAGAAATTCCATGAATTCCCCCAACAGCCAGAATTCCCTTTGCCAGTGACAATTGGGCTTTTCGGTCATTGTCTAAATCGATATAGCCAGTAGAAAAAAAAGAATTTTTTCTTGGAGGCTCCGATTGCTTGCGCACTTGCAAAGTAGCACAAAGAATGCTCAACAAGTCGTGGTAGGGAAGAGCAAATGCATTGGTTGACAGCTGCTGGGACGCATCGTCGTCCACCAAGTTGCGCTTCAACACATTGGCTCGCACTGTAGAAAGGCAAGGTCGTTCAGGCCATAATTTGGCCCGTAGCCGAGAATACGCGATGCCTGTTACCTCATCAAGCAGAGATGGTGGAACCCAAACGCCGTCGCCAGATTTTTCATCGTGGCCAGCCGGCAAGGCAAGACGGCTAAATGTACTCCAGGCGGTGGACTTTCTCTTCTCGTTTTCATACAGAGTCCAGTTAGTATTGTTCTGCTCGACATCTCTGTTGCACGCAATATTTCTCTGCGTGACTTGTGATACTGTCCAAATCCAGTCGTTGAAATCGAAGTCAGACCGTTTCTGAGACTGAAAAGGAAACGGCACGCGGGCAAAGAGATTGGATGAATCGTAGCAAAAGTTGCGCCAAAGAGCAGGTGCTGTGCCGGCATCTCCCAGGCGGCTTGCAACAAAGGCCGTAAATTGGGTTTCATTCCAAACTAGGAGGTCAGTGTAGTCAGCTAGCTATCTCTACTAGTGTTCCTTTATTGCAGCAGAGCAAGACATTTCTTTGGAAAGTACCTTGACACCCGTCTTCATCACGATTCACAGAGAAGTCCTCAAATATGCAACGCAGGGTGTTCTGCTTTCCCGACGCAGCCTCTCGGATCTCAGCACCAAGTGCGTCTTCACCGTCATGTTCATCAAGCAGAGACGCCCTCGTCGACCGTAAGTTTTCTGTGCGTACGTCAGCATTAAAAAAAAAGGCGAATAAGAAACATTGAAGGAGAAGATAAAGATACCAACCTCTAGTCAAAGTGTCATAGAATCGGCCATCCCTGCGCTCATCATAAAGGCGACGAAAGCTACCACTAAATGGAGCCAACAGGGCATACAACACCCCAGCTGGATCTCTGAGCGATTCCACGAGACCCGATACCATATCTCCAATTATCATGAAGAGTCCTATAAGCACTCCCATTATTTTATCTTTGATTTCGGTCATTTTCGTTGTCGTCAAGAGAAGCTGATAAAATAAGTTTAGGGAAAGCTGACGAATTATGGGTGCCCAGTGAGCATGAATTTATTGTTGTGGTTAGGTACTTCTGAGATATGCAGACGTGCGTCAAAACACATACTAAAATAGCCCCCTGCGCCACACAGTACATGTATTCTTTCATTACACTGCATACTCGCGCACGCCCCTCCCATTTAGGTCTGGTTTATTCGACAAAAGTGTCAAATCACTGCTTACTTAGCATAAAGGGTTGGTTATATTACTAAAGAGAGTAGAGGAGAGGATGCAGCTATTCTAGAGGGATAAAACTCTGCATAGGGTGGAGCCCTAATTGACCAATCAGGGCTCATCCGTATGTCACATGACTTATGATTACTTAACAAAAAGCATGCGCTGCGGAGTATCAAGCGGGGTGGTCCCATATTTGAATAACAGAAAACAAGCATTAGTGGATCTTCTCCACTCGTATAACATATATAAGTCACGTGGATGTGCAGCCAAATTTGCTGGGATTTCAGGATCCAAGCCATTGTCCACGGGCCACTTCCCAAAGAAGAGATTCGGTCTAATCAAACACCGCTATTACGAGCAACATGCCTCCGCTTCTTAGGGAACATTTGCGGCGATTTGTTATTATCATTGTTATTAGTAACTAGCAGGTTTCTCATAGATTTTTTTATTGGATTTTAATAGGAAGAAAAATGGAAACTAAGACAAAACCCTGTCGAAATAAAAAGAGAACAACACAAAGAAGTGATGAGACCAGACCTTCACTGTCTTTATCGCTCTATTCCGTCCACCATCCAATAGTACAGATTGTTCGCATACTGGTAACAGTTATTCGTGAAATAGCCGTATTCTTCATACTTCTGCGCGTAAACTTCGGCGGCTTTCTTAGCCTCGCTGTATTTGATACCATCTCTGATAGGTCCCATATCTTGCCACACTGCGTAGGATTTATCGAAAGTGGTATCACCAGTCCAAGTCATACCACGAGATCCAATGGATCCGATATTAGTGTTTTTGGTGACCTTACCCTCGCCATCTCTTATTAAGAGTTCTGGTCCACCGGCGTGTATTATTTTCTTGCCGTCAACATTTTCGTAATAAAGGTCATATCCATTAGACCACCAATCTCGTGTAGTTACGTGCTTCTCTCGCACGACTTCTCCGCATTCTTTCACTGTCGTCTTTTCTGGGGAATTCCAGTGCACATAGCCTGCCACGAGTCCGTAATGTTTGGGAAACATGTTCGACGTGTACTGCTTGGGTAGCATGACACGAAGTGCGTATCCTTCTTTGTCTCTCCACTGGTAGTCGCGAGGCCGTCGACTTGACTGGACAAAGAAACCCCATGCGTTCTGAGTTCTTGAACGTGGTCTCGGTTGGAACAGCTGGAGCGCGCTTGGCCACACAGGTGCATTTTCCATTCTTGTCCCCGGTTTTTGACGGATTGTCGCCTTTTGGGTCGTCACGGGAGGGCACGGTTGTGGCCTTGGTGGTGGGCGAGTTTATGGACAGTGTGTGCTTCTTGCCAAACACCTTGAACTCGGCCTTGCCTTCCTTCTCGATCCCTTTGACGCACCCTTCGATGATTCCGGGAGTGGCTGCAATCTCGATGGCATCGGCAATCTCGCCGATAATGGGGATGAGGTCTTCCAATAGCTCCAGAGGTGCCAACAGAGCTGGCACTGCCACCCTGCAGAAAGCCTTCGCCGCCAAATCTAGGGCAGCTTGCTCGGCCGCCGCCTCGGCTGCTGCTTTGGCTGCATCTTTCAGGTCATCCTCCAGACTCGACGACGTAGGCTTGTAGCCGGAACAGCAGAAACTTTGCAGTCCTCCGTGGCAGTTCTTGTCCCCCTTCTTGCTCTCATGTTCGTTGGTGTTGGTCGTCAGCTCAGTCTCACCATCGGCGCAGCCTTTGATGCAAGACAGGCCGGCACCACGATAGCCACGCCACTGGCAGGTCCCCATGGTGGTTGAGGAGTCGCAACACAGGCTTCTGTATTTCTTTTTGCTGCAGCGTTGGCTAGTGCTAATTTGGCCTGGCTGACCATTGAATTGCGCCACCTGCACCGTCCCAGCCTTGCATGAAGAAGTGCAATCGGACACGTAGCATTTCAACCCAGCCAGCATGTCGCTAGATTTGCTATTGGCATCTTTCTGCTGACTTAAGGACACGGCGGCACCAGCCGCTGCTGCCGCGCCGCCAAAACCATTCTCCGCTGTCTGATCGACCTGATCCATGGCCCAAACCATGAGTCCACCAAGACAGCGTTTGTTGGCAAAGTCTCTCTTCTGCTTGAATGTGTCCTTGTCGTCATACGACACCCACTGGTCGTTGTTTCAGTGGATCCATTTAACAGCCGCGTCTTTGTCCCAAACAGGGTCGAGATTATTCTTGGAAACGATGTCCGCAATCCCCTCGCAGTCCAAAATACCGGCTGCCTTGGAACAAGGGCCAGGGTCGGCCCCGCCTTTGAACTCACACATTCCGTTGGGAGTGCTACAGCTCGAGTCTTTGAGAGTAAAGCTGCGGCCATACCAACCCTGTCCCAGGACGACGTTTTTTGAATCCACACCTGCACGCCACAACAGATCCAGCGCGGCATCGATCTCGATGATATTGGTGTGTGGGGCAATGTAGGGCCCAACATACTTGGACTGCGCATCCCAGGTACCGTGCAGGTCATAGGCCATCAGATTGAACCAGTCGATGTGGGTCTGCATGCTCTCGACGTCAAAGTGTTGCAGGTACCAGTATGATGTAGGGATTGTGACAGTAAGCCCGTATTTGGTCCCGAAGGCTTGACGCATCTGCTCCACGAGAGCGACATAGTTGGCCGTGTCGGATTCCACGCCTCCGCGATCATCGGCACCCGGATATTCCCAGTCAAGGTCAACACCATCGAAGCCAAATGTGTCCATGAAGTTGACAAGACCGTTAATGAACTTCTCGCGATTACCCGACGAGCTGGCCATGTTGCTAAAGGCCTTCTGGGTGGCGCCGGGGTCCGTAAACGACCAACCGCCGACGGAGATGTAGGTCTTCAATCCCGGCTTCTTATCCTTTAATGCTGTAAATCGGCTGCAAAGAGAAGCAGCATTAGAGTCCATAGACGTGATGGTGAAGGATGCCGGATCGAAGAAGGCAAAAGCAAAGTTGATCGAGGTGAAACCATCCAGGTTCAGATCTTCGGGAGCCACATTTTGGCATGTCCTCGTGTTGGCCCACGACTCGTAGTAGCCAATGTTGCGCTTGGAAGCCCCATTTCCACCAGAGGAGCATGACGGTTTGTCTACAGAGCCACAGCCGCCATATGCAGTATCGCATTTGGAATAATTCGGGTCTGCCGTGTTATTCCAAGTGCAGAACTCGGACGTTGATCCACAAAAGCCAAATTCCGAGCAGCACACATTGAGTGGGCATTTCTGTTCACCCTCCGCTGCATATGGGCCGCATTCTGCTTTCGCGTCGCCTGGAGACATTGTCAATAAGTGAATGTAACAAGATACAGTATAAAGACACTCACAATTGTGCTGACACCCTGTGCTGCAAGACTTGGGCGAATAGCCACAGAGGTTATCACTGCCGCAGCATGCATCATTTTCGTAAGGGGTTTCGGCATTGCATGTGCCAGTCGGCAGACTCCTAGCCTTGAGGAAAGAATGAGAGCTAATGTCCAAGTTAACTGCCCACGGCCCAGTATCTTCAATTTTGGCATTGAATGGCTGCGGTACCAGAGCAACACCCAAGCTGGCTAGTCCAGCTAAGGCTACAAGACTGCAGAAGGGCTTCATGATTGATGAAGGTGTGGTTCGATGAGACAATGGCATGGTTATTAGAATGGGCTACGGTGTGGTATAATATACAAGGTACCGGTTTGGTAGAGAAACAGCTAGGAGAAAATAAAGGGGCGTAGAGGGAAGGGAGGCAAAAGAAAAGCAGAGACGAGAAACATCTTACCGACCCGCAGCTGAAACTACTGAGGACTAGAGTCACAAAAATAAACCTCTTAAGCTGCAGGACGCGTCGAGAAAGGATTCCTATGAACGCACTAAAATACCATATCGTTTCACCACGCCTAGTCACCTTATTATAAGCTTAACAAGGGGGGGCATCCTACGCTAGGCTAGCTCGAAGATGGTTAAAAAGCTTGGTATCTTAGGTCAATGGCTTGCAGGGGGTTTGGTCTTAGAATGCACACCAGCACCACCTCCGCGCCATCGTTACTGCCAGTGGATCAATTGTCTTCCAAATAGTGGTTCCGTTCCTGAAAACCGCGTGCTTGAAAACCGCGTCAAGAAACTGATATGGTACGTCTGTACGAGTACCTGAGCAGCTAGCAAGAAGTTTGGACTTCCGCGAATTTTCGAGGCCCCTTGATTAGGATCGCCTGTTTCGTCGCATGTTGTTACGAGCCATTCAGCCATTCGATATCGCATTGAAGTCGCGTCGTATCAATTTATTCCCCTCCTCGTCTGTACGATTCCGAACATTCGTTAAAAGACAGCACAAGTATCTGAGCCTCACTCTATTGCTCTTCCCAAGTTTCGTCACTGGGCATACTCTCTCTCAAGGATGGTCTGGTTCAGCCAAGTCCAGGCTTTTAGCCTGGCTTTCCTTACACAACAAGTCACGGCCCAGTCTAACCTGTATCCTGAGGTCGACTCAGAAAGACTGGCAAGTGCCCTCAACATCAGCGGCAGTTGCTTGGAAGCCTTGAACATGACGGTTGACTGCGACCAGACGCTTCTGTCCATGGCCGGCAGCGTGGACGACTACCTGTGGGACGTCGACAATGTCACGACGCTGTGCACCAGCGACTGCTTGTCTTCTTCCCAGACTTGGTTTTCCACAGTCTATGACAGCTGCTCTAGCGATGTATTGGTCTTCTTGGGAAAGCAAGTGCCAGCATACACCATCCCTGGCCGAACGCTGGACGGCCTCAACATTGCCTGTCTGGCGCCAACCACCAACGTCAGCGCGGATCCCGGCGTTGCAGCCAGCATCGTGACTTACACCAACGTCACTTCAAACGGCACGGATGACTCAGACGACTCTTCCTCCTTGGAGACACAACAATCGGCTACAGTGTCTCTGTCTTCGAGTGGGTATTGTTTGATTGACTCCTACAACTGGGTCGGTTCGGACATCATTCGACCGGACTGTTCTTTGGCTAGCAACGAGAACAACAGTCAATGCATCGATCCCACGGATGTTTCAGCTGAAAACGAGCGCCTCGCCAACCTGTATTCCAACGACATTTTGTGTGATGCGTGCTTTGTCAACATGTTCTTTTTGCGCTTGGCATCCTCCTACCTACCGGATACCGACTATTCCGACCACCTAATTCTGCAGTACTACGACATTCTGGAAACATGCAACATCACAGGAATGCCTGAATTGATCATTCGCGAAGATCCAGACTACCTTGATGCTCCGGGATACGTCGATGGTATGCTCACCAACACAAGCAGCCTGCAGCCTTTCCCCGATAGTATCTCCATCAACGTACTGCCCAACAGCGCGGCCAGCTTAAACAGCACATGTGCTGGCCAGAGCCTCACCTACAGCCAGGTTTCTGGAGTGGCAGATGCAGTGGCTGATGCCGATTTAACATCTTTCTGCGATGCTCTTTCAGTGGCATTCAATGTTTCTACTGGCGATCTTTATCAAGCCTTCCAAAACATCGGCTGTGATGTCGCCTCATCGAATGCCACCAATATCACTTGGTGTCTTCCTGAGGGCTGTTCAGTTTACCAGTCTCCAGACAACAGTAGCTGGTAAGCACAAGATCAAAGCAACACAGGCAGAGAACAACAACTTTGATAGCTAACGCAAGACACAAACAGCACCGCAGCTGTCCAGTCCGTGTCGACGGCGGAACACAACATCACCGTGCAACAGCTAGTTCAGTACAACCCCAACCTGCAGGGAACGTGTGATCAGTTGGAGCAGCAGTATCTTTGCATCACGCCGCCTGGTGGTGCCTATGTCCCACCGCCGACCAATGTGTCCTCGACTGGTGCCGGTGAACAGCAACGAGGCGGTGGTGATGGAGGCTCGACCAGAAACCAAACCATAACCACTGGAAATCCCACTGTGAAGGTTTCCCCTGGCGGCACCCCCCCCTCGCCGACGCAGCTTGGTATCAATGCCGACTGTGTCGTGTATAGCAATGCCTCTGTTGGTGACACCTGTGACGAGTTTGCTGAAGAGCACGACATCAACCCTGCGGATCTCTTTGCATGGAACAAAGTGTTGGGCACGGATGGTGCCTATTGTACGACCGAGTTTTGGAGCGGCTACTGGTACTGTATTGGCACAGAGTCTTCTCAGCCGTCGTCGACGATAGTATCGTTGACAACTTCGGCTACTCTAACATCCAGCGCGTCAATGCCCGCAGTGCCCCTCTCCCACGCAGTCCGGTATCGTGTCGTCCTGCGACCAGTATGCCCAGGCGGCTTCAGGTGACACTTGCTCTTCTTTTGCCGCTGATCACGACATAACGGCGTCCGACCTATACCAGTGGAACAAGCAACTCGGCACTGATGGCACCAACTGCTCAACCGAGTTCTGGGCTGGCTACTACTACTGCATCAACGCTGGTATGGTGCCCTCTAATTCTGTTTCGTCTCCGGTCTCTGCTACCTCCACGTCTTCGTCGTCGACCCCTGCTCCGACACCCACGCAGTCCGGTATCGTTTCCAATTGCAAAAAGTACGCTGAAGTGAGCAGTGGCGACACCTGCTCTAGTTTCGCCTCGGCCAATGACATCACCGAAGTAGACCTCTACACCTGGAATACCCAACTCGGAGTCGATGGAGAGGACTGCTCTACTGAATTGTGGTCTGGTTATTACTACTGTGTTAGCATATAAGCGGTCAAATTGGAGGACGTGCCTGTAAAATAAAGAAATCCGGGATAAAACCGATGCAATTAAAACTAAGAGAATTAATAAGTATACAGGTTAGAACTATAGAACAAGCCCACGTAATATATTTAGGTGTTTAGCCACGGTAAAATACTAAGATCGTTGTTCCGTATAAAACTGCTAAAAACGGCAACTTTTCGTACAAGTGTACAGCTACGGCGCAGGGTTCATAAAGGTAGTATTGCACTGTAAAGAGCAGGAAGCTGAATTGGTAAGGTGTAAGCAATTTATTGTACGGAGTACTAAGGAAGAAATAGTTACATCGCATCCTTTCTAGGGGTCTTTATGTTGCGCGGTGATGCACGGAGTGCAGAGTTTTCAGCCCAGACTTCCTCTAGCCCCAGATAGCTGTCTTCCTTCTATATACAACGATCTTCATCTCATCACTTTATAAATACTAGTGTCAGGACCTGCTGTTGTGCCTTCTGATAAACTACAGGCCAGTACTGCAAAATGGGGTGGAAGCTCTACAGTGTGGCGGATTCCCGTACTTGACACTATGCGGAGTACTTGACACAAGGTGCAACGGCCTTGGACTTGCCCTGGATTCTCCTTCCCCGCAATATGCATACACTCACTAGTAGCTATTAGCGCACATGACGTTGATGAACTCCACATTCGACACTGCTACACCTCCGTGCTTACGCTTGCTTCCCGGTCAAACCACACCTAGGCCTTTCATTGTTGGGGAGAAAGCGTTGGCAAGAGTGCAACGCCTTCTACTCGTAGTTCAGCACAAAAAGCGTACCACATCTTCTGGGGTGTTAACTGTATTGCGCAAGTACTACTTACTCACCACAGTCCAACTAACAACAGCTACGAGCATGGCATGCAAATTGTGCCGAACCCGGAAGGTTAAGTGCGACCAGACTCGTCCGGTGTGCCAGAACTGCCAAGTGCGATCGAGCGCGTGCACGTACGAAGGGGAGCGGCGGAAGCGTCGATGGGCCGACCACCAACAAGGTGGTAGCAGCGACAAAAATACGTTTGGTGGTGATATAATGTTCTTGAGCAGCGGGCCTTACTCAAGCGGCGGTGAGGCTTCCTGGCCGGAACGTTCGCTTTCGGTCTCAACCACGACGAGAGGGCCGACTGTTGCCACGACCGACAACGAAGACTGCCAACAGCACGACCATGAAAGCATACCACCGCTGCCAGCCGCCATGAAAAGACCGTCCATGAGCACAACTAGCAGCAGCAGTGTGACGGGACCGGGTGGTAGTGCCAATGCGGGAAACAATTTGATGCGAAACAACGCGGTCACCTGGAGGCCTCAGCGCGGCCTCGGGCTCGGGGAGGCAGAGACGCTTCTTGACGGCATCCTGCAGAGCGAGGCCGAGGACGGGGCTGATAGCGCAGAGGAAGAGGCCCGACACCCGGCGATCTGGATGCGGACGAGCGAGGGAGACGAGTTCACGGGCCCGTCATCTGGGATCACGGTCATCTCGGACGTGGGTGTGCAGTGGCTGCAAGAGAGGGTGCCGGACTCGGAGACGCTGTGCCGCACGATCCAGGATATCCGCGGCGAGCTGCTGGGACACCTTCGGCAGCCCAAGTGCATCCCACGGGGACTTCCGGTGACGCCACAGGCTGCTCGTGGAATGGACCACCTGTCGGAAGCACAGGTGATGCGGTATGTCGACGCATACTTTGTCAGCGTGCAGCTCATCTTTCCGGTGCTGGACCGAGCCGTCTTTCTAGGGCAGCTGGAGCGCAACGGCCGCAACAACAGCGACAACCGCGACGTACGGCCTTCGTGGCTGGCCCTGCTGAGCGTCGTGCTGGCTTCAGGCTGCCGGGCCACACTGTCGGACGAGACAGCCGAGGCCTTCCAGACATCCGGCCGCGAGGCCTGGCTCTTTTTCCAGGACGCTCTCTTCTACGAGCGCAGCATGGCCCACGGCACGACTGAACTGGCAGCCGTGCAGGCGCTGGCCGTCATGACCGTCTTTGCTCAGGGGCTGTCGAGCCCACAGCGGCTTGAGTACACGCTCTGCTCACAGGCAGTGCGCCAGGCCCAGGCCCTCGGTCTCAACTACCAGCCATCAAGAGCCTGGCAGCTGTCGTCGGCCGAACTCCGAGAGCGCAGCCGCGTCTTCTGGGCCGTCTACTGCCTCGACAAGACCGTTGCCCTGCGCTGTGGCCGTCCGGCCATCCTCCACGATGCCGAGATCAGCTGTCACTTTCCCCGTGGCGTTCCGGTGCTGCAGACGGCTACCCCGAGCTCAGACTCGGACGTCCTTCTGTCCTCTTCTCCCTTTGACTTGTTTCTCTACTTCACTCGCCTCGCTCGCATCTGCGGCGCCATCACCCGTCAGCTCTATTCGGCTACTGCCGTCACCGCTGCCGCCACCCGTCTCTTATTCGACGCACAGCAACTCCTGCACGACCTCGAAGCCTGGCGACTCGCCATCCCGACCACCATCCAACCCGGCCGGCCGCTCGGTCGTATGCGCGAGGCCGAGCAGCTCACCCACCTTCAGGTCGTCATCCTACATTCTTCCTACTACTACGTTCTCTGCGCCATCTACCGCCGCTTCAGCCCCCTATTTACCCACCACGATGAGACCAGCCGGGCCGCCATCTGCTCGCGCATGCCCGCCGCTTACGTACAGGCTGCCCGCTCTATGGTGCTGCTGACTAAGCACCTCGACACAGAGAGCTTTACGCCTGGCTGGTGAGCTCCCTCTCTTTCCGGTTCCGTTCTGTTCTACGTTCTGTAATGTTGACACACCAGGCTCGTCTTTTACTATCCACTGACGGCTCTGACTACCCTCTTTATGCACGTGATGTGTAACCCGTCAGACGGCTCATCCAGCAACGACATTGCCCTTATGGAGGCCGTTGTCGGTCTTTTTGGCCGTCTCGAGTACGTCACGTCAGGCGAGGCCGCCTTTACCAAGGCAACCGAGTTTGTGCGCCAGGCTCGCAGTGTTGTCGACCGCTGGCACAGCGACCTGAACAGTGGCAGTCTCCCCACGACTCACAGCCCGAGTCCGCCTCGGCCTCCCACCTGCTCACTATTTCCAGAAGAAGGCTTTTTGCTCAGTCCTGGCCAGACACACGAGGGTTACAATATTTTGGATCCCGGCTTAGCTGGTTTTCTTGCATCACCCCCCGGCGAGCTGCCCTCAGCCGATTGGCTCACAAACTGGGCCGGCAGCAGCCAGATGTCGGCAGTTGAGATGGCTTACTTTTAAGTGTCATGTTTTGAGCATGTATTTCTTTGAAGGTGGTGGCTAATCTGTCATTCTGATCCCTTTGAAGCAAGACATGCAAATCATGCGCTGTAGTGTGCTGTCACCCACTAATTTACAGGTGCCTCTCCACTTCCCCGCAATACCCCGCTTTTGCTGCAGCCCGGAATGCAAACTAACACGAGCCCGAACCCGAACCCGACAGCCTCACAGTCCTCTGCTCACATGTTGTCCAGGTCGGGCAGACCCCGCGGCCCTATCTCTTGTCGCTTCTTCAGCACCGCTTCCGGCGTGCCCGCCTGTAGCGCAGCAATCAGCGCCTCGGGGTCGACGTCTGTGCCAATCGGGTTCTCGGCAAAGGCCGGGCTCTGCATGAAGACGGTGGCGTCGTGCACCGACTCAAAGTTGTCCACCTGTGTCTCTAGCTTGTTGCCGTCGGGGTCCTTGTAGTACAGGCTCGTCGTCGGCCCGTGGTTGACGCTCCAGACGGGGAGCATGCCGCGAGCCCTGCGCTGTCGGTACGCCAGCAGCAGCGCTGCCAGAGTCGGAAAGCTAAAGGCAATGTGGTCGAGCCCGTTGGTGCCGTTGTTCTTGTGTGCTAGCGAGGGAATGCCGATTAGCGCGATGCGGTGGTGCTCGTCGTCGTATGTGATAAAGGCCAGCATCTTGTTACGGTGGCAGATGGTGCCGCCTAGAAATTGCACATAAAATTCCACCATGGCTTCGAGATTCGCCGTCTGCAGAACCACATGTACCAAAGCCGAGGGTGAGAGTACTTTGGCGCTCTCGGCGTCAAAGTCCGATAAGGACGTCGTTGTGACGGAGGCGGAGGTTGATGGAGGCGCCATGTTAAGAAATGGGGCTGAAAGGTTTACACACAAACGGGCACTAAAACAGCGGAAGAAGACACAGCTAATTATACTCGCCTCTGGGAGACCATGGATGCTTGCACGCTCTGCAAGATGATTGCCCAGTGCGAAGCCGCCCGACCCCGAATGTGGACCCTCCCTCCCTCCCGCCTGCAGGCCTCCTCTTCTTGTACTTCTTCTACAACTTCTATCAGTATGTTTCTTCTTGTTTGATTCTCTAGCAACAAACTCGTACTCACGTCCCTTAACGCCCTTCTGCACTATGTCTTCCACATCCAAAGCAACCAGCAAGACCCAGTGGCTTTCCGACCGCCTCAGCCAGCCCATCAAGGACCTCATCTCCAAGTTCTATGCACTAGCCGACCTAAAAGCCCCAGAGGCCGGTCCACGCATGGCCGTCGAGGTTTTCTCAGCTGACGCCCTCATGATCACGGCCAACGGAACCTTTCATAGCTCCTCTGGTACGCGTTCTCATTCTCCCATATGTTTTATCTCTACCTTCTCTTTGTGCGTTCTCTTGATCTAACACAAGTTTAGAAATATCCCGGAGCAGAGACAATGCCTGGGCTGTGGTGGCCACAAGGCAACACCATGTTCTCCAGGTCTTCGCCGGTGATCAGGACGTCCCCGATATTGCTCTTATCGGCTCTCTTGATACGGGCTTCACAAATGGAAAAACCCTGACCGCTCCCTTTGCTTCCCTTCTTAAGTTGGATTGGCCGACGGGTGCGGAACCTCGTATCAGGCATCTCGAAGTCTTTGCCGTAAGCTAAGTTACCAAGTACCTCGCACGACACACAGCCCACGATACTAAATCCACTTTATATTCAGGACACAGCTCCATTTGCCGCTGCACTAAAAAATGAATCTTAACAGGTGGAATATATTTATAGGTGCTCGTAAAAATTGGCAAATGATGGGAACAGTTTTAAGGCTTATATAAAGTACAATAGGCTAGGTTGGTAAGAATATCAGACGACAGATTATGTATCGGATCGCAGTCCTTCTATCAACAGAAACATTACAGGTCTTCGATAATGATACCTTTGATGACGGGCATAGTAAAGTAAACAGCACTTTGTACTGTTTTGTTTAGTTGTGGCTCATCAGCATCTCGCTACTCGAATGTCCGTAATTTGTCCCTTTGACAGCTGCCTGATGTGCTCAAAAATGTCTTCAATCGGTGTCACAAATGCGTATCGGACCGCACTTGACGGATCCTTTGGTCCACTAAACACGAGGCCAACGAGCTCTCCCCGAGTGTTGTAAGCGACTGACCCAGAGTCCCCTTGTTGGGCCATGTCTTGTTCCGTGCCCGTGACAACGCAACATTCGGTGGACCTTTCGAAATCACCTGCTTCGGTCCACATGCGTACGTCCGACTTGTACACGGAAATGTGACCAGCTGTTTTTCCTGAAATTGCCCCGATCTTGAGTATAAGGTCGTTTTTGAGCCCCAGCTTCTCCAGGGACCGATCTGGTTGGAAATCCAATAGCCGAGTCGTCGAATGCATTGCTAGCTCCTCTGCAACACGGCCGTAGCCGCCCCAGTCCTTCGATGATGGCAAGATGTTAGATCTGAGGCGCGCAGCTTTCGCTCGGAATAGAGCCCAATCCAGACGTGCATTTTTCTGTGAGCGTTCCATAAGGCCAAAACCATACCATGGCATGCCAAGAATATTGTTTCCATTCTCGAAAAACAGAGCCTTGCGTTCTCGCTCGGCGCTCAGCTCGTGGGCAATTCCGAGGCCAGCCTGTTTCTCCCTGTCCGAGATAGCGCGCGAAATATCTGTTAGAGTAAAGTTGTGCTTCATCCTGGACGGGCTTTCCAAATTTGCCATATTTTTGGTTAGGAACAAATCCGTGCAGGTCTGCCCTCTGCGCTTCGCTGCCCTTTATTGGGCCACCAGCCGTGCCGCCAGGCCCAACACGGAATCCATCGATGCATGGCCGGACAACATGGTAGTTCGTGAGCCCGTACGATGTCCAAGTTGGTTCATTCACGGTCTTGATTTCAATGTAGCACCCAAAGGTCCCCAATGCAGAATTGACCTTACTTCCATTCGGTAAGAACAGGTACTTGGCTGGGCTGATATCACTTCCTGGAACGGGTTGGTCGAAGTACTCCGCACCGATCCTTAATACATCCTTGGATGCAGGACGTGTAGGCGGAATGGTAGCCGGAAGGTGCTCGAAGGTATAGGGGACGATGCTTCCGTGCTCTAGATGAAGCACTAGCGAGTAAGGAAGCTGGTTTAGATAGGTCTGAATTGCCTCGATGACAGGTTGCCACACGTGTTTTCTGGCACATCGTAACCGACGGAGACATATACCGTAATGGGGTTTCTGCTTTCAATATCGTGAGGCCCAAATCGAAAGAGTGAGATGGACGTCATTTAGTCCTTGGTACTGTTGAATAGCTGTAGCACAGAAAACACATGGTCCTTGATGCCGGGCCAGTCCCGTATGAGATCCGCATTGTATTCCACAATTCTGGTGTACCTTTTTGTCACAACTGATGCTTATGGCAGGGGTAGCGGTACACTGTATGGGTCTTCACGATGTGGCTGATGATCTGCGTGTTGTAACTAGCTAGGAGAGAGTACATGGCGCGCCTTTACTGGTGCAGAGATTTCACTGGGGCTAGTCCCCATTTTTATCTGTCTGCCCAATGAGAGGCCGCGTTGCTGGCATTAGTCAGAACGATCACAGTGCGCTCCATTCTAGAGCTTCACACTTTTCAATCGGACCTCAGGCGCCATGATTTCGACTCCAATTTCAAAACAATCAAGCCCGGCATCATCCAGCTTTTGGTCGATAAAACTTTTGATGTCCCTGATGGCCGCCTCCCAGGCTTGTAGAGAATCTGCCTCCCAGTTGACGATGATGGAAAGCACAATTTCGCTGTCCTCTGTCTCCGGCAGAGATCGCTGGCAGAGGGTGGGCTGATTTTCGCAGTCCGCATAGAATCCCGGATCAATCCCTACATTAATTTCTTCATATTCTTCCTCCGGTTGGAAGAGGGTGATCTGGTGGTGATGCAAGGTGGCCTCTGCCTGCCGCGCAAAGATGTCTCCAAACCGGGCTTCAAGCTCTTGGATCTTCGGCACGCCGTAGCATTCGTATTTATACGGAAGCGGGGGAAGAGGTGGCGCGCCAACTCGGTATTTTACGGCCGAGATTCCAAACTTGCCACGGCTGCTCTCACCGGAGGAAGAATGCTCGCCATGCCGAGAGCGTGCAGAGCCACCGGATGGCTGTGGCAGCATTTCCATTTTGTGGACCTACTGTTGTAGAATGAATGTAATCCTCTAGGCTAGAGGACTTGAAACGTAAGGACGATGATAGTCAGAATGCTATTGGAAGAAAAAGGTCGTAAATTACGCTGTTCTATACACTTTAGATTGCGGTGTCCAAATCAGATTAGTAACGTTTTCGGATGAAGCTTTATCCTATAATAAAATTGTTACATTATAGGATCAATCTTTCATACGAAAGTAAGGCCTCTGTAAGTTAAAGAGTCATAAGTGTCCTCCTCGGACTAAAAAATTGTCTTACAGAAAAAGAAAACTAAAAATTGTACAACCGCTTACTCATACTTTCAAATTACTCGTATATTCTAGAGTTTTAGCGTAAGGGTTGTAGCAACGCTTGTATTATCCTAAAACGACAGCCCACCCTAAGCGCTACAACAAGACAGATATGGTGGAAGCTATGACAAAGATGGAGGAGCGCCTGATGGCTAAGATAGGCGAGATGATGAAGGAGAGAAACACTGTCGAGGAATGAGGAGCTGCCGACATGGGAATAGTATAGAGGGGGCACGAGGATGACATGAAGGGACACCCAGAGGTGTAACCCTCTGGATGTGGGTTGGTGCTGGTTTGTGAGGGCTCGGCGGTGCTCGCCCTTCTTTGGGGAAGCCAGGTGTTAGGCGCACAAAAAGGAAGGTGCGAGGGAGAGGGAAGGCCCTCTCTCTGGAAAATAACTTAGAGGAATACATCCCCCTTTTCATAGAGCCGTCGAGGCTGTCCTTTTTTCTAGAGTTTTCGTGGTGGTTGTTCAAGGGCATCCTTTTAGTTAGCCATTAGGGCCGTATGGCCCACAAGCTGTCTACGAGTAGATGGGTATAATGAAACAGCTTCTTTTTCATCATAATACCCGGCAATAACAGCTGCTTTGCAGCCACCTAGATATACCTGAGGAGCGGGTACAGTCGTCCCCTGCCTTCCCTTAGGGGTGCGTTCTTGGGGTATAATCCCTTAAATGGCGACGTAAGATGGGTAATTAAATAAATATTATCCTAAAAGAGGGTAAGACCCTACAGTTGCTTGATCTCGTCTTATTCACAGTATGGATATTATTCGCAACTCTCTGTCGTAGTAGAGAAATAGAACACCAAGCTTTATACGGAGTACATTTTGTACCGCCAGGAAACATTCATACTGTAGCCATCATAGTAGAGTGTATATAGTCCGCCTATGAACTGGTACTAAACTAGGGTAACGCCTTGTGCCGTATACTCGTAAAAGAGAAATGCATGTACTGTGCAGCATAAGGATCTTTGTAGTATGGAATTTCATGCACGTTGGCATAGCTGGGAAGCACTCCGTACCTAACCACAACAATATATATCTGTTTGCTGTTGCGCAGTGGTGCACAGACAACCTCCAATGCAGACTTTTCGGACAGCCTTCCTCTCTAGCTTCATATAGCTGTCTTCCTTATGAGTACAAAGATCTTCGCCTTACATCTACTCTTCACTGGGCACCTTGATAGTATCGCGCTATGTACCCGTAGCGTCTTTTTTAAAAATACCTAAAAACCCAACTTGAAGAAAGCAGCCCTCCGCCTTACAGTAGATGGCCTTCAGTGCGATCACTGCGAATTATGTACGCCATAGACTTCCGAACGGCAATGCTAACGCTTATCAACTGTTGGCGGGACCGAAATAGGTTTAATTTCCACAGTACTCGTCCGTGAACTCAACATCGCTATGTTGAAGCCAACATTATTATTTCGTCACAGAACCCGCCCTCCCATTCCTATGTCATTCGGAAATTGTTTAATACATCCGCGAGCCACAAGCTCGGTTATTGTAGTTATAGTCATAGGCTGAAAGGATACCAGCAAGCTGAATGCCCGTTGCGAGAACCACGAGTAGATGGAACAGTTGATGCGAAGCTCCGTATATATCGAACTTTCCCGGGCTCAAGTATTCTGGGAACCTCGTCTTTCATGTGGGAATTAGCGGACGTCTACAGTTGTGCTTTCAAATTGCAAACTCACGGCGTACACCAGAGCACCCAGTCCTTAAACTGCACCCTCGGCGAGGTAGTAAAGAATCCCAGACTGTTTAGTCATTTGGGAGAAACCAAATAGGAATGTTCCGTGGATAAGAGGCGCAAATCCAGATAAGCCAGTCCCTACAAAGCACAAGACTCGGAATCGACGCCATGCGTGACCTTGAAATATTGTATTTGCAAGGATACTTATATCAAGAACGCCAAGTATAATAATCTAGCCGTACGTTAGCCCGTCCTGGTTTTCTTTATACTTATAGTTATAACGTACCATGCTCCAATATATCATACTTTGAATAGGCTCGCACCAAAACACCATATATATCCCAGAAACAAAATCGCCAGTTGTTAGGGCGATGATCCCGACAAAATCGATTCGCAGCCAAAGTCTATCAACATCTTCAGAGTGGTTTGTGAATGTATGGTAGCATGCTGACACTGATAGACATAGGACCGCGGTAAAGATGAAGCAGGTAAAAATCAGGTCGTCTTCGAAGGTAGCGTTGGGGTACGTTGCATGGATGTATCTCAACAGAGATCCTTCACCGACGGCAAAAGCCACAGCAGGCTCAAGTGACTGTAGATATTCACGGACTCGTTGTGGATGTACAGCAAGCTGCCAAACGAAGTCGCGACCGAGCCCGAGACGGGGCGGTAGCCTTGTCGAATATATTTATTATCTCGGCACCATTCTGGAAGGTCGTCGAAGGATAGAAGATGGGAGTATTGGCTTTCAAGCTTCATTTTGGGTGGTGACTCTGCTGTTGCGTCGTTGGGCGAATGCGATAGACGACGACGGGAAACGATAAAGACCGGCGCGAAGTCTTGGCGCCAACCGTGTCCAATATGCTCACCTCTTGGCTGTCATACGTCCTCTGCGGCTGAATTCTTCGGCTTGGCCGCGTGAGGCAGGGCTCTCAAGATCGCAAACTTCTGCTATTAGTGCCATATACATGCCGTCCCATCTATCTAGTTTAGTCAATTTTCACGAAAATCAACGTACAGTGTAGCACGGACAGGTCACCGAGCTACGAGACGTTATGATTTACCACATCTCACATACACAAAGTACAGCCAATAACACGAAAACTCTCACCCAATCTTTCTAGATTGTCACACCGGTCAGTACGGTGTACGGAAGACTTTCTGCAAGTTCAGAGTTCGGTAACGAGAAAAGAATCAATAATAGCACATGGAAGCCTTGAGGGCTGCCATCTTTTCTGGCGCATTCTTCTCCTCGTTTTTATTGGTAACAATCAGAAGACGCCAAGGCTGGTGGCTGTCCATAAATGTAGCGATCGCTGTAATAATCAAGCAATTACCTTCGCAAGGCGGTTGCATATACGCCGATCATGGGGTCTTATAGAACAACTACGTTCAGGGGAAAATGAGGAAAGATGGCGTCCTGGTACAGCTTGTCTTTCCCCGGGCACCATCAGACTCACGTCCAGAGTCAGGAGGGAAGAAAATAAGACTTTTGGCTTGGGGCTTGCTGTTCATGTTATTATGAGCTCGATTTCCGTCCCCTCCCAAAAACAATTGGCCTACTTGTCCCCTCCTATTTTAGTCCCGTATTAAGAAACAAAAGACCCAATCGCATGTGCATACTGGAGTATTGTTACTGTCAACTCAAGTACAGCTTTAAAAATGAGCAACATTGAAGGAAATATCACCGAGTCCAATGGCTCATCCACTTATCTCATTTACGGCTGGGTTCCTCAGCCTAATAGTCGCGGTACCTTCGACATTTTATCATATTGCCTCATAACCATTTTTATTAGCACCTTCACTATCCTTTGTTTGAATGTTCCTAGTCCGGGCGAGACGACATGGCAAATCCTTAGAAGGCGCCTATTTTGGATGGCTCTTGCAATATCGGGCCCGGAATTTGTGCTGACATATGCCAGCGCACAGTGGGGTAAAGCCAGAGCATCAGTCACTGACTTCAGAGCCTTGGGCCGTCAGGAGTGGACCATTCGGCACGCCTTCTTTGCAGACATGGGTGGATTTGTGCTGTGTGCACCTGATAGCGAACCATTTCCTGTTACTGCTAAACACATACACTGGCTGGTAACGCACGACTACCTCGACATGCCCGAAACATCCGTTAGAGAGATTAACGACAAATCAAAGCAGGACACGATAGCAAAACTCGTCACCTTCTTCCAAAACAGCTACCTAATGCTTCAGTGTATCGGGAGGTATGCGCAAAAGTTAGTGATTACGACTCTAGAGCTCTCTGCTCTAACAATTGTAATATGCTCCCTAATGACGAGCTGGTGTTGGTGGCACAAGCCTACAGATGTCCAGACTCCAATCAAGATTCGTTTAAAAGAAGGAATAACCATCGAAAAACTCAGGAGTGAGTCTGGAAAGCGAGATATTTCGGCCTGGGAACATACTCCTTTAGACTTTATCGACGACCTGAGACCCAGCTGGGCTCTGAAAATTCGAAAATTTATGAAGGTGCCCGTGTCTCCGCATGAGAGACCCATTACCAGGCTTCACAACGACAGACTCCCGGACAGGCATACGCTAAACGGGCTTCAAAAGACTGTTCTTTGTTTTGGCAGTCTTTTGTATGCAGTGATACACCTCTTGGGCTGGAACTTCAGATTTCCAACCCATATAGAGCGCGTACTTTGGAGAGCTTCGGGTATGCTGCTGTTCGGATGCACAGTTGCATTTTGGGTTTTCGAGACTGCTTCATCCTGGTGGCGCAGGGGCTTCTGGCAATCATGGTTCTACAAAGCCTCCTGCAACTCAAGGGGGGCTACTCTCGAAGATGAGTCTCAGAGGGTGAGGGACCCGGTCGAATCTAGAGAACTGCCTTTGAGCTTCGAGTTTTGGAGCATCTTTCCTTTAGCCTGGGCATATGCGGCTGCGAGATTTTATTTGATTGCAGAGGTTTTTGTTGGCCTAAGGGCCATGGATCCAACAGCTTTTAGCAACGTGGACTGGGCAATCTATGTACCACATTTCAAAGCTGGCATTGTATACAAGTCAGCACATGTATTATCTCTATGATTTGGAATTCGAAAAGGCGTGAAACTCTGCATCTTTATTTTCACTCATGCTCGTCCACCTAGACGAGGTCCACTTCTAGAGCTTTCCACAGAATATTAAAATAATTGTCGCATCGCTGGTACGCTTTTCCGGTGTTCCTATCTCTTCGTTGTCCCCTCTAAGAACTGATTTGGTGAGGGCGAGCGGTTTTCTGTTGCACGTGACCATGTAGGTCAATGTATCCTTCGTTAATATTGCACAAATTTACTTGCGATCACATAACTAGATTTTAATAGTCGTCTTTTGTTTATTTCACATAACCCGCGTACGCGCCCATTGTTTTTCTCCATACACTCTAGACTGCTCTTTCGTCTACCAATTGTTTGTTGATATAGTTTGAAAAATTATGTTTTACTTCTGCTTTACAGAGCACTAGAAATCGAATGTAAGTAAACTTGTCGAATTTTGGGTGCCCAGTGAGCATGAATGTATTGTGTTTATGGTTAGGTACTTCCGAGGTATGCCGACGTGCGTCAAAACACGTACTAAATAGCCCCCTGCGCCACACAGTATATGTATTCTTTCATCACACTGCATAATCGTGCACGCCCCTCCCATTCTGGTCTGGTTCATTCGACAAAACTAGTTCCTTGTGTTATATAGGGGCTAGTATGGAGACACTGGCACATAGACTAGCATAGAGACTGGCGTTATAACTGGCAAAGAGACTGACACAGAAACTGTAGAAACTAGCGCAGACACTATAGAGGGACTTCGTAAATTACAAGATCTAAATGCTTAATAAGGCATTTTTGGTCAGGTGATCGCAAATTAGTTGTGCATAAATAAGAGACGTTAGTCACTGTACAGACTTTTCACTACCCCACTGTGCCCTTTTCACTTGCTCTATTACAGAGTACGCTTGCGTAAATTGTATTTAACAGGGATATTCACTCAAGCGCTTCTATAGTGATAAACATTACAGAGTACTCCGTAAAAGAGAACAAAAAGCATAGCCTGTTTTTAGCAAAATACACAACAACTAATAGAAACATAGAAGACCCTGCAATCTTTCAAGCACTGCCATCTGATAACCCTTTTTTGTGTCTATGAACAATCAGATTAAATATAACAGTACTTCGATATTCATATTCGGCCATCCAAAATGCCACTACGTCGATTTGTCGCCTCAACAAGTGAATACGAACCTCCTCTCAAAGAAAAATATGAACGGGACCTGGTTGTACGACTGCATCTCTTAAAATTGCTAGACAACTCTTCGCCAGCATTTCTCAGCAACTTTGAAAAGCAATCAATTAGCCAGAAAAGCCTGGCAAGTATGCTCAGTTCGAGATCCGTTATCTTAACATCATCTTCGTTTACCAAACAGCAAACGAGAGCCCACGAGGAATCAAGCCATACCCAGACATTTCGTAAGATCGGGGCCGGGGCGTGTGGTGCTATTTTCGCTGATGATGGGAAATCTCTCGCATATAAAATCAGCAAGACTGGGACAAAAAATGATGATGGTGCCCTGTGGACTGATTTCAATATGCACCAGCGTATTTTGAGCGCCCTGCGGAAGTATAAAGCCGAAGTCAAGATCCCAACCTGCCATTTTTTTGTCCGCCACGACGATATGGAATGGTGGAACAAGCACCAGAGTCTATCCACTGCATCACTAGACACCTGCCACACTCCCGCCCGTGTCCTTATTACAGTGAGGGTTTTTGCCTCTTCCGGCACCCACCCGGCACGAGCTGATTCAATATTTTTGCAAGCCAAATCTGCGTGACCAGGCAGAAGCAGACCCTGCCAACCGGGATTGCTTAGTCAGATTGTACTTGGGGTCGACAAGAGGAAGGACCACGTCATTTTTCTCACTACGGAACTTCAAATTGCATCTCAATCAAATAATCGACATCGGCCTGGACTATGAGGCTCTTGCGGTCTCGATGAAGAAGCCTTGGCCCTTATTCACTGGAGGGCCAGGGCCGATGCCCGCGATATTGAGTTTGCCCTGGGCAACTCGTCCATTAAGACAGACGCGGACGCGAACTCTGGGCAGTCTGGTCACTCAGAGTCCGAAAGTAGTGACAAGGCCATCGGACTGGACGCAGTAAACTTTTCCCATCGCCAGACACGTCTTTTTGTGATAGATTTCAATCAGGTATGGGACATGACAATGGACGACGCTGGGGTCGAGCTCGCAGTTGAGGCGTTTTTCTTGAATGACCCCTACAATCCCCGTCCCCGCGAAGACTCGAGATTGCAACAAGAGCTTTGGAATACGTTTGTACGAAGCTATTTGTACACGGCAGAGGTGGTTCTTGGCACTGAATCGGAATACCGTGAACTTCCCCGCAAGTTCATTGCGGGCGTCATCAATCGTGTCGTTCAGAAACTCACCAGATAGATGGAAGGTAGACGCACAGGCGATGCGGCACTATGTATTATTAGCTACTAGAGTTTAAGAGTTCATTGCCTCTTCTCATGAAAAATAGTCTTCGGAGAAAACAGCTCTAGTTTTGAATTCAACTGGCCTAAAACGCCCCTAATAGCTAGAAAATAAAAAGAGATTATCTTCAAAACATTGAGTAACTCGTATCATATTGCTTACTAAATCAATACTAAACCGTGATATTTCTGAGCATATTCTGCACCTAAGCAAGGAGATTGGGAGAATTACAATGAAATCAATGCGTATGCAATACAAGGAAATAACTGTCAAAGCACGAATCACCCCGAAGAAAGCGAAGCCTTAGATATCAGCCCCACTTATAACCTTCCACATACTAAATATGCGAAGCAAGGAAATTGTACGCTCGCAAAACAGCTTTCCATCCATCTGACTTTGGATCGCTGCTTAGATCGCAGATGTGCGGCGCACCGTCGACCAGGACCATCTCGGACTCGAGGCCCAGCTCAGACATCGTGCGATGGGTGCCTGCGGCTTGCTCCCACGGAATCAGGTCATCCGCGGTGCCGTGGACAAAGAAGGTCGGCACCTTGAAGCTGCCATTGCGGATGTGTGCTCTCGGGCTTGCCGCTCGGATCACGTCGAGGGGCGGCTGCGGCAGCTTACCCCAGTCTTGCTCCTCTGCAAAGGCAGCCAGTGCTCGTTTCTTGCTAGGCAACCCGTTCAGAATCACGGGAAGCGTCTGCGCCTTCCAGTTGATGTGCATGACGATGCGGCAGCGGGCATCGAGCAAGTTGCGCGGGTATGTGAGGAGCTCCTCCCATGCAACCACCGTGTCGTATTGAGAAATGGGCTTGTCCCGGACGCCTTCGAGGACATCGTACTGCTGCCCCTGGTACGGCGCCCCATTGGGCTCGATCGGGCTCTGCCACCAGGCATCCTCGTAATCGGTTGGCGCGTAGAAGACGATCATGGCCACTGGAGGTGGCAGGCCGCGCTGTGGTGCCGTCCAGCCAAGTGACATGGCCAGCTGTCCACCCGAGGACCATCCGACGACGAACACTTTCTCGCCGTCTACCTGGAGGCCGGGGTTTGGAAGTCGGATCTTGGAGAGCGTGTTGCGCGCCCAGTCGTAGGCGTCGCATACGTCGACCATGGGCCCATCTTGGAGACCGACCTCGGGACAGAGCCGGTGGTCTATGCTGACGGGCAAGAATCCACGATTAAGCAAGAGGCGAGTCTGGGCGGGTCGTACGTCTTTTCTGCTGAAGAGCATGTGGCTTCCGCCGTGGATCATCAAAGCTGTTCGCACCGTCAGTATGAGACGTCCGGATGGAGGGTGTTCAACTTAGTACACACCGACAGGCAGTTTTCTTCCCCATAGCACCTGCTCGCCCTCAAGGGGGTAGTAGATATCGGCATGGATGTCCATGTCTCCGATTGTCTTGTACACAACCGTCTCTATGGCCGCCTTGACCTGCCGTTCGGGCACGACTGCAAGCTCATCACCATCCGTGCCCGGAAAAGCCGCAATGACTCTGACGGTCGCGGCTTCCGGGCAGGTGCCATCGCTCTAGGAGACATGGCCGAAGCCTGCTTCCTTCATTCTCTTCTCCCAGTGTCTCTCGTCGATGAGGGCGTGCTGTCTCCCGTCTTCGAACAACCACCAACCGTCGAAGAGGCCTACGACAACGTCGAGCCAGTACATATTCTGCGTGATCTCGACAAGCGCAAGGGCCCCGTCGTCGCGAAGCATTTGCCTCGCGTGTCGAAGCGATACGCCCAGGTCGCGCGTGGCATGGATGCAGTTGGTTGCTATGACCCCGTCGAACCGGCCCTTGTACTCGATATTGGGCTCTTTTTCAATGTCCAGCACGTCGAATGCCAGATCGCCACCTGCCTCGTGGCCCTTGAAGCTCTTGGAGGCCGCATTGACCAGCGAAGCGCCCAGGTCGGTAAAGACGTACTCAAAGTCGATGTGAAGATTTCGCAGGTGTTGGAGAAGATACCGCGCCGTGCCTCCGGTGCCCGCGCCGATCTCCAGAATGCGAAATTTTCTGTGCCCGGCAACGTTTCTGCTGGCCTTTTCCAGGAAATCGCCCAGAACAAGAGTGGGCGTTCGGAGCAGCGGCCAGAACTCGTACATCTCTTCAAGCGTCTTCTTTGTGTCTCGGTTGCCAAAGACGACCTGAATTCCCTCCTTGTTGCCACTGAGACATGCTGCCAATTCCGAGCCGACAGCTCGGACAAGCTTTAGGACGCTCGCATGCTGGGGATGATGAAATATGCTGTCCTGGTAGATTTGCTCTGCGGGAGTGGGATCGATGTCACGTGCGGTCCGGGCAAAAGAGCCGTTTGTGTGTGCGATGATGAGGCCGCCATCTTCAAGGGCACGGTGGAACTGAAGTGTGAGCTGGGCATGCTTGCTGAGGCTTTTCACGGGCAGCACCTCGTCGCCAGCCGCGAGTGTTCTAAGGTCGCAGCCTAGGGCCGCAAAGGCCTCGATAATGTAGGCCTGGACCAGGCGCGCCTGGGAAGGGTAGGCATACTGCCAAAAGCCCACAGCTCCGGTGGTCTTGGCGTGTTGGTCGTAGTTGAGCCGCGTCTCGTCGAATGCGTCGCGGGCAGACAGGATCGGCGACTTCGGCTGCGACGACTCATCTTTGGAAGGTGTCTCGGGTCCCGCATCGGAATTTCTCGAAACTCCCGAAACCCCCGAAATCCCCGAGTCCGCGTCACTATCCTCGCATGTTCCCAGCTTCTCGTTCACAAGCAACGTCAAGGCTGCTATATTGGGGGTGAACAAGAAGATTGACAGGTCAATCGTCAGGCCCAAAGCGGCACGGATGTCGTTGAGAACCTCCGTAGCCATCAGGGAGTCAATGCCGAGATCGTCCAGTGTGGACTCATCCCCAATGTCTTCGACCGGGACGTCTGTCACATTCGACAGGACCTTAAGGAGCTCCCGCTTTTTTCCTGCAGGCTGGTTCGCTCGAGAAGCCAATGCTGCCGAACGTGTGTGTTTCACAGGGACGAGGTTGTCGACCTGCGCCGTTGATTCGGTTGCATTGGCAGACTTGTTCACGTTTTTCAAGATCCGGCCGAGAAGCGTCCTGGATATCCGGGAGAAGCGGAAGCCAAACGCGGCCATGACCATTTTCTTGGTTCGGGCGTCAAAGATGTACGCATCTGACCAGGCGTCGGTTTCGCCCCCTTCGCCCATGGTGGCGTACACGAGCCACTCGCCGGCGTCAGGATCGAAGTTGCCGCCCAGTTCGATGTGCTCAATCTTTCCGCAGACGAACACGTCCTCACTGCTCGGGTTGTTGAAGTAGTTCACCAAGAAGCCGGCAAACTGCATGAAGCTGTCTATCATAGGCGTGTCGACGAGGCGTTGGTCCGCCGGATCGTCGGGACTGGGCATCGCCCTCACCTTGCCGGCCGCCTCGAATCCGACACTCGCCACTTCCTTGATCCCGTGAAACGGCTTGTCGTAGAACACGACCGTGTTGAAGGCACGGTAGATGTGTCGGCCCTGCATCTTGTCGGCTTCGGGATGGTGCACCACCTGTTCGTATCTGCGATGGCCCGTCAGGCTCTCATACCGCTCAAAGTCACGGGCCTGTTGCTTGTCGTTGCGGAGCCGAAGACAGACACGGCCCGTCGATACCTCAAACGGCTCAGCGTTGGGCGCTTCGCACGGCTGTGTTTTGAAACTGAAGGACCACGCAAGACGTTCGCTATCGTGGAGCCTCTTCAACACAAGGAACACCTTGGTGTTAACATCTTGACCGATGGGCGTCTGCATGTGCAGATCGTCAACGACCAGCACATGAAACTCCGCTTTGGAATCACCCTGGAGGAACAAGGCGGCGTGAGCAACAACCTCAAAGTACAGAGAGGCCGGGGCAAGCGTCTGGCCACCCATGACGTGTCCTCCCAGAAGCTTCTAGAATCTCTCAGCATGAGGGTCTATCTGGAACACAGCTTCGGTTTTGGCGCCATCTTGGAACCGGAGGAAGGAGAGGAGCTCGTGGACCGCTTCCTTCACTTGAAGAGCTGCTTCTCCGTCTGCCTTCTCGGTAGCCCTTCTCTGAAAGCCAAGCCAATAACGAGTCTTGTCGAACTGGATAGAAGGAAGATCGAGGTCGCCGTACATACACTTCTCGCTCCGATGGAACGGCCAGTACTGTGTCGAGTACCCTCTGTTCCAAAGGTCAACGGTGATGTCCACAAGTGCATGTTCCGCAGCGGTGGACGTGAGCGGAGGAGAGTGGAAGACATGGCCTTGTGTGTTGGTTATGGACGCTTTGACGAGCTGGAGGACGGAGTCACCACGGCCCGCCTCAATCCATGTGCAGCGATGAAACTTTTCCGTGAGCCTCTGGACGGCGTTTTGGAAGAAAACCGGGAGCCTTGTGTGTCCGGCAACGATGCTGAAGTCAGGCTCGGCAATGCTCTCCAGCTCGTCTGTCGTCTCCAGATGGATCGCCGGGCGCTTCCATTCCAGTTCTCCTGCGAGCGCGGCGAGGTGTGACAATAGCGGATGCGTGAACTGGGAGTGGAACCCATGTGTGACGCTCAATTATTTTGGTGCGAACGGAAGCACAAAGACGGGGCGAGTCCGAAATGTCCTTCTGGAGAGCGTCGATGGCCCCCACGACAACATGACTCTTGGGTCCATTGTAGCATGCAATCTCAGCATAAAGCGTATCGTCCAACTTAGCCAGCAGCTCCTGCACCGTTTTCCGGTCAGTCTGCAAAGCCAGCATAGACCCGGGCTCAAGGCCCCAGTGCTCCTGCATCAGTAATGCCCTCCCGGATACCAGTTTGACGGCATCTGACAGTGACAGAACACCGGAGATGCACAGTGCCGTCAGTTGGCCAAAGCTGTGCCCGATAACGGCATCCACACGTAGTCCGCAGTCCATCCAAGACTTGGCCGATGCGTACTGGACCGCGAACAGGGCAGTGTGAAGGCTGACTAAGCGGCTTGGCGGCTCACGTTGGAAGACGGCGGGGAGGATGCTATCCTGACCGCTGGTGACGACAAGGGCATCAACAGCATCCACGTTCTGGCGGAAAACTTTGCAGGACCGGTACAGGTTTTCTGATATGCCAACAAAATCGCTCTCCTGGCCCCCAAAGACAAGCACCACGGGCTGTGCTTCCGGGGTGGCCGTCAGAGAACCCGTCACAGCCGTTGAAAGCTTGGCTTCGAGATCGCCAATACTGCTGACAGTCGTGGCCAGCATATGGGGGAGTGCATGGTTTCCTCTGTCAGACAGATGAAACGTCACCGATGCAAGAAGATCAGGGTGAGCTTCCGATTTGGCTTTTCCAAGCTAATCCAGAAATTTCTTGCAGTATGCGGCAAGGCCATTGGGTGACCCGGCAGAGATGAACAGCGGGTACCTAGACAACTGGGGGGAGTTTTCCGTGCTCGTCGCTGATGGGCCTTCCCGGATCAAGACAGCCGAGTTGCTCCCGGCTGCACCGTAGCTGTTGACAAGGGCAAGAAACGTCGAGGCTTGCCAAGGAATAGTCTGGCGTGGGATGGCCATTGTCGTTGGGTCAAAGGCCGTAATCTTGGGGTTCAGAGACTTGCGGCTGGCCTGGGAGGGTATTGTGCGGTGCCTCATCATCAAGAGAACTTTAATAAGACCAGCCACTCCGGCTGTGGCTTGGGTATGGCCGATGTTGCCTTTGATGGAGCCAAAGTGGAGCACCGACTGCCGGTCAACTCCAAAGGCTTCTCGGATACTGGCGACCTCGATCGGGTCTCCGACTCCGGCTGCAACGGTCAGTAAGGCTGAACATCTCAATCAGTAGGGCGGCATATCATACTCCCTGTTCCGTGCGCCTCGACATAAGACACATCTTCCGGCCTGACGCGGCCAAGACTCAGCACCTTTTTGTACAGATTCGCCTGCGATGTCGAGTGCGGTGCCGTGATGGGGCCGACATTGTGATTCTGGTTGGCCGCCGACCCGACAATGACACCCAGGATTTTGTCTCCGTTCTCGACCGCATCAGCAAGGGGTTTTAGCACCACGACCGCGACGCCTTCCCCCCGACAGTAGCTGTCGGCATCTGCGTCAAACGGCTTGCACTGCCCCGATGGGCTAAGAAAGCCGGCAGCAGAGAGGTTCTGGTAGTCAAACGGACTTGAAATAACATTTGTCCCGCCAGCGACAGCACGGGAGCATTCCCCAGACCAGATGGCTCGGCAGGCCGTGTGGATGGCGACGAGAGAAGACGAGCAGGCCGTGTCGATAGTCAGGGCCGGCCCCGTCCAGCCAAAGTAATGGCTCATGCAGCCGCTGAGGTAGCAGCGCGAGGTGCCGACAGTGGCATAAGCGGTGCCGGCGTGGCACGAGAGATTGTCGTAGTAGTTGTTCATCACAGCGCCAATGTAGCGGCCGTAGTCGACAGGCTCTGGGGATGCTGAGGCCCCGAAGTAGCCCGACGATTCCAGGGCCTCATAGATGACCTCGAGCAAGAGCCGTTGCTGCGGATCCCAGGCCACAGCCTCGCGAGACGACTTCTTGAAGAACTTGTGATCAAACGTCTCCGGGTTGTCCAGAAAGTTGCCCCACCACTTTGTGTTGGCGTGATCGCCGGTCTGCGGCAGCCCGAGGCGCTCGACCGGTGCCGGCTGGACCATCGTCTTGCCCTGCATGAGCAGGTCCCAGAGCTCGTCGACCGAATCTGCCCCTGGAAAGCGACCGGCCATGCCGACAATAGCGATGGAGTGGGGGGGATAGCTGGACTGTGGGTCATACGGCTCCGTGCCCTGAAATCCGTTAAGCTTCGGCTTCTGCGTGTCCAGTTTTGCCAGAGACAGCACTTGGAGATGTGTATCCCGCGTCAGCGAAGCAGGAATCCCGCTTCCGAACCCGGCTACAGCCACCGTTCGTTCGGACTTTGGAAGCTGCTGGATGGCGAGCTTCATGGTCGCATACCAATCGGCGACATTCACCATTGCGCTCTCCAGGGAGATTCGAGTCAGGGGAGATCCGTCTGGGAGGATCCCTCCATCGGCCGTGTTCCGGATCGGATCCTGCAGTCGTGATGGCTCCGGGAATGACAATCCGTCTGAGAGCTGGGAGAAGGCCAGTATCTTATCCACAGCCGACGAATGATCAACCGTATGGAAACGGCCATGGACATGAACGTCTTTGATTCGCAGGTTCTTTCGCGTGGCTTCCTCCTCCAAAACGCCAAGACTAGATGCCCGAATCGTAACCGTCAGGTTAGAATAGTCGTTGAGACTGGAGATGTAGGCCTAATACAGCATCAACATAGTATTAGTATGTACTCCGTATTCTGGTCTGAAATACTGTGGTGAATGGACGTACACCAGGGATCGACTGTACGATGCCGGCTACTTTCTCCTTGTCCTCGTCATTCTCGTCCTGCCATCGAACAGCAACAGACATATAGTCGTCTGCATTTCTCGCCCCATCTGCGTCAACGTAGGCGCCGATGCACACGGCCAGTCGAAGAGCAACGGCAGCCAACGTGCCAAGGTTACTCTCGTCGTCTGAACTGGCCACAGCCACTGTGCTCAGAAAGCCGACGCAAAATCCCTGCACACCGCCGCTCTGGACACTATCAAGAACACGACGGTGCGCGTCCTTGCCGATAATCTCGAGATAGCGACAGTACTGAGTAATTTGGACAAGGACGGTGACAGCAAGGCCGTAATGACTCACCGTGTTGCTGTCACGATTAGGGAAGGGGCCCCCATTTTCCACCCATGTCTCGTGAGATATCTGTCTCCTGGGACGTCCTTCAGACTGGGATCAAATCCAACCAGACCCTGCCAAAACTCTGGCAACTGGCCAACTGCAGCCCTTAGGGCGGACAGACGAGGATTCTCGACGAGCTCCTGACGGCAGTCCTGGAGGGATTTCTCTAGGGGAAGCTCGGTCTGGGGACCGAAGACCAAGATGGAGGGAAGGTGGGCTTTGGTTATAGATACCATGATGAAGGCGAACTAGCAGTCACTATGAAAAGTAGATGTTGAATGAACTAGAGAACTTGCGGATAGACAAGAATGCAGTATTGGTCTAATTACACAGATCAGAAGATGGTATTTCTCAAGCTCTTTATACCCATAACATTACGGCTGGGACATTTTTTGTCCTCTTTACTTCTATCAGAAAAGTTTCTAAACTCTTCGGAGCCCCGTTTGGGTAACCCGGTGGAATATCTCGATGCAGAGTTAATATCAGACCGGTGAGTGATATTAGGCATATTGAATGTCCATACTTGCAAGTACAATATCACCTCACTACATGCTACTATGGTTGAAAATGGGCGCTCAGTAAGCATTTGTATATTACTGTGTGTTGTTACTTCAAACTGTGCCGACGTGCATGACATCCCCTACTAGATAGGTGAGGCTGGGCACCATATGCCGTAGAGTATATGTATGTATCTTTTCATCCCGCGCCACAACACCCTTGTTGGCCTAGTCCGTTCAACAACTATGACAACCCCTCTTCCTAACCCAACATCCGCGGCATCTTATCTTTGCCCGTAATAAACAGCATTAAGAAACGAAATTGCATCTTACCCTCCTATCTATCAGTTTTTGTTGGGGGTCTGTTATCTAGATTAGGCTAAATACGCTGAAAGCGATGTCTGTAGGGTAAGTAGGTGTGTACGGAGTACGGAGTACGTAAACCATATACACTATAGTATAGCTCCAAACCCCACCTATTGAGCAGAGGATTTTATGCACGTCATCATAGCCTAAAACAGCTTATACCAATATGACAAGCTCGGGACTAGAACGCATTACTAAATACGGCTCTAACTAAGGCAAGCTATACGTGCTCTAATTAGTTGAGATACACTACAGTAGGGACTAGCCCCAACGAGATGGCTACGTCCCAGAATGTGCACCATGTACTCTGTAGCTACGGAGTGTTTCCCTTACGTCGTACACAAAGACAGAACAATACGCATATGTGTATAATAATACACCGGTGATATATCTGCGCTAGTAAGACAGACTGATAAGACTATGGGCAGAGAGAAGTTTCGGCGATGTACTCCGCGGCCGTCTTACTTCCAAGGTGTTGGCGCAGGATGCCTGACAGATAGCACGTCGATCTTGTCTATGTCTATCGGACCTTCTCCCTCCCCCCCCCCACCCACCCTCTCTTCTCACCCACTGCTCCTTCATGTTCGGTCCTTCAGTCCTATTGGCCTCGTGTCTGAGTCGCTGTGAAGAGGTAACAGCAGCACGGCATGTATCCGATCGAACTCAGTATACGGAGTAGAACCGTACATAGTACTTCCGTTCGAGATTGTGCCACAGGCAAGGCCTTGTTATGATTTGAATCCTGCGTGTAAGCACCGGACGTTGTTCGTAGCCTGTCATCAGATTCTTGGTGCACCACCTTTAGAAGAGTAAGGCCTATTCCCTCTTTATACCCATGCCGACAAGTAAACGTTGTGACTACGAAGCTTTGATCTTGCCGTACAAATCTATCATTTTATTATCCGATTTACAAAGTATGTTTTCGCATTAAAGTCGAAGGCCCGGGCAACTACTAAAAGGCGACTGTGCACTATGAACCTTACCTTAGTTGTTTAAACTGAATATAATTATGGAACAAGGATCTACCATTTATTACACTGGTTACCTTTTCTGTATCGCTCTCAAATATTTCCGACATATTAGCATATAGAGTTAGGTACTTCTAAGAGGGAGCCAGGGTAGGACCTTGCGAATCCTTAGATGCCGGTTTCTTATCTGTATTCCTCCTCATGTGGCTCATCCGCTCGAGGGTACGCTGTTCTTTCCATTGCACCCGTCTAGCTCGCAGATGGGCATTTTTTCCTCTTTCTGAGCTAGCCGGGCTTTAGCCTCTGATTTAGCCTGTGTCTTGCGTGCTCCGGCCAGGGAATCGTGCTACGTCACTGGCCGCGGGGCCTGAGCTATGGTGCGAAGCAGTTGAAAGAGGTGTGTAATGTCGTTGTCGGTGTCGTCGACGCCCTCGACTGCTTTCGCATTCTCGCTCATCGTCGACAACAGCTAGCATCAGCAACGCACGTAGACACAAATGGGCGTCGCTTCCTGCAGCATGCAGGTTGGCGTAAGGGATGCCTAGAGCCCCCAAAAGCACCTCCAAACTGTATTTATAGGACAGCTGTAACGGCTTTGTGCGGCTTTCACGGTGTCGATGACGCAGATGGCAGAGTAGCAGTCAACACCGAAGTTTCCCAGAACCTTGGTATCCTCATACCCACTGTGTACTACTAGTTCACGTTGGTGGTCTGTGGGTACAAAAGTCGACCATTGAGACGGAAAATCAACAGACGTCAACAGAGATTTCGATGCACCAAACAAGAATCGATTCCTTACCTTTTTGCAGTACTTCGTGCTGCCGATAGTGAAGTGGAAGGACTGAATTGCATCCGGACATTCTTCTGCTAGAGTTGTTTCTTCGGCTATAAATAGGTTGCACATTATACTTTGTAGTGGTTCCAGAGTTGTAGCCAGAGAGTCGTCTGTGGCTGCTTTTAACGGCGCGAGCGGTGGTGTTGTGGCGATCTGTACAGATTCGGGAGATAGATTGGTATCGGGTATGGCCTGAGATGCTCTTTTTTGTGTGTTAGAGCAGAAAGATATATCTATAGGTAGCACGGGAAATGGGTCTGTTTGTATTGACTCGCTGGGCATCCCGGCTTGTTTCTGGCGTCTAGAAGGGAAACTCAAATTCCGCAGATATCTTGTATCGAATAAAGAGATACCGGCATGACATTTCTAGCCCGGTATGATCTCTTCGTATCCTTGAAAAGTGACAATGTCGACAGCCAAGAAGAGAACATCCCACAGAGGCGAGATTTCGAGTCTAGGATTAAGCCCGGCGGCCGGAAGAATGGATGACGGCGCATATCCAATGAGTTATCGCAGCATTAGTATCTCATTTCGCAGAATAGTAATCGGCCCAAGTTTCTTGTCGCTGCGGCTATTGTGAAAGTTCATCCACTTCGGTTTCCTCATTATGTTTCGGTTACCCGGTTACGACTGGAATGAATAGATTGAGATATGTCTTACAACACCCACCTATGGCATGTGCCACCTAGACATCACCTGTCAGAACAGAATACAAGTAGCCGAAGCTCCTTGCAACGACTCCTCAAACCAGTATACAGCCGAAATCTCGACATTCTCGACCACCATTTTCGAGGTAGTGTATCGGCGAGCAAACAAGGCTCCTTCCCATGCCGACGCCTGGGCAGTCAATTTATGGCTAAGTGTCCTGGGTCTTAGAGAGAAACATGGAGTGATACGAGTTTAAAACAATGCCGGAATAGTGTCTACTTTGTACTCTCCTTTACTATAAAACAATCTTGTTTTGGGTTGTTACGCACACTGATTCCCCTCCTGCTAAGAAAATGGCGGCTGTCACGTGCAGGTCGGCCATAGTGGAGCGCCGATACTCCCCGACAGACAGATCGTCGACCCGCTTTTTTCTCTCCCACACTACACATCGAGCTGTTGGCATCCGGTCCAATGGCATAGCTCGACTCGCGCGGGTGGAAGGGGTATTTATTGCCTCTTGTTTCCGTGCCGTATTCTTATCAGTAAAAGTTCTTGCATCAGACAACATTGCAGTCAGAGAAGCCAGCCATCATGACCTCTCTTACGATTCTCCCGGCGGACAAGAAGGCCGTGACGTCCATCTCGGTCAATGCGGCTAACACAATCAGCGCAATCAACCCATTGATCTATGGCGGCTTCACAGAGTGCGTGTGTCTTTGATCCTGCCGTATCTAGTCCTTCTGGCTGACCGTTACAGACACATGGGCCGCTGCATCTACGGCGGCCTCTACGAGCCCGACAACGCGCACGGGCTGTCGGACGACAAGGGCTTCCGCAAGGATGTGATCTCGTGCTTTAAGGAGCTGCAGGTGCCGGTAGTCCGCTATCCGGGCGGCAACTTTTGCGCCAGCTACCGGTGGCAGGACGGCATTGGGCCCGTGGAGAAGCGGCCGGTGCGGCCAGAGCTGGCATGGGAGGGCATCGAGCCGAACACGTTTGGCACAGATGAGTTCATGGCCTGGTGCAAGGAGGTGAGCGCGGAGCCGTACCTGTGTCTCAACATGGGCACGGGAACGCTAGAGGACGCGCTGGCCTGGCTGGAGTACTGCAACAGTAACAAGCACACGTACTACGCCGACCTGCGGCGGAAAAACGGCCACGAGGAGCCGTACGGGGTCAAGTACTGGGCTCTGGGGAACGAGATATGGGGGCCATGGTGAGTGATGGCAGCTTGAGCGTGGGAAGCCTGGGGGCCCTGCTGACAAATACAGGCAGATTGAGCAGCACACCAAGGAGGACTATGCGAAGAAGGCAGTCCAATGGGCTAAGGGTGAGTGTTGCCGAACCGGGCTGTGTTGTTGAGCATTTGCATTGTCGTTCCTGCTGACAAGATAGCGCTCAAACTGTTGGACCCGTCCATCACACTGGTCCTCTGCGGCAAGGATGGCTACTCGGACTGGGACCGATACACGCTGCAGCAGTGCATCCGGTGGGTGGACATGCACTCGATCCACTACTACTCCATGGGCCGTGACCACTACACCAACATCTCGTCAGTGTACGGGGCCGAGCGGGCCATCCAGGTGTGCTCGGGGCTGATCGACGTGGCGCGCTGCGAGTTCGACATGTCGGCCTATCCGGACACGGAGCGGATCTCGACGCGGCCGGCGAGCAAGAAGCGGCCGACGATCTGCTTTGACGAGTGGAACGTGTGGGACCCAGATAGGGCGCCGGGCAATCTGGGGGCCGAGGAGCAGTACACGCTGAGTGATGGGCTGGCCGTGGCCGTGTGGCTGAACGTATTTATACGCAACAGCCGGGAGCTGGGCATGGCCACGATCGCCCAGAGCGTCAACGTGATCGCGCCGCTGATGACGACGCCACGGGGCCTCTGGCGCCAGACGACCTACTTCCCGCTGCTGCTCTTCTCGCGCCACATGCGAGGCCAAGCCGTGGCCGTTCACGTCCACACACCTGTCTACGAGGGTACGACCTTTCCCGAGTGGATCCAGACGACTGTGGCCGTGCCCAAGCTAGACGTCAGTGCGGCCGTCGAGGCCGGCTGGCTCAGCTTGGCCGTCGTCAACTCGGACGATACGCGCGACTATGCCACCCGCCTCGACGGACTTGTGGTCGGTACTTCCGTGCAGGTCTTCCGTATCGGTGGCAAGGGTTTCGCGGCCACCGATAGCAATGCCGATGGCGACGAGAAAATCGGCATTGTCGAGTCGGTCTGGGAGGCTACCGGCGACAGCTACACGTTTGAGCGGCTCAGCTTCACGATGCTGCGCTGGAAGGTGGAATAGTGAGGATGAAGACAGTACGATGTTCAGGTATTTTCCTACTATGTATCATGCAAGGTTATCGTAACAGCCTTGTCGGCAGTTAGCTAGTACAATTCGCACCTTCCTCTCGCAGCGGCCAAAATTGCGCCAATCCACCAAAAGGCCGGTGACGCGCGGCCATGGATCCAGGAGGCGAAACAAAGCCACGTAGCCTCACACGACGCGCATTCATGCACGTGGCCGTTCTTTGGGCCTCGTTATCTTCTGGCAGCTGCTCGCTGAAATGCCGTGACAAAACTGGGTGCTGTCTGTGGACTGTCCAGAACTTGTCGATCCATTCCGGCAGAACACGACCATCACAACAGCCATATCGCCCACATAAAAGCCTCACGTTGAGCTGAAGTGCGCAGGATATTAGCGCAGGGAAAAGTCCACTCACGGAGCACCTCAGCCTACCGCCGCACACACACGCCATCATGGGCCGCTTCCGAGAGCTGTTTGTCGCCCATGTGCACATGAGCCGTCGACTTGCCCGCCGAAGCTTTCTAGCCAGCTTGATCAGCCTGCTCTTCGTGCTGGTCGTCATCGTGACGGCTCTTGGCACTGCCGGCACCACAGACATGCGGTTGTCGTCAGACCTGACGCCTGGGCCGGTCGGCCTTGAGCTGGCCGAGCTTCTGGGCGGCCTCCTGGAGCAGCACCGGCCCTCAGGCGTGGATCCGCCCTGGACGGAGGACCGGTTCGACAGCACCCGATGGCAATGGGGCGAGGACGCCAACATGACCAGTCTGCTGCAGCTGGACGCCCTGGAGCTGCTCAAGATGCGCGACGCCCACCGCGGCTTCGTTGCCAGCATCCACGACCGTCTGCCCACCTTTGTCGCCCCGTCCGGCCATCACAGCTTCCTCGGCCGCCACCACCAGCAGCCGCGACAGGGCATCGTCATCATCGGTGGCGGTAAGTACTTTGCCATCCTGATGGTCTCGCTGCGCTTTCTGCGCCGCACCGGCACCACGCTGCCGGTCGAGGTCTTTGTGCTAGAGCACGAGTATGAGGCCGACGTGTGCGAACACGTCCTGCCGACCCTCAACGCCGTCTGTCGCATCTTTCCGCCACTTGGCGGCGGCGCCTGTCCGCTACATGGATTCCAGCTCAAGGTCTTTGCCATCCTCTTTGCCTCCTTCGAGGACGTGCTCTTCCTCGACGCCGACTGCACCGCCATGCGCGATGTCGCCACTCTCTTCCTGTCTGAACCGTTCCGGGCCACTGGCCTAGTCACCTGGCCCGACATCTGGCAGACGACCGTGTCGCCGCTCTACTACCTGATCGCGTCTCAGGATGTCGTGCCCGTGGCCCGTCGCGCCTCGTCCGAGTCCGGCCAGCTGGTCGTCTCCAAGCGTCGCCATTGGTTCACCCTCCTGCTCGCGGCTTACTACAACTACCATGGCCCCGACTTCTACTACCGCCTCCTCAACCAGGGCGGCACTGGCATGGGCGACAAGGAGACATTTCTGCCCGCAGCCGATGTCTTCGGCCTGCCCTTTTACAGCGTCCAGAAACCCGTCGTCTCCGTTGGCCACCGCTTCGAGCACGGCCAGACTGGCTCCCGCGTCCAGGTTCAGCATGACCCTGTTGACGACTATGCCATAACCCAGCAGATCATCGCTGCTGCCAACGACTCGCTCGACTTTGCTGCCTGGAACGCGTCCTATGCCCCGGTCCGCCCGCTCTTCCTCCACCTCGCCTGGCCCAAGTGGGACGCCGTCAACCTGCTCGATCACATCAGCAAGTGGTCCGACATGACCACCGGCATCGATGGCCGCCCCGAACCCGCCTTCCACTACCCCCCCGCGCTGGCCGCTCAGATCCACGGCACTGAGCGCATGCTGTGGGAAGAGGCCCGCTGGGCTGTCTGTAACCTGCACGACCGTCTGAATCACTGGAAGAACAAACCCAAGGCAGGAGGCATGTGTAGCCGACTCGACAGCTACTTCCGTACCGTCCTCGATGCAGACATGGGCATCGCCATGAGACTGGGCCCGAAGGACGTTTTGATGCCGATGCTGCCAGAATAGGCCGTCGGTGGCGGCGTTTGCGATCTTTGCTGAATAAGGACATGGAACGGCGTAAATGGCGTGAAAGAAAAATACATTTTTTATGACACGGAAGCCAGGCAGTTCTTGAGCGGCTTGCATCTGTCCACCTAACGGCGGCCGGGTCCGACACCCGACACCGAAAATAGAGCTCAGGCTGCTCTGCTCCTATTCCAGTAGCACGCGATCGCCACTTTCAAGCCGAATGTGGGGCGCTAATCGGCCATCGAACTAGTCGCCTATGAAACGGCGTCGTGGTTGCGTCATCTGCCATGGGGATGATCAAAGTTGGGGCCGCGGTGGTAGTGCCCGGAACTAGATCACGACATCGCTCGAAAACGCCTTTCCTGCGTCCATTCATTGGCTCCGCACGCGGATGTCTTCCCATTTGTAAGCACGATCGGCCAACGTAAGATACGGCCGGTCTTTAATGCATAGCAGCTTGTACTTAAATAGAGCCGGTCTCTTGCTCTTTTACCGGATGCCTGTAGACATACATCACACAATTCACGATGCCGTCCGCCGTCCCCCAACTGTACCAGTACGCTCACGTCGAGGAGACCAAGGAGAACCTGGATTGGGCCGAGCGTGAGTAGATGCGGTAGAAGAGACCAAAGGAGGTTGAATGGTTGCTAATCCGTCCCAGTACCCAGCATTGACCTGTCCAAATATGGCACGCCAGAGGGCAATGCCGAGCTTGCCCAGACCCTGGTTGATGCCATTCGCACCAAGGGCTTCTTCTACGTCGTCAACTTTGGCATTCCCCAGGACGAAGTCGACCGGCAGTACGCACTCGGCCAAGCCTTTTACAACCTCCCGCTGGACGAGAAGCTCAAGTATGTCCCCGACTTGGAGCACGGCGACTACAATGGGTACCGGCCGGCTGGCCGCCGGCTTTTGAGCGGCGGCATTTACGATAAGACCGAAGTCTGGAACATGGCGAGTGAGTGATGGCCATTACGTCCCTTTTTTTTTTTTTTTTTCCCTTTTCATCTATTTTTTCTTTCCCGCCGGCTGCTGCCCCCCAAGACTGACCGTTCTGCAGCAAATGACGGCCACATCACGCAGCCAGTGCCCACACTGCTAAAGCAGAACCTGGCCGAGATCGAGGCCTTTGCCAAGAAGCTTCACGACAAGGTACTAGACCCGCTCAACCACCTGATCGCGCTGGCGCTCGAGCTGCCCCCAGACTTCTTCACCAAGGTGCATCGCTGGGACGTGCACGACGAGTCACATCTACGCTACATGAAGTACTCCAAATTCTCGCCCGAGGAGATTGCCAAGCTGGACGACGGTCTCTGGTCGCGCGGCCACACGGACCTGGGCACCATCACGCTGCTCTTCCGCCAGCCAGTGGCCGCGCTGCAGATCCGCGACCACGAGACCGGCGAGTGGAAGTGGGCCAAGCCGCTGGATGGCAGCCTGACCGTCAACACGTGCGATGCCCTCAGCTTCCTCACCGGCGGCTACGTCAAGTCGACCGTGCACCGCGTCTCCGTCCCGCCCAAGGACCAGCAGCACGTCGACCGCCTCGGACTGCTCTACTTTGCCCGCCCACAGAACGACCTGGTCCTCAAGACGGTCGACTCGCCCGTCCTCCGCCGCGCCGGCTACACCCAGAACGAGTTTGAGGCCGGCGGCTTCCCCGTCCCGACCATGGGCGAATTTACCGTCCACAAGCAGACCTGGCAGCAAAAGCCAAAGGGTGTCGACTACAAGGCAACCGAGGGCCAGACAATTATTCCCGGCTTTGTCGGAAAGTTCTTTTCTTGAGCGCTGGCCGCTGGGAACATCAGATAGAAAGAAATAATCGAACCTGTCCCATTCTTGACTAACTGCCGTGTCCTCATGTAATCTACTACGGCTATAATATGTACAATAAGATGTTCTCTATATCGTCCACTAGGTCTATATGGCTGCAGGGCAGATATCTGGCAAGCCTTAAGTGCTACTCCGTAAAACATGCCTACGTCTTCGTCCTACCCTAGTATCGATCCTTCCGGGAGCTTTATACGTTGGCCGCTCCCATCAACCATATCTAGGCTATCCGTCACGCCTGAATCCCGTGGCTCTCCCATGTGTGTCGTGTCCCCGCCTAAGCCACCGCTAGGTCACTGGCTCGGATGACCGTCTGTTTCTAGTCGCTCCCGCTGCCACCACTGCCGTTTTCCAGACGTAACACGATCTCACCGACAGCACTACGGCAGAGCTTAGAACATACGGGCGGCACACCGGAGCTTTCGAGGGTAGAGGAGTTCTGCGGGATGTGGTACCAGTTTAGGAGCGTCGCCATGATCAGCCATAGCGGGTCCAGGTGCTGGGGAAGGAGATTGAATGTTATAAAACGGCAAGAAACACACACAAAGCTCCAGACACAGTGTTGTAATACGCATGGATTTCCCTGTCTTTTGAAATATCAGCACTAGGTCTTCTGAAGTCCTTTGAGCTCTACAGGACGTGCAACTGTTCCGGACGTATTTAACACGAACATCACTGTACAGGTTTTAAACTAGTATAACGTGAAGGCGGCACCTTCGCGTCACAGACAAGTGGTGTATTCGGACTCGCCTGAATAAGCCATGGTGCACGCACGGACCATTCGGCTGATACAAAAGCTTGTCCCAAGGCGTATGAGGACAATATGCATGACTGAGTATTAATATCATTCCCGCGTTCAATTTAAACTGCCTGTCGGACAAAGGAGTGACAGACATTCGTCAAAGCTGAGACCTACTGTTTCGTCGCCGAGAGAATCCCGTACGCCGAACTTCCGACTGCCATTGGCACACAAGCCGTATATCAGATCAGTCTCACTGTTAGTGCTCCTTCCGCCTGTACTGTAGGCTAGAAAGGCTAAAGCGAAAGAACGTCTGGTCAGGTGGACCGATCAGATAGACGGATGGCCATATTTGTGGCTATTTCTTACGCTTCCCGTGTTTTACGTCCATCACTCTCTGGTTGTCTTTGTTCTGTTAGATCCTTGTCTGCGACTGTCCGCTCTTCCGTTTCCCTGTATTTCCATTCTGCTGTCGTATTTCTATTCTGTTTTCATCAGCTAAATTGCATTGGATCCCACGGCCCATCCACAGTGAAGATGGACTGCCAGAACATAAGGTCATATTCGTCGGACGAGCTGACAGCCCCGAGGCCGTCCACGTCCATGAAGCTGCCTTGTTGCTGCCCGGTATGTGGGCGCGGGGGCAGAAATGACGGCATGGGCAGCAGTGACGGGACCCCGGCCACGTCCGAGGTCCCGGCGGCCGACATGGGCGTAGCCGTGCCGGTGGCCGTAGATGTGGCTGCCGCATCCGTCATGCCGCGCTGTTCCATCGGTAGCCTGGACGCGTACCACAGGCGAATCCAGCGCATCTTGTCGCGGAAAATGGCTAGCACGGCGCGGTTGTCGTCCGAAAGGTAGCGCTTCTTGCGGCCGAGGCCTTGGGTGTTGGCCGGGGCATCCTCAAAGTCCTCTGCCGCCTGGAAGTGCTCTTCCAGACGCAAGGTGATGGCGACAAAGTCCAGGCTGCGCCGTGCCCGCACCACGTCCCAATCTGGGTCGTCCAGCAAAAAGAGCAGCCGCATGGAAGTGGCAACGGCAAAGGCGAGATGCGTCGCTGCCGAGAACGGCAGCCTGCCCAAAATGTCGATCGGGATGCTAGCCTGTGCCTCGAAGAAGTCGCGTAGCGCCTGAAGGCAGTTCCACAGGCACGCCGTGCGCTCGGCTGCGTCGGCCGGGTCTATCGTGTTGGCCGGTGTCCTGCCGGACGCCCGCATGTAGATAGCCGGCTCGTACAGTCGCGAGACGATGGCGTGGTAGTTTGTCCGCAAGAAGACTGGGACGAGCAAGTGTCAGCGGTAATGAACAGCAAGACCGACAAGCATAAAGGCAACCGTAAAGCCAGCGTACAGTTGTTTTTCACCTCCATAGGCTGACTGTGTATCAGCGCGTCCAGATCCCGTCGAAGAACCGCGATGGACATGAACATGGCCGCACAGCCACCGGAGGCCAATCGCGGGTCGCTGTCAGGGTTAGGCAGCACAACGTAGATGCGGTGAGCGATCTGCTGCAGCCGCACGATGACCACGAGGAACGCGTCCGACTCGTGCTCGTGCGCGTCCAGCAGTACGCGACAGCAGTGGTCCAGGTATGTGCTGAACGGCAAGGCTTGGGTCCGCCGGAAGAGAACTGTGGATCTGTGTCGCGAGTCAGCAGCTGTCCATACAGCCGCACACGTAGCAAGGTCACGGCCGGGTCTGAAACCCACAGTGCGCATATATAATAGCATCCGAGAACGGCACGCATCTCGTCTAGGCTATGCTCTTTCGGGCCGAAGCTCTTGCCCTTGAGCGTGTTCACGGCGTCGTTGACAAAATTGGCCGGCATCAACCGCATCATCGTCGGTGCCCTCTGCAGGCCCAGGTCGACAACGAGCCCGATGGCCAGCTGTAGCACTGGCGTCGTGTTGGGCTCCATATAGTAAGCCAAATCTATCCTGGACGGCAGGAGAGCAAGCTGTCAGCAAACTGAGAGCAGACTGCCGAAATAGCAAGAGCAAAGGACAAAAGAGGTACAGTACCAGCCGAGGTGAACGAGAATGGCCTGCAGCAGGCCAATGTGTTTTTCCTCCTGTACGACAATGTGGTGGGCCAACTGTTCGCGGATCCAGCGCCGGGTATCACGCTGCATCTGCGGTGACTGGGGCAGGACCACCTGGACCAGGATGCGGAAAAGCAGCGGCTGTGTGTGGTACAACTCATGGGCCGGTACGTTGTAGGCCAGCGGGACAAAGGGGAAGTAGGGGCTGTAGAGGCGGCGATAGTCTGCCAACGCGATCTCAGCGTCGTGGAACGTGATCTTGAGCCCCGGGACGATCTCAACGTGCTCGAGAGGGGGTACCCGTACGAGCGATGCGGGTGGCAGCGGTTGCTGCTGCTGCTGCTGCTGTTGTTGTTGTTGTAGTTGTCGTTGTTGTTGCTGCAACAAATGCTGCTGATGCGAGCATGACGGCGTGCTCTGTGGCCCTCCGGCCGTGATGGCCGACATCGAGTCCCGCGACATGGACGGGGTAGTGGCCGAAGCGGCCGGGGTGCTTGGAGTCAGTGGCTGCGTGGCCGTGGAGTCGTACTGCGGAAGACTAGATTCGGGCGAATGGGGCGACGAGAGCGCCGGACCCACTATGTGTGGATCTCGGACATCCGGATCGTCGGATGGCGTCGACGGCGCCCGTGGTTGTGGTTGTGCCGAAGGAGACGATCCCTTTTGGATCTGCTGGCTGGCTGTCAGCAGCGACATGATCCCGTCGATCTTCTGCTCCAGCTGCCCCACACGGCTTCCACCAGGCGCACATGGTCAGCATGTAGTCTCGTCTGGGTGGCCAAGGGGTGGGGTGAAAGTGAAAGGAAGTAGGAAGGAGGAAGGAGGAAGGAGGAAGAACGGGGACCCTTTGTTGCTGATCTGTGTGAGGTTGAAAAGTCAGGAACGACGAGCAGAGATATACCTACGTTGGGTTACCCCGTCGGGGTCCGCGGGGCTTCAGACTCGGGAGCACACATTGTGTCTTGCTCTTGGCACATCTGTGATGCAGAAGGTTAGCATCAGCTTGCTCAAGTGTCAAAATAAATTCCTCCGTCGAGCTGGCAGCTTCCCGAAGGACCGCCGAGAGAGAAGCGCAGGAAAAGCGGCACCAAGGACGAGACACACCTCTCGCAAGGCGCCTCTCCAGGTTCAGACACCCAGTTGCACTTGAGCTTCGATGTGCTGCAGCGGGCGCAGGCGCGAGGGCGGAATCTCGGAATGTCGGCCGCCGGCGTCGACGCAGCAGAAGCCGCCACGGTCATGGCTGCTGGCCGCGGCTTGGCGCGAGGAGATCGCTCAACGGACGAAGACGGCGCAATCGACATGCGCAGGACGACGAGACGGACAAGACGGCGCAGAGAAAGCGGCCGGTGAAGAACGGCGTGCCTTCTGCGTGCGTGAGGGCGCAGGTGCAGAAGCGGGTGCGCGCGAGAGTGGCGGAGCGAGTATGCTGTGCTTGAGCATAGAGTGTGCGTGGTGCCAAGACGAAACGTCCTGGGCGGCCATCTGCTTCGGCAACGCCGGATTTGCTATCTCGGGACAACGCGGCAACGCCCCTATGCAGCTCCAAGAGGGCCTCGTGCAGGAAAAAGGGTCAGTCGCGGCAGCCCGGACTGACGTGCAAAGAAAAGAATAAAAAAGGGCGGCAGGCGAACTCCTGTGCGCATGCGCCGGCCGTCTCGCAGCTGGCGAACAGATTCGAAAGCAGTCGGTTGGAAGGGGAAATTCAGGCAGAAAAAACAGCCCAGAACGTTGCTGGAGCTTCGGGTCGGACACTAAGAGAATAGCCGATTGCCGGGAGGCCCGTGCGTCAGCAGCCAATCGGGGGTCGCAAATGGGCCCAATTTTCCCAAACGGGAAATCCGTGCTAGGAGCCGTGTCCCGCATCGAACGGCAGATCGAAGGCCTGCTGCAGTTCTGTGCAGTAGTCCGCCTTTTGCTCGGGAGCCCCGACAGTAAGGCGACTGCGTGCACCCTATCTCTGACGTTTGGCTATAAGGTCCTTCTTTCTAATGCCGAACGACCCCCTTTGCCTTTCCCTTACCAGGGAGCAAAATTCCTAGCGGAAACATTGTTCCATTGTTACACCATCACATATTGTATCTTACTTCTAACTAAACGCAGCACCCATATGGCCAACGGCGGTCACAGCCATTCCCGGTTTGGGTGTGCTGCTAAGGAGGACATCCTCCCGCAAACCAACGAGAATCCCGGGGATCAATCCACGTCAGACAAGAAGCAATATTCAGAGGGTCTTGCATTACTTTCCATAACGCTCTCCATATTTAGGGCTATTTTTTGTGTGTCACGCACGTCTGGTTCCTTTTTATATGCCGTTATTTCTGCTTACTATTTCGCCGCCCTAGGACCGAACTGTTTCAGGTCACTGTCGATATGTTAGCCTAGCAATCTGGCAACGACCTTTTAGCCATGACGGTGACCATATCTCTGACAGCTTTGAGCTGTATATTTTACGTGTATTCCAGTCTGTCAACGAGATACTTGGTACAGCAATTTTGCTGATCACTTTTAGACTACTAAAATGGCTGCCATGCTCCGTGAATGGTTTCAGGCACTATGTTGATATCTGTGGTATTCAGACCCATCAGCTGCTGTCACCTTGACACAATAACAAGCTACTGCGTCTCCACTCAGCTGCTCTTTAAAAATTGTAGTCTAACTCTGCTTTTAGGATCGCTTCGCTTATCGTAGTCGGCCCAGGCACCGGTGTCCGCACGGCAGCGCATCCTTGTTCTACAAGTTATACTCAAGGACCGGGATGTGGCCTTGGGAACGTCCGCCATGATTTTATGCAGACCATACCAGGTATCGTTTTCCTGTCCGTTCCGATACTCTTCTTCAGGATCGCCTCATCGCTGACAATCGCCAGCGGTGCGTCCGAGCTGCGGTCTGCGATGGACTGTCTCTATTCTACTGAAGTTGTGGAAGAGTTTATTACCTCGTACGCCGTTGCTTTGCGGAGGATATTTCTTGTCACGCTTGCGATAAGGGCTTAGCAATGTGGTAGTATGCGAAACTTGATCATTTCTCTAAGCTTCTAGAATCTGACTGGGGAGGTAAATAGGGATGCTCGGATTTTTAAGACCGTGCTTGAATGAATTAAAATTGAAACTTCTAAAATTACCGGACCTGCGCAGCTCGAGCGGGCCTTCCTTGAATCAAAAACTTAATTGTCAATGGGGCGGTGTGTATACATAATGTCCTAGTCGCTTATACGGAGTAAACACTACTTAAAATAAAGCCGTGCCCTGCTTTCAATTTCATCTAGTAAATGGCTCACCCCTCAATTCCATCTACCGCCTGTCCTCTGCAACCTCGTACAGTCGCTTAATTATAGGCCCTTTCATGTAATACTTTATATCGCCTATATTGCCGAAAGCATTCTCTTTCCATTGCCTATCTATGAAATTCCGAACAACGCTCATCAAACAGACGAAAATTTGCCTCTACACGGCAATATTGTGTCCAAAAGTATCTCTCGGCCCTCACTCACAGCCCATACACGGCCAAGTCGGCCTCCATGCCGGGCTTTGTCCACACCGATCCTACCACACCGCCAAAGACCCGGAGCTCCATATCTCCACGGTAGTCAAATCCCAAGCGCTTCAGCGTCGCTCTCGAGCCCTCGTTCTTGGGGTCGCACAAGCCGAGCACATCCTTGACGCCCTTCTCACGCTCTACATAGTCCATTAGGGCCTTTGCGGCCTCCGTGGCGATGCCCCGCCGCATGTAGGCCGGCAGTATGGCAAAGCCAAGATCCGGCGCCGCGAAGCAGTCAGGCGGCTCGCCGCGCATTAGAGAGACGGTGCCGACAAGTGCGCAGGCAGCCAGGCGCTCAGGGAAGGGTGTCGCGGAAGACAGGGTCTGATCTGCGTCCGTCGTCGGCTTCAGGCTGACAAGATAGGTGCCATAACCGTTTCGGCTATGCTCTTCCACGAAACGAGTAGCAAGGCGCTTGCGCGCCGCTTCGCGCGTGGTGATGGATGTGGGCTTGCCGCCGATGGAAGATATAAACTCAGGGGTGTTGTACAGCTCCACCAGAAAGTCGCAGTGGCTGTCAATCTCGGGCTGAAAGTATGAGAGGTAGAGACGTGGCGTCTCGATGAAGAACGCGGGGTCGGACATACTTGCAAACAGGCAATGGTGAAGATTCCGGATGTGTGTAAGAATAAGATTGGAAATGGGGGCAAAAGATGAGTGCACAACGACACAACTACATCATACGGAACAGTTCCATCGCAATGGGACTTAAGGCCTCCATTTATAAGCGGACATTGAAGAAATTGTGCTTATCTCAGAAACGTTGCAAGCGGTAAGATCTACTTTAGGCAGCATAGTTACATAGTATGAGAAGCTAAAGCTGCAAGAATAAGTTGAAAAACAGGCACTCTTAGCCGGAAATCTAACTAGCGGAAAATTAGCGGGAAGGTACGAGGAAAGGCAATTCTAATAAGAGACGAAACTTTAATTGAAAGCTGTTCTGATTCGCGGCCTATAGGCATACTTACGGCGTATCCATTAGGCCTTCACCAAGATGATACACGCGGTGCGATCGTGAGCACGCCCTGGAAAAGCATGCCCCTCAGGATCCCAAGTAGCAGACGGAGCATACAAACAGAGAGCTTTGGACCGTGCATGCTGGGGTTCTGGCCAACCAGAGCGGCCGTGGGCCGGCTGAAGCTCGGTAGTCATTTCATCAACAATGCCGCCCCCCAGGGACGAAAGTTCATGCGGTCAGTCTTGCATGCGAACTTCTCTAAAAGAGGTGGGCTCGAGCACCGACCTGCAACTGTGGGGTAGAAGAACTGGGCCTGTTATCATTACCTTCCTTTAAGAGACGCTCTTCTACTTGCTATTACCGTGCATCTTAATCATGAAGTAGAGCACGCTACTAAGTTCCAAGGCGACATGCTCCCAAGACCGAGCCGACAAACAGTGATGCCACAGCGAGAGGCGCACAGCTGATTCACAGATGCAGCTAATTGGCAATGTTTCTGAAAGGCAGGTAGGACTGCTCGTGTTGCAGATCCCAGTTTTATCGCTGACTTAAGTGTATTAATCGACCATAACGTGGCCCGTGATCTTCCAGATAATCCAGTTTAGTGTACCGTTTCGTCGCTAATTGTTAGCAGCTAGACTCATACTCTTAGCGTCTCGACTAAAAACAAGACAAGCCGTGTCATTCCATTGGTCAGTTCGAAGTACAGACTGCCCATCTTGCATGGCTAAAGTGCATTAAAGCAAAAAGTAAAAAAGGGGTTCTGCGTATCCGTAAGCTCCCGAAATGTAAAGTTAGCCCCCTGCAAATAGGGACTGGCCGCAAGATATTGGCGCCTCTTGCGCTTCCCCCAAACCCAGGCCGGTGAAATAGGTCCGAACGACAACAGCCACATCCACATTATTGGTCCTAAGCCCGCTACGACAGAGCGGCTCGTCGTACGGTTGAGGGCTGACGATAACTGTGTCCGTTAACATACCGATAAGATAGATAGACTGTTTAGAGAATGGCCCGCTTCCTACAGAGAATGTGATTTTAGAAACAGCAGGCGTCGTTATTTTCTGCGTATGGCCACCATTGTTTCATGCTGTCGTACCAAGGCCAGGCCGAGGATAAGGCAGGAAGGAATGATACCCGTGGCGACCCGGAGCCTAGAGATGTCAGTATCGGGTGCAAGGATGCGTCTCTGGATGATGTCTGAAGCGTCATATGCGGCGAGCAATCTCCATGTATCGTCCGTAGCGAAGACAAATAGCATCATCGCGTGCCAGTGCGACAGCTACTGCTACGATTAAATGCGAGTCGATGGTTAGGGGTATATTTGGCCGCCAGAATAACGACAATTAAGGATACAATCTAAACATTTCCAGTGAGGCATCGGCTCAGTGTGGTGAAGCAGAGTGGTGAAGCAGAGGCTGTTGATAGCCAAACTGCGAAATTATATGGTAAGTTCTCTGTCGCACTAAACACAAAGGTTGCCACTCCATTTGTGCTTTACGAGAACAGGTTCTTATACCATATATAGGTGATGCTCCTCCACGTCTTGGAGGTACGGCAAGTGGATAACATTGCTAGCAGGACTCACGTAACACCCGATATCTGGGCTGACTCGGCTGCTCCCAAGAAGAATAAGATGGTGGAAATCCCGGAATTGTTGAAGCAAGCGACGCCGAGGAAGCTGAGAATGCCCTAGAGAAAGACATGAGATGAGAAGTATCGTGCCACGTTGTAGCGCTACAACATGAACAACGAAGGATATTGCCAGACCAGAGATCCGAAGAAAAGATAGGAATGTTCCAGGAGTACTGGGAGCTCTACATAATCAGATCGCCCCACAGATTGTACAAGCATGGGATGCGGTGGTCTTGTCGCGATACTGACGAAAGCCGGTGACCATAAAAAAACTGAGACGTTAGCTTTTGGAATAAGGAGTAGGATTATTAATACGGCACTGGATAAGTATTGCTTTCCACAAAACACTCTTTCACTCCTGTTATGATGTATTACGGTCTTAGCCTTCGATAAATATTTCGGGGCCACGTCGACCTGGCTTTCCTCGATCTGGCCGACACCTTTGGATATCAGAAACTGGTTATCCAGATCGGCCCTTGTTCAAAGTAGGAAATTAGCAATTTCGGCCGCTATGGAATTTCAAAGAACTAACTCCCCGTATCTGCTTTCACAAGACAGATAATTCAGACCCCGAAGCAAGTTACTGCATCTTTCTCGCGATCTGGCGCGACGTAGGGTCGCTTACAACTCAACTTATTGAGTGGCATGTTTCCCGAAACCTAAGTGTGGCCGAAATACTGAAATGGCCTCGGAGAAAAGGGTGTTACAGCTGAAGACTTCTCGCTTAACCGTTCCGCCATCTGGCCGACAACAAACGGCTTCTAAATTTTGAGCAAGCTTAACAATTCTAAAAATGTTGCTTTTCATCTTGCTAATAGGACTGTGTTGGAGGACTATAACGCTGTCGTCTTTGCTACAGGCTACTTTCATACGTACCCTTTTATATCAGAACGCATCTAGCTGGCCGTATCTTCAGAGGAAGTCGGGGTACCGGGCCTGTATCAGCAACTGCGCTGGAAAGAAAAGCGACTGCTGGAAAAGGAGCGGTACTATGGTAAACAACCCCCAATTTGGGGCCGTTTCGTCTCTATCTCTGCATAGTTGTACGTGCCAAGACACTCAAATTGGGGTTTAAATTATGCTGGCCTTGAAACTAGCGTACGAGTATATCCAGTGCGGGTGAAAATGCGATAAGGGAGATCTTACAGTATGACCAATTGTCCACGGGGCGAGACGTCTCGCAATCTTATTGCCGTATGCTTCTCCTTGGTGAAAGTAAGTCACGACATATTTACAACTCGAGGAGTGCAAGCTAAGGAGACAAGAGAAACGGCGCGGGGTTTACATACAACATAGTCTCATTTTGATGTTAGCAGTCAAGAGACTCAGACTCGTTTTGCCTTTTGGTCGCAAAATCGGGGGTTTACATCTAGACCGTCGAGGACTTTAACGAATGTGCTGACGACAAGAGTATAGGTAGAGGGGCTCGGATATCCAAATTACATCCCAAATATATATGTTACAAGAATACGTTATAAAATATGATCCGCTTCAGGTAATCTACACTTGAAGACTACATAGATCTCTACTAGATTTTTCCCTCGCTCACCAGCCGACGCGTAGTAGCGATGCTGGACTCAACAACGACTTTGGCGATCTGTGGTTGTGTAAGCGTCGGTGCACCAGAATTCTCGACATACATGGGCCCCGTTACTCACCTTCTCATGGCTAGTCTGTACCTCCCGTGCAGCCATGCTGCCAGCCTCGAGGTCGGCGTGCTTCCAAGCAAACACATACGTCACGTACAAATCTTCCGGCTTGCCACTAGTACCAGTGCTGACAATGTTCAACACTGTGCTGCCATTATCCAGCTCATAGTCCACTCGGCTGGGCGCCAGCTCTGTGCACGTCTCAAGAACTTCAGCCGGATGGCCGCCGGTGTCAGGTGCTGATGGGGCTTTAAAGGTCACGCGGCGTTTCACCACGCCGCCAACGTCGCTCAGCACCTCAGCTTTGGCTATGGCCGGCGCAAACTCCTGGGGCTGGCGGATCTTGCGTTGAAATCCAGCAAAGACCTGCACCTGGGATAGCACAAGTGATGCTCCCGGGGCATTGACCGGCACGGTGACAGCGAGATGGATGGTGACCATTTAAAGAGCGTGTTGTTCTGTTCCTCTAGGATATTGGCGTGTTTAGAGATAAGCCAGGTCTGATTTAGATACCACTTCTCTTGGGGAAGTCCGCCGTCGGACACCGAGTATTAGTTGGGAAGAATCGCGGGAGCACACAGCATCCTCCTGCATGGAAGTGCTTCGGTGGCGAGGAAACGAATCTCGGGTCCCCAAAATTCTAGTAGAAGTCCAGCTTATATCCACTGTCCGCGATATAGTTGCTAATCGCCTTAGTATCAAATCGGGCCATCGTTGCCTGTCACCCACAAGCTACGCCGATGGCAGGTTGGTCTATTAGTCAGCTCAAAAATGGCCTACCACTCTTCAAGACAGTTCTGGCTTTCCCAACATGTTTCCCCTTTGTCCAAGTTTCAATGAAAAAAATAGCATCGTTCAGTGAGCTAGCTAAAGGGCTGCGGTTGGCCGCCGGCACTGCTGACTTCATAGTGGGCCTCTTCATCTGTTTACGCCGAGAAGCAAATTTTAGCGCTCGAACCGGACTTTCTCGTAGATGAGGAAGAAGATAGAACTCTATAAGCAGTAACGGAAACATACGTTCCTAGCTTCTATATGAGAAACAAGAATATGCAGGTCGCAACTTCCCTGTCCGCTTCTCCAGACCAACACACCTGCCCGCATCGCAAGCTTCTGCGACTGCCTTCTGGTGACGTTGAATGACGGGATGACGCACAGGCCACCAGGTGGGGAACACCACAGCTTTGTGTGCCCGCCCACTTTTCTCCCAATCCGATCCTCCATTTTGTTCCTTTCCTTCTTGGTCCATCGATTTTCCATGGCTTTCTCTCCTCAGCTCACACAAGGCCACGTAAAATCCCCTCGCCAGCAACGCGCAGGCAGCACTACCACGACAGCCACCGACCATCGTTCAAGCACATCCGCATCGCCGCCTTCCGTTTGTAACTGCGTATCCTCGCCTTCATTTTTCATTCGCATTCCTTATCCCGATCATCCGCAACGATGGCTCCTCCACCAGCTGCGAGCTTGCCGCTCACTGAGCGCCTGCTGACGCTCGCAAAGACGCTCCAATGTGAGAATGGCCCGTTCCTGTGTCGCTCACGCGCGTGTATTCTAGCATTATGCTGACCATGCTACCCCAATCTAGTCGGTTGGTTTGTTGGGTACGTTTCGCCATCCCCTCTCGCTGCGATCAGTCTACTGCTGCGCACAAGACCATATCTGGTGTGATTGAGAGGCCGAGGAGAAAGAACACGGACATTCCAGTTCCAGAACATTTATCTACAGCTGGACAGAAACTAACATATTGCACTAGCCATCTCACCCTCATCCTGTCGACGCTGCGGTATTCGCTCTCGTGGATTCGCTTCAACTATTATGGCTTCTTTGCTCGATTCTCCTACCGCACCGCTTTTGTCGCTGCCGCGGCGACATACGGCATCGTTGTGTACAAAACCTTCCGTGCCAGATCCAAGAGTGGCCGGTTGGCAGGCGGTCCGGCCGCCCTGCTTAGCGATGAGAACGTGCAATATCTGAGTATGTCTCCTGTTCTCCGACCCGCTCTCCTTCCCCACTAATCAGGCAACCTTGCTACCTCTTGCAGTGCTCGCTCTCATCTGGCTTTACTCCTCGCAGTACATCTTGGCTCTGCTCCCCTATACCATCTACTCTGTCTTCCATGTGGCCACATACACTCGCACCAACCTGATTCCCACCATCTCGCCCCCCAAGCCGTTGGCCCCTGCCGCCGGTGCGTCGCCGAGCGCTAAGACCACATACACGACTCACCCGCTGTCCGACTCCATTGGTCGCTTCGTCAAGCAATACTACGACTCGTCCATGTCTGTCGTCGCTTTCCTGGAGATTCTCCTGTGGCTTCGCCTGCTGCTTTCTGCAATCACCTTTGCGCGCGGCTCCTGGATCCTCATTGCTATTTACTCTGCCTTCCTGCGCGCCCGTTTCGCACAGAGCCAACATGTTCAGAGCACATTTGAGCAGATCGAGGCTCGCATCGACAACCTGACCGGCGCTCAGGGTATCAACCCCGTCGTCCGTCAGACCTGGCAGACCATCAAGACCACTGTGCGTCAGGCCTACGCGGCAACAGACTTGCAGAAGTACGTCGGTGGCGCAGCCCCGCGCAAGGCTGAGTAGTCGGGCCTGGCGACCGGCGTCGACGGTCACTTTCTGGATCTACGCATGAAGCCTTCGGCAGACCCAAAGGTTGGCTCGGCTTTGAATGCTGTCCGTTAATGTCGATTGTGGAGCTGCCAGCATGCGTCTGTGTCTGTCTCGGCCCGTATCTACGGTGCACTTTGTCTACGACAACACAGACCTGGGCGTTCCCTCACTGTGAATAGGCTGTATTTTAGGGAGGCGATGCAAGCAACCCATCCGACTTGCGACGCAGAGTAGAGTGTGTTGATTGGGAGGAGGGGGTATCGGTTATGGATTGAAACGCGTGCTTTGGCTCGGGGAATGGCTTCCGATAGAGTATGAAGTCAGATGGTTGCACGTCCTGTCTAGAGCAGGAATGCGAGAAAGGAATTTTTTATGTATTTCTCTCCCCTGTCGTTACTTTTTTGGGGGGCCGGGGTTTGCACTGTTTCGAGAATTTGACGGCATCGACTCGACTGGTAAACTTGCTGTTTCTCGCCAGCTGGTCTCCCCTTGCCGTAATAACTCTAAAAGTGTACGATCAAGTCCCGTACAATCTTCATCTGTTTTGTCTCACGGGCGAGGCTTGGTCAACAACACCAGGCGAGGTTGCTCGTGCCATTCAAATTCAGTTCAGCCACGCTAGTGAGCTAAGCCCGCCGATGACGTCGTTGTTCCGCCTGAAGCCACAAGGCGGATTGATTCTGTAAAACAGCGGAAAACGCAGCCAAACGCAGCCAAATGCGCCAACTAACTCAACTGACTCACCATGTACAGATGAAGACACGCATACAACATGGCTGCTTTTCTTCGCCGAATCGTTGCCGGACCGCGTGCTGAACACGCAGAAACCGGTCTTGATCTCTGCTATGTCACCTCTAATATCATCGCAACGTGAGCATCATACCACTTGATAAGGCCACGCAAGGCGACGCGAAATTAGCTAACAGGCCGCTTCCATTAAAGTTCTGGACCGTCGCAGACATATCCGCAACTTGCCTACCGCAACCCGCTCGACCGCCTGGTCGCGTTCCTCGATGCCAAGCACGAGAAGAATTGGGCCATCTGGGAGTTCCGTGCCGAGGGCACTGGTTACCCCGATAACGCCGTCTACAATCGCATTCGACACTATCCATGGCCCGACCACCACCCACCGCCCTTCCGCCTGGTGCCTATGATCGTGGAAAGCATGCACCAGTGGCTGCAGGGCGAGGACGAAGACGGCACGACGGACAGGAAAAACGGCCGTGTTGTCGTGGTGCATTGCAAGGCTGGAAAGGGCCGGTCTGGGACCATGGCCTGCAGCTACCTCATCTCCGAATATGGCTGGTCGTCGGAAGAGGCCCTCAACCGCTTCACGCAACGCCGCATGCGGCCTGGCTTCGGTAGTGGCATCACCATTCCCTCGCAGGTGCGCTGGATCGGCTACGTGGAACGGTGGGCACGACAGGGCGGCAAGCGGTACGTGGACAGGCCGGTCGAGATTGTCGAGATTCACGTCTGGGGCCTGCGGCACGGCGTCAAGCTGGCCATCGAGGGCTACGTCGACGAGGGCAAGAAGATTCATGTCTTCCACACTTTTGGCGGAGATGAGCGCTTTATCGTCGAGGGGAATCCACCAGGAGGCGGCGGTCTGGTAGACTTGGTGTCTGATATGGCAGGAGCACACTCTGGTAGTCCAAGACGAGAGGCCGGAGCAGACAAGGCGAAAAAGGAGAGAGACAGGCCGAAGCAAGACATCAAGAGACCGGAAACGGATAACGTCCTTGCAAACAATGCGTCCCAGAACAAGCCCTCGCTGGAGGACAAGAGCCGGTCGTCGCCGGCGTTGGTAACGTACAAATCCTCGTCACCACAGCCGTCCAGACAGCAGTCGTTCCGGTTTGCAGCACAAGACGAGCCAGGCGGCCAGGCAGTTATCTTCAAGCCCAAGGAACCTATCCGTATCCCCAACAGTGACGTCAATGTGTGCATTGAGCGCCGAAATAGGACGGCACCCAACATTATGGGCCTCACAATGGTGACATCCGTGGCTCATGTTTGGTTTAACGCCTACTTCGAGGGCAACGGGCCCGAGCAAGACGGTCAGCCTGATGAGAATGGTGTCTTTGACATTGATTGGGAGAAGCTAGACGGCATCAAGGGGAGCAGTCAAAAGGGGAGCCGAGCGGCTGATCGACTGGCGGTCGTGTGGCGGGCAATAAAATCGGCTGACGAGCAGAAGACAGAAGAGGAAAGCGTGCCGAAGTCTACAGCGGAAGCAGTAAGTTCAAACGCCGCTGAGGCGACAGCCACAGCTATATCGCCTGGAGAAGTCCCACAGATGCAACCGGCCGACTGGAGAGGCGGCAACCAAGAAGACCCAGAAGCCGGCAAAAGCTTGGGGTTGCGCAAAGAAGACCCAGACAGTGGAACAGTTAGCAAAGCGAGCAGTGTCCAGGGTGTGCCTGTCGGTGATGGTGGTAGCGATGCGCTGAAGGGGGTCAAGACCACCGGACCAGGAGGTGAAGCCTTGGCGTCAGACAGCAAAGGCAGCAGTATATGAGAGATGCGCGAATTGAGATAGAGAACATTAGAATACGATGATATCATCCACCTGTGTGACGACTCGATTCAGATTTCTGACAGGCGGACAATTAGAACAGACAATGAATGATACTTGCCTTAAACTGCATTTCTCATGGCATAATTTGCGATATGTGATTGGTCAAGGCCCACATTTTTCCAAGTTGCACATTTGGTTGAGATATCGAAGAGGGTTGAATTATCTCCAAATCCTTGGATACACGCCAATCACGCCACATATCTTTGCACCCAACTCACCAATGGCAACTATTGCAAGTCTGAAGCGAATTTCGCCCCAGAAGCTAGCAGAGCTACTGCTTGCAGCGTCGGCCAGCCCCAAACTGGCCGTCGTCGACGTCAGAGACGATGGTGACAAATCCCCCCTTGCTCTCTCCTGCGCCTTCCAGCCCACGAAGCTCCGTACTGACGTCCGCTTGTGCACCTGCTATGCAGATTACATCGGCGGACACATCCGCGGCGCCCACCATTTCCCATCGAGTAGCCTTGACGCTACATGGCCAACACTCCTGCGCCGCCTCCAGGACGCCGACACGGTCGTCTTCCACTGTGCGTTATCACAACAGCGCGGACCTGGTGCGGCACTGCGGTACCTGCGAGAGCAAGGGCAGACAGGCGGGGTGCCGGGCCAGACCATCTACGTGCTAGATCGCGGCTTCACCGGCTGGCAGGAGGTGTACGGCGACGATGAGCGGCTGACCGAAGGCTTCCGCAAGGAGCTCTGGCGGGAGCTCTCGTGGAGCTGAGGCAAAGGCAGTCGGAGCCTATCTTAAGAGGACTCGAATGCGATAGACCATCTTCTCCGGAAGCTATGCTGTACATGTTTGGAGATGATACCACAGGTGAGATTTGCGCAGATGACAGCAGCTTGACCGCCAGGCATATGAAATTCAAAATAAAGGTTAGGCAGGGGCAAGGGCAAGGACCCCTGTGAACTCTAAAATGCGCCTGTCTTGGGGTGCGAAGTAGCAAGACTGCTACATGGTGAAAGGCGACTGCTCAGTGCCAAACCGAAGCGATTCAATCGAAGAAGCAAAGCGATACAGAGCGTCACAGGCTAGCAATCAATCCATGACTACGGAGTAAAGCTATTCCAAACCTCGAAAAGGAAAAGCGAACCTTGTTTCATCGTCGTATCAAGAGCAAAGTGCGAGTCCGTTGCTACTTCATACTCCACTTCGACTGCATCAGTCCAAAGGTCCAGATTAGCAGGAGCCGCCACCGCATCGTCTACACCGCAATGCCCTATTTCTCGCCAGGTGTAATCCTTCAACTCGCCCAGCTGGCATGAGAATGCATTCCTAACTCTTGTCGATTTCAGCGCACTAACCTGTTCAACAACTGGATTGTTCCTGTTGCTGCTGCGAGGAGAGAGCGCACAGACTCGTTCGGGCCCCACTAAGGCACTACCGGCCATTGTTCGATTGGCTCACGACACAGTGCCCCTCTCTCGTAAAAAACGGCCCAATTTTTTGTTTACAGTGAAGAGATGGACCAACAGGGATCTTCTGCTGCAACTCTGCAACGCTGCGACACAAAAGCGCCTTGGGCGTGAGCTCGCTTGAGTGCTCGACATTTCTACGTCGTAATTTTTCTCGACACCCCCTCGAGCCTGACCGATCAAATATGCCGTTATGGCAACGCTGCAGTCTACCTCGTTCCTCTCTCGAACGAGATCCGGTCGCGTGCCCAGTGCCAGAACAGCGACTGCGACAGAGTCATTAGCGATCCCTCAAGCTGGTGCTGGTGCCGGCCCAAACATCTCCTTGCAAGCGCCGCTGTCCCCGTCCAACGTGTCGATTTTCCTTACCAACCTCCGCCTTCTCGACCTCGACCTCGAGCCTGACTGGCCAGACATCACAGCCCGCACGTTTTCAACAAAAGATGCTGGTCAGGGCCAGAAGCGGCGAGTCCAGACGGTAGAATGGGCGTTGTACCAGCTCTTCTGCCTCTGGGACCCGGAGGAGACGCTCAGCGTAGGAATAATTCTGCTCTCCCCGAAAAACTTATGGCCGGGCCACAGCTTCGCTGACGCAGCTTCTTTACGGTCTCCAGAAACTGCAGCCCTACTTTCCACCAGCAGACCAAGTGCAGTCTGTAAACCTGCGGGCCGCCCTGCTTCGAGCTCTCGAGCAGACAAAGAAGAACGGCACACTTGGCCGCGATGTCATCATACGAAAGACGATGCTGGATGAGTGCCGGGGCGAGCGACTGGAGGAGGTGCTGGCCGTCTTCTCGTCGGCCGTCCTGAAGAAGGTGGTGGCCGAGGACCAGCTAAACGAGGGCGGCAGAGAGCAGCATCCAGCTGCGGCCAAGTCTCTGGCGCTGGAGGACTGCGGATACACGGGCGAGCGCACGCCACTCACGGGTCTGATCCTGGCCCATCGCGTCTCGCTCAGCCGCGATCTGCGAGCCAAGGAGACGGCACGGACTCGGTACAAGGACTTTGCCGAGCTGCTGGACCTGAAGCAGCGCAGCATTGTGCAGCGCCAGGAGTGTGCAGAGGCCTTGGAAGAGGCGGCAAAGAAGAAGGGAGGACAAGAGGTTATGTCAGATGACGCCCGACTGCACGTGTGGCGGGTAGTGCGCAACAACTGGTCGGGTAGCGAACAGTGGATGGAGGCGCTTCTTTGCGGCGACGGTGACGGAAGAAGCAATACTACGAGCAAAACGGACAGAGACGCTGTGCTGTCGACACCGTACGACCGCGTCTGGCGACGAGTGCAAGCCGGCCGACTGGGCGAGCTCGAGGGCCACGGTGGCCGCGGCTTGTTGGAGCAGCTTGACAAGCGTGCCAACCTGCAGCACGAGAGGCTGCAGAAGTGGCAAGACTACCGCCGCACTGTTTTCAAAAAGAGCGCCAGCGAAGAATCCTCCCTTGCGGCAAAGACAGCTGCAGCAGCATCTGCGCAAGGAAAGAAGGGCATCGATCTGGGCTTTGGGGCCCATGGCGGACTCTATCCGGCCGCGGCCAGTCCAAGGAAGAGAAGCGCCCAGGAGACAGCGCCCATGCGGGGAGAGTACGCGGACCTGATCAAGGGTCTGACCGCTGAATTGGCCAATGTTGACCAGCCGTCGGGACAGCAGTCTCTGACGGCCTTTCTGCAGGCCAGGACGGCTAGGCTTGCTGGCGGCGCAGCGGAGACAAGAGAGAGGAGGAGCAGCAGCGGAGGGGGGCTAGAGGAGGCTGAGGTCTCTGACATCAGCGACTTTGAGGACCACGCGGCACCAGAGCAACCGATAGCACCGCAGACCAAAGACTTGATGCTGTCTCCCCGGGTCGGGCAAAGGACGTTGCTCAGCAAGGCGAGCATGACATTCAGTGTCACGACATACGACTCAGACGAAGATCTGGAGCCGCCGGCAAAACAGTGGCAGCCGTCATCGTCGCGGGCCGTGTCCGGGTCCGTGTCCGAGTCGAGGTCGGCATCGCTGGCATTGCCGCCTTCTGCGCATGCAGCAGCAGTAGCAGCCCAGTTGGAGGCCCTCGACATGCCCATCCGACCGCTGCAGTCGCCCCCAATATGGCCCCGAACGCCTTCGGCAAAGACGGCAGACGAAGTCGACAGGCTGCCGCAGACGCCAGTTCCCGAGGTTACAGTGTATATGCCCGACGACAGCCCCCGGTCACCATCGCCATCGCCGCCGCCACCGTCGTCGCCACCGGACGCGCTGGCGGACGAGATCCTCGCGTCGATGAGCAGTGGGTCGCCATCACCTGTCAAAAAGCCCAGGCACACGCTTTCGCTAGCACAGCGCACGCAGCTGTCTCTGGCCCGCACTCCTCGTGGGGCCGCGATGGGGAGGATGGGAGAGAGCAGCTTGGATTTCGATGACGACGACGACGAGCCCGACCTCCATTTGCTGCCCAGCCGACGAAACACGACTCCGGTGGCCGTGAAGGTGGGCAATGCCGAGGACGAGGCGCCGGAGCACGAAGATCTGGTGGCGAGGACACGCAGAAGCATGGCCGGCTTCGAGGCGTCGCGGCAGAAAGCACAGCTGGAACGGCGACGGTCGCAGCACCAGAGCAGACAGCTGCCATCAACACCGTCAGCGACAAAGTCTCTGGCGCATTTTGACACGGTGGAGGAGGGCGAAAATACGCTGATCCTGGCCGAAGAGCTGATGTCGGGCGAGCAGGACGACGCCGAGGCCATCTTCCGAAGCCGGCCGAAGATCAAGATGAGCCCGATCCCGAGCCCAACGCGGAGTCTCAGTCGAGCAGAGTGAGGAAGAGGGATGGACGTAGAGATGGTGAAGACTGGAGATTGAATCACAGCAAGCATATAATGAGCCAATGAGCAGACAACAGTTCCAAGACACATGCCATGATTTTGTGGATTTGTTGTATTCTATAGTACATAAGAAGCACATGAGCACCAGCTTCCAAGGTCAGACGTCGCTGTGTCCTGAAGCTATGCATACTACCAGCCTTGCTTGGCCAGCTCCTTGACGCGCTCGACAGTGGCCTTGAAGCTCTCGCGGAAGCGCCGCCGCCAGCGCTCGCTGCGCAGTCGCTTGCGCTTGAGGCCGGGCCGCTCGTGGAAGCGCTGGCGGTAAAAGTCGGCAGCGACGCCATTGCGGCGACAGTTGATGTTGACCAGCTGAAAAGCCCGGGCCTGGTCGACGTTGCCGCCGACGTGCACGGTGCGTCCGGTCGACGGCCGCAGCTGCAGCTTGGGCCCACGCGGCTTGCTGGCCATATGGCGCTTGTAAAAGTCGTCGCTGGACCACATTGCCCACTGCGCCGGGTTGTCGGACGAGTAGAGGTCCTTGAGCGGATCGCTGCTGTTTTTGGCTGTCTGTGGTGTCTGTGGTGTCTGGGCCGGCCGCTGAGGCGGCCATGCGGCCGGGCTGGACGGCAGTTTTTTGTCGAGACGGCGGCCCGTTGTTGAGAACGGTCTCGCGAGAATCGTCGCCGACCGGGAGAGTGGCGTTGCTGCTGCTGCTGCAAGGAAGCGGGAGAGGATCGTAGCCGGAGTTGCGGCCGGCCGGCAGAGCGCCAATTGGGCGACGCGGCGGGCCTCCATCGCTGCTGCACAATGCCAAGGATGTAGACACACAAATTCGTCGCCGTCTGTCTGTGGCCCGGGGGGGTTTCAGCTCGATATCGAAGCGCTTCTTCCTCCCCCCATCAAAAGCCATAATTTTCTGCCAGAGCTGTCGTGCCACCGAAATCATGCTCGGATATACTATTTTCCGTCCGAACGCGCTACCGGCGCAAAATGCATCGGGGCCTTGGTCTAGCAAATTATAGCTTCAGCGTCGCGTTTTTTGCATCTCTGCACTGCCGTTCTTGCATACCTCTGTGCCCACGTCTTGCCGTCCCCTCCATCTCTCCCCTTCACCGTTCCGCTTGTGTCTCTACCAACTACTTGTCACCGGCCGATGCAGAAGTGATCCAGCGTCGCACCTTTTCATCGCCGCCTTCGTTTGAACTGCAGCCTCCCCTGTCCAGCCTCTCGAGCACGCCAAACACGACATGGCTTACAACCCATACGGAGGTACGTTCTGCCCCAGCCGGCCTCACTTCGGATACTGCTCTAGATGCGCATGCTAACCACCCGCTACAGGGAATCCCTACGGGGCGCTTCCGAACTACAACCCGTATCCTGGCGCTGGCCGTGGTCATCCGGGCTTTGGTACGTGTTCTGCTGTTGGCCGTTGTCGTTGCCTGCCGTCCAAGCACTAACCTTCTTCAAGGCCCGCCTCCAGGCATGTCTCCTGCTCCGGGATTGGCACCACCACCTGGTGTGCTACAGCCGCCAAGTGCGACACAAGCTAATCGACCAAGCGGACTCCCCCCTTCCTTCCAACCACCGCCGAACCTGCCTAACATCAACTTCAACGCGCCCGTGATCCGGTTAGGTGGTGCCGGTGGTGCGTCGTCTCTGCCGGCACGACCAAACGCACCGACCGGGCCTTCGTGGCGCGAGCCCGACACGCCTCACTCTGCCGGCGGGCCGATGCGTCACGACTATGGCCGCTACGACAGGGGCGGCGGCATGGAGCAGGGCAGTCGTGGCGGCACCACGCGTGAGGTCATGCACTCGCTCTCTCCACCGACCAACGACGAGAAGCTGCGGACGATCTTTGTGCACAAGGTGCCGCCCAGCCTGGGCAACGGCCAGGCACTGGAGGGACTGTTGAGCCTCGTCGGCCGGTTGCGACGGTGGGACGCCGAAGTGTCACACCTGTCGGACCAGAAGGGTGAGCTCTTTGGATTTGCCCAGTATGAAGACGCAGACTCGCTGGATTCGGCTATCGAGCTGCTCAAGGGCGTGGAGGTGCCGCTGAAGAAACAGGAGCCCAAGGACACGACCGGCCAGGACGCCAATGGCACAAAAGAGGACGGCGGCAAAGAGCAGGGGAAAGAGGAGGATGGCAGCTTCGAAGGGATTGAGAAGGTGCTGCTGCAGGTGGCTGTGGACCCGGTCAGCCTCCAGTACATTGAGGCACACAAGGAAACACAGAGCGACGAAGCCGCAGCAGATGCCAAGGCACGGTTGGAGTTCAGCCGGAGGGCTCTCAAAGCGGCGATACACGACCTATTTTATCCGCCAAAGAGCGAGGCAAGAGATGCTGACAACGACGTCAAGATGATGGACGTTGGCGGACTGTCTGGAGAGGGAGTGGAAGTGCTGAACATTCCACTGGCACAAGACGACGAGCTAGCAGACATTCCAGCAGAGATGCGGGAAATTGTAGCGTCGGAGATCGCGTCATTCCGCGAGCGCAGCAACCGGCGAGACATGGAGCGGCTGAAGCGAGAGCAGGAGCTAGAGGAGCAGGAGCGGCGACGAAACGGCGAGATGGACCACCCCCGAGCATCGCATGCCGACTCATCAGCCCACATGAGCTCAAACAACATCCCGCTGGGGCCTCGCGGCAGTGGCGGTGGTAACAGCGCCGCGCTCGCACGCGGGGTGGCTCGGGGTGTGAGCTTTGTAAACGGCAGCGGTGCTGCGAATGGGAAGAACGAGTACGAGCGCGAAGACAGCGTGGACACGGACGCGAGCGACGAGGAGATTGTGCGACGCGAGGCGCGGAAGCACGCAGCCGAAGACGAGGCGATGTACAAGGAGGCTGAGCGTAAGTGGGTGAATCGCGAGCGACAGCGGGCGGCAGCACTGGAGCGAGAGAAAGAGCGTGACCGAGCTGAGGAAGACAACTTGGTGCGGCATCGCGAGGAGCAGCTGGAGCGGGAGAAAAACTGGGACGACGAGCGAGAGGCCAACCGCAAGAACAGCCTGTACTTCCGGGATCACGCAGCATGGCTACGCAAACGGGCACACGACCGGGCAGAGGAGGAGGCACGTGACGCAGCAGACCGACGGACAGAGCGGGAGGAGCTGCGGCGACAGGCGGCGGATATGGAGGCGGCACGCGGCATGGCCGACTCCTTCTTGGCCCAGCAGGCGCAGGGGATGGAGCGGGCACAGGAGCGGGAGCAGGAGCGGCGGGTCAAGGAAGAGGCAGCGAAGATGGAGGCAGGAGGTGGAGGACTGGGAGGACTGGGAGGACCGGGAGGACCGGGAGGACCGGGAGGACCGGGAGCAGCACCACAACGGGTGACGATCTCGTTTGGTGCAGCAGCACAGCGAGCACAAGCACAGCGAGGCGGGGCGACGCGGCGGACGGTGGCCGAAGTGGAGGGCTTACTGGACGACGAAGAGCAGGAGGCGACGACGAAGCGACAGCTGGTGCCGATCAAATTCGAGCCCATGTCAGCATCGGCCAGCATGACGGACGAGGAGATCAACCAGGCGGTGCGGGCACTGGCACAGGAGATTCCGACGGAGCGCGCGGGCTTGTGGGCATGGGACGTGCAGTGGCGCTTCATGGACGATGCGGTGATTCGCGACAAGCTGCGGCCGTTTGTGGAGAAGAAGGTGGTCGAGTATCTTGGCGTGCAGGAGCAGTTCCTGGTCGAGGTCGTCGAGGAGCATCTGCGCCGCCACGGTAAGCCTGAGGCGCTAGTCGAGGACCTGCAAGAAGCTCTGGACGAAGCGGCCGAAGACCTGGTCAAGAAGCTCTGGCGCATGGTCATCTTCTTCACCGAGAGCGAGAAGCGGGGGCTGCCAGCATAGTTTGTCTCTCCGACGGCCGTTCCCTGTCGTCTCCTTTCTCTTTCTCTTTCTTTCCTCTTTCTATCTACTCGACCATGTTGGGCTACAAAAGGACCGGAGAGATGTATTATACGTGCGAGGCAGAAGCTACAACCAAGCGAACTGAATCGAAGCAAGACTTACTCGAGCCGAGGCTCATGACGGCTTAGCGGCCCCGCTCATGGTTCCCCAGATTGACTCCGCACTGTGGCGTACCATTACATAAGACAGTCCTGAGCTTTGCTCCTGCCGCTTTCCTGTCTCCTGTCTCCTGTCTCCTGCATCGTCTATCCAACATGGCCAAAACAGTGTTTTCTTCGTCGCCGCCGGCTGTGACTGATGTCCTCGTGAGCTTCCCGGTGCCACACGTCTTGCTGGTGACGCTGAACCGGCCGGGCCAGCTCAACGCCCTGCGCCGAGCCCAGCACGCGGCCCTAGACCGGCTCTTCCACTGGTACGATGCGGAGCCGAGTCTGCGCTGTGCTGTCATCACGGGCACGGGTCGTGCGTTTTGTGCGGGGGCGGACTTGAAGGAGTGGAACGAACGGAATGCGGAAAAGGAGGCAGCCATGTCGACAGAGTCTTCGTCGTCCCCCTCGACGGCCAGTTGGGCTGGCTCCGGCTTTGGTGGTCTCAGCAACCGTGCAGGCAAGAAGCCGGTCGTGGCGGCCGTCAATGGCCTCTGTCTGGGTGGCGGCATGGAGATGGCCGTCAACTGTGATCTCGTCGTGGCCGCGGCGTCTGCTCGCTTCGGCCTGCCCGAGGTAGCTCGCGGCGTCGTCGCCATCGCCGGCGCCCTGCCGCGGATCGTCCGCACGCTTGGTCGCCAGCGTGCCGCCGAGATGGCTCTGACCGGCCGCGCCTTCTCGGCCGCCGAGATGGGGCGCTGGGGGCTCGTCAACCGGGTCGTGTCCGAGGCTGCCGACGTCGTCCCCGTCGCGCTCGAGCTCGCCCAGGCCGTTGCCGCCAACTCGCCTGATGCCGTCATCGTCTCGCGCGAGGGCCTGCGGCTCGGCTGGGAGAGCGTCGGCCCGCAGCTCGGCACCGAACTGCTTGAGCGCGGCCTCTACGGCCAGATCGACCGTGCATCCAACATGCGCGAGGGCCTGCTGAGCTTCGTCGAGAAGCGTGCGCCTGTATGGACAGACAGCAAGCTGTAGGCCTTTCGAGGTCGCACGACTGCCAGCAGACGGGCTGCGCATGAGAGGAAGGGAAGATGGAGGCCGTTGTGCAAACTAGCTGAGACCGATTATCGATATTGCCTGCAGAAAGTTATGACCAGAATGTTACCAGCAGTTGCTCTTTAGCTATCTTATATTTGAATGTTGTAGAACAACCCAGAAGGAGTCTCAAATTCCAGTCATACATGTAACTGTGTGTAATAGGATTGAGGGCTCACAGACAACACAATTTGCCCACGACCCACCGACATTTTAGGTATCGGAACCGTAAAGATCAGTGCCGTCCGGAAACCCTCTACAAACCCCTAAAATCCACTACATAGTTAACGGGCCATTCCGCCAGTCTATCTTAGCTTGCACTTACACCGCAACATTCACTTCCGGGAACAAACTGCCATGTCGGATACTTTGCGACAATGGGCGCGAGACCTGCGAAGACGACTAGGATATCGAGCGATCTCGAGAGCGGAAAGAAAAGAGCCCGAATTGCCATACCTTCCTGAACGTTCGCCTGTTCCGTGGACTACGCCAGAGGACAGCACAAATGGAACGGCCGGTAGCGCGTTGTTCACACGGCTGCCACCAGAGATCCGCCATACAATCCTTGTCATCGCGTTTGGAGGCCGCACGTTGCACATGAGCCTGCGGCTCGGCGCACCACTGCTGCCGCGATCGAAGCGGCCACTCCTTGCCAATGCTCTGCAATGCATGCCCCACGGCGGCATCACCGCCGCTATCGAGGTTGGGGTTTGGCCCAATGAGGTGATGGATGCTGCACGACGCGTGCGGGAGGCCACGCCGGGAACCAAGCCTGTCTGGCAATGGTGCGCTTGTGTGTGCCACCGAAATCTGCCTTTCGGAGACGAGCGAGTCGTGGTCGCGCCATGGGAAGACACTTGTGCCACGGGCGTGGCAAAGTGGTGCCGTCTGTATCCGGGCGAGTCCCCGGACAACTGTCTGATCGGCTGTACTGGATGGCTGACAACGTGTCGCCAGGCGTGTGTACCCTCTGCCTGCTTCAATGTCTCTGTTCGTCGGCTTACTTTCCTCGTCCAGGTACACCGAAGGAATACAAGTCCTGTACGGTACAAACACGCTGTTCATAGAGGGCGGTCCGCTCATCGCAACACTGCTCCAAGCATCGTCGCTGGTGTTGGGCAGCGCTCTCTCCCGTCGCATTCTCGTGCCGCCTCGTCAGATGGCGCTGCTAACAAAGTTGGAACTGGTCTGGCAATGGACGCTGTTTATGCGGCCCGATCAGGTCAAGGCGCAATCCGCCAATCGGTCAGAAATGGCACGAAGCTTTGACCTGCTGCCGCGGACATTTCCACACCTGCTTACCCTCTATATCTCTTACCTGGACGGGCTCTACGATAGGTCTGTGCGGCCCGAAGAGTATGAGGCCGAAATCGAGCAGGAATTATTCCTGCCCCTGCATCAAATGGCCTGTCGGTTTGGCAGACTGGGAAAGTGTATCGTAGAGATTCCAACAGTCGTGTTCCAGCCACTCCTGGCAAGGGCAAAGAAAGGCGGAAACGAAATCGACCAGGGACACTCGTATCACGACGTTCGGTTCTGGTGGCAACCGGAACCGATGCAAACAGGGAAAGTCGGACTCTGGGTCAAGTCGGGCATCGAGGGCAATCTCTTCTTCGATCACAAGGGTGAGGCGAGAACCCGTAATACGCAGCTTAGCATATTGTTTTAATCAGGCTTGTACTAGCAATATCATGTTTGGTCCTCCATGTTCCCCATTCGGGGTGCAGAAACGGCTAAAGCGGACGGAATCGTTGTTGCAGGGTTGTTGATACCAATCAAAAGCGGCTTCTCAGACATGTCGGAATTCAAGGTGTACATACTCGAGATCGATCCCAGTAGAATGGGCAATGGCCCAACAGCAACTGGGGCATCCTGCCACCATCCCAGACTGAGGGCTAGAAGGAAGCGTAACAGGAGGTATCAAGCTCTACAATGATTTGAGAAAACCGAGAAGGAAGCAGACACTGCACGATACAATGAAAGTGAAGATCTTAGGCAATTGGTAAATAAAATTCGGCAGTTCCCTGCATCCCCCGTTGCATATGCGGCGATAGTGCCTCGTGACCATTTCTCTTCGCTACACGAAAAAGGTGTTACTGCACAGTGAAGAATATTGTAGCGGCCTGCGAGCAATTGGCATTGTGTTGCATGCTTGAAATACTAATTGGGGAATCCGAAGAGATTTTAGGCAGCTGCATGTATAATTGCTTTTTGTTTCAAAAAACAAGGCAGAAACGGATACATTTTGGCTGCATCGGTGCCCGTGACCTTGCACCCATCGCATCTCAGCTTCCAAGAAGAATAGAAGCTAGCCTTATATTGGATAGACAGGAGAAAAGTTGCTATGCAAAAGGACTTTCGTTGGCTTGGCATCGTCGGTGGTGCTTCGTGGTTTCATCTGTTTGGTCGATTTCAAGACGGCGTATTCTGTATTGCTCAACAGTTACAGGAAGAATCCTTACTGGAGAGACAATGACTAGGGCTCGAAATCGTAATGGCCTGGTCACTCCCATTGATGTTCGATGATACAACAGATAGAAGTGAATAGAGTGAAGGTACGTAAGCATAGACAGAGATGTGTATAAATACGGATGTTGCTTCCCCTTCGACAAAATAGTTCGTTTCTTCAAATCAAGCAACTGTTCATTACAAAACCCAACAATTAAACAATACGACTGTCCTTCTTAGCTAATGTGAGTCTCTCCGCGCTGTTCATGTATATTCATTGCCCTAATCTCACCTCGACAGTCACAATGGCTACCATCACTTCCACTGCCACCGAGCAACCCGCCTGGATGCTGCGACTTCGTGCCGCGAAGTCTGAGCTTCAAGCATCGTAAGAGAGCAACGACCTTGCTGGATATTTCTCAACCGGACCTGAGTCCTTCGGCATCAGACTTCAGAGTATTTAAAGCACCGATGGTGCTGAGAAGCTGAAGGCGCACGTGGCGCAGTTGAAGGCGCATGCGGGAATGGTGAAGCAACAATGGACATCGTTTCGTGCAAGTTCTTCTGCCACTGATGATGAGTTGAAGCCCATCGGCAAAACTCTCATTGAACAGCATCAAGAAACAAGTGACCATCTCCATAAGTTGACAAACAAGCTCAGGGACGATAAACTAGACAAAAAGACTGCCAGGGAGAGGTTGGAAGAAGGTCGCCAGTTAGCCAAAAAGAAGTCCAGCGAAATCATCGACAAAGCATTTGATGCTGCATCTGCGGCAATTTCGGCGATGCCAGAATCTCAACAGCAGAAGGCAACGGATGTATGGCTGGCTATCTCTAATGGATTTGTAAGTTTCTGGAAACACGTTTTGGACCAATTCTTGGACACGGTCAATGCTGTTATCAAGTGGCTTGCGAAAGTCTGGGAAACGGTCAAAGAGGCGTGGAACACGGTGAAGGGAATTTTCGTGGAGGCTTGGAAGTGGTTTAGCAGACTGTTTTGAGACAGGATACTGATTACTGTCTTGACAAGCTGACACTAGCTGTATGGAGTGGGCTTCGAATTGCATTACTTGGTAGCCAGTGGAAGCCCACAGGACCCTAGGGGTTTTTGAAGTACTTGAATTCTTTTCTGACCATACCAGTCTCTACCTTATTTTATAGTCGACATTGTTGCGGGCCAAATCACCGAACCTGGTCCTCCTAGTTAGCTTTTATTAGTGCCAAGCTGATAGTCAAATAAACTAGGTCATCATACGGGTTACGATGTCGAGAGTGCGCTGCTCGACTGGGTCGAGGCCGGTACTGTTGAAACTATGCTAGTAGAGCTGGCCGTGGTGGTGGTGTTGCCGCCTGGCTCCATGCCATCGAGCAGAACACAGACGTCATAGTCTGGCAGCAGCTGAGCACAATCGCTGGTACCGTTGGCGACGGACGGGTTCCAATCGAGGAACTGCTCCAGAGTGAGAGAATTGGCCGTGATAATAATATCGCAGGTATCGGAACTGGCCAGTTAGCAGGCATGCAGAGTTTGGCAGTGAAGAGGAAACAGAGACGCCACACACTCTTTAACAAGCCACCAGCTGTTGCAGTCCGAAGCAATTCCCGTTTGTACGGGCGCAGTAGCTGTGGGTGTGGGCGTCACGATAGCTGTGCGAGTAGTCGGCGTGCCGGGGACAGAGACACAATAGTAGGTGTCTTGCTATGGTTGCAGATGGAGTTAGGGTTGTGTCAACACCAAGGTGAGACGAATCTTACCACAAGTTCTGTGCAGCCCTCGCCGACACTCGGGTTCCAGCTGATAAAGTCAGACGCAGAGAACGTGCCGAAGATGGCCGATACGACAGCACAGTCGTCATCGCCACTGGTCTGGTACCATGAGTTGCATGTCGAGATGGTGTCGCTGGGAGCCGAGGACGGCTTCGCGCTGACTGTTGGCGGCGGAGGCAGGTCGCTCTGTGAGCCGGACCACTCGCTGACACAGTAGTACACACCGGACCACAGGCCGTTACAGTTGCCGTCGAGATAGGAGTTGTAGGAGAGAAACTCGTCCTCCGTGATGTAGCCCAGCTCGGCAGCCACGACGCTGCAGGTGTCATTCTGCCATGGGTCAGTTGTGTCCAGCTAATTTGCGACGAAGAAAAGCACTCACCTCTCTCGAGAAGTAGTAGTTTGCGCAGTTTGTCGGTAGCGGGCCCTGGGTAGGTGACGGAGTGAAGCTGTAGTCGATCGAAGGCGTTGGCGTCGGCGTCCACGGCACCTCGTCCGGGATGGTTGGCGTGGTGGTCGGATACTCGAGCGTGAGCGATGTCTGCGGTTGGATGCCTACGCATACCCAGTACATAACGTATAGGCCGGTACAGTCGGCGCCGACGACGGGATTCCAGGCAAAGCTACGCATGTCAGTGGTGCGTGCTTGAAACTGGTCATAGGGCCGCAGCTCGATACTCACAAGTCGGCCAGGGTCATCCAGGTGGAGTAGGCGAACGCGATGGTCGAGCAGGTGTCGCCTGGCTGCACCAGATGCCAGTAGTTGCAGTAGCTAGGCTGGCCGGCCTGTGTCTGGGTAGGCGGCCATGTCGTGCCGACCGTGGGCGACGAGATATTCCATGACGTCACCGGGAAGCGTGTTGAGTAGGGGGTTATTGTCGCGTTGCCTGTTGCGTTGATGCTGGAGCTGATGGCGGAGCTGGAAACGAGGCTACTTACGAAGCTGGAAACGATGCTGGATGGGACAGCTCCGACACCGACACAATAGGCCTCACCGGTCCAGAAGTTGGTTGCGCAGTCGCTGCTGACAGCTGGGTTCCAGGCAATGAACTCGGCGTGTGTGATGCCATAGGCCGATTCGACGGTGGCGCACGTGTCACCTTTCTTTATTAGGTACCAGTTGTCGCAATTGGACGCTGTGCCAGTCATAGTTGGGCCCGGAGGACTGGTCACTGTCGGCACGGACGTTGTCGCAGAGAGGCTGCTGGATTGCGTCCTTGTGGCTGACAACGACGTCACCAAAGACACGCCAACACAGTAGGAGTAGCCACTCCAGAAATTGGTCGTACAGTCGCTGGACACGGCCGGATTCCAAGCCAAGAACTGGGCCAGTGTGATGCCAAAGCTGCTCTCGATAGTCTCACACGTGTCGTTGCTCTGGACGACATACCACTCGTCGCATGTCGAGATGGTGCCTGTCTGTGTCGGGCCCCCTGGAGTCGATTCTTGCCCGGCAGCACAGCCGGCAAGCAGGCCGATCGCGGCAAGCAGAACGGACTTCATATTGCGCAAGTCTCTGCAGAACACATCACAGGATGAGAGGAACTCTTGCGGTTTTCGACCTTTCACTTGGAGCGCGACTTGACTCTGGCAGACTGACGAGTCGATGTTACGCTGACTGGTGTGATTTGTAAGACACCGAGAACTCGGTAGCAACAACGAAATTACACCGAGGACGCAGAGTAAGATGCAAGTGAGAAATGGATGCATTCATCCGACCAAGACCAAAGCTGGGCCATTGTACCCGGTACTCCAGACGGTACTTCGTCCCGTTGCGCGTGGCAGTCGAGCTGCAGCGATCCGACCTGCCTTTTTGGATATAAGCTCCGCGGATATAACCGGCCCCAAACAGCATATCTTGGTGATACCCCGCAGTAGTGCTGCAGGGGATGGCGGCACGCGTGGCTTCCCGTTGCATTTTGCCTAGAGTAAGCACTAAGCACTACGCCGTGCTGACATGATAAGGCATACTCCGTAAACGGGCCGTCAGTCATCTTATGACCGGTCGACGATGCCTTGGCTGTGTGTATTATGAGATGATCCTTCAGCAGGGGTGGAGCCTAGTGCTTGCTTTTTTTTTTCAATTGTCAAAAGACTGGAACTTCGAAGTGCCAGTCCTTGGCAGGCGCCTTGCATCTGCCCAGTCGATATTCCACTTCTGTACTCATTCGAAGTCCTTCATTCTCCGAGTCTTGAGTCCTTGATTCGGGCTCGCCCGTTCATCTGTTCTCTGTTCACCATGTCCTTACGCCACTGCCTTTCATGCTTCGTGGCCAGTGCTGCGCTGATACAGGGCACTCTGGCCGGCAACCGGGCATGGGAGTCATCCCTGCGATATCTGGCCCCGCCAGAACGACACCAAATCACGGTGGACGGGGCGGGTCATGCGTTTGTGGACAACACGACAGTGAAGCGTCTTGCTGAGCGCTACCTCTCAATCCAGCCCGATGCCGGGACGTCTGGCTTCAAGATCTGGCCATCGTCGACCATCAGCTTCTGCTTCGAGACGCAGAACGCGCGCGACACGCTGTGGGAGCATCTGGAGCTGGCCATTGAGACGTGGCGCACCGACGGCGAGGGCGGCACCGGCCTGCACCGCGACGTGTACAAGTACATCGAGGTCTTTGACCCGGGTGCCAGCTGCGTCAACAACAAGCAGCGCGACCGCGTGCTGGTCATCAGCTACAACGCCGAGGGCCGGCTGTCGACAACTATCGGTATTGCGGCGCTCGATGCCAGCGCCCCCGAGTACAAGGGCCCCTCGATGGCGCTCTCGGACAAGGCTGGCATCGGCATGCTCGACATCGTGGCCAACTACGCGCACGAGATCGGCCATTCCTGGGGACTGTACCACGAGCACCAGAACATCAACTACTGGGGCAGTCCCTACAATACCGGCTCCTTTGGCAGCGCCATCTTTGGCGACAGCTTCGACTGCACCGTCCTCAAGGACTACCCGGACGCCATCTCGCGCGCCAAGGCCTCGGGCGACGGTGACGATGACCTGCTGTGTCACTTTCGCGGCGTCGCGGCCAAGTACAAATTCAGCGCCGTCGACTGGCTGCCCATCAACGGCCGGACACGCATGCATCCCGGCGCCGGTGGTGCCGGGCAGTCTGTGCCCACATACGCCAACGTCGACTGGAAGTCCATCATGTTGTACCCCAGCGGTGCCGGGGCCATTGGCGAGGCGGCGCCCCCGGGCGGCGACTCCGACAAACGGTCCAACGTGCTGCTGCGCAACGACGGCCAGAAGCTGGGCATCAACCTGGTGCCGAGCGCGCTGGATATTGCCGGCGTGCGACAGCTGTACGAGTCCGATCTCGGCACCGGCTCCTTTTCCGGCCTTCCAGTCTTGCCCAACAGTAAGAGCAGCAAGTTCTTTGGCAAATTCAAGGACTCGTTCAAGAAGAAGAAGGGGTGTTAGTGGCCTTCTGACCCACTTAAGTATTCTTCCCTGTGATTGGTCAGTGTGGACACAGTGGGCTCAGACACTAGTATCAAAACAGATCCCAGAAGGGTCGCGATGTATCTATTTTCTCCTTAGTACACCTTACCATTCAGTCTCCTCCTCCTTTTAGTGCAATACACCTTCATACGAATGAAACTAGTCCTTGTGACAGTTGGTCTTGTATATGTTGAAATTAGGATTACTCATACGACTCTGCCTACCATTTGGAAGATACTTTTGCACTTGGTGCAAGTGGTATAGCAATTCAACAGTTTGAAGGCTATCTGCTCGCCGATTCCAGCTACCTATGAATCATCGGTGCTATTGCTTCCCGCATATACGTAATAGTCTGCCTCCATCCCGGTAGCATTGTACGTATTCGACTTCTTGCGAGACAAGTTGGATCCCAGTGCATCAATAAGAGTTCCGTCATCCAAGTCAATCGCCCACACCATCGTTCTGTCTCGTTAGCTTATTCCTGATGCGCGGCCTTCCCTCAAACAGGACAACGTACCCTCCTAGACAACGCTCGTTGGCAAAGTTCTGTTTAAGCTTCAGCGTCTCGGCATCGTCCCAGCTGACCCACTGGTTCGTGTCCCAGGTGACGATCTTGACGGCAGCCACCGGGTCGAACGTCACCGTGGCCCCGGCAGCAATGATCTTGACGATCTCCGCGGCCGACAGCACGCCGGGAGTACCAGTGCACTCACCGCCGTTGGCTCCAGACGTAAAGGGACAGCCGGCCGTCATGCAGCTGGGGTCGGCCATGGTGAAGCCTGTGCATTGTTAGCCATACTTGTCAGCACGCGAGGCTAGAAGCGCACATACTTCGACCATAGAAACCAAGGCCCATATTGACGCGCTCTGGGTTGATGTTGTTGCGCCACAGCAGCTCGAGGCCGGTGCTGATCTCAGTCAGGTTGGTGTGGGCATACGCAAACGAGCCGATGGACTGGACCGTGCTGTCCCAGACACCGTCTGTCTTGTCAGATGGTGATCACTCATGCTTGTAAAGCTTAGAGAAACCTACGTATGTCGTATGTCATCATGTTGAACCAGTCCACGTAAGGCTCTAGGTTGACAATGTCGAAGCCGCGCAAATACCAGTATGAGGAGGGCTTGCTTAGTCAGCATTCGGTAGCACCAGCTTTGGGCATGAAACCTACAAGCGTGATGCTCAGACCAAACTGATGGCCGCTGCCGTTCATCCGAGTCCGGAGGCGCTTGAGCATGTTGACGTAGTTGTCAAAGTCAGCCTCGGTTCCGCCGCGGTCGTCGGCCACGGGATACTGCGAGATGGTCAGCCTGTATCGTACGGAGGAGACAATCGCAAGGATCATACCTCCCAGTCAATGTCCACGCCATCAAAGCCGTGTGTCAGCATGAACATGATGAGGGACTCGAAAAAGGCATCCTGGTTGGTCTCGGACTTGGCCACGTCGGAAAAGGCCGTCCGGTACGCACCCGGGTCGTTCATGGCCCAACCGCCAACGGCGATCCAGACCTCCAGGCCGGGCTGCTCGGCCTTGAGCGCAGTCACCGCGTCGTAGTGGCTGGCCGTATCCGAGTCCATGGCCACGACGTGGAACGTGGTCGGGTCGATCAGGGCAAAGGCAAAGTTGATGTGTGTATAATAACCGAGGGGAATCTGGCTGGCCGACATGGCTGTGAGGTCAGCATAACAGGCAGCAAACAGCATACAGCATAAAGCATACACAGCTCACTTACTGCCACATGCACGCTGGCCGTTCCAGCCCTCGTAGTAGCCAATCGTCCGGCCGTCAGAACTTTGTTTCCGGAGCATTGGGGCGAAGACACGACGGCGCTGCCACAAAAGTCAGACGTGGTGCCGCAGAAGCCATACTTGCTGCAGCAGACGTTGAGCGGACAGGTCGACGCGTTGGACCACTGCAGGCCCCAGCCCGGGTCGCACTCGCTCTTCCACGAGCACTGCGACGTGCACTTGTCGCCACAGTAATCCGGGCCGGCGCCGCACACACCGCCGCCCGTTGCATTTCTTCGCAGGTCGTTAGAAAACAGGGTCGAGACAGCGATGATGGTCAAGATTGACTTACAAAGGCCCGCAGCAGCCAATGTCACAGCCTCTAGTCGCGGTGCAGGTATAGTCGGAAGTAGAGGCATCTTCCGTGGCTTGTTGTACAAAGGACGCTGCAAAGATGCCTGTGAAAATGCCTTGCAGCAAGAACAAGCTCCTCAAGACTGCCATTTTCATGAAACGGATGCGGTGTAGCGATTTGTTCAAAGTCTGCAATAACAGTCAAAGAAATGGGAAGAGGAAGACGCTCTCACAGCTTAATCGAAGCGGCGACTTTCCTGCGGATCGCCGAACGATGTCATAGTACTCAGTACACCCACCTCTGCTATCAATACTGTCACTATTGTACCTACTTCGTCTATTTGCTGACATGGTGGGTGCGCGTAAGATAGGTGTTGATCCCATTGACGTCGCAGTCCGTCTTGGGTAGCAGCCATAGCGGATCCCATCTAAGCCATCCCACCCTATTCTAAGGAGATCTTGGTAATCACGGCGCGGCAACATATCAGACGGCCCCGCTCAGGAGCCAGGGCCAAAAGGCTGAGTCTCGGATGCGTCTTACTCCGAGTCTGACAGAAGTACGTAAGAGAATCGGGACGGTCCTGCTATGTAGATAGAGAAGACAGAGAGTGCCACAAGGAAGAACAGCATCGAAGACCCAGTCTGTTGCCAACCATGACGATGGCTTCACTCCGGACTTTCTGGCTGGCCGCACTCGCATTGTCGTCGGCACCGTTGGCCGCCGGCCATCCCCGTGGCGGCCGTCAGGGCACTAACATGACCACGTCCACATCGCCGAACCTGGTCGGGGCGCTGTTGCGCCGCGACACTGATCCGACAGACTTCTCGTGGATCTCCAAGTGGGCGGCCATTGGCGACAGCTACACCGCAGGCATCGGCTCCGGCCAGCAGCTGGGCATCCCCCTCACCGATGACTGGTACTGCTCGCGCTACAGCTACTCCTGGGTCAAGATTCTCAACTATGCTTTTGGCCCCACGGTGACAGACTTTCAGTATCCAGCCTGCAGCGGCGCCCGGACCGAGCAGATCTACAACCAGGTCATCGACCTTAGCGGGCAGCTGGACCTCGTCATGCTGACGGCCGGCGGAAACGATCTCTGCCTGGCCACGATGATCACCAACTGCATCCTGCTCGCGTGGCGGGGCGAAGACGTGTGCCAGCAGATCATCGACAAGGCGCAAGAGAACATCGACACCATCCTCAAGGACAACATCCGAGACATCCTCTCGGCGCTCAACAGCGTCGTCAAAACAGACGGCTACGTCGTCTACAGCGGCTATGCGCCCTTCTTCGACACCACCAGCGAAGACTGCGCCGACCTGAGCAAGCAGTACTGGGCCATCAAGGAGTGGTGGTGGTGGTCGTACTGGTTCAGCTCGCCGCTGAAGCTGACTATTGACCGGCGCAACAAGTTCAACACGCTGGTGGCCAACATCAACCAGGCCATTTCCGACGTGGTCGACGAGTACTCTACCGACACGGCGATCCAGTACAAGATCACCTATTCCGACTGGTCCGACTGGGGCGGCATCGTCGACGGCCAGATGTGCTCGCCCAGCGGCGTCGGCCTGTATCCGGAGCCGAATCAGGCAGAGCTCCAGTTCATCAAGCGCAACACGTACGTGAAGCCCAAGTCGTATCGGGAGCTGAGACGGAGCGAAGACGCAAGCGCAAACGCAGACGACAAGATGCGCGCGGCTGCCGAAGCGGCCATTGGCGGCGAGATGACCGAAGCGCAGCGCCAGCACTTCCTCGACCATCTCGAGGCCAAGTGGGCCAAGGTCGACATCTACGACTCGCTGCTGTACAAGTCGCGAAGTCCGCGAGCCGAGGTGCTGCACAAGCTGAACCCGCGGGCGCCGTCGCCGCCCAACTGCCCGGGTGACGACAGCACGGATCCGACGTTGGGCGTTGGGCTGCCCGACAAGCTGGCTGCCAACTTCCATCCCAACGAGCGTGGTCACGAGAACATGGCGGCCTTTGCGATGGAGAACCTCGTCTGGCTGCGCGCCCAGGCGCTCGGCGTCGATGATCCCGTCTGCCACGTCAACACGGACATCTTCACCTGTTGGCAGCCGGACGGCAAGAAGGCCTTTGCCAGCGGCGACCGCATGAACGAGAACTACAAGGATTTCTGCAATACCGTCGACAAGGACCATCCGTCTGACACGCTCAACTGGGCCAAGAGCAAGACGTACCACGCCGGCACCCAGGACGAGCATGAAATATCCGTCCAGCTGAGCAACGGTGCGTCCACCTGGGACAAGGCCCAGTGCCTCGACTCCTTCAGCCGCATCATCAACGGCTGCGACGGAAACGACCCCAACAACCCGCTCGACTTCAAGTTTGGCGGCAACTACGTCCGCGGCGACTACACGTACCAGGTCAATCCTAAGCACGATCGAACGCTCGTCAAGGCGCCTACGGGCGACTGCAAGGGCTCCTACAAGCCACTCTGGGGCTCCTATACCCTGCGCGGCTCCGGATGGTCTGGCTACGACTTTGGCGCTGACACCCTGCTGCCATCAGCCAAATCGTGCGTCGGTGGCGGCATCACCAACTGGCATTTTGACTATTGCCTAGACGGCGACGATTCGTGTGGCGGCTTCGAGTGGAAGGCCACGTTCCGCACGCCCATCTGGGTGCGCACCCGCTGCTTCAACAACGACAAGGTGCAGAAGGGAGCCGGCGGATCGACAAATGGGGTTGGATGGGGTAGTGTTGGATGTTCGGGGAGTGATTGAGTATGTGGACATGGTTGATTGTATATGCCAAAAGCTATGGTAATAGCGATACTCTAAGCAAAGGCCAGAAAGCGGCACCACCACAACCCGGTAAGCTTCGATTGAGATAGCAAAGAATAAGAATAAAGATATACGGAGTATGTATTTGAGTTATAGATGCCTAGTCCGCATCTATGTCTTGTCATCGTAGGTACGGAATATTCGTACTAAGTTATGCCGACGTGCATAACCTCCCCTGCTGCATAGCGCACTGCGCCACACTGTACAAGTCTTCCCCAGTTCGGCCTAGTCTATTCGCATTAACCCCTCCCGATAAGCATTAAAGCCCACAGCTGGATACAACAATTTACCGTCTTTATCTCGTCGCGGCCTGAACTGCTTGTGATGTAGGCCAATCGACGAGGAGCAGGCACCCAATAGCGACACGCAGTCCCTCCACAACAGACGTCTCGGTCTCCAGTCGGGCCGTAATATTTTATAAAATGTTGGATAAAACTGGGAAAAGAATGGCCATTTTTCACCGCAAAAAAGCAAACACGCATTTGTGTCATCTTTCTGCCCGCTTTTCTCTGCTTTCAAGAGAAAGCGATCAATGAGACCGGAAGCGACACGATGGCCCAACAGATGGCCACTTGGTACGAAGCGGCCTCTCCGCATCGGCAGGATGTCCTGGGCGAATATGCTGGCCACGAGCTGTGCGCGATCCACGGCGAGTCGTTGCTGATGCATTGTCTCGAAGAGGCCCAGGTGGATTTCCAGGGTACGCACGTCCGCTCTCCTACCCCGCACTCGGCTGTCGTCTAACTGCTCTCATTCACAGGAGGATTTCAGATGCTGCATGCCGTCCACGCTGTCGAGACATTTCTGGCCAAGCTGCGGGACCGAGGCTGCAATTTCCACGTCATCTGGTTTGCCGACCACGAGGGCCTCCTGGCTCCCCAATCCACGCTCGACAATGACAACGACTGCAGCCCGGTCGAGAAGCATGTCCGGGCAACAGCTCTCAGCAAGCGTCGTCTTGCCCGTGCTGTGGTGATGCGTCATCTACAGCTGTATGCCGACAAGATCACACCGCCCAAGCCAATCACTTTTGTGTTCGCGTCCATGGACTGCCAGGAGTACAAGGACTACCAGGCGCTCCACCCGCTCCGGCTCTTCTTCGTGTCGGACGGTCAGATGATGGCCAGCCAGAGCGGCTCTGAGGCGGGAGCTGAAGACGGCAGCGTCTTGACCTTCCAGAGCGTCATGTACCGCCTCAACACAGAGGGCTACACCGTAGCTCTTATTGACGATGTCGAGTTCGTCAGCTCAGAGGTTAGTTGTCCGGTCCTGGTCTTGTCTTTCGGCCCAACATGCTAAACATGCTTTCCCCAGGCCCGAGCATCACTCTTTTCAGAAACCTCCGACCTGCCGTTTGCCAAGGAGCTCTGGCACTCAGCGCCGGCCCCCAAGACACACATGCCAGCCAACATTGACGTTGGTCTGATCTACGACCGAGTCGTGTCCGAGTTTGAGAAGACAGAGGCAGAAAAGGAGACGAGCAAGTCGATTCGCGAGCTCATCTCGATGGCTGCCCTTGCCGCACTCTTGGAGGTGGACGGCAGTGCGGAGATGCGGAGCCGAGCTGCTGCATTTATCGTGCACCAGATCATGCTGCAGCACTGCCCTCTTCCTGCTCGGCCGGCGAAACCAAAGTACCCGACAAACGCAGATGAGGCAGAGTTGGACAGCCTGTTCATCAACAGGTACTCGGACGCGGCGCGAACGCTGGTGGGAAGCCGTCAGTGGGAAGGCAAGGAGATCTGGGACGCATACGACCTCGTGGACGGGCGGATCTGGCTGTCGGTGATGGGAGGCCTGGACACCAAAGCAGTTCCGCAGGGCCTCTCATCCGATGCCGTCCGGCTCTGCAGGCGGCTGGCCACAGTGGTCGGCATTGTGGGAGGGGTGGACCTCCTGTGCCACTTCACAGACGGAGCCTGCTCGACGTCTCAAATTTCCTCGGCTTCTGCTGCCAGTGCAGATATCACTCCCGAGGGCTCAGTCCTTCCGTTTTCGCACCACGACTTTGACGAGATCCTGTCCAGTGTCTCAGTCACGACGGCCGGCCCGGAACACAGCGGCAAGGCATCGGCTACGGCCAAGTTCTCCACACTGGAAGTCAGCCACAGCTCGAAGAAGCCGGTCGCGGGCAAGGTTGACCCCAAGGCGCAGGCGCGGGTGCTGCGGCGGAACCAGCGGTTCATGGCAGAGATCATCGCGTACGCGGCCAGCCTGACGAATGCAGCGGGCAAGGGAATCAACCCCGAGACGATCGTGGTGGCGCCTCCGGCGTCGGCAGGTGGCGGGAAGAAGGCCAAGCCGAAGGCGGTTGTTGAGGAGGCCAGCCGACAGAAGGCGTCCAAGGCACCCAAGGCGCTCAAGGGTAAGGCAGGAGCCAAGAACGACTTCAAGCAGAAACTGCTGGAGCAGCAGCAGGCGCTGCAGTCGTCGAAGCAGGCCGACAAGATGGCAGCGGTCAGTGCGACGTGGGGAGTGGCCCATGCCAAGCTGACGGCCGAGAAGGATCTTCTGAAGCAGTACCGGGCGACGGTGAACTACTTCCGGAGCCGGGCAGTGCTGGAGCCGGACACGGCGGGGTCGGACGTCCTGCTGCTCATCTGTAGCATCCTGGGCCGGGTGCTGGCGAGTGAGGCGGGGGCGAAGATACGGCCAGACATTAGCGCGCTGGTGTGGCTGCAGCTGCAGGAGATGAGCAAGCTGCCGCTCTCTGGCGAGGCGGAGAAGCTGGCAGAAAAGCTGGCGGGCAACCTGGGCTTCTCGCTGGCGCTGACGGCAAGCACGGCGTCGCCAACGTCGCCTGCACAAGCTCTGTTGTCCAAGGCTGCGATGGCGGAGGTGCTGAAGAAGCTGCGGGCAACGACATTCCCACGACCGACAGTGGAATCAGAATTCGAGCTCGGGTACTGCGGCCCGTACCTGGATCGGGGCTTCGACTCGCAGGCAGACGCGCGTGCAAACGATTTCAAGCCGGACCGATGGCAGCGGCGGGTGCTGGATACGATCGACGCACGGCGCAGTCTCTTTGTGGTGGCACCGACGTCGGCAGGAAAGACGTTCATCTCGTTTTACGCGATGAAGCAGGTGCTGCGGGAGAGTGACGAGGGCGTGCTGGTGTACGTGGCGCCGACCAAGGCGCTGGTCAACCAGGTGGCAGCGGAGATCCAGGCACGGTTTTCAAAAGCGTACCCGAACGGCGGGGGGCGGTCGGTGTGGTCGATCAAGACGGGCGACTACACGATCAACAATCCGACGGGCTGCCAGGTGCTGGTGACGGTGCCACAGATGCTGCAGAGCCTTCTTCTGTCGCCGGGCAGCGGACGGGGCGCGGACAGCAAGAGCTCATGGGCGCGGCGGATCCGGTGGATCATCTTTGACGAGGTGCACAGCATCGGGCAGTCGGAAGAGGGTGTGGTATGGGAGCAGCTGTTGTTGATGGCGCCGTGTCCGATGATTGCGCTGTCAGCGACGATTGGCAATCCGAACGAGTTCCGGGCCTGGCTGGACGGGACAGAGAAGGCCAAGGGGCGCGACATGGAGATGATTGTGCACGGGTCGCGGTACTCGGACCTGCGCAGCTACTTCTGGAAGCCGGCGACGCTGCGGGCGGAGACGCCGTTCCGGTTTACGGGCTTTGGGCCGGTGCCGAGCCGGTGGCCGATCCCCGGCCTCGAAGTGGACGGCTGCAACTCAGACACGCCTTTTACGTTTGTGCACCCGATGGCCAGCCTGATGGACCGAGGACGGAACTCGCTGGACGACATCACGCTGGAGCCGCGTGACTGTCTGACTCTGTGGCGCAGCATGCGGAAGCACCAGACGGCGGCATTTGCGTTGGATCGACAGCTGGACCCGGCGGTGGTGTTTGCCGGCAAGACGGTGGCCAAGGCGGACGCCGTGGTGTGGGAGGGGAAGCTGAAGGCGGTGCTGCTGCAGTGGATGCACGCGCCGGACTCGCCGTTTGTGGCGGTGCGAGACGAGCTGAGCGCATCGTCCGGCATGACAACAACGACAGACACGAAGCGATACGGGACGAAACACACACTAGAGCTGCTGTCGGACCTGCGCAAGCGCGGAGCGGTGCCAGTGCTAATCTTCATCTACGACCGCAAGCTGTGCGAGGAGACGATGCAGAGCGTGGTCGGGCAGCTAACGGCAGCCGAACAGGGATGGAAGGACACGAGCCCGGAGTGGGCCAAGACGATGGCCGACTACGAGGAGTACCAGCGAGCCAAGGCGAAGCGCGAGGGCAAGGGCGACAAGGCGAAGAAGACAAAGGGCGGCGGCGACGACGACGAGGGCAAGTCGCGACTGGACAGCATGCGCGAGTCGGGCAGCGCCGAGTCGAGTCGGTGGGACGGATTCGACCCGGAGGCGCCGCAGGAGCGGTTCAGTCTGGCAGACCACAGCAAGCTGGCCCGTTCAGAGCTGCTGGAGCATGTGAACAATCTGCGGTGGGCAGACCTGCCACCGGTCTTTGTAGAGGGCCTGCGCCGTGGCATCGGTGTGCACCACACAGGCATGAACCGGAAATACCGGCAGACGGTGGAGATGCTGTTCCGGCGCGGCTTCCTGACGGTGGTGGTGTCGACGGGGACGTTGGCGCTGGGCATCAACATGCCTTGCAAGACGGTCGTGTTTGGTGGCGACTCGACGGAGCTGAACGCGCTCAACTACCGGCAGGCGGCCGGTCGAGCTGGCCGTCGTGGCTTCGACATCCTGGGCAACATTGTCTTTTACGATCTGCGGCCACAGCGGGTGTTGGAACTGCTGTCGTCGCGGCTGCCGGATCTGCGTGGCCACTTTGCCCTCAGCACGACGCTGGTGCTGCGGACACTCGCTCTACTGCACCAGACGGCGACCGACGGAGCCGAGGCCCAAGCATATGCGCGCCAGTGTGCCCGCTCGCTCTTTGCCCAGACGCACATCTACTTGGGCGGTGCGACGGCCGAAGCAGCCATAGGACACCACTTGCGCTTCTCGATCGAGTTTTTGCGGCGTCAAGACCTGCTTTCAGCGGCTGGCGTGCCGCTTAACCTGGCTGGTCTTGTGGGCAACCTCTACTTTGCCGAGAACGGGGCGTTTGCGCTGCATGCGTTGCTGCGCGACGGCTATCTGCACCGACTCTGTGCCGGACTCGCGCACGACGTGGAAGGGACGCTGCAGACGCTTGTGCTTGTGCTGGCTCATCTGTTTGGCCGCCATCCGTGCCGACGCCACGCCGACCGTGAGTGGCTCGAGCACACGGTGCGGCCGTCGGTCTCGGTCGTGCTGCTGCCCGCGCTGCCGGCTGAAGCGGAGGCGGTGGTACGTGCTCACAACGCGGCCGCGCTGGCTGTCTTTCGCACCTACGGCCAGAGCTACGTGCGCCAGCATCTGGCGGCCCAGCCAGACGACCTGCTGCCGCTTACCGGACAGCACGTGCGGGCCGAGGAGACGCTCGATCTTGGAGCTTCTTTGTCGGTGCAGCGGCCGGTGCAGCTGCGATCGCCGTTTGCCGCGCTCTCCGGCCTCACAGACGAGTTTGCGTCGGTCCACGATCTCTGCTCGTCTGCGCGCGCCGGCCTCTTTCTCGAGGAGTCGGCGGTGCCATACGTGCCGATTGCGCCGGCCGACACGGACGGCGTGCCGCTGAACGCGTACCTGTACGACTTTTTCCGGCACGGCGACATGGCCGTGCTCGTCAAGGCCAACGGCATCAAGGACGGCGACGTGTGGTACTACCTGCGCGACTTTGCCCGCGTCCTGACGACGGTGGTTAGCAGCCTGAAGAGCCTGGCCGACCCGCTCGCCGATATGGACGACAACGACGATGGCGACGACATGTCGGGCGACGACGAGGACCGGCCGCGCCCGGCGCCGTCGGCATCTTCGGACGGAACGAAGACGCTGGTCGGCAGCACTGTGTCGTCGGTGGTTACGGGGCTGACGAAGCCCAAACGCAAGGTCGTGGTGGACTCGTGGGATGACGAGGACGATGAGGACGATGAGGACGATGAGGATCAGGAGACGGTCGTGGACGAGGCGGACGAAGCACCGGGCGCCGATCTCAGCGCGGAGGCGCTTAAGACGGTCATTGCGGCCTTTAGCCTGCTCAAAGAGCGCTTCGACGAGAAGTTCCAAAAGGTGTGGGCTTAAGCCAATGGAAGAAAAGTGGTTATCATTATGTACGCGAGATTCAATACCAGCTGGCGAGAAAACGACGACGACAGCCTGTTTTTTCTACTTGCATTGTGCTAGGTTGATCATATGGTCCTTCCAACAGTCCCCTTACAGAGCAATGACCAGGAAGCCGGCAGCCGCAACGACAGCACCGACTATGACGCTAGCACTGTCCCTAGCTGCAGCAGCCGTGGCAGCAGCAGTCGTGGCGGAGGTGGTACCTGTGGCGGTGCTTGTGGCGGTGGTCGTAGCCTTGGCAGTAGTCTTGTCAGTGGCAGCAGCCGTGGTCTTGCCGGTAGCAGTGGCAGTAGCAGTGGCGGTAGCAGTGGCGCTACCCTTGGCGCTGGCGCTGTTGGACGTGGCAGTGGCGCAGACGTCGGAGTAGTAGTAGCTGGACGAGACGGGGTCGAGGTAGCCGCACCTGCTCTCGATGCTGTAGATAGCGGAGCTGTGTTCGGCGTACCAGCTGCTGTAGGGCGTCATGTACGACGAGTACACGGCCGCGAGGCTGCTCGGCACGGTGATCTGGCAGGGGTCCGTGATGGGGGTGTCGAGGTAGCTGGCAAAATAGCTTTCCACATCCGCGGGGAAAGAGGGCACGCCGGAGGCGGCCGAGGCCAGCATCGAATCGCAGGCCGCTTCGGAGCTCTGGCTGGCGTCGAGGGAGTAGGACTCGAACGAGTCGTCCGAGGACGACACGGACGCATACTGACGAGGAGCAAGAGCAGCTGCAGAGCCGACAAGAGCAGCGACGAAGACAACGTTGGCCAACATGGTGATGATAGTGGTGGTGGGCAATGATGTACGATGCAACGAAGCGTAGGATGCTCAAACGGAACAGAGAGCGTGCAGACACGGCAGCCAGACAAGGAGAGAGACAGCACTGGTGCTATATATACTCCATGATCCCTTGTACGCTGACAGGCTGCCGTGTGTGTCGTGCCACATGTCCGCGTCCAGACTGGCGCATCGTATTTCGTATTTCGAATCCTTACAGAAAACCGACACGCCCCACTGCCAATAAGGCTGGTTTGGCATGCGGCCAGGCAGCGGCGGTAGCGTTCTTATTGGGCATGCTGTGCGAACCAGCCGGTGAGCCCAACTTTTCGGGAGGCTGACCGAATTTCTTCATTATTGCTCCACCCCGGATACGTCGTGAAAGAGAAACGAGGGAGCAGAAATGGCCAAGGGGGAGAAGAGGAAAGAGAGAAAAAAGAGGAGGGAAAGAACAAAAGACAGACAGCCAAGAGTTGCGCTTTGGGCGAGGCCAAACACGGCCGAGTCAGGTAGGGCCATTGACAATAGGCCACTAGCGCGGCGCAATACTCCGTAGTAAGCACTAAACCTATCGAATAGGGGTGGAACGTGTGGCGCAATGGGAAGATACATGTACCCTGTAGCGTATTACATAAATTCCCACTTATTTAGTAGGGTGCTTCATGCACGTCCGCATAGCTCGGAAGTAACAATACATAAAGCACAAGTTCGACGTCCAGACGGTCACGCAGCGCATGGGACAAACAGTCTCTGTCTTTGGCTATACGGTCTAACGATGGGCATGGGGCCAAGACAGGCGAGGGCCACTCAGGCGGGATCGTCTGCGGGGGCGAGGCAGAGCATGACGCGGCCGTCGAGGCGCCAGACGGCTTCGCCGGCGAGGGACCATACGGCGAAGACGGCAGCGACGACGAGCAGCTGAGCAGCGGAGACGCCGATGCTGGTAGCGCGGAGAAGGTCCCAGGCCCAGACGGCGCTGGGCATGCCGATGACAAAAGCGCCAGCGGCGAGTGTACGCCAGAGGCCGACGCCGGCACACATGTCGGCAGTGTTGCGCTGGGCGACGGCGAGGCTGCAGCTGGTGAACTGTGTCGAGCGGCGAACCATGGGCCGGACAGCAGCATCGACGACATAGGTGCCGGCGGCAAGCAGGCCGAGCACGAAGCTGACGGCGCCAAACGAAAGGCGAGCATAGTCCACGTCGTCGTCTGCCGACCGGCCAGAGCTCATGCCCGACGACACGTACAGCCCAAAGGCCAGCAGTCCGGCCACGGCCAGCAGCGAGCCGCCACCCACCAGCATCAGCACGGTGGCCGGCGACCGGCAGCTCGTGCCGGGAAAGCCGGCCGTGCCGGGACTGCTGCTATGGTCGTTGCTGCCACCCGACAACCGCTCCAGCATTCGCCGCATCACAGCCATGTTTTGCACTGTCCGCAGGCCCTCGGCCACCATCCGCCGCCTCCACTGCTGCCATGGCTGCGGCCACACGTGCGTCGCGCTCACCAGGGCCACCACCACCGAAGCCAGCAGCCACGGCGCCACCATCAGGGCTCCCCTCGACTCCGGCGTCAGCACCAGCGGCTCCGGCGCAAAGAGCAGGCTCAGCGACAGCGCCAGCCCCCACAACGCACCCACCGGCAGCAGCGACAGTGCCACCAGCAGCACCGTCGTCGGCGCCACCATCGCCCGCACCGGCTGCAGCAACTGTCCACTCACACTTCGGCTCATTCCACGCGCACGTGACCTCTGCCGGTATGCCCACGGCTGCATCGTCCGCAGGTAGTCTGCCGCCGTCTCAGCCGATAGCGTCATGCGTGGCCGCGGTGGCAGTGCCTTTTCGGACCAGGCCGACGACGCCGCTGACGCCGGCCGGTTGATCAGGTAAAACGACCGGTCAAAGAGCGTCTCCGGCACCGCCAGAGCGACTAGCAGCAGCACGATGCTCGCAAACACGCTGAGCACGTCAAACTGCACCACCACGCCGCCACCGTGGCTCGACGCCACACCCCCCAGCAGCGGACCGCCCCAGGTCGCGCCCACGACGACAATGTCGTAGACGGCCAGACGTACCGGCACTTGGTGTTCCTATACTTCGTCAGCATCCAGCCCGACACACACGCCCACATCGACACTCACAAAATACGTGTCGTGGATCGAGCCGAGCACGAGCGTGTCAAAGGCGCCCCAGGAGAGGCCCTGCAGGACGCGGGCAGCCATGCACTGGGCGGGGCTATCGGCACCGGGGGCCACGGCTGCAGCATTCCAGGCGACACCGACCAGCAGCAGCACGGCCGAGGCCAGATAAGCCGGCCGGCGGCCACAGACGCGGGTGGTGGAGGCGGCCGCGAGTCCGGACAGGGCCGAGACCATGAGGGGGACGCCAGTGAGCGCGGCAACGGCGGTGTAGCTGACGCTGTAGGCAACGGCCAGCTGGCTGCCAACGCTGACGAGAGCCGTCTTGGAGACGCCGGCGGTGGCAGCCGCCAGCAGCAGCGTCCAGTAGCCGAGCTCTTTCTTCCAGGTTGGCCAGTTGAGCGGATCGTCGTCGTCGTCGCTCGGCTGCGGCACCAGCTCCACCGCCACCATCTGCGGCTGCTGCTGCTGCTGGTTCTGTCTGCTTCCGCCACGACGCACCTGTCCGTACTTGATCGGTCGTCGGACAGTCGTGGCCACGGACGCAAACGATGATGCCCGCGTCGATCTTGCCGCCTGCGTCGGCAGTCGCTGCAGCCGGGACAGCGCCCTAGGCGGCGGCTCCGGCACGCGGATCGTCAGCACCGCCTTCGGCTGCTGCGTCGGGCTGTCGGTTCGCGCTGTGTCTGCCGTCGGGGATGCCGCTCGGTGGTCGACATGTTCGGCTCCGTCCATTATTCAAAAGAAAGACAAAGGAAAGGGGAAGGGCAAGAAGTATGGAGAAGGGTAGAATCAAGTACCGTCGAGGTACGCATTCGCCAGCCACCCGTGAGTGGACACCGAGCAGGTGCCGATATCAGAAAGAAACAAAGACACAAGAAAGAACAAAAATAGGAATGAAAAAAGAAGGCAAAAGAACGACTGCCAGAAAAGAAGAGAACAAAAATCTGCTGCTATCCGGCAGATGAGGGTCTCGAAAAGGGCTGCGGCAAGAGATAGGGAATTAGGGAAGAACAAGTCGGAAAAAAGCAAGGTTATCCTTGCAGAACGGAGCTCGGTCCAGTTTGGCCCTCGTGGTCTTGTTTCCTCGCACGAGCATCCGCATCCGCTTTGGGAAATGGGGGCAGTCTCCTAGCCCCGTGTGTGGGCGGAGACAGCGGGAGACGGCGCTGTTTGACTACTGCGGTGACGAGAGGCTTCCGTGCGTGATGCTGGTCCTGTCACGGCCATCACACAGCCTACAAAGTACGCTTTGATCCTACACTCATGTCCAAGACGAATGCAGACGAACGGCTTGGCCAGGCTGACGGCCACACGGGCAGACAAGGTTTGGTTCCATGGTTGAGCACTGCTCTGATCTGCACCGATCGGCCATGGAAACCCGGAGTGGAGCAAGAACAGGAGTGAAACAGCGCTGAGGCGCTGGATGCTGCAGCCTCGCTTCGCTTGGACGACAACGAGCGACACTTGCGTGAATGGGGACTAGTCGTTCAGGGCCAAAGCCCATATTCTTCTTCCCATCTCGTCTATCTAAGTCTATATCCATTCCCACCCTCTAAGCGCATATACTTCATAAGCTAGCCTGTTACGGAGTAGCTAGCACGAAAATAAGCCGCCCCTAATGCAGGGCGGACGATCTATAATGAGAAAAAAAGAAAGAAAAAAAGAAAAGTAGCCGGGACGTAAAAATTCGAGAAAAGTGGGGAATTAGACAGTGGGCTCGGAAGAGAAAGAACATGCGGACCAACGGGAATGCACTATTCCATGTCGTGGCCGGAAAAGCAGTCGGAGAAAAGGGAAGTAATAGCCGCCATGCCGCCATTGGCTAGCCGTGCACTAATGTAAACAGCCCGATGCATCTTGCGTCTCGGCCTTTTCTATCGATAAGAGCAGCTGGTACGTGCGAACGACGAGTTCTGCATACTGTCAGTATAAGGAGGCCACACAGGAGAAGGAAAAGGAGAAAGGCCCACCTTGGTATTCAAGCGTGTAGGCCACCGGCTCTTCGTCAAACGGCCGGGCCGGTGGTCCATTATCGGGTAGTTGTCTCTCGGTCACGCGGAAGCGGATCCCGACGTTCTTTTCGTAGTCGGCCCAGAGGATTGCGCCGTCCGCGCCGTCCGACTCGAGCACCGGCTCGCCATCCATGCCGCAGTCGCTGTCCGAGTCGCTGTCGCTGTCGTGGGCATGCCGGAGGATACTGTTGGTGCTGTTGCTGTTGGCACCGGCCGCTGCTGCGGCCGCCGCTCCCTTGCCGCTGTCCGCGCGCGCCAGCCAGTCGCGGAAGATGCGCACGACGCTCGAGTTGATGACGCCGCAGCTGAGGTAGACACCCTTGCGTGGGCTGCCGTGTGAGAGGTGCATGACCGTGCACAGCTGCGAAAACAGCTCACCCTCATCGAGGACGACATCGTGGTACGCCGCCTGCACGCCCCGGTTCCGGTACGGCAGCGGCACGCCCATGGCCGACAGCGCCGCCGCTGACACCGCCGCCGGCGACGCCAGCGGCGACATGGACCCGCGTCGCGCTCGCCGACAGTGCGTCCACAGATCCTCTTGCGGGTGCACGCGGTAGCAGCTGTACATGCCCAGCAGCGAGCTGAGGCTGGGCGCGTCACGGGCGCAGCTGCTGCTGCGACTGCTCAGACTGCTCAGACTGCTCAGACTGCTCAGACTGCCCTTGGCGTCCTTGCCGTACATATCGAGCCCGTCGGTGCCCAGGTAGTCGCACGAGAGCACAGGCGTTAGGCTGCGCGCGCTCGGGTGGTAGGACTCGAGCAGGAGCTGGTATTCTTGCGTGCACACGGCATGGCGCATCCGGTAGTAGACAACATCTTCGACCACCGCGTGAAACCGCCGGCTGACCGAGGCAAGGGCGATGAGAGACTGTGTGGGAAAGGTCGCGAGAACCGACTCGAGGATCTGCAGGAGGCCTGTCAGCATTCAGTCCAGCCGTTTTCTCCTCTTTTTCCTCTCCTTCACTCCACTCACCTCGCTAGGGAGCAACTCGATTGCAGATATGTCTGAGTATTCCATGGTGTAAAGATGTGAGCAGAACAGAGAGCTGTGCAGACGACAGACATCGAGAAGAGTCGGCAGGAAACGGAGGGTCGGCGGAGCTTTATAAACAAAGCCGGTCTGCAGCCCGTGGCTGCGGTCGCGCCCAACGTCACATCTTGCTCGCGTTTTGCCTTCACATCGAGCTCTCAAACATGCGGTAGTTACCGTAACCTGCCGACTGGTTGGATGATGAATGGTGTGATGTGGTCCAGCCCACTAAGGAGATGCATGAGAGCACTAATTACGGGCCTGAACGGCTGAGACGCACACCCGGCAAAACCCGACCCAGCTCTGGCCCATTATGCATCTATCCAGCCTACCATCAGGCGGTATGCAGCTAATACGATACCTAAAACAGGTACAGCCCGTTGCTTATGCCCTTTTAAGCCTTTCTTCACGTGATTCTGACGAGGTCAGGCATCAAGCATGGTCCCACTCACCACCGTCGGAGACAGAAATATGGGACCATCACCCTAGTAAAAATCTGCCAGGAAAATTGTCGAATGTAAGATATCTTATCTTTTTCTAGCTCAACACTAGATTTATCCACAGGGACCCCTTACTCCTATGGGAGACGTGCGCGTCATAGATGCTCGTTTGATCCCGATTTTTCTTAAGACTGAGTCATTCGATATCAAGGGCTCTCCACATCGGAGAAAGTTACTATTCTGTCGATGTCCCGCCGAGAAACACGTACCATACACTCCTTTACCTTCAGGATAAAGCCCTCTTTCAGCTCAGTGGGCCCATTCCGTGCTCTGGAAAAGTTAAGTAGGCAGAAAAGTGCGGCCAGTGTCTTGATAGCCTCCATCCAGGCGAAGCTGTTCACGTCAGTACCGGACTACAAAGTAAACACAGACAGTGTAGAATCCACTTTCTGCCAATGCATGATCGAGGCCTGAGTGAAAATGGTTTAAAGTACTCGGAAAGCTGGCCAGCGTCGGGCTGCAACCATCTGTCGATGTTGAAGTCGGTCGGATCCTTTGATGGCACGCAGGTTAGCTGGACTCCACCTGTTTTGTGTCTACTTCCATCTCTATACTACCACCAAACACACCTAAAAAATACCAGCGTCAATCATGATCGTTCTAATAGGAACGCTAACCAGTGTCTACGATATCCCGGTGGTCAGCACCTCTAGACCTGGAGAGCATCGACACTGTCTTGTTTTTAGGGACAACCTACCCCAGCAGGAATAGAAACATCCGCCACCACCCGTCCGCCTGGCGGCGTGACCCTCTCTAGACCAGTCGCGCTAGTCGGTCGCAGTCGCATCGTCTCGCGCAGCGTGGCACGGAGAATAGGCAGCTTGTCCGCGGTAGCGAAATCGGCCACCCAGTTGCCCTCACCCTCAACGCCGGGGAACGCCGCGTCGAGCTTGTCTTGCAGCCGTTTTTGTAGCAGCGGATCACGCGAAACGAGATCGACAAAGTGCGTCATGGTGCTGCTAGTCGTGTCACTGCCACCGATGATAAGACCGACCGATTCGGCAACCAGGGCGACCTCAGAATATGCGCCGGCCGCCTTTTCATTTCCGGGTTCGATCACGAAGCTTAGCACATCCTTCCGATCCCTCGTCACCGTACCAGCCTTGCGCGAAAAATACGCTGTGCGGCCGACAACGCCAAGATGACAGAGTCCGCTCAGGCCGCGATGCCAAAAGTAGCCAAAGAAGTTGTACATCATCAGCAGTCGGCACCACGACGGCATGTAGCCGAGGGCATTGACAACCAAACCGCGGGAGTCTAGGGACTCGATCAGGTTTGAGTGGTCGTAGCCCCGGTCCAGGAAGCCTGAACGTGCGGCCAAAGGCAAGAAAGTTCGCTAGCCGGTTAGATAGAATCGCCAATATGCATCTACTATAGACGATGTACCTACCGTATAAGCTAAAATTCGTCGTTGGTTGTTCGGACGCGGCTATGCCGGAAAGACTTTGCCTTAGTTTGAGCACGCTGGCACTAACTTGGGGTTCAAATGCCGTCAGGTTGGCCGGAGAAAAGAAAGGCGTGATAAGTTTCCGCCGCTTCTGGTGCATGTCGAGATTGCGCAAGCCGAACAGGCCCGGCTCTGTCTGGTGAAAGGCGTCGTAAAAGGGGCCCTTGACGAAGCCGGTATTGTGCCCGTAAATGTCCTGCAGAGCCCTTGGATCAGCAATGGAGACATGGTTGGGGGCGATGCGGACAAAGTCGCCATACTTGCTGTGCAGGCGATGGACCATTTCGGACCGACGGGCTCGACGACATTACATCACAATCTACATGGATGACAGCCTTGTCGAGAAAGGGCCTGGGACGAAGCGCAGAGGACCGAACAGAGTTTTGTAGAGAATCTGGTAAAGAACAAGCTAGTGGCAAGTTAGCATCGCGGGAGGCTAGAAAGGAGGAAGACTCGGAGAAAAGCGTTGAGCTTACCAGAAAGACAAGAACGAGTCCCGTCTCCAAGACAAATAGGGCCACATCGCTGAAAATGACATTTTTCGTAATAGTATCGTCAAACTTTACGGCTCCGTTAGCATATTACACACAATCACAAGGCTGGACTAGTTCTATATAAAATTCGATCAGCCGAGTCAAGAGACGAACAGTCATTCGGTAAGATAAACCCGAATACCTGATATCACAGGTATCAGGAGATCAGATATTAACAGGAAAATAGGTCGCCAATGGTAAGTATGCATGTACACAACTATAGCAGTATTATCAAAGTAACGTCCCTTGTTACCTGGCACAGTAACCAATGTTTAGCCATACAGACTGCAATGTTGCAATGTCCTATCGTGCACAAGCACAGATAGCGATCATCTACGTTGAAAGAAAGAAAAGAAGAATCTAGATGCGTGTTGGCAGGGTGGCAACCCCGCACGTCTTGCTATCGATGGTGAGATATACCCATAGATCAAGCTGTCGGCAGTTGTTGAAGCAGTGCCCTCTGGTAAATCCCCGAGCACATACTACTAGCTCATCGTTGTCATCGCTACCCAGGGGTACCTATAGGAGGCAATCTGTGTAGAGCTGTCATGTATAGCGGGTGTTATGTAATAAGGATGTAAATAAGTTAGTTTAAGTTCAAGGCGGTGTTTGCACCCTACCTTCAAAAACGGTGCTCGCAAGTACATTGGCACCCTTACGACGATCGTGTGTGTGTTGTCCCCCATCTAAATCTACAATGTATGCATCAGAGTGTAGGTTGTCTGTTTTCGGTATTTCCGGTTCTAGATGTAGTCCTAAGCTTGCACTAATCCATAGTGGAGATTTGGGAGTTCTGCCGTAGACATCTCAAAGGCTGTATGTGACATTTTCGCACGATCAATGTCCCAGTCAGGGAGCTTTTATCTGAGCACGATGGGTGTTGTATCGACGTTAAGCGCGCTGTAACGAATATTTCCTAATGGGCAAGCGGCCGGCTCGACTCTGTCGCTAAGATTCAAGGAGCAGGACGTTGGTGAAAAATACCTGCCCGTCATAAGGGACGTTATACTTCTTGTGGAAGATCTCCTCGAGGCTAAGTAGAGAATCGGCAGAGGTCGATGCGGATTGATGGTGCTCTTGGCTGGCCGGGGTGAGCTGTCTCCGTATGATGGGTGACCACGTGACGATGCAAGATCCGTAACCAGCCTTGATGATAGGAAGCTTCGCCCAGAAAAAAGCACGCTCGTCATGAGAACGTCGAAGCCGTCTGCTACTTGGAGAAGCTCTTTAATGGATCTTCCTTGCTGGTTCTTCACGAACTGCGTCACTAGCCTGTAGAAACTGCACTGCCGACAGGACAGAAGATCAACGGCCTTGCCTAACTTGCGGGGCTGCTTGTTCCGCCAGCTGGAGGATCCTTCAAACTCGGCATCTTCACAGGCGTTGCGTTGCATACGGCCTATCCACCGACTCTGTGTTTCGACCTTGATTTACGCAGCACCGGCGGTGAGAAAGCGCTCCAGTGCAGAATCTCCACCGCTATGCTATAGACGAGCTGACTGGTCTGTGAGGCTCGGGCATAACGGGGTCTCTGCCTTCAATTCTGCACATTTCTCCAATCGTTTGGAAACCCTTTAATTCGCCATGCGTGTTCGAATCCTTTATTGTAGGATCGATTGGCGTCCAATTTGTTTCCGCGAGGAGTCCTCGATGAGACAATCACAATCCTGCTATGTTGGGATGTTGCAGTCATATGGCAAATATGTACTCTGTACATGATTGCCCCAAACCTAGTTCTTTTCTCCTGTCCTGTTCATTTTTTTGTTGGGATACTAAGGCAGAAGTACACCGACTGCTAGGTTTCAAGCGTAATCCCGAGCAGCCAGCGCATTACTGTAGGATTCTTCGCGGCTGAATTGAAACAAGTGCACTGCCACTTACTGGAAAAAGTCGTGAGCTGAAACCACAATTATTCACTTTCGGCACAGTTGGGCAAGTGCCTTCAGGCGCTCGACCGCGTCGCCATCCCGTACACCGCCATGGCGCCTGCCTGCAAAGTCTCCGACATATATTATCTCAGCTTACCGCATCGTTGCCGAAGAAGGCGCAAGTCATCACGATCAATCTATCCACTCAATTTATCCCCGTTGTCCTGCCCAACTCTATCCTTCGGGAATTCGAAAACACGATGCCTGTCACAGTCCATGTTAACGAAAACATCCCCGAGCGATGGACCTCAGGGAAGGCTGCCTCAGACGAAGAGCTACTGAAAAGTGCATGCACGGTCGAATACGGGAAATGTGAGAAGATCCTGCAAAGTTCCTTTAGCAGGAGCATGCTCCGGAAGAACCACATCTCGCCGTCAATCAATGGTTTTGTCTACTCAATGATCCATGCCTACAGCAATCATCACACTGTTAGCATACGCCCAGAAGACGTATGGTTCGCTATTCTCTCACAGCTCAGCTTCTACATCAACGCTCATGCCGAGGAGTTGCGATCCTTCTTTGTCGCACATGAGGGCAGAAAACAGCTGGAAGTCGTCGAGATTGGAGCTCTCGAGAATGTAGACATGAGCAAGATGACAGAGCGCATGACTGAGCTGATCCAGAACAACATCGTGGACCCCGAACTGCGCGAATGGATCATGCCCACGTTTAGCACGACGACCGACTCGGACCGGGTCGTGGCGTCTATCTTGATGATGGGGAGCCTACAAGCATACTTTGAGTACAGGTTCAGTATATGTTGCGGCATGCCGAGCGTTACCCTCCTAGGAGAGCGCGATGACTGGAACAAGATCCTCGAACGGGTGGACAAGATGGCCCAACTGGGAGACGAGCCAACGCGGTTTGTGGCGCTGCTCAAGCCTGTCCTGCGACGGTTCATCGCCAGCTTTGACGATCCCGTCGCCCCCGATCTCATCTCCTTCTGGGCCAGAGCCGTGAACCGGTACTCCGGAAGTGGAATGGACTTCTGCTGCGGCTGGGTCGCGGCCTTTTGCATGTGGGATGTGGAGGGGAAATACATCGGAAGAGAGTCGTATCCTGATTGCTACGAGCTGGATGGCATTCAATATCACATGGCTGACATAAAGAAAGTCCCGTCTGGGTCTGTGGCTGTGCCTCTGACCATCGACGACAACGGTAACATCTTTCCAGCTAGAATGGTGGCCGGCTCCGTTGGCATAAAAGCCAATTTTGCGGCTGAAGCACCTGCCGTCTCTTCCAGCCCAACGCCAAACTCGAGCAACTGCGGGAACGGCGTGGGCCAGCCGGGATCGGCCATCGAGCCGGTAACCGGGTGGTGGACCTTTGCCTCAAAGTAGCAGTATGTAGCACATAGACACGCATAGTCTGCCTGCTGAAGAATCCATCTACGTATTTTCCTACCGTACAAGGTACAAGCCAACGATATGGATCATGACTTGCCGCCGAGAAAAAAAACCAGCTTCATCTCGAACAGGCGAGAGAGGGGTGGTACAGCCTTCTGACACCTCTCAGCATATTGAGGTCCCTCTGATAAATACGTCTGCGCATTCTTTTTTCGTCTTGAGATGCCGACTGGGACTAAGCCGGGAGCAGTACACCCTATAGGCACTGAAGAATATCAAATCAATGTTTGGAGTGGTAAAATACCCGCTGATTGCCACAACCAGGTGTTGCTGGATAAAGGGCCGTGAGATGGCAATGAGGTGTTCGAAGTGACCGAGAAGCCCACACGCATTTGATAATTACTGTTCCTCTGTAGATGGCTAATCACATTGTACTCCCAGCATTACGACTTGCTCAATAAGGACGCATAGAGACTGTGCTACTAGCCGGTACCCCTCGCGCTGACTACCTCACTCGTGCCTATTATTCTGCTGCTGTAGTAACTAGCGAGAAGTTGTCTAAAACGCCTGCGGCCAACAACACGTGAAATGGTGAGCAGCAAGTTCTAGGAGGCTTGAATAAAGCAATAAATTCCGTTCCAAACCCTTTTTGCTTTGGACACTTTTCTTTGCACAAGGTAGCAAACTTACCACCGGAGGCTCTTCAGCCCCTCTGTTCGACTATGTGTAAAGCTGACGAAGCATCTGTTCATTACAATGCTGCCATCCATATCCTCTTCAACAGTACCCGCAGAATTTCACAGGCAACACAATAGCGAGATTTTGAAGCGTACGTCCAACAGATGTGTAGAAAGCTCGCTTATTAACGCGGCACTACATCTTGTGTTTACATCTCAAGCCAACCTGAACCAAGCTAAAACCGGCCCGCTTGTTGGCTCTAGTCAGGCAAATCAGTCGTTTTTTTAAAAAAAAAATATATATATATATATAAAACAAATAAAAAGGAGACGGACACAACCGCATTGCCTTCTTTTAGCCGCTAGCCTTCTAGTTGTTAGGGCGACAACAATACTCGTCGTTGAAGATAAGAGGTGCAAGCTCGATGAGTGGAAAGCATCGCTTATCTGTCTTGTTGAACTCATCGCAAATAAAGATAGTGGCTCTCAATTGCGTCATTGCGCCCTTGGACACCGGACAGTCAGCACCGAGCTTGCAATACCACTGGCTTTCCCGACGAGAGCACATTTTGAAGGTTGTGCTGGTAAGAGCTGGTGTGATATGATTGGACCGGTAGTTGGAAGAGATGTATGAAGCTTAGTTATGTTGATTGCGTTGGAGGGGAATATTGGATAGTGGAGAGATCCTTCTTTTGAGAGGGAAACTCGTGAGATTTATACTTGTCTTCAGAGACTTTTCTGTGTCCCACGAAGCTGGTCACAGTCCACTGTGCTGACATCACAATGGCTTTGTTGAGACGAAGGGTAATACACTTGTCCTAGAGTTACGCAGGCTATTTGCGGCATTTATGACATCTGTACTATTTGTCATGGCACTGGAGAGGCAAACTTGCGATGATGCTTTGTCACTGCTTGTGCAATGTACAACAACACCGGATCTACTACGCACTATCTGGGACATGGCTGCATGTGTACTGTAGATATATCTCACACTACACTCGCTTAGCAGGTTTAAGTGGTGGTAACACATGCGCTCCTTTGGAGAAGGGAATTTCAGATGGCGAGACTTGTTTTCTATTGGTTATCAGCCTCTTCTGTATTCATCACTACTGTTCACCATGTCTTTACCGCACAGTCGTCGACTCCCAAACTCGTTCATAGGTTTATAAATACAGACCCAGGGAAATCACCTAGAGAAGAAACGTCCCGGAAGGCTGATGCCAGAATGCTCACCCCCTTCAAGATCTCCGTCTCAGAAATCACAAGAGGAGGGCTGAACCGGAGGCGATTTGAGCTGCACCCGCAGAGCATCCCTCTTAATGCACACAGCGCCGCAATACGCCTTGCCGTCACATTGGGCGCCGATTCGTCCACAGTCAGGGTCTGAAAGAGGCCCCTGTTCCTTCCTTGGTGCAAAGTCACGTACGGGAGGTTTGCATCGTCAATAGCCTTTGTGAGCACAACACCGAGCCGCTTAGACCGCTCCGAAAGCTGCTCCTCTTCCATCACGTCTAGCGCGGCTAGAGCGGCAGCACAGGCAACGGTCGATGCCGCAAATGTGCTTCCGACCTCATATTTGCGCAATGTGTCCATGACATGGCTCTTTCCCATGATTATCGACATTGGATAAAGGCCTGTGACAAGGAGAAGAAATCTAAGTTAGCTCGGGACTGTGGTATTCAACTGATCCATGGGGGTGTGTCCGTGCATACCTCCTGTGACGGCTTTCCCCAGAGTTATCAAGTCTGGCTGCACGCCAGCCTCCTGCTGGTAGGCCATATCGGTTCCTGTCCGACAGTAGCCGCTCTGCACCTCGTCACAGATGAAGAGGACATTGTGCTTGTGGCAAAGATCTTGCACCGTTTTCAAGTATCCCTCTGGGGGCACGCGACATCTGCAGGACATATGTCAGTTGTGTGTCTCCGAGAAGCTACTAGTGATAGGAGGCTGGAATATCCTTACCCAGCCGAGCCTTGCACCGGCTCGACGACAAAAGCAGCAATGACGTCCCCACTGGCCTCGAACGTCTCTTTCAGCACGTCGGTCTCACCGAACTTGATCAGCTTGCCGCTCTCCGGTGCAAAGGGACCCACGTTCGGCAGGTGCCGGCCAAAGTCTATAGACTGTGAGTATATGCTGTCATGTCCCAATTTAGCCGTTGTACTCACTCTCTAATATACTATCCGTCATGCTCATAGTGGAGAGAGTCATCCCGTGGTAGCAGGAGTCTGCAGTCAAAATGATAGCCTTGTCCGCTGGGACGCCCTTTTTCACATACGCCCACTTCCGGGCGATCTTGCAGGCCCCATCGACCGCTTCGGCACCAGTGCACATGGAGGTGATGGAGTCATAGTTGAATTTCTGCTCGGTGTCAGTTGAAGGAGCGAACAGGTGGAGAAGGACGACTTCACGTACCTTCGTTATACGTTCTGCAAAGTCTGCGTAGAGCGGGTTGATATAGCTCGTGTTGACTAATGGCAGCTTCTGCAGCTGATCAACAGCGGCCTTGATGATCTTTGGGTGCGAGTGCCCAAAGCTCATCACCGCAAACTGCGCTATGAAGTCGATGTACTTCTTGCCGTCGACATCGGTGATGGTGCTGCCCTCAGCGCTCTCAAAAACCACCTATCACCGAGAGTCAGAATAACTGCATATACTGGCACTCATTCACGAGAAGCCACAGTACCGGAAACGGTGCGAATCCTCCCCGCACGTATTTCAACCACTTATTGACGCTCTCTTCTGACTTGGCTGTGAGGCCATGAATCGAGTTTGTGCTACGGTCCTGGGACTCGTCAATCTGAAGAGAGGGAGGCATCATGTTGTCCGCTCTGTGGAAATCTGTCACGACCAAGAGATGCAACGTCTTCGTTCGAGTGGTTTCTAGAAGAGAATACGCGATTCATATACGCCATTTGTATCGTTCACCTTGCCGGTGCCGGGTCGTCGCCCGGCTGTGCGCACGCACTACCTTATCGTCCGCCTATTACTCGTATTATTTACGTAGTGCAGATATTTTGATGCGGCTATCCGGTTCTGGGATTCGCCGGCTTCTTCAATCCATCGTACGCTTAGATCCGGTCCCATTGAACACGTGAATTCACGGCCCGGGGCACCTTAATGGTATGCTTTCACAAAAAGAAAGCAGCCCAAGATGTTTCAGTATTCTGCTACAGCATTTCTGTCGCTTGTTCTCAATGGCGATCCCACCATGCAGTACAAAGACCCCGCACAAAGCACACAGTATTATATCAGCTCGCACTGTTTTTTATTAGCTTACGGAGTACAGGAGTATTAGCGGAATCGTGGATTAGTCATCCAAATTGGACGAAATCTAATACTGTTCAAAGTTATAGTGGACTAGTAACGCTTTCTTCCAATCCAAAAGTTCTGTAGCTCGACAGCCCCAGATGCCCTACAAGGTACACCAGCCATATGCAACGACTGTTCGCAACTTGCTCACACATAACAGACCAAAACGTCAGAAGTGAAGAAGCGGCTCCGCGAGAATCAGCGGGCCTGCCGCGTCCGCCAGAAGGAGCTCATCGAAGACCTTCGTCGCAGAGTGCGAGAGCTCGAAGATCGTGGTATCCAGGCTACAAAGGAGATGCAGTGCACAGCACGTGCTGTGGAATGGGAAAACAACCGTCTGCGCGCCCTTCTATCTTCGCACGGCATCTCAACTGGAGAGATTGACAACTTTCTGCGTCCCGAAACCAAGTCACATCTAGCTTGGGATCAAGGCACTGCTGCAGAAAGTACAGAACCCCACGTCATGGCACCTCAAAATGTCGGCCAGGTTTTCGCGGGTGATTTTACAGACCTGGGAGAACTACAGGCCGAGAGTAGCATCACTCTTGCGCGAGAGCCAGCCACTATGGTCACGCTCTGTGACAAGGCGGCCAAGATCGTTGCCGAAGCCCATGGACACAGGGATACTGAAGTTGCCCTCAATGCGCTTGGATGTGCTCGAAAGACAAAAGACTGCGTCGTGAACAACGTCAAGATATTTGATATTATTGGGCAGACGCTGTGATGGTTGTTGGGTTGACGCTGTCATGCATACATTATGTTCCATCGCTCAACACCCCCAAAACATCCTCACGGCTCCCATTTCCACCGATTGCCGATCCACCGCACCAGATACACCAGCGCAAGTAGCACCGGCACCTCGATCAACGGTCCAACCGTGGCTGCCAGTGCCTGGTCGCTGTCCGGACCAAACGTGGCGACAGCGACGGCGATGGCGAGCTCAAAGTTGTTGCTGGCAGCCGTGAAGCTCTGCACGGTCGCCAGGGCATACCCAAAATGCAGGCGGTATGTGATCCACAGCGTACCGAAAAAGGTCAAGACGAAATAGACGATCAACGGGGCAGCCACGCGGACGACACTGACGATCTGGTGCACAACGGCGTGTCCCTGCGATGCAAACAGCACGAGGATCGTATACAGCAGGCCGATGAGCGACCACGGTGCCGCAGCCGGAAGAAACACACGCTCGTACCAGGCTGGTCCGGCAATGGCGTGCAGGCCAAATCTGGTCACCATGGCGGCGCCCAGAGGGATTCCCAAGAAGGCCGCCACGCTGGTTGCAACGACGGAGTAGGACACGGCGGATGCGCCCGTATCATGGCTGATGACGCGTATGAAGAGGATGGCGAGCGGCGCGAAGAGCACGATCTGCAAAAGCGAGTTGACGGCCACAAGAATGGCACAGTATTCTGCGTTGCCACCAGCCAGGCCTGTCCATATCAAAACCTGCAAGTTGGTCAGGATGTCAGGACGACATCGTTACTTCAACATAATTTTTCGCGATTACAGCACCTACCATTGCTATGCACCTCCCAAGTCCCACGAGGATCAACCCAACTCGCAGATCGCTTCTATCTGGAAGAAAGGCCCATGCGAGGCCCAGCTGATAAAAGAAGGTGAGATTTTGCCTGTCTGCCATGTTTCGGCGGTGGAGGACGAATAAATACCATAAACAGCGGTGTCACAACCCAGTTTATGCAGATACTGAAGGCCAGCTGCTTCCACAGGCCGCGTTCTGATGCCACCTCATGGAGCGACTCATAACGGATCTTGCAGAGGATGGGATACATCATGACGAGAAGTCCAATAGCTGCAGATGTCTGGTTAGTCCATAAAACATGACAGTGTCGAGCTCGCCCAGTCTCACCTATTGGCACGGAGACTCCGACGAATTTGCCTTTTTGTAGAGCTTTCCCTGTTTCGGGGACAAAGTTTCCCAGTAAAACACCTACAACCATGGCTAGGAATATCCAGACGGCGAGAAAGCGGTCCAACCATCCGAGTGAATTGAAAGCTGAGACCTTCTTCGACTGGAGGCCGTCTTCGGCGTTTGTCGCTTGCGTCTCACCATCTTTACAGCCGGTTGGACAAGTTCCTATGAATTCGATGTCTTTTATACTTCCAGCAGGCTGCATTTTTCCGAATTTGGTCAAGACGTTGTGACAACGTAGGATAAAACCACTGGAAGGTGGCTGTGGATGCTTGTATTGATATATTTGGACATGGAAATTAGTCCACCAATCAGATATCGGGTATGACAGACACCCTGTCATATTTCTTACATCTCATTGGCTGGTCTCACGGTCGCATTACGATTCAACTCGTTTTGAAAGCACGTTCTATTTGTATCTTCAACTACAAATTCTTGTCCACTGTTGCTTTCCACCGTCCACCTCGTCTCAGCTAGATTCCATCAGTTGAGGCAGCCAGCTGACAAAGCCGTCCGACCACTGCACCCATTGAGCAGGCCGACCAGGAGGTGGTGGAGGCATTTGCCTCAGATCGCCGGGTGGGCGGTGAATCCAGCAGCATGTTGCATCTTGCGTCACTGTAATCATGGGCGGCTGTGGGATGCAAATCTGCACGGTTGCAGGAATGTTTGCCATGAGCGGCTGCAACTCTGTACAGACAACCAAGGGTGCTGTCTGCAGTGGCTGGAAGCCGAAAACCCCTCCTGTTGCCATCGAATGTAAATAGGTTGTCTAAATTTTCTACAGGTTCCTGTTAGCAATATGTCCTTGTAACCGGGATTTGAGGCGCCTGCCTTTGATGAATTCGGAAGATCGAATGCGCTTTCGCTAAAACATGAACATTTCCTTTTTTCTCACGTCCACACCCTTTATATATATCTGTCGTATTGCCTTTGGTGATTGAGTAGTATGATTTCCTCTTGCTCACTCGGGCTTATCTACAGTGAGCGGCAACTCTCAAGCTCTGTGCATAACAAAAACACATTGCTGGAGGTGGTGAGCATGCAACGCCATTTTAAAAATTCCTAAATTCATTGACAAGATGAAGCAACTAAGATGACGCCATAAATTCTAGCCAAAGCTCCGAATCCTTTAACTTTTCCACACTCAGGACAAAAGAGACAGACGGGGAGAGCACCTAGACGCTGATGGTCTTGAAGATGCTGAACTCGTCGCCGGTGGCCACCAACGTGCCGGGAATCTGGGGGTGCCAGTGAAGTTCCTTGACGTTGGAGTGGTAGTGGACAAAGAGCAGCTGGGGCGGCACGTCCTGCACGCCGGCAGTATCTCGGCTCTCCTCGTCATCGAGCTCGACAGCCAGGTCCCAGAGCGTGGCCGTGTTGTCGCCAGCAGCCACAGCAACGATGCTATCGTCGGTGGGGTGCCACTCGATGCTCGTGATCTGCTCCTTGTGGTAGCCAAAGCTGGCAATGGGACTGGGCCGGTCAGCCACGGCGGCTACAGCGCCTCCGGCGCTGGGCTTCCACTGGCGCAGGTCCCAGACGCCCCAGACGCCGTCGTCGGCGCCCGTGGCCAGCAGGTGGGTCGTCTGGCGCGACCAGCTCATGACGTTGACGTCGGTGGTGCTGACCTGGACGGAGAGGGCGGCCTTGCGGCTCTTGCTGCGCACGTCCCAGACACGGACGGTGCCGTCGCTCGAGGCGGACGCAAACACGGATGCCTCAGACGGACTCCACTGCAGCTCCTCGACGCTGCTAGTGTGGCCAAGGAAGGGGCGCGTGTCAGTGACGAAGCCACCGCCGGACGTGCGCGTGGTCATGTAGATGACGCCGTCGTTGTCGCCCGTCAGCAGCCGGCCGGCCGGGTGCAGCGGCGACCAGTCGACGGCGTAGCCCTCGGCCTTGTGTGCGCGTATCGTCGAGACCGGCTTGTTCTGCTGGGCCGTGATCAGCGTGCCGGGCGTGTCGAAGGCAGCCAGGTGCGGCGTGATGTCGTGGATGAACACGTTGGACGACTCTGTCAGCGTCGCCGTCAGCGTCGTCGGCGCCCGTGACGGATCCTCTGATGCTACCTGGAAAGCTCGCACCCGGTTCGTCGTCGAGCTCAGCGGGATGCTCTTCGATTCTAGGATCGGCTCGCTGTCCTCGCCGTCTGCGTCGTCGTCCGAGTCCGAGTCCGATTCGCCCCCGTCGTCCTTCTGCATCCGTCCCAGTCCGCTGAACTTGAGCACCATCAGCTGGTTCTCGCTGCTCTTGGCCTGCTGCGCCTGCGTCCCGGCTACCGTGTACATCGTGGCCGGGTACACCTTGCGATCGGCGCCCAGCTGGTCGCGGATAATGTCAAACGACAGACATGGCCACGGCGTGTTCAGGCTGTGCAGCATGTCGTACGCACTCGGATCCGGCGCCAGCACCTGGCCGGGCTCGAGCTTCGTCCGCCCTACGATAAATGTGCCTGGGTTGTTGTCCACGTCCATGGCAGCTAGGCCCGTCAGCAGGCGACTCGATCACAGCTGTTCTAGCTCACAGCATCCTGCACGTCACGCACCTTCTTTCTCCTCTGCTTCTCTCTCCGCATCTGGGCGGCCGTCAACACCGGCCTCGATAATCTCATCATCGTCGAATTCGTCCTCGAACTCGTCTTCGAACTCGCCCATGGCAGTGTCCTTGTCGTTGTCGAGATCCATGGGCCGGTCGCCTCTCTTCAGAGACACGCCGCCCTCCTCGTCAACAGCCATTCGCTTAGACATGGTTGGAAAGCTGGAAACCAAACCGATGGTCTAGAATCGTCCTCGCGGGGTTTCGCCAATGATTCAAGATACAGAAGGTTTTCGCATCGCCAGAACCCCTCCAAAAAAAACATTTTTATTGATAAGCTGATAGTGAAATATGTGGGGTGACTAAGCGAAAAAGGCCTATGGTAAAGCATCAAGCCTGGACTCTGGTCCTAGTCTAAATTGCATAAAACCCCCATTTTGAAAACGAATGCAAGTATGCGAATGTGAGAGTGTAAACAGAAACACACTGCAGAATCGAGCCTTTGTGTATCGCCTCGCAAGGCTATTCACAAGAGCTGCTTCAGTAAGCTTAGATGAACTGGGTGATACTGGGCAGCACCCCAGTATAAGCCACGCCACTGGGTGGCTCCATGCTGTAAATGTAGGGTCCCCACCACGGGCCGGCTCCCCACCAAAGCCAGCCGGCCCATACGTCGGTGTTCTTCTCCATGTAGCGGAACATGTCCTGCAGGGCAGAGATGCACTGGCTGTTCGCTCCACCGGCCGTTTCGCCGAGAATTCCGATCTTCTTGTTGTCCTTGAGCCATTTGGTGGCAGCTGCGAGGCGCTCGCTGCCAACCGTGGCACTTACACAGTCGGTCGAAGTGCCGGAACCGTCCGTGTCGAGATACTGGTGCATCTCGTAAATGATCTTATTCGACGGATCGACGAGGGTGCCCATGCCGGTTGATGTGCCGCTCGAGATCTTTATGGGCAAAGCCTTGTCAGACATACGGCGCGTGTCCACAGAAGGATAAATCAGACTTACCCAATGCCAGGCCCCTGACCACATATTGCCCTCGACGAAAATGTATTGGGTCGTTGCGCCCGATGCGCGTATTCCCTTAATGGCGGCCTGGTTCAATGAGGCGACAAGGTTGTTGTCCATGTCATGGTACTCATTGTTGGTATCAAAGATAACTTTGCTGTTGGTATGGAACCTTTTGGCAACGGTATACCACCATGCCTCAAAGGCAGCGACATTGCTTATGATATTTCCATTGTACCGTCCTATTTTCTGTAAGCTGTTTTGAAGCCTTGTGACTATAGCTCAGAGCGCACACGTACCAAAGTTATGAGGGTCAATGACGGCATAAGCTCCCCTAAGACAAATGTTTAGCATACAGCATCAAACTGAGCGACGAGTCTTCTATGCTCACTTTCCGGTAATATAGGTTATGATCTTCGTAACACATTTGTCAGCTTCAAGAACTTCGAAGATGTGACACAGCCTGAAAGTACTGACCTTTTCGAGATTCTGAAAATAGCTCTCGTCGATTGTGCCCGACATCTGAGTAGGAATGGCTCGCTCCCTAAACTGGTTAACATTGGCAGTTTCTTATCAGCCGAAACTGGTACTGACATCAGTATAGGAACCCGAAAAGTGTTGAAGCCTTTCTCCATCAGTGTCTATAATATGTTAGTCATCGTCCGTTATATGCCATCCATGTTAAGATTAGCCCCAACCTACATCAATACTGGAGCTGACTGGCCAAACGTAGTCCGTGTTCACCGTTCCCGGGATCTTGCCGGAACCGAATTCGGCCCCGGACTCGCTCACCCCCGTGAACCGGAAGCTGCTGTTTCGTTTCTGTTCACTTTCGCTATGCATTAGCATGGCAGAAGTGGGCAGTGGGAGCGTCAAGCTGACGGCAAGAACGCCGAGAAGTTGCTCAAGAAGGTGCATATTGAATGGGTTTGAAAACAATGATGAAAACCAAACGGAACAAACGAGGAACTCACGACATATTTATATAAGAAGATCAGGCGACATTCCATTCCCAAGACGCTCCATTCACAGGCCATTTTATTCACAGGCCATACAACTAAAGGCTGTGTAACAAATTATTCCGATGTTTCATGAAGTGAGCACATACATCGTACCGCGCACTTTTAAAAAAACGTCACTGGCCTGCCATAAAGCCCCTGGCCAGACCTGGCCAATATTGAACGCACCCTAGTTCCTTTCGCATGTAACGGTCGTATGGATGGTACGGATGGAGCCTTACGTAATAACCGTAAGATTAGTCATATATTTCACGCTCGGTTCGCGACTGAGCAAAGTCCGGGCCTGGAATCGTTTGGACCAACACGTCTGCAAGCGACGGCATCCCATCCCATCGCAGTCGAAAGTCGGTTGTAATTTCGCCAAAATGTCCACAAACGGAGCACCTGAGCGAAGCGACGAACCGGAGAGGCAGGTGAATGGCGCACGGCCAGAGTCCGCGACAATGCCCAGCGCAGCAGCAGCGGCAGCCGAGGCTCGGCTGAATGCCACAGCAAAGGACATTTCGCTTAAGGATTTTCTGAACAAGATGGACGACTATGCGCCAATCGTATGTATCTCTGGTCAGCCGTGTGATGTGCCGGACTCGGGCACTCTCACGTCGCTCTCTATGCTGTCGTCCATCTGCTGACGAGATGATGCTCCCTTGCGCGTTCGCCTTGTTCTTTCGGATAGATCCCCGATGCGGTGACAAACTATTACATGACCAAGGCTGGCCTGCCGCCTCCGCCGCAGACGGATCCACGACTGGCACGGCTGCTGGCGCTGGCGACGCAAAAATTCGTGGCAGACGTGGCAGCCGACGCATACCAGTACAGCCGGGTGCGAGCCAGCAACACGAGCGTGAACAACCCGATGGGCAACCTGGGGGCGGCAGCTGGGTTTCCCGTGCCGGGGCAGCCCAACACGCAGCCGGGTGGCAAGGACCAGGGGCGCGGCGGAGCGCTGGGCATCCAGCGGCCTGGCTACGGCGGCGGCGGCCAGGGTAGCAACCAGAACCGCACGGTGCTGACGATGGAAGACCTGGGCATGGCCGTGGGCGAATACGGAGTCAACGTGAAGCGCGGCGAGTTCTACAGGTGAAGCTGAGGGCGGAACACAAGCGGTTACCACAACGGCAGACCTTTGCACATTCGGTTGGCGTTGCGGGAAACGGACTCTCTTCCTCTTTTCTTTCTTTCTTTCTTTCTTTTTGCCATTCTGTTTCTGGGATGAGAAGGGCGCTTGAATGAGTTTGGCACTTCCTTAACTTTTCTAAGCGTGTGTCTGTATCTATCGTACACAAGGAGTTCGAATTAGCCCTGGCGCCATGCCCGTGGTTCCTACTTGTGTGGAATCGCAATAATACCCCCAGGTTCTCAGATGCGGCTCTTGTTACCGAGACCAAATGAACGGCTTCCGTGTCCTATGCGCAGTGTTAGGGTGGATGTGGGCTTATAGTTGTTAGATGGGACTGGACGTACGGCGAGAACTCGCCCAACTTGTGGCCAACCATGTCTTCCGTGATGGTCACATCATGGTAGACCTTGCCGTTGTAGACCTGGAATTTGAGGCCGACGAAGTTGGGAAGAATGGTTGCAGACCGGGCCTGGGTGCGGATGGGCGGCGACGTTTTCCCGGCCTGTGGCCGTGTGATGGGGAGACTAAAGGGTGACGAAACGTTAGTTCAGCAGAGATAGATTGCAGGCTTGGGTATGTCGTGTTGCTCGTACGGGACAATGTGCGGGCCTGAGAAGCCGAGGATGTTAGCAAGACTGTGTGCGCAAGAGGAGGCCGTCTAACGAGAAGGAGGAAGCCGGGGCGCACCTTTCCAGACCGAGCGCTTCAACAGGCACCGAGTGGGAAGCATTGTCGCGAGTTGGGTGCTCCGTTCGTGGCGTTTCGCAGTAGACAGAGCAAATAGAGGGAAAAAGCAGCATTGGCAGTTTGCGAAAAGTCTAGATGATTACGTAATCTAGTTCAGCTCTGAGATTGACGGGCCGCCACGGGCAGACATGCTGGGGTGGATTTTCCTGCCAGCCGGCAGCAGCAAGAACCAGAGGTCCCACCAGCACGTCTCCTGGCTTCTTGTGACCGCAGACGTTGGCTGGACGGCACCTAACAGTTTTTTACAGAGTTTGATTTTTCCTTGTTTTACAGTCGGATCGGCTTTTGTGCAGAGATCTTCGACTTCGGAAACGACTGCCTGCCGTTTCCCTGCGGCCAGGGGCAAGAGCCAGCATGCGCATCGTCTCTGAGGCGGATTAGCGAAGACGACGAAGACGACGAAAGACGACGACGACGAGTCGCGATGGCGGACCCGTTTGAGGTGCGGGTGCGGTTCAGTGCCCAGCTGCAGAACCTGAACGCGTCGGTGACGTCGGCGCGCAAGGCGGCAGCCTATGCGCTCAAGTACCGGGACCTGGACGAGGACCTGCACTCGTGCATTCTCGAGCAGCTCGAAAAGGTGAGCGTTCCAGCGTCTGGGGGGGAGGGTGTGTGGTGGCGTAGCAGCAGCACTGACAGGCGAAGCCGCAGACGGCGCTGAATACGCGGGCCAACATCATGTACTTTATCGAGCACTTTCTGGAGCTGGCCCAGCGGGAAGGCCACAACGAGTACGTGGCGATGATCCAGCGCGACATCATCCGGGTCGTGGACGCGGTAGCGCCCGAGAGCGGCCAGGGCGCGGCCAACGTCAAGGTGGTCCGGCGGGTGCTGCAGGGGCTGCAGCAGCGCGGCTTCCTGGACGGCCAGGTCGTGACGGAGATCGAAGAGGTGCTGCGGGAGCGTGAGGCCGACCTGCTGCGATCGCCGGGCGGCGTTGGCGTCGGGGGACCAAACGACATGGCCGGCCATCCGGGCAACGGTGGCGGTGGTCGGGACGAGGACGCCATGGACGTGGACCCGCAGGACCGGATGGCGCCGTCGCAGACGATGCCGTCGGGCGGTGGCGTCGGTGGAGGGCATGCCGGCGACGGCAGCAACGGAAACGGCCACGTCAAGGGCAACAGCAGCAACAACATGATCATGGCAGGAGGCAGCATCGTCGGCTTTGGCAGCGCCGTCGCGGCTGAGGGCCCTCGGGGCCTGGACAAGAAACAGATCGAGGAGCGGATCGAGGAGGATCGCGAACGGCATAAGCGACTGCGCGAGAACATCTGGGCCGTGCCCGGTGGCACGGACACGGAAATGTGGAAGATCTGGGAGGAGACCAGCGAGCTGGGTGAGGACGATCACGTGATGGGAGAAGAAGAGCAGGCCGAGCGTAGCCGCAATCTGCTGACCAGCTGTCGGCATGGCGAGCCGGTCGTGGCCGACGGACGGCGCTGATGGTCCGATCCTGGCTGCCCTCGCTTTTTGGATTCGACCTGGCGTTACGGCGTGGAGGGCAGGCGGACTGGTGGGAAACGATACACAATACCATGGAAGCTTCGCTTCTGCCTGGGCTCGTGTCCTCGTCGCAAGGGCTCATTGTTTCAACCGTACTGGGAGCGGATCATAGTTCGATATGGAGATAATGGTACATGTACATTTCTGTTGTCTTCCTCTCTCGGCCGATGTTCGTTCCCCTTCCCTCGTCTACTCCATCGTCACGTTGGCGCCGAGCTCCTTGAGGGCGGCAATCATCTTCTCGGCCTCATCTTTGGGCACGGACTCCTTCATCGTCTTGGGTGCGCTCTCGACAAACTTCTTGGAGTCGACCAGGCTGAGGCCCAACAGGTTCTTGATCTCCTTGATCACCTTGGGCTTAGACCCGGCCTCGAAGCCGACCAGCTTGACCGTGAAGAGGGACTTTTCTGCCGGCGCAGCCGGCGCCTCCTCCTCCTCTGCGGCCGCCGGAGCCGCCGCGGGTGCTGCTGCAAAGCCGCCGACGGGAAGATCTGGTATGTTGAGGCGTGTCTGGAGAAAAGAGTGAGAAAAAGGTGTCGCCCTCAAAAGGGAAAAGACAGAAGGACCAAACCTTTAAGCTCGACACCAGGCTGGCCGTCTCCAACAGGGTCAGCTGGCTGATCTGGTCGACAATGGCGGCAATCTTGGGCTCCACCGCTGCGGCCTCGGTCGAGCTGTGCCGCCGGGCTGTGTGCTGCGGCGCCGCCGCCTGCGAGAGCGAGACGACGGCAGCCAGCGGCGGGCATGTCGATCCGGCGGGCCGGACGCGAGTCGAACGTAACGTCCGGAGCTGGTGCGCGCAGCGCTGGGCTGCGAAGCGGCAGGACATGGCCATTGTGTCGGGGGAAGCTGCTGAAATGGGCGGTCGGGTCGTCTCGGTCGGCGGCTCGCGGTTGCTCTGCTCGTTCGAACTCGTTCTTCTTCGCTCTCACGACGATGCTGGATGGAGAGAAAATCGAGCCAGCGCAGATTTTCATCGGCCGTCGGCGCTGTTGGCATCTGATTGGCCGACCGGTTGCAGGTGGGGGGGGGTCGCAGCTTCCTCCAAAAAGCTCTAGCAAAAAGTTGGTATCGATAAGAAAAAAAAAAAATACTTGCCTAAAGCGATTGTCCCAGAACGTTTTGGAAAAACAGAAAGAGAAGAAAAACAAAAAGGTTCTGTCTAGACACAAGCACATGGACGACTGCTGTGCCGTATTCAAACCGTCCATGGTTTGCACGCCGATACCATGACTCTCTACGATGTCGGACCGCAGCGACGGTCTCTGCTGGCCGACTCGGCCACCTGTGGGCTTTTCCCACCACAATTGCTTCGCATAATACGAAGCGAGACGACGACGACAAAGCGACCGGCCGCGGACAACACGACGACAGAGACGACCGCGATAACGACAAGCGGCCAAGGGCCAGCGAGCTTTCTGGACGCGGTGGCACAAGCTGCACTTTTGCCACGCCTCACAGGGCCTCTCTTCGGCCACTTCCGGCCGCTTTTTGCCGACATTTGTGCCCGCTGGCTGCTGCATGCTCGCCGTGGCGTCCGGGACGACACCGTGGTGGCCTCGTTTGCCCGGTTGCTTCCCCTGGCTCCGTATCTGTCGGTGCTGCTGGACCGGTATCTGGCCGAGACGGATGCGTCGTTGCTGGCTGAGAACGCCAGCTCGACACTCTCGACAGACCCTCAACCCGAAGATCTCTGCGCTCGCCTTTTGGCCCTCTGGCGGCTCGTCCATTTTGATACCCCCGCCTATGGCTGCCTCGTCCCGGCCGACCTGCAGCAGTTCTTCCGCCACCGGTCGCCACCGGTGCGGCTTCTCGCTATCCGCCTCTTCGGCCTCGTCCATGCTGCCGCCGACTTCAAGACCGACGCGCTGCTTCGACAGTTTGTGCATGAGCACGACAGCCTGGCGGCCGACATGGATGGCACTGAGATCGACTACACCTTTTTGACGCTGCACGAGCACGCACGGTGTGACGAGTGGTGGAAGCGAGCGGACGCAATCAACGCAGAGATCGAAGCAGTAACACGGCCAGACGATCCCGAGAGCACGCTGATCCTTCCGTTGACGCCGCTCGTGGCCGCATGGGGCCGAACGGTGGTGCCCCGATCGGGCTTGTCGTCGTCGCCGCAGTCCCCCTCCTCAGCCTCAGCCTCCTCTCCATCCGCTCTCGTTCGCACGGCCGCCACGGTGGCCAACCTGGAGGCTCTCGCCTGCCGGCTGCTGCAGACGGAACCGGTCCTGCTTCGTGGTCCTGCTGGTGCCGGAAAGACGTCGCTGGTGCGTGAAGCAGCACGGGCGCTCGGCATGGAGGCCAGGCTGGTGACGCTGCACCTCAACGAGCAGACCGACGCCAAGACGCTGCTGGGCCTGTACACGACCGGAGCCAAGCCAGGCTCGTTTGAGTGGCGGCCCGGCATTCTGACGACGGCCGTGCAGGAGGGCCGCTGGGTGCTGATCGAGGATCTCGACCGTGCGCCCACTGATGTCATGAGCACGCTGCTGCCGCTGATCGAGCGCCGTGCCCTCGTGATTGCGAGCCGCCGCGAGACCGTCCGGGCACCACGCAGCTTCCGGCTGTTTGCCACCGTGCGCACAGCAGCCAACACCAATAACACCACTCGCTCCCTCCTGGGCGAGCGTCTCTGGCAGGTCCTGCCAGTGACACCACTGCCGGCCGACCAGCTCGAGCAGATTTTGCGCGAGACCTTTCCGGCCCTGCACGCTCTCGTGCCCGACATCTTGGCCGTCTTTGGCCGTCTGACGGGCTCGTCATCGGTCGAGCGACCGGCCACGCTGCGGGATCTGCTGAAATGGTGCCGACCCGACTGGAACACGTTCTCGGGAGTCGGACGGGGCCGGTTGCTGCCACCGTCTCGGAGACGGCCATGATCGACATCTTCCTCGATGCCGTCGACTGCTTTGTCGGCAGCGCCAAGGACGAGCGTGTCCGCCTGGCGCTGGGTCTGCAGATCGCCCAAGCCCTGCGCATCACGCCCGCTGTGGCCGAGCACGCCCTGCTGGCCCACGAGCCGGCCCTGCGCGAGACCGAGCGGCAGCTGGTGGTCGGTCGGGCGACGCTGTCCAAGGCCCGTCATGCTGTTGGTGTGCCTAGCTCGCGACTCTTCGCCACCACTGCCCATGCTCGCCGACTGCTCGAGCAGATTGCCGTGGCCGTGCAGCTGCACGAGTCGCTGCTACTGGTCGGCGAGACGGGCATCGGCAAGACGACGGTGATCCAGCAGCTGGCCGCTCAGCTCGGCCGCCGGCTCGTCGTCGTCAACCTGTCGCAGCAGAGTGAGGTCGGCGACCTGCTGGGCGGCTTCAAGCCTGTCAGCGCCCGCAGTTTGGCCGTGCCGCTGCGTGACGAGTTCGACGCCCTCTTTGCCGCCACCGGCATCTCGGCCGACCGCAACGAGCGCTACCTCGGTCGCATCGCCTCCAGTGTCGCCCGTGGTCGCTGGGCCGACGTCTGTCGGCTGTGGCAGCAGGCACCCCGGATGTTTGACCAGATCGTCGAGAAGCTAGGGGCCGACACCGACTCTGCGGATACTACCGACACCACCAATCCGAAACGACGAAAGACGGAGTCGAAGCGCCGTGCTCTGCTCGATCTCAGGCCACGCTGGGACCGGTTTGCCCGCCGGCTCGACCAGTTCGCCCAGCAGGTCGCCGGTGGTTCTGGCGCCTTTGCCTTTGCCTTTGTCGAGGGCAAGATCGTCCAGGCTGTCCGCAACGGTGACTGGCTGCTGCTCGACGAGATCAACCTGGCTTCGCCCGACACCCTCGAGAGCGTGGCAGACTTGTTGTCGACCGGTCCGGCTGACTGTCCAACCATATTACTGGCCGAGACCGGTGCCATCGATCGTGTCCGCGCTCATCCCGACTTCCGCGTCTTTGGTGCCATGAATCCGGCCACGGATGTCGGCAAGCGTGATCTTCCTCCCGGATTGCGCTCCCGCTTCACAGAACTGCATGTCGCCAGTCCCGATCGCTCCGTCCAGGACCTCGTGCCCATCGTCAAGACATATCTGCGCGCCAATCCCCGTGCCACCGACCGTGTCGTCGAGCGCGTCGCCCGCCTCTACCTCGCCATCAAGGCTCTCGCACTCGACCGCCGCCTCGTCGACGGTGCTGGTGAGGTCCCCCACTACAGCCTGCGCACCCTCACGCGCGTGCTGCGATATGTCGACGACGTCGCCCCCAGCTATGGTCTCGACCGCGCCCTCTACGAGGGCTTCTGCATGGGCTTCCTCACCCTGCTCTGCCAGGCATCCGAGGATCTGGTCATGCCGCTGATCGTCCAGCACCTGTTTGGGACGGGGGTGGGTGCTGACATAAGCAAGAACAAGAGTGCCGCCGCTCTTAACCGCCAGAGGTCGGTGCTGACTCAGCCGCCCCGTGAGCCTCCTTTGCATCCGGACGGCCGTACCTACGTACGGTTCACCAGCACGGACGGTGCGCGCCAGTACTGGCTGCAGCAGGGTGCAGACGCGCTGCAGGAGCGTGCCGACTACATCCGCACGCCGTACGTGGAGCGCAACTTGCTCAACCTGGTGCGGGCCACTTCGACCGGCCGGTTCCCGATCCTGATCCAAGGCCCCACGTCGGCCGGCAAGACGAGCATGATCGAGTTTCTCGCACACTTTAGCGGCAACCGGTTTGTGCGCATCAACAACCATGAGCACACGGACCTGCAGGAGTATCTGGGCTCCTACGCAGCCGGGCCCGACGGCCGTCTGCGCTTCCAGGAAGGCGTCCTGGTTCGGGCCATGCGTCAGGGTCACTGGATCGTTCTCGATGAGCTGAACCTGGCACCGACCGACGTGCTCGAGGCGCTCAACCGGCTTCTGGACGACAATCGTGAGCTGCTCGTGCCCGAGACCCAGGAGATCGTCCGGCCGCACCCTCGCTTCATGCTCTTTGCCACCCAGAACCCGGCCGGTCTCTATGGTGGCCGCAAGGTGCTCTCGCGTGCCTTTCGCAACCGCTTTCTCGAGCTGCACTTTGACGACATCCCCGAAGCTGAACTAGGCCATATCCTGCAGATGCGCTGTCGTGCCACCGCGCCGTCCGACTGTGAGCGCATCGTCACCGTCTACCGCGAGCTCTCGCGCCTGCGCCAGACCAGCCGCGTGTTCGAGCAGAAGAACAGCTTTGCCACTCTGCGTGATCTCTTCCGCTGGGCCCTGCGTGAGGCCGACAACCGAGACCAGATCGCCGCCCATGGCTTCATGCTGCTGGCTGAGCGCGTGCGCGACGACGACGAGCGTCAGGCCGTCCGCCGCGTCATCGAGACCGTCTTCCGGACCAAGATCGACGTCGACCTGCTGTATGGGCCGGCTGCTCTGCCTTCCTCTCTCGCCACTTCCACCTCCGTCGTCTGGACAAAGGCGATGCGCCGTCTCTTTGTCCTCGTCAGCCATGCTCTGCGCAGCTGCGAGCCTGTCCTGCTCGTCGGCGAAACCGGTTGCGGCAAGACCACTGTCTGCCAGCTGCTGGCCGAAGCTGCTGGCCGTCCGCTGCATATTGTCAACGCCCACCAGAACACCGAGACCGGCGATCTGATCGGGTCACAGCGTCCTGTTCGCAATCGAGCTGCCGTGTTGGCGTCCCTGCAGGCCAATGTGGAAGAGGCATTGAGGGTGGCTGAGGATGGGAGTGCTCCGGCTTCCCACGAGGATACCCCCGAGGATACCCCCTCCCTCTCGTCTCTCCTTCAACGATACCACACTCTCCCTCCTCCCGTCCTCGCCCGCCTACCTCCTGACTTGGTCGCCCGGATCAGCCGTGACGAACCCCGCAGTAAGGCCCTCTTTGAGTGGGCCGACGGCAGTCTTGTGCAGGCCATGCAGTCGGGTGCTTTTTTCTTGCTGGACGAGATCTCGCTGGCCGACGACTCCGTCCTCGAGCGGCTCAATTCCGTCTTGGAGCCGCAGCGTCGCCTTCTGTTGGCCGAGAAGGGCGCGGCCGAGACAGCGGCAGCCACGGTAGATGCTGCCGACGGCTTCCAGTTCCTCGCCACCATGAATCCGGGCGGCGACTTTGGCAAGAAAGAGCTCTCGCCTGCGCTGCGCAATCGCTTCACCGAAATCTGGGTCCCAGCTCTGGCCGACGGCGACGACGTCCACGCCATCGTCTCTGCCGTCTTGCGGCCGCATGTTCGCATCCTGGCTCCTGTCATTGTCGACTTTGCTGCCTGGTTCAGCCGCAGCTTCGGCCCTGCTGCTGCTGGTTCTGCTGCTGGTTCTGCCTCGCCCTTTTCCATCCGCGACATCCTCGTCTGGGCTCAGTTCGTCAACCGTTGTGATCATCCTGAAGAGGCTGACACGGCGCTCGTCCATGGTGCTGCCACCGTCTTCATCGACGCCCTCGGCGCCAACCCGTCTGCCATGGTGTCGGCTGATCCGGCTGTCGCTGCCCAGCAACGTGCTCTCTGTCTCACCCATCTCAACCACCTGCTTGCCGACCATCATGCTCGCAATCCACAGCTTGGCTCTGCCACTGTCACCGCCACCGCCTCGCAGATCTATGCAGCTGAGCCTCACATCGAGACCACCGACAGCCACTTTTCCGTCGGCAGCTTCAGCATTGAGCGAGTCACCAACAGTCCCAACGGCCTATCCACCTCCTCTTCCCTCCCCTTCGCTTTCGATGCTCCCACCACCCGCCAAAATACCATGCGTCTGGTCCGCGCCATGCAGATCGGCCACAAACCCATCTTGCTCGAGGGCAATCCTGGCGTTGGCAAGACGACCCTGGTGGCCGCCCTGGCCGCTGCCTGTGGCCAGCCGCTGACCCGCATCAACCTCTCGGACCAGACCGACTTGATGGACCTCTTCGGCACCGATGTGCCCGTGGAGGGCGCTGAGGCTGGCCGCTTTGCCTGGCGTGACGCTCCCTTTCTGCAGGCCATGCAGCGTGGCGAATGGGTTCTGCTCGACGAGATGAACCTGGCCTCGCAGTCTGTCCTCGAGGGCCTCAACGGCTGTCTCGACCATCGTGGTGAGGTCTACGTGGCCGAGCTGGACCAGACCTTCCGCCGTCACCCGGACTTCCGCCTCTTTGCCGCCCAGAACCCACATCACCAGGGTGGTGGCCGCAAAGGCTTGCCCGCCTCCTTTGTCAATCGCTTTCTGGTCGTCTATGCCGACGTCTTCTCCGAGGCCGACCAGCTGTTGATTGCCCACCGTCGTTTTCCGGCTGTCCCCCCCCAAGTCGTTCGCCATGTCACAGCTTTTGTCGCCGCCCTCGAGCGCGAAACTGTCCTCCGTCGCTCCTTTGGCCTGCAGGGTTCCCCTTGGGAGTTCAATTTGCGCGACACTCTCCGCTGGCTTGAGCTGGCCTCTTCGACAGCCACCCCCTTTGCCGCTCTCTCCTCGTCAGCCCCCAACTTCCTCGACATTGCCATCCGACAGCGCTTCCGCACTGCCCGTGACCGTCGCGAGGTCCAGAGACTCTTTGCTGCCGCCTTTGACGCCCCCCATCGCCCACACAGCCGTTATCACGCTGTCGGCTCAGCCACCGCCCAGATCGGTCTCGCATTGCTGTCGCGCAGTCGTCTCAGCCAGCCAACCGCTGCCTTTCCCGGCTTCGACCCCCGTCCTCGTCTGGCCGAGCTCGAGTCCGTTTTGCTGTGTGTCCAGCACAACCTGCCTTGCATCCTCGTCGGGCCTTCAGGCTGTGGTAAGTCTGCTCTCCTGCAGCATGTCGCTGCTCTCGCCGGCAAGCCGCTCGTCGTCTTCCCGCTCAGTGCCGATGTCGATGCCATGGATCTCGTCGGTGGTTTCGAACAGGCCGATCCAGTTCGCGATGTGTATGCTGGCCTGGCCGATCTCAAGGACGTCTTGAACATCTTTCTGCTCGAACACGCGGCTGATGAAAACAACAATGACCACGACCACCATGCTGCCACCCTCATGCAGGCTCTCGGCATCACCACCACCACCACTCCCGACTCCGAGGCTGCACACTTTGCCCACGTCGCCGACTGCATTGGCCGCTTGGCCCCCCTCATCGACAGCCGCTCGCCACTCGCTGCCGCCCTAGAGGCTGCCCACGATCGCCTCCAACAGCCACTGACACTGGCCAGCCCGCGCTTCGAGTGGCTCGACAGCATCATCGTCCGTGCTGCCCAGGCCGGCCACTGGCTCGTGCTCGACAACGCCAATCTCTGCAATGCCTCCGTGCTCGACCGCCTCAACTCCCTGCTCGAGCGGCCCCAAGGCTTCCTCAGCATCAACGAGCACAGCCAACCCGATGGCGAGCCGCGCATTGTTGCCCTGCATCCCGATTTCCGCATCTTCCTCACTGTCGACCCACGCTATGGCGAGCTCTCGCGTGCTATGCGCAATCGTTCCGTCGAGATCTTTGTCGACCCTGACACGGGCTACAGCCTGTCGAGAGCAACCCATATCGACCACATCGCTCCTGTTGAGGCTCGCCTGCTTCGCTTCCACGATCTTGTCCGCCATCCGGACCCCCTCTGGCTCGACAACCTGTCTCTCGACGACTCCGCCCTGCTGCAGCGCTTTTTCCACACCGTCAACGCCGGCCGTCTTCTTCGCGAAGCCGATGACCAGACTCGCTCCCGTCTGCTGCTGCGTATCCGTGTCGCCCTCTCTTACCTTGGCATCGCTGAGGCTGCACCCTTGCGCAACGCTATCTTGCACCAGTACACCCAGTTTTCTGACAGCGCCGCCCATCCCGACGCCCTGCTCGTCTATGACCAGCCGCTGCATCCTCTCCAGAATTCGCTGCTCGTCCAGTCGCTCATGTCGTCGTCCTCGGATCTTGGCGTCCTCCCCACTTGGCTCTGGTGGCTCGGCCTCTGCTACCAGACCACCGCCCGCGTCTCCTTTGCGCTCGAGGACCTTCTCCTGCACCGCCAAAAGGCCGCCGGCCACCTGTCCAAGCTCGGCCTTCTCAACCGCCTCCAGCGCTCCTCACTGGCTGCCCAGGTCGCCGTTGTTGCCCGCGACTCCACCGCCCCCGTCTTTGCCTTCCTCTCCGAGACCATGAAGGAGCTGCAGTCATGCATGGTCGCCAGCGTCGACTTGGTTCGCACACAAATCGCCACAAATAGGGGAAAGGACGTCCGCCACCTGCTCAACGTCGCTTCGCACATCTGGTGGCAGACCCATGCCCTCACCACGCAGTCCAGCTTTGATGAGGCTCGCTTCCAGGCTCATCTCGGCCATAGCCGCTCGCTGCTCCGTGGTTTCAAGGCTGACATGCAGGCCCTCCAGCACGAGGTCGAATCCGAGCTGCTCAAACCCGCAAACGTTTTGCTCACCTTTGTCGCCAACATGCTGCATCGCCTCGCCCACGACTTCGCTGACGGCTTCAGCCTCTCCACCGGTCTCAGCATGAACCTCCTATGGCCGCTCTTCCGTCCGACCCCCATCCCCGACGAGCCCGCCTTCCGCCAGGTCGTCGCCATGGAACGTCTGGCTGCTCGCTTCGATAACCTTAAGTGGCGCGTTCCCAATGCGTCGGCTGTCGACCTCGGCCACGTCATCACCTCCCTGGCAGATGCCTATCGCCTACTGCGTGTCGACAGCACCGACTCCGCCGCTCTCGTCCAAGCTGTCACCGATGAGATCACCTCTCTCGAGTCCCTCGTCGCCACTGGCCAGGTTCCGTCTGTGCCGCTGTTTGCCGACGTCTTCGAGGCTGTGCGCCAGCTTCACGTCCTCTATGGCAACGCCGGCCAGCTTGACGACCAGATCAAGACCCTCGTCCTCTCTGACCTGCCCACTTTTGCTCAGCTGCGTCTGCACGGCTCTGTCGGTCCTGCCCACCAGCTGCAGGCCGTCGACTACCTCCTCAGCCAGCTCTCCGCTCTTCGGCCCTGGAGCGGCACGCTTTCCAGCCAGCTCTTGCGCAAGTCCGAGCACGTTATCTCTTCATCTGCACTGGCCTCCCTCCGCTCACTCGAGAAGGAACTGCCGCTCGTTGGCCGCCTGGTCACCCGTGCCTCTGCTTCGCTCTCGGCAGACCCCGTCGCCAAGCTGAACGACTCGCTCTGGGACCTTCTGTCTGCTGTCGTCTCGTGCTTTGACAACAGAACATCCGCCCAGGTTCAATCTGCTGACGGCACGGACGCCGCCTCGCTCCAGACTCACGTCAGGGCTCTTCTCGATGCTGCCTTGGCCCATCCGCAGATCGCTCATGTGCACATCTCTGCAAGCGGCTTGGTCATCGGATCCGACAACGTCTCTGTGCCCGCCGAGAAGCTCATCTGGCCGAACTTGGACAAGAGCCAGCTCAGTCCCATCCTGCAGCAACACTTCCTGCCCGTCGTTCTTGCTCTGGCCGCCTCACGGCAGAGCAGCAACGTGCACATGCGCCAGTCCCTCTCTGCGGTCGCCTGGGTCCAGTTCTCCGTCGGCTGCATCAAGCTGTACACGCCCGACAAGGTCTTTGATCCCTTTCTCGAGTGGAGGACCGAGCAAGACTTCCACGCAACCCTGCGCGCCTCTCTTGTCGACGAGTCCGCCGCCCTCCGCCAGTTCGAGCACGACTTTACCGCCCAGGACTCCACGAGCCTGCGCCTCAGCCTGGCCGAAGAGGACATCCGCGTGCTCGATGCCGCTCTCGTCAGCCGCCAGGAAAACCAGTCCCAGCTGCAACTCGACTCGCCAACAAGCATCTACCGTCCGTCCAGCGGCGGCGCTGCCGCTGAGCTTTCCCGGCTGCAAAAGGACGTCTTCAACCCAGTCCTCGACGTCACCGTCAAGGATGACATCAGCTCTGCCCACTTCCGCATTCTCTCCTCGCTGCTCGCAGCCACAGGCACAGAGACGACCACGACAGAAGCCCAACAGGAGCTCCAGCTGGTCCAGCACAACGTCGTCCGCCTAATCGAGCGCCTGCTCATGAGCCAATTCACGGCCTACCAGGATCTTGCCGTCCCGGTGGCAAACCTGCTTCGCTGTCTCCAGCTTGGCCTCTCCCTCAGCGAGGCTGCAGCCATGGCACCAACGTCTGACAGCTCTACGCCGTGGCTTGGCGTGACACCCTTCTTGGGCGGCCATCCCATGGCCATCGAAGCCGTTTCGGCACCGCTGAAGAAGACCTGGGAGTTCTTGCTGTTTGGAGGTGTATGCGCTTCAGTGGACGGACCCAGTGAGCTCAGCGATGCCGCCACTTCGTCTGCCTTCTCGCCCCAAGGCCGCCGCTGTATTGCCGAGTGCTTCCACTACTTCTTCACCGAGTGGAACAGAAAGCTTGAGGCTGATCGCATGGCCGAGGAGGCCAAGACCAACCTGTACCGCTTCCGCGGCAGCCAGGAGGACGAGGAAGAAATGGATGAGGCCGAGTTCAGCGAGCTCTTCCCAACTTATTCCGGCAACGAGGACAGCATCAGCACCAACAAGAAAACGCTGGCCAAGTGGGATCTCTCGGCCGATGTCTCCCGCATCCACCGCGACATCCTGCAGCCGTCGCGGCCGCCCACAGACACCATCCTCGACTTCTGCAAGACCATTGCGCGCAAGGCTGCCAAGGAGATCGATGTCGATGGCGTCCCGTCGAAGCAGGCCATTTCCAACAGCGAGTTCTTGCCCGCAACCCTGCTCGCGGTCGATGACACCCTGCGCAGCCTGCAAACCTCGGTCGTCGCCGCGAGCTCAGGCAAGTTCAACTTTTATACCGACACAAACCTGCCCGAGGCTCGCAAGCTCGTCGCACTCGTCCACGAGGTCGAGGCCAAATTCCGCAGTCTCCAGCGTGTGGACGAGATCGGCCACCTGCAGCCGCTGGCTGACGTCGTGCTCGGGTGCGAACGCGTGCTCGAGCTCGAGTTCAGCGAGCCTCTGGCAAAGGGCATCACCATGGTCGAAAAGCTGCACGAGGCCCTGTATGAGTGGCAGTTCCGCGGATACGCAAGCCGCCAGTACCTCACCCCTACGCTCTATGACCGCGTCACGGCCACGCTTGTCAGCTGGCGGAAGCTCGAGCTGTCCACGTGGAGTCGCCTGTTCGACTCCGAGTCCGACAAGTGCCGGCAGGACGCGGGAGTCTGGTGGTTCATCGCCTACCAGGCCGCCGTGGCTGGCCCCATGTCCATCCTTCTCGGCCAAGACGAAAATAGCAACAGCACCAGTAACTCGCTGGCTTACCATGTCGAGCAGCTGCTCAAGGAGCTCTCATCATACCTCTCCAGCTCTATCATGGGCCAGTTTTCAGCGCGTCTCGACCTTCTCCGACAGATCGGCGCACATATCGGCCTGCTGATCCAAGATTACCCGGCCATGGCCGTGATCCAGAACGCCGTCAAGAATCTCGTTGCCTTCTACTCACGGTATGAGAGCAAGGCCATCGAGAGCGTCAAGAAGGGACGCGAGGGTCTGCAGAAGAAGATGAATGACGTTCTCCTCCTGGCCAGCTGGCGCGACACCAACATCGACGCCCTTCGCGAGAGTGCCCGCAAGTCCCATCTCAAGCTGTTCCGACTTGTCCGCAAGTTCCGGGCCGTACTCGGACAGCCGATGCTGTCCATCATCAAGTCGGGACTTCCGGACGATGCGGAGCAGGAGATTGTACGCGGCAGCGAAGAGCTGGGTGCCGTCCTCGACTCGATCGACATCGACCTGTCCCGGTCGCAAGCAGCGACCAAGTTGTGTGCAGACCTGATCCCTGACTGGGGCGATGATGCTCACACGCGCCGTCTGGCCGGCGTGGACCGCATCGTATCGATCATGAACAGAGCTAGTGCCATTCCGGCTTCGACCCTGGATGCCAGCGATGTTGTCTCTTCGTTTGTCAAGGACTTGTTGACGTCTATGTCTGAGCTGCGCAAGGAGACGCCTGGCCTGCTCACAGAGGAAACAAAGGACGCGGTCAAGCACCTAAAGACACGCAAGATTCGCCTCTTTGACGAGACCGTCAAGGCCGTGCGCCAGATGGGCTTCAGCAGCAACCTGGGCACAAGCCGGCTGGCCGCACAGGCATCGCTGCCGCTGATCTTCTCGGGTTCATCGGGTCTGACAGCAATGCGGCTGCCCGAAGAGCTGGATTTTGCCGGCCTCGAGTACAGCTTCCACAAGCTGGTGGACTTGGCGCCGCAGTTCCGCGAGGCCTTGTACGAGCACCACAGCGACCTCCAGAGGATCACGGCGCGGCGCACTGTCGGCTACCTAGAAGGCATCCTGTACGTTGCACTGCGGCAGCGTGAGATTCTGACAGCATCTGCCCGCAGCCTGTCTGCTCTCGATGCCCAGGTCGCACATGTCGACAGCCTCAGCGCAAGCTTGGTCGATGACGGCAAGGGTGGCAACAAGAACGTCGCCGTCGAGACGTGTCGGTCTGGCCATGCTCGCACATTGCGCTGGCTCGTGGCCATCACGCAGGTCGGCGTGCATCTCGCCGAGGTTCATGACCGGCTTGCAGATGTTGACTGCAAGTCGGTTCGCACGCAGCTCGCAGCCTGGGCTTCCAAGTTCGATGGCTTGCGGATCAAGCTCGAGGCCAGCCTTCCCGGTCTCCCAGACGGCTTTGTCTCGTCTGTGACTCTGGTACTTCGGTCTCAGATCGACGAGGAAGTCGCTCGGTTTGCCTCTGAGCTGGAACAGCGCATAGAAGAGCGCCCGGACCTCGCGTACATTCTCCAGCAGATCAAGCTTTGGACTGTTGCCGACGCTTCGGACGAGGCGGAAAGGGCCATGACCGCGGCGGCAAGCGACGGATTGCCCTCCTTTACAGACAAGGCGCTGGACCTGTCCAAGATGCTGCTCGACGCCGTGCAAAAGTTCAACAAGGCCGTGACGGAGTTACCAACATCGATCGAGCAAACGGCGTGGCTGGTGGAATACAACGCCAAGCTCTCGACGGCCGTCAAATCGCTGCATGTGGACACGGTCCTGTCCAGCATTCAGAAGTGCATCGATCTGCTGAGATGCAACTATAGCGCGCCACACTCGACGTCAGCCACAGCCCTTCTCTGCGTTCTTCTGCCACTCCTGCAGCAGTACACGGCGACATTCCGGCGGACGCTGATGCGTCTTGCTGCTCTGCACCGGTCCACCTGCCAGTTGGGCCACCGTCTGAGCCGAGCGTTTGTGGAGATTTCGTCACAAGGCTTCTGCACGCCGCCGGAGAAGTCAGACGACTCGTCTGGCCAGACCAACGGCAAGCTCGAAGAGGGCACCGGCCTAGGCGATGGCGAGGGTGCCGAAGACATCAGCAAGGACATCCAGCCAGACGAAGATCTGTCAGAATTAGCACAGACGGCCAACAAGGAGCAACAAGAGAAGGGCGACGGGATTGAGGACGAAAAGGATGCCATCGATATGGGCAATGATGAGATGGAAGGCGAGATGGGGAGCGCGGCTGGCGACGATGAGGATGAAGACAAGGACGGCGATGATAACGAAGGAGAGGATGAGGAGGACGACATGGACGAAGAAGCAGGTGATGTGGACGACCTTGACCCGACAGCGGTGGATGAGAAGATGTGGGATGGCGAAGATGCCAAGGACACGGAGAAGGAGCAGCAAGGAAACGAGTCCAAGGGTCAGAAGAACGACGAAGAGCAGGTGGCGGCTGCGGACGACAAGTCGCAAAGCAAGGCTGCCGATGAAGCTGCGGTCGGAGAAGAGGGCGGAGATGCAGAAGAGGAGAAGAAGGGCGAGGAAGAGGATGATGAGAAGAAAGAGGGAGACGATGGAGACGATGTGGATGACGATATCGGTTCGGATGACGAGCAAGTTGGCCCGCAACAGGAACTGAACCGCCAAGACCAGAACGTGGAGGAGAATGATGCGCTGGATCTGCCTGACGACATGGAGTTGGATGACGGAGACGACAGCAATGACGGCGGTGGAGACGAGCTGGACGACCTAGCCGATCTGGAAGAAGGAAAGGAGGAGGAGGGTGGCGTGGACGATTCGGCCCAGGAAGAGAAGCGTGGAAAGGAGGAGGAGGAAGGGCCCGATGCGAAGAAAGAAGAAGAAGACGAGGCGATCGGTGATGAGACGGTCCAGACTGACAAGATGGCCGAAGACGACGAGGCCGAGAAGGATGAAGATAAGGAGGGTGATGATGAACAGAAAGACGGAGAGCAAGCGACAGAGGAAGACGGCATGGACGTGGACGAAGATGGCGACCAGGCGGAAGAGGCGCCAAAGCAGCCTCCGGTGAATGACGTGCAGGCCGACAGCAAAGACACGGCCGCACCCAGCGACATGCAGAGTGGCGTCGGGCCGGAGCAGCAGGAGGACAACGCGGCCGCCGACCAGGAACAGGCGGACCAGAACGAAAACAACAACAGTGCGAAGCGCGACCAGGGCGAGACGGGCCAGGATGCCGACGAGAAGGACACGATAGATGGTGGTGCCAACGGGACGATGACGAACCGCGACGCAGCCCAGCCAGAAGAGCCTTCGAGTGCGGACAATGCAAACGAACAGCAGCAGCAACAACAACAGCCGTTCAAGAAGCTGGGCGACGTGTTGGAACGCTGGCATCGCACACAGCGCGAGATCAAGCAGGCCGAAGACGGGTCTCAAGACCAAGAGGTGCAAGACGAGAACAGCGCAGACCAGGCAGCCGAGAAGGAGTTTCAGCACCTGCACGACGAGGAGGCAGTGGCCAGTACGCAAGCCATGGGCGCGGCCGACGACGATGAGGCCCGACCGGTTAATGATGCCATGGCGATTGAGGATGAGGCCGACGGTGGCAAGAACGAAAAGAGCGAGGAGAAACAGACGCAGCAGGCGAATGAGGAGAGCGATGATGGCAGCGATGTGGCCGAGGACGACAAGATGCAAGATGACGATGGTGATGATGCGGATGACGATGGGGCTATGAAGACGGAGGGCGATGATGGTCAGGCCGGCGCGTCGATGCAGCGTGGCGCGTATGACGATGTGGACGAGGATGATGGGGCCAGCAGCGACGGCGATCCGGACGAACAGGACGGAGTGGACCAGGAGAGCGAGTCGGACGAGGAGGATGACGGCGCCAATGCGGACGAGGAGGCACTGCTGGCCACACAGCTGTTGTCGTCGACCCGACTCGAGGACGACGAAGAGGGTGCCGAGCTGATGTCGCTGGACGAGGCCATGAGCCAGTGGACGGCCTTCCAGCAGTCGACTCACGGACTGTCAGTCGCTCTGGCAGCCCAGCTGCGGCTGATCCTGTCGCCGTCGCAGGCGACCCGTCTTTCGGGTGGTTTCCGCACCGGAAAGCGGTTGAGCATCCGCAAGATCATCCCGTATATTGCGTCGGGCTACAAGCGCGACAAGATCTGGATGCGACGCAGCGTCCCGACAAAGCGGGCGTATCAGATTATGCTGTGTGTTGATGACAGCAAGAGCATGGCCGAGGCCGGAGCTTCAGCTTCAGCATCTGCTTCAGCTCTTTCACGCGTCTCGCCCGGCCATCTCGCCCTCAGCTCGCTCGTCATGGTCGCCCGCGCCCTCGCCATGCTCGAGGCCGGCCAGGTCGGCGTTTTTGGGTTTGGTGCCCGCGTCTTTGCCGCTCACGGCCTCCTCGATGCCGAGCCGTTTGGCGGCAGTGCTGGTGGTGGTGGTGCTGGCGGCGGACTCCAGGGCGCTGCTGCCCTCCGTCGCTTCACCTTCCGGCAGGACCGCACCGATGTGGCCCAGCTGTTGCGCACGACCATTGACACGTTCCGCCAGGCCCGCGAGGCTGCTCTCGGTGGCAGCGCTTCCGCCGATCTCTGGCAGCTCGCTCTCGTGCTCTCGGACGGCCTCACGCCCTCGTCTGCCCACGAACGCATCCGCCGGCTGCTCCGCGAGGCTGCCGAGTCCCGCATCATGATCGTCTTTGTCGTCCTCGATGGCCCTTCCGGCTCCTCGGCCTCTGGCCAGCCGGCTGCTGACAGCGTGCTCGACCTCAAAGAAGCCAAGTTTGTCCGCGATCCTACCACCGGCGAAAACCGCGTCGTCATCGAACGCTATCTCGACACCTTCCCCTTCCCCTACTACCTCATCGTCCACAACCTCGACGATCTGCCGGCTGCGCTGGCCGGCTTGCTGCGCACCTGGTTTGCAGAGGTCAACTCGTAAAATTAGAATAGAAGAATAGAAACCGGGAGAAAATGTGTTTATACAAGTTTTCAATTGTAATTTTGCAACCACGCCCACATGATGCGGAAGGATAATCCGTCGTGACTGCCGTACAGGGATTGAAAACCGGGAAAAAAGGAAGGTGCAGCAAAAAAGCCAAGAACAGAAGGGGCAACGCGAACCATATGTCGAGATAAGCACGGATACGACCTCCCCAGAACAGTCTATTTCTTATCCTCTGCGCTCACTCCCAAATCCCAGATTCATCCAATACACCTTTACATCCATCCGGCCGCTTGGGCTCCCGTCGACGCAATGCGCATGGCATGGCAATTGTCCACTATAAAACACAAAATGCAGCACAGCAGCGCAGCGCAGATCAATTACAAACAGTCCGCCCTCCTACTGCTCCTACTGCTCCTGGCTAAAGGACGAGTTCAGACCCTGGATCGCCTCCATGTCGGCAATCGTGCGATTGAACACCTTGCTCAGGTTACTGATCACCCGCGACCGGTTCCGCTCGTGGCGTGTCGTCCAGATGTAGTCCATGATCTCCCGGCTGATCTGCTCCAGCTGATCCACCGTGCAGCCAGATGTCCGGTCCAGAATCGTGTCCAGGATCGAGTCCAGATGGGCATCGGGTGCGCTGATCGGAAATGCCTGCGATGACAGCCGGCTGCCGCTGTTCTGCCGCGGCGCTGCGTTCTGTGACGGCACCGGCGGTGGGCCCAGAGGCTGTACCGCTGACTGCTGCGACGTCGTTGGCGATGGTCCGCTGCCCGACAGCCCCTTTCCATTGCTGCCCTCAAACTCGGCCTTGGACACCTCGTGCCACTGCGAGTGCACCCACTCGTTACTCGACGCCGCTTGGCTTGGCAGCGAACCAAATACCGACTGTGTGTCCGGGATCTGAGACCCTTCTGCATTGTCGGCACCGACAGCCACTCCCACTCCCAATCCCACAGATCCATGCCCTCCTCCACCGCTGCTGGCTCCCGTCCCGTGCGTTCCGTTGGTGGCTTGCGTGCTCCACGGCCCAGACGACTTGGTCGTCGACGCTTCGTTCAGCATTGCAGACGGTGACATACCCGACGGCATGCCCGTCAGCACCGACATCTGCGATACCTGCGTGTTGCCAGCCGTCGCCCGTGTCGAAGCATCCAGCATTGCCGGCGGACCCGTCGATCTGGCCCACTGCTGTCCCAACGGTGTGCTGGGCGCATCCTGTTGTGGGCTGTCGTCCAAGTCTGCTCCCGTCATCGACACGTCTTCGTCTCCGTTTGTCAGCCGCCCAGAAGGCACCGACGTCCCATTGCTTCCGAGGTGTGAATTCCCGTTCGGCGTCGACGGCAACGACTCAAACCCAATGTCTGGCTTGAGCTGGAACCGCGCCTGTTGTTGCGCCTGAACATGTTGGCCCAGCTCATCGTCGCCTCCTGCCGCCGGCACAATGTCTGAGCCGATGGGCCGGATCGCTGCCTCGTCCGTGCCTCCTCCAACACCCACGGCACCGACTATCGCCAGCCCGGCCTTCCGCTTCGCCGCCTTCGCTTCAGCATCCCGCGCCCGCTTCAGCTGTCGCTGGTAGAGCTCCTCCCAATTGACCTGCGACAGTCGGGCTTCGGCCTCGGCAACGTCCACCTCCACGTTGGTCACCAGCTCGTTTGCTTTGAGCAGCCGCTCCTTGTCGCCAATGTTCCTGGCATCCTTTGCCAGAGACACGACATCCTCGTAAAAGTCCTTGGGCCGTGCGTAGAATCCGTTGGACAGCCGCTCCTCGATCGTCGACAGGTCCAGGTTGTAGTAAAACTTGTTGGTTTCCCTTTCCCAGAGGCCCACTGCGCCCTCTTTGTTCCTCGTAATCACAAACGGTCGCGGCTGCTCGCTGGCAATATCCGGCTGAACATAGCTGGGGTCGGCCTCCTGCCACAGGTACGAGATCTGGCTTTCCGGGATGACAGGCTGCCGGAACTTCTTGTACTTCTTGATCTGGTCCATGATCGGCTGCAGCTGCACCTTGAGCAGGTTCAGCAGCAGGTGGTCCCTGCGCAGCTCTTCGCGAATCTCCTCCTTCGTCTTGACTTTTGGTGGAGGTGGTGGCGCAATCGGTAGCTCTTCTAGCACTCTCTTTTTCCGGTTGGCCGGGTCCGGGAACTCGCTCGGGTTTCGCGATGCGTGTTCCACGAAGCTGATAAAGTAGTTGCGCCGGCTCTCCCGAGTCGGCTTCTCCAGACGGAACCGGTTCTTCGACGAGTAGCCAAATAGGTCGCGCAGGACAGAGCGTGGAATTTCTGCCTCTTCACACTCGCATGTCGCCAGGACGAGAACGGGGTCGTTGGGCGGTATGGATTTGAGCATCGTCGTAAACGTCACATACGCCGACTCCGTGATGCTGTTGTGCCAGACATCAATGTTGGGAATATAAATCACAGCCGGCTTGTGGCGCTTGACTTCCACAAACAGCCCCACGATCACCTGTTCCAGCGGCTACAAAGGCAACTGTCAGCACCAAGTTTCTCGTCCAGTTGATAGTCATCAGGTTCCACTTACTCGTCCGTCGCCCAGTAGAACCGGCAGGTCAAAGCTCTGGATGTGGACGCCTTCGAAATTATGCAGGATCGCCGCCGCCAGATATCCTTGGCCCATGCCAGCCATGCCGGTGAGCATGAGCCGAGGCCGAAAGGTGCGCGACCGCTCAAATGCCTGAATCATGTTCTCGCGCCCGAACCCGTGGTCGGCGTCCTGCAGCGGCTCGAACATGGCCTCCTCCAACGCCGTCGTCTTCTTCCGCCTCGGCATGATGTCGTCCAACAGCGCCTGGATCGTCGAGAGCTGGTCGCTGAGAAGAGGCGCCACAGGCTTGGGCAGGGGCGCCCATGCCGGCGTGGCCGACCGTTCAGACGACGGGATCATCCGGCTCATCGAGAGCGTAAAGTCCGTTGCGTGGATAAAGATCCGCTCTGGGTTGACAATCAGCTTGTCCTGCGCCGAGTAGATCTGTGGGTATGTCCGCTGGATCGCGTTTAGTGCCGCTTCGGTGCAAAGTGCTCGCAGATCGGCTCCGCCGTAGCCCTTGGAGTTCTCAGCCAGCATGCCCTTGAAGTCGTCCGTCAAGCCCCAGTCTTTGGTGTGGATGTCGATGATCGATCGCCGGCCTTCCAGGTCGGGGAGGGGAAAGTAAAATTCGCGGTCAAAGCGGCCTGGCCGACGCAGTGCCGGGTCGATGTTGTCTGGCCGGTTGGTGGCCCCGATCACGATCACCTGGCCACGACCGTCCATACCGTCCATCAGGGCCAGAAGCGTCGACACGATGGACGCGTGGATCTGCTCCTGCTTGCTGGACCGCACCGGTGCCAGGCCGTCGATCTCGTCGAAGAAGATGATGCTTGGCTGCGTTCGTCGAGCCTCTTCAAATAGCAGTCGGAGCTGCTTCTCGGCCTCACCCACCCACTTGCTCAGAGCGTCCGCTCCCTTGCGCATGTAAAACGTGATCTTGCGGCCGCCAACGCCCACCGAGTTGGCCAGCGCACGTGCAAGAAGCGTCTTCCCTGTGCCCGGAGGACCGTGGAACAGGACGCCACGAGGCGGCGTAACCTTGAAGCGCAGAAAGAGCTCCGGGTACAGCAGCGGCAATGTGACCATCTCCTTCAGCTGATTGATGTGGCCCTGAAGGCCACCCACCTTGCTAAAGTCCACGTTCATGTCAACGCCCAGTGGATCCGCATCGGCAAGCGCCTTGTGGTTCTTAACCTTGCCGACGTTGGTGTTTGCCGAGACGCCCGTGATAGACTCGAGATTAAGGGGAGCCGCGAAGCCCGATGGCGCCGTACCTGTCGTCGGTGTCATCCCGACATTGCCGCCAATGGCGCCGGACAGGCCAGTACGCGTTATCATCTCGTCGTCGCTGCTGTCCGAATCCACACCTCCCGCTGCCCCGGTGCCCCAGGGACCGCCGATGAGCGAACCGTCGCCACCACCGCCGCCAAAAGGACCGAACGTCGAGAGCAGGTTGCGCTGCCACAACGAGGCGGCACCTCCACCACGGCCATTACGCCTGCGTGCCGGTGTCTGTGTCGGCTCGTCTTCCTCTTCTTGCTCAATGGGGTACTGGTCGAGCGGCTTGATGCTGTAGTCGACCACCTTGGTGGTCCGCCGACGCGATGTCGCTTCATAAACGATCGACGGGGACTGCCTTCGCCGCCGCGGCCGCGAATGGGAGCTCGCACGAAGCTCCTCTGCTTCCATGGCCACTTCATCCCTGTCGACGTCGTCTTCGTCGTCCGTGACCGCACCGCGAGTCCGCTTCGTGCCAGACTTGATCCGCGTTGACCGTCGTCGGCCTCGCGAGTTTTGGCTGGAATCGTCGTCTCCGTTGTGGCCGCTGTTGTGCTTGGATGCGTCGGAGTCAAAGGCTGCTCCATCCCCAGACTCTTCGTCATCCACGGGCTCGAAGTCGCTACTAGGCTCCTTCAAAGATTTGGCTTTGCGGAGACGCGATCCGCGAGTCAGTCGTCGTCCAACAGCGTTGCTGACATCGACATCAGCATCGACATCGGCATCGGCATCGGCATCAGCATCAGCATCAGCATCGGCGTCAGCTTTGATATCGTCTGCCAGCTCCTCCTCTCCTGCAGGAGCACCAACGTCATCGACGGGAGCAGCAGCAGCCGCTGAGCGAGTTTGTCGCGTGCGTCTGCCAACAGGTATGTCGTCTTCGTCATCCTCCTCTCCAGCGACATCATCAGCCATGGCAACGTCTTCCGGTATGTCCTCGTGAGCTTCTTTATCAACGGTGTTGTCATCGTCGCCTTCAGCACTGTCCCCAACCTCAATTTTACTCTCGGCCAACTCGCTGATGGTAATACGCGCCGCGCCAGAAGTCGCGTCCAAGCTCTGCAGGCGGCTGTGCAGTGAGACTGAATCACGCAAAGTACTCTCGTCAACGCCATCGCCACCTGCGAAGATCTCTGTTCTACCTTCATCACCCCCAAGGCCAGGCTCACTGCTTTCTTGAGTAGCTTCTTCAATAGCAGGCACCGGCGGTTTCTTCGTCCCTTTGGAGGCTCGGCGTGGTCGTCCGGCAGCAGTGCGCCTTTCCGGGCTCACGCTCGCCACTGTCCTTGCGGGCCGAGCATGGCGACCCGACGTTGACAGCTCGATCAGCTCGTCTGCCTCTTCCGTGGTTGCCCGTGTGCGTCGGGTCGTGATTGTGCTTGTCGCAGCAGCCGCGCGATCGCGTAGGCTTTTCGAATTCATCTTCAGTGTAATTATCCGTGACTTCCGTGGCGTCTGCGGGCCAACGCTTTCAGCCTTTTTCGGCTTGGGCTTCACGTCTTTCGAGGCGTCAGAGTCTCCGCTGTCGCTTTCTGTCGGCTCCTCGTTCGAGTCCTCACTGCTCTCCTTGTAGCTCTGGTGCTTTATGGCGGCCTTTCTTGTCCGGCGGCCGGTGGCACTCGTAACAGGCTCGTCGTCCTCGTCGTCCTCGTCGTCTTCAGCAAAGGACTCCTGTAGGCTGTCGTCCGAAACTTCGTCACCGTCCTCGTCAATGTCCGATCCCGCGTAGTCGTTTCGCCGACGGCTGCCAGACTTTGATGCTTTGACTGGGCGCTGTTTCTTCTTCGAGCGGCGCGGGCGATCTCCTCGGTCCTCACCAGGCTCAAAGTTCTCGTCTTCCGAGTCCGACTTGTTCGGATCAAAATCGAAAATAATGTTTCTCTTTCGCTTAGCCGGCATTTTTCGTACGAAGCCAAGAAAAAACAAAGGCAGCCAGGACTGGCACACCTTGGGAATTCAGACTATAGGTTTTGTTGTATCAATAATCGATCCGAGAGAGGCCAATGATCGTGACTTGTCGATGGTCGGGGCCGGAATTTTCCGCCTCTGGAATGATGTTCTTCCCTCACTTGGACCTCCGAGAGTATTCCATTTGGTCTCGGAATCGAGGAGCAGTTGTCGGCCAACTGTCGCAGTCGGCAAAGGGCTTCGCGGATATGAGGGTAGTCAAGGGCACGAGTGATTGCAAGCCGAGCTTGTATGCAAGAAGGATTTCCGGCAGTGGTGGAGGAACCAAGGAGGAAGACGATCAACGAAGATGGCCGCCTAAATGAAGACGAAGACCTGGTGATATGAACAGAGAAGTGAATACAATGAGAAGGGCGCCTTCAGTCAGGGATAGGACAAGCTGGACACAAAATGAATGCGTGAACACCGGGTGAGAAAAGTAAATGCAATGGCAAAATAAGGGTGATGTAGGACGGTGTAAGGGGATGGGGGAGTGGGAAAGAAAAAAAAGACCTGAAGAATTGCCCTTTTTCTGATGGGTCGCGCTGCTTGCTTTTTTGCGTTGTGTTCGCGCAACGCCACAAGATTCACTCACCTCTGCGAAGGAGCGCGAAGGGGGACGAGTGGATCCAGTGGCAGAAAACCAATGAGCTGCCGGCTGATCGTTTAGATCTACATAGTAGTCCGTGTCTGGTCCGTGCACCAATCAGGCCTTGGCCCTCGCCTCCCTTTTTCCTGTGGCATCCTGTTTTCGGGCGATCTGAACACGCAATCCTGATAGCATGAGGTTTGATGGACTTCCATCAACGCCAGCCATCTCGCAACATCGCGGCCAGAAAATCCAATAGTCTCAGTAGATATGGAAGGGTCCTGCACTTGACGGCAGTGATTTGTCAGAAGACGCGCCTCGCGCTGGGCGCGCCAACAGGGACGCAAACGAAAGCAAATTTGGGCGAAGACAGGAAAAGGTGTGGAAAAAAGAGGATTCAAGAAAGAAAATGCAATGGCCATGTGCTCAGACAGAAGGAAACCTGACGGGTAAAAAAAATTAAAGTTCACGCCCATTTCTTATGTGGGGCTGTACCGATGCGGCTCTGTCTGGGGAAAGAGGAGGGGAGAGGGGTTGGACAAGTGGACAATGCCGTTCAGCCCTGTGTGAGCTCCCAGACGGCTCTCCCGCTTTCGTGGCCGGCTGTCTGTCGAGCTTCAACGTTAGATGTGCGTCTCAGCAGCCGCTCTTCTCGAGGGCCAGAGCAAAGTAAAACACGGGAGCAAGCTACTTAAACGGTCATTACAGGGAGCCTGTCCCTTTGAAAGCGGCATGTCAGGTTACTGTCGTTATAAGGTAGCATACGAGTGGGTTAAGAAACTCTTCTCTAAAAGTTGGGTCTTTATTGCTGTGTCAGGTCTCGGCATAAAAACCACAAACTAACAATGGCACGTGACTATTGCCGAAGAACATCCGCAACACACTAAACAGGCCATTTTATACGTCTAGATCTGCCATGTCCATATTAGGTCAGCAGTGAAGACATACCAGCGACTTCAGCATGGCGCTATCAACCAATTTCTCTCGCTTTGTCATTTCAAATATAGCCGAAAAGTCCCACAACGAGACGTGACTGCGGGCGAAGTAGAATACTCTGTACAGAGAACACTTTGTATGCGGTATGCTGAATAGGATAGCACGGATCTTCTAGTAACAGGTCTTGTTAAATTGTAAGCGCCCAGTACGGAGTAAGAATGTGTATGTTTTTGTTGGGTACTTCCGATATACCGGCGTGCATGATATTCCCTCATAAATTGCGCCCTTCGCCATGATGAAACGACACAAGTCCTCAAACCCCGCCCATTTCGACCTCGTTTGACAGGTCTCGCCTAGGTGGAAATTTTCGCTGTGTCGCTAACCACCTATTCCGTACTCTGCAATTGTCAATAGTGCATGAAGAAAGGGTTTCATTCAAGGTCCATACAAATCTCATGAAGCTTCGGAAGCTGTTTTCTGCACTGCCTACTCAGAGGAAATAAATGCTGATAATATTTTGACTGGTTTATTTTTAAACTCCGGTTAGGTACGGCAAAACCTGTTGCAAATTCTGTCGCCAATGTCCAATCTCCTGCTCGTGATATTCAGATTTTTGCTGAAGTTTCCTATGTAAGTAGCCGATCGCATTCGCTAGATTTATACCAAACTGCAGTGCAGTGGTCTGCGCCGACTCCTGTGCACTTAGTCTCTGCTGCTGTGCATAATCTGAGAACTGCGAAAGCTCCTCAAGCTGTTGTTGCAACAGATTTACGAGCTCTGGCCTAAGATGTTGTTTCAGTATTTCGAGCTCTGGTACAAGCTGTGGCAGCAGCGGCACGTCGAGATCCACAATACGCGTATTTAGCAGGTTCGGGTGGAGCAGCTGATACAGATGAAGCTTCTGCTGTCCGATCATTCTGTTCAGCGATGCATCAACTTCCTCCATAGGTTCGTTAAAGAAGTCGTCAAGCAGTACAAGCTCCTGTTTCTTTAGTGGGGTGTTCTCAAGATTTTTCTGCTGCAATTCTTGGCTTTGGTCTTTGTGAGAAAACCTTCCACTATCCACGTCGTCCTCAGTATCATGTAGACTAGCTCTAGACTCTGTGTTTCGAATCGATGGCCTGGGTGTATGGCGAGCATGAAGTCGCGAAAAATGTGCCTGCATAGCTGCTCTTGACGGAAACGGTGGGTATTCGCAGCTGCTATATGTGCAAGGGAACTTGCGGATATGTGACATCTCATGCTCCGTGCAAAGCTTTGCTGATTCAAACCCAACAGTCGCTCTTGGGCAAGAAGTAATTCGGCACGTAAAAGCTGATGTTCGAAACTGACTCTTGAAGTATTCAAATTCTGAAGCTGAGATACCGGGAAAGTCATCCTGAGCCAATAGATCTTTGAGTGTTTCCCGGTATAATGCTAACAGAAGGGAGAGGCCATTTGCAGGTGGCTTCATCTCATGGTTTTCTGCTCGAAAATTAGTTGTAAATCATGCAAAAGGCCCGGACGTTTGTAAGTTTACCCGAAAGCTCTAACAAAAGTCTCTCGGGGGACCTTGCCAGAATGTTCTCTGCCACACATTTTTGAAGCGAAGGGTGTTGCTCAAGGCGTGACAACCTGGTATCGAGCAATAGTTTATCTTTCATCACCATTTCTCTACAGTCTGTGATATGGCATAGCTGATCAAGTCTTGTGGCCAAGTTGTTTGCAAGCTCTATCAAAGTCGTTGATGCTGGCATTGACGAAACGTGTTCCTTGTCCAGTGAAGCCGCATTAGCTAGGAGATATTCGGTCCAGTAGTCTGTCGCATATATATGAAAAGCGTGTAATCCTTTGACCACGCGAAGACGACGTTTGTCCGCGTCATCTTTGGGACCGAAGACATTGATCCCGGACAGGAGGCATGATGTTGCAGCAATTCCATGTGCGGTGACAGAGTCTGACTCTTTCAACAGCAAAGGGCTTTTGCGGTCTTGTAGAAAGCTGTGTAAGAAGTTAGATTTTCTTCATATACAAGGGTTTGGTACGGCACTACGCACTCTTTCACAGAGACGTGAATGAAACCAAGAGTTGAATCGTGCCTCTCCTCAACTAGTGGAGATATAACATCCAGTACAAACTGAGGAACGAGATGGAGAGCATCTTGTCGGCCAGAGCTGAAGGTTACAGCTGACATGAACTCGAGCCTTTTGAGAGGGCGTTTGGAGAAGGCGATCCAGCCCAGCATGCACTTCAGGCGTTCAACTGACAGCTTGTCTAAATTGGCGAGCATTCGAGTAGAAATCTCACGGTATCTTTGGTTGTCACTGTTAGTATGTGCCCGCTGCTTTGTAATAAAAAACATACAGGCTGGCAAGCTGCTCCGGCAGCTGATTTACGGACTGTTTGATCTCTTTTATTTCGTAAAATATATTGGAAGAAATAAAATCCAGGACAAGCCTGGCGTATAGGAACATTCCTAAGATTAATTAGTACCCATTGTTAGACGTCCTGTGTGGTAGCTATAACTTATAAAACTAGACGTCTTACCATCGGCCTTTCTAACAATCGCCTCTACAATATCATTGACATCTGTTGATGCAACGTACAGTTGCTCTAGTTTTCTGTGTAGTGTTTGAAGCCGAAAGTTGGAATATTGGCGAATCGATCTGTCAAGGGAGTCCTTTTCACCGGCTAGAGAAACCAAATCTGATTTGCGAAGTCGATCTGAGATGGTCTCTGACATTCGGCTTGACACCAGAACTTTGCATGCGACTTTGTTACTGGAACTTGCTTTCGCCGTGATATGTCTCATTGTGCTGATGATGCGCAGCTGCGTACTTGCCTCACACTCATCAAGCCCGTCTAGAACAATCCAGACACGCTCGAACTTGTCCGGCATAGTAGACAGATTTTCAACGCATGTCTGTAACAGCTGCTCGAGCACCCGTAAGGTCGGAATTTTCTTGTCGAGGAAATAATCATTGTAGACATAGGCCGAAAGCTCTTCGTTTCTACGGAGGATTTGAACAAGTAGAGAGCGCAGAATATGCTCGTAAGAGATGGACGAGACATACGAGTATGTGCAAAAATGGCATACAGTAAGCATTCTCGCAGTTCTCAGAAAGTTGAGAAGTTGTGCGGCCAGAACACTCTTTCCGGTGCCGGGGCTTCCTTTAATCCAAAGTAGTGGAGGGTCAAGAGAGGGCCGAAGCCATGCCTTTACCTTGGCGTTCTCGATGATCCACGAGGAGGTGCCTGGGTACTTTTCGGCCTCTGCTGAGATAGACTCGATTATGGCCAGCTGGTCAGACTCGTCCACCCTAAGCCATGAAAGAACGGACTCAAAGTGGCTTGCAGTCCGTTCTTTTTCCATCGCCACCAGCCGAATGTCACTCTCTTCTTTCCATTCTCGGACGCTTTGGCGCATTTTCTGGGCCTCTTCGATGTTGCAGGCATTCGCTTCCACGTCAATCAGGCTCTCGTGTCGCTTCATATCCTCCAAAATATGTTCAAATCGCCGCTGAAACCTGCCCCAAGACGTCATGAAGAAGATTCGCCAACCTATAATTGGACGTTAGTGGCCGACAGACCTACGACTCTTCCAACTGGAGGTGATTTCATACTACTTCTCTTCACAAACTTGTAGGCATGTCCGTGAAATCGCAAAATGTCTGAATAGAAGGCAGCAACAGTCTCTTGGAAACCAGCAGTCTTTGGGAATACCTCTCCTAGCGTAGAGATGCGTTTTAAAGACTCTGCTATCTGCGAATACGCCTTAATGATCTTTTCAAGAGCTTCGACATAATCGGAGGATATTCGCAGTATCAAAGTGATTGGCGCCCATATCCATGGCAGAAAAGGCGTCCCGTTGCAGAGGGTGTCTACAACACGGGAATAGTGTTCCAATCCGCTGAAGAGAGGTGCTAGTCGTCGCATGTTTCGAAGAGACCCTCTCGAGGACAATTGTTTTTCAATTTCCAGGGCCGAGTCCCGGACATTCTGGATAGTAGTGTTGGGAAAGTGTTGCGCGTCTACTGGCGCAATGATCTTTTCAAGGTCGTGAAATGCATCGCTTATGATCCTTCTGGCGAGAGTAGATGGGGCTCGAGGCAAGGGCATAATCTTCGAAGATACGGCTTATTGTTCTCGAGTTTGGTCATTTCTTTCGGGAGAGGCAAGTGACTAATGTAAGAAAGGCCTATCTAAATTTAGGCAAACGGCAGGTACGGAGTACAAATAATCGACACGTTCATCTGCGCATATAAATCAGCCTTGTGCCGCAGTTCGCCTAACCAATTTCGCCTAAAAAGTACGCCTAATATGCTTCTTGCACATTGGGCACATTGGGCACAGCCGTTGCTGACCGCTTTTTCCAGGACCAATCGTCAAAGTAAGGCGTACCATGCCGATTCCGAGGCGGCTCAATACAGAATTGTTTCATAATGGGCTTTCTAACGTTTCAGGATGACAAAAATGGCTTGAATTACTGCCTCGACGTCTCGTGCAAACATCCTCAGCTACGTCCAGATCTTTACGCTGCCAAACATGGAGCAGCAGTGGACAAAGAAACGGAAATTTGGATTAGAGGCAGACTCTCGGAGAGGCACTGCATCATTTGAGAGTCCAGCGCAAATGCCATGTCTGCCTTGCGGCTCTAACACCACCGGTGGAGTCTCTATTGAATCGAGCAGTTTCGCACCGACTTCACACAAATATGAACGATACCAAGCGTATCTTCCGCAAACATTACCATTTGAAGAAACGTCGACGGGGTTATCAACGATAACTTCAACTCCAGATCAGAGTATCGCACAGAGTCTTTATTATCAAGGCAACGAATATGATCAGCTATATTACCCTTTAGTGGGTCCTTCAGCTGAAGCAACTTCATGGATAGACACTGCATCGGCTGCAGACAGTCTACCGCAATGGCATTTTTACCCTCGCGACCTGAATATTTATGGTGGAAATCCCGAATCCCCTCTGCCGTTTTCATCAGTAGCTCCACATGAGGACACGCAAAGTATTATACCGTTAGCTTTGTCGCAGGAGCCATCAATGATGTTCACGAATTCAATACAGCCTCCCCTGTACAACTTTGAATACCAAGGCAGCGAATACAGCCAGCTTTCACAGTTGCGGCCTCCAGCCATAAAAAAAGAGCCTTCGCAATGCTCTTCTTTTCCAGACTTCTCATTTCAGCCATCACCTATTGAAACTAAGCTTGTACTTGAAGAAATTCCAACCCGGGTTTCTAGGCCCGAAACTGGGACTAAAGCAAGTGATCCGATAGTTTGTTTCGGCCGTGTAAGTTCGATATACATCTTTCAAGGAGACACGAAATTGACGCCTAATTGTTGTAGATTACAGAATTACAGGGGAAATGGAAAACTCAAAAGGGCAAGCCTACGCCAAGTCGGTTTCCTATCAAAATATTTTCAGAAAACCATTTCTGCGCGCTTCCAAGCGGAGAGGCTTTAGGCGAGCTGCTTCCGGAGTATGGAACGATGACAACTGGGCTTCTTGAAGAAGAGAGTCTTCAACTCTATGCTTCCTGTACGATTGCGGAAACCCTCCCGAAAAAAAGGACCAGAATGTCTTCCTGCCTGTCGTGCAAAATAGACATAACCATTTACGGGCCCAGGACCTTGTTCGATGAGATCGGATCTTTTTTCCAGGAGTATGAGACATATCTTCAAGACCCCATTGAGCCCCATCTTGACGTTCCATACCTCAACCCTCAGAGGCTTCTATCTGAGGATCCAAATCACAGTTTGACAGTCCCGGAACTCCTTTTTCAGGCTTCAGTCACTTCCAAACTTCAGAGCATTCCGGAACGGCCCGACATGTTGGACTTGCTCAGCAATCATATCTCTCTGGATGAGGCGGAGCAACCTGTGGCTATTCTGACAGAGCTAAAAAGGTAATTTGGATTTTCCTGGATTTATCTCTCAGCTTACTGATCCAGAGAAATAGGCACCAGAAACAAGCTCTCATGTTTATGCTTCAACGCGAACAAGGATGGTCGTTCGATCGAAGTCAGCCCGATATGTGGGAGATGGTCGACGGCTTGCAAGACCAATTGTATGTTTTCAGCATCCTTTCTCATTTTTATTGGCGAAGCTGGCTAAGATTTAGTAGTTTTGTGAACAGAATATCGAATGCCGTCCAGACAGAAGAACCGCCTCAATTTTCTGGCGGTATCATCGCGGATCCAATGGGATTGGGAAAGACCCTTACGATGCTTGCGTTGGCTGCAACAGATTCCAACGGCTATCAGAAACCGGAGGTTCCTTTTTTGTCTGACGAATATCAAAAGCAACTCGTGCTGACTACTCTTATCATCATCCCCCCTCCATGTAAGTCATAGGGAATTTTCATCCGATAAACGCTGCTAGAGAAAGCTAACCTCGTTAGTGATAGGATCATGGGAAGAGCAGCTGGACCAGTACGTATTTCAGGAGTAGTTACTGCTTGAATCATGATCACTGACTGCTGTCTTCGCGTCAAAGGCATTTCAAACCGGGATTCCTGAAATACCACAGGCACCATGGGAAATATAAACTAAACAGCATCGAAGAACTAAAGAACGTAGATGTGGTTCTAACAAGCTATCATACTGTAGCAGCTGAGTGGAAAGGAGCGAGGACCATGACGGATGATCAACCATTCCTTTTTTCTGTTTGCTGGAGGAGGATCGTTCTCGACGAAGGTAAGCTAGAACTGGCTTTTTGTTCTGAAATTCTGCGCTAAGCAAAAAAACAGCACACTTTATACGGAACGGAAAATCAGGAATGGCTAAGGCAGCCTGTGCTCTTGAGGCGGTGTCACGTTGGGCTGTCACGGGCACGCCGATTCAGAACCGCCTGGCTGATCTGGCCGCACTGCTCTCATTTATCAGGGCCCATCCGTATACAGATCCCAAAACGTTTGACGCTGACATTTCCCATCTCTGGAAGTCGGGAGAAGAAGAGGAGGCTGCCAAGCGCCTGAAAAATCTCTCTGCATACCTGCTACTTCGCCGGCCGAAACAGATAATTGAGCTGCCCAGAAGATTGGACAGAAAGTGCACGGTTGATCTGTATCCAGAAGAGCGAGAGCTTTACAAAAGCATCCATGACCAAGTTCTTATTGAAATCGACGAGGCCATGCAGATGGGATCGGAAACATCTCGAGCAGCAATTTATGCTAAAACGCTGCAGAAGATTACCTCGCTACGACTCATCTGCGATCTAGGGTTGCATTACCGCGGAAGACATGCCGATAGCAGCAGTAAAACTGCCAACTTCCAACCGGCTCTTTCAACGAAATCAGATTCAGAGGAAACACGGGAGGCTTCTCTACAAAGCATATTTGACATGCGGCGTGATCTGGACGAAATCGAGTGCATTCAGTGCTCTTCACGATTTGGGCCAACGGATGCATTTCTGGGTGATGCCGTTTCTAAGCATCAAAATATGGCATGGTTCTCGCGCTGCCAAAAGTTCTTGTGCATCAGTTGTGTCAAAACGCAACGACAGGCCGAGATTAGCTTTCCATGTGGCCACCTGCCTCCCTGCCTAGCAGAAGCGGTGAATCCGTATCTGACTGAAGAAGTGGCCGGCCATGAAGCTAAAGCATATACGTCCGAGGGCACTGACGATGTTGTGCGCTTGCCGTCCAAGGTGGAAGCATTGTTGTTGGATCTTAAAAGTCTACCGCCCAACACAAAATGGTAAGCGTCCTGGCCTCTGAACAGCTAAGAATCAGTAATCGAAATACGACTAACATAATACCACTACTTGACAGCCTAATATTCTCGGCTTGGCGACTCACACTGGACGTGATCCAGAAAGGTTTGGATCAGGCGTCCATTCAGAGTACCCGCTTTGACGGGGAAATACCACAAAAAGGGCGTCAGGCTGTCGTCGACAAATTCCGCAATGACCAGAACATCAGCGTCATGCTCTTAACTCTATCGTGCGGCGCTGTTGGGCAAGTGGTTTTTTGTTCGCCCACTTTCTGTAGTCGAATGCTGACTTTATGTACTCTGCAGTCTGAATCTAACCGTCGCGACCCGTGCGTATCTCATGGAGCCACATTGGTGAGAATTGGCATTTAGCAGCATAACGGTATAATTTCAAGCTCACACTATCGACAGGAACCCAACGCTGGAAGAGCAGGCTCTGGCACGAATCCATCGTCTAGGCCAGACCAAAGAAGTCACCACTGTTCGCTTCTTCGCGCGAAACACATTTGAAGAGGCACGTCACACTCTTATTCTGTTCCTATTCGAGTTTGTCGATTTTCGCAGCTCCCTGCTGACCTTCCACAGAAAGTCATAGAGATCCAAGAATCGAAAAAACAGCTCTCTGGCGTCCTTCTTTCACACCATGACAATGGTCATTCGGACGAAAGCCTTGAAGGCTTGCACGTAAGCCCTGTCTTGGCACTGGTACGTGAGCAAAACGCTAACACTGGTGTAGAATCTAAGGGCTTTACTTTGATTCAAGGTTTGAGTGTTGGAAACGAGCTTGCACACTCTCCATAAAGGCGGGGTAAAAAGTTCCTCAATCTTGCCCAGGTCTTTTCGATCACATGACTAAAAACGTAGCGTTCCTGACTAATGTTTTGTTAACTACTCTACTGCGTGTGGCAGATGCACCAATTGGTGCGCATCTGCTTACGCCACCCGATACAGCTATGAAGGCGGCAGGAATAAGTGGTGATATGTAGCCTCGGTGAATATTATTCTATGTATTCAGTTTTGTATAGAGCGTTGCTATTTATACGTTGTTGTTTTTTGCTATCCGTACGGAGTACTCCGTACATCAATCGACTAATGGGTGAAAAAAGGACATCAATTAAAGCTATGCGTAGAATAGCAGAGTAAGCAGCCTAACCGCCAACCAACCTAGCCTTAGAGACTGCATTCTAATTGCTATGCTAGAACTCGGCACAATTGAGGACTGCTTAAGCTGTAGCAAAGATAATAGCCGGAGTGGTGTAGTTTATCTCAATAGAATTGTTGGCTGTGTTGTGCGCGATCGGCAGTAGAATCTAATTATATCAGACACAGAGCTGTTGCTTGCGTGGCCCAGGTGCGCCGTGTCGATGATACTTCTGTCAGGTTAACCTCAGCAACGGTTTCCTGCGAGATCTGGCTATAAAGCGAACATCTTGGGATATTTTGGGTCGTGCATCAGTCCTAGGTCATCAGTCATGGTGGGTATGCAAAGCAGAAATAACAGCAAAGGTCTTGTTGACAGTGATTAGATATGGTAATAGATTGATTGTACTTCGTAAGTTGTTGACTATCCGGAGACTGTAGAAATGGGCGCAATGCCACTGCTTTCATACCTTGACACCGGCCACATGATCCGTACTGCGGAAGAGGGCGTAGCATTAGTTCTGCTTGGCATCTATGTACGATTATACGCTGTAAACTGATTAATACACTTTGTTTGTATAGCGGACGATTGCCCTACTTTGCGAGCCGTTAGGAGTACTGTGATGCCCGAAGCTATATCTTGCTTTTTTAGCTACGTATTAAACTGGCCTGGTGAGGAGGCATCTGGAACGATCACAAGGTTACCTACGGCTAGGAAAGTCAGATCAGGGCCGACTTCGGAAATGCAGCTAATGGCCTTGTAGCCTATTGTCCACGGTAGCGTGCCTCCTATCAGCCTCTAAACATGTGGAAATCTGACCCGCAAAGACAGACGTAGTGATGAAGTATAGCATCATTCATGTTTTTCGAGTTGGAATATAAACGTCCTAGATGGTCATGTTATATTATAAGATCCCACTTCCGTGCTTCGACAACATACATTCCACAGTCACACATAAGCCGTGAAGGATTAAAGAATAGCTACAAGAAAACACAACTGTAGGTGCTTGTAGGATTCTATTCTATCAAAGATTTTAATCCTACTTTAACACGGAATGGAGAAACTTTAAGTCTATAGCAAGTTGCCAATCAACATTGTCGGTTGCATCACGTACGCTTAGACACCCCGGTCGTGAAGATAGTCCTGGCATTTTTTAGGGCATTGATCAAACTGCTTGATGTTGTCCTGGGCCCAAATGTCTTTCCCTTTGGCAACATGTAGCATGCCAGAACCGGGCAAGGCGGACGGCGTGCCAATAAACTCACTGGTGTCGATTTGAATTTCCTGGGCCTTATGAGCTACGCCGGCGCCCTTCCAGTTGCCCACAGTCCATAGTTTTCCCCAAGCGTCAATCTTATACCAAACAACCGCCTTAAAGTGGTACCTCTTCTGGTACAAGTATATGGTGGATTTAGGGTCAACCTTGACAGTTGTAGTGCAAGTCTTTGTGGTAGTGACCTCTTGCGTAGTGATAGTACTGGTTGAGTTACCAAGGCTTAGCGTAAGGCCCTCAAAGGCACCACTAACATCCATTGTGCTAGTTTCATCTTTTGTTTTGGCGTCTCGAAACTGGGTTGAGTAGGTCTCTGTGCGCGTGAATGCCTGGTTCGATTTGTTCTCCAATTTCGTAAATTGAACCCACTCAAAGCCAAGAAAGTGAACATCGACAATTTTGTAGAGTGCTTGGTCGCCGGGATCATTGTATAAAACGCTGCGGTTTTGCCGCACAATAGTGTTGGCGGTTCGGTTGTAATTAAGATGATCTTTGCCGGTCATTTTTGCAAATATGGAAGAAACTTGGGTTGATTTAGAGAATTTTATGGGAGTTAAGAAGTTGATGGAAGTAAGAACTTGTAAAAGAGTTAAGGTTTTAGACACAAATAATGATATACTCTGTGTAGGGAAAGGGCACGGTTTTACGCTGTTTTTTTTTCCTTGACATGTGTCTCGGAAAGGTTTATTGATAATTCTTGACGTTTGAGGTCTATGTCCTGCGGGCCCTCTTGTGACGTAGCGAAAGTGGGACAATGGAGTGTTTACGAAGTGCATTCTCATACATTCAAGCCCTGTATGAACGACTGCGTTAAAGGGAGGTCCCTAGATCCGCTTGTATTCGTGTTGGGTGGCGGTGGTTATGTCAAAGCTACACGCGTTTATCCACAAGCTGAGTCTTTAATCCACAAGCTGAGTCCTTATTCAATAGATTGGTCCATTATAAGAACCGACAACAAATATACTTTCATGATGTATGGAACTTGAGAGGGGCATGGCCTTTATTGAAGAAAGTGGCTGTGTCATGCACATTGTACAAAGTATTGTATTGGTGGGCGTCTTGTTGCTAAAGGTCTCTAGTAATCTATCTGGCTATATAGCACAGCCAGCTACATACTATACACAGTTATTCGCACATAGTTGTATTGCACATAGTTGAAGAGACATAGTTGCTCAGAGTTGCGACAGCGGGGCTTTCAAAGTAAAATATGGCCAACTTGTGAAGCTGTATTTAGAGTTGATAAAAATATCGCGGCGCCGCTATTGGAAGAAGGGACGTCGCGTGACAGGGCCTTTAATAACGGAATACATTTTTAGTTCAAATCTCTGCATGTGCAGTCACGTCATGATACCCAATACATCTAACTCGCTCGGTCTGTACGAGCTTGGCTTGCATAAGTAAACAGCTTGGTATGCCGATTGTAGCAGTTCCGGAGTACAAGTGGCTTGCGTGAGCTAAAAAAGGGATTTAGTTTCATTCGTAAACTTTCTTTTTCTTACACCGTATGGTTGGGTTGTGTGTAGACACGACGTAGATCAGCTTTACAACTACATGTTTAAGCCGAAAATCATTTCCCCTTTCTTCCTAAAGAAAGAGAGCGTCGATTGGATTTTTGAAATTAAATCAAGTGTTTGTTTAACTTTGAGAGGTCCTAAATGTCACCGTCTATCTAGAAAACTGTCTATAAATACTTACTACTTGCCCTTCCTCTGTATCCTCACATTCTATCCTCACATTCTATCCACATCTTCATAACTTCAAATTCAGACATTAGAAAATATAAATTGCACGCTTTTACCATGGCGGAGCTTACCTTCAATAAACCAACTGAGGTCGAAGCGCCCGGATACGGTATTTGGGTTCACCACCGCCTCAGCGCCCCCGATCTCACACTGATCGACTTCGACTTCGATGTCGGCAGTTCGGTAGAACCAACGTTTGACGGACACAAGCTCATCATGAAAGGGAGCGGAACTTCTGGCCTCCTACGATTTCGCTCTTCCAACGGCGAAGAGGTTGGCATCGTAGTCGGAGTTCACAACTACAAGCGCTGGTGCCACATCGTGACCGACTTTGGCATTAATGAGACTAGCCATGCACGACGTGCTAAGTACTACAGCGACGACGCAGCTTTCTCTGGTCAGCTATGGGCGCAGGCCGAATCCTTTACCACGACGTCGAGTAAGGGAAGACCGGTTTTGATTGACTACTTTGTCAAGGAAGGGAACGATATGCACGCTACTGTCAAGTACTAGTTAGCCAACAAGACGTGTGAAGCCAAAACAACTCTTTGGTCAATTATCGACAGTACCTAGGGTGTTGGTACTAGCTGGAGAAGGCAGAATGTTCTGGACAGAGAATGGATCAGTAGCAGTCAGCTATATAGACTCAACGTCACCTTTTGAAAATCTCGCAGATGACAGCTTAAATATAGTGAATAGCAATAGGCTAATTTACAACAAAATCCTGTCATTCACCCCTTACCAATCCCACGTCGCCTCTAAGGGATAAGCACCGGTGTTGTACACCCTAACACAGGCGTCAAGCACCTCTACAACGGCCTGACTACGCCAGACAGACCGAGCTTCCTCCTACTATATGATGAACACCGTGCACTTTTCATCCTCTGTCGTCGCAGCCAAACTAGACAAAAACCTGTCTTCATCAGTGGCACTGATCCGGGAGTGATCCGAAACTGAATGATTTTCACGAGCCAAATCTTGGAACATGAAGCTTGTCCAGTGTCCGATTCTCCTAAAGGTGCTTGGATCGTTTGGGCAGGGAACTAGAACGAGGCCGCAAGCTTCGGGCGATGTACCAGTAGTTGCAATGATTGGAGCTAGATATGCACTCTTCCAAAGAACGCTACCATGAGTGTTGTTTAGCGAGATTCCGTAGTGCTGGTTGTGTATCTTTGCCACCTGTCCTTCTTGTGCAGCTCTTCGGTGGTTGTCCTTGTTGTCGAGCTTGCACGGGCACAGAAGGACGTAGTCAGGACCGCCACCCGACTCGGGGAGAGAAGGGCGTATCTTGTAAAAAATAGATCGGATTTGGAGGTATGCGTGTTTTTCCGGATCGAACATGCCAGTTTCCGCGTTGCCCGAATACGGTTCCCCGTGGCGCATCTCAAGAAAATTGGCAACGACTTTGGTTTCGGCGACTAACTCGCTAGAGCGTGGCATAGGGCCATCGACTGCCGTTTGCACAGAAGCCCAACTCCAAGAAGGGGCAACTTGGTAGCAGGGCTCCTTAAGGTCGTCTCCCTTCCGTACCGACCAGAGAACCTGGTAGGGCAGCTGCGAGACCCATAGACCAAATGCGTAGATATCAATGCCTTGTAGCGCATTTCCAATGATAGTTGCCACTCCATCAATAGCTATCAGCTTGTCCGTGGCGTAGGTTATAGAACACGAGGAATACAGCCCAACGATTGAGTACCAACACTCATATACTTCGTCACGTCTATATTCGACAGCGTTCCGCATCCGTGCAAAAATGTACCCGTGCTGTTCTCTCCGAGTCAGTTCTCGCCGAGATCTGTCGATTAAACGAACGTTGACTGCGGTGTTGTTGCGCTTGTATATCATGCAAGGTGCCGTTGTGGATGAGTGAGCAACCTTCGGCGACCTCCCATGCAGGTGGCCAGAATCAACTGTTCGCTGACAGTAGCTAAGAAGATGCAATTCTTTTCGCTGTGCCTCCGCTCTCAGCCTGTCCATCTCCATCAGGACATTCTTCAAGCTCTTCATTTTCAAAGAAGGTGTCTCAATGGCACGAGGATGTTGTGAAGGCAGTTTGACAGGAAATGCTTCTGCGGCCGACGCTTCGTGGCATTCCCACATGAGCTGCTGGCTTGAGCAGTGAAGCTGCCTTGGAGACAGCAAGCGCTCTTGCAGCACCCAGGCTCTCTGGTTCAGTGGCGCAGACTCGACGCCGACCCCCCACATTTCTGTTGCGTAGAACAAATAGGTCTCACCAAGCGAGACAGACGATGAGGCCGAAGGGCTTGTGTTCGCAGGGCTTGCGTGTGCATGGTTCTCATCCGTGCCTGAATCTGTCTCCGAGTTCGTATCGGTAGACCAGTCTAGGTCGGACGTTTGTGCCTCGTTGTCGCATGCAGGGGGCACGCACAGCGTTATCTCAATAGGAGAGATTGCCATGTTATTGCGCTTGAAGAAGCAGCCACCAGAGGGTCCTTGAGATGCGGTAGCCGCGATATTGCAATACGAGTATTGATACACCTGTGCCATCTTGCTGCTCTCTCTAATCCAGTCCTCCCCGCCAACGGAGTCTTGTATGATACACAATGAGTCTATCCAGAGATACTGTATCTTGAGGAAGCGGCAGAGACAGATGGCGTCACGAAATGTCTTTGGAAGGTCGTGCATCGTTTTTCCAGCAATCATCTCGTCGTAGTTGCCTTGTGTGAGCTTCAACATCGTCTCTTTTATTCCCCAGCAGTGGCTTAGGGTCATGTAGCTTTGAGGAAACATTTCACACTCATGAAGTCTGATGACGGTAGAATGGCAATTGTACCGACAAGGCTTCCCGACATCCAAGACTCGTGTTGGCCACCAGCTTCCATTTCCTGAAAGGGCAGTCTTAGAACAGACTGGGTGATTCTTGAGACAATGTTTGAGCCACTTGCGACACAGCCTCAGTGAATTGGTACTATCAGTGCTGTCGGTGTTGTCGATGCAGGAAGAGAAACAAATGCCTAATGCGGTTTCACCTTTCTTGAAGAAAGGGATCGAGCTATTGCCTAAGATAAGAGCCAAACAACAAGTTAGACTTCATCGTACTGTTCTTAGTTCTATTTTACGGTCGACACATCAGTCGTCTGTGTTTATGTTTGCCTGCGAGACTGGCACTTGCAACCTGTAATCTCTATCTGGCAGAAAGGGCCACTTTCAGCGAATACTTGAAAATATATATCATGGCTGCGGTAGAACTCGGGTGCATCTGTGCTTCTCACGGACCACTGACAAGACACCTCGAATAGAGAGTGTTTCCAATTTTTGCACGTATCGTCCTGGGTATGGATGCCAAGTTTATCACATTCCTCAGGAAATTCTTGCAAAATGTCATGGAGATGGTGTTTAAAGTGATCATCCAGAATAATGCACAGCCGGCAGCCCAGCTGGGAAGCTTTCTCCAAAGCATCATATGATTCATGGGAGGATACAGTAAATGGTGTAGGAGGGTTCCTTTCTAACGGAGGAGATGTTTGTTCTATCATCGTGAAGACCTGGGTGCAACAAGTGCAGAGGTTAGGGCGGCACAGTTCCTCTGGAAGCTCATAGTTGCATGATATCTTAGAGGTGAATGGTCGTATAGCGTTGGAAGCCATTGTGGCATTGGGTGATTGACATATGTGCTGTTGTGGTGTTGAAGCCCGTAGAACGCATTACATTTGGTGAGGGGCACATGCGGAGAATTCAAGCGCTTGTCAGGCATCCACGCATAATCTCCATCCCCACCAGGCGACAAGCAACTGTCTGTCTATGTACTTGGGCTGAGATTACATAATATTACTTTAGGGATTTAGGCAGCCTCCTTCATGTAGAGCGTCCAAATGGTGATGAAAACGTGCGTTGCTTTAATCAAAAGTGTTTCTGTCACTTTAGCCCTGCCAATCCGGCTTCTTATTTTAGGGCGGGCATAGGGGCTAAGCACGCTGGCACAGGCGCTAAGTAAGATAAGATACCTATGCACAGGGGAGCACAGGGCAATACAGGTGCTAGCTGCGCCATTGTGTATAAATTGCAAGTAGAACTCGGGAGCCTAAAACTTCTACCTAAGGAGACGAAAAATCGATCCGATCGACTTCCGTGCTGCCTTTGCCGAGGGGCCTACCCCAAACCAGGCTGCAGCAGTTCCGCTGAAACAATTCTCTTGTTTAGTAATTGATACATCTCTTGCTAAACAAAAATTTGGGTCTTTGTGAGGAGTGAGTTTGATATGAATGGCCTCTATATATGGTAGGTGTGGCCCAAATTTGTTGTACTGAAGGCTCAGAGAGATTAAATGCTTGAATCCCAAATCTTTTATGGCCCGCACGTCAATATGAATGCTGTTGATGGGTAGAATTGTGAAGTCATGTCTGGCGCTTTGTGAGCTCTTCTGGTAAACTGCTCTACCGTTCCTGGCAATCATTCGTCTCACTTCTTGAAAATACAAGGTAGTCAAATGCGATGATGTTAAGCAATAGTACGCAATACGCCTCTTGTCTCTCAATTCATTTCATACAAAGCTCGGCATTAGCCCACACTCACCTATGCGTCAGTATTGATAACGCTGACCACTATGTCTACAGTATTCTTCAACCTGCCCAAAAATGGGCTGTGGCCTGCCGACAATCGGTGTGCCTTCATTCCGGGCGTACCATTGATCATCTGTTCTTGCACAGCCACAGGGATAACTCGGTCGTTCTCGCAGATGATGTACGACTTGGGGATCGTAATGTCACTGGGAATGAAATCGACCTCTGTCTCAAAGGCGTCTTGCGAATGCGTTGTTATCAGCTTGAACGCTCTCTTGGACTCCTCTTCCGTGGCGTCATCGTAAAGAGCCTGGCGGCCACCCTCTTCGTTGATTGTAGTAAGCTGATTCTATACCGCAAGCATCATGTAAGCATATAACTATTCGTGAAATTCAGAGAATGGGACGTAGAGTAGCTTGCCTTGATGTAGAGTTCAGAGGTTGTCATCCACTCAGGATATTTACCACCAAAGGTGGTGATAAGATCCCACCCACGAACAGGAATGCTAAAGGCAGCAAGAAAGATGATATTTCGGAAGCCTCCTTTAAGGCCCCTTGCAGAACGTTCGGCGACTTCCTGGTTCTGAACAGCTACAGTTGACGGAATGCCGCCATAGGAATGAGCGACGACAACAATTTCTTTGCCGGCCTCGAAGTACGGCACGGCTGTCCTGAGAATCCTCTCCTTGTCGGCCTCCCATGTTACGCCCCTTGAATCTTCGCCCATTGCGAGCATCTGGGGTATAAGGCACTCATATCCGCGCTGTTCTACTCAGTAGTGCCGTCTTCAGCGGCTGGTAGCAGATTGGTGGATGCCACGCCCCTGTAACAAAGAGGATAACTGGTGTTTGGCCAGTGATAGACGACATAATGAGCAGTGGGATTGGGTTTTTTTTTTTTTAATTCTCGTAAGCAACCTGGTCAGGAAACCATGCTAGGGTGATATTTATTTCAAGGGAAGAATAAGCGAGGCATAAGATAGCCCACTTATGTGCAGGCCATCTACAGAGTAGGTACGATATATATAGCTTGCTCACATGTGTATACTATGTAAAGTGCGCGAGATACGGAGTAAGTTTGTGATCATTACTAATCCATATGTACTGTCAACTTTGTTCGATCAGGGCGAAGTAGTAATTTGCAATGTGTATTTATGCATCTGGTGTGGAACGGGCCGGGGTTTTATAACAATCGGTCCACACTTGAGAGTCCACTTGCGAAACTTCAAGCCGAAGCGAAGCACAAGACGTAGCGCTAGCGCTACTATGTAATCTAGCGTCATGAGAGCGGAGGCGCCCGCCATTAAGGAGTAGAACGCATCCACTATGATTACGACTTGGGCAACGGCGACTTGTGTTCCGTACGACGTACGTACTCTGTAGAGTAGTAACAGTGACATACTGCTGCACCCAGCCTAGAGGATATAAAGGCCGCAAACCCCCATATTAGACCACTTATGGAAACAGGGCACGATGGCATCGAAGATCGATAAGGCAGGTGCTCCCTTATCGTACGCCTATAGAATGCGGAATGTAGTCTTTGGCCCCCGGTGACAAGGTTCAGAGTGGTATTCTGCTCGAGCTTTGTACGAGTATTTGCGAAAGCGCCTGGAACTAGGACCATTGTGCCTCCTATCGCCAATTGGATAATAACGCAAACTGTTGCCTAGATAAAAATATGTCTTCTGTCGTGAGTTATCTTACATTTCCATCTAACCAGGTTTGGCCTTGCAGTCAATGCACCACATAGCTAAACGTTCGGTTTCGATTCCACCCAGGTGATGGCTTTCTGCACCTTGATTGTGTCCAGAGGGATGGCAGCTTGCGTGCTTGAGCTGTCGTCCTGTGCTCCCTCAATGGTCGTGGCCAAGTCTCCCGCATAGGTACTAGGCCACAAGACCGGTTCCTCTGTAGAGTCGTTGCCATGCAGACGCATGAATGAGTCCCTTACCTTAGGCTTCGCACTGTGCTTTAAGTTCGTCCCGCCTCCAATTGTTACAAGCTCGCTCGTATCGCCGGATTTATTGGACGGTGTGCTGAAAAGGCGGCCGAACAGTAAATGTACCACTGGTTGCATCGTAGGTAAGCAGGCGCAGAGTAAACCGATCGTCAGCTCGATCACTGTCCAGTTCCAGGAGGGCGTGATTAATCCTAAGCCGAGGTCAGACGCGTTTCAGCTAGTGATCGCCAAGTATAGGCAGTGCTTACTAGTAAAATTGTCTCCTCTATGAAGTAGATCAATAATCGATTTCAGTCGAATGCAGCTGCAAACCACAACGCTTGTTCCCGTTAGTATGCGGTAGGCCCAACGACGGTGTGAAAGGGCAAAGGACATGAAAGCGTACAAACTGCCTAGCAGAAAGATTCCTGCGATAGCAATCTTTTGTCCGAAGCGAATCTGCAGCCTTAGAACCTCGAGGACTGGCAGAATGAGCATGAAAGCATCCGTGATAATGTTAGAGATTGAGCTTCCCAGGAAGAACTGATACTTGTTCAGGCAGGTTCCTCCTTCCATGAACGGGTCCCAGGTCTTGCGGATCGGCCTGCACTGAAAAACGCTGACAAGAATACCAGCAAGCCAGAAAGCTATCGTGATAGCGCCAATGCACCATCCTCCGATTTCCATAAGCCGAGTCGGGAAGATGCGGCGATACATGAGCAAAATGGCGGCTTTGATCGTACAAAGACACGTCCCGTACACGATTTCGGTCATGAACAAACACTGATAATTCGATCAATCAGAATTATTGTCTCAGAAGTGGCAATGAGGTAAAGTAACAGGGCAACTTACTAGCAAGGCATGCTTGTACATACTTTTGTCTTCTGCCAAAACCACTGCCATGTTTCTTCCAACGCCGCCCCAGTAGACGGCTATGTTGTCAGTTGGGTTATAATATTGGGGGGAGAGATTTTACAAAGAGTATAGTAATCGGGCAAGCCTACCGGTAATTGCAATACCCAAATTGAACCACAGAAGAAACTTCACGAAAAGGCAGATTAGCGTCTGACCAGGTCGTGAGTGGACAGCAAACATAGCTTACCAGAGATATCAGAGTCAACCAATCGTCCCAGCCGTATGATATGTGCTTCCGCTTCCTTGACCAGAATCTGGCGGCAGTAATGATACCAGAAATGGGTATCATTGCATAGCTGATTCTAGCCAGGGTATGACCTTCATTGTATGCAATGTACGAGGCGGAAAATCCGGCAGTTGACGTTGTCGATGACATTGCAGTTGAAGCACGAGAGACTTTCTCTAGCGCGGCTATCTTACAAACTCTTTATACCATCTGAATCTGAAAAGGGACCGACGATGAACACCCCTTAGGCCTGTCTCGTCCCAGAGTTGTTTTTAGCCACTTGAGGAGCTATCTCTTTCCAATCCTTTCTTTGGTAAACAAGCAGGTGACTTCCACGGAACAGTGTAAAACCCGCTAGCTTATACGAGTAATGAAACTGGATTTCGTACTCCATACGGAGCACTTCGTACACTTGTACGAGTAGGGTGATTGGCTTATTCTACGGAGAAAATTTAGGACCTCAATGTATGGTGTCGCTCCGCTATCGACTTCCTAGCCTACATACGGAGTAGTATTTCCGGCCTTACAAAGACTCCACACGACCCCTTTCCCAAATCTTCAATGAGACTGGTTTCGGCCGATACTGGAAAGAGTTGTACGCACAATGGGGATCGCTCTGGCTAAGGTTAAAAACACAACTCGGTTTTTGACTCCCGACTGCACAGACTCGTACAGGATGATTTGATATACTCGTACACGTAGTACTTCGTACTGGTGAACATTGAAAGTAGCAAATAGTATAAAGTAGAGTAAGTCAAGGTGCAACATGCCACATTTTAGAGTCATGCTAGCAGGACAGGCGGCTTAGCAGTATTATATTCAGTACAGAGTACGGAGTACGCGTACGGAATACGAATCGCCGAGTCTTCGTACTCGCATTACATACGTCGAAGTACGTCTACTTGCCAGTAAACAAGGCGGCCCCACAATCCGAGAACGCGTTTGCCATGAGCGCCTGTTCGAAATTAGTTTAGACTGCCGTCCTATGTTACAACTCGTACTCCGTACGGAGTACGGAGTACAGGTTACAAGTTTCACATCCTAGGACGTAAGAATTGCCATTGTGGGGGTCAGTGGGTTGATACATACTCTTACGGAGTACGTCGTATGTATCTTACTCGCAAAGTCTCGTATAAAACATTCGGTGTTGTGTAAACTATCATTTTATGCACTCTATTGCGCACGAGTACGGGCTTTTCTAAGAGTGCGAATAGTACTCCGTACTCCGTACGAGAACTCGTATCTTACAAGAATAAGCCTTACAAGTAGGGACCCCCAAGGTGCCGAATAATCCAGAAGAGGAACAAGAGATACGGCTTGTCGGGATTCTTGACCCTAAGGTAAGCCAGCCCCCAACACAGTCGAAGTTTGAGATAGATAGAAACCCCCGTACTGCGTCGTAAAGCCAATATCTACCCTTCAAATTTTTAAGGCATCAGGAATTTAGTAACAGTACGGAGTACAAGCACGGAGAGCGTCACTTTTCTAAGAAAACAACAAGTGTAAAACCTCTCCTGCACGAGTGGGGGAGAAACAAAAGTCAGACCAGATTAACGGTTAACAGCACTATAGCCGTGCGTCTTACGATTGCTCGCATGAAGATATCACCAAGTTCTTGAGACCCTCCAACATATGCTGTGATTAAATGCAAGGACCAGGCAAGAATTACGAACATCGGGTTCTCGTACGGAGCAGATCTTTCTTCGCGTAAGTGGACAGCAGATATATCTTTATTGAGCACGTGGCAATGTCCCCATTCCCATGCTCGCGCTCGTTATGCAATGAGCCCCTCTCGATAATCATTATTGGTACCGGCTTACGGAATAAGATAGCGGCGCATTCCACTACCGTATCCAGATGCTCGTGCACATTGACATGGGTGGCTCCCTATCTAGTCTGTGTGCTCCGTACGGCGGTACTACTACGTATACGGGAGCTCTCCCTTCGCTAGCCCAAAAGAGCATTTAACCGTTGTGCACGGTAGATGCTTCTTCGTCCGGGGTATAAAGTCGAACATACCGTTCACAGACAAGTTGTTAGACCCCTCTCTTCCTTTGAGCGCAGACACGCCACACAAGCAGACAAGGCGAGAGTCGAATACCCCGAAGCTTGCTGTCCTGTCCGGCGTCCTCTCTGCGAGATGGCCGTGCCTTTGTGGGAGACCATGGTGGAGATATGCCGGAAGATTCTCAAGGACTCTCTCAAACCAGAGTGGCTTCTATCAGAGAGCGAGCTGCCACCGGCTGACCAGCTCGATGTGTCCACGTTTATCGAAACTTGCAAGCGGCTGACGCCGCGTGAGCTGGAGATCACCGCGAGGTCCGGCTCATCCCTGCTCGACCAGATGGCCGCCGGCTGACTGACGGCTGTCGAGACCGTCACCGTTTATATCAAGCGAGCACACATAGCCCACCAGCTGACCAACCTCGCGACCGAATTTCTGGTCGAGAACTCCCTGCGAGATGCTGCTGAGCTGGACGCGTACTTTGCTAAGACGGGCAAGCTCATGGGGCCTTTGCACGGCATTCCCATCTCGGTCAAGGAGCATGTCAACATGAAGGGCCGCATCTGTCATGCGGGCTACACGGCTTTTATCGATAATATTGCGTCCGAGGATGCAGTGCTCCTCCAGCTCTTGAGGGCTGCCGGCGCTGTGTTCCACGTGCGGACTAACGTGCCCCAGTCCCTGATGGTATGTTTACATGCTTTTCCTGCCTTGATTGTTTCTGGGGTAAAAGAAGAAAGAAAAGAATAAAGAAACAAAGAAACAAATCAAGCAATTTGATTGCAGCAATTTGATATACGGCACGACAGTCAACCCTTTTAACCGCAAACTGACCAGCGGTGGCTCCAGCGGCGGCGAAGGTGCAATCCTGGGCCTTCGCGGCTCCGTCTTGGGCATCGGCACCGACATTGGCGGTTCTGTCAAAGTCCCGGCAGCTATCAACGGTGGCTATGGCCTGCAGCCTACAGCTCTACGAAATCCATTGATGGGTCTACAAAATGCCAGCCCAGGACACATGGGCGTCTGGCCTATTATTGGGCCACTTGGCAAACAGCCTTGAAGATATTGTTCTCTTCCAGCAGGCTGTCATCGACCAGAGACCGTGGGATATGGACTCCATGGTGGTTCCCCTGCCATGGAAGAGGCTTCAGCCAGCCGCAGCCAGGGACTTTACGGTCGGTGTCATGTGGGATGACGGGTAAGCAGCGACGTCTGGGGTGGAGAAAAGAGTGAAAACAAATAACAATGTTCAAGAATCATCCACCCCCATCCACCCATCACTCGCGGTATGAAATACGCCGTAGAGAAGCTAGAGGCGGCCGGTGTCAAAGTTGTCGACTTTGAGCCGCACCAGCATGAAGAAGGATGGGATGTTAGCAGACAGATGTACTTCCCCGACGGTGGCGCGAGAATTCGACAGCTGCTGGCAGAAACCGGCGAGAAGCACGCATTTCTCACAGACGTCGCTCTGAACTGGGTCGAACAAACAGAACTGACCTCGAACGAGCTATCTATCCTGAAACTTCGGCGAGAGGGACTGTGGGCAAAGTACGTACTGGTTCTCATGCCTCATCGTTCTTCTGACGTTCTTCTAACAATGCTTTAGCTACCATCAGCTAATGAAGGATCGCGGCGTTGACTTTATCTTGTGCCCAAACTATGTCGGTGTTGCCCCTCTATTGGACCATTCTTGTCTCGCATGTCCCACTGGTCTCAAGGCAGACCCGGCCATCGATGTTGTCGGGTCTGATTACACCCCACGTTCGGCCGAAGATAGCCGAGACTACAAGACGTGTATGCCTTTTGCCCACGTTTGCACAGTGGCAGAAACACTCCGGTTAACCTCCTTATAGATGTCCCTGAAGCATATGCTGGCGCTCCCATTGGCCTACAGTTTGTGGGCAAGCGTTTCTGCGACGAGGAGACGGTTGCTGCGGCTTTGTTCGTATCGAAAATTGTCCAATCGTGATACCAGCAACAGAGGCTCTGCATACTATCGGCTAAGAAGGCGAAATTTCTCAGCGGAAGCAGCGTGATCTGTGCGGAAGCGCAGCGGGCAATGCCTGAGTAAGTAATAGGAAAGGTTCTTTCGAAGCAGGGACTCATCACAGCAATGTTATCTCTCCCATTTCTACTATGTTTCTCGAATGGTGACCCGTAATAAATGCACCTTCATTGCACCAGAAAGTGCTATCTGTTTGTATGTTGATGGAACCATAGTCATTGCCCTGTCCTCTGGTACTCATCGTCGTGGGTCGTTTGTAAGTTCACGTCAAATTGGAGTCGGAGAAAATCGGCAAATGATGTACAAACACCGGTCGCGCAGAGTTATGATGTCCTTCAAGTTCTGCAGCCCTCTATCTCGAGTGCGTAACGTATTCTGACTACACCAGCACGAAATGCCGCTCGTCGAGATCGCCCTTCTCCACCTGGACGACGGCCTGGCCGTCCATGAATCCGTGAACATAGGCCGTGTCCACGTAGCGAAACGTCTCCATGGAGCCGTCCGGGCTCTGCGCCTGCTGTCGTCGCCGTAATAGTACCGGCACCTTAGATCCGTCCAGTATTACCACCAGGTCGCCTTCTCGCGCTGTCGCTCGCGCCATCAGAAAGAGGCCACCATCTGTCTGCACAAACGCCCGGCGCCTCATCATTCGTCGCATCATGGCGTAGCAGGGCACTTTGGCTAGCAGGATCTTCGCAGGCGTGGGCATCAGCCACAACCTGTCACCCTGCTCTTCTGTCGGCTCCTCTGTCATCTCGGCTTCGATTTCCTGTTCGCGCAGCTGACAGGCAGCTGCCAGAGCGGTACTGCAGGCCTCCACCTCGTCCGCCGAGAGTCGTGTAACTGGGTAGGCCGTGCAGTCGCCCACGAGCGTGCGCCAGAATGCCTGCCAGCGGTACTCGCCCGTGGGGAGGTACGTAGATGGTCCCATTTCCATCATAGCCGCGTCTTGCCCTTTCTGTTCTATTCCGTATAGAGAAGCCCACTCCCGGAAACAATTAAACACAGTTGCCGCATAGACCGGGTCAGATCCGGGCTCGGTCCATGAACCTTGGCGGAGAGGCGCCACTTGGCCCAGAACGACGCCGCGAAGGCGCAAACCACGCAGCGTGCAAGCATTTCCATATACAGTGTCTGTGCTAGGGACGGCCACCTCCAGAGAGGACGTGCTGTGACTGCACCGGGGCCGACCGGCTGCATAGATGCCGCGCTGGGCAAACAGGATGGATGAGAACTCGTCGTAATAGTCCGGGTACATGCTGCGATCAAAGTTGGGAACCCATGACGGCAGGCCGTTAACACGATGGCTTCTGCTACTGGGAGGAAACTCTTCTTCGTCGTTCTCGTTGTTGTCGCCGTTGTCGTCATCACCCTGGAATGGATTCTGACTGAGGAGATCAAGACAGCCACCGCTGGCCTTGATGATAGCCAGGGATGCGTCAGTGTAGACGTCGGCCACCGATTTGGCGTAGCTAATGCGCGGCAGAAACGCTGTCTCAGCAACCATGCCGAGCAGGCCATAGACCTTATCGCGGGGATCGGTCGAATGGGTCCATTTGAAGCGGGCAAGCACGTCGATGAGGCTGTTCGGCTCTCCCTGCCATTGCTGCTCGCTCTTGTACACGTTTTCCTCCGGCTCTTCTTCTTCCCACCCTCCTCCTCCTTTCATAACGGATCGTTGCAGCTGGATCGCCTTGACCCGCGAAAAGATTCTCGAGAGGACTGGCCTAACCTCTCCATGGCCCCAGAACGAATGGAACGCATCTGCATAGATCTGGTCGCCTAGGAATCGGTCCACGATGGCACTGTCAAAGTCAAGCTCCAGCACATGGTCTTCAGATTCGGGTTCGAATCCGTCCTCGGCCTCTGCCCCAATCCCCGCCACCAGAATCACATGCGGCGCGCATGAGAGCTCCTGAACGATCCACACGCGTGACCAAAAGGGCACGGAGGTAAACGCAATTTTCAGCTGTTGCTCCTGGGCATGACTGATGTACCATCCCGTTTCCTTGTCCGGGGTGTCCTCCCCAATACTCTTATCATCGTCGTCGTCGTCATCTTCCCCCTCCCAATACATCTTAACCTCGTCACGATCATCCTTACTGTAGCGACGCCACTTCTGCATCATGGTCGCCAGCACCGCACTGTCCCTGCCGGCCATGACGCGCATAAGCCGCAGGCCATCTCGAAGTCTGCCAGCAAGCTTCTCCGCTTGCTTAATCCGCTTCAACTGTGCCTTTTCAGCGTCTTCAGCTTCGGTCTCAATCGCAGGCACGGCCGGATCCGGACCCAACCAGGCCAGGTCCGCCGTGCAGCGCTCGTAGATCGACCGCATCAAGTGCACCTGCATACCACGCTCTTCCACGTCGGCCTGGTTGATGCACAGCGCGTCGACCCAGAGCGTGCGGCTGAACGTACGATAGCGCAGATGCCGCAGCGCCGAGTCGAGGTTTGCCGTCACTGGGATGGACACGGCCTCGGTACTGCCATTGTCCATCTCTGCTCGAACGGAGTTTTGCATGGCTACTAGAGAGCCCCACACATAAGAGAGTGCCTCGTAAGGCGGCAGATCGCCGTCGACATCGAGGCTGCCCCGAATCAGACAAATCCGCAGGGGTGATGCCAGTGACGCCGCGGGTTGCAGTCGGAGAAGGCGGATCTCGTGTCGAGCACCGTCAAGTGCGAGTGAATCATAAACAGATAGCATGGTTTGCTTGCGATTGCCTCGTTCTCGGCAGTGAGCTGGATGCACTGCATATTATCGTGTTAGAAGCTTTCGCCATCCTAGGCTTGCTTGGGGGGCGCAGCGCCCTTCTGCGGCCCGTTGCAGGGGCTGAAAAGCGCAACTGGGGCAAGTCAGCCTGTTCGTGGCGGAGCAGCAAGCAACAAACTGTCAGCATGTCGATTAATTATGAGAACTTAGATACGGAGTACAAAGTCCGACAGTGGAAGTCTTGAAGTCTTGATTTATGGTGTTTACCCCTCATCCCGACAAAGAGGGCCACAGCAACACGCACTGATTAGTCAGCCGTACTTGCCCATATATTAAAGTTCAAGTTCTCAGAGCGACAAAAAAACAGTCTATTTTTGGCAATGCGATGACCTCATGCTTGAATGTACAGAGCACGGTATGTACAGACCCTAAATAACATCTTATCAATCACGGAGTATGAAACGGCTCTTTAGGGCTTTACACGTCCTATGCTGGATTCCGATTATCAATATTGCCTCGTGAAGTACACTTGTTCGCCGTAGGATAGACTTCACTGTTGTTTTCTATTAACTATTTTTCCTCGTTTGCCTGCACTAAACTGTGATTAACTATTGAAAAAAATGTGGTCATCTAACACCGACAGACTAATTGCAAAGGCCACCATCCGGCTTCTTCGACCTGAGAAAAACTGCAGGCGAAACAAAAGCTAAGGCATCGTGTGCCAGGAGAAAATAGAGCAAATTGATGATCCGGCAAGAGACATAGAGTGGTCATTCTGATGGCGTCCAAAAACGTTCACCTCTCTCTCTCTCGTTCGTGATTATTCAAGTGTGACCTTTGCGGCAAATGCCCCTTGTGCGACTTCAGAGTGCCAACCACTGCAAACTATAACAAAGCACGCACTGTTTACTATCTCGACGTTCACCATTCGTACTCGCCTGTTGCCTTATGAAATACGTACTCCTTGCCATTAACAGTGAGTACTCCATCCTTGAGAGTACACTTCCTGTAGAAGAGAAAAAGAAGAGTCAGCACGGAAAGATGCACAGGGGCTGCTCGAAAATTCACTTACCACTTGTTCTTGACCCTTTGAACTTTGTCGTATACACATAGCATGATAGGCCCCATGACATCATCTTCATCGTCGTCGTCTTCTCTGTCTTCATCAGGGTCATCGAGGTCCGAGTTGATGGCGTCCTCGTCATCAACGACCTTGGCTTCATCGTCGTCGTCGTCGGCACCATCTGTTTGCGCTATCGTGCCAGCCACACGGCTCCGCTGGCTTGGAGCGGCAGCCGAGGCTTTCGCACTGCGCTTCTGCTTGGCTGCCTGCCGTAGCGGAAGCATCAGGCCGCCACCTTCCATCTGCTTCGCTCGCAGGGCCATCTGTTCGTGGAGCATGTTGTCAATCTCTATGCGACCAAGCTCGACCGGGGGTTGGCCGGCGACCCGCTGTTGCATGAGCACGCCTTCAAAAAATGGGGCCTCGCCGCCATTGTCTCCGTCATCTGCGCCATCCATCTGCGACCTGGAGATGCCGTTTGCGCCGTTCATCTGTGCCGCTGCCTGATGGGCGGCCAGCTGAGCACGGTATTGCTGCGCATTTAGTGGCTGCTGCTGCACCTGTCCGTTTGGCCCCAGCCGCTGACCCATCTGCTGCTGCGGGTTGCTCTGGCTCATGCCCGAATGGATCGCGTTGATTGACGCGGCTGCGCGCTGTCCAAACGTGTTTTGCAGCTGCTGTACGGCCCGTGCTGCTGCGTTGCCTCCGCCATGCTGTGGTGTGGTGTAATTCTGCATGGCAGGACCTTGTCCATGTGCTGCCGGTGGCACGCCGGAGAGACCGGAACCATGGTGCATTTCCGGCTCCATCTTGATGCCGTGATCCATGTCCTCTGCCTTAGCGACGGCGGGTTCGAAAGACGGCATGGGCAGGGACATCGAAAGTCCCTGAGAGCTAGACACGGGGCTTGTTATGGTTTGCGAGAAGCTAGTGTCCATATGATGGGTCGTCGTCGGCGAAGGCACGACTCCCAAAGGACCGTTCGAGTTGGTTGGTGCTGATCCTTGGCCGACATTGTGAAGCTGTTCTTGGTCTGGCTTGGGATCCCATGGAAACTGGGCCACATTGAACTGGGACAGCTTGTTCTTCCAGCCCTGTGAGAAACGGGAGGTCAATTTGGGAGCTCAAAACAACGTTATTGGCTGAATGGCAGAGTAGAGTGGCATCGTCCGTCTGCCATCTGGCTCATCTCGGCCAGATCCCGAAAGCACGTGATCCGTAGTAGTCTATAGTCTCCGCCAATGAAATGTGGTCAAGTGAGGGAAATTAGTGCGACGCAACCAGGCGGGGCAGTCGTGGTAAATTTAAATAGGCGCCCCAAATAGGCCACGCCACCCACCCGATTTCCAGGCAACCAAGCCCGACATTTTTCCTCACTTGAAAGAAGTGCTGGCCACGACGCGGATGCCCCCCAAAACGGTGCCAACACCCAGATTCTTATGACCTTGTAACAGGGTTTGAAGAATCTGGTGGGCATGTGAATGGACTTGAAATCCACATGAAAAGAGACTGAGAGGACTTCCTCCAAAACAGGCACAGGAGGAAGGCCGAGGCCAAAAAAGAGGAGAGAAGAAACATATTGCTCCTTACCTTGCATAGGTCTTCCAAAACGCTCTCCTCCACGCCGTTTTCCTCGAAGTCTACATGCGACGTGGTCATCACCTCCTCGATGATACTCTGGTACACGCCTCCAACTACGTTGTTGGACATCTTTGCGGTTTTGCTCAGTATTGGCGGTGGTAGGAGGCGGATACGGTTGCAGCAATGTCTGCCTGTGCTGTCTTTCTCGTGCCGCCTTCCTGCTCGCTCACTTTGGAGAATCGCCCGGCTGGATTCGGCCTGGTCACTCTGTTCGCGGTGAATGGAACCCCGACAATATTACGACCGATACTGTCGACCTCGGGTTGTGAGCTTCGGGGCTTTGACCGGCAATATGCCGTCGCTTCGGACCGGATTAATGTATCGAACAGATTGACGCAATTGCTTTCTGGCTTTTTGGCGCGTGCAAGATCGGCTCTTCTTGGTCATCGGTATCGTTCACAAGCCTAGTCGAAGATTCGCCGGAGGCAGACGCCGAAGCTGAATGATTTCCTTGGTCTTTTCTTTTTTCCCGAGCCCGACTTCCTCAGTTTGTCAGACCGTATTGTTGTCTGACCGCGTAGTCCAGTAATCGGGTGCCGGCGTAAGGTAGACGGAATTGACCGATGCAGTAGTGAACCGATGCAGTAGTGACCGAAAGCCGGGGTAGCAGCCGGCCTCTCGTTTTCTGCTTTAGCACAAAAGGCCAACGTGAAGATGATTATCAGAGCAGGGTAAACAAAAAGCGAACAGGGACTGTGTTTTGGCTTGTGCTGCAAGACCGCGGTGGCTGGTGCTGATTAGTGATTCAGTACGCAGAGAAGTGCGGGTGTGTCAAGGGCAGCAAAACTGGTTTGTATTCTGTGAGTTCGAATTACTACACAGACCTCCGCATTAAGTTACCCATCCTGATTAGTCATCGCTCCTAAACCGCACATCATTCTTCATGCCGCCCCACAAGGCAGTCTTCTTACGAGTATTATCGGCTCATACTGTGGAGCTACAGTAGCTAACCACTACGGGTAGTCCCTTTGCATTTTATACTCCGTACTCCGTACTCCGTACGAGGCTCGTCTCAACATCAAACACTTTTATCGTTTTTTGCAACTCTAATTAGCCTTAATTCCTATCTCAACCATATCCGAGCTACTCTTACAATCTCCCTATTCTCTAAAGTACCGCGCGGACACGTCTGTCGTGACCAAAGCCCAGTTTGGACTGTCATTCTCCGTCGTTAACCGTTTCGTGATTGGCCTGTATATTGACCAGAGTTCGTTTGGGTCCAGTTGCATCCCATTTCGGTACCAACCAACTCCAACTCCGCGCTGTGAAACGACCAAATTCCCGTGTCGAGTGGGCTGTGACGAAAGAACACGAGCCTTATCCATGAAACCAGATATATGCGCCCTTTAAGCAGACCCATGTATACCTACCGTTGGCTCCAGGCAAGGAAGTTAACCTGAGCATGTGTCGTGTGTGATTTAGCGGATGGTCATCTGCTTGACCATGTCGGCCTTGCCAGACGATCCCGAGCTGGCCGAGCTTGCGCTGACACCGGCCTTCTTCTCAAAAACTTTCCAGAACTTGAGGCTCTCGTCGGCGGCAGCCGTAGCCAGCATTTGACCGTCAGGGCTCAGGCAGCTGTGGAGCACACGGCTCTCGTGTGCCGGGATCTCGACGTTGCGCACCAGAGTTGGGTAGCTCCAGATGCTGATGGAGTTGTCGGGGAAGCCGCTGGTGCTGACAATCTCGCGGTAGCCCGTGCTCCACCGGAGGCTGGTGACCTGAGAGCCGGTGTCGATGCTGTTGACGCGAGCACCTGAAGTGGTGTTCCAGAAGTGGATGTGGCCGTCGTAGGAGCCGCCGCCGGTGGCCAGCAGGCTCATGTTCCACGGGCACCAGGACAGGGCCTTGACGGCTGCCTTGTGGTTGGTCTTGGTGAACTTGGGCACAGACAGCGAACGAGCATCCCAGATGGAAACCAGGTTGTCGTTGCCACCGGTGGCGAGCTGCGCACCATCAGAGCGCCAGTCCAGGCCACAGACCTCGGAGGTGTGGGAGACCAGCTCGGCAATCTTGTGCTCGGCAATGCGCACGTCGTGGTTGAAGACAAGGCCACTGCGGGCTCCCGTAGAGAGCAGGTGCTTGTTCCAGCCCATGACGCCAACGCGCGTGTCGTGGCCAAACATGCTGCGGACTTTGGTGCCCTCAGCGACGTCCCAGATCTGGACCTCGCCCGAACCAAGGCCGACACCGACGTAGGCGCCGTCGCCCGACCACTTGACGCTACTAACGTATGTGTCCGGGCTGGTCTCGAGCAGACAGCTGACAGAGCCCTCGTCGGCAGACCAGACATAGACGTTGCGCTCGAGGCCAATGGCTACCTGATTGCCGGAGCTCCAGTCGAGCAGGTTAAGGTAGTAGTCGTCGATGAGACCGGGGGCATCAAGCACCCGGTCTGGTGCTGTGGCAACGCGGCGACGAAACTGGGTGGCGTTTGTGGTAGGCTTCAGAGGACGGTTGTACTGCTGACGAAGGTCGATCGGCTTGGACGACTCGGGGGCAGCCGGCTTGAACTGCAGAATGCGAGTGTTGATGTTCACTCCGCAGGCATCCGCGAGGGAGTCCTGGTAGGCGATGCTCTGCGGCGAAGGGCGCGAGTAGCTGGCGGAATCGTCATCGTCACGCTCGTCAATGGTCAGTGCCTCCAGAGCAGCAAGCGCATCATCTGTTGCGGACGAGAGAACGTCAGAGGCCTCGCCAGTGCGGCTCTGTGGACGCTTCTTGTCGGGAAAGTAGAGCTTCCCTGACCCGACGTTGGCAATGGCGGAGCTGGCCGCACGGTTGGGGATGAAGCGGTCGGCGGCAGCATATGTCAGAGTGGTCTTGGAGGGCTTGGAGGGCTTGGAGGGCTTGGAGGTCTTGGTTGTCTTGGAGGCCTTCTGGCGAGGCGCTGCCTTTTTTGGCCGGGCCGTCTGCTCGGGAGGGCTCTTGACTTGCTGGCCGGTACCAGTCAGGGCGAAATCGGAGACGCCGAGCTCCAGGACTTTGCGTGGTGTAGGAAGGGTGCGGGCAATGTTGGACTTTGGGGAGTCCCGGTGTGAAGACGGCTTTGATGCACGAGCAAAGTGCGAGGCCAGGTTGCCGCCATAAACGGACTTTGTGCAGATGCGCTCATCGCTTGGGACCTGACGCTCTGGTGTGTATGGGGACGAGTTGATATTGTTGGACGTGGTGCGCTGACGAGGTGACGGGGTCAGAGGCATGCGGCCGCCAGCGGTCCGGGAGGAAAAGAGCCCAGTGTGGGACTTCTTGGGGGTGCAAACTGTCAGTGACGCCATCGTAGAGACGGGCTTGACAGAGGGGATGAGAGGTAGTAGATGCTGATGTGTCGTATTGAATTCGATATAGCGCAAAGGCAAACGTTGAAAGCAGGAAACCCTTTTCAACTGAGACAGGAATATCAAAAACTGAAAGCTGCTGTAAAGTAGGAGGTGAGGAGGTGAGTATGAGGAGAAAGAAGACGAGAGTTCCTGCTGGCAGAGGAGAGAGCTCGACTTCCTTTTAATGGCGATGTTTACTCTTGGTGGAGTTCATTCAGTTGGCCAGGCAACGTCGGATGGCAGTTTCGGGGAAGTCGCTATGGGTCGGGCAGTGGGCCAGTCGGTTTCAGTGGATCGGCCTGGCAATTTCTGGGTGTGACCGCTGTAGCAGTCTGGCAACGGACGCTGGAAGGTTGTAGGATACTTTAGACTCTTCAAGCTGCATTACAGCGCCCGAGGTAGCTCAGCGTTACTCGGAGCGATGCGTGAGCTCGATCAACGCTTCCTTCTGTCTGTTCTCTGTACGGCCTCGACAAGAGAGCAATTCTCTGCGAGATGAAATCGCTCGAAACGGCAGATCCGAACAGGCCATGTGAACAGATAGACAATGCGCAGCTGTGAGATCCGATTATAATTTTCTTCTCCATGGTGATGCCCCGGTGTTGGTGCAGCAACGAGAGGAAACGAGGCGAAAGCTCCGCAACGGGGAGGGGTTTCCGCCTATCGCTGGAGCTGTATCTCATATACGGAGTACAGAGTACAGTTCACAAGATAGGCATAAGCTCCTACACAACTGTCACCGCAGAGACGGCCGCACGGCAGTCACGCTGTGCCAGACGCGATTCCCGCATGTAGCAACTGCACTCCAACACGCCGATTAGATAAGCACTTTGCCACCTTGAATGGTGTCTCGACTTTTTTCGGTGCTCCATAATCGTCCAGCTCCGTACAGCTTCCTGCAGCCGAAGCACAGCGACGATGGATGACAAGGGTGATCTGATTGTGTTTGCGCGCGAGAGCGCCGCCTCGGGTCTCGACCTGTACGCGCTGCTGGGTGTCGACACGACGACATCGCGCGAGGACATCCACCGGGCCTGGCGGCGACAGGGTCTCAAGTACCACCCCGACAAGGCGGGGGCCAACTTTGATGCGTCGCTGTACGAGCGGTTTGCGCGGGCGCGCGATGTGCTGGTGGACGATGCGGCGCGGGAGACGTACGACACAGGGCGGGCGGCGGCGTCCCAGCGCAAGATGCAGTCGGAGCAGATGACGGCCGAACGACGGCGGTTCAAGGACGAGCTGGAGGCGGCAGAGCGAGCGACACGCGCAGGTGCAGGCAGCAGCGGTGGTGGTGAGGCGCCGTTTGGACGGACGTCAGCCTCGTCGGGGCCGACACAGTCATCGGAGCGGGAGAAGCTGCGTGAAGCCGGCCGTCGTCGAGCCGAAAACCAGCAGCGCCAGGAGCAGGAGGCAAGGGAACGACAGCGACAGAAAGAGGATGCCCGGATTACTGAGATCGAGCAGCTCCTGCGCGAAAAGGAAGAGCGGCAGCGACGGCGGGCCGAGAAAAAGGCAGCGCGCAGCGGTGGTGCCGCAGACAGCCAACCCGAAAAGGAGACAGCCTCGACTGGACGAACAGACATATCGGAGAAGCCAGCGTTGTCACAGGCCGATCCAGAGTGGCGGAAGCTCCTCAGCAGCAGCCGCAAGGCCGCAACGATGGAGGGTCCTGTGCAGGAGCGGCCGCTGTTCGCATACACATTGGAGCGGCTCAAAGCGGCCGGCGAGGCCCAGCGACAACAACAGGCCAAGGCCGATGGCGTCAGCACGCCCGCGTTTGAGCCGCAGTGGCAGGAGATCGACGATCCGCAGGTGCGCCAATTTATCACCAGGGTGCCGCGCTTGTGATGGACATGGGAAGCAGAGAATAGACAAAACGAGGCCGAGCGGCTCTGGATATATAATTACATAGCATCAATGATACCCTTCCTGTCCTTTGGTTTCTGCCGGTCCGGCTCAGTCGTCATCGTCGGCCTCGTCGCTGCCGCTGGACCATCCTTCGTGGTAGGCGTCAGCCATGCCGGCGAGCTCGTTGCCGAGGTCTTCGCGGTCTTCCAGGCTGACGGCCCACGGTGCCACGACGACGCTGCGCAGGCCCTGGATGCTGTCGGCGACGGTGCTGTTGGTGGCCAGGCCGGTGGTTACCCGGATGCTCGTCTGCTGTGCTGCTGTGAGCTGGTAGATGTGGGGGAAGCTGTCGAGCAGGGGGAAGCCGAGGTCGACTGGGTATCTCTGGCTGACGGGCTGGAGGGCGAGACGGCGCCGAGCCATGTCCTCGCGGTCGGGAGTGCGGTCGTCGTTGTTGCTGTTGTTGTTGTCGTCGTCGTCGTCGTCCTTTTCGTTCTTGTCGTCGCTGCTGCCCCGCGAGACGACGGCCTGGCCAAACATGCGCGTCTTCTTTGGCCTGCCGGCCGGCCGGCCGTAGACGCCCGTCCGGGGCTCGTCTTGAGGTGCGAGGTCGATGTTCAGACGCAGGGCGGCGGCCGGCCCATCGATGTCGACGTCCTGCGCATGCGCAGCTGCAGCCGCCTTCCGGATCGCCCGCCAGGACTGGCCGACGGTCATCTGCAGGTGGGCTACGGTCTGGTGGCCGGTGGCGTTGAGCAGCTCTGTCATGTAGGCGAGCGAGTCGCCGCCACGACGCAGCCGCGACGGCAGCGTGGCCGTCTCGATGGCCGTAGCCAGCAAGGCGGACACGTGCCAGGTCAGGCGCGGGTCCAGTGTGGACTCGACTCCGCGCAGCGGCAGCGACGGCATGGCGATGGGCACGACCAGTGACGCCTGGCCGGCGGCCGAGGCGAGCGTACGGGCCTTGTTGGCGAGGCGGACAAGACGTTTTGCCTGGGGGGTTAGTGTAAGTTGTAGGAGAAGGAGGGGAAGAGAAGAAAGGTAGAAAAAAAAGAAAGAAAGAAAGAAAGAAAGAAAGAAAGAAAGAAAGAAAGAAAGAAAGAAAGAAAGAAAGAAAGAAAGAAAGAAAGAAAGAAAGAAAGAAAGAAAGAAAGAAAGAAAGAAAGAAAAACTCACCCTCGGCATCCGTGCCACCGGTTCTTGCAGCGCCCACAGCCACACGGTCGACTTGCCGTACTCGTCACGCAGCCGCTCGAGATAGCGGGCCGCGAAGCCGCCCCAGGCGTCGTCGATGCTGGTCAACACCTGCAGGCCCTGCATCTGGTCGGCCTCCTCGAGAAAGGGCCGGAGGTCGCGGTCGAGCAGGTCGTGCTCGCGGTCAAGCGTGGCAAAGAGCGCATCGCCGGCAGCCCAGCTGAGGTCAGGCTCGGCGTCGGCAGCCTCGGGCTCATCGCCGACCTCGACGAGCGAGCGTGGGTGGTAATAAACACGGCCAAAGTCGGACCAGTATCGCACCATGGACGGCGTCAGCGCGGCTGCATCGCCGCCCGTGTCGAGACTCTGCGTGTACGCGCTCGGTATGATTGGCGTCTCTCGCTGCACCACCGCCTGGCCTGCCCACGTGCCGCTGGTGCTGCTGGTGCCGCCGTCGTTGCCCTCCTGCGCCGCTTCGTACAGGGCGTTGATCTTGCGCAGCGACCCAAACCCGCCCTTGCGATCATATACCACCGTCCGCGGCAGATACGTCTCCGTTTTGTCTGCGCCTATTCCTGCTCGCCAGTGGATGTCGTGGTCGACCGGCGACGGCTCGTCCTTGCCGTACGTAAAGTAGGATTCCTGTCGAGTTAGAACTGCTTTTTCTTCTTTTCTTCTGTTCTTCGCTTCCTCTCTTTTTCTCCTTCCGTCTCTACCCCTCCCTCACCTGCGCGTTCCAGAAATGTGTCGCCACATAGTTGCTTTGCCGGCCCAGCTGCAGTGTGATGATCTCGTGCATAGTCGGCGGCTGGTGCTGTTGTCTGCGACACGCTTGGCTCTCATCTTGCCCATGTCGTCGGTCGTCTAAAAAGTGCGCCCAGAATCGCTAAAGCCGGGACCCCTCCTGTAAATAAGCTTTTATCTTATCGCTATTAGCGGGCCTTTTTAGCGGGCTCCAGCCGGTATTTAAGACCTTGGCCAACCATTCTTGACACATCCTTCCGAGTCACTTTTTTACACCTACTCGCGTCTCAGCCGAACCGATTCGATCTAGCAGCACCTCTGTCGAAATGGAAGACATCACAGCAACCGTCGCCAAGGATGCCAACACCCTCAATGTCCCTCCCGTCAAGGATGTAGCTCCTGTGCCCACCATTGGCGAGGTCGCTCCTGTGACTCCCGACTTTAAGCTGCCACGATCAAAGCCTACTGTGATTGTCTTCTTCCGTTATTGCGGTGACCCTTGTAGGTTTCTACCTTTTTGCCTTCTATCTCATCGTCAACGCTCCGACATTTTCCTCTCTCCTCTCTCCTCTCTTCTCTCTTCCCCGCTAACCCTCAGTTTCCGAGAAAAACTTTCGCCAGCTCGCCGCCCTTTCGGTCCAGCAGCCTGGCCTCGACTACATTGCCGTCTCGCTCTGCTCGCGCGAAGTCACCGACCGCTGGATCGAGAAGATTGGCGGCGCTTGGAACACCGACGTCATCATCGACACCGAGCGCAACCTGTATGCCCGCTGGGGTCTCGGCCTGAACACCACCTGGCAGCTCTTTAATCCCCGTGCCCTCTACACCACCGTCGCCCTTGGCCTCGAAGAGGGCATCTGGGGCCGCGCCGTCGACGACGGCGACCGCTGGCAGATGGGCGGCGCCTTTGCTGTCGACGCTGCCGGCTTCGTCCGTTGGGTCCACGTCCCCGATGTCTCTGACGACGTCGTCGACTTCAACCCTATGCTCGACCTGTTCGGCCTGCCGAGAGTCAAGGGGCGCCGCCCGAAGAAGCCGGCAGAGGCACAATGGGTTGGTGCCGCTCACGGTGAACAGCCACAGTGGACAGGCGCCCTGAACGCTCCCCATGAACCCCGGGTCGCAGCCACGGTGAAGGCTCACGGTGAGCGGCGAGCAGACATGGAGGATGCTCGCCCTGAACCCCGGCTCCCGCCCACGGTGAAGGCTCACGGTGAACAGCGACCAGACCCGGTGGAAACGGACGAAAAGTGATTCTCTTTCTCATCATCTACCTGCCACAGCCTGTTTCTTTTTTTTTCTTTTTTTTTTTTTTTTTTATCTCTTTCTCTTTCAGATTCCTTTGCTCCACGTTATTCATGCCTGCATGTCGTCATGAAGTCGATTCAATAGACAGGGAAGTAGGCCTTACTTCATTCACTCGTTCCAAAACAATAATAACATCGGATACACCGCCTTGTGGATGCCGTCGCGTCACTTGCTAAATACCTCATGGATCACCTTGGTCAGAGTATCCACTATCAGTGTCACCAGCTTCTCTGTGACCGTGTAAGCCGGCATGATCATGATGTGGTCCCCTCGGCTGTCACCAGCACAGCCCTGGCCGTAGTAGACCAGCAGCTGGAAGCGGGAAGTCAGGGCAAGGTCGTGGATCTGCTTGGCCACACGCTCTTCGATGGGGAACGGCTCGCGGCTGCCTCTGTCCTGGACGAGCTCGATGCCCCAGAAGAGCCCGCGGCCCCGGATGTCGCCCACGTGCGGATGGTCGTCCAGCTGAGCATGCAGGGCCACCCCCAGCTGCGCTCCTCGTGCCCGCACATTGGCCAGCAGGCTGTCGCGCTGGATGATGGTCTGCACGCAGAACGCCGCCGCCGACGCCACCGGATGGTTCTGGTATGTGTGGCCGTGCGTGAACAGCGCGCCGTCGGCCTCGTGCATCGCCGTGACCACACGCCGTCCGGCCAGAATGGCCGCACACGGCTGAAACCCACCACCGAGTCCCTTTCCCACTGTCTGGATGTCCGGACTGGCATCACCGCCATCCATCTCGTGCTGCCACGCGTGCAATGTCCCCGTGCGGCCCATGCCGCACATCACCTCATCCAGCACCAGGAGTGCCCCATGTCTGGCGCAGACTGCCTTCATCGCTGCCAGGTAACCCGGCGCCACAGGCATGCAGCCGGCAGCTGCACCCACCACCGGCTCCACCACAAAGGCGCAGACTGTTGCCGGGCCCAGTCGCTGAAACGCTGCCTCCAGCTCTGCTGCTTTGCGCGCAACAAATCTAGCGTCTGCTTCTCTGGCCTGCTGCTGCCGGTACGTGTTGCACCCTGTCACGTGCTCCACAAGGCTGGTCCCGAGGCTGGTCCCGAGGCCGCCCATCAGCAAGGGTTGAAAGGGCGCACGCCGCGATATGTGTCCGCTGAGAGATAGAGCGCCCAGTGTAGTGCCGTGGTATGAAGGCTTGCAGGCAATGAAGTTGACCCGCTGAGGCTGGCCCGTCCAAACAAAAAACTCGCGGGCCAGCTTCATGGCTCCGTCCATGGCCTCGCTCCCTGCTCTGTCAGTTCCTTCATTCCTCGTCGCTCACCTTTGTCGCTGACACCATAGCATACACACCTGATGACACCAGATAGACCTTGGCTATAACGCCGTTAGACGTGCGCACCAACCACTCTTCTAGATTCCGCGTGCTCTGGTTATCAAAGAAGGCATATGGCACGTATGAGCACGATTGCGCCTGCCTGTTCATGGCATTCAGGACCTCTTGATTGCCATGGCCAAGACAAGTCACAGCAGCACCGCCACAAGCATCGAGAATCTCGCGGCCATCTTGGACGTAGATGTGGTGGCCCTGAGTTTTCAGCACCAGGGGCAGGCCTCGGTCGGGAGAAGAGGCAGAAGTGGGGGCAGAAGCGTGTTTCTGGTGAGTGCCAGACGGCAGATCGAGATTGTTCATGAAGCCAGCGCTCCCAGACATGCTGTTCTCGGCGAATGTATCCTGTTTTTGTAGAAGACTAGTTAAACACGATTGTCACAAACACAACAGCTAAAACTTGTCTTATTTTCCAGGAAGGAAGCCACGATAGAGATGCCGAGTGCGTATGCTTTGTACGCGTTCGGCAGGTGCCAGACACCGCAGACAGACAAGCACGAAAAGCACAAAGGGCAACCTCCTCTCAAAACCCTACGTTCACCTCCTTCCGAACCCTTTCTTCTTTAGCTCACTCTGCTTCTTCGTCGTCTCAACGGCCCGAGAAGGGCCAATACTCGGCTTCCTTCTCTACTAGCCGGCTGGCCGTTGGACTACAGCTCCCCAAGTCTCCACCCGTTAATGGTCACATAAGATTATATGTTCTGGGCAGGGGCTATCGGACGAACTATAGCAGTCAATACGTTGGTGGTGTGGAGTGAGATTTGCAGCCAGGTGTGATAGTGCATCAGAGGCGGTTTTGGCGCTTCGAGGGACGATCCCATATCAGTCACGCCTCTTGCAGCTTCGTATTTGCTGCATGGCAGATGCCCTGTGCCCCAATGGACCAGACATCAGTCCGGTTAGCGCGGCTATACTATGTTGGGCAAAGCTGACGAGCAAAATTACGAAAAGACTGTTCTCTGGAACGTGCATGATCTTGGTGGAGCTGCTGAAGCAAGGCCGGGCAAGAGAAGGAAAAGGAATGCAAGGGGGTGGCGTGAGCGTCAAAAGGCAAAAGGACTTTGTGATTGGGGGAGAGAGGCATCAAGGTCGCGGTCAGCGTCGGGGGTTAATTTAACACGTCGGCACCACAAACGCAGTTGGCGATTTTGAGGCTTCTCTGAGCCGTGTGCATGGACGAAACAGTCAAGCACACCCCGAATATTGCATCTTAGCAAAAGAGTGACAAATCACTTCCGTCCCCCAATTGACGTCCACATCTTGTGACCGCAGCTGCACATCTAGCTGCAACACGGGCCACTTTCAGTTGCAATGCATGAAACGAAGAAAGACAAGCTTCCTCTTTATCGACCGGCAAGATCGATGGGAGGACCACAGAGCCATTTTAGAGTTGCCGTCCACTACCAGCCTTACTGCAACCATTCAGCACTGCTGTTCTGGAGGCAGCTTGCGCGGTTTCCCGTCCATATCCGTTCGTTCGCTCTCCACCTCGCCGCTGGCGACGGTGTATCGGTGACAGTGTGGAGCCTTGATTCCCGTTCTTCTTTCTTTTTGTCAGCTATGTCACAGGCACCCCCAGTCAACGTGCGGATACCAGATGGGTGGCGACTGCTCCCCCATTCCAAACGGCCAATGCCGTGCATTCTTACCCGAGAGACATTCCTCGTGAAGGAGACAACGCTTCTGTCTTGCTTCCCTTGCTTGAAGCCGCAAAGGAACGGTACAGTCCCAAGTGCAGCGCATGTTTCTCTGCAAGCCTCTTTTCATAAACCTCGCCTCCCTCCGCATTCGGATCAGTACCTCACAGCGCCCTTGTACTGTAGAGCGGATCCGGCACTGTACGGCCGTCAGGCGGCTCTCTACTGTCTGGAGTACGTCATTACAGCTCCCACACCCAATTGAAATTATGGAAAATCCACGTAGCATGCTTCTTGGACAGCGGTCCGCCCCCGTGGCTTGCCAGCCCCCCGGAATATCCGTTGTAGGGCCGGTGCAGGAATGCGAGCAAGGCGGAGCACTACCGCCGTATTGCCGCGCATACGACAGCCAAGTCTGTCATTTCCAGCCACGAAGAAGATGCTCGGCCAGCCTCTGCTCTGTGAAAGCGGTTTTCGGGGAAAGAACGCTTATCAAATCATATTGATATACTCCGTAACTCCCTTTTTGGCAGCGGGGTCGAGGCTGTTCACGCGCAGCCAATCAGATCTCCAGAGCCAGACCAACGAAAGTTCCCGCCAAGTACCTTTTTGCGCTGGGCTGGCGGGCCTGCTACTCAGCCGCCACCTGCGCCCCTGTTTTCCTGGCCTGTTCCCCACCACTTACAAGGGAGACGAAAGAATGAACTTGCGAGACGCGAAATTGAAAGTGGTAACCGCGATTGACCAGACGCTCGCATTGTCATCAGTCAAACTAAACAAATGCCACCACGGCTTCCTCTTCCTCTCTCTCTCTGGGGGTGCGGCCATTTTGACGCAAATTTTTCTCGTCATCAACCGAAAACAATCGTGACCACCTGCGCCCTCTCAAATTCCAATGTATACAGCCCGTCCACATCACTAGCTTTCATTAAATCTTTTTTTTTTCGCGAACCGCTCTAGCTCCTCTTTTTTTTTTTTTTTTTGTTCCCTCCCACCCGGCTATAATCTCCCCAGCCTTTGCTCTTGCAAGGACCAGCCTGCCAGGCCGGTGATTATTTGCCCCGCGAGCGTGACGAACGACAGACAGAGCTTGTTATTAGCCTCTAGCACCCTCACTGTGCAGGGCGCAACAGACACGACAGCTGGTATTGACTTGCGCTCTCCTGCGCCGCCCGAATTGACACCAACCTCGCCTTCCACGTGTCACATCCACGATTGTCTGACGCCTTTTCTTCCCTCCGCCTGCTCGACTTGTGCTGTCACGCAGCACTGTCGACGCTTCCTTTTCTCGCGATGCCGACGCCCAGACGATCTTCTCAGCGGACTCGCCGGAACTCCTGGCGCAAGGAGACCACCGTCGATCTTCCAGACTCTTCGCCATCGCGACCTGCAAAGCGAAGAAAGCAGGTAAGCAGCACTCGCTCGACTTCATTCGTCATCTCCCCATCCTATCCCCTCTCCTCCAGCTGCCCCATGTACCCCTCCTTGTGCTCACGCTGTCCGTCTTAGGCGACCGACGAATCCCCGCGCGACATCCCAGAAGAAGAACCGTCCAGCCTGCTGGCCGACAGCTCTGCCATCAACCCGACCGACGAGACCCAGATCGTGACCCGTGTCGCCCAGCACCTCCTCTCTCCACACGAAGATCCCGTCCGTGCCAGCAAAGACCATTCCAACGCCATACATGAGGCCAATAAGGAGGGCGTTCAGGCGTATGCCAAGATTGCCGCACAGGACTGGACTTTCTACGTCACCAAGCTCACCGTCAACATCGGCCGCACATCAGAGCCGCCGCCCGAGTATCCGAAGTTGTACGATCCCGATGGCGATCCCGAGTTTGTCCACATCGATCTCGGACCAAGCAAGATGGTCTCGCGCCAGCATGCCCAGATCGTCTTCAACACGAAGAGCGAAAAGTGGTTCGTCCACGTCAAGGGCCGAAACGGGGTGAAGGTCAACAACATGCCCTGGCGGCTGGGCCAGTCGAAGCCTCTCGGCAGCGGCGACGTCATCGAGGTTGGCGGCGTGGAGATGATGTTTGTCCTCCCGCTCGAGACGAGTCCCTTGAACATCAACGACATCTACCTCCAACGAGCCGGTTTTCCCAAGTCCGAACGCGAACCGTCGCATCTCGAAGAAACACCCTCTCGGCCACGGCTGCGTGCAACCACTCCACAGGCTGCGGTCGAGTCGTCTCCGCGCGGCTCCACGATGCGGAGTGCCCTTCCCCGTGGCCAGCCAACTCCGCAGCCAATAGCCCCGGCACCGCCGGACTACAAACGACCAGGGACTCCACCTTCTGCTCGCAGCCGCATTTCCGTGCCCGGTTCCCACCTGAGGTCGCCCCAGTTTCGGGACATCCCAACCATGGTTGTCCATCCAAGCGATGTGGATCTCAGCCTGGACGAAAACAAAAACATGAAGCCGCAGTACAGCTATGCCCAGATGATCACACAGGCCATCATGAACACCTCAGACGGGAAGCTCAACCTAAATGGAATCTACAATTTCATCATGGACAACTACTCCTACTACAAGCACCAGCAGGCTGCCGGTTGGCAGGTGAGTCTGCTTTGCCCCTTTTTTGTCGACGAATTTGGTGATATCTAACGCGGCTCAGAACTCCATTCGCCACAACCTGTCTCTCAACAAAGCGTTTGAGAAGGTGGCACGGTCGACCGAAGAGCCCGGGAAAGGCATGAAGTGGTACATCTTGCCCGAGTACAAGGACGAAATGGTCCGCACAGCCTATCGAGGAGGACGTGGTGGCCACCGGGGGTCCTCAAACCCGTCGTCGCCGAGCCAGCTGAACTACGTGAACCAGGGCCCGAGAGACATGGCTGCCAGGGATCTGGGATCTGCACGAAAGCGGAGAGTCTCACCGTCCGGGTCGCCGCAGCCTCGATCCACCTTGCGCGATATGCACTTGACACCAGACCGAAGTTCGCGGCGACTGCTGCCCGACGAAGCCCCGGCATCGTCCGACGGAAGCCCCCTCCCTCGATACCGAAGGGGCGCTGCCGCAAAAAGTGCCAGCAACAATGGCGGTAATGCGGCGACGGCAGCGGCAGACGGATCCGCCCTCTCGACGGCCTCCGAATCGGTACCACGATCGCCCATTTTGACGTCGGCGTTCCTGCAGGACGACACCGTCTCGTCTTTTGTCACGCCGGCACCGCATCGCGTTGAGCTGAAGCTGAACCCTCCGAGCACACTGCAACGGCCCAGCCAGCACATGCCGACCAGCTCGCCGGCGCCTTTCTGGAAGTACGCCGACATCGGCAGCACACCGCTGAAGTCAGCGGTGGCCTTCGATTTCAGCCCTTCCAAAACGACACAGAGAGGCAGAGGTGGCAGTGGCGCGCTGCCGGCGAGCAGCAGCCCACCGCCTGCGGCAACAAGAACAAAGTCACCGTCATCCAGTCCGTCAAGACCGAGCCGAACCATCGTGCCAGAACCAGCAGCAGAGCTGAAGGAGGCCGAATCGGCAACGAATACGACAGACTCGGAAACCGTCACGGACACAGCAGCTGCCCTTCCTGTTCAAGCAGTCGACGTCGAGGAGGACGGCGGCTTTGACCTGACTAAGTGAGTCTAAGCCTCCTGCCACATTTGTTGGATGCTTATGCTGACATGATCTACAGGGGCTTTCAAAGCATAGGCTCATATCATGCTCCAGTCCGGCACGGCCTGCCTGTTGCAACGGCCATGAATGGGAATCAGTGACTACATCATTGCTTTGCACGTCGTCGTTTTTGTTGTTTGAGTGTTTCACTATACAGCTATGATTCCGTCGGCCACCGCTTGCGGGCCCAGGGATGGAGAAGAAAGAGGTGTCGTTATTTTGTTTGTTTTATTTCCCCATCCTCACTGGTTTGACGGGTGGGCAGAGGTGGGTACGGTGGTTGGTATTTGTCAAGAAACGACGCCGTCCTGGATTGGACCGTTGATATTTCGTGTATTTGTATGCAAAGAGCAATGAGGCAGATGAGGCGCGGGTTTTACTTCCTGGTGTATGGGTTCGACGCATTAAATGCCATTGTGGGAAGGGCTAATTCCAATCAAGAAATCTACGAGACAATCATTATTTCACAAGATCAGAGTGAACGCACTGATATGTTGTAGGCAGTATAGAATAGCAGCAGAGACCCAGACTGTCCAAGCAAGCCGTCTCCTATTCATCAATCAAGCGTGGCCAGACTTGCCCTTGAGCTTCTGCGCGAGGCCACCCTTACTCTCCTTGTTGGTCTCGGCTGCGCCGGCAGGGGTGTCGCCCTTCTTGTCGGGCCCCAGGTGCAGGCCCTTCTCTTCAAGGAGTCCTGGTAGGACGTGTTAGCAATTTGGGTCATTGATTCGTCATGATTTGTCAAGAACGTACTCTCGGCTTCCCGTCCAGCGCCCGGATTGGCCGCGTCAAAATCGCCTCCATCGGCCTGCAGGCCGGAGCTGCGAACATATTTCTCGCCTGTGCCCTTCTCCTGCGAGTCCGGGACGGACGGGTCATTGGGGCCGCCGGGGATGGCGCTGCTAGACGGTACACCCGGAGGCCCGCCGGCAGACCCGCCAGAGCGGGTGGTTGAGAGGTCTCCCGACGGAGCAGTCGGGAGGTCTTCTGTCTGGGTGCGGCGGGTAGACGGTCCCCCCGTTTCAGCGTGGCTTGGAGGGCGTCCCTCAGACACACTGGGCTCACCAGCAGCGCCGGCCGCTAGGGGTTCCTTGCTAGAACGATTCCCAGGGCCAGAGCCGGTCGTAGAACGTCCTCCAGCCAGACTGCCAGTGCCCCCGGCAGCAGCGGCAGCTAGGGGCTCTTTGCCAGACAGTCCTCTGGCGCCAGAGTGGCTTGTGACGGGACGTTCCCTGGAGTAGCTGTCAGTACCGCCCGCAGTGCTGGCAGTATGGGGTTCCCCGGTCTGGCCGCTACCGCGTGCCCCAGAGTAGTTGCCAGTCTCTCCGGCGGTGGCTCCGACGAGGGGTTCCTTGGAAGATAGTCCTCCAGAGCCAGTGTGGCCTGAAGTACGTCCTCCAGGGTAGTTGCCAGTCTCTCCAGCACCGTCACCGATAGGAGGCTCGTTACTTAGGTATCCTCCAGAGCCAGTTTGGTCTGAAGTATGTTCTCCCGAGTAGTTGCCATTTTCTCTAGCACCGCTACCAATAAGAGGTTCGTTACTCAAAAAGTCTCCGGAGCCTTTTTGGTCTGAAGCCCGTCCCGATGAGTAACTGCCAGTTTCTCCCGTAGTTCTGGCACCGGCATTGGAAACTTCGTAGTTTTCCTTGTTTCCAGCATCGAAAGGCTCGCCCTGATCAGTGTTCCCCCTAACTCCAGACACGGGCTCCTCGGCGCTGCCGGTGGGCAAGACTTGATTGACCGCCTGGGCCGCCTGTGTTGCCAGGTTGCTGAGCGTTTCCATTTTTGTGATATGTATATGGGAGAGTATTGGCCAAGTTGAACGTCACAGTCACAGTATGGACAGTTCTGAAAATAGTACGTGGATCGTAGATGAGATTGTCTGGGGTAAATGCCAAGAGAAATAGGTCGTCGGGAGGGCAGACGAGACCGGCTTAAAAAGTCGCGAGATTGGCACTGACGTTGACATCATTGTCTATCTTGCAACCAAGGTATAGATCTTACCAGAGCAATAATACTCGTCGTCCATTTCGCATGACGTCGATATACGTCACCGGTTTTTCAAGTAAATGTGGGGTATAGCCAACTTGCAGCCTTGCGCACGCCTTTCTGGTATTTTTTTTCCTAAATTTAAGAATTTATAAATCAAGTTACAAAGCAAATACTAGATACACTATACAAAAGGACATATATACATTTATGGAGCCATGCAGTTTTTAGCGTTTACAGCAGAAGCAGGGCGCCAAACATAGCACCAACCACTGCAGCAAAGCTGCCACTCATGACACGGCCAGCGGCAGCTGTTACAACAGCTGTCACAGCCGATTGAGCCGAAGTGGTCGTCGGTGATGCCGTGCTGGCAGGTTTGGCGCTGGCAGTGACGCCGAGGGAAGCCGTTTCGGCGAAGGCAACATAATTAGACGTAGCAATGCTGACCGCAGCAGAGCTTGCAGCACTGGCAAAAACGGCAGCGCTGCCCGTTGGGAGGACAAAAGCAGTTGGCCCAACATCGCCCACGGCGAGGACGGCCTTTTCATTCGAGCCGTTGCCGTAATTGGCGCCCCCAGTTGCGAGGACGGGAACGACGGTGGCGGTCTCCTTCTCTGTGACGGCGCCGATGACCGAAATGGACACAGACGCGACAGAGGTCGGGGCCGTGAAGGTGGCAACGATGGGCGTCTCGAGGGGCACCAGAACGTACACGGCGGTGACGGCGGTCACGGTGCTGGTGGAAGCGGAAGCTGTCGTGGTCTTGGCGACCGGTACAGACTTTGACGAAGACAGCATGATGGTGGTGCTGGCCTCGGGGCAGATGGCGACAGTCTTGGTGACGACATCGGTGATAATGATCTTGTTCTGGAGCGAAGCAGGACAGTTGACGACCGAGGCCGCACAACTGGTGATGGTGTACGTCGACGTGGCAAAGATGGTGGACGTCAGCGTCGTGCCGTTGGAGCCCAGAGCGACGGTGGTGGCGGCAGCAGCAGCAGCCATAGAACCCGAGTAGGCAGCGACAGATGCGGTCGTGTTGGCAAACAGAGGCTTAAGGCCGCCAACCGAGACGGCACTGCTGGCCGGAGAAGAAGCGGTGACAGATGGGAAAGCAACACCGGATAGCATAGAAGCCGTGACTGGCGGAAAGGCAATGCTGGAGCCAGAAGCATTGACGTTGGCACTGAACGAGTTCGCCGAGTTGGCATGAGCGCCGACGACGAGACGCACGGCATCGACAACGGCAGCAGTTGCAGTTGCAGTCGCATTCGTATGCACATGCGATTTGGAACTTGCAGACGCAGAAGCAGAGGCAGTCGTAATCGTGGTCGCACTGCTGGTAGTACGGATACACTGAGTGGCAGTCGGGCCCTGATAGAGGGTGGTGGAGATGGTGGGCACAGCGCCAAAAGAGGAGTAGTTGATGACGACGTCAGCATCGAGAAAGGCGCCGGCGTTGATGTCCCAGGTCTCAGACAACATGACATCGCAAGCGGGCGTGTTCTGGGCCTCGACGATGAACTCGAGGATGTTGGCGTAAATGCCGAGCTCGGCATCCAGGCCGGCGCCCAGAATGTCGACACTGGCGCCGGCTTCAACTCGCAGCCGCAGGTCGGCCTTGAAGGTGGCATCGCCACTGCTAACTGTGATGGGTATGGCCGTGACCGTGGTGTCGGTGAAGAGCGAGTCGACAATCGTGCCCTTACGGATGTCTGCCTCGAGGTACGAGTCGTTGCCCACCTGCACGAAGAAGCCACCCTCCAGCTCGACCTCGGCTGACAGGCTGAGCACGAGGTCGACGTAGAAGACGAGTCCGAGGCTGACGTCGTGCAGCGAGATGCCCACCGGTGATTCCGACGAAAAGATCGTGTACGTGTACGTGGCCTTGTCAGCCACCTTGACGCCCAGGTCGATGAAAGCCGCGACACCCGAAAAGTCTAGTCGGAGCTTCGGCTTGAGGATGCTGCCCTTGATCTTGGCAGACACAGTACCCGTCGTGGAGCACTCGATGCATTCCAGTTTTACGCTGACCGTGTTGTTGATGCCATCGACAGTTTCACTCCAAGAACTAACGGTCACGTGTCAGCAGAGAAAGGAGAGCAGAAGAGGAAACCGCATCAGAAAGAGCCTACCCTTTGATTAAAGTGACTTCGTCCAGGCCATGGTCGAGGTTGACAGACATCTCCGAACGCTTCTGCAGGCTAGCGTCTCGGGCAGCCATGTTCATGGCCTCTCGAAGAGCCAGGTTGCTGCTGCTGCTGCGCTCCGCGTAGACCGGAGGAGAAACGACCACGATGGGGTTGGCATTGCACAGGGACACAGCCAGGGCGGCGAAGCCGAGAAGACTTGCGCTCAGCATGTTGAGATAGGGAAAAATAAAAAAGAGACTGTGGTAAAAGTAGTGACAGTGGACGGTTGAAACCAAGAATGAACGACAAGGCACAGCTACTGAGAATACCGGCCGAAAAGAAGGACTGAGGGGTGAGGGGAAAGATGAGAACGAACGGCTCTGACGAAACAGCGACAACATTGTCAACGAGAACAGGCAAGACAACCCATCTTATGTGCGCCGCCCGTTGCGCGAGGTGGCATCGTAACTCACTTACAGATCTAAAAGAGGTCTAACAGCTTAGCTGCTCTATTATGCACGGGGGGGTAAAAAGGTAGCCGTACCGATGGGGACAAAGGGGACGATGACACGGCCAAGTGGAATGGCAAAAATCATCTCATCAAAGACAGCAGCCATGGCGTTTTCCTCCACTAGGAGGTGCACGGATGAAAAAACGGATGAAGCCAAGCCTTGCCCAGCCGTGGATTGCTCGCAGATATTACCCCTCTCGCAGACGTTCCGTGTCGGAGAAGTCTCCCTCGACAACCGGATTGGGCAGCTCGACCTGTCAGTCTGGGGCACGCATTGCATGATCGGCCGCTTCAAGGAACCAGGGGGGTGGAGCCATAAGGCAGAGTCGATGGATGGAGAGGCCAGACGTATGCGATCTCGAGGGCAGGGGGGTATAAGAACATCGACATAAGAAATTCCACTCGTATAGAAAGGGGTGCAGGAATTCCATCATGCAGAAAGATGTCTTGATTGGATGTCTATTTTGTCGACGGCTGAGTCGAGCCGGTGGGCCCCCATCCTAGAGGACGCTTGGGCCAATGAGGATAAAGGGGCGAGATCAACGGCCGCACATGGCAGGAACCAACTGCCCAATCTCCATGCGGTCGGGAAGCGACGACTGCTTACAGGACATGTATTGAAATTAGGACAGTCAGCATCGCAATAACTTGGCAGCAGATGCGGGCCAGTAGGAGAGTGAAATACCACGATGCAGAGATGAGGGCGTCCAGAAGAGAGCATTGGTTGACAGCCTACCCGTAACACAACCAGTCGTTGCATCGCTAGTATCGTTAGTATCGTTAGTTTTGGCACTATGTGCTCGTACGAGTACAGCCCTGTGAGACGCCGATAGGGTCCTCTTCTCGGTCATGCATGAAGTTAGTTGAACAAATCGACAGACGAGAGCACCGAGACGTGTGATAGTGCAGTCCCTGCTGCGCAACGAGATCCGGCAGACTACGAGTACGGAGTACGAGACACATGGCTCTCCGTACCTGTCGCGGGAGCTGCCCATCCGCAAAGACGAAAAAGACAAGTGCCGTCTTGGCAGTCTGAATTTAACCCAGAACCCATAGCGTCACAGTGTTCTCTGTAGCTTGCAAACGTCGTCGAGAGAGCTTGTCGTTCTTACCAAAACAAGTTGGCAATCTAGATACACAAAAGCACAAAAAAAAAGGCCCGGCCGGTCCAGATCCGAGCAACAAGAAGTGATGATGTGCATGAGCCCAGCTACCGATAATACAGACTGCTGTCCCTTGAGAGTTACCGTTGCAGTTGCGCCGTCGCGCCGTAAGACAAAATGAAAATGAAAATGAAACCGAAATGAACAGCAAGTGGGACAGAACATGAACTACTCCGTAGAACGGCCAGCAATCTCCAACGAACGGCCCAGACACAAAATAGGGCAAAAAACGCACGCCTCCATTGCTCCAAAAACGCTCCCCGGACATGAGATACAAAAGGAAAACAAGAGTGTCCACACTCTCCAGCAGACCGGCAGACCGGCAAGTCCGACAGCCCGCTCTAGCTCACCATGCACAGCAACTCCGCCTCGAGAATGTACTTGCCCTCCTTGTACTTCTCGGCCGACTCGTAGGCCTTGTCGTATTTCCAGCCGACCGTGTCGCCGCAGCCACGGCAGTTGATGTCGCGCACCACATGGCGGCCCGTCGTCATGCTGCGCTCGCCAGCCACGCCCGTGTCCACGTTGACGACCGTGTTGAAGAGGTAGGCCTTGCCGTGCTGGCCGCGGAAGTTCTACATGCACGACCGTTAGAAGGGAAAGGCCCAAGGCCGCCTCGCGCCTCTGTCCGCTGCTTGCTTACCCTGCTTATAATGTCTTCATGGTTTGCCAGGTGGGCCTTGCAGCTCTTGCAGCCGTAGATCCGGTTGCTGTTCAGGTACGTGTTGTAGGAGAGCCCCATCGCTGCAACGGTTGTGATGGGGAACGTGGCGAGCTGGGTTGCGTAATGGGAGGATGCCCTTCGCTGCGCTCGTGCGTGCTGTGTATTTCGCCGCTGCGACTAGTTCAGGGCGATACCAGAAATCGATGTATTCTCTGTTCTCAGAAGCGTTGTGTCGGAGACGCTAGGTCTGCTACTCGTAGAAACCAAAAATGCAGTTTGTTGAGCGATCGACCAAGAGGATAAACGCAGTGGCCGAGAGAAGGCGAAGGCGGGTGTTCTTATCAGGTGCGTGCTGAGCTGGGATGACCAGAGGATGGTGGCGAATCGGCTTCGTAGCTTCAGGCGTTCCTATTCCGGCTGGCTTGCCCCATACGAATCGTGGTCCACACGAAGGAATGCGTAGGAACCGTGTGCAAGACAGCGAGACTGACCGGTGCTGACTGGAACCTGCTGTCTGTGCCTTTTCGGCGGTGCAATGTCTCGACAGTGAAGACGGGCGGAAGTTTGGACGCTGGCCAAGGGAGGAGGCCAAGGAAAGACGGCAAGGAGAGGGGCAATGCCGGCAACAAACAGGTTGAGGCTTGATAAAGCACATGCCATAAGTGGGCCAACCAGCCAATTCGGACCACTATGAATACAGTGGCTTGTCCTACCACGAGCGAGTAAGCCTATGTAACGTGGTCCTCTTTGTTATTGGTTGGCTACTTCCGTCACGTTATTGGCATTCGATGCTCTTCCATGACCTCACCGGCTGCACATACTTACACAAAGCTACGCTGATGCGCAAATTGCAATCGATCGCGATCATGTTTGCTACGCAGCCCACTGTGTGATTAAAATTACGAGTAACGAGGCTGAAAGTCAGTGAAAATTTAGTACCTATAAGAAAGAGAAAGATCATCTACAAGAAAGCGGTTCTGTACAGGAAAAAACGACAGAGGAAAATAATCGACACCCAACATCGTGCATTGGAAACAGTACAACAGTAGCGACCGTGCTCATCTGTCCCAGGGCCCATGTCTACCATATATTTACACTAAAAAACAAAGAAAGGAGCGGCAGGCCCAGTGGTTGGTTGTGGCAGTGTCTGTGCGTGCGCGATGAGCGGTACTACCACGAAAAAGCCTCCTCGATAAACTCAATAGATCCCTCGTACTGGTGGTCTCGTACAGCAAGCCGGACCTCATCGCTGAGCGCGCCCGGACCGCACACGGTCACACCCACAGTGCCGACCTGGTTCTCCAGCTCGTGTCCCAGCAGCGTGCTGATGTTGGGGCGACCGGGGAACATCTGCACGGTGGCACTGGGCGAGTGGATCTCCTTGGTTGACCGTGGCCGGCTCACAAAGAGCATGATCCGTAGCACGTCGCGCCGCTTCTCCATGGCCAGGATCTCCGTCATCCAGGGCCGAATCCACTCGAGATGCTCGGGGGTCTGGATGGTCCACACGAGCACAACCTTGCGTGCTGCGACCGTGCCGTTAGCATAGCCGGTCACCAGGTCGCGCACGTGCGGAACTGCCTGCGTAATGCCGACACCGCCTGCGAAGAGCATGACGGTTCCGTACGAGTGCAGGTTGTGCACGCCGCCATACGGGCCCTCCACCATGCATTTCGTGTGCCACCGACCGTCCGTGGCCTCGGACGCCTTCTTGTACAGCTTTCCGGTCATGCCAGTGCGGCCACGGATGACGAAGGACATGCTTGTCTTGCGCATCGCCATGACCTCTTGGCGGTTCATTGCCAGCTTGTCGTCCTCGAGCACCTCGGCCTCCTCGCTCCAGGCAACGGAAAACGGGTGAGACTGCCAGTAGCCCACGGACGGGATGTACAGGTATGCGTGCTGACCGGGCTTGAAAGTCCAGGGACGAGCCATGGTCACGGTGACGCGGCAAGCGTTGCCGGGAAGTGCCTCCACCAGTGTCTGGGTGCCGCCGTTGCCAACGTTGTTGTACATCACGCGCAGGAAGCGAGCAGTGCGGTCGGCAGCCCACAAAGCAATGACGCTGTACAGGTAAGAGATCTGCTTGTACTTTCCGATGTGCAGGTGGTAGTACAATCCCATGACAGCCACAGCGGCCAGGGCAATGTGCAAGATCTTGAAGGTCTCATAGGCCGCATGGCGAAGAGGGCTCATGGCCTGGAAACCGATCACCAGCATGGCGAGCGTGGAAATCAGACCATACTTGAGGAATGGCACGTCGACGATCGTCTTCATGACGGGCGAGAAGCCTTCCTTTTGAGCGTTGACGACGACATAGGAGAGCGTGTGTGTGAGGGCTTCTAGGGCGACAATGCGGCCGAACCAACGGTGCAGGAGGTTGAAAGTATCAAACGACATGCCAAGCAGAGTGATGAGCGGGTTGTTGCGGCCGGCCATGAGAAACAGAGGGACCATGTTGATGGTAGCCAGTATGCCAGTGCGGTTCCTAAGCTGCGCAGCTGCACCGACCGAATCGAACGGGATATGAATGACACAGTAGGCGACATTGGTGGCAAGGTAGCCCAGAAGAAAGATCAGCTGGAGACGAGTGGGCAGGGTGCCGACATTGATGGCAGAGCTCATCTGGATCTCGCGATTGTGACGCTTCCGGCTGACGGGAGCGTATACCACATTGCGCTTGAGCCACGAGTGCCTTGAATCCTGCTCTGCATAGTAGCGCTGTGTGTCGTTGTTGAGGGATGTGACGGTGCGGACTCGGCGCATGACGCGGTAGGCGAGCGACCAGAGAAGGACGACGCCGCCACCTGCCGCGCAGATATAGTACAGGTAGTCTGCGAGCAGCTGATTCTCGACGGCCGGGTTGAAGGTCGACTTGACCGTGGCCGCTGCCGCTGCCGATGAGTTGGACGACATGATGTTTGAAATGTTTGGATGGTCGATATCAAAAGGGCCTGGCTCCTGCAGGCTTGTAGAAGATGAAGAAAAATAAATCCCTATTGGGATACGCTAGATGCGAAGGACTGTCTGTTTGCTTGTGGAAGCTGGAATGTGGTGTCTGATAGACCCGCAGAAATGGCCGAGTACTTTCAAAGGAAGGAGGAATCGGTTGTCAGGCCAGGGCTATATTTATCTGGTCCCGTTGCTGTTCATCGGTCTGCTGTCTGTAGCTTCTCCTAGATGTCGACCAGCGGCAAGGAGGATGAGAGGGACGGTCTTCGAAACAAGAGCCTTCTTCGGCAGTTCGTGGTGACAAAGGACAAAAAGGATTGGAATGAACAATTTGACGGAAGCCACTATTTAAGCAGTCGACAAGCACCTCTTGACAGAAGTGTGTTGGGAGCTGGTGGTGTTCTGTCCAAGGCCTGCCTGCGAAAGAAGGGAAAGAAATGAAGACAATGTGAAGAAAGGAAGAAAAAAGGGTCAAGGACGACGAAATGAGTCTAAGACACCAGGTCGAAAGAGAAAAGGGTAGAGACACCGAAGTGAAGAATAGAAGCGATGTGGACCGACTAATAGATGTATCTAAATTCGGCACTTCTCCTTAATGGATGTTCAAAAGCAAAGAGAAGGACTGCTAGACTGAGAGGGGTGGTGTGGGGAGGGGGGTCCTTCCTGCTTGGGAATGCTCTCTTTTTTTTTAAAAAAAAAATGTTTTTCCTCGGTTTGGCGCTCTGAGTTGTAACAGAGTACGAGTCAACGGAGTACACGCATTTGTTTCCCCCTGTACAGAGTATACGGGCACACCCCCTCTGCGAGGTATGTACGGAGCAAGAGTACGACTTAGGCCAGCCTCCGCGGCTGCGATAAAACCCCTGCAGTCAAGCGATTTTGACGTTTGCCAAGACAGAATTGCAGCTGAAGCTGTGGTGCTCTTCTACATACGACGTACTATGTAGTACTCCGTAGATGAGGGCCTGGATTTTTATGGCCAGCAAGAGCATCCCTGCTGCATACGAGCACAGCAGCCCTACATAGTACTTTTCGTTATTTTACCTTTTTGTCTTTTTGTGCTTACACCGTATAAGATCAAGGCTCTGCCAGGGTATCTGTCCCTTCCGATTTCACCTTGCCGGCCGAGACATGAAGGCGCTGCCATGTTCGTGCTCCTTTGCAGCTGTGACCAGACTCGTTATCACGGCTGGCAGAGCTGCTGTCTGGTCGCATTTGTGGCCGAGGGATTGTCCGCTGTGACGGCTTGCATACGCACGCGTGCTCCATGGACTCTTCGCTTGGTAGCTGATCCGCCCAAGGGCGATCCTTACCGCATGCTACTGTACATAGTACGACTCCTTAGTGCTACCAAGTACTCTATGTATCCCAAGGGCCTGTCTCGTGCAAATCACGGAGTATTTTGCACTTATCTCACACGCCCCCTCTTCGGAGTTCGGACCCCGTGCTCGGAAATGCTCTTCGTAGATTGCCTCTTGCCGTGCTCGTATCTTGAGAAGCGCCGCAGAGACGTGAAGCAGGGAGCATTACGGAGTACGTGCAGAAGACTGCCAGCGGGAACAGGATCGGTGGGAGCTGAAACGTCGCTAGTCCTTTTTCGGCCGTGCCACGGTGGTCGTCAAGCCCTGCTAGTGGAGGACTCGGCGCCACTCTTTCGGTGGAGAGCGGTGCCTGGTGGCTTCCAATTGCGCGTGCCCTATTGGTCCGTGGTGCTAGGCCTGCCGACCTGAAACAATGGCAAACAGGTCGTCCCGCTGGCGAATCAGAGACCTGTCCCTTGCAGCTGTGCATTCTCAGGGGTCCCTGTCCACCCAAAAGACTGTTCTTCTTTTCGTCTCCCTTCCTGTGTGCGCTTGGATGCTCTGTGCTGCTGCCACTAAGAGGCCACGGAGTACGGAGTACGAGTACAGAGTACAGGACGAGCGTTGATCGACAGGTCGATCGTGTTTCCAATACCCATAGTCGTGTGTCGACTTGCGTCACCTCCCACGAATGCCAGACCACCTCTGACCATAGGGTACCTCTTGCCGTTGCAGCCTTGTTCCGAGCAGCCTTCGGACCCCGTAGGCTGCCGGGGATCTTGCCTGCCACCCCTGCCGGTCGCCGGATTAAATATTCCGGTTGTACGAGCAAAATACAGGTACGAAGTACTCGTACTTGCATCCTAAACGAAGATTCAAACACAAGACGTGTGGGGACGCTATAGGGACCCTGCTTCCCGCTCCAAGAGGTCGGCGTGTGGTATGAATAATTGATGACATTTTCTAGAAGGTGGCATTCGAGATCAGCATCGCCTGCCTTGGAACCTTGCTGAAACGGCGCAAGATGCATTTGTTGACAGAGTATTCTCCGTACGGCATGATGAACATGAACGTCCAGTCGCCGCTGGGAAATGCATTGCATGCAGTATTTCTTGGCTCTGACTCCTTATGCTCGTATTACATACGACGTAGTATATTGACACCGCCACCCGTATATCATCCTTGTGCCGGGCTGTGCCCAAATTGATAACAAAAACATATCTTACATGAACGGAGGAGAAAAGAAAACGTCCCCACCGACCTGATACACATCGAGATGCACTTCCAAGATAAGAGTACGTCAGCCACTTTTCCCCTGCAGCCTGTCAAATTTCCAAGGCATCGTACTCGACTCGTCCTCACATGCACAGCTCGTCGTCGCTGGCGTCGTCCGTGTTCAATCGTAGGCTGCTCCTTGCCAGCGCCCGCTTCCGCTTTCCAAGGCCAAGCCCCACGGGGGTCGGGGCGATGCTGTCCACCCGGAACAGGGGACCCCGCTGTATTTCAATGCTGATCTCGTCGAAGCCGTCGCGGTCGTCGCTGGTGTCATCGTCGCCGTCTGAAACAAGGCTGGCTATTGACCACGACTTTGCTCGACTGCTGCGGCTGAGTTCGCCAGCCCAGCTTTTGCGTCCCAGCCGAAGGCGCTTCGCTCTGTGGACGTGCTGGTCCGACGCTGCACTTTCTGGCGTCGTCATATCGCGTAGTCTTGGCGCTTTGCGTGGAGTCACATGGTCAGCGTCTTCGACTGAAACGTTGCTGAGAGAGGCCAGAGCCGGCGACCGCGACCGCGTCACCAACGTCCTCCTCTCTGGCTCCGGGCTTGCAATGACCCACTCGCTGATGCCTTCTTCCCACCGATAGCCAGCAAAAAGCGCCGTTGGTGAAACGGCAGCAGGAGGCGCTGACACGACCGCTTCCGGAGACGTCTCTACAGAGTCGAAAGAATCGTCTAATCCACACCTTTGCGGCCTTCTCTGAGCCTTTGCCACGCCGAGACTCTCGGCAAAGGCTAGGTCGCGAAGATCGTTGGTGCGGCTGGCTAGGAGAAAGGCCCCGTCCGCGTGCATCCGCTTGGCCGAAACATCTCTGGCGTTTAGGGGCGAGAAACAGCTTCCAAGACGGCCGGTGACAGAGGAGCAGAGCTGGGCAAGATAAACACGGGCAGGCTTGGCATCTGTGGTCGCTGCCGCTCCGCGTCCACAGCTCTGGGCGACCGATGCAACCAGAGTTATCGTGGCATCGTACAACTGTCTCCTCTGTTCCGGCCCAGAACGCAGGGAAATCTCCTCGCACCAAGAAGCAGCTCTATCGCACGACTCGGTCATGTTGGTCATGTTGGCCCCAAAGCTCGACAGGAATCTGGCTAGTCCGAGAAGGAAGCGCTTCCTTGTCTCGCTCATCTGGTTGTTGAGAGACCTTCGCACCCTCCGCTTCTTCTTTCCTGCTGGATCGCTGGCCAGACAGGTCTCTACAATGATCGCTAACCGTCTCAGGCTGGGAACGTCGTGTTCTGCAGGGCCATCTTCGACATCTGCGACAGCCTCCCGCTGGAGAATGGCAACGGCAGCGAGACTGCCAAGGACGCTGGCGAGCGTATGGTAGGACGACGATGACGTAGACGACAACGGCTGCAGGCTGCTTGGACGAGCAATCGGGACATCCAGGTCGTCACCGGGCTGGCAGTGGATGAGCCGTGCGATGGCCGTCTCGGCAAAGCTGCGGCTGGATTGGCCTTCGCCCGTCGAGATGTTGCAGCTAGACGAAATCTGGACGATGCGTTCCCAAATGCCGCTGAAAGCAAGCGTCGAGAGCCAGGCGGGTGGCAGGCGGCCGCTCTGGAGGAGGCCATCAAGCTGCTGGAACAAGCAGGACCAGCGCCCCGTTTCTTCAGCGTATTCGACCAAGATCCGAAGCGGCTCCAATGACCCCGGTGCTCTAGAAAAGACGCTTTCGGCGCCTTCCAGCGGCATTGGGTAGCTGCCACTGCGCCAGACAAAGGCCACCAGCAGACTCTCTGCTTCAGTGTGTGCCCCCAGGAGCATGAGCAGACGGATCAAGATGCGGACGAAAGCCGAGTGCAGCAGGCCGTCGGCACATGCTGCTGCGACAAGACTGATGGCATGCGAACGCACAACAGTCCGCAAGTGCTGCCAGCCATCAGCGCCGTGGCCGAGAGATTCCAGGTCGGCGTAGACTTCAAACGATATCTGTGACGAAGCCGGTGGCGTTGTACCAGACTGCACGGCCTCCTGGCGCTCCTCGGCTTCACATGCTGCCACGTACTGGGGAACGGTGCGCAGACACATCTCCAGCAGGCTTCTCGGCTTCGGCTTCTGCTTCTTTGCCGTGGTCACTGTCGGCCCGGCTGAAGTTGCTCGTAATAGGGCCTCGATGGCCCGAAATATCGACTCGTATAGCTGGAAGCGCTTCCCCAAAGTTGCGCTGCAGAGACGAGCCCAATCGTCTTTCATGGCCGGGTTGCTGCTCGTGTTGATGCTGCCGCCATTATTGAAAGCTCCATTGCAGTGGCCTCGGTAAACAGGAATGCCGCATCTCGATGGGGACGTTGGTAGCGAGCCCCTTTCTGAGGTTGTCTTTGTGCATGTGCGACTTCCGAGTGGCGAAGACGGCAGCGAGAATGCGCGCTTTTGTTTTGTTGCCCGACAGAGGACCGGTGTTGGCACCACGATTTCGCCTGGGGACACGTAGCGTCCAGCCAGCTGCTGCCGATGTTGTGTGGAAGGTGCTGGCTTGAACGTGTCTTCTATGGCCGTGAAAGTCATAGTTGGCTGTTGATGACGCCTTCTTCGTGATGAATACGTATAGCGTACTCGCTTTGAACCAGTCCCAGGCTCTGATAAAGGGGACTGCTTACTTGGGTCCGTCAGACGTTCCAGTTCCAGCGAGCGGCCTTCTGCAGCCATGTCTCTTCGCTGAGCTGTTATCCTGACCTCCTCCTTCAGAAGGGCCGCCAGGTGAGAAATCAGCGGTCGCAACAGCCGGTGACATCTCGTGGTCGTCCACGGCTGAGCTGTGGCCACAGTATCCCGCAAGCTATGTGGTGGCAAGACATCGCTGTCATCGCGGCGGTGACATGTCAGATACAGCGTTTCCAAGGCGGCCTGCGCGTCCATAGAGTCTGGTAATTTTCCACTCGGAAATTCTCACCGCCGCCTCTCTAGCGAGCTCGTAAGCACAAAAGTAACCAGAACACAGTCAGACACCACGCCAGCCAACAAGATGCGGTATAGAAATGATCCAATAATATGCGTGTGACTACGGCTGAGTCTGTGGCACGGCCGTGCAGATATATGAAATGCTCAATCAAAATGAAAGGCCGTCGGGAGGCCACAGCAAGAAACAAGAAATGCGAAAAGGGGATGTTCCAAAGAACAGCAGTAATTCGGCAGCCGGAGGCGCGGATAGCAGATGATCGACGTAATATGGTGGAGAATAAGATATTCGCGACAGCGTTATGGGGATGATGATGCGCACGCGTGCTCGTCGATGAGGATGTTGGCATTCAAAGGATAACGGCGGCGCAATGCGATGTTTTGGGAATGGCTGTTTACTTGCTACCGCATGAGGCTAGCGCGAACGCTGGGTTTCGGCTGGCTGTTCGAATGGAAAGGGCATGGGTCTCTGATTGGCCAGGCCGCCGATTGCGGATTGTTTTCGCCCACAGCTGCTGTAGGGTTGGTCTTTCCACAGCTTCTTTTTTTGTGGGCCAGCGTTTCTGTTCTGCAGCTCCGCCAACTCCCGTGCGCTAAAGAGAAAAAAAGGGCACAGAAGGACAGGAGTGCTGGCAGAGCGCGAGCGCGAGCCAGGTCGTAGATATGACGGGGCAGCGAGGCCTTGTAGCATGTAAAGGCAGCCGTCCGGTTCCCCGGCTGGGCGGGTGCAGGTGGGTGTGGATGGCCCACTAACATCGGATTCTTTCGAATAACGCAGCCCCGATTTTCTTTTTCTCCATACCATTCACATAATTTTTTCGGATAACACAAAATTTAAAAGTCTCACGAGAGCAAACTCATCCGTTGACCTCATTCTCGTTGTCCAAGTCACCTGGTTTGGCTTTTGGCACCGTGTTGTTTTTTGGGGGCATTCTGTATCGGGACTTGGGATTGAAAGGTTGTATTACTATCTTTTTTCCTTCCGCCTAGTCCTCTCTTCTTTGCTCGAGCTTGCGCTTCGGCAAAGCACCAATCGACAAGACCGGCTTCCGTGGGCATTGGCGCACTCCGACAAGGCCAGCCTTGCAAGACAATTGAGCGACGATAGACGGCCAAGGACGGTCCCCTCGCTTCTGCCAACAGCCTGAACGATGGCGGCTTCTGCGGACCAGAAAGACGAGGCACAGGTTGCTGTTGGTTAGTATACCTCGAACGGCCTTCGGTCTGGGCCTTCCCCGATGCACAGTTTGCTGAGACGTAGCAAAAGAGAGCAAGGCCGTGGCCGAAAATGCTGTCTCGGAAGAGATTGAGGGTGGTGACCAAGTCGAAGGTATGTAGCATTGGCGATGGGACCATGACGTCGACCGATCGATCGGGGCTGACTTTGGATGCAGACTCGCTGTACAACATCACGATTGTGCTGCCGCGCTCCGACGAGAAGCTATCGGTCATGGCAAGTGGCCCCCGGCCGCCTCTGGTTGCCTCTGGCTGCCCCTTGTTCGTTGCTCCTGCTAACAGGCCCCTGTTCAGATCTACTCGAACGAGCAGGTGGGCGAGGTCCGTCAGGCCATCATTGACTCGCCGGCGGCCCAGTACCACACGTGCTTCCACCTCGAATACAATGGCGAGCGGATCAACGAGTTCGGGCAGATATCGGAGATCAAGGACCTGACGACCGAGGCCGAGATCCACGTGGTCGAGGATCCCTACACGGAGAAGGAGGCTCGGCTGCACGTGGTGCGGATACGGGATTTGATTGGAGCAGCTGGCGATCGGCCAGATGCGGTGCACGGCGTGCTTGCGGGACTGTCGCTCTTTGATAGCGTGACGGTCGAGTCGCTGGCGGCGGCCGAGGTGGCTCCGGTCGAGGCAGACTTTGGGGCGGTGGCGGACGTGAACGTGCTGCTGCCCCGGGCGTCGGCTGAAGAGGCAGCGGGACCGAAGACGGTCAAGGCGATCCAGCTCTCGCCGTGGAACCCGCCGCCAGTGTATTTGCGGCAAAAGGGCCACCTGATGTACCTGATCGTGACGACACTGGAAGGCGAGCAGTTCCAGATCACGTCGCACGTTGGCGGGTTTTACGTGAACAAGTCGTCCAACTCCAAGTTTGATCCGGGGATGCGGCCGGGCGCGAAGGCGTGCGTGTCGCACTCGCTGCTGGCGCTGATCGAGAAGATCTCGCCGTCGTTTGCGGCGGTGTTTGCGGCGCTGCAGGAGCAGAACGGGCGACGAGACCCGCTGTCGACGTTCCAGATCACCAACGCGACGCCGGCAGCTCCGTGGCTGGTGCCGGGGCCGACGACGGCAGCAGGATCGACATACGCACATGTGGCGGACATTACGCGGACGCAGGAGTCGTTCCTGGTGGCCGGATCGGAGAGCGTGGAGAACCTGCGGGACTGGAACGAGGAGCTGCAGTCGGCACGCGAGCTGCCACGCGAGACGGTGCAGGACCGGATCTTCCGCGAACGGCTGGTGTCCAAGGTGTTTGCCGACTACGTCGATGCGGCGACACGGGGCGCGATCCTGGTAGCCAACGGCGAGGTCGGGGCGCTCAACCCGACGGAGGACCGGGACGCGCAGATTTTTGTGTACAACAACATCTTCTTCTCGTTCGGGGCCGACGGCGTGGGCACGTTCACGTCCGAGGGCGGCGACGAGGCCGCACGCATGGCCACGGGCAAGGATGTGGCCGGCGTCCGGCGGGTGAACCAGCTCGACATCGACGGGCTCTACTCACCCGGGACGGTGGTGGTGGACTATCTCGGCAAGCGCGTGGTGGGCCAGAGCCTGGTGCCGGGCATCTTCAAGCAGCGTGAGCCGGGCGAGAACCAGATCGACTACGGGGCCGTGGACGGCAAGGATGTGGTGGCGGCAGATGAGCGGTTCGTCGAGCCGTTTGCGAAGCTGTCGCAGGCACTCAGCGTGCGGCGCCACCCTGTCTGGGACAAGGATGGCCGGCGGGTCGAGCTGGAGGGCAGCGTCGAGACCAAGGGTCTCATCGGCACCGACGGTCGCAAGTATGTGCTGGACCTGTACCGGATCACGCCGCTGGATGTGGCCTGGCAGGAAGAGTCGGACGGACTGGCGGACGACGAGGCCACGGCGTATCCGCACCGGATGACGGTTCTGCGGCCAGAGCTGGTGGATATTTACTCGCGCGTCAAGATGCGGGAGTGGCTGGACGGTGAGCTTGCGAAGCGATCGAAGGGGGGTGAGAAGGGGGGTGAGAAGGGTGAGGGTGAGGACAAGATTGAGGGCGAGGTGAAGGCTATCGAGGAAAAGACTGTCGAGCTTATCAAGGCCGAGGACGAGAAAGAAGAGAAGGAGGAAAGGGAGGAAAAGGAAGAAGAGAAGGAAGAAAAGGAAGAGAAGGAAGAAAAGGAAGAGAAGGAAGAAAAGGAAGAAGAAGAGAAGGACAAAACAACCAAAGACGAACAGATGGACCGCATCGACGTGTCGGACTTCAAGTTCTCGCTCAACCCGGACGTCTTCAGCGGTCAGGTGCCACAGACGGACGAGGAAAAGGAGCAGCTGGCAGCAGACGAAAAGGAAGTGCGGGCAGTGTGCCAGCACCTGCGCGAAGTGTCGATCCCGGCTCTGATCTCCGACCTGAACGAGTCGGAGATCAGCTTCCCGATGGACGGGCGGTCACTCAGCTCTCTGCTGCACAAGCGCGGCATCAACATGCGGTACCTGGGCCGGATTGCCGAGCTGAGCAAGGCGCAGACACGTCTGGAGTGCCTGCACGTCGTGACGGTGCGCGAGATTGTGTCGCGGGCCTTTAAGCACGTGTCGGCCAAGTATCTGCGATACCTGCCGCAGCCGCTGAGCTCGGCGGCGATCGCGCACCTGCTGAACTGCCTTCTGGGCAGCGGTCTGAACAGCACGCCGACGGCCTACGTGGAGCCATCGCTGCGGGGGATCTACGACGACGAGGACGTGGATGCCGACGTGGACTTTAAGACGGTGACGCCAGCAAGCCTGAAAGCAGCCATCGAGGCCGAGGCGCTGCGGCGGTTCCGGTTCGCGCTGCCGGCCGACTGGCAGTCGGAGTTGACGGGACAGCACCTGCAACTGCTGCGCGAGGTGTCGCTGAAGCTGGGACTGCAGCTAGCCAGCAAGAAGTATGTCTTTACCGAGGCCGAGGCGAAGGAGACGGAGACAACCAAGACCAACGGCACAGCCACAGCCTCAGCCACAGCCACATCATCAGCCACCACAGCCACAACAGCCGGCGAGGGCAGCAAGAAGAAGAAGAAGAAGGCAGCGGCAGGCCGTGACGGGTCACCATCGTCACTAGACGAGGAGGCCAAGGCAGCGGCGACGCGGCCGGAACACACGTTCTGGCCCGACGACATTGTCAACGTGGTGCCAGTGATCAAGGACTCGGCGCCACGCAGCGCGCTGGCCGAGGAGGCGATGGAAGCCGGCAAGATTTCGCTGTCGCAGGGCCAAAAGAAGATCGGGCAGGAGCTGCTGCTGGAGTCGCTGTCGCTGCACGAGCAGATCTACGGGATCCTGCATCCGGAGGTGGCCCACGCCTACCACACGCTCGCGATGCTGTACTACCAGATGGACGACAAGGAAGCAGCGGTCGAGCTGGCGCGCAAGGCGATCATCGTGTCGGAGCGGGTCATCGGACTGGACAGCCAGGAGACGCTGCTCAACTACCTGAATCTGGCCCTGTTTGTGCACCAGCAGGGCAAGAGCGCGCTGGGCCTGGCCTATGCCAAGCACGCGCTGCGCCTGTGGCGCGTGCTGTACGGTCCCGACCACCCGGATGCCATCACGACGGTCAACAATGCGGCCGTGATGCTGCAGAGCATCAAGGCGTACCACGAGTCGCGTCGCTGGTTCGAGGAGTCGCTGCGCATGTCCGAGGCCGTCTTTGGCCGCGCCTCGCTCAACTCGGCCACCCTGCTCTTCCAGCTGGCCCAGGCCTTGGCTCTGGATCAGGACAGCAAGGGCGCTGTTGCTCGCATGCGCGAGAGCTACAACGTCTTCCTCGCCGAGCTCGGGCCCGACGACAAGAACACCAAGGAGGCCGAGAGCTGGCTCGAACAGCTGATCCACAATGCCGTCTCCATCGCGAAGCACGCCAAGCACCTCGAGACCCGTCGCATTCGCGCCGGCATCCGCTTCCCGCCCACATCCACCCCACGCAGCGATGGTGCCGGTGCCCGTGCCTCTGGTGTTGCTGCCCCGACTACGACGGCCGCTGCCGAGGCTGCTGCCAAGCCCGCCCTCGACTCGCGCTCCATCGACGAGCTCATCCGCTTCATCGAGGGCACCGACAGCAAGAATGGCAAGACCGGCGCCGGCAGCAGCAGCAAGAAGCGCGGCAGCGGTCGCGCAAATCCCAAACGGAGATCGGCCCCGACGGCTTAGAGAGCCGGCTGGTGGACGGCAGAACAGCTGGTCGAGGAAGAGTGCTTGTTGCGCCGAAAGGAAAGCCCCGTCGGCAGGGTGTGGCATTGCTGGCGTCACCAGATGGTATAAGAAAAGAAAGTGAAAAAAGAACAGAAAAAACGGCAGAAAGCAGATCGGTACTAGGATAAACTCTCCAATCTCTGGCTGATGATATCAAAACGGTGCAGGGTATGATGGGTGCATAAGCACAGCATAAATGGAAGCGCTTCACTCTGACCATGGAGAAGACGTAGACTAGTAAATCGTCCGCTCGTCCCTGTGATCTGATTGGCCGGTTCAGCCCACCAGCATTTTTAAGCAGCTCCAGCATCAAGCCCTCGAAGATTCGAACGCAAGCACTTTTCTTTTGCCATCCGACGGCACGCCCGTTCCAATACTGCTCGCTTCTTACGCCCGTCATGAATACGGCCTTTCTGGCCCCATCACGCACCGTCCTGGTCCGGCCCACATCGGCCTGCTGGCGATGCCGCCGGAGCCTGCGGCTACACAGCAGTGATGCTCCAGGCAGACCGGGCCAGCTGCTGCCGCCTGCGCCACCGTCTGCCGGCATGGCTCGACTGGCCTCGCGCCGGCTGATCTCCGTGGCTGGCCCAGACGCGGCCAAGTTTCTGCAAGGCATCATCACGGCCAACATGGTCCCAGCAGCCGGAGCCAGCGCTCGTCCACACGGCTTCTACAGCGCCTTTCTCAACTCCCAGGGCCGCGTGCTGCACGACGTCTTCGTGTACCGGAACACGCTCAGCCGCCCGGCCGTCGAGATCGACCCGGCCTTTCTCGTCGAGGTCGACGCCGAGCAGGCCCGCACGCTCGAGAAGCACATGCGGCGCTACCGTCTGCGGGCCAAGGTCGACGTCCAGCTACTAGACGACGATGAGCTGGCCGTGTGGCATGCCTGGGGAGAAGGTGCTGCTTCTGCTGCTGCTGCTGCTGCTGCAACTGCTTCCCCCGACGTCATCACCGTCTGCGACACCCGCGCGCCCGGTCTGGGCTGGCGCCACGTCGCCGCGTCCTCGGGCCTGCCGCCGCCGCTCGCCCTCGCCGTCGATGCCGTCGACGAGTTCGCCTATCGCATCCGGCGCTACCTCTGGGGCGTCGCCGAGGGCCAGCGCGAGATCCAGCCCGGCCAAGCCCTGCCGCTCGAGAGCAACATCGACCTCATGGGCGGCATCGACTTCCACAAGGGCTGCTACGTCGGCCAGGAGCTCACCATCCGCACACGCCACCGCGGCGTCGTCCGCAAGCGTGTCCTGCCGTGCGTGCTGTACCCAGACGCCGAGAACGTCGACGTCCCGACACAGCTGGATTATGCTCCTCACGACATATCACGTGACCTCGCCATCCCCCCCGAAACCAGCATCGGCCGCGTCGGCAAGAAAGGCCGCAGCGCCGGCAAGTGGCTCGCTGGCATCGGCAACGTCGGTCTCGCCCTCTGCCGCCTCGAGCCCATGACCGACATCGTCCTGCCCGACGAGGCCGCCGCCACAGCCGCCGCCGCCGCCAGCAGCACGCCCGGCACGTTCGTCATGGCCTGGCCCGCGGACGAGGGCACCGACCAGGCTGCCAGCAGCGTCCGCATCAGGGCGTTTGTGCCCGAATGGCTACGGCAGGGCTTGGCTCCTTCATCGTGAGCTGTCGTCGTGCATGGGGATTGGGAGATCTTGTATATCTACTCGGGCATAGCTTCGGCTACGAAACGAGTTACCATTAGCAATGACAGGACGTTTAACATACTACAGCAGTTTCCAAGAAAAGCGAATAGCAAACAGCTGGCAAACATACGACAGTTGTAGCAGTAGTGGACAGGCGACAACAGTATACAGTTGTGGGCAAAGACAAGTGGAACTCATCATGTAGGGCTGTTGCCCCGCATTTCTAATCGACGTCACACATTCTCGCAGCATTTTTATGTGTTTTATTTTTTTGCTCTTTGAGAAGCAATACAGCTCGGTGTTTGTCCGGCAATTTCTCCAAGAAAAATTGTGTCGTCTGCGAGGGTAAAGCTTCCATGCAGCGAGGTCATCCTTAAACCCTTCCATTCAGTGCTTCGCGACGTCCATGTTTTGCCCAAAAGCGTCAGCTCTAAATACGAGCCCGCCTCACTACGGACAGCCGTCATCGTCCTCCCATACAATAGTTTCCCTTGCCCTGTCCCGTGTCCATGGCGAGGCCGTTCCTTGCCGTCCATGAATGGTGGTAGCAGATTGTGGGCAGTCCGGTGCTTCATATTGCTGGCCAAGAAGGGGCTAACGGCCGCCCGTGAATTTTGCCGTCAAGAGCTCATTGCAAATGTCGTTCAGTTATCTCTCGTTTGCGGAGTGAGGTGCAGAGCTGAAGAGGTCGCGTAGTCGGAAGGCGTTTATTTGCTGCAGCTGGTTAGCAAATGTGTGTGTGGAGACATCCGACAGCGTATAAGACAATCAACTTACGAGCGAGCCCTCATCTTTCTCCGCTTGCGCTTGAGACGCCGGACGCGCTTCTTCCTCCATTTAGCTCTCATCTTGAACGGAGCTGTCTTGTGGTTAGTTTGAAGCTTCACGAGAGTTTGTGTATCAAACAGCACCAAGATGGAGGTGGGGTTGACAGCTAACTGCAGCCCACTGGTTCGGAAGAACGCAGTGCGCTGGCAGTATGCTCTGATTGCCTTGAATCGGTGTTCGTATGGGAAAAGTACTCACTTCGGGACGAGGATTGATCAGTTGAGTGTTGAGCTTGGGTTGGAGAAGGGAGAATTAGAAAATCAGAAGACCATTTCAGAAAAGTTATTCACATACCTGGATTCCGTGTGTGCCCTAAGTGCGCGCCGACATTATTCCGGTAACCCCTCACGCAATTATGGGGTTATCTGCCAACACAGTGCTAAAGTAAAAGGTGGCTACGTCGCCACCGCTGATCATGTGACTGGCAATGGTTTCTTTTTTGAGATTGGTCACCGCCCTTTTTTTTCTGCCGGGCTTCAGCATTCTGCAGTGGGGATTTAGAAATTTTTCCCATTCAAGCGAGGCAAACGATCTGAGAGAGCGAGTCTGTGGATCGGACAACCTAGACGCAATGCCTTCCGTCTCGCAAACAGCTACAATGGCCGTCCCGGGAAAAAAGCGGAAGAGAGACGGCGTCACTGGTGGAGACGCAAAGTCCAAGAAGAAGAAGGTGACGATCAAGGAGCCTTCAGAAAAGTCTCGTGCCAAGACAGCAAAGACCATCGAGGTGACAAGCATCATACAGCCACAGTTCTCAGCTCCGGTAATAGGTATGTGTGCACACGCGCAGAGCCACCTGAGATCTCGTGTAGGGCTTGCTGACACATTGCAGCCACGACCCCAGGACTGGTCGTTCCCGATGCGATCGAGTTCGACAGCTTTGCCCAGACGAGCAAGTCTGCCAAATCTTTGTCCAAACGGTCTCGGCCGGCAAAGCCGTCGGCAGAGCTGCTCCTGCATTCATCCAGCCACCACACAGTCAACTACACCGGCAAAGAAGACAAAGCACCGGGGAGCGGCGCGGCCCTGCGACACTACATTGGCGTGCTCGACCCGGCCACGGGACAGCTGCAGGTGATGGAGGCGAAGAAGATGGTGATCCGGGGAAGCGTACGTGCTCGCGAGGCGTCGGAAGATGCGATGCGCGGCGTGTCGGTCAAGAGCGTGAGTACCCTGTCTTTCTGGTCTACTTCCCGGAACGCGCTCTCACACTCACAGACGATGATGGACCTGCGCAACGACCTGGGCCAGACGTTTGGCACGAAGAAAGCCAAGAAGGCGATCCAGGCACTGACGGAGAACGCGATCTCGACACGGAAGCGGCGGGAGGACGGGACGTTTGAGGCGGTGGCGATGGGCGCGGCCGACCGGGCGCAGCTGCAGTCGATGCAGGCGGCAACGGCAGCCATGTCGACGCGGGACGAGCTGCGCGAGACGGTGGACCGGGCGAAGCCGATCCCGCGGGGCAACTTTGAGGCGCAGGAGATCCAGGACGTGTATGTGGCGAGCGAGATGATCGGGGCAGACACGCTGGCGACGGTGCCGGTGCGCGACTGGCAGGAGGCGGTGCGAGCAGGCGAAGACATCCAGCTGTACTCGCGCTTTGTGGCGCAGCGGGTCAACCAGGTGGCCGCGCGGGCCGACGGGCTGGAACAGCTGCGCCTGCTGCGCTACCTCTACTGGGTCATCCTGTACTGGCAGGCAGCGCGGCCGGGACGTGAGCGCGGCACTAAGCGACAGCCACCGCGCGAGAAGCTGCGCGAGATGATGGACGGTGCGCCTGAGGCGATTGTCGAGCACATCCGGCAGCGATTCTCGGACGGCGGGACGATCCGCAAGTTCCAGGCCGACCTGCTGATCACGCACTGCTGCGCCTTTGCCTGCATCATCGATGGCTTCGAGGTCAACACGTACGACCTGCGCGAGGACCTCAAGCTGGAGCAGCAGCAGATTGCCCAGTACTTTAGCGAGATTGGCGCCCGCAACAAGATTGTCAAGACGGACGAGGCCGTCAGCCACGTGGCCAAGCTGGCCCTGCCGCTGCAGTTTCCCAACAACATGCGGATGCGGCGGCGGCGATGAGGATGGGGCGAAGGGCTGGAAGGAGACGCTGGAGGAGAATCAGAGAGCCAATGAGACGACTCTGCATTCTGGAGTCTACGGCGTCGATAACGCACTTACACTGGCTCCACGAGAAGCAAAACAAAATCACACGGGACTGCATTGGGAGTTCAATACGCGTATATCTACATCTATCGCTTGTATAAGATAGGATCATTGTGACTACGGTTATATACTTTAGGCGTTTTCTGCGGCCGACATTCCCCGGTGGATCCCGGCTAATAGGCCGATTAACGATATCGTGGAGCCTTCCCCTCCTTCCATATCAGCCGCTCTTAACCTTTTTCCCGGCACCGTGTGAGCCGTGTCGGGTCGGACAACCGCCAGTGTTTTGAGCATGATTATGAGTAAACTGCCTAAAGCCGCACATGGGGTGACGATGTTCCCCGCTTGGCATGGTGGTATAAAAGGGAGCGTGTGCGTACTTCTCTCGGCATCCTCTACGGCAGGTAATCCAGGCATCCAGACATTCAGACATTCGGATATTCTTCGGCACGAGATCTGCTGAGTCAGCAACCATAGTACGCAATGCCTTTCAGCGAGCCGACGGTGCAGCTGAGCAAGCCGAACATTGGAGTGTACACGAACACGAAGCACGAGCTATGGATTGCGCCAGCTGAGCCATCTCTGGAGACGGTGCAGGCAGCAGGGGGGCTGAAGCCGGGCGAGGTGACGGTAGCGATCCGGAGCACGGGCATATGCGGGTGAGCAGAGGTCTGCTGACAAAGCCAAGATATGGGAGAGCACACGCTGACGTTTTCGGGATGGAATCTCGGCAGCTCGGACGTGCACTTCTGGCGACACGGCTGCATTGGGCCGATGGTTGTGACGGGAGACCACGTGCTGGGCCACGAGTCAGCCGGCGAGGTAGTGGCAGTGCACGCAGACGGAGCGAAGGACCTGACGGGCACGACGCTCAAGGTGGGCGACCGGGTAGCGATCGAGCCGAACGTGATCTGCGGAGCGTGCACGCCCTGTCTGACGGGACGGTACAACGGGTGCGAGCGGGTGCAGTTTCTGTCGACGCCACCGGTAGACGGGCTGCTGCGACGGTACGTCAACCACCCGGCGACGTGGTGCCACCGAATCGGCGACACGATGAGCTGGGAGGAGGGATCGATGCTGGAGCCGCTGAGCGTGGCGCTGGCCGGCATCCAGCGGGCGCGTCTGGCCCTGGGCGACCCGCTGTTGGTGTGCGGCGCCGGACCGATCGGCCTGGTGACGGCGCTGTGTGTGCGGGCTGCTGGTGCCTGTCCGCTGGTGATCACGGACATCGATGCCGGCCGGTTGGCCTTTGCGCAGAAGCTGATCCCGGGGATCCGAACGGTGCAGCTGGCCGGAGGGCCGGCCGACAGCACGAAGACGCTCGATGAGCAGGCCGAGACGACAGCCAAGCGCATCGTTGCCGACGGCTTCGACGGTGTCGAACCGCTGCTCGCCATCGACTGCACCGGGGTCGAGAGCAGCGTGGCTGCTGCCATCTGGGCGGTGCAGTTTGGCGGCCGTGTCTTTGTCATCGGCGTCGGCCGCAACGAGATGCGCATCCCATTCATGCGGGCCAGCGTGCGCGAGGTCGACCTGCAGTTCCAGTACCGCTACTGCAACACGTGGCCACGGGCCATCCGGCTGGTGCAGAGCGGTCTCGTCGACCTCAAACCGCTGGTCACGCATCGCTTCCAGCTGGATGACGCCGTCGAGGCGTTTCGCACGGCGTCGGATCCGTCCACGGGCGCCATCAAGGTACAGATCCAGAGCTTGGAATAGAGACACATAGACCAGACTAGACCATTGATAAAAAGAACTCCATCATCATACATACGCGACACGCCCTCGCCTGATGTTTCCCAGTGCTCGGCCCAATTTGCGGAAGCCCACAGCTCCAGGGATTGGCGCCCTCTGATTGGTCGGACTACCGGATTCCCCCCTGCCTGGCGACATCTCCCGAGCCGTGACAGTTTTTTTCCTGCCGTGATTTTCGCCTGCCATTTGTGCTCTCCTCTTTTTCTCCCTCTCTGCCCTCCCATCGCCTGACCAACGACGACGACGCCGCCCAAGCGACTCTGCCACATCTCCCTCCTCCGCTGCTGCTTTTTGCCGTGCCCCCATTTCGCTCCTCTCCGCTCCGCTCCGCTGAATCTGTCCTGGTCCTTTTTGCTGCTGTTGTGCCTTGTCAATTGCGGCTACTCCGGACGAATCCCGCCCCAGTGCCAATTGCTCTCTAAGCTGCGCTTTTTCTCTTTTAATTTTTCTCCCCGGGTTTTCTTCCTTTTTTTGTCCGTACTTCTATACTCTTATCCACCTCTCGACTTTCGCGACACGTCCTCCTTCACGAACAGTCGCCAACACCAGCCGTCTTCGAATCGCCAACGATCTTCACACACATCCTCAATCCATCGCCATGTCCTCTATCTCAACCATGCGGCCTCTTCTGCGTCCTTCTTCTCTCGCCGCACCGACGCGCCTGGCCCTGCGCCGCTCGCCTCCCCGTCGCCTGCAGTCCTCCTCCTCCACCAGCTCCTCCACCAGCTCCTCTTCCTCCTCCACACCAGACGCTGCCGCCAAGGCACGGCAGGCTGCTGTCGATGCCACCTCCAAGGCTGCTGAGGGCCTCTCGCGCGTAGCCTCGGCTGCTGGCCCTGTCGTTGCCGGCGCTGCTCGCAACCTCACGTCTGCACTTGGTCGTGTTGGCGGTCGCACCGGCAAGTTCGTTGCTTTCACGGAACGTACGTCGATTTTCTGGCAAATGCGAATTTCGCTTTTCGCATTTGCCCCTCACCTTGTCCCCACACCAGACCCAAACTCACTCTTTCTTCCTGCAGGCTATACCCCGTTTGTCGTCTACTACTCGCGCGTCAGCCTCGAGCTGTCCCGGCTTGTCTTCCAGTCCCAGAAGATGTTCCCTCCGTACGTTTTTACCTCTGGGCCGCTGCTCTGGACGGAATTGGTCTCGACTAACCCACACAGCCCCGTGAGCACGTTCCAGACCTACTTCCAGAACGCCTGGAAGCAGGTGCAGAACCCCGCCAAACTCTTCCAGTCTCCGGCCGCCCTCCTGCAGCAGGCGCGCTCGTTGTCGCCGGTCCAGCTGGCCGCCGGTGGCGTCATCGCAGCTGAGTGCCTCGGCTTCTTCACCGTTGGCGAGATCATCGGCCGGTTCAAGCTCGTCGGTTACCGCGGCGGTGCCGCTCACGGCAGCGAGCACTAAGCGGCAGCAGCCTGCTCTGCCGTCGTGCATGACCGTGACGATTTAGAAGAGACGGGCTCCACTGCGGCTGTGGTCGTTGCGTGCGCTGCAATCCCGGGGGAAGACGGGAGACCGGACAGGGCGTGTCTCTCGCCCGTTTTCTACATTGTTCTTATCTTCCCGTTCTGTTTCATTTGTAAATTCCAACATGTACACCACCTGTTGCATAAAAGAGGAAGGGTCGGCGGAGGGTTCCATTACGAAAATACAGACGCGAGACGGATATAATAGAAGACGAGCTCCCAGTTTTCCCCTTTCCATCTTCCCATGGCCGCCGATATCCCACGCCTCATCCCTCAGCCTCGCCCTCGTAACTGTTGGACTTGTGCTTGGGCACGAACCGGAAGTCGGGATGTGCGGGTCCGAGGAACATCTCGCTATGGGTGTCAGAAAATCTAGAAAGTCACCATTCGCGCCGCTACACCACCATACGCACCTGATCTTGATCCAGTCCTTGTAGTTGCGGCTGGCCAGCAGGCCCTCCAGCTCGTTGCGGCTGCGATAGGCCGGCGGCCGATCGCTGAGGCTAGGCGGCAGGTGTTCGAGCAGCCCGACCGGCACGTAGCGGGACGTGAAGCTGAGGTGTTCGAGCAAGAAGCGGCGCGTCGTGCCGAGGCCCTGCTCGTCGGTGCCCCAAGCCTCCATGCCGTAGCGGGCAAAGCGCTCGATGTAGGCGAGCCGCTCGGACGCGGACTTGTCGAGGTACTGGCCAGCGGCGATCTCCTCAAAGATCCAGGGCTTCACGAGGGCACCACGGCCGATCATGACCGTGTCGACGTCAGCCTGGTCGATCTGCGCGCGGTACTGCTCGTGGCTAAAGCAGTCGCCGTTGCCGAGAAAGAAAATGCGGCCGCCGGGTGGTAGCGTGCGGTCGTCTGGTTCACGCACGGTGTCAGTGATCTTGTCACGTGACTCGTTGTAAGACCGCACGAGAGCGGCGCATTCAGCAATGTAGCGCCAGTCGGCCGGCTTCTTGTACCGCTGGTTGCGCGTGCGGCCGTGCAGCGTGATGGCAGCACAGCCAGGGGCACCGAGACGGCCGCGCGTCTCGACACCGCCAAAGGCCAGCCGCTCGATGACCTTGTGGGCGGTGGGCGAGCCATCACGCACGCCGACACGCAGCTTGGCCGTGATGGGCACCTCGCCCGAGACGGCGTTCATGCCGCGGATCATGCGCTCGAGCTTGTTGTGGGCCTCGAGCAGGCCGGAGCCGCCGCCGGTCTTGAAGAGCATCTCGATCGGACAGCCGCAGTTCATATCGACCAGACGCAGATGCGGCACCAAACGAGACAGGGCCTCGGTCGCCTTGATGGCCATCCACGGCTGGTTGGCCGCGATCTGGGCGCCGAACCGCAGGTCCCGGCCGTTGTCGTAGCCGGCCGTCTGGGCACTGCGGACGCTGTCGACGCGCGGTGGCACCGCCTCGGTCGCGTGCGCCTTCAGCAGCGCCCACTCCGACGGCTTGCCCGTCAGCAGGTCCAGGCCCAGGGCCATCTCCGAGTACGTGGCCTCGCAGCCGAGCTCGACGCAGAGCCGCCGGAACGGCAGGTTGCCCTGCGTCGTCAGCGGCGCCAGCGTCGGCGTCTCCGGCCCAAAGTAGAGCCGTCGCTTCTCCGACGGCAGAAAGGGTGGATCGACAAACTGCGCCCGATAGTCGTCAATCGTCGGCTCGTCCTTGGCTCCGTCTTCGGCCGCGTCGTCGACCCGTGGACCTGGCGGCTTCAGCAGGCTCTGTTCGCCCTCAATGCTCCGTCCGGTCGGGTCTTTGAAGATCTTCTTGATGATGCTCGTCTCCCGGTCCAGCCACTGGATAAAGGCCTCGGACTTGTCCAACGTCGTCCGCTTGCGCATCAAGTTGTGCTTCTCCTCGGCCGCTACCACGTTGACCACGCCCGGCCGCGCGTCGTCGTCCTCGCTGCCCGCCAGACGTCCAGCTGCCGTCTCCTTCTCCACCAGTACCAGCTCCTTGCGGCCGTCCGGATGCTCGACCTCCTCCATGTGGCTCGACACAAACCGGCACCGCCAACCGGACGGACAACGGCCATACAGCTCAAACACCGGACACCGGCCGTCAAACGTGTCCACGTCGCCGCGCCGGCCTGTGCTCAGGTACTCGCGCACGCTGTGCAGACAGCGACACCGCTCGCCCGACCGACATGGCTTGGGCGAGAACTCGGGCGAATTCGCCACTGATGTGCACAGCCGCACGGCGTCGCGGGACCAGCCAAAATCACGCTCCTTGTTCTGGCCCTTGTTCTTGCCTCTCTTGCCCTTGCGTCCGCCCGCAGAGACCGGTGCGGCCTCGTTCGAACCGCGCCCCTCGGCCTCGTCGTCGTCAAACACATCGCCCCCGCGCCGGTCGTCAGACCCGCCACCATCGATCAGGTACCTGTGTTTGTAAGCAGTTGAGCTGCCACTTCAGCCCTCCCTCCGTCATACGGTCGCTTACTCTTCCTTAATTGGAGCTATCCCCGTCACCCTCGGCTTCTTCTCGCCAGAAACAACGTCCGTGATACCTTCTGTCTTCGTTCTCTTGCTCCGGTGCTCCTCGTCATCTTCGGGATGGGCACGTGTTGTAGCTGCCACGGTTGCCGGTACCAATGCTGGTTCTGTTGCCGCTGCTGTCAAGTCAGGGCCCTGTCCCACGCTGTCGCCCAGTGTCGACATGGTCCCGTCGTCTCTAAATTCTGCCCTGTTGCGACTGCAATATTGGAAGCGCAGAAGCAAAATTCATTTTTCGCCCTTCACTAAGTGAATACATTTGCAACAAGCGGGGCACATTCTTGTAGCGGGTCGACACAAATACAGCGCCGGCGCAATACGAACATCGCCCCAGTTCTAGTAGCGGTGTAGGTTACGATTGGTAACGGGAACGAGTGAGGGCGAACAGACGTGACGAAGCTACATGTCCAGAGCCGGAGCTCATGGTTGTGGATGGACAGTGTACGCGGTGTCCCAGCTGTTTTTAGTGCCCGTCTGGCGCGCTGCAACGCTGCGCAGCTGCAGCTTCCGCCGCTGGGAATGTGGTGGAGCCCCCTGTAACAGCACAGGCTGTGCCATCTTTGTAATAGCACACCCACATTGTTTGGTGATTTCTCGCCGAAACCAACGGCCGTTTCCTGCTCGCGAACTTGGACGCCCCTTTTTCGTGTCTCGCATCTGCTCTCGCTCGCTCCCTCGTCTCTGATTCGTATCTTACCTTTTCCCTCTGCTGCTGTCTCTCATTTGGGCCTTGTTTGCCTTTCCGCTCTGTTGCTTTTCTGTCGCTTTCTCGCCTTTTCCTTTCTCGCTCGTTCGATCTCGTTTCCTGCCCGATTCACCACCTGTCGGCTCGCCATTCGCTCTCCGTCCAGCCCGGCTTTTGGCTTCCCGGTCGAGTCCCCCGCCCGCTACCCCTGTCAGGCCGATGCCAGTGGCGACCGGCCATGCCTGAACATGGCCGCCAGACCCCTCGGTCTCCCCAGCGCAAGGCTTTGCGTCCACAGAAGATCCAGGCACCTTCGTCGCCCGGCGAGTCCAGTTCGGGCATCACGCGAACGGCCACGCCTGCAGCCTCGCGTGGAGCCGACGACAGGCGACGACGCGAGGAGAGGATCCGGGCCTCCAGCAGCGCCAGTGGTCTTGCCCGGCCGCCAACCAGCGACCTGTCGGGCTCATCACCTGTTCCTCCGCCGAATCCGGCTTCCCTGCCGCTGATACGAAGCCACACGCCCGGTCACCACTCGTCCAAGAGCCACGATCGGCGCCGCAAGGCATCCGAGCTGTCGATTCGCCAGCGCTCGCAGTCGACGGTTGGCCCATCGGTTGCTGCTGCTGCTGCTGCTGCTGCTGCTTCTGATCTGGGCAGCTACACCGATCCGAGCAGCTTTACCCAGCTGGCCTCGTCGCCCTCGTCGTCGACCTACTTTTCCATGGCGGTACCTCCTTCGACCAGCAAAACACCAGGACCACCAGGACCACCAGGCCCGCCACCACAGCCGCCATTGGTCATCAGCCGAGCCTCGACACGGTCTCCCCACAGCGCACCGGCCAGCGAGCCCCGATCAGTACGCAGCGGATCGCCGACACGGACAAGAGCCCCGTCAGCCTCCTCGGGCAGCCGACGGCCGCTGGCCATGCGGTCAACATCGTCCATTGCCAGCAAGCCAGGCAGCCAGGGCAACAACAGCAACATCGAAAGCGCGCCGGCAGCAGCACCACCCTCGACCGCATCCCGCTACGTGAGCTCATCACGCGGACGGACACGCAGCATTGGCACCGATGGTGGCCGCACCAACAGTGGCGGAGCCTCGACGCCGACGATCAACAGGAACGGCACGGCCACAGCCACAACTACAGCCCCGAGCATTGTGCCGTTTCCGGCCCTGATCGACCCCAGCATGGCGCCAGATGTGCCGTCAGCCCCGTCGTCAGGCATGTACTGGTCACGGGCACCAGTGTCGGGGGCCGGCCACCCGGCACTACGCGCCCACACGGCCACGCTGATCGGCTCCAACGTGTACATCTTTGGCGGCTGCGATGCGCGGACCTGCTTCAACGAGCTGTTCGTGCTCGACGCCGACGCCTTTTTCTGGTGGCGGCCACCGGTCGTCGGCGACGTGCCGCTGCCGCTGCGCGCCATGACCTGCACGGCCGTCGGCAAGAAGCTGGTCGTCTTTGGTGGCGGCGATGGGCCCGACTACTACAACGACGTGTACGTGCTCGACACCACCACCTTTCGCTGGACGCGGCCGCGCATCGCCACCGACCGGCCCATGCCGTCCAAGCGCCGCGCCCACACCGCCTGTCTGTACAAGAACGGCATCTACATGTTTGGCGGCGGTGACGGCGTCCAGGCCCTCAACGACGTCTGGCGCCTCGATGTCAGCGACATGACCAAGATGTCGTGGAAACTGATCAGCGCCCCAACCATCGTCAGCTCGGGTGGCAGCTCGGCCAAGATTTCCGGCTCAGCCACAACATCCTTAACCTCGTCTGCGCCTTCATCAACCACGACGCTCGGCCGTGATCGAGATCGAGACCGAGACCGAGACCGAGATCGAGACCGAGACACACAACCCCGACCCCGAGCCCGCGGCTACCATACGGCCAACATGGTCGGCAGCAAGCTGGTCATCTTTGGCGGCTCGGATGGCGGCGAGTGCTTTAATGATGTCTGGGTCTACGACGTCGACACGCGCATCTGGCGCGCCGTCACCATGCCGACGGCCTTTCGGCGGCTCTCGCACACCGCCACCATCATCGGATCATATCTCTTTGTCGTCGGCGGCCACGACGGCACCGAGTACTCCAACGAGGTGCTCCTGCTCAACCTCGTCACCATGGTCTGGGACCGCCGCAAGGTCTACGGACTGCCGCCCAGTGGCCGCGGCTACCACGGCGCCGCCCTGCACGACAGCCGCCTGCTGCTGATCGGCGGCTTCGACGGCACCGAGGTCTTTGCCGATGTTTGGATCCTCGAGCTGGCCGTCCACGCATACTACTCGCAGATCAGCCAGTTCACCGTGAACGTGTGAGGGACGAGATAAAGACGAAAGACAAGAAGCATTGGGTGGCATGGTGTGGGTATGCATATGTACGATTTATGACGATAGCACAGCGCAGCTTAAAAGGTATCCGTTTGGCAGTTGTTGGTTTCATGCAAGAGACAGACTCGGATAAATCTATCACAGTCTATTGATTATTAAGAAATTTCTGCAAATGTCAGACCAGTCCTTTTCAGGCTGCTGTCCGTCTGCAAACAAACACGAAAAGCGGAGAGGGGAGCGAAGCGAAATGCAAATGTCTACCCGTTGATACCGCTCGAAGCCATGATCAAAACAAGCGCCACTGAATGGCACAACCGCCCAACGCCTTACCCGCAGACAACGCTCGGAGGTTCAGAGGCCCTTTTCCCCTTCATGGAGACTTGTCATGTTAGAAGGCATTCGTCCGAGATCCCGAAATCAGCGCGATGCGGGAGCACCAACTTTGTTCTCTGGTGCAGACTCCTTCTGCTTCTTGATCTCGGCCAGGCGCCGCTCCTCGGACGCGACCATGTCTAGCAAGTCAGTATGGGAGTGAGAAGCGACTAGTTCGACAAGGGGTACTCACCCATCCACAGGTCCTGGCCCTCGTACTCCTCCTTGTGGATCCGCTTTTCGATCATGTGCTTGTGCTCGGGATCGTTGGGATCGATCACCCTGACCGTCTCCCAGTGGCCGGTGCCGTTTTTGGCGTCCGACACCTCGAGCGTGGCCGTGGCCAGCAGCACCGCCAGCGTCAGTCCCTGCGCGTACATGCGCGCCTGCACCAGCTTCTGCGACGTCGTCAGGTACCGGTTGCGACCGACCATGACCAGCGCCAGCCCGATGGATGCCGCCCAGCTGCTGAGCACGATCGTGTAGCGGTGCTGGCGCGCCCAGCCGAGCGCCCGCGCGCTGCCCGTCTCGGCCTGGAGCGCCGCCGCGAGCTCGCGCTGCGACTCGTCCTTGTAGCCGTACATCGGGTCACGTGACCGGGCATACCGAATGCTTCCGCGCTCCGCCACGATCACCGCGCCAGCGGTCGTGATGGACGAAACCAGAAACGTCCGGAATGGGATCGTGAGCGCCCGGAACGCCGCATACCGCCGCGACGCGCCCAGCACGCCCGCCAGGCCCAGGCTGAAGCCCACTGTGCCGCCGATAATGCCGTCCTTGATCACGACATCGTAGTGCTCCTTCGCCTCGTCCTTGGTGACAATCTTCATCGTGGCTGGCGTACGTGCGGCTGCGGACTGCGTGCTGCGTGCTGTGCGGATATGCAGGAGAGAGTGCCTCGCGCAAATGGCGTCGAATCTGGTCGAGAAATTGCCCGGTTTTTGAACCGTTGGCGAGCTCGTCCGCTACTCCGTAGTGGGCTGACGTTTGCCTATCTGACGTAAGTGCCTCGGATGAGTAAGCTCCGTGTGGTCTGGTATCGCTGGGGGATGGCTTGAGCTCGACAGCAACATGGCAAGTTCGCAATGGATCCGACAGCCCTTATATCTTTTCCTCGCCTGCAGAGACCACAATGACACATCTCGTCCAGGGACAACAGCCTGGAAATCATGTCATGGCCCGTCGGAGCACCAATTCAAATCCCGATTTTCGCCCGCAGCCGTCCAATCCGCTGAACTTTTCGGCTTAGGGCTGCCTGAAGCCACCAAAGGCCCCTCATACAGGCGACCCAGACGTCGTGTTCCTTCCCCTCCTTCAGAAGTGGTGCCATCCAACTCGCTGACGTGTCCGACCTGCCCTTTTCCGCGGACCGACTATGTAAAGTACAGGGTTGATTACCAAATCATTGTCCAGATCTGCCCGGAAACTTCCCTACGCTGGCGATTATTTTTCGTTGCCTTCCTTACTCATCGAATCGTAACAACAGACAGCGGCCAAAGTTCGGTATGTATCTCATACTCGTACTCCGTAAGATACAATCTCGCACTATGCAAAAGCTTGTGACTACCTTGTAGCCACCTCGTGAGAATCGCACCAATTTCGGCGCCGCGGAAAACCACTGCTTGCAGCAACACCTACGAATATTTGTAGGCTCCAATGGGTGGAATCCTCTCACAGATCTACCATCGTTGTCCGGCGCGCGCGCCAGACGTCATTATGACTTGGCCTACGTCGTAATTGGAATTAGGTCATGCGTGGATTATATGCCCCGTAGTGCGAATAGCATGTTTCTAATTCGTCTTTTTCTTCCATTTTTTTTCCTCTTCTCTCGTAATGAATCCGTATGCTGGCTCGTGTCAAGTGGATTCTAGCCGCCGACACGAAGGCGGTGAGCTGGCAACGGAATACCCGTCGGCTCTTTGAGCTGGTATGCAATCTTATTATTTTTTTGCCGGTTGCTTTGCAACAACCAAAGTGCCGCGCCAGGCGGGTGGGCTCTCTCGCGATGGGGAGCCTTCGCGACATCCTCGTGGGGTCCGGGGGCCAATTCCCCCCATCCCCTTTGATCTTGATATCAATGCAGGCGCGATCACGAACAATGATGCAAGTCTCATATATCTCTAATCTTAGCTGCGGGAAGAGAGGGCTAGGAGAGTCTCCCTTGCCTCCGAATTAAGTCAGATCCTCCCTGGCAAAAGCTGAGATAAGTCCCTCTAGAGATAGCCATGGCCAAATCGAGTCTCAAGTCATACATACGACGTACATATCTGACACAGTAGTAGCTCGTCTGCAAGTGCTTTTTATGACGTGCCCCACCCAATCCACCTACAACGTACATACAGTAGTCTTCATCGCCTAGACTGTTAGACTGTGATATCGCACATGAACTGAAGCATGCTACGCTGTATGTATGCCATCCAGTTAGCACTCGCATGATATGCACATCAGGTTCTCTTGAGCACAATTTTGCCGGGAAGCCTCTTGCAGGGGGTGGGAGATTTGGCCCGACGGTGCTCCCCGTTTGCCCAAGTCCAGCAGAATTTGCCCAGTACAACTCCGTATGTATCAAATCAACCGTGTTTCTTGCGAACGAGTAAGCGTCCATTGTATTTTACGGAGACGGCCGTACGCAGGTCCAGCGCGGCCTCGCCTGGCCCGTGTTCGTTCTCAGCTTGCCAGCTTTTTCTACATGCCGATATGAAGCAGGACCGCACAAAGGCCTTCCGTGAGCCCGGCTACGATCAACGGACAGGAGGGACGAAGGGAGGAAGGAGGGAGCTAAGGTGCCGGCAACGAAGCTAAACAGGTGGAAAAAAAAGACACATTGCTCATTGTTCTTTGTGAGACCGCACAAAGCTGTTTGCATGAAGCGCCCGTGGCAACAGTAGCGAGCGCTCAACCCGCGAATCCATAATAATTACGGAGTACGGAGTACAAGCCCGCATATGTCGGCAACAAAGCCAGGCGAAGCTGTCGTAATATTAATAACGAGCCGTCCATTTTGTCCAGTCCGCTCTTTTTTCCACTGGCCACGCCGTCTTGGGTCCCCACGTTTCTGGGATCCAGCCGTCCATTCTGGGATCTAGCCGTCCAACCGGAGGTTGGTTCGTTATGCAATAGTCCGTCTGCGTTTGGCCCAAATGTGATTTGTCGGCCATCACATTGGCTGCTCCATCTTGTATCATGTACTCCGTATCCTTCGCCTACTTCGGTCTCCCCTCCTCTTCTGTTTGTAATATCTTGTTATTTTTTTGCTGCTAGCTTTAAAAGTGGCACTTGTGGGAGGCTTCGGGGCAAAACGATTGCAAGTTAAAACAAATCCATCCGAATAAGAACCTTTGCATGCCTTGTCATCGATCCCATTGATCCAGTTGCTCCCTTGCTCTGTTATGTAGCCGGCTATCTCTGGCAGTCGTCCGAGCCTTGCCCACGCTCTCACTCTCACTCTCTCTCTCTGCTCTCACGTCAATGTCAATCTCGCCTCGTGACCTCTGTCCTTCGTATATCAGTTGCTTCTGACCCTAACATCAACGCGACCACCCATGGTCGACCGTCCCGCCAGGTCCAGGATTCACCTTACCCGCACTTGCTGAGTAGTGCCGCCCTTGATGCAGCTCTCCTCTTCCTCTTCTTAAAACACTGTTCTGGATCCTCCCTCTCGCTCTTCCCCCTCCTAACACTTTCGTACCCTTCAAGTCTCGTCCCCTCCCTTTTCCGGTTCTCGATTTCCTCTTCTGCTGTTCTCCCTCCTTCAGCCCTGTACGACTACGACGTTGCACATCCAACCATTATTTCCCGTACACGCCTGCGCGGGCACGCATCGAACGGCCAACATTGGCATACGGCGATAGCTGACACCTTAACTCTCTCGATTTGGCCACTCACACCAGCCGCTTTCATCTGACACACGACGGCCGCACCTTCCCTGCAGCACTGTCAGCCGGGAAACGTACACGGAAGGCACGCGACAAGCACGCGTGCACGCACTCGCACTCACGCACTCACACGCAGGAACCAGAACCAGAAACCAGGAACCAAGGTATCCAGGCATCCAGGCATCCAGGCGCCGTGCTATTGACTTCTACGTGAGGTCGCTGACTTGCCCCATCGCACCTTCCTTGGAGCTAATCCGGCCGCTCTTGCCGCGAGTCCAATTCGGCCGCATCGGATTCCCTGCCTGCAATTGTCCCAACATCTCACCTTGCCCTCGCTTCATCTTGTCATCGCCCTTTCTGGCTTCCTTCTGTCCATATTTCCTACTCACTCTTCGCCTTCTGTTATTCTTACCATATTCTTACCATTCTTGGACTGTGTGCAGCTCCTATTACACTTCCTTGCCCTTTTAATTGTTAATCGCACCCCCCCGGCTCCCCTAGGCTGCTGCCAACAATAAGCGCCACCCACATAGGCCGTCGCTTTTCAACACACTTCCACTTGTCTACTTTCGACAAGTACAGAGTACCCACCAGACCATCCTCTCGACGACCCCACTGAAAGGGCTCTCCTGCGAAAGTACCCAGCACAAGCCCCGTCGCCATGAAAGCTGCCTTCAAGTGGCTTGGCTCAAGTACCGAGAACCCCTCGAAGCCGGTTCCGCCCTCCTCTCGGCCATCTGCTGTTACGACCGCCGCCGCCTCTGTGTCAAGTTCTGCCTCTGGTGGGACGGCCGTCGTCGCCACCACTTCTGCCCCTGCCAGCAGCTGCCGCATCAGCAGTCGCCAGAATATCCACCGCGCTGTCATCGACAACATTCGCAGAAGTCCCAACGCCGTGGCCTCTGATAATTCCAAAAATTGTTATCGCGTATCTTTTGACTCTCCTAGCCGAGTCCCCTCATCCTCTCCCGCCTCTACGCCTCCATCTTCTTCCCCGTCCCCGCTGCTTCAGTCGTCGCTCTCGTTGTCTCCCACCCCTCAGCCTGCGACCCCCCACTCATCCTCGCCTGACGACGCCCAAGGGATTGCCTTCGCTCACGGCCACCCGTTCAAACACATTGACGACGACCACAGTTTGCCTTCTTCACCCACTTCACCTGCCTCTCGGCAAACATTGGCTTCCTCGACCTCGTCACGCATCCCAGACCAGCCCTCTCCTACCCATCATCGCCTTCTTTCTTGCGATCGAGGTAGTGTTTGGACCTCTGCAGGTGGCGACGACGATCACCTTTTTCAGATTGACGATCCCACCACCTTTTCTCCGGAGCGCTCCAACGTCGGATTTGATCCGGATCTTGATCTTGACCTTGCCGTAAACAACGAAGGACCTTCCATCGCCGCTGTGCCTGCTTTAGATTTCGACATTGACATGACTTCCGGTCACTCTTTCGAATCGGCCATGGGCCGCGGCCGGCAAGACTCATTTGTCAGCGCTGGTCCGAAGCCTATTTCCATGATCAACCCAAACCGCGACCCCAACCGGAACCGCCGCGAAAGTCTCGCCAATAGCCTGATGGGAGGCGGCATGAGCTGGGGAGGTTTGTCTGTGAGCAGTTTCATCCGAGACGAGTAAGTCCACCTTTGCGCTGTCTCTTCCAATCGCTCCCCACGATGGAATATTATTTGCATTCTTTCGATGGATCCGACCTGGTCCGAGTCATTACCTCATCTCTACATATGAGTATACAGGGTCTGACTTTTTTTTTTTTACTTTTAGAATGATGGGTGTATCGATGGGCACGTCGCCTAACATAGCACACCAATCTCCATCTCTTCACTCCACCTCTTATCTTCCAAAGATGGAGGCCAACTTCATGCGCGATTTCATGTGCTGTGACCGGGTCTGGCCCACCATGCACGACCTGTTGCAGCATTACGAGGAAAGCCATACCCGCCAGGCCCCTTCATCTTCCCGACACATGAGCGGTCCGTCGTTTGCTACGCCAGGAACCAACCAGCGCTCTGCTGCAAACCAGCATCATGGGTCTGCAGCAAACATGGGTGTTACAGGACAGTCAAGCCTTCAGGTTCTGCAACATGCAGGACAGATGGGGCAGTCTAACCGAACAGTATCTCCCAATACTGGTGTTGGCCTTGGTCTAGGCATTGGTGTCGGTGGCTTTCAGCAACTGATTAGACAGCAAGTTCAGCAACCGTCGACTCAGCAGCAGCAACAGAATCAGCAACAGCAGCAACAGCAGTCGACCCCAATCGCTCCTAAGCATCAGCAGCTGTCGCACTTGAATGATGAGCTAGATGCCGTGGGAGACATGGAGATGGACGACGCCGTCGGGCCCATGGATATGGATGACAACCAGCGAACAATCCAGCAAACGAGACAGCTTTTTGGGCAACAGCGACCCCAGCTAAGCCTCAACAGCCCTCACCAGGCGCTGCGCACGTCTACCCCAACAACGCCAGCAGCAGCGAATTTCGGCTTTGCAAACAACCCTACTGTCTCGTCTGTAAATACGCCTACCCTCTCCACCCAGCAGGGCTTTCCGCAGCGGTCCCAGAATCAATTTTCCCACGAATCATCACCTGACGACATGGATGATGATGAAGTCCCTGGGATGCCTATGAAGATGAATTTAGGCAGCATGAACCTCGATGGCAACAATTTTGGCATGGGCTTTGCCAACAACCTCGGCGGTATTGACTTCAGCTGCATCAATGATCCTGCAAAGAGCCTTTACAGCCCCAGCGGCGCGTCCACACCACAACTCAACCAACAGCTTGCTCAGCAACTTGCACAGTTTAATATCGACCAGGCTCAGTTCCCGCCTGGCACAGACACCACGGCACTTCTGCAACAGATGAGCGCTGCATTTTTACTGCCTGAAGAGCCGAAGCCGTACAGGTGTCCAGTCATTGGTTGTGAAAAGGCATACAAGAACCAAAATGGCCTCAAGTACGCTGGCCCTTACCTTGTTCTGCTCGTCTTTCCAACTCTTTGCTAACCACGGCCCGATCTAGGTACCACAAGGCCCACGGCCACGCAACGCAGCAGCTTCACGAGAACGGTGACGGCACGTTTTCCATCGTCAATCCAGAGACTTCGGCCCCCTATCCTGGCACTCTTGGCATGGAGAAGGAGAAGCCGTTTAAGTGTGATGTTTGTGGTAAACGGTACAAGAACCTCAATGGGCTCAAATATGTAAGTTTTCACACACTTCTTCCCATTGAATCGTGTGCACTTGAACTGACAACTTGGCAGCACAAGCAACATTCTCCAGCTTGCGATCCTGAACTCCTGGCCCAGCAGCAAAACCTGCTTTCGACGATGGCGGCGACCCTTGGTCAGAATCAAATGAACCTTAACCTCGGCGGCATGTCAACACTGCCAAATATCGGCGAGGAGACCATGAACTAATTCATCTCTCGTCATCGATCCATGTTTTTTGTCTTATGGTAACAAGCGGCCAGGGATAGCTCTCATCTTATGCTTATTTTCCTCTTATACCCCTGCATCATCTCGCTCACCTTCTGAAAGAAGCATTCTCCCCTGACCGGTATGGCATCCGATAGCAGGTTCTTGTTACCCCCTTCTGATATTGGCTCGCTCGAGATTTCTGTGTAGTGCACAGCTTCCGGGCATGGCTTGTTTCAAGGTTATGTCGTCTTGCGCATCTTCAGTCTTGTTGCTTTTTACTTGAACTACATCGGTTTTGTTTAGAAGATAATGTTAGGTTCATCAGCCTACAAAGATGCGGGGTGTGTGCGTATATGTGTTGGTTGGCTGCTGTCATTGTTTGCTTACTTTCCTTTGATGCTTGCAGATCTACAAAATGGAGTTTTGGGTTTCTTTTTTTTTCACCCCCGTTGTGGCATACGGTGAGACGGAAGCTGGCTTCGTCGGCTCTAAAGCATGCTTTTTCTTACAGTATAGAGGGTCAGGGTCATAAAGAGACGATCGGATTTCACGGCTTGTTTGGGCGTATATAAATCGCTTGAGGGTGGTTGATTAGCAGGACGTGAAGTTGATGGGAAGGGTTGGGGTACAAGAAGGTTTGGGAAAAGTTTTTGCTTTTGTTCTCCAGTTCTATTCCGATCCATTGATTCTCGCAGTTTCCATATGCAGATTTGGCAAGGAGTTTGTATGAATTTAGTTTAGTTTCTAGCAAGAAAAAACAAATGCTACTTAGTATTTTGACTGTCATCGATGCTCGATCTTGTTAGTTTGTTCTTTTTTCAGACGAGTTGTAAGACGAGCTCAGCAAGGTTGTTATACGGAATATGAAACGAGACCTTGGAATCCCTGTCAGTCGTAGAATCGACAATGTCTGAGGATCCGGACTGACGATGCTTTTAGTGTATGACAGGTATATCTGACAAAGTATGCAATTGAAAAAGTTGCAAACATACAGACCGATCTGGGCTTCGGGTGGCGCATGGAAGTGTAAAAATGCGTTAGAGAACACGTAGAATTCAAAAAGTCATGATTTACGTAAAATAACTATATCTATCTAAAAGTTTCATGCGCTTCGCTAGACGGACAGTATAGCAACTGCGTACAGCTCGCAGCTTAAAAGCTAGCCAACATAGCTTCATTGTGAGGTGCATTTTGTCTATACTAGGGGGAACTACCAACTTGAACATGTGCTACTTGGCCATCCACAATGTATTCAAACAAAGTGCCGCCACGTAGTCTAGTCCGTCATGAGATGACACTCATAACGGTGGTAGAAACCTAGGTGCCTAAACGGAAGCAAAGTGGTCGAAATCGGAAATGGTGTGTAGAAGAGGGGAAACGCAAGAAAGGGGGGCGAGCGAAGAAGTCAGACAGCCTACCCTGCAAAACTGACCTCATCATGCATCGTTTTAGCCCGGTAAGGTAGGCAGTCATAATTCACTTTCCCGGAACAGAAGATAAATGCGCCTAGTTATCGGGACCTCTTGATGCTGTCCGTAGGGTGGTGATACTACCAATAGTAATTGGGACAGCGGGAGTTGCACTAATGCAACGCAAGAGACCCATAAGGTCGTATTGGCATAAACGCCATCCAAATCGCAGCAGCATCGAGGCAAGGCGTATTTATACTTGGCAGAGGCAGATGTCCAATTTGGGCTGGTATCATATCCTGGGCAGCGCACATAAGTCAATGGACTTCTACATATGCATATTTCAGCAGCATCTGACTGAAAGTTTTAAAACTTGGTATTAGGAGACGGCTCGAATTACGAAAACACGGCAGTACTCAGAAAAAGAGTTGCATTTGCGCAGATTACGTAGACTTGGGGATGCATACGTAGTACGGAGTACTACGTATGTAGAGCTTATCGATAAATGTGGTAAGATACTATACGTAGTCACTAGTAGGGAAACTATGCACAACATTTGGTGGGCACAATATATGCCGCTATATGCGATGATTCTATCTTGGTGAAGGTTTACATGTCGTTATTTGTTAGTCGGGACGGGTAAACCCTGAGGATAACTCTGACAATGGCAAGTCACATATCGGCAAAATACGAGTGCAGGTGTCGATTGCATCGAAATTCGCAAGCAGCAGTGAGGTCCAATCAAAGACGGCTGCTCGATTACCCAGACATTCGACCTTATGAATGGTCAAATAGAACGCGGAGGCGTAAACATTGTACGACAGCCAGTGTCCTGGCTGAAACGATTATGCGTCGGGAAGACAGGACGACATTATCGTATTTAGAGGCATATGCGACGAATCACGCGGCCATGCACTAGTTTGGGTAAGTTGGGTCTTGAAATAAGATATCTTACTCCATACTCCGTACGGAGTACATTATTACATATCTTGTTGTAATCAGCCCGTAACGTTCAGCTGTAACGGTGGTGAGGTCGGACCTCTATGATTTCAGCTAGCTGGATGATGAGAGGCAGTACGAAATACTCCGTAGATCGAGCTCAGTTCCCTGCCATCTTGTACTAAGATACATAGTAAGAGGCTCGTATCATTGGGAGCATCGTGTTTACCTTTCCCAGGGCCTCTGCTTTCGGGATTATACTTGCATGGTTACATGCGATATATAAAACAAACTGGCTAAATCAGATTGCAAAGAGACCGTTTGCTACATAGTAGGACTGGGAAGACTGCAGACAACGAAGCGAGTCTTTGCCAGTCTACGAATAGCTTACCTTTGTTGGCACTTAGACCCACATTCCGAGTCCTTATCTCGATCGTCTTCTTTCTTGAGCATGTCGACATCAAGCTGAGGATAGGACTAGTTTTTCCTTTTATCCAAGTGCCCATCGGAAGGTCAGCCTCAAAACTTGAGAAGGATGCTAAGTATCCACGGTTAGGCGCTGTGTGAAGAAACAGGTTTCTTATCCAATAAGATCCTACATACTTACAGAGCATGTGGTGGCATCTCACAAAATAGTGGCAAAGAGCTCGGATTTACATAGTACGGAGCACGGGTAGGTGAAAACGTGGATCCCAATGAAGCTTTTCAAACCAGGGCCTACGACGTGTCTAACCTGACCAACATACCAAAGTAAGATACAGGTTGAAAGGCTTGTTTTGCCCTGGTTCGTTTTTTGTCTGGACTACTTGGTTTAACGAGTGCTTTATACAGGGCAATGCATTGGCAGCAAGGTTTGGCCACCCCTTTTGGCCGTGCAAATCCCCGTTATTAAAATCGAGCGTCGACGGAAGCATGCATGAAGTGCTCCGTACGACTACGGAGCATTGAGTGCGTGCGCAAGTTGTTCCCCACGTATATTGCTCCGTACTCCTTATCGTACGGAGTAGTCTTATTAACATCACCGTATCTTAGCAGACTCGTGCCCCACCTATTTTCGGTGACCATGACAATATCTTTATTGATTATGTTTTGCACCACACGACGTAGGCCTGCAGAATTTCTTACTTCTGCCGTTTCGAATATCGGGCCATACGGAGTATACGACATAAGTAAGATACTTACATGAAGTATGGATGGATACGCCATGAGCCTATCGGGGCAGAATTGCGTTGCATCGAGATGCTCTCGAACAGACGGGCAAGTTATTAATACTATGTATGTAAGATGTGTTCCAAAATTTTCAGAGATTGGGAGGTGCATTCTACCTCTAGGGAGCGCAACAAGGAATGTCCCTATTTATGGCGCGGCAAAAGGAACAATGCCTTACACAATTCTTATCTTACTTGCTAGCAAGCAAATATACGCCCGGAGTACTCATACAGCAAGCATTGAACAGCATAAGTCAATCGTATTACGTACTACCATGGCTGTTTCAGGTAAAATTTGCCCAGAAAACTTCTACTTTTTCCTCAGACTTTGCGCGCAACAGGCTGGGACTGGCATACATATGTTCACCGCATATATGAAGATGGACAGTTGAGAGGACGAACAACAAAAAGCAAAGGACAAGGCGATCATGGACTACGGTAACCCCTCAATGGGGATCGCCGTAAATGGCATATAGCCACTGCAGGTTGCCTCCACTGAGCATCGGGCGATCGTTACTTTTTTCCCACCCTACAGATTCATTGGTCTGACTAGGGGGGAAACGGGGGGAAACGGAACACAATCTCGTACGTGCGCACAGACTGGGCAGAAGCAAGGAAATACGAGTACTCCATAGAGAGGAGCAAGTCCGGAATGGAGTTGTGACCGAGGGCTATTGTTCGTACTCGGAAAATGCAACGGCGTCTCGATGCAGTGCGACGACGGTTTTATATTGCGAACATAACCCACAATTCGCCGTGCTCTCTGTGGCTGCACTGTGGCCGGCGCTCAACGCTCAAAACTTTGTACTGGTTGTGCGAGATTCAGCTCTTTTTGCTGAGAGCGCCTCGAAGAGCCAAGACTGTCTGAACGAGCTAGGATGGGCGAAATGAGTTAGGGTCACCACAGGAGCATAGCCAAACAGATCAAATGGGGTGGGGACAGGGTGGGCAGAGTGGGGAGGAAAAGGAGAGTCATGGGGCACGGTGAAAGCACCTTTACTCCGTATGCGCCTGGGCTAAGGCTGGGCTGTGGTGGTCGAGTGTGGTCAGTGTGCAGATGCGGTCGAATCCTGGATTAGCCAGGACCAGCAAGGGCCAGCAAGGGCCAGCCATGGGCAGCAAAGGGCCGGGACAGGGCGTCCGAGCTACAGGGAGACGTGAGAGACGGCAGAACCGTTGGGAACGGTTTACCAGCCAGAACGGTCGCTGCTGACGAGACAAAGGAAGGATTCGCGATGGCAGCAGGTAACAGGAGAGAACATCGGGATGTGGCCACATGCCAAAAATAATGCCTAGCCTTGTAGCGAACAAGCCTGTCCGCCACAGCGCAAGCCTGCTCGTATTGCCACATAGTAGGGCGGTATGGTGTGAGCTCGGAGGCGAGTTCTGTCGCCGTTGGGAAACTCAGGTTTTGCCGCCTGCCATCAAACACTATTTTGCACTGTTATTTTTATTTTAAATTTTATTGACACGGAGGACGCTATTTCTTCCGCTTTGATTGCGGTGGATCGCCCTTTTAGCGTTGCGCAATGATAATTTTATTGATGGGTGGATCTTCTTACCCGTTTGCTGCACATAGGAGGGACTTTCTCCACTTGCTGTTCTTGGAAATTGCTGGTCAAGGCAAGAACGAGACCGCCATACTCGTATCTTCCGCTCGCACAATTATTTTGTTTTTGTTTTTATTTTGCACCGTGGAAAGTGGTCTGATCAGCGCAACTGGAAAGTGCGACAGGAAAAGGAAAGGAACAACAAGGCAAGAGGAAAAACTGCACAAGGGAGAAAAGGTCACATGGCGCCTGCAGTGCAACTCCGCAAACAGCCTGCAGTACTCGTACACGGCCAGCCGTGCGTCGTGCCGTGCTTTGTAGTGCTCTGCCCACTAAAAATCGAAAAGTATGCTTTATTCGCACGTCTGGCCCACAAATGCCGGTACTTTACCAGCACGTATCTCACAGTTGTTTTTTTAGCGTGCTATAAAAAAGTATATTATTTTCAACATCTTATATAACCGCGCTGGCACAGCGGCGGTGTCTCGGGCGAGAACAGGTTCTATTCGTACTCGTTGGAGTAGCTCTTCCTGGCCTGTCAGCTTGGGCGCTCATGGTCTGCTGTTGGTCAGGGCCGATTTGCCAGGCAGTTTCAGATAGGCGACGCGGTTGGCTGGCCCAAATGCTGCTCGTAAGATATCTTGCTCGTACTCCGTATTTGGGAAATACACTGGTGCATTTGGGCGTATCTTGCGGAGAATAAAGGAAGGATGACGCACACGGTGGCTCTTTCCGTTTATTATATACGGAGCACACGTCGCATACGGAGTATATACGGAGTATCTTACGGAGCAGCCACATATCTCATATTGCAGTGCAAATAAAACGGCGCCCTACCGTTGCCACGCGCTAAGAGAATGCCGATACTATGTATTAATGAGGCCTCAGCCAATCACAAGCCTTTCACACCTACTGTCTGTCTGTGCTGCTCCTTGCTTGCAAGGAAGGCGTCCACCGGCTCCAGATGTCTCCCTACTATTACTATGTAGCCCCCCTTCGTCGTGAGATAAAGTGAGACAAGCTGCAGCAGGGCAACAGCGTATCAGCAAGAACGGAAGCTGAGCAGAAAGAGAAAGGAAGCGAAATGATATGGAGCCGTGTTGGAGGATCGCGGTTGCATGCAAAGTGAGATACGACAGGGACGGAAGCAGTAATTGCGATGGGCGAGAGGCACAAAGAACGAAAAGTCTCTGCAGAACGGTGCCCGTTTACGTGACTGGAATGCGCTGCCTCGTCCCTCACCACCCCCAACGTTTCAGGACCGTTCGTCCAGACCGTTCATGTGCCCTCTCATCTCACCCCCTTTCACCCAATCATACGTCCGGGCGCACTTCCTCTGCCAGATAGCACCTTACCTCTCCACCTCCCCCTGGTCCCCTGCACCTTCCTGCTTTTAAAAAACCCCTTTCGTTCCTTCTGTTTCTTCTACTTTCCTCCCTCCCTCCCTTCTCTCTATCCCTCTTGCCATCTTCCGTTCAGAGACAAAAGGCGCAGAGTTTTCTCTCTCATCTTATTCCTAATAATACCCCCATTTCCTTTTTCCGTGATACCCCCATTTCCTAGTCCTGCTGCTTTTCTTAAGATACCCTCTTATATACCCTTGATACCCAAGTCTCCCAGAGATATCCCAAGAACACGCTTCCAGCCTCGAAAATCCAGATTTTCGAGCTTCCGTTTCGTTTCGGCTACACCAACACCAAACCGACTACAAATCATTCGAAATGGCCGAGGAACAGAAGCCCGTCGAGGTCCCCGCCGTTGAGGCACCGGCCGTTGAGCCCGTTGTCGCTGAGGCTACGCCTGCTGTCGAGGTCGTCGCTGAGACCCCTGCTGCCGCTGAGCCGGTTGTTGAGGCTGCTGCCGTTCCCGTCGAGGCTGCTGTTGAGGAGCCGGCTGCCGAGGCCGCTGCTGCCCCCGCCGAGGAGGTGAAGGAGGAGGTCAAGCCCATCGAGGAGGGTGTCCTTGAGGCCAAGGGCACTAGCTTCCCCAAGTGAGTGAAGTTTCCGTCAACTCTATCAGTTCTCGTGCTAATACTCCTGGCTACAGGAAATTTCTCTACACCAAGAAGTTCTTCTGGTTCGGCAACGATGCTCTGAGTGCAAAGGACCTGGCTGCATACGTGAAGAGCGAAAAGGCAACGGATGTTGCCCACCACGTCATCTCGTGGGCTTCGGAGACCGGCAAGGGCCTTCTCCTCTACGGCGAGAAGCCGGGCGACAAGTCTACTGCTCACGGTGTGATTCAGCTGGTATGTTCCATCAAGAACGTGGATCCACATGTTCATTGCATAAGCTAACTTCTAATCCAACCAGGCCGATGCCTCTGAGCCGACTGCCGAGGGTACCCACAAGTTCCAGCTCACCTCGAAGGGCCACAAGCACATCTTCAAGGCTTCTTCCACTGCCGAGCGCGACAACTGGGTCAACCAGATCAAGGCCAAGATTACTGAGGCCAAGGAGCTCGCCGCTACCGTTGCTGAGAGCGAGGCCTACAAGAACACTCTTGCGTCTTTGAAGCCTGCGAAGAAAGAGACCCCCAAGGAGGCTCCCAAGGAAGAGAAGAAGGAGGAGGCTGCTGCCCCGGTCGAGGCTGATGCTCCGGCTGAAACTGAGGCCGAGACCGCCGAGCCCGCTGCCGCTGTTGAGGAGGCTCCTAAGGAGGCCCCCAAGGAGGAGGAGAAGAAAGAGAAGAAGGAGGAGAAGGGACGCCGGTCTGCTTCGCGCAAGCGTGCTTCGATCTTCGGCAACTTCATTGGCAAGAAGGACGACAAGAAGGAGGTCACCGAGCCTGAGGTCGTCAAAGAGGACGATGAAGAGGCTGTGGCTCCCGCCGAAGCTGTGGCCGAGGAGGCTGCCGCTGCCCCTGCTGCCGAGGCCCCTGTCGTCGATGTCGAGGCCGCTGCTGAGGCCGCTGCTCCGGAGGTTAAGAGCCCGTCTGCCAAGCGGGCCAGCATCTTCGGCAACCTTGGCTTCTCCAAGAAGAAGGTTGAGCAGGATAATGCCCCGGCCCCTCCCGCCAAGGATGTTCCGGCCGATGCTGCTGTTTCGGAGTCTGCTCCGGTGATCCCGGCCGTCGAGACGTCGGAGCCGCTGTCGACTGACGTCAGCGCTCCCATTGTTGAGTCCCCGGCCGAGGCTGCTGCTGAGGCTGCCCCCGTGTCCGACAGCGAGACCAAGAAGGAGGTGAAGAGCGACAAGCGTAAGTCGACTCTGCCGTTCAACTTTGGCAGCAAGAAGGACAAGTCCGACGATGAGGGCGAGAAGAAGTCGTCGCCGTTCTCCAAGTTCCGCGCCACTGTCCGCCTGAACCGGAAGGAGAAGACGCCGGCCAAGGCTGAGGAGACGGTCGAGGAGGCGGCTGCACCTGCCGAAGTCGAGGCTGAGGCTGCTGCCGAGACTGAGGCCCCCGTCGAGGAGGCTGCTGCTGCCCCGGCTGAGGCCGCCGAGGCTGTCCCTGCCACCATTGCTGAGGAGGCTGCGGAGAAGCCGTCTGTTGTCGCTGCCACTCCCCAGGTTGCTGCTACCGCTTAGAATTCGCTAGGCACCTCGTTCAAGTGGCAGTGATCAGACGTTTTGCATGGGTGCCCTTCTCAGACCTAGCCACCACGGCTATGGACGGAGACAATATCGGCACGACTACAGATCGGTTCGGATTCGCTTGCCATTTGGTTTCGGCTGTTCGGCTTCTGCATTTGAGATACCCTGCCAGAAAGTAACGGTTTCGTTTACTTGTTTTTGTCATTGCGCGCTTCACGATGATAAGGACGGCCCATTTCTGAGTTTGTCACATCTTGATCACTCTTTTCTGCTTCTCTTTGTGTTTCGAAAACCCACCACCAAAATGACGAAAAAAAAGATCACTGTCAAGTTCCTGTTTGTTTTGTTGCCTTTCACAAATACGCAAGTGTCTGTGTTTTGATACCCAAAGTATACCCCAACATGTTGGTTCTGTGGCGATTCCGATACATCCCTTTTAATCTGCGTTATTGTTTCAGTTGAAAGTGTGTTTGGCATGTCGCTCAGGTGTTCGATGAGCGTGGCTCTGAAGGGGACAGGATGAGGACAAAGCCACTGTTGCTTGGATTAGGAGGAATCGGTTGACGGGGCGGGCTGTGCCTTATGGGCCGGTGTTGCCGCCGTGGAATGGTTTCTTCGGAAGAACACAACCCCTAGTAATAGTTAATAAATCAAGCACTCGCGTTTCTCACTGAGTTTGTGATTGTGCACTGGACTGTAGTTGGTAGTTCTGTTGATTACATAACTGAGCTAATTCAAGAAACTCCTTCCCGCCCACCGTGCCGTCCGAATCGTACCTGATCGTTGAAGGCGTGCCCTTTTTTGTATCTGTCCTTTATTTTCTCGACTGCTATGTCGTCCTGTGCTCTCTTCCGAGGGCCATTGCGGTGTGCAATGCAAGCTTTATATGGTCTGGTACTTCCTGACCAGTTCTAGTATCTTGGGCATCAGCTGTGCCAGCCGGAACGGTTTTGCGATCACGTCGTCCTGTGGGATTAGTCTGGTGGGCAGAAACAGATTGAGAGCAGCAGGAGAGCACTCACGATGCCGGCTGCCTTGGCGTTCTCAATCTGCTCAGGCCGTGCATATGCCGTCACGGCGATGATGGGGACGTGGCGCACCAGCGTGCCGGACCGTTCGAGGTCGCGAATGGCACGGGCGCACGTCAAGCCGTCCATCACGGGCATCTCGAGATCCATGAGGACGATGGAGATGTTGATGCTGGTGGCTGGGCGACTGTCGTTGCTGTCGTTGCCGTTGTCGCCACCGCCATCACCACCGAGACTGCTGGCGTTTTTGTCTTTGTCTTTGGATGCGTCCAGGGCGGCAAACTGGCCAACGACAGCGTCCATAACTATGTCGTGCTGCTCGTCGGCCGCCGGACCGTCACGCCAGAAACGCGATCGGCGCAGAGCCTCCAGGGCCTCGCCGCCGTGGTTGGCCACGTGAGTGCGATTGCCGCACTTATCCAGCTGTCGCTGCAGCACCCGCTGGTTCACAATATTGTCCTCCACGATCAACACGTCCAGACAGGGTAGGTCGTCCGAGAGCGGCAGACCGATATGCGGCATCGGCGCTGCCGTCGTTGCCGTCGTTGTCGGCGTTGCCGGCGTTGTCGTCGGACTGTTGTCGGCCGTCGAGTCAACCGCCGTCGATACGGCTGCACGCGAAGAGTGATAGTGGCGCAGGGCTGCCGGCAAGACCCTCGGGCCGGCCATAGCCAGGCTCGCCTCTGTGTCGTCGCTGTTGGCCATCCCCAAGCTCATGCCCATGCTTAAGCCGCCGTTCTCTAGGCCGATCGAGTAGACGGTCACGAAACGGTTCTCCGGCTCTCCGGCAGCCGGCATCCCCATGATTTCGTCGGCCGACTGACCGTTTGGCGGATACTCGTCAGCCATGCGGCACTTGACGTAAAAGGCAAAGACACTGCCTTGGTCTTTGCGCGAGGCCACGCCGATCTGGCCGCCCTGCAGCTCGGCCAGGTTCCAGCTGATGAAGAGGCCCAAACCCGGGCCGCCGTACTCGACGTGGGTCCTCGGCAGCTTGTGGGCACAGGAGTGAAATAAAATATCGCGCTCGCCCTTGTTCAGATCCTTGCCTGTGTCGGCCACGGCGATGTGCAGGTTCAGCTTTGTGCCGGTGCCCCATTCCGGTCCTTCTGGCTGCACGTCCGCATCGTCCAGCCGTCGCGGGATGTACACCAGCTTGCCCTCGGCCACGTCATCGGCCACGTCGACTACGCCCGGCTCGGTCATCAACTCGCCCTCGCGTGACGCCCCCAGGCTGATCATGATCGTCCGATTCTCGCTCGCCTGTGTCGAGCGCACCGCGTTCGTGATCAGATTGATAATCACCTGGGCCAGCCGCGACGGGTCCAGCTTGACCCAGCCGCCGGCCCCGACCAGCGACTCGTACGACGGCTGCACCCGCAGTATGCAACGGATGTCGCGCGCGTAGAACTCGGCCTCAAAAATCTTCAACGTCGTGCGCACCACCATCACCGGCTGTACTGCCGTCGGCCGCACCAGCAGCAGCTTCGAGTCCAGCTTCGACAGTGTCAGCACATCATCCACAATCCGCTTCTGGTGGTTGGCGCACAGCGAAATCGTGCTGATGGCCTCCAGCACGTCTTCCAGCAGGTCGTCCAGTGCCGCCACGTCGCCGGCCTGACCGGCTTCCACAGCCGCCCGAAACCCCGCTACCGACGTCATGATCTCGTCCACGCTCTGCAGGATCGCACTCAGCGGGTTGCGCATCTCGTGGCTGGTGATGTCGATAAAGTTCTCCTGCTGCCGCTTGTGCTCCACCGCCTCCTGTCGCCGCTGGCTCTCAAACGCCTCCGCCAGCTTCTGCTGCGAGATGTCCATGATGCAGCCGAAGATGCTCTTCAGCTCGCCCGTCTTCTCGTCCTTTTCCGGGTAAGCCCGCAGCAGCACCCACGTCGTCATCTCCGTCTTCTCGCTCGTCCGCGTGTTGATCGGCTGCCTCGTCTTCTGCCGGAATCGGAACTCGTGCGTCACCTGCACCTTCTCCAGCACCATCCGCTCCCAGACTGCCTCCAGGCCCGCCCGGTCCTCTACCTCCACGCTCTCCATCCACGACGACCACACGGACACATCGTCGTCGCCCGGAAACGCCGGAAACGACTCCGACTCGCCCTTGGTCTTGTCGCCACCCCGCGTGAGCCGCCGAAACTGCGAAATCTCCCACCACATGTCATTACAGTACGTGATCCGTCCGCGTGCGTCCGTCACGAACATGCCCACCGGCGTGAACTCCGCCATCCGCATAAACTTGTTCTCGCTTTCCACCACCTGCTGCGTCCGCAACCGCAGCTGTTGTGACAGCTCTTGCTTGTCACGGACCGCCCGTCGTGCCAGCCGCTCCGCCCGCCGCGTCTCCTCCTCAAAGAGCACGGCCGACGAAAATGATGTCGTCAGCTGCCGCGCGAGTAGGTGCACAAACAGTTGGTACTCCCGGTTGTATGGCCGCCGTGGGTTGGCCCCCATCACGATAAACCCGGCTACCAGTGCTGCGCAGCCCGTCCCGGCCGTCAGCGCTGTCGGATGGTACACGGGGAACACCACCACTGTGTGACAGTCGTCGCCAAAACCGCGCTGGCCCTGAAGACCGGTCAGCAGCCCCGCCGGAAGCGTCCCCTTTTCGGCTGACAGCACGACCGGTGTTGGCGTCGCCATCTCTGTCGCCGAGCCCGTCGTTGTCGTCCCCATGGCCTGCCGCATGTACGGCGCAAAGCCATCGCTGCTCACATGCAGGTCCAGCGTGGCCACGGCCGCCGGGTGGCCTGGCGTCACGCCGAGCGATCCCTCCAACATGAGCTGAGGTGGTGTTGTTGGGTTGGCCGAGTCGCCTATGCCGCTAGAGTGCATCGCCGCCTGCTCGCTCTCGTCGTCATCACCGATGCTGGCTACCGAATACACCAGTACAAACGGTATGTCGTATTGGTTTTTCTCGAGACCCTGCATTACAGAATGCCAGAATCGCTGCACCGTCTGCGCCTTGGATGTCATCTCGCCCAGCTCGTTAAGCGTTTGCATCCGACGCTCGTTAACCCAACGCTTCGTATTGTCGAACACGGGGTTCAGCAAGCCCACCACAGACCCGTCCGAGCCGATTAGAGGAACAATAGACCAATTCAGAAACGTCTCCTCAAGGAACCCGCTGCGGTTCATAAAAACCGGGTCATCGTACCGTATCATAGCCTTGCCCGAATTCCACACAGTCCGAAAAGTGGCCTGCACGTTGGCCCAGTCCTGGCCCCATAACAGCGGGGTTTTCGATCCCATCAGCCCTGGGTGGTGCCGGCCGGCCAGCGACACGTACGCCTCGTTGTAGATGGCCGTGTACTCAGGCCCCCAGTACATGATGGCCGCGTTCGGGCTGCCCATAACCATGTTCGATATGGTCCGGAGATCGGCAGGCCATAGCTCGACAGGGCCAAGCGGTGTTGCTGCCCAATCTATCGACCGGGCGAGTCTGATGTGTTGCGGAGTGTCGCCGGTCAATTCAATTTGGGTCCAGTCATATGACAGGTGTGCCCTGTCCTCTCCCAAAAGGACTATATTGTTATCGCAGTTTGCCTCCGTTGTTATATTTGCGGTGCCAAAGTAATCCTCTCCATCGGCCGCTGTTTCGGTCGGCGACGCCAAAGTGCCTTCCGGTACCCATGTGGAATGGGGCGGCACCCGGACAGCCGCCGTGTTAGAGATACAGTTCCTGGCGTCTGCAGAAAAGCTGCCGCTGTCGGCGCAGCTGCAATGCGAGCCGCGGACTACCCGGTAGCGCTGGCGAAGGGTCGAGCAGGTCCACCGCAAGCCTGCGAGTGAAAAGGGCAAGGAGAAGTTAGAGGTCGTGGACGAGACCGACGGATTTCTTTCGTGGGCCTGGCCATTGCTGCGGGCCAAAGTCAATAGCCAGCCCTTGAAGCGTACAAAGTCCTCGGCCTGCGTAGCCTGACTGGCTGTCGTCGAGACGTAGGCAGTGTTGACAAGCGGACCGAATACGGACCGCTCTGCTCGGAGGGCGGTATTGGCGAAGACGGCCTGCAGGGGTCCGGGACGGAAATTGGCCTTGTCGGTCAGATCGACAATGAAGGTCGGGCGGTCATCCTGGTCGAGCAGCTCGACAATGCTGAGGTCGCGGAGAGGAAGGAGAGGTGAAAGCAGCGGAGAGGAACGTGGCGTGGCCGGATCGTCGTCACAGACAGGCCAGGAAGCGGCCAGCTCGGCCGTCGTTGCTGAGTCGGCAACGGCGTTTGCTCGCTGCATAAGTTGGCGGGCCACGACCTGGTGTCCGTATTCGCCGTTTTGACGGCCGAGCATGTCGGCCGGGGTTGCTGGGAAGCCCAGGTTGGTGCCAGGCGGCAATTCGGGATGCTGCTTGGCTGAAGCTGAATGCTGCGATATGCTGCGCCCCAAGCGAATCGATCCGGATGACGATCGGAGGCAAGGTCGCTTCGTGGGAGACAAAATTGGCGTGATGTCGGATATGGTAGACACGGTGGGATCAATCACAAGGTGGGCATCCGGCCGTTTGAGTGTGTGATTGGGATTGGGATTGGGATTATTGTGATTAAAGCCGCCTTGCTTGTTGCTCTTGCAATAGCCCTCTAGGCTGGCCGCGCCGCCACGCCCACCAGTTGCGTTCTCGACAGCAGTTCCAGTTCCCGATCCACCACCAGTAGCAGTTCCAACTACCGGAGTAGCAGCTTCTGAATCATCACGGCTGGCCTCAGAGGCGGCCGGCGACGGAACTTGGCGAACCGGAGGAGGCGCAGACGATACGGGAGGAGCGACAGGCAGAGCTGGTCGCGGTATAGAGAGAGGCTCCTGCGAAAGCTCAAAATAGTGGCAATGGCTGTTGCTGCTGCTGCTGCTGCTGGTGCTGGTGCTGGTGTTGCCGCTTTGTGGAGTCATGAACACAATAATCGATGATGAGGGCAGTAGCAGGCTCCCGTCTACCCGTGAGAGAGATTGGATACAATGCTGTACTGCTGCTTCTGCCGTACACGAAGCTGCAATAGCCACACAACGTTGATGCTTAGCTGGCGTCCGGTTGGCATCGAGGGCGGAGAGCAGTTAGTGGCGACTGGACTTTTATACTAGCAGATCGACAGCAGCTAGCAGCTTGGTGGCGTTGTTGCCGAGGCCAAGATAGTCGATCGAGAGGGAGGGGCGAGTCTCAAACGCTGCAGTTATCGTGGTGGCGGAGGCTGGTGGATGATTGAGGCAGATATGGAAGAGGATTTGGGAGAGGCGTGAGAATACGATACGACTAAGCTAGCCGGCCAGTGGGGGACAGTCCGGAGCGCAGAAGCGGGCAGGAAGGACAATAGGATGCGGAAGCCGCGATGGGCCAGTGGCCGGCGGGAGGGGGGGGAGGGAAGGTACGGACGGCGAGGAAGGAGCAACGCAGAACGAAAAGGGGGGTGGAACAAAAGAGTAGAGGCAGAAAAAGAGACAACGGATGCAGGCAGACACATGGAGGGTGGAGGGAAGAAAACCTCCCGAGGCGGCACGGCGAAATCTCGTCGATTTGGATTCGAGTGCCGGAGACGAGTCCGCCCTTGTGGTACTGGGAAGCGTGCAAGAGGCAGAGGCTGCATGTGCAAGCGGTCAGCCACAGGACGCTCAGTCGGGCATTAGACCGTCTGGACTGTTTGGTGGAGAGGGGAAATATGGCACTAACTGTGAGGGCTTAACAGCCACGACAGATTCGGATAGTATGGGATCTTGCGACGGCCTCGGTGAATGGCCCACGGGCGGGATTGAGATCTGGCGGGAGGGAAGGGGAGGCAGACAGCGGAAAGCGGAAGGCGGAAGGCGGAAGGCGGCAAGAGGAGAGAGAGAGAGAGAGGGGGGGCAGGCCTTGAAGGAGACGATGAGGAAGGGATTGTGGAAAACAGGTGGGGGGAGCCGCTGCTTCCTATCTGTCCAGCAACCGGCAACGAGCAAGAGGCAGTGCTCGTATCGCAGACGATTCGAGCAGTCGTGACGCCAGTGACAACCAGACGAAGTCGACCAGTCCAGCTGAAGGATGCGCCCTTCTTGCGCTCTGTTAGCTACCATTTTCGCCTTTCTATTTTTCATCTCGCATTTTCCTGTTTCCTGCCTCGCTGCTGTGCCGCAGATCGGTTCTAGGCCCGGCGCCCATTCCAGCAATGGCCTGACTCGCTATGACCGGCCAGCTAGGGGGCTCGGCCGACCACTGGAAGGAGCCCCTAGAACTACGCCAAAACATGCAAGTGCCGGGTTTGCGGCAAAACTCCCACTCGACCACGGCGTGAGACGGCGTGAGACAGCCTACGTCGTACGTCGTATGTCGTTGGCTCGCCGGACAAGTTGGTCCCGTTGGGCCGTTGGACCGCGATTGGATCGTGGCTGAAATCGACACATAATGTCCGTCTGTCGACAACGCGGCCGCGGCTTCGAGACGATCCATTGTCCCTCGTGCCGTCCGTCGCGGCGTGCCGTTCTGGGGCCCGTCTTCTTCTGTCATCCTTTCCCCGGCCGCTGCGATGGCCTGCTGCGTGCTTTTGGTCGTTCCGTTAGTTACGTACGGGGTGTAGAGCCAGCGCGTCCTGAACTGCCCCGTGGATCCTGATTCTCCTGGATCGGCAATGGCGCACACACCGTCAGCTATATACGATTTGCCCATGTGTCACGAACCATTCCCGCAGATGACTAATCGGGCAAGAGGGTGGCCGGAAGAATCAATTCGTCCTCCGTATCAGGACGATACGACGAACCTCCGCTAACTCTCACCTTCAGCACCCGCCCATTGGCTGGCTGTTTGGCTAGTCTCGACGCGGATTGGCCGCCGGGACCCTTCCCCACCACAGCGAACCGCTCGCTGCTTTTTCGCCTCGGCGCTTAGTAGCCTGTACGATTCTCTCTGGCCAGTCGTTTTGCTGTGGGTCCACTTTTTCCCTGCGTTTCCTGCATATTCTGCATGGGGCTCCTGTGGGCTCCTGTGATGAGGACCAGCGCCCTGGCCGCTAATTGGCCGCAGCCGCTCATCACCTATAGAATCCATCCCACACTCGTGATTCGCAGACTCGTTGCCGGCGTCCAAAGCAGCCTACCGCGTGGTGGTGCCATGGAGGGCCGCCCAGCGGCTGCAGGCGACTGATGCTTGGCTGCTCAGGCTGACGGGATAAGCAGGCCGGAACGAGCAGAGGACAGGTTAAAACAGACAGCCGTCCCTCCTCTGTGTCCATTGCCGTTGCCATTTTTTTGCAGTTATCGCCAGCCTCACAATGTTCGGAACCTACCGCATCGTCCACCGGCCGTGGCGCGGCCGGAAACCGTTCTACTACCTGATGATCTTTGAGCTCGGCGGCGTCATCGGGCTGCTGATCCTCTTCGCCATCTCCCAGACCGACCCATACCGCAAATCTATGTGGCAGATAGGCTGGGATCATCGCTGGAATTCCAACCCCAGCGAGATCCTCTATGCCTATGCCAACCATAAGCCCATTCCAACGACTCCCTTTGTGTGGTCCACGCTGTACGTCTCGTCCCCTCCTTCTACTTCTGCTTCGCTGGCTGACGTCCGCTAGACTCACCAACTTCAACATTGCCATCTCCGTCCTCTCTCTTTTCATCCTCATCGCCAAGCTGGTCGCCACCATCATGCACTTTTACTACCCCATCCTTGGCATCTTTATCGCACTATCTATGGCCACTCTCTACGCCGCCAGTCTCGGTGGCCAGGCCGGTCCAGACTACACAGATTCGCGCTATCGCAGCCCGACACCTTGGTTTCTCCGCAAGGGCTGCAGCTACGCCCGGCCCTACGGAAAGTACAATGACTGCCTCATGGCTCAGGGCGCTGTCGCCGTCTCTGCCTACATGCTGGTCATCTACTGCATCGCCCTCGGCCTGGCCATCTGGTCCATGCTTCCTAACAAGCTCGCCGATCTCGACGACGACTACGACTCCGACGACGGCTTCCCTGTCACCTCCAAGAAGCAGTGGGAAATGCAGCCGCGCCCCATGTTGTCACCCGCCCTGGGCAACACGGCCACGACCACCCCCTTCACTCCCCGCACCCAGGCTTTCCATGCCCTGGACAGGAAGCTGCCGCTGCGAAGCTAGTGGATCTGCCTCTGCTCGCGCTTTTTATCCTATGTTGTTTCCTTTGTCTTGATACGAATAAGTTTGAGCGTCCCTTGTTGGGGTTTTTGCTTTTGTTTCCGCACGTAATATCCCATCGGCGGGCCGCTATGGACGGCGAGCTAGCCACACACTCCGAGGATGGAATAGGCGGCAACTAGTGTACATACAGGCGGATTGGTTCGATGACGGTGTGCTGTAATGCAGTCTGGACCTTTGAATGATCTATGGGAGCGTACTTTTCTAACGGAGTATTGAAGAGCTTTACATATATATGTCGAAGCTGCGCTTTTCCCGTAAATCTAAGCACGATTTAAACACGGTCACTACGACACGCTCCTCCTACAGCCGTCATCTCATCCTGACTCACGGTTGTAAGATAGCAGACCGGCCATCGTTTATGGAGTAGCTCTGACGTAGTTCTGGCTACATTTTGGCGGGTGACGTCCATAGCCCTTTGTTCAGCTGACCAAAATATGCATGTGCCCGAGAAAGCCAAGGACGAAAGTGTGAACTAGTTCGAACGGAAGGAATCTGCCTTTGAATACATGAGTGATATGTTCTATGGCTGTCAACGATGTTCGTATACCTGCGGCTATTGCTGCAGAAATTGCAAAGCAGTTGGGGAACAGCCAAACGCTATATATATGTGACCGAACTGTATCACCGCTGTATCGATGTCTCGACATCAACAGGCTACTTCCTTTGCAGATGCAGTCTCCATCCACCCTTGTGCTTGTCTGCGAGGGAACTTTCACACATGAGCCGCCAAGCGTCCATGCCTGCAGGACAACAGCTCTTCCCGTGTTTGATTCAGAGCTGTTCTCCAGGCCATGCGCTCTGCCAAAACCTAACACCCTCTCACCACTAGAAAACAATGTTCATTATGTTAGACTTATACCCCGTGAGATGATCATCTGCTTCCCCACACCCGTACAATCAGATGGACCGCATGAAGGCGCTATTAGCAGGGTGGTATCAACTTTCCACCACGAGGCAGGATAGGATACCACTGCCTGGTCGAAGGAGGGCAGAGACGGAGGACAAAAGACAAAGTAGAGTATGGCTAGAGTTACAAGGAGTGTGCCTAATGATAGTTCTTGAAGATTCACCAACATATTCGATTTAACTCACTGTCTACCCAAGTATCACAGACAGGCTTCGTCTCCCTGAACCAGTCTTAAATTCCAAAGCTTGGCTCGTTACTTTTCAATACCTTGTACTTGTCCAACACGGTCTACATTGGACTCAACTCTCTGGCCAGCTTCGTTGCAAAAACACGGTTCCAGGCCGGAACCGAGCCGGCTGCGACCACTACTGATCCGTAATCGCCGTAACCGGCGGCGCTGAAAATTCGACGCTTTTAGACCGTTAACGAAAATGAGAGACGAGCAGTAGTGCTATTCATAAGACAGATCAAATCCGGCAGGTCCAGCCGATGAAAGCCTACTCCGCTACATTGGCAGGCGCATCCGTCATTACTAGTAAGCAAAACAGTATAATGTAGACGTCATTTCGCCCCCTCCATTTTAATTCTGTACTGGCTCTGCTTCGTTAATTCTTTGAACCTCCTCTTTGACGAAATTTATCTCCCCGCAACCGAGTATCGCTACCCCACTCTCGGATCTAACTGCCAATCAGTGCGCGTGCATCGTCTGTCATTTACACTGGCTTTGGCGCCCGTTCTTCGGACGTCCTCTCGGAAGTGACACACTTCCTCATACGCTATAGATGAGAGCTATCTCTTAAAGTAGCCGTTTCCTACCCATCACAGCCGCAAGGAGACAGAAAGAGAGAAGACAATGGCTGCTCTTCGAACGTCTCTGCGATTCTCGTCCTCATCTTCCTCTTCACCAGCTTTTCGGTTTGCCTCTCACAGACGATCCTGTTTTCAGAAATCACCATTCCCGTCGGTTCCTATACGCCTAGCTTCCACCATGCTCCCCAAGGTAAGGGATGAGACCAGAAGTTATTTCTGCATAGGCTGTTCTGACGGAAGAACGAAATGACAGCTGCGAGACCCGTCGCTACTCAAGACGGGCGTCTGCTACGTTGATGGCAAGTGGATCCCGGCGAGCTCTGGCAAGACGTTTGATGTCAACGACCCGTCGACCGGAAAGTTTATCGGCGTGGCACCCGAGTTTGACGCCAAAGATACCGAGGCGGCGGTGGCTGTGGCGGCCAAGGCGTTCGACTCGTTCCGGCACAAGACGGGCCGCGAGCGGTCGAAGCTGCTGCGTCGCTGGTATGAGCTCATGATGGAGAATGCCGACGACATTGCGACTCTGATTACATGGGAGAACGGCAAGCCGACGGCGGATGCCAAGGGCGAGGCGGTGTACGCGGCCAACTTTTACGAGTGGTTCAGCGAGGAAGCGCCACGGATCCGCGGCGAGACGATCCAGTCGAGCGTGCCGGGCAACCGGGTGTACACGATCCAGGAGCCGATTGGCGTCTGCGGTCTGATCACGCCGTGGAACTTCCCGGCAGCGATGATCACGCGCAAGGTCGGGCCTGCGCTGGCTGCGGGCTGCACGGTGGTTTGCAAGGCACCGGGCGAGACGCCGTTCACGGCGCTGGCGGTTGCGGAGCTGGGCCATCGTGCGGGCATTCCGGCTGGTGTGGTCAACATCATCACGGCGCTCAAGAATACGCCCGAGGTGGGTGAGGTACTGACGACACACCCGACGGTGCGCAAGGTGTCGTTCACGGGTTCGACGACGGTGGGCAAGCTGCTGATGCGGCAGTGCTCGAGCACGCTGAAGAAGATGTCACTGGAGCTGGGCGGCAACGCACCGTTCATTGTGTTTGACGACGCGGACCTGGAGGCGGCCGTGGAGGCGGCCGTGCAGTCCAAGTTCCGGTCGTCAGGCCAGACGTGCGTGTGCGCCAACCGGATCTTTGTGCAGCGCGGAGTGTACGACGACTTTGCTGAGCGGCTGGCGGCCAAGGTGCGGGCATTCCAGGTGGGCAACGGTTTTGAGGCGGGCACGACTCACGGGCCGCTCATCCACGACCGCGCCGTCAGCAAGGTGGAGGAGCACGTGCGGGACGCGGAGAAGAACGGCGGCAAGGTGATTGTGGGCGGACACACGATCCCGTCGCTGGGCGGCAACTTCTTTGAGCCGACAGTGATCACGGGTCTGACACAGAAGATGCGGATGGCACACGAGGAGACATTCGGCCCGGTGGCAGGGCTGTTTGCCTTTGAGACGGAGGAGGAGGTGGTGCGGATTGCCAACAACACCGAGGTCGGGCTGGCGGGCTACTTCTTCTCGCGCGACGTGGAGCGCTGCTACCGGGTGGCGGAGCACCTAGAGGTCGGCATGGTGGGCGTGAACGTCGGGCTGATCTCAGAGGCAGCTTCGCCTTTTGGCGGTGTCAAGGAGTCTGGTTTTGGCCGTGAGGGTTCTGGTCTCGGCATTGGCGAGTACCAGGTAACGAAGATGGTGACGAACGGCGGGATGGGCAAGCCGCTGCAGAGCAGCTGAGGGAGAGCTGATCGGAGTGGTTCTTGGCTTTTTGGTCACACGTAACTTGGAGTAATAAAATAGACGTATTATTATAGCACACAATAGCGGGCATACACACCTGTTTTACAGCGCATGTTTGTGGAGCAATAGCGTGGGTTGTATGTGGGTCCATGTTGTGCGAATTGGCCAATCAGGGTTGACACGGCATTGTGCTCAATTTTCATTTCTCGTTTTTCGTGGTCTGAGGATGCCGTAACGGGATCGGAGCGCCGCCAAAGCAACGACGACAAGCGAGACGAAATGAATCGACCGGCTCTTTGCTCCGTGCTGGAGCGGGTGCCACGGAGAATTCTGCCGAGCAGTGCAATTGCTCTTCGCAGTGCAGCGGCAGCAGTTTTTTTCTCGACGACGCCATCGCAGCGGAAGCTCAAGCAGGTGCCGGCACGACGGGATCGGGTGGCCGCGGCCGCGTCAGAGGTCGGAGCACTGGGTGCAGCTGGAGCATTCGGTCGGGGTGATGGAGACAAGGCGGCAGCAGCAGTGCCGGTAGCCGATGCGCGGTCGCTCGGGGCGCCACGGCCAGCGATGGCGGCAGGTGGCAGCAGCAGCGGCAATCTGACATCGTCCAATGCGATCACGGCATCGAGCACGATATCGGCGAGCAAAGTGATCAACATGCGAAGTCTTCCACGGCGGCCATCGAACGGTGGCGGCGGCGGCAGCAGTTTCCCGGGGCCGACGGGAGTGTGGAGCGGGTTTTCGGGCAACGCACGAACGGGACGATTTGCGGGCAGTCGAATGGGTGGCATTGGAGGCGGGGCTGGAGCAGGTGGAGGAAGAAACGGCGGACGGGCCAGCGGACGAGCAGGCGGAGCAGGCGGTGGACGGAAGCGGCGGCCGATGAAGAGACGCGGCAAGGGCGGCGAGGACGAGGAGGGTGGCGGCAAGCGAGGCCAGCAGCAGGAGCCGAATGCGTTAACGGTGCAGGAACAGACCTGGCTGGAGGAGCGCGAGGTGGGCACGGCGACGACGTACCGACCATCGCTGACGCGCGAGAGCCTCGAGGGCTACGGGCCAGCCGTGGCTTCGTCGACGTCGGCGGCGGCCAACACGGGCGCAGTGCTGCGGGCGATGCGCGTGCTGGGTGGCGGCATGCCGTTCTGTGCGGAGCTGCCGAATCCGACGGCGGCCTACGACCGGCTGATGAGCGGGCAGCCGGTATTCTTTGACAGCGTGGCCGAGCGGACGGCGGCCGAGGAGGCGCTGCTGTCGAAGCGGCTGGTGAAGCAGCTCAGCAAGAACGGACAGGATGGCAAGGACGGCAAGGCGCTGCGTGCCATTGCTCCTGTGCGCGTGGCCACCAAGACGGCTATCCTCGACACGACAGTGCGCGGGCTATACGCCAATGGCGACAGCCAGACGGCAACGGGCGGCGGCGCCGTGTTTGAGGCGCTGCGGCGGTACCGCAGCAAGGACGCAACCTGGTCAGCGGCAGCCGGACGCGCGGTCGAGAACAAGGTACGGTCTCTGCTGCCGGCGATGGCGGGCAGCAAGGGCGGACAGGCGGCGAGGCAGTAGATTCAGATGGTCTACGGCTATTATAGCACTTTGTATTGTAGAATGAACCGCTTGCGATTGTACCGATTGTAACCGCCGTGTTTCCAGCGTGCTTTGCCGTCTGTACCCGGACATGACCTTTTTTCTTCTTCCATCTCTTCGACTTCATCACTCATCCACCTCTCACCGCCTCCCAGTCCGCTCCAGCAGCCGGACGGCCTCTTTCTCGACGGTGTCGATGTGGGCCAGGTGTTTGTCCTGGCCGCGGAGCAAGTCGCGGTCGAGGCGGTGCAGGTCGTCGGGCCGGACGGACCCATCCTTTCGCCAGGTCTGATGTGTCTTTTGGCGCCGCGCGGTGGCCCGGCGGATCTGCGCGCGCCAGCCGTTGGCCAGGTCGGACACGCGGCGGGCGCGCTCGACAGCCGCAGCGGCAGCCTCGGTGGCGCCCTCATGCACGCCGCCCATGCGGACGAGCAGGACGAGCTCATCGTCGGGGTCTGGCTGGGGCTGCTGGCCGCGGAACTGTGGGCTGTGCTGGACGGCACGCGTGATGGCCTTGCGGCTGGTGGCGCTGTGCATGCGCAGCTCGACAAAGCGGCCGCCGGCCCGCGGGATCACCAGCGCGAGCTGTGACAGCGTCGTGGTCGTGGCGCCTTCGCTGCCCGACGCGGCCATGGTCACCGGCGTCGCCCCGATCGCGTCCAGGTCTACGGCACCGCTGCCATCTGCCGCTCCGCTGCCCAGAGCCCGTCGCAGCTCCCGGAACTTGTCCTCGTGGTGGGCGTCGCTGCGCTGCCAGCGCGACTCCACGTCGGCAAAGTTGAACGGGTCGGCCGCGTCCGCCTGCGGGTGGTTGCCCCCATCATCGTCCTCGGCCGTCGGCGAGGCCTTGTCCTTTTTGTCCGCCTTGCCCCCCTTCTTGCCGCCACCGCTGGCCTTTTTCGCTCGCACGATGCTGTGCCCAAACTCCCGTCTCGAAACGGCCGTTGGCTGCCAGAGCGGCGACGTCGGCAGACTGGCCGTGGACGCCGTGGGCGTCGCTGCTGCTGCCACTGCTCCGAGAACGAGCGTGGGCCATCGACTGCTGCAGCTGCTGTCAGTCATGCTATCCATATTCGCCCTTCCGTTCGCTCGCCACTCCGCAGACACGAGTGCTCACCCGGCTGTGCAGCGGGCCAGACCGGCACCGGCGTGGCGCGTAAGAGCACGTGTTGCTGTGAAGCTCATGATGGTCGACTGGTGGGCATTGGGCTGGGTAACGTGGGCACTGCAACATTCGTCTCGTACGCCGAATATTTTTCAGGCGCAAACGGTACGGCGGCCGCAGATCAGAGGTCTCAGGTCTTGATATGCTAGAACCCCGCCAAAAATTCACGCTCCAATGATCGTGTGGCCTAGTGGTTAGGGCATGTCCTTTACAGTATTCAGTATTGATCGGATGGGATCGCAGGTTCGACCCCTGCCACGATCAATTGTATTTTTGTATTTTTGCACTTCTGCACTTTTCTTTTTGAGCATGGCCTGCTAATGCCTTTCACAACTCCCGTTCCATGCTATTCCCCTCCTGCCAGACACCACGTCTCCATGCCCATGCCTACGACCATGACCGATGCGCCGTCGGCTTCCTGTCCGTCCACCATTTCCATGTCGGCCGCGTCGGCCACCGCGCTGCTCTGGCTGTCGAGGAGCTGCACCTGCACCGAGGGCCCCACGTGCACAGCCCAGGCCTTGACCCGCTGGTCGTTGCTGCAGGATACGACTGTCAGCCGGACGGCCGCTTCCGACGGCTGTGCGCCGCCGAGAATGCAGAGACCGGTGACAGCGGCTGCGTGGGCGCTGGACACGCGGCTCGCCGTGCGGAATGCGTAGTCGGTACCGTCGCTGTCGAGGGGCGTCACAGCAAGGGCGTTGTCGTCGCCGCCTGTGACGACAACGGCAGCCAGCCGTGCAGGACCGACCAGAGGCTGCCACAGGTCCAGGCTCTTGACGGCACAGCGGTGAACCTGTGTGGTGCGCAGAAGGGTATACGAAGCTGGCTGGCTAGAGGTTGACGCTGTGTCGGCATGCCACACCGACAGGTGGCCGTCCGTGAAGGCGGCCAGGACGACGAGGGCCTGACGTGGCCGCAGACGCAGATGGCGTACATGGGTCGGACAGGCGCCGGTGTAGCGGCCGCGGGCCAGCAGCTGCCAGCAGTCATCGGCCGGACAGTAGCGGTACGTCTTGAGGACCGAGTTGGAGAGGGCCATGGTGATGAGCATGTTCGCCTTTGTGTTCGCCGGAAGAGTCCCATCGGCCTCCAGGCTCGCGTCCACGGCCGTCACGCGCAGCGTCTTGTCATCGCCCACGCGGTCTGGATAAGCTGACGCGCAGAGCACGGCGAGGCCGTCGTAGGCCGAGTCGGCAATGCGGCTGACGCGCCACATGAACAGCTCCTCGGCTCCACCAGCGCTGACGAGACAGTCGTCGCCGAGCCAGGCGAGCCCGTGGAGCCCGGTGTTGTGGCGCTTGAGGACGGCGAGGCAGTTTCGATGGCCGTCTGGCTGATTTCCTATCCGCCTGCCCTCCCACACTCGCACCACCGTATCCTCACCGCCCGTGGCCACGTACTGGCCGCTCGCACTGGCCGCTACCGCCTTGATCTCGCGTCCGTGGCCGCCTGGTCGCACCGTCGCCAGCGGACTCGCTGTCTGCGCAAACACGTGCAGCCGGCCGCCCCGTGTAAACGCCAGCCGCACTTCCCCGCCTCCCCCCAGCCGGTACGCATACGTTCGGTGCGTGCCTGCACACTCTACCGCTGCCAGCTCCTGCTGTCGCGTCTCGTTCCACACCACGAACCGCGAGCTGCGGAAGCCGCAGAGCACGAGCTCCGGACTGCTGCTGCTGCTGCTGTCCACAAACCAGGCGTCGCGGATGATCGGGCCAAATGGAAGCGACGTCTCATGACGGAGCTGGAAAGAGAGAGCAGAAGCTGCTGCGTCACCGTGCTGCTCCTTCTCCTCTATTGCATAGATCCGGTATGTGCCGTCGCGGGCTGTCGCTGCAAACGCTGAACACGACGCCCGTGGCCGGCCCGGTTGCGGCGGCAGCGGCACCACGGTCAGGATGGCGTCGCGCGTATCTGTGTGTGTCTCCACCGAAGGCGTCTCGTCGTAGTCGTCGTCGTCGCCACCTCGTCGGTACAGCAGCAGCTGGCCCTTGCGCGAACCCAGGATCACGTGCCCGCAACATCGACCGGCCGCTGTGGTAGTCACGTGATCAGACCCAGACGGCAGTCGCAGCGGTCGCGCGCGCTCGCTCAACACCCGGCCATCGACAGCGGACACGGCCAGGTCGAGAAGAAGGGCATCGTGAGCCAGCACGGCGATGACGACCTGCAGACGCACGGTGCTGTCGTCGCCGCCGTTGCCCTCCTCCTCGTCGGGCAAGAAGAACATGTCCTCCACCTTGCCAGCCACGGCTGTGTCCAGCGGTTGCAGCCGACCGCTTTCGCTATCGGACGATGTCGGCGAATACATAAACAGCCGTCCGCCAGCGCCGCCGACGAGCGCGAGGCCCTGGACGGCTGGTCCGGCGTCGGCACGCGGCGCCCGCACGACGTTGTACTTTTGCAGCGTGACCACAGCCGCCGGAGGAACGTCGACCTCGGCCCAGGTGGTGGTCGAGGCGGCGACGGCGTCCATGCGGATGCTGCCCAGAAAAAGGCGGCCGTGGCTGGTGGCGGCGAGGACGTGGTGGCCGGACAGGAATGCGTAGTTGTTGAAGACCTCGTCGCGCCGCGTCTTGGGAGGACCGTCTGGCCGAGATGGCGGCACGTGACCTTGTTCTTGTTCCTGTTCCAGTTCTTGTGAGTCGACGCCGGCAAAGAGACAGATCTTCCCGTCAGCAGCACCAGTGGCCACGAGAGGAGGCTGGTCGGATGTCCCGCGCGGCTGCAGCACGGCGGCCGCCCAGATGTTCTTGCCGGCGTGACCACACAGCGTGCGAACATGTTCAAAGCAGCTAGAGGACGCGGTCGTGTCTAGGACCAGACGCCACTCCTGGGCCGTGGCATCCTCGCCAAAGGAGAAGAGGCCGATGCTGCTGCGGCTGGACGTCGCCGGCCCAAAGCGCACGTGCCAGATGCGTGAGGCATGTGCCATGACGACGGCCAGAGCCTCAGGAGACTGGGTCGTCGTGGCATCACCATCGTCGGCTGTTTTCGTCAGGAAGCCCGTCTCGCGCGCCTCTGTCAGCACGCGACCACGGCTACCACCACGGCCTCCCGGCTGCTTTAATCGCAGCGGCCAGGCCCGGATGGTGCGGTCGTCGCTGCAGCTGACCAGAAGTCCCAAGGCCGGCCGCATCGCCACACCAAAGATGGAGCCCTCATGTCCGGAAAAGACGTCGAGGACCTGGATGTCGTTGTCATTGTCGTTGTCGCTGCTGCTGTCCGCCAGCCGACACGTCCACACGATAATCTCCCCAAAGGCTGTACCCGCTGCCACGACTAGACCGTTGTTGTGTTCGTCTTCCTCCTCCTCGCCCCATGCCAGCTTGGCCGCGTAGAGTCCCGGTCGTGACGGCGAGATGGCTGCGCCCAGCACCAGTCCTTTCTGGCCATCCACGCGGAACGGCACCACCTCGTTGTGCGCAGTGACGAGCGCGCCCAGACCGCCAGCCCGTCGTGGCAGCAGCCCGTCGTAGATCCAGTCGGGCGCCCGGGCCTCCAGACAGGCTGTTGCTGCCACACACTCTGTGCTCTGTGCTCGCTGCTCTCCCAGCCGTTCGATCTGCTCTCGGCGCACCAGCGCTGCCGATCGGCCGCCCCAGACGAGAACGTCGCCCTCGTCGTGCTCGTCCACGCAGCACCCCTGGATGGCCTGCTCGGAAAAGACAGGCAGCCGGCCGTGCAACCGGCCGAGAGACGTGGTCGACCGAGCGTCTCCGTACACACCGTACACACACAGCCAGCCGTCCTCGGCGGCGAGCAGAAACACAGACTCGGCTGCTTCTGCTTCGCCGATGCCCGGCTGCCGCCTCTGGAAAAAGGCAAGCGCCGTCACCGGGCACAACGGCGGTGCCGCGCGATGCAGCCTCGGCGGCCTGTCCATGCGAGAGATGCAGAGATGAGACTCTGCTCTTCGGTTAGAACCACTCCTTGGCCCGTTCCTGGCGCTTTTCCGTCTCTTTGCGTCTCTTCCTGGTTCTTTCTGCCTCTTTCTGCCCGTCAAACTGATTCCGAAACAGCCTCGTACTGTCGTTGATATAGCGAAAACTTTTGCGCCATATTTTAGCCTCACTTGTCTTAAGAGCAAAATACCCCCACATCTCAATGTCACTGTGCATAGCTCTCACGCAACCGCCTCCCTTTGCTGTTTACTATCACTTCTAAACTTTCCTTCACGTGCACAACGTTTAAAGCATCATAGTTCTCATTCTTTTGAGCCTTCGCCCAACAATGATCATGGTTATATAGCAAACATTAGACGTGAACAAAACGCACAAAACAAAAGAAACCCACAGCCTCCCTATTTGAAGGTCCTGAACGCCAGCAATGCCAAATGGGCAACCAGACGCAACGAGTGCGCGAACGGTCCAGGAGATCCCTCTCCACCGCGTCCCCACCACATCTCAGCTTCATGACGGCTTAGACCCGCGAGTGCGAGTACGGCTCGTACGCCAGGTCCGCCCGGCCACTCGTCTGGCGTGGAGCTCCGTACTGCGGCGCAAACGAGTTGTTGTAGTGATTGGGGTCGTTGAGCGGCTGGTACGAGCCGACCGGCACGCTCTTGTCGTTGAAGCGGACAGCCGGGGCGACAGCAGGGCCCCGGAGGCGTCGGCTCTCAGGCTTGCAGCAGCAGACCGACAGCATCCAGAAGAAGGATGCAGCGATAGCGGCACCAGCCGAGATCCAGATGACGGCCATGTAGTGCGAGTTGAGCGAGGCGGTGACGCCATACTTTTTGAGGTCGTCACGCACGACGGCCACGATGACGATGCCGGTAGCCGAGGCCAAGCCGGCCGTTACCGTCACGGTCAAAACGGCGAGTATGGCCACCAGATAGGTCAGGCAGGCGATGGTCTTGCTGCAGCTGGTGAAGAACCCGACGACGATCTCGAGCGCCAGGCTGACCAGCGCGATCAGAAAGACGATCTGCGTCCAGTGCGACAGCTTCTCAAACGCCACCAGCCCCGCCCTGACCGTCTTGGGCAGCTTCAGCGTCTTGCCCGCCGCTGCAGCCATGGTCGTGAGCGATTCTTCGGTCGCGTTGACCGCACCGGCCGCCCAATTGAAGCCCGTCTTGGAGCAGTTGCGCTTGCCCGACTGCAGCGTCTCGCAGTAGTTCCAGATGCTGATGTCGTACAGCTTGCCGATGCTGAGATCCGACGCCGTGATGTTGCTGCTGGACGACGTCGACGTCGTTGTAGTTGTCGTCGTCGCTGCGGCTGCTGCGGCTGTCGTCGTCGTCTTGGCTAGCAGAGAGGTATCGTGGAAGTCGACACGACGCTCGATGGACCGCTCGTCCGACCGCCTGCTCAACAACGATAGCAGTTCTGACTCGCTGATCGATAGGCCCGTTGTGTTGACCTGAAATATGTAGAGCGACTTGCTGGTGACGCCAGCCAGGCCGGCAATCAGCAGCGTGATGATACTGATCACCGCAAGCACAAACGGAAACGCCACGCAGACGACGCGGCCGCCGGAGACCATCTTGGGCGGTTGGGCGCTGACGAGAGACGGATGCTCACGAGAATGAGCGACTTTTGGCGAGATAGTAGCGAGAAAGAGAGAAGCCCAAAGACCTGAGGATGATAGCGGTGGATAGGAACGAGATATCTTACAACGTGAAGAAAAGGTGGGCGGTGGAATATGGGAAGAGAACGAGAACGAAACAGCAACGGGACTGGGCAGAAGACACTGATAAATACGACTGCTTATCCTCTCGGGGAGCCGACAGGGGACGAGCAAAGCGGCCTCGTCGAGCAGAGGGATTGGCGGGATGGATTTGCAAGCTTGGTTGGCGGTGCCTTGGCTGCCCTGGCCCGCCGTTTCTCCAGGCTCAGCACGCTGAGTGGCGCAGGAGACAGTCGCTCGTTGGTGGAGCAGCCTGCCACGATTGCCCGAAGAGGACTAGCGGCATGGCTCAGCCCCGGCTACGTGTATACGAGTACGTATACGTATTTTCTGTCATGTTTCTGGGCACAGCCGCAGCGAGTGCGGCCAGGCTGGGAGATCTGGGGGAGGAAGACGTGAACGTATCTTACTCCGTACAGAACACGAGACATCCGTTCCAGTGGTTTGCGAGCTCTGCACGACCAAGATGAGACCCTTCTAAGCCAAGCTTCTGCCCTCGATTCCCAGAGGATCGTCAGTGCGGTTGGGGAAATTGGTGCCGACGACCCTAGTCAATTTGGCGTTTGAGAGAGCGAGAAGGCTGCTCTCGCTACGGAGTCGTCCTGTTTCGTCCCCAGCTCTTCGCTCGTTGCGTCACCCAGCCAAAACGCTTTAGCTGCGACGTCACTGCCGTATCGAAGACTCCTTTCTGGGCTGGAGGCGACGCGGCCTGACAGCCACGAGGCTAAGCTGCCTAGTATTCTTTAAATTTTAAATACGATGGCTAAAGGATTTGCGTGAGCAGCAACAACAACCCCCCTAATTATAGAACAGTATTAGGGCCGATCCCCGCTTTTCCGCCTGCTGTCGTCTCTCTTTCTCCGGCATCACAATTTCGCGTAATCAGGCGCATCCTGTTTTCTCTCCCGGACCTGCGTCTCACCAGAGCTGCTCGCCTGGCCGCCTCGAGATCGCGGTCTCTAAATAAGATACATAACCTTATCCGTCACCCCTATTCGGCGCCCCCTCCTCCCCGCCGGCAGGTCTGGCCCAGTGGGCTGCATCGCGGCTCCATATTTCCCATGGCACTGGCCGCACTGGATGGCCGCGTAGGGCCCAAAGCTTAAGCACGTCTGTGCGGAAAAGCGCAACCGGAGCTCGTATGTGCATGGCCCTAGCTCTCCTTACTCAGCACTGAGACAGCTCAGATCCACCGGCAGCTAGTAGCTCTCTGTCGTCGGTCCATGGTGGTCTGCCTTTTCAGACGGCCCTGCCACTCGGCCCTGCCATCCTGTCTCGTATGTCCAACGTGCCGAGACGTCCTCTGCATCCTGTGCAGCATCGGCTGGCTGTTTTCTTGCACTATCACCCACCATCCGGGTGACTGTCTCTGACTGCTGCCCGTGCCGCGCCTGTCTCGCTTCGCAGTACAGCATCGCAGCATCGCAGCATCGCAGCATCGCCGCCTGCTCGTCTCGGTGGCCAGACTCTCCATCTCACGGCTGCCTTGTCGCTTCATTCTCGTTGCCCCATTGCCTTGTGACTGGACCGCAAATATACGTAATCCTTGTATTCATCAAGACACGTACGCTGTGGGAAAGAGCTATCCTCAGCGAACCTGCCCGGCACGTGCGTCTGGATTGCTCTCGCATCCCCGTTCTTCCTGCCTCTGTCTCTCCCCGTTTCCCTTCGATTTGCCTCACTTCCTGCACGCCGTCCCCATCCCCCATCCCACATCCCATCCCGGACCAGCCTCGTGACCGCCAAGTCGTCCTCGTCTGCGGCCACTCACAACCACTCTCTGGGCGCTGTGCGGCCCCCGCCTTCTCCATCCTCGCTGCAGCTGCAACGCTACGCAAGGACAGCCGCAGGCTGTCTTTCCCTCGGTGTCGAATCCAGTCGCCTCTGCACCTCCTCCCATTGCCCCCTCGCCTTTCTTCTTCCAATTACCCTATTCTCCCAAGCTGCTCCCCACTACTCTCGCCGCCGCTACCCCCCAACGCGACTCTAGCTTGGTATCGCCTATCACACTATCACAGCCAACCCCTGTTGCAAACTGTTGTTCTCGGCCAATCCGTGATCGTCTGCTCATTCAGCCAAGTTCTTTTGGCCGAGTAGTGCAGCAGCAGCCCGACTCCGACTCCAACGCTTCGAACCACCAGACCATCCATCGCTGTACTCTCGCCCCGCTGTCGGCTGCTGTCATCTTCGTCGCTTCTCGCCCGTCTCTCTCGCTCTCGCTCTCTCTCTCTCTCTCTTCTTCCTATTCCTCGCTCTCGTGAACCTCAGTGCCCGACATCGTCAGCTTCAGGCATCACCGTCACATCCCTCACCCCCCTCCCACCTCGCTCCACAGCCGTGCCTTAGATTGCCAGAGCCATATCAACCAGGACCACACACCCCTTGATCCCAATGTGCACGACGACACATTGCCCTCACCGCTTCTGCCAATAACCTCACTTGCTGTCCTTGCTGCTCAACAGAACGGTCGTTCAAAAGAACGGCACTACTGCAGCGCCCCTCATTGGCCTGCTACGAAAACAACAAAGGAAGCGAGAGCCCAGTCAACGGGTCCCGACCGGCGTCTCGCCAAGATCTAGCCCTTCTGTCCCCAACTCTATTGCCCACTCAGAACAACGCTGTCGATCTTGACCGGTACAGACCCCCTCTTCTCTTCCGTCCGTAACCCTTTCTACTTTTCTACTCTCTACCCTTCTCTCCACCTGCTCTTTCCACCATCACACATCCCAGATCCACGTTGTCAATAATCGCAACGCCCAACTTCAAACCTCTTGTAAGATATCAGCCCATCGCACCTGTGTCAGGCGGCTTCCAACAGGCCCCCGAACTCCCCGTATCGCAACGGCAGTCAGGCGCAGACCCCGTGGCCCACCCTTCCATCGCCAGTTCGATATTCGCAGACACTTTCCCAGGCGTCAGTAACCCCACACCCGGCTTCCCTCCCCATTCGCTCGCTCTGCTCTTTATCGTCCTCTTTGCTTCATTTGCTTCCTTCGAGCCTGGAGTCGGCTCACTCGACCCAAACTGCCCTCGACACGGCGCCCGAGCCTTGTCTGCTATCCCTCTCGACCCTGACCCGCTTTCCTTTCTTGTCCTCGGCGCGTCCTCTAAAATCCGATCCAGTGGCGACTTTTGCTGACATACAGAATATTACTTAGTCTCAGCAAACAAGCCCTTCTGACTACTACACACCTCTTTGCAGACAAATCCGCCCTCGTCATTCAGGACTCTTTGCTCGACATAGCCAAGACCTGCGATACCCTTCTCTCCCCAGGCCTTCCACCTGTCAGCATTCCCCGCTCAGTCTCCATTGCAATCTCATCTTCCACGTTGTCGCAAGCTCGAGACCATCTTCCGCTTTCGCCCCCTCCCACTCCCTTTGCCGCAGCTCCCGCGACCATTTGTAAACTCCCCAACCACGGAGACGACTTCGGGACACCGCTCTTTCACCAGAGCTCAGTGTGCTCTGTCCATTCTGGACCAGATCTTCTATCCTCCGTAGGACTCGCTTTGTCCACAGAACCGATCGCAACAGCTTACATCCCCAGTCGCCGCCCGCTCTGAATCCCTGTCGCCACCCGTATCCCCTTCCCTCAGAGATACCGCCTAGCGATTCTCCTCGATAGGATCGCTCACACGGCAGCTTCACTCCTGCTGGCAGCTTCCCGCCCTCTGGAAAGATGGGAAACCAGAGTTCCAAGGAAGGCGGCAGTTCAAAGGCATCGGGCGCTGATGGCCTGCAGTCCTACCCTTCTTTCAGTCGCTCTGACACCAAAGACTCGACGCGCTCCTTCCGCTCTTTGCGATCCAAGATCCCCGGTGGGAAAAATGACAGCCCACGCTCCTCCGCCATTCTCACCGGTGGCGAAGCTGGTGCCGAAAGATCAGATGCCATCTCGAGCCGACCGAACCGATCGTCTATGCCACCGTCCTCACGTCTGAACCGGTCCGACTTCGGCTCCTCTCCGACATCAGTCTCATCGTCAATCGACAACAACCAACCCTCGTCGCCGCTAAGCGATGATGGCAGGCAGCCACCGCCGTCGCCAATCCAGTCGGCCTCTATGAAGTCGGGCAGACATAATGTCAGCTCGGCCCAGGCCAGCGGCGAGGTCGATCACGTGTCCGAATCACCACCGTCTGCAAGTGCCCCAGACCCGAACATGCCACTGTCGGAACCAGGCCAGTCCATTCTCTCTCGTCGTGACAGCATTGCCAGCAATTCGACCGCCTCAAGGCCGCTGGCTCCTGGCACTCCTGGCGTCGAGGAGGCCGGCAACATGACCATGGGCGACATCCAGGGCATCGATATCGATGACTACATTAAGCGCTTGTTGGATGCTGCCTACGCAGGCAAGGTGACCAAGGCTGCGTGCCTTAAGAACGCCGAAATTGTAGCTATTTGCCAGCGCGCTCGCGAATGCTTCCTATCACAGCCGACGCTGCTCGAGCTGGATGCTCCGGTCAAGATCGTTGGCGATGTTCACGGCCAGTACACGGACCTGATCCGCATGTTTGAGATGTGCGGCTTCCCCCCGTCATCCAACTTTCTCTTCCTCGGTGACTACGTCGACCGGGGGAAGCAGTCTCTCGAGACTATCCTACTTCTCATGTGCTACAAGATCAAGTATCCTGAAAACTTCTTCTTGCTACGGGGAAATCACGAGTGTGCAAACGTGACACGCGTCTACGGCTTTTACGACGAGTGCAAGCGTCGCTGCAACGTCAAGATTTGGAAAACTTTCATCGACACATTCAACACTCTGCCCGTGGCTGCCATCGTGGCTGGGAAGATCTTCTGTGTGCACGGCGGACTGTCGCCTGCTCTCGACCATATGGACGACATTCGCCACATTACCCGGCCAACAGACGTGCCCGACTATGGCCTATTGAACGACCTGCTATGGTCCGACCCGGCTGACATGGAGCAAGACTGGGACTCGAACGAGCGCGGCGTCAGCTACTGTTTCAACAAGAAGGTTATCACTGACTTCTTGGTCAAGCACGACTTTGATCTGGTATGCCGCGCGCATATGGTCGTTGAGGACGGCTACGAGTTTTTCAGCGACCGGGTATTGGTTACGGTGTTCAGTGCGCCCAACGTAAGTCAAGCTTGTTGTTTTTGGTTTTTCTGTCCTGCCATGGATCTCACTAACACGGCGTCAGTATTGCGGCGAATTCGACAATTGGGGCGCTGTGATGTCGGTCTCGTCGGAGCTGCTCTGCAGCTTTGAGCTTCTCAAACCACTGGACTCGAATGGGCTGAAGAGCCACATCAAGAAGCAGAGAAATAACCGCAAGAATTTTATCAACAGCCCTGTAAGTAAACCCAGCGCAAAACTAATGTCTGAGCCCAATTTACTGATGCATTAAACTGCCAGCCTGCCAATGTGTATCCTCAGAGTGTGTAGTCACTGGAAGTATAGGTGGTGTGTTTTCATGTGGACAACAGAGGCAACGACCCTCGCTCAGCCAAGAGAAAGGAGCGGATTACTTTCATTACGACGACAAGTGCATATGTTTATACGGCCATATTATGCACAAACTGTCTCGTCCTGCTATGGAACAGGCTTGTGTTTTACTTGCTGCCAGCACCCTTGGGCGTCTCTTTTCCATATACTCGACGAAAATACGAAGATGATACTCAGTCTGCGGATAAAGCGCACCTGGCTCATCGAAACCAGCCGATGGAACACGGCTGGAGGAACTAGCAGATGGGACCTTTTCTACGGGTCGCAAAAGAGGCACCCATAGACGGGCACGAAACCATAGGCAACTAGCTTGTCTTGCTTACCTGGGATGGTACATTTCAAAGCTGCCAAAAGAATCGCGATATGCGGTCATGTCTTGATGGTTCGTCTCAGCGTTGTGTGTCTGTACACGCCAGCTATCTGGATGCGCGAACCCGTTATTGATGGGACGTAAGATGCCATATTTCTTACGTATGTAACGGAGTATTTCGGTCTTTTGGCTGCGCTTAGCGGGCCAGCCCAGACTGTTTACAACAAACCAAACTCTACTCTACCGACACGAAATACGAAGAGGAAAGCTGAAAGGACAATGAACCAGACATGAAGTGAACGGGCCGGGTGGGTGTTTTTTTATTGTTCAAGGAGGATCTTGAGATAGGAAGCTGCCGGCGTGCATAGAACAGGCAAGAGCAAAACTGTATGGCCTACATTGTAGGACTACTGCGTGGCTATAGATTTTTTTACTTCCGTTTTCTACCGTTTCGCTGGCCTTTCGCTTTCTCTTGGGCGAGGCCCCATAATAGCCAATGTTTTAGGAACAAGACGAGCTCTTCTTTAAAATATTGTTTTATTTGGCCTGACTTACTTTTGCGTGGCTTTGCGTGGTGAAACTTGACAAATTTGTATCTTACTTTACTCCCCAAAAGCATGGTGCACAACCATGGGATTCAAGGGAGTTATACTAGGATGATTGGGCTAAAACAGAACGGCAATTGCAATCGAGGCAACGGTCGGTTAAGGATTGTGTTATGGACTGTGCTGTCCCTAGTAACCAGAGAGGCTTTGAAGCTTTATAATGGCTGAAACAAACAAACAAAAGCGGACTATGTAGGCTGGCAACAATACACAAGCGGAATAAATATAGAAGTATACCATAAATACCAAACAGACCGGCCACCCACCACTCCCTTTGTCCTTCCTAGGGTGCGAGTAAAATGTTCAGGAATTCAGACCCCATAACTCCCAATGACGAGGAGAGTATTGCGCAATATATGGTGTGGGCTGTTAAGAAGTATCCCAATAGCAACAGTCTGCCCAATCAAGACCGTCCGACCGTGGGAAAAGAAGCAAGATATAGAGACAAGAAACCCCCTCTGGGGCCAAAATAGAAAAGAAAAAAAAAATTCCACAACTGACCAAAGGGATATCTCGCTAAAAAGAGGAAGACCAGCAGCGTGGGTGAAGCGAGGTGTATATAGAGGGCACTGTGGGCAGAGGATGCATGCCATGGTGCAATATGGCCGATATCGTCTGTGGTGTGCGTGTGCGTGTGCGTGCGTGTAGAGTGAAAAAAAGGCCCGAGGGAGGTGAGTTATAAAGATGAACCGTGCTGTTTTGCCGGCTTATCAGACAACGATGCTGGACGTCTTGCGGCCCTCGGCCTCCTCGAGCGGGAAGCTGAAGACCAGCTTGAACAGATCTCGCAGGAAGCCGTATTGATTCGACCGGAGCATCATCCAACCAACGCTCTTGGCGGCATCCGAAGCAGCCACACGTCGACCCCGGCTGGGAAGGCTGTTGGACGCCCGGAATGCGTCTGCCAGAACCAGGCTCTTGTAGCTTTGCAGCAGAGAGGCGTGTGCGGGGAGGCTGCCAAATGATCCAGGCGGCAGGCTCTTCACGAATGCCTGTAGTGACTTGCTGGCGGCCTTTCCATCAGTCGCGGTTGCGTCCCGGCTGAAGCCGATGTTCATGGCTGCTTTGAGGATCAGCATCTTGATGCGCGTGACATTGATGTCCTCAGCCGAAGTCGCCGTCGTAGCGGTGCTGCTCGTCTTGTTGCTGCCTTGTGAATAGCCCGACAGATTGGATGCGCTGCTGGGCCACTGCTGCCTACCGTTGCTACTCGCTCCATGGCTTCCTCGCGATGACAGGTCCGTGCTGCTGCTGTTGCTTGTTCCCAGCACCATGATGTTAGGCATCTGCGGACTTGAGCTTTCGGGTGAGACAGGCGTGTCCTCAAATTCGGTCACTGGCGTCTCGGGGATCTGTGGTGTTGGCAGTGGTTGTGCCTGCATCTGCGAGCTTCGTAGTTTCCGTGTCGAGGCCACAGAGCTGGGCCGATCCTGTAAGCCAGGGAAGCTGTCGCGTTTCGAGTGGTTGGACACCCGGCTGTTGGACGACATAATGCTAGCAGTGTCCATCATCTGCGGCTGCTGCTGCAGCGACTGTTGGAAGTTGATTTGGCTTGGACGTGGCGTGCCACGGTCTGGTCGTATCTGTGTCCATCCTTCCCGGAAGATGTCGCATAGCTCCCAGCAGGCCTGCACAGCCGATCCGAGGAGCTCCTCGTCTGGGGCTTTGCCATCGCGTGAGTTCTGCCGCAGGCTGAAGAGCATCTCTGCCAAAGACCAGCACGCTCGCAGCAGCGAGTCGGTCTCCTCGGCCAGCTCGCTGCGCTGCTTCATCAGACGGTGGCAGAGCGTGATATAGAAATCCAGCGTTCGTTCTTTAAACGGCTCGGGCAGATTTTGCCAATCCTGGCCGCTATATAGACTTTGAAGGAAGCTTGAAGTTAGCATAGTCGTTCTAGATACAAACACGGAAGCAAACAGCAAAGGTTTGCGTGACACATGGGATCTACATACTGGTTATTGAGCTCGTAGCAGACTCGAAAGACAGAGTCAGCACCCGGGTCCTTCCGCTGGCGGACATCAAATAGCGCCTGGCAGAAATCGCGGCACAGGTCGAGGTTGGTCCCAACACTGAAGCTTTCGGAAGCCTCATCTCGGCTGTGGTAGAGCCGCTGACACAGTTTCCAGCAGCATTTCCAGGCCTTCTCATGTGCATCTGGGGTTCCAGAGCTGTTAAATACCCTTTCCCGGTGAATGGAGCTGAGGTTTGCAAGTGTATTGCACAGAGTCCAGCACTCTTCGAGAGCTGCTCGCAGAGCAACAATCTCTCCGCCACCGTCCATATGGGGGCTCGTGATATAGTCGTCGTAACCGTGATCATTGTAGAGGTCAGACTCATGACTCTCCGGGATGTCTGTGTCACTTGTTCAGCACAAATTCAAGGCTAGGTCAAGACTTCCAAGCAGGAGCAGCACGTACTTTCCAGCCCACCAGCGCTCGATGAGCGACGCCTCGAAGGATCGTTGAAGATGTCATCGAGGGTCTGGGCCTGTGGTGTGGCCGAGTCGATGTTGTACTTGACAGGCTTCACGTCTGTTGAGATAGGTGGCGGGGCCTGAGACTGGTGGGTCTGTTGTACCGGGTGTGGTCAGCATTGCTGCCTGTGTGATTTGAAGTTGCAGAAGGTTTACCTTGTCTTCTGCTTCGCTGACTGGGGGGCTGATGATCCCCGAGACCCTGTCGCCCCCTTGCTGGACTGTTGTTCCTGAGTTGGTCTCCATCTAATAGGTGTGTTAGTGGCAATGACCAGTAAAAGTAATGATTTTACGCTTACCCAAGAATGAAAGCTCTCCGGCGCATGGATGACAGAGACCGCCTCCTCGCTTGAAGCCTGGCGTATGTGGCTCGGAAGATTTGTTCTGAGCATAATGAGCTGATGACAGGTGATCAGCGACAAGCGTTCTTTGTGGGCACCCAGCGTGGTAACGGGCTGCATACCTGAGAGTTTCGCTGGTCACCAATGCTGTCTTCGGCCTCATCGTCTTCGATTTCTGTTGTTTCTGTGCCATTTGATGTTACGGGAGACGGTCCGATATCACTCGTTGGGCTCATGAATTGCGCCGACAAGTTGCGGAAATTTTGTTGGTATTGCTGCGCATGCGAATCGGCGCTGGAACGAGATGAGGTAGACCTGGCAGCATGATTAGCAAAGAAGGGGAAAAAGGGTCGTCTCATCCTTAGCATACATGGCCAATAGCTTGTTTCCAGCGGGCGATCCAGGGGACATAGGCAGATCTGATTGAGAGAAGGTGATGCTCCCAGTAGAAGATCGCAAAGTCGCTTGAACAGCCATGGCTCACTTTTAAGTGCAGGTGTCAGTGGCAGCGACAATGGCCAAGTCTATGCAACGGTTGAAAGAAAGAAGGATGCAAGGAGGCTTGGACTCATCCGCCTCACACGATCGCAGTCCGGGCCAGATGTTGGACCGCAGTAGGCAGACTGGAGATTTGTGCGCGTTGCAATGGCAGAGAGCGACGGCGGTCACAGGCAGGTCGGGCGGCAAGCGGCAAAGTGAAGACGTTAAGCGGATAGTGAACAAAACAGAGTGGGGAACAATTGGCTCGGCCGTTGTGGTTCGAGGAGAGAGTGCGATTGGGGAAGGGAAGGGTGGAAGTGAGAAGCAAGCGGGTGTGTGGAAGGGGCCGCAGGAGCTTATTAAGGCCCGGGAGCCGTTGTCTCGATCAATTTGGTATGGGCTTGGTGTGGCGTAGCCGCAACAGAGCTGGGAGGCTGCAGGGTCGATGTTCGTCCGTGAAGGCTGTTTGTGAGTAGTCTAACACGACACTCCACAGGCCAGTGAGAGGGGGCAGGATGATCGGTCAAGTTCAATGGTAAAGGAAGAAAGTAAGAGGAGGATGTAAAGAGGGAGAAGGAAAGAAAAAGTAGACAGTGGAGAGACAATTGAGGCAGGTGGGAGAAACGGAGGGTGGGATGACAAGAGGAGCTGCTGCTGCTGCTGCTAGTGAGGTGAGTTGAGGAGAGCCGTGAAGTTGTGGGATCCAACAGGCAGGCAATGCCTGCAGTATGGGCCTGTTGATGATGCGTCGATTTTTCTTGATCCCCCGGGCCTTTGCGCAGCGATGGGAGCGGTTCTTCCACGCCTTTTCTGTCTGCTGGTCGTGTTGGTAGTGGTGCCGGTGGGAACTCCTGGCAGCTGCAGGACGGATTACCAGCCGAGGAATGGACGAACACGCGAGAGCAGACAGGGTTGCTAGAGGAGGGAAAGCAAAAGGACGAGGGTCTGTCTGCATCCGAGTGGGAACCAGGGTGTGCGGATGTGTGTGTGGAGAGAGCGAGAGAAAGCAGCCAGAGCGCGTGAGAAAGAGAAAAACAGAAGGCAAGCAGGGCGTTAATGCGCCAAGTAAGTCTGCAGCCTTGTCGTGGGGACGGAGCGAAATCAAGACGGACACGGGCGAGATGACGAGATGACAAGAAGTCACGACCGCACAGAAGACAGCCGGCAGAAATCAGGACGCAAAGAGTGAAGATCGAGGGAGAAGTAGTAGAGCCGCAAGCAGAGATGTCGAGGCAGAGAGGAGGAGTTAGGCTCCCTTGACGTTGTGTCCATCAACGAGTGAAGACACGGATATGGACATGCGAAGATGGAGGGGGAGGGATGCAGAGAGACTAAGGAGAGGAAAGGTCATTGGAGAGGGAATGGGGGGAGTGGAGGGCCTGCCGCTGTCCAGACATGCGCACCATTCAGATGTGCAGCTGCGCGTCTTTGCTTTGTTCTGACCAGTAAGAAGCGAGACTGGGCTGGATTGGCCTGATGGAGCTGCATGACGAGCGACCAGGGGCCGGCGCTTAAGCCAGGCAGTTGATTGACGCAGGACCTGCTCCTGCGTCCCGGTGGGAGCGGCAGAAGGATGCATCGCACGTCTGGCCCCCGGCACTCTCCTCTGCCAACCCGGTAGCATTGTCTCTGTCTTTCTGTCCTGGTCGGCTTCACGTTGGATCAGGATGGATTCGAGGGGTGGTGGGCGACCGACCAGCCAACCCCATCTGGGCAGCTTGTCGTGAAGAGGGGTGACGGAAGAACACGGACCAGCGGGCGGGGGGAGACGCAGCCCCCGGCATGATTCTTTTGTCGCGATGGCATTCACTTTGTGAGAAATGAATAAAAATGTCTGGATTTTGCAACTGGCGTTTTGTGCCATTGGAAGATAGGGAGGTGCGCTGGGGTCGCTGTGTGGGTAGTAACGGCCCAACCCGCTCGTAGTTTCCTATTGAGGCAGCTCTGGTGTCTCAGACAATTTGCTCCAGCCAGCAAGGTCCAGCCGCCGTGCTTTCTTCCGTCCTTGCCTAATATGTATTACGTTCTGTTACTGCTCTTTCCCAAGTGGAAATTGGAGATTACGACACTCGTATTTGGTGCGTCTTCTTTCGGTGGAACAGCCGTAGCAATTGCGACTGCAGGTTATATGTTCTCCCACGGGCCGTTGGGAAAGTATAGGATTAGCCGAACAATACTCCGTGCACTGCTTACTGTCTTCCGGCCAGCTTTGCTCGCACCCTTCAGCTTGCCTGCTCATCCTGACGATCTGGGATAGGATAAAAAGCTACATAGTAGCCTTCTTCGTGTGAGCACACCGTTACAGCTGTCTCGAAAACTAAGAGCCACAGCACGGCGAAGAGTAATGGGGAGATCGGCTTTTCGTCACTGCACCTTGACCAGTATCTTACAACCAGCGTGGACCGGTTGGGAAACAACGGATGAGATAAACCATCAAGGGGAGCTAAATGGCGAGGAAGGCTGGAAATCGCTCTTTTCCGTCGAGAAAACGAGACGACGGCAGGCGGACGGCCGATCATCTGGCGCGTAACACGAACGAAGCAGCGCGCTATTAGTCCATTCGGCATCTTGATTGATTGAACCACATGCCAACACAACAAGAGCCACAATATTCCCGCACAACACCTCAGACGTGTCTGGTGTAGTCGTCCCTTGCTGCTGCCGCCTGCAGTAGACAAGATAGACTCTGGCGCCTGTGAGAAGTGTCGGTGGGCCAGCCGAAGCTTACGTTGCATTGCCGATGGCATTCTTCCCATCTTTGGCAAGTGATATAGACGGAAAAATTGGCGCGCTACATAGACATTGGTTGGCTCTTTGCCTGCTATCGTCTCTTTTTGCTCCTTTAGGCTTGGGGTAGAAAGCGCTGGAATGGACGCAAAAAGAAAAGGATAAAAACGAGAGAAAATTCCAGAAAAAGAAAGGAAAAGGAAAAGAGCAAAGAAAGCACGCGGAGTGGCTTTCGGGTCCATCCCCGCGACTCTTGTCTAAGAACTTCAGATTGGAGAGCACCTGTTCTCCCATCCAGTCGCTGGTTAGGCGCCCGGAAAACTGGTCAGACCCACTGTGACTGCCTGTCTCTTTATACTATATATCTTACCCTCATTTTGGTATCCATCCGCCCACGGCAGAAGCCTTCCCCACCTTTTGCTTTAACAGAGTGTGTGAGCTGTGTACGGATCACTCCGTACCTTGTTACGTCTTGGCTACTGGAAGGAGCCTCTTGCATGATCCATACTCTCGTGATGGGTGAAGGCCGGAATCAGATATCGAGTAAACACTGTCTCCAGTCCAAAGTACCGTGCATGTTGTGTAAAAACCAGATTTGTACTCTCTGTCCATACTATTACAGAGCTCACAGCCCTCGTTTCCCCTCCGCAGTCACCGACGGTCACATTACCTGACGGCGCTTCTGCCCATCCTCTACATTTGTTGAGGTAGTACAACAAGTCGTATGATACTAACCTGCTCGAGCAAGAAACCTAGACAGAAAGGGGGCATTGGTGACACGAGAACACAGCCATCTAGAGGGTTGCCGTTGGTCTTTGCGTGGTACTATTATGTAGGAGAAACCCACTTGGACGCATGTTATCCGGCTAACAGACGCGCCTAGAGGGTAAACAGGTGAAAAAGCGGACCTCGATGCAGGCAACGGACTGAATTTCCTAATCGAGGGGTGCACAGAACAGCAAGGCTTTGTCGGATGGACCATCCTCGGAGCACCATCGCTACTTTGCGGTGTGGCGAGACAGCACAGCAGTTCCACTCTTTGCACGGAGTATGCTTCGGCCATTGCATCCATGTGCAGCGTCAGTCCGGCTGAGCCACCGAGTGTTCGACGAGTCTGCCTGAGATGTAGATCAGCGGCCCATCTGCAGACCGACACTTTGCCCAAGGTCCAGGGCCTATATATGCGACCCAAGGCCGATTTGAATCTAGCTGCAGTGACACAAACCCTGACATGATATCGCATTACGTAGAATGTCTAGCCAGCGGCAAAGTCTGTGCTTCTGGTGCCATTGCGTCTTTGGCTAAGCGATGAACCGTCATTTTTTGTGTACAGTAGCAGCATGGATGGAATGAGTCCGTTGGCTGTTGTTTTCCCAGGCCCATGCATGTTCTTCCGTCTTCCTCGCAGGTCCTGAACGCTGTGTATATCCACTGCAAGCGCCGAGGCAGACAGATAGGTGACACCAGCAGCGCTGTTCTCGGAGCTAGAAGTCCATTTGTAACCATTCACACCTCTCAATCTAGTCGCAACAAACGCCACCCATTGAACCCATGCTAGACAAAGCAAGAACAAGCAATAATCCGAACAACCATAAATACAGTCTTTGGGAGAAATCTGAGTATCGTTCGTGACCGCAAAGTCGGCATTCGCATCGGGCGAAGGGTCGTGCGAGCTGAGCGGTCGTAGAGGGAGTGAGAAGCAAGATCGAAGTGCCGAAAGGGGGAAAGCATCAGGCTAGAGAGCGGGTGACGGGTTCACTGGTTGGCAAGAGCAATCTTCTTCTCGCTACGGCCGTCCGGAGTGTACCTAAAGCGAACATTAGAGAGGGCCACTAACTATGAGGCAGTAGGGGAAGCAAGGTGAGATAGACGCCCGGCATATGGGAGGTCTCCACAGCTCGTGGGGGATGTGTACATACTTGAGGAGCTTCTCAATCAAGTCCACGTGTGTCATGATCATACGCCGACAGCAGTACCGCTTGCAGCCCAACTGATCCATGGCGTCGCTAGAGACGTATGTCAGCCCTGACGCATCGACTAATGTGGCTAGGAGCGGTTCGCGGTGATATTCTTACCCATCGGGAACGTTGTCGTCTAGAAGTTTGAGGTAGCGCTCCCAGAGATCGCCGACCACCTATTGTCGCGTCAGAACTTTGCACTGGAAGAAATCGAAAAGGCCTGTCTGCGAGCAGGACAGGAGGCGAAGGGAGAACTGACCTTGCCGCAGGAGAAGCACCGGATGGGGATAATCATTTTCTCGGTTTTGTTGGGTCTAACAGCTGGTCAGGTGTGTGTTGCTCGTAGACGACGTTCCGTGGCAAAGGAGGATGAGGAAATTCGCGTGCATCTACGGAGTACGGCTGGCGGTCAAAAAAGTTTGGCGGGACGGGATAACGTTAGGCCGGAACTAGTTTCTTATCGTAGACAATTTCTGCTTATCGACTTTTTTTTTGGCGGCCGTTAACTGGGGCGCTGTTCTGTATAGAGATTTCTGCAGAGAACTTGCACAATCGACTCGAGTGACGGCATAGAGAGAAGCCAGCACGGCGAGCTTTCAACTACACGACACGACAAATCGACCATACAGGGAGTCGAAGAGCCAAATCGCAGATATGGCATCAAGAAAGGCGGCATCGGCGGCCGCGGATGCCCAGAAGAAGCGGAAGCGAGAGAAGATCGAGGACGCAGGCCGGTCCAAAAAGAGAAAGCCGCAGGACGAGAAGAACAAGGGTGCGATTGTGGTGAAGCAGGCCGGAGAGACGACCGAGCCGGTTGTGGTCCGACAGAGCAGTCGGCCGACGTTGTGGAAGCTGTCGGAGCCCATGGGCGGCTGCATGTCCGACATCGACCCAATTTTTACGGCCGACGAAGGGTTTGTCTGACGGTTTTCTTCATGTGCTGAGGACGGTCGAGCGCTGACACGTGGCAGACGCCTCATTCTCGCATACAGATCGTCGATTCAGGTGTACTCGACTGCCGACTCCCTCCTAGAGCGTCGCATCAAGCTGCCGCAGCCGGACGGCGCAGCCGAGCGCGCCGGCCACATTGTTGGGGCCGTGCTGTCGCCGCTGGCCGAGGAGATCGTCTGGGTCGGCTGTGCGGACGGATCCATCTTCTTGGTCAACTGGTTGTCGGGCGCGGTGGAGCGGCTGAGCCGGCAGCAGGAGCCGGCACCCAAGCTGGTCGGCCTGGCCGTCGAGCTCGTCCACGTGGCCCATCAGCCGAAAGAGGTACTCTTCCTCTCAGAGGGCTCGCGTGGTGCATGGCATGTGACGGCCTACGACACTGCAGCGCTGGCCACGTTGCCCGGCCGCACGCTGTTCTCGCACAACGGAGCCACGGCCATCGAGCACCTGCGCACGGTCAACCACGGGCGGATCGTGGTCGGCGCCAGCGGCCAGACCGTCTTCGTCGGCGAGTTGCAGCTGGCCGAGGGCCGCATGCCCGTAGCCGTGGCCGAGCTGACCTACCAGTTCTTCTCCGTCGACGCGGTCGACGAGGTGTCCTGCCTAGACCTCCGGACGACGACGAAGAAGCGCGGTCCTGTACTCGACCTCGTGCTGGGCTGTGTGCGGGGTGCCATTTACGTGTACGCCGACGTGCTCTTCCGGCTACAAAACGCCGCAGCAGAGGGCGCCCGGAAGAAGGCCGTGGCGGGCATCCACCCGCGCAAATACCACTGGCACTCGCGGTCGGTGTATGCAGTGAAGTGGTCGCGAGACGGTAGGCAGAAAGCCGACCTTGGTTTCTGGCCCGATGGCTGACAGGTGCTGCAGGAAACTACTTTATCTCGGGCGGAGCAGAAACGGTGCTCGTGCTGTGGCAGACCGATACGGGCCGGCTGTCGTTCCTGCCGCATTTGGCGGCCAGCATCGAGAACATTGTGGTATCGCCACGCGGATCATCGTACGCCATCCACCTGGACGACAACTCGATGATGGTGGTGTCGACGGCCGAGATGAAACCGACGTGCTACGTGTCGGGACTGCAATCGCTGGCGTTTGCGTCGGCGCCGCGCAAGGACGCAAGCGTGCGTCGGGCCTGGCAGCCGATCGAGACCATCACGCATCCGGTGCCAGCGGTGATCAGCCCGACAGATGCATCGCGGATTCTGCTGCGCGTGGGCAACGGCCAGAAGAACACGATGGTGGGCGAGGTTCCATCGGCCTCGCTGCTGCAGACGTTTGACATTGGGGCCTTCCAGAGTGTGGCCAAGCAGCCGCTGGCCCGGACGAACCCGACTGACTCCAATCTGACGCTGCGCGGCCACCCGGTGACGGAGCCGACGATCACGCAGCTGTGCACGTCGCTCGACGGCAAGTGGCTCGTGTCCGTGGACGAATGGCAGCCGCCACCGCGCGACATCAGCGGCATCGCCGGCGAGCCGTCACTGCAGGACGACTGGGCGCGGGAGCGGCGCGAGATCCACCTCAAGTTTTGGGCGAGCGTGGATGGCGGCAGCAGCGGAGAGGCTCCGGCCTATGAGCTGGTGTCGCGCGTGGACGAGGCGCACCGCACGACGCAAGTCGAGCCGATCCTGGGCGTCGCAGCTGACAGCGGGCGGGCGAACCGATTTGCCACGCTGGGCGACGACGCCGTGGTTCGGTTCTGGGGCTTGCGGCAGCGCGTGCACGACGGCCTGGCCGCCAAGGATGACAAGGGTCGGGCGCTGGTCAGCTGGCACTGCACGCAGGAGGTAGTGCTGCCGCTGGGCGAAGGCGGCAGCCAGAGCGTTGTCGGTCGTGACGGGCTCATCGCCCGCGAGCCCAAGACCAAGGCGCGGCGCAGCGGCGCCCTCACCTTCTCCGACGACGGTTCGACCGTGTTTGTCGCCTTTGGCGCCCCCGATGAGGCCGTGCTGTACACCATCGACGCCGAGTCGGGAGCTGTGCGCGCCTCGCTGCAGGGAATGTTTCGTGGCGATGTGCGCGGCGTCGAGAGCCTCGGGGCCACGCTGGTGCTGCTGTCCGAGGACCTGCGGGTATACGATGTCGTGGCCGATGAGCTGCGGTATGGCGTGCGGCTGCTAGGTGTCGAGAGCGAGAGCCAGGTCGGAGACGAGACAGAGGAGAAAAAGAACAAGACGGTTGCTGAGTCATCTGCTTACTCAGCATTGACGCAGCTCGTGGTTGGGCGCCAGTCGCAGACGTTTGCGGTCGCCGTGCCTCGCGCATCCTCGGCCCGGCAGGCGGCTTCGCGGCTGATGGTGTTCTCGCCAGAGCACGCCCAGCCGCTGCTGGTCGAGGACCTGCCGCACCTGGTGGTGTCGCTGCTGCCGGCCGTGGGCCTGTCGGGCTTCCTGGCCATCGACGCGACGGCGCAGATCTGGTCGGTGGTGGACGCAGCCGACACAGCCGCTCTGGGACGGCCGCTTTCGGATCTGAACCTGCCGATGACTGTGGCAGTGACTGCAGTTGAAAAACAGCTGCAGCTTGCAGACGGCGACGGGGAGGACAACGAGATGGCGGACGTCGACGGCGCAGTCGAGGACGAGTCTGACGACGAGGCAACCAAAGACGGAGACGAGGATGAAGACGACGAAGACGAGGACGACGAAGACGAAGAACAAGACTCGCATGCAGCCGTGATTGCGCCGCAGAAGCTGCGCGACATCTTTGACGCTGCGCCAACGACGTCGGCGTCGATTGAAGAGCTCTTCTGGCAGGTGTCAGGCCTTCTGTCAGCACTGCCGCAGCTGGTGCCGGCCGGACGGACGTGAGCCGGAACTCGTAGACCAGGCTTCGTCTGTCGATGTCGCCATGGCCGAATTGCGCGGGGCTGAGCTGCAGGTGGCGATTGCGCCATTCTACGGAGTTTATCTTACAGGAGGGGCGTATTTTAGTTAGGAACAACCAAAATCTCGTGACCAGCCGATTTGGCAGGTGCGTTCTGTGTATTTGAGTGTTAGCAGAACGTTGGTTTAAATACAAGAGCAAGTACAGAAGAAAGAGACATTCTGCGCGACAAGACAACATGTCATTTACGTCAATCCCCATTCTCGACCTGAGCCGATCGCGCAATCCGGACACCAAGCCGGCCTTTCTGGCAGAGCTGCGCGACGCCCTCATCGAGGTCGGCTTCTTCTACATTAAGAATGTCGGCATCCCGGACGAGCTCTTTCGACGGGTAATAGAGCAAGGCCGAGCATTCTTTGACATTCCCGAGGAGGAGAAGTAATAGGTTTTCCCTTATGTTGCTTTCTTCCTCTCTGTTCTGCCCTCTCTTCAGCTCTCTGGCTCATCACACCACGTCTCCCCCACTAACACCCACACTCCAGACTCAAGATCGAGATGAAAAATGCCCCGTCGTTCCTGGGCTACTCCCGGCTCTCGGCAGAGATTACGGCTGGTGCGGCTGACCACCGGGAGCAGATCGACCTGTCGACGGAGCACGCCGAGCCGGTGCCGGACGCGCCGCGCTACGAGCACCTGCTGGCACCCAACCAGTGGCCGTCCGCCGCCGTCCTGCCGGACTTCCGACCGGCCTTCTCTGAATTTCTCGACCGCATGGGCGCCATGTCGCTCGACTTCACCGCGCTCATGGCCGAAGCCATTGGCCTGCCGGCCACGGCCTTTGACCGGTATTTTGACCCGGATCCGGCCCGCCGCCAGCACAAGCTCAAGGTGGTCAAATACCCGGACGAGGCAGAGCTGGGGGTCGGCAATGGCGACGGCAGCAGCCAGGGCGTCGGCCCCCACAAGGACAGCATGTACACGACCTTTCTGCTGCAAGCGAGCGCGCACCACGGGCTGCAGGCACAGAACACGCACGGCCAGTGGGTGGACGCGCCGCCAATCGACGGCACGCTCGTCGTCGTGATCGGACAGGGGATCGAGGCCCTGACCCAGGGCGTCTGCGTGTCGACAACACACCGGGTGGTGTCGCCGCCAGCCGGCGCCGGTGCCCGCTTCTCCATTCCGTTCTTCCAGGGCGTCCGGCTGGACACGGCGTTTGAGGAGCTGGAGCGTGTCGGCATCGGCGCCGTGCCAGAGCCCGTCAAGGACCAGCGGCGCGCCGTGCTGGCAGCTGCCGCCGCCGCCAACGGAGGCCGTCTGGACGACGTCGAGTTCACCTTCCGTACCGGCGGCGCGGCCAAGACGCTCGGCGAGGCCACGCTCCGCAACCGCGTCAAGAGCCACCCCGACGTCGGCGAGCGCTGGTTCCCGGACATTCTCGCAGACATCCGGGCAGAGGAGCGGCAGCAGCAGAGGAAGAAGGGGGATGGGGAGGCCGTCCGGCCAGGCGAGACGTCGTCTGCTGTTGGTGCAGCCGTAGCCGTCCCAGCCCACTAACACAAAGCAGAGGCCCAAGCAATAGCCAATAGCCGAAAGAAGATAACGACCAAAACGTAAAGAGACTCGTTTCACATAATGTTTACGCTTCCACATGCCAGCTGTCAAAGATGCTAACGCCTATATCTCCACTGCAACTGCCCTCCACTAACTCTTTCCGACAAGCTCCGGCCTTCGGTCCCTCGTCCCTACTACCGGGGCCTTATTTCTGATACTTTGGGAAGCATTCGGCTAGCGTTTTGTTGTGCTTGTTGGAGGAGTGGTCGGTGAGACTGAAAGGTCAGCAAATGGGCCACAGCCGTCATCAGAGACACTGGGGGGAAAGACTAAGAAATGGCCTGCTCACGCATTCTCCCGGGTCGTGCTGAGGAAGGTGGCCTTGCAGACCTCGCACTGAATGTTCAGCGCCTTCTCGTTCAGCTTGAGTTGTGACTTGGCCGTCGCGCCACTGTTCTTTGCGTTGCGCTCGCGCTTCTGCGCTGCCTTGGCACCCTGCTGCATGTCAGTCTCTTCCCCTCGTCCCGCCTTTTGTTCTTCTACTCCCCACACGCAGACACAAGGGCTACTTACGTTGCCGCCACCCATTTTGCGGTTTTGTCGAAGAAGGAAGAAGAGGCAAGGACGAGATTGTTCGTATCTCAAGGCTGAGAGGCGTTTGCTGGCGGTGGGAGGAGAAATGAGAAATAGGTGAGTTTTTCTGCCGTGGGAATCGTCTGAATAAAATGCCACCAAGTGGCAGAAAAACCCTCCAAAAAACTAGGCTCCCCCGTTTTGCATGTGTTCCATTCTCTAGTGGGGTGCTTCCACCTAAAACATACTGTACAACTTGCACAGTGCTGCTTAGCTAACTCGACTCAGTGCATCGCGACCGCGCCTTCCTACTTTTTCCAGAAGCAGTGCAACTGCTACGCTTGATGCCATGAACGTGTCTGCTATTCCGTCGCCCGACAACATTTCCATTGACGAGTTTGAGCAGCTGCTGGCTCGCTATCCGGCCGTGCTGCAGGCCGTCTCGGATGCCAAAGGAGGTGAGAGCGCCAGAGAGCTGTCGCTGCTGCTGCTGCCCGCGTATCTCTGACCATCATCCCGTCTCCTCAGCCAAGACTGGACAGCAGACATTGGCCGAGCTCGATGCGTTCCGCTATCAAGTAGCGCCGGCTCGCTTCGGCCTCGATGAAGGGGCTCAGCTGATGACGCTCGATGACGTCAAGCAGCTCGTGGCTTGGAAGCTGTGAGTTCGCGGCCAGGAGAGACAGCTGCGCCACGAAAGATGGAAGCCTGACAGCTCGTGCAGTCGCCACGGCAAGTTCCGTCCGAACCTCATGAAGCTAGTCTCGTCCAACGACGAGGCCGCCGTGCGCGACGCCGTGCGCGAAGCCCTGGACGTCTACCGGCCCCCGAAAGGCGGAGACGATAGGACAACGTCTTCCTCTCTGGCTTTCCGCGCCCTCTGTCGCCTCCGCGGCATTGGCCCAGCCACCGCGTCTCTGCTGCTGGCTGTGCACGACCCACAGCACGTCGTCTTCTTCGCCGACGCAGCATATGCGTGGCTGTGCGGCGGGCCTGCGCTGGCACCGCCCAGCAAGTACAACGACCGCGAGTACGAAGACTTGAGCAGCCGCGCCGCAGCGCTGCAGAAACGGCTGGCCCGCAATGGCAGCGCAGCAGACGTGGAAAAGGTGGCTTACGTGCTGCTGACTGAGGGCAACAACAATACGGGTGGGGCCAGGAGACGACAGACGAAAGAGGCCGAAACAACAGAACGTCCGGCGGAACCGGTGAGCAAGAGGAAACGCTCGTCTGCCGCTGATCCAGAGCGGGTGGACAGCGCTCCTCCCCGTCGGTCCCAACGTGTCAAACGAGCATGATACACCGCGCAGTTGCTATTTCCGTTTATTGTACCTATGATGTACCTAAAACGTGAGAATGACGGCAACTGGTCGTTGTTTCTCATTTCCTTTTCCGTTCGCTGCCTGAGGGCCTGAGATCTGACGCACATTGCCAAATACAACCAACATCCGCCTCCTCATGGCTTTCAACCACCTCACATGTCTCCTTTTGTCCCGTTGCTGTCGCGTCGGGTCGACCGGTTGCTGGCTAGCTACAAAGCCGGCTAGGAAGCTGACCAGCTGGCTACGTTGCCGCTCTTGACATCCCCGTTCATTTGGTCTTTTTCGGGCCGGCGGAGCCCTGGGTGGCAGCGTACTTGTCGCTCAGCTCGTTGTACTCGCGCTGCAGAGCCTCGGCCTGCTTCTTGAGCGTCTTCAGGTCGATATCCTTGCTGTCCAGCTCCTTGCGCAGCTTGGCGACCTCGCCATCCCCAGCAGCAGCCAGCTTAGCGCTATGCTTGGCGGCGGGGCCCTCAAAGGTCTTGATCTTCTCCTCTAGGCGCAGCACCTCGATGACCAAGGTGTAGGTGCGGTTGAGGATCAGCGACAGGAAGAGGGTGAAACCGCAGAGGTACATGTTGCGCTGGCTGTAGAACTTGCGGGCCTGGACCTCGAGGCGCTCACGGCCCATGATCGCAGCACTGGGGGGAGAGGACTGTCAGGACGAAAGAAGCGAAATGGCACACATGAAAAACAAGAGTCCAACTTACCCGTTGCCGTTCTCGGCCAGGGTGGACAGCTCGACCTGGACGCGATAGACACGGTTGGCGCTGTCGACGAACAGGATCAGGATGAAGATGAAGGCGATCTTCATGCCATACTGTATTTTGGCGACGACGGGATTTTCAGAGAGAAATCTGCGACGGGTTGGATTAGCTCGAGTGGGCATAGGGAGAGGCTGAAGGTGACTCGTACCTGTACATCTTTCGCTTGGCAGCGAACGGCAGTGGGGTGATGAGCACCAGGAAGAGGCCCATCTCTGCCATGAGCAGGGCAAACACTAAGGAGAAGTAGAGGGTCATGATGTCGGCTTGGGGGAGGTTCTGTTGTGGTGTTGTGCGGTTGCTTTGCAAGAATGGGAGGCCAGAAATCTTGAGCAGAAGGTGAAGTGGGAGAAGAAATTGAAAAGAGAAGCAAAAAGGAGGATTGAAAGAGAGGAAAACGGCGCTTGACGTAGTGGATCGGCCGGCGAGGACGGGCTGCGAAGTGGCCACTCCTCAGCTATTCGGGCTCGTAGAGGCTTCCGGCCAGCTTTGCCAGCTTTGCCAGTTCTGGCAGTCCTGGTTGGCTGCAGGAGGCCCCCCTCAACGTCATAGTGGCTGGGGCTGTGGATACGGCAGCGTGGCTGGCGTGGCTGCTTAGTCATCACATGACCGAGTATGCAAGAGAAGCGGTGCCTGAGTTGCCATTGATGGGCAAGACACAACGACGACAACGTTGCTCTCAATTGAAGTATCGATTGGTGGGTTGCATCCTAGACGGACCCGTCTTCCGGAAGGTGACCTGGTCTGCTGGCGCAAGATGTCGTCCAGCGACAGAGTCCATGGCTTCGTCAGAGATGGCTCCTCCCGAGCTGTGAAAATGGGAAGGCAGGTATAGGATTGTGTGACGCCGTGCTGCCAAAAGGTTCGACGTCTGGTAGCTTATCTTTTCGGGCTGCTCCTGCCTCGTCGGTTCCAGTGGGGCCCACTTGCTCACGGAAGAGATGTTCTGGGCTATCTAATTTAGGCTTCATTTTCGGGCTTCCTTTTTTTTTTTTTTTTTTTTTTTGCAGACGCCCGATATACCAGATGTGCGAGTCTTTCGAAGCGGCAATGCGTTTAGTCTGGGCTGCCTCTGCGCGGTAACCGCAGCTAGACACGACCGATCAGCCTGACGATTGCTGCTCTTTTGTCGATTCCGATTTTCGGGCTTTTTCTTTTCTTCTTCCCTTCTTTCTGCCCTTGCAATCGATCAGCCGACGGCCATGCACGGCCTGACGCCCCCGGAGTTGTTTCCTCCGATGCGGGAGCGGCCGTCGTTGGAGGCGATCCGCGCCTGTCTCGCCCGGCTGGACGTGTCGACGTGCAGGGCCGGCAGCGACCCTGACGGCCCTGACGGCCCTGACGGCCGCGTCTGGGACTGGACGACGCCGGCGGACGAGATCGAGGCAGCGTCGGCAGCAGCGGCATTGCGGGCGCGGCGCAGCGCCAGCGCGGTAGCGCGCTATCTCGGCAGCATCGTGATGAGCGACCTGGCCTGGCTGGTGGACGAGGAGGCGCGGGAGACGCTGTGGGCGACGGCGAGCCGGCAGATTGCTGAGCGGTGCGGCCGCACGGCCATGGGCGAGATCACGCGACGGTGGCGGGTGACAGGGGGGACTGCTGGCAGTACTGACAGTGCTGGCAGTGATGACAGGGACAAGGAAGCCATCGATCTCATCCTCTGCGAGCCCGCTATCGTGGGCGACTCGCTCGGCTTCAAGACCTGGGGCACGGCCTACGTGATGGCGTGCATGCTGCCGCAGCTGGCAGCCACCCGAGAGCTCTGTCACCTGGGACTGGGAGGCGGTCCAGCTCCCCACGTTCTCGAGCTCGGCGCCGGCACTGGCCTGCTTGGACTCGCGGCTGCGGCGCTGTGGCGTGCCGACGTCGTGCTCACGGACCTGGCGGCCATCGTGCCCAACCTGGCGGCCAACGTGGCGCGCAACACGGCCGTGGTCGAGCGACATGGCGGCCGTGCCCGCGCTGCCGTGCTGCAGTGGGGAGGCCGTCGCGCTGCTGACTGTCCCGAAGAGGCCGATCCGCTGCTGCTGTTGGGCACAGCGCACCGGAAGCAGCCGTTCTCGCTTGTCCTCGCAGCCGACGCGCTCTACGACGACGGCCACGCTGAGCTGCTCGCCAGCGCCATCGATGAGCAACTAGCTAGCAGTCTGGCCGGTCGTGCCCTCGTCATGGTACCGCTCCGTGACGGCCACACAGAGACAATCGCCCGGGCGTTTGTGCTTGCTATGGCCGCTCGGTCGCTCGTGGTGGCCGACGAGGGCCGCGCAGACGGCCAGGACACCGACTGGTCCGGCGGCTCACAGTTCCTCTGTTGCTGGTGGGTGTTTCGGCGAATGGATGGGGCTCAGACACGTGAGGGAGAATAGACCACTCATAACACAATAACACGCCTGCTTTTCTAAAGCGATAGGAAAGGTAAAGCAGCAAATCAAATACAACGATACAACACCCACACTCAGCCGTCAATGGGACATCTGTAGTCCGGCCCGGTCTGTGCCGTCGGCTGCAGTGCGTCCAAGCAGGCCTGGTGGTAAATGTGTCGGCAGGCGAACAGCACGAGCGGCCCGAGAGGCTGTGTGTTTTGGTCGGCCTGTGCGGTCCGGCCGTCGGGAGGCTGTGATTGGTCGGTCTGGCTGTCAGGCTGCATCTGCTGCATCTGTTGGCTCTGACCCTTGTGTCCTCCCGAAAGCGGCTTTTCGTTACCACGTCCGCCGTCGCCGTCTGTCAGCTGCTTGCCCTTGCCTTTTCGGTCCCTGTCGCTGCCGTCGTTTCGTTCGCTTCCACCACCACCACCACCACCACCTCTTCCTCCTCCCGCCAGCATCACTCCCTTATGCTCGCTGCGTTTCTGCGCCTCGGCCGCCTGCTTCGCCTCCCAGGCTTCGTAGATGCCCACGCCGCCGCCACCGCTCGTCACGCCCGGCCCCCAGACTCGACGGCCACAGGCCTCGCAGGCCGATCCCCGGGCACGCCACCCGCGCTGCCTCAGCTCCACCGATCGGTGCACGCTCACAAAAAGGCTGCGCTCCAAAAGTCGGTTCGACAGCCGCAGAATCGCCTCTTCGTACGCGTACGCCGCAAAGATGGACCCAAGCACTGCTCGCAGGTCCGCCAGGCTCGGCGACGACGCCGCTGCCCGTGTCAGAAATGCCTTGAGCACCCGAAGGAAGGAAATATTGGTGGTCATGCTGCTGCTGCTGCTGCTGCTCGCAGTCGCCGTCTTCAACAGCGCCGTAAACGTGTGCTGCACCAGCGACCGCAGAAGCCCTACCAGCTTCTGTTCGGCCTCGTCGCCTCCTTCGGCCGCCACTCTCCCCGACAGGTTGCGCGTGATCTGCACCGTTGTGTCGATCAGGTCCAGCCACAGCCTTTCATCGGCCGACAGGTGTCGTTCGTCATCGTCCACTTTCGTGTCGACTGCCTGTGAGCTGCCCTGTTTCCGTGTCGTCTTCGTCTGGCTCTGACACAACCAGATGCCCACGTGTGTGTACTTTTGCAACGCCCGCATCAGGTCTTCGGCCGCGTCTTGTTGTATCACCGTCGCGTTGGATCCATCGCTTTCGCTTCTTGCCTCCACCTCCTCCCCCAAAACTCCCTGTACTGCTGCCTCCAGCGTGTGCAGCTGCTGCACCAGTCGTCCCATCGCTTCCTTCACCTGTCCCTCACGCGCCATCAGCACCACGGCCGCGTCGATCACGCCCGTCTGCTCCATCGTCGGCAGCAGCTCGTCCAGCCGAAGGTCCGCTGTCTGCATCGTCCCGACGTACTCCGACACGTGACCAGGCTCAAACTCGCACATCAGCCGCACGTACCGCTCTATCAGGCTGGAGACGCCTGCTTTGGTCGCTGACGTCCCACCCTCCAGAATCGCGTTGAGATAGCCGTACTGCAGCTCGTGTCGGTCCGAGGCTGCGTCGAGTGCCTCGCCGTGTAGCTCGGCCGCGTGCTCGTTCAGCCGTCTTGCCGCCTCGGCCGCGTCCAGCTCCACCAGCTCCCGGAGATGCTCGCGCATCACGCTGCGCACCTCCTGGCCCTGTCGCCGCACAAGGCTGCTGCTGTTGCTGTTGTTGTTATGATCACCGTCGCTGTCCGCCAGACACTCGCTGATGCACGCAAACACGCCCACCCGGTCGTCCGGGTCCTCAAAGTACGTCTGCAACAGCCGGCTGTACTGCCGGTCCGCTCGGTACGTTCGCTTCAGGATCCGGTAGAACCCCGCCGCCTTGAACTGCGGCAGCAGCTGCCCCATCTCCGGCGGGTGGTACACCGACAGCAGATATTCCGCGCTCAGTTGCGCGTCCTCTGCCAGGTCCGATCCCGGGTAGCCGCACAGGCCCGAGAGCACCCGCATCAACGTCGACTCCGGCAACAACAGATACTGCGGATACTTGGGCAGATTGCGCGCGATGAACATGTCCAGGTAGATCGTGTCCGTAGCCGCAAAGTCAGCTGCGCTGCCCAGCATCACCTCCGCCAAGATCGTCACAATGTACTGTCGATTGACCGTCCGGCCAAAGGCCTGCTCTTCCGACAGATGCTCACCCGCCCCGTTGACCGGCTGCTTCTCGGGCACGTCGTTGAGAAAGGGGTCCTCAAACGCCTCGTTCAGCGCGCTCAGCAGACTGGGCGCGTCGAACTGGAGAATCATCCGCAGGTACGGAAACGACGGCTCGGCCGCTATGTTTGGCTGCGTCCGGAACACTGAGCTCGTCGGCCCGCTGCCGCCTCGCGGCCACACCACGCTCTTGCCCGAGAAGAGGAACCAGTAGATCTCCGCCTTGGCCAGCTGCTGCCGCTGCTCGTCCATCGCCGTTCCCGTCGGATACACCCGCCCTGTCAGCACGTATGACAGGTACGGAAACATCTTGACCGCGTTCGTCTCATGCATGTCCTGCTCCAGCTCGCCTCCGTCTCCGTCCGGCACCAGCAGCGATAGCAGCTCCACCAGCGGCGTGATGAAATCGCCCAGCGCCTGGTTCCACACGTACATCAGCGCGTCGTATAGCCCGTGTTGCCGGCACAGCGTCGTCACCTGGTCCAGGTCTAGCGTCGCCGTCTCCATGTTGCAGATCATCTCCTCCAGCCGGCCCTCTAGGCCCTTGCCCACGTAGTGCCGCACCATCGCCTTGACCACTGTCGGTGGGATCGTCGTCAACGTCTGCTCCAGGATGTGCCGCTCCAGCGTCTCCAGGAAGACGCCCTCCACGCCTGCTTCCTCGAACCGGTCGAACATGTCGTCAAACACAAAGTCCTGGTCGCCCACGCTGCTGCACGCCGTAAAGCACGCCTCGGCCAGCTGCTGCAGCTGCTGTCGATCCTCTGCGTCCGCCTCTGCGTCCGTTCCCGTCGTCCACCGCTTCTTCCGCCGCTGCCCAAATGCGTGGCGCAGCGATGCCGCCATGATCTCCATCAGCCGCTCCCGTACCATCGCGTGCCGCGTCTCCGTGTCCTCTGGCAGCCCGATCGTCAGCTTGTCCGCGTCGCCCGTATAGAACACCGTCGCCAGCTGGATCGCCCCCACGTAGTCACCGTGCTCCATCAGCGCGATCAGCCGGTCCGCCCAGTTCGACAGCGCCCCAATCGCCACGTCGCTGAACCCCAGAAGGAACAGCCGCCCCTTGTAGGCCTTGAAGCTCATGTAGAAAGCGTCCGCCACCACCCCGTGCATCGACGTGTCCGTCTCGTCCAGCGTCTCCACCACGCCTTGAATCTGCCGCGAGAACAGGTCGGCGTGGTAGATGAACCGGCTCATCAGGTCAAACGCCTCCGTCACCCGCATGCTGTGGTCCTCCAGCACGATCAGCCGCTGCGAGATCGTCAGCACCGCCAGCACTGACCGTGTCAGCCACTGCACCGCCACGATCGCCTCCTCGCCCTTCCATCGGCTGCGTGCCCGGCAGTGCAGGTTCGGCGGCTTGCTCTGGTCCTCGGCCGTCTCTTCCTCCACGTCCAGCACCGTCAGCACGTTCGACCAGCAGTACACCAGCTTCGCTGCCGAGATCGACGACCCCGTTCGCGCCTCGGCCACCTTCAACCGCACGGCCGGGAACCAGGCCAGACAGCCGCTCATCGCACTGTGCGGCGCGATCTCCTTGGGCCGTGGCGACTTGTGCTGCGTGTTGGCCACCGGCGTCGTCGACACGATCACGAGCAGATACGGCGTCAGCATCGCCGTCAGGCCCATCGTGTCTGTTGCCCGGTCCACGTTGCCCAGTGGCAGCGGCGCAAACGCCAGCACCGTGCTGGGCTTGATCGCCCTGGTCGACGTCGCCGCCGGCTGCGTCCCGGGATAGCGCCCCAGAATCCGGCTCGTCTTGACCGTGCGCCCGAGAGAGCCGGTTCCCCGCGTCGCGAGGTGGGCAAAGGCCATGCCACGGTCGTCGGCCGATACGAGCGCCGTGCGCCGTGTGCCGAGGAACCCCAGGTGCGTCACCGCGAATCCGTGCAGGTGGCCATCCATCGTCCGGTGCTGCGGCTCTGCTTGCTTGCCTTGGAGCGGCGGAATGTGCAGGAACGGCCGCGACGCCCGGCTGATCTCCCACGTGAAGATGGATCCGTCTGCATGGCCTCCGGCCACCGTCGTGTGGTCTGACGATATGGCCAGAGATATGATGGCGCCTGCCTCGACCGCTCGTGTTCCCGGCCCGATGATCATCTTGAGGTTCTGGCTGTAGTCGAACAGAAGGAGTATCCCCTTCGTCGTGCCCAGCACAATGCACGTCGAGATGGCCATGCACGTGGGCGAGCCAAAGCTGCGCTTCGCCGATTCGGAAAAAGCCTGGCCCGACAGCTTGATCAGCTTGGTCCAGCGGACCACCTCCCACGGCGGCGAGACATTCGCGTCTGTGCCGCTACCAGACGCCTCCAGTAAGTGGAATTGGCTGCCGGCAGACGTGTGCCGGCTGTGCGACGAAGCGTGGCTTAGGGCCAGGAGGGCGGGCGACGATGGCCGCGGCGAGAGGAGCAGGCTGCTGCTGCTGCCGCCGCTGGGCGATGCGATACGCGACTGGAACCGCCGGTCAAATGGTCGGAACGACGGGCTCGAGCCCCGGAACCCGGATCGCGTCGAGCTGCCCGACGGAAAGATGCTGCTACCGCCGAAAGAAGAGATGCCCGAGCGCTGGGCCGTGGATGTGGTCGATTCTGACACCGACAGCACCGACCCTGATGGGCTGCCCGGCCGTCGGGGCAGGCCCAAGGCCGAGCCGTCTTCGGACATGGTGTCCTGCTGCTGCTGGTCCTGGACGAGGCCGCGATATCGGCTGCCCAGCGTCGTTCCGTTGCTCGGCGCCAGCACTGCCGGCGGCTGCGAGGAACCCCCGTCCATGCTGACCAGATCAGGGCTGTCGAGAGCAGCATCGTCGCCCCGGATGGTCTTGCTATCGTCGTCATCGTCTGCATTGTCCGTCTTGTTCGTCTGATCAGCGTCGTGGCCAGATCCGACGCTCTCGCCATCCGCCATCGAAAGGTCGGTCACGTCTTCGTCTGCACTTGTCTCCATGGCAGCTCTGTCACGCCCATCCTCGGCCCTCTCCGTCCTCTCTGTCCTCTCCGTCAGGCTAGAGCTCATCGGGACTCGGACACACAACGCATAGCTTCGGTGGGGGCCCACAGGAAGGGGAAGAAGACGAGCAGTGCTCCGGGATAGATTCCCCGGGCTGGACCAGAAGACCGTATCGACACCGAGAGTGACGGTCGAGAGCCGCACCGGAGAGGCGCAAATGAAGCCGGTTGCGAGCACAGGCTGAAAGGCGCGCAGATTATCGTACAACGGCTGGACGGCAAGCCAGCGATCGGAAAAAGAACCCAGAAATCGATGTTCGATATCGAACAGGACTCGTGTCGCGTCAAATGCCGTTCGCTGATGAGGCTGGTGCTGATTGCGAAATCGATTGCGTCCTGGCTGCGTGTGTGGCAATGAACGTTTGGCTTGGCTGCATGGCCCTCGTCTGATTTCCGCTGCACACTCGCTGTTTCTGTTTCTGTCGAGCAGCCTTTCCGAAGCTGTCGTAGCTTCCTGCCTTCTGGGCGGCCCCGTTTGGCCAAGAGTGGAGTGTTTGCGTGCTCTCTGCGGTCGCATCGCTAAGTGTAGCGGCAAGAGCGGGCCGTCATTGATCCGCAGCTTATTGCATTGTATTTTATGTACGATACGGAGTACGGATTCTCTCACTATGTGATACTATGTATGGCCGCCGACACAGCCTCACTCATCACGCACACAATGTCCCACATCGGCCCCGAGATGCCGCCGCACCTCGCCAAGAGGAAGCGCACGCCTGAAGATGAACACGATGGTGACGGCAGCGACAGAGAGGCCAGCCGTCGCGTGCGGCGAGCATCCCCTCCACAGATCGCTAAGCCGACCAACGACGAGGAGATAGCTCTAGACGACGACAGCGATGGTATCCATGTCGATCCAGTCCTGCCGGAAGCCCTCCCTGTGTCTGTGACAGCCCGCCCACGCATGGGACCGTCTATGGGCCCGACCTTGCCGCCTTCATCACCTGCACCCAAGACTGGCTCCGACTCTGCCTCCGGCTCGGATTCAGACTCAGACTCGGACTACGGCCCCGCCTTGCCAGGAACTGACAGCCACAGCGAGGCCATGGCCGCCTACATCGAAGAACAGGACGCCCAGGAAGACGACGACGCCCGGCTGTACGGGGTCCCACGGCCACCGGCTGGCCCCGACCCTGACGCCCCGGCTCAGCGCGACGACTGGATGCTCGCTCCGCCTACTGACGACGTCGGCGCCCGCGCAGCCGACCCAACCAAGATCCGCGCCCGCAAGTTTGCTACCGGACGCGCTGCCAACGCCGTAGAGGCCCGTGCTGTCGGCGGCGGCGCTGCGGCCTCGGCTATTGGCAGCCTGTGGACCGAGACGATTGAGCAGAAATCGCGGCGGTTGGCAGACACCGTGCTGGGCCGGGCACCCGATCCAACACGCGCAGGGCCGCGGCCGGAAACCCAGACCACCCGCAGCGGCGGCTCGGCCTCTACGTCCTCCCGAAAGGCAGACACCCGCGAAGCCCAGATCATGGCCTACACCGAGGCCACGCGCGGCCGCAGCCTGTATGAGACGCACCAGGACTCGATCAAGGATGGAAGGCGGACAGGAGATAAAGACGAGGAAAGGCACAGCGAGAAGCGCGACAGGCATCGACAAAGAGAGAGCGATCACAGCGATAGGCATCGCGACAGGGAGAGCAGCAGACGAGACAGACAATCCGACGGCCGAGACAGGGAGAGCGATAGGCATCGTGACAGAGACAGCGAGAAGCACCGCCACAGGCACGACAGGCACCATAGACATCGCGACGGCTCGCCGTCTACCAGTAAGCGCAAAAAGGAGGAGCTGGACGATCCAAGCGCCCGGGCCTTCGATCGCGAAAAGGACATGAGTCTGGGCGTGCAGATCAACCACAAGCAGCGGCGTGACCTCCTTAGCCGTGCCAGCGACTTTGGCGGACGGTTCCAGAAAGGCAGCTACCTCTGACCATGGTCAGTCTACATCCAAGACATGGACTGCAATACTCGTACATATCTCACATCACCCGTTTGATTCATTTAATATTGCCCACTCTCCTAGACATCACCCACTTGTGGCTTCAGATACCCGGAATCAACCACTTCAATTCCTAGCTGAAACATTGCTCGATAAAAAGAGGTACCCCGATAACTCCCCCGTACCAGTTGTCATCTCAAAAAAAGAAAAGCATTCATTCCTCCATGCTATGCAAACCCACCACTGAAAAACAGATAGCAAATACCGATTGCAAGATAACCGTGCTTCGATAACAATAAAAGAAATGACAATACGTATCAACACAGAAGGGTACAAGTGCTGAACGTATCAGCCTGCCTCAAGTCTTCACCCAGGGTCGTCAGCCGGGACGATACCAAGCTCTTGATGATAGCATCTCGTTCATATAAAGAGGTGAGCTGTGGGATAATTTTCGAACAACCGAAGCGTAACAGACTTTCGAGTTCAATGGGGCGGGGTTTATGGGAAATTGCATCACGGAGAAGCTCATGTTGTCGTCTATGCAACTTTATCTTTGATATGATCCGTATTTATTCATTTCGCGTCAAATGTCCCTTCCATTCGACAAGAAAGATCATCTGGACTCATTCTGAGCGCCGGCTTCCAGTTGAGACGGTGTCACTTCAGCCACAGCCGCAGCAGCGTTTCCAGACGCTGCGCCCTGCAACCGGTTGTTCTCGCTCCGACGCCTCGTAAAATCCCGAATAGATGGAAAAGATGGACGGGCATTACCAAACCAGCTTCTACGAGACCTCGTCGACTCGGGGCGCTGGTTGTCAGGCGACTGCTCGCCCGAACCCGACTGAGTCGCTGCCCGTCTCCTGCCGAAAAAGCCGCGTCTGGAGAGTCTGTCGTTTTCTCCAGGCATAGATGCTCTCGAGGGAGCCACCTCCAGCACCTGGAGGTTGGCGTCAGCCTCGGGTTGGCGCGCGCGGCCCGACGCCGACCAGAAAGTCGTCCAGGAGGTGCCGGGTCTAGAGGACAGGTTGATCCGGTGACGGCGGACCTCGCCATTTCCTCCAATAGAAACCGTGATGATACCAGTGGCCTGGCCGTCGGCAATGTCCTGGGGCGACGGGCGGGGCTTTGGCGTGTAATAGTCCGCTTTGCAAAGTGGGCAGCACGCGCGGCGGCTTGTCAACCAAGGGTCTAGACAGACGGCGTGGAAGGCGTGGCCACACGTCAAACCACGGACATCATCATCGTTTTCCAGGGTGTCGATGCAGATGGCGCAGGTATCGCCGGAAGTGCCGATACACTCGGGCGGCAGGGCTGCATCGATGTGCTCATCGTCCTCATCATCGCTGTGGTGGTCGTGGTCGTGAACAAGGTCGTCGGCGTGAGCAGCTTCCTCCTCACTGTGAGAGACGGTGCCGGCCTGCGCCGGCGAACCTAGGACTACTGATGATGTCGCCTCCAGAACCGGCGAGTCGAGCGATATGGGGGTAACAGTGTCAGTATGCTTCAGAGCGTCGTCGTCGACTGCAGAGGTTTTCGCTGCAGTGAAAGCAACCTTATCTTGCTTTCTGCTTTCTTCCGGCTCGTCGGAGGACTCGCGTTCCTTGTGCTGGACAACGACCCCGTCCACGGAGCGAACACTGTTGGCGCGAGATGGGGCGTCGATGCCGCCTAGTGTTGATAGGCCATGTTTTGCCCTAGTCGCCACCCAGCTCTTGTACTTTATCATCGGAAATTTCTCATTGACCTCATCAATGGTCATTAACTTCTTCTCTCGCCGGCGGCGATGTTGACGCGGCATGTTTCCGAGATTTATCGGCTCGCCGTTCTCGGTAGCCTGTCGTAGCTGGCGGGCTCTGGCGTTGTAGCGGAAACAATATTTCACCCCGACAATAATCCTACACGAAAATAAGGCGCACCATGGTCAGTATATACCGCCAACAGTACGGTCTGTCTCAATTTTCAGCGCTTACTCACCAGAGGTTTGTGAAAACAACACCAAAGCCAAGAGCCACGAAGAAAAGTAATGGCGAGTTTCCACCCCCGCCGCCGTTGCCACCGCTACTGCCAGTAGATGTAGCATTCGCCGCTGTAGCAGTATCTGTGGGGAACGTTGAGCCAGCTGCTGTGGCTGTGGTAGCTGCTGCGCTTGTTAAGGATGTTGTGGCAGCTGAGGCTGCTTGACGAGCGAGAAGTGCGGCGCTGTCCGTTATCTGGCTGAGAATATGCATTGCGCCGATTAATCGATGGTATAATCGACACCGAAAAGAGGCTGCTCAGAGCGGATATAAGATGGACAGGCCAAGGAGGACGAAATCACCCCAGTTCACCAATTGTCCATTCGAGACCGGACGGTGCCGAATCGGATGGCTAGTTGGGATGCTGGCGGACAAATGGGAACACGAGGCTTGAGAGTCGAGGAGACCACTCCGACGGGCAACGGGAGGCGTTACAGGAGCATGAGGAGATGTCGTGCCGATGCCCACTTTACGTCAGGAGATTCAGCCTTGGGGTGAGAAAAGAGGATAACGAGGGATGATGGGACATGAAAGAAGAGTCTGAAAGGATACAAAAAAAGCGAAGAAAAAAGACGGCTACGAAAGGGCCGAGAGGAAGAAGTGAGCAAGTGAGAAAGCGACAGTTGAAACTCAAGGCGCCCGCATCCCGTATCTGCGACAAGGAATTTAAGAGTGTTGTGGAATGCGGTTGCCGTAGGGTGTCGGCTTGGCAAGAGAAACCGATGGCGTGAAAGTACTCCGTAGGGAGGTATGAAATGGGAAACTTTTGTTCTGGAAATGCGGGATAATTGAGCAAAGGATGCGAACAGGAAAGCAGGCGGCGCAGGCCTCAAATGGGGGAGGGAAGAACGGAGGAAGGACGGAGGGGGAACCCTTGGCTAGCTAGGCCAGACAAAGGGCAATTGGTTGTTCTGTGCTCAAAGAGGCAAGAGGGAGGCAAGAAGGAGGCAAGAGGCTGGAAATGTGGCGTTAGTGCCGAGTGAGCGACACGGCCTGCAGGACCACAGCGTCAGAGGAAACAAGGGGGGCATGTGCTAAGGACCAAGCTAAGATACGTAACGGTGTGTGTGGACTTGTAAGATATCTTACGGAGGACAGCCTGTCTGATTGGCGGAACCACTGTTGGGCCTGGGTGCTGATACTCCGTAACGTGCATCACTGCTACGTATGTAGGGGTTGGATGACGGCGGCTGGAACGCGGCTTCCTTGAAGCACTTTTATAGTGTGCCGTTTATTCACAGGCATTCGTACTCAGCGATTATGACGCTGCAACCTTTCATGAATACACTCACGCAGGGGAATTTAGATGGACATCATTCGCACCCAGCTTGGCGTGTGACATTAAGCAATAAGCAATACGAATATTCGACACCGCAGATGGCACTCTGACTCGGTGTCAGCGTGATGAAAGGGGGAAGCGTGCGCCGGCGGAAGAAGGCTCTGGGCGCAAAATTCGGATGTCTGGTCTCATTGGTTCGAGCTTCGAGCCTGTTGGAATACAGTAAATAGGCTAGCATTTAGGTTGGTTGCATCGCAGTGCTCCGCCCCCCTTCTGACTCCGTTTCGAGTGTTCGAATGTACTCCGTATTTCCAGAGAATCGAACACGAACTAACCAGGACATGTCAGTAATTGGCGGGGCCTTCTAATGACAACAAAGAGAAGACAAGGAGAAGATGTGGGTGTCCGTAGAATCCTAGGAGTACTCCGTACATAGTATAATGGATCGCTTTAAAAGTGCTGTAAGATACTCCGTACCAGTTAGACATTTTGAGTATTGGCTGCTCTGGGCGGCTAAACGGGAGCTCCGGGGTTTACGGCGATCCCAACATATATTCGTATATTATGTTCTTGCCTATCTTGCAACAGGTTCTAATAGTAAGTAAGATACTCCGTACGTAGTATCTTATTTTACATTTTCCGTACTCCATACAGTATGTATCTTACCTTACCTACTCGTACTTTACTCGTAAGATACGAGTAGTCACACGCGCGCCGAAAGGCGCTACATAGTATCTTAAGTATTTGCCATTAGCCACGTCGTGGATTCTTGCCGACGTTTGCGCTATTTCGTAAATGTGGAATCTACGGAGTACTCGTACGCGTACGGAGAACGAGAAAAAGGACCGTCTCACACTATCGTACATACTCCGTAGTACTCGAAGATCCTTCTTTCTGACGCCTTGTCTCACAGCAGTCTTCTGTACAATCGCTAGCCAGGCCACATCCATCTGTTCTGCTGCGAGTCTCCATGATCCACCGCGAATGGGTTGTGTCTCGCATATAACCTCTGTGCGACGGCCGGTAATATGGATCAGATGGAGCGGCCAGGAAACCGGGCATTGTTTAATTGTTTTCAATTGGCGGTGACTGCAGACCTGTGGATAACCTGATGCATGAAATTGCCGGCCTTTCCAGGGCTTCTGCCCGTTGTTGACGCGGTAGACAGACACGATACTGTACGGAGTAATTTTGTCGCGACAGCCTGCAGATGAGCGACGATGCCACAACAAACCCAAAATCAGGTCTTTTCGAGGAGGTAATCGTGCTGCAAGCGATCTTACGCAGTAGACTACTCTCCACGTCGCAGAAACCTGCAAGTTGTTACAGCTACCGAGCACAGATGGGCTCCTCTTTTTACACGTCCAAGCAGCCGCTTCCTTGCCAAGCGTGCTCCGTATTTTTTTTTTCCTTATTGTCAAACAGCCTCAGCTACGATGGATGCTATGTTGACGGATGCGTGGGCGCCTTTCCCACAACAGCTAGCATAGATCCAGGCCACCCCGCTTTTCAGCAGCCTGGGAAAACATGATCCTCCGCACTCCGTTTCCCTCCTCAGACGGTCTTTTCAGATCAGCCGATGCAGGTGTGCTGCAACACCTCGTCATTACGAGTGCAGTTGTCTACGTATCTTACTCGTAAGTACGGCAAACATATGATACGTTGGGCGGCCTGTTCACGAGTGCCGTACAGAGGCGCGAATCTCCTGCTTTTGTCACATCACTAAAGTATCGTATGACGCCTTTATTTTCCCTATTCAAGATGCGGATGCATCCGGAAGCTCCCCCAGTCCGTATCTGGCTCCATACCAATCGAGATCCATCGGGGTCAACTTCCAAGCCTGCGAAGTTTGCAGTCTGTGTTTTGTCTGTTCCCCAGTGTATTTGCAGGGTAAAATGCATCGTAGTGTATAAAATCGGCGATGGCGGTCCTTATCGCAGCCTAAGCAGAAAAGCCCTCAACTCCGGGCCTGCCGCTGTACATTATGGGCTGTACTCCGTACAGAGTACGGAGTGATATTTTGCGTATCTTACGAGTCCAAGAAGAGAGCCATGGCAGGATGCCAGATGCCTCTTAAACATGCCCACTCCGGCTAGTGTGGAAATTCCCCGCCTCCAGCCTACGAGTAAGATACATGAGCCTGTAAACTGTGGGTCTACCGCCAATACCCATTGACAACTTGCGACTCTGCAAACAGTACTCCGTACTCTGTACTCGTAGCATATCCTCGCCCTCTTATCGCACATGTCGTCCGGTCTTAAAATAAGGTGCTATACATCATACTACTATATGTACGGAGTAGTAATCTGTACTCCGTACGGGTGGATAGTTAACAAGCTTTCTTGCATCTAAGCCCAATACGATTGGTTAACGCTTACATTCATCGGGCAGCTATGTACTTACAAGGTACGATTATTCCCATTTAGCCTACTCCGTACTTTATCCAGGCAAATTATATGACTTACTCCGGACTGTCTTACGAGCAAATTTCGCTCTGCTGTAGTTTAACGTAATATAGCTTGGGAAGGCTGCAAGCTGCACAGTACATAGCCTATCCTGTGGCGCAATTACGAGACGAGTAATCCAATTTGGGGTTTTCCAAAATGTAAGATACATACTCCGTTGTAACAGATGCTCTGTAAATCCTTGTCATCCTTCTCCCCTGGACCCGGAAAATATAGAAACCGCATAAGCTCTGCATGCGAAAATCATGCTTACCGATATTACAGAGTACATACCCGGTACTTGGATAAGATACAATCCAAAACCAGCGCGCTTCATGTCACGTGCATGTATGAGTAAGCTGGTGGAAGCCCTGCAACCTCCGATAAGATAACAAATTGTATGTTCAGCGTACTCCGTACTCCGTACAAACTATCAAATGGAGTGTCGCGTTGATATCCAAAAGGGACGAGCAGTCCTGTCGAGCGTTAAACAAATATGCCACCAACACAGCTTCCCGAGTCGGGGAATCCTCTGTGAGTTTCCCCCAGTTACCTGTTTCCAATCCCCGCTCCATGTACAGCATGTGGCGACCTAGCCACGGGAAGATCTCCGAAAATTCAAATATTCACATACCTACACGAGAGTCTCTTGTTGCGTGTCCATCTGTCTAGCTTGCTGACCGTGGGTTTATGAGATGTCAATAGTGTCTTTTTTGACATAACTATTGGCGGTAAGTCCTCATGGTCTGCCTCAACAATAAATGGTCTTGCCCGACTAACCTATCCAGGCGAACCACTCGGCCGTATCACTTTTGAGCTGTTTCAAGATGTTGTCCCCAAGACAACAGAAAACTTCCGCCGCTTCTGCACAGGCGAGGACACTGATTCGCAGGGCCGTCCTCGGGGCTACAAGGGCAGCAAGTTTCACCGCATAGTAAGAGCAATGTTGTCCTCCTCCTCGTCTCTGCTTGCCCTTTGGCTCACCACTTAGATTCCGAATTTCATGTGCCAAGGCGGGGACTTCCTTAATGGAAACGGCACCGGCTCCACTTGCATATATGGCGGGAAGGCGTTCCCCGACGAGAACTTTGAGCTGAAGCATGAACAGCCAGGGCTGCTATCTATGGCGGTAGGTTATTAACCTATGTCCTAATCTTACTACATATCGTTCTAAAGTAACTAATCTCATTTCAACAGAACGCTGGGCCCAACACGAACGGCTCCCAGTTCTTCATCACCACGGTACCTACACCCTTCCTTGACAATAAGCACACTGTCTTCGGCAAGGTGGCCAGCGGCATGGACGTGGTTCACAAGATGGAACACGTGCGAACAGGTGCACGCGGACGGGACATGCCGGACCTAGATGTCGTGGTGGCAGAATGTGGTGAGATGTAGAATGCGGGTGTTTCAAATTGGTCATTGCGTCGATTTTTCATAGCCATTTTCAGATCACGACAATTGTGATAATGCTTCACGGTTTATAAAGTGCACTTTTGACATGATTATTCTCAAATATCCCTATTGGTATATCCCGCTCGAGGGCCATGTCAACCCTGTTTTCCCGCGCCTCGGTGCGTGTTTATATCTACCTTTAAAAACGCCAGAGCCTTCATCTTCTCATCTTCTTCTTACAGGCTCCCGTCCATATCATTGCCTCACTGCCATAGCCGAATTTGGCGCTATCCGTTTGCCATATGCACCCCAGTTCCGTTCCCTTGTTTTATCCATGCCCCCGTAACTGTTTCTGTCCGGACTCGACCACGCAGGTAGAAAAAGACGCACTAGTAACCCCCCGTGAAAAGAATATAGGAAAAGAAGAAAGGGAATCAAAAGTGGCGCCGAACTCTCTGCACCCGGCGCGCGAGAGAAACGGCTTCACCGATGGCGCCTGGCTTGATGTGCTGACAGCTGTGCCAAAGGAAGATGTCGATGTAGTAGTAGACCCTGCAAGGGATGTGCTGGTGCTGGTCTGCTGATGGCCTGGCGTAATCGTCGAGTATACGGTTTTTGTCGATACCGGGACATCGCTGGACGATGAGCTACTAGCGTATTTAGTCACGGTGATGTAGACAGGGTCCTGTGTATGAGTGACGGTGACGGCGATGGTTTCAGCGCCGTTACCGCTGTCCCCTGCAGCTGCCGTAGTGGATATGCTTGGTGTAGTAGCTGTACCGCTGCTGCTGTTGCTGCTGCTGCTAGTGTCGATGCCGTTCACCTGGAAGGGGCCGACAGTGAGCTGAGAGAGCACAGCTGCACTGTTTAGGTCCTGGCCCTCAACAAAGGAGGAGGAGAACCCAGGAGCCTTTTCTTTAGCACTGGCGGCAGCAGTGGACTGTCCGCTTGCGACAGAAACGTCCATACAGCTCGTGTAGTATTGCAGCGTAGTGATGTTGAAGCCAGTTCCGGGAGTGTCGGTGGGCGAGCCAGCCATATTCATGGTAGGCCAGCTCCACACCCAGTAGAGGGTGTAGCTGGTACCGGACGTCAGGTTGGCGGGCAGCTGGATGTCATTTTGGCACCACAAATCAGTTCCCTGCGGATTCTCCGCCGTCTTTTTGAACTGAGCCTGTCGCTGCACGGAGATGGTCTGGCCGTTGACCTGGTAGCACTGGCCGTCGTCGAAATTGCGAGTGGCCAGCAGGCGACCACGGCCGTTACCACCAGTGCCGTCGGCCGTCCACTTTTCAAAGACGTTGGAGAAGAGCTCGTCGCTGGACGGTTCCGTAGTGCCATAGATGTAGACGGTGCCCCTGTTTAGCGGCTTCGTCGGGTTGGTATCAGGGAGTGTGACATGGCCATTTTCCTGGTAGCGGAGAGCGATGAAACCGCCTGCGGTAACGCTGAGCATTGGGAATTCGGTACTGTAGTTGCCAACGGACTGGCTGGGGTGACAGAGCGAGTCGTTGGCATAGAGGATATTGCCGCCTGGGCGGCCATTTGGCGGGAGCAGATAGTTGTCCATGTCGTCGCTAAAGCCAGATACCGTGCGAGGGACATAGCCACGGATGTAGCCCGGGTTGCCGACCATCGTGCCGTTTGAGTCGATGCTCATGAGCTGTTCGACCCAGGAATGGGCTGAAATAGGCTGAATTGCGAGCGATCCAAGAGCGACGGCAAGGCCGAGGCGAGTACAAGGGATTATCATGATGAAGATGGCCTGGAAAACGGGTGAGGGTGTGCTTGTTGTGTTCTGGAGAGTATTTGGGCGGAAGGAGATTGCTGATTTGGGTTGAAACTGTGAGATTGTGCTGATATTGAAGTAAGTAAGAAGGAGTCGGAAATCGTAGTCTGGACAGAGTAGAAGAAGCAAGCGAAGTGACAGAGTTTTTATAGAGAGGGTGAACAAGACAGACGACCGGCGCTGTGACAGGCAGACCTGCTGTGGTGAGAACGAAAGAGGCGGGACGTGTGAGAGAGAAAACGGTCACCCAGCCATTTGGGACAGACTGTTTCTTCGTTCTCTGAAATAAAATAGTTGTTTTTTGTGCGTTGTTTGTTTATGCCTTCTTGTTCTGGTGGCAAAGGTATTGTCCAACAGGTGGCGGCGCTGCGAACAAACGGTCCGAAAGACAAAGAGGCAACAACGAAAACCGAAAGGGAAGGAGCGAACAAGGACTGAACAAGGACTGAACAAGAAATGAAAGTAAAACAAAGAGGCTCTTTCTGGAAGGCTGCCAGAAATGAGACAGAGACCTTGTGCAGTGACATATGGCGATACCAAAGTGACAAAGAGATGAAGCCAGAACGGGCAAAGATTACCCAGCAGCGGCAGGCGACGTCTTTTGAGCTCTCGCGCGCTCCCAGACGAGGACACAAGACCAGAAGGCCCAGGCCTGCGGCCAGAAGGCTGATCGGGCAGCCAATCGTGATGACCCGCGGACGGATGTCGGCAGAACTGCCCATGTGGCTTGCATGCGCGCATCTCCTCAATAGCCGGCCCAAACATCTCCATGTTCGCAGGCTTCTGCAGGAGGTGGCCTTTCCGCTGCCTTACTTCTCCTGTCTGGGGTGTGTAATCCGCCCTGACATGGGCACCAGCCAGTGGAAGCCTGTGTCAGCCATGTGGGCGATGACGAGCTGGGGGCCAAGGCATGCGTCTTGTGAACGAGGTAGCAGTCGCATCGCGGGCGGCTCGCAGCCAGTGGATGACCCGGCAAGCTCTTCGCAGAGAGCAGGCTGGCCGGCCAGGGTTACAGAGCTAGGCGCAGGACGATGGGCCATTTGACGAGAGGACGATGCTGGCAGCCGTTTCAGATCGGCTGTAATACGAAGCAGAAGAGCGACGAAGTGCAAGGAGTACAGAGTACGGAGTACAGGCGGCTATCTGGTGTAATGGCAGAGGTCGACAGGGCTGGGATCCACTATATTTTGTGTCGTAGTGGACGGCCCCACTGCAAACCATTGGATGGAAAGACGCCTTTCCTTGGCCAGGCCAATGGCAAACGTATCAAGGCGACGAGGCCGACAGCAAGAGCACGCTGCACGCCTGTGGTGCCGAATGGCTGAAACCAGACGGCGGAGGCGTTATAAGAGGGAGGAGCTGATGGAGAAGCATGATGGAGAATGGCAATTGGCAAATTAGCCATGTTCTTGCTGTTCTCGTTGACTGCGTTTCACCCCTGCTTTTACATAGTCCATTCGGGTCGTCGACAGTTGTAGACGCCAGCCAACAACAAGGGTGTCTGCCACAACCCGGACGGGTGACCGTCGTAAGCTGTTTATTTCCAGAAAGAAAATCTTGGCATCGCTACGATGTGTCCCGGACAACTTGCGACGAACGAAGACATCAGATACAGCTTAAATTCCTAGATACTACCACCATTTCATCTGCCTTACTTGGCGCGGCAAGGAGGCATAAAAGTCACAGACGCACACAAGTCTTGTAGCTGACGTGGCCAGCAATGGCCATCGTTTCAAATTATACAATAGGAGCATTATCATCCATAGTCAGAACCGAACAACACCAACAATTAAACAATCAGCTCTAGGAAGAAAAAGAAACAGAACAAGCTCGCTGATCCGGTGTATCACCACGACAAATGGTGCAAAGCAAACGACAGAAAATCCCTCTAAAAGCACAATGGTATTATATCCTCTGCATCCATCCTCACCGCCAGCTGCTGAACCCATTATGGCTGAGCTTCGGCATGCTGGCCACCGGATACCCGCTCGTATCGTCCAGACTGTCTGAGCGTCCACGCTTCAGGCCGCGGTTCTGCTGTTGATGCTGCTGCTGTTGGTGCTGCTGCTGTTGCCAGCTGGAGGGTCCTCTGGCTGTCACCGGGCCGGCACCGCCTGCTGTGCTGCCACCTGTTGTCACCGGCCAGCCTCCAAAGGCTTGTGCCACATCGTGCGTGTCCCAGTCAGGCAGCGAGCTACCGCCGTTGCCACTACTGCCAGAATCCACCGCCGCCGCCGCTGCCGCCAGAAACGGGTCGATCACAGGCTGCGTGTGTCCTCCAGCAGCGGCTGCCTGACTTCGGCTGCTCTCCGTGTCAGCCGGTGAAGGAGCCGACAGAAAGCCGAGCTGGCCCGGGAAGGACTGCTGGTGTTGGTTGTAGGCGTGCACGGCCGCCTGATGTTGGCGTTGCTGGTGCTGGTGCTGCTGGTGCTGGTGCTGCTGGTGCTGCTGGTGCTGGTGCTGGTGCTGCTGGTGCTGGTGCTGGTGCTGCTGGTGCTGGTGCTGGTTGTCAATCGTGGTCGCATACGGTGAAGGCAGGCTGGCCGTCGGTGGCGGTGTGGCTAGGCCGGCCCCATACGTCGTGTCGAGCAGTCCGAGGGGACCCGGCACCTGGTACGACTCTGGTGGCGAGAGTTGGCGGTAGTCGCCTGCATTGCCGTTCGGGTCCCAGCTGCTGCTGAGGTGCTCGCTCATGGCTGCCGTCAGGTGTTGGTGGTAGCCGGGATGAGGCGACATGTCGCTGTCCCGACGCGTCTGGTACGACATCGGGTACGGCTGCGGCGTGCTCGAATGCGGCGGCGATGGCACCTGCTGGTGATGCTGGTGATGCTGGTGGTTCTGGTGGTTCTGGTGGTTCTGGTGTTGCTGGTGTTGCTGGTGATGCTGCTGTTGTTCCCGATGCCCGTCCATGCCCTTGCTTCCCGGCATCACGAGAGCCTGGCGCTGGTGATACTCTGAGGCCGGGTCGATCGTCGTCAGGAAACGCCAACCTGTGCCAGCCGGCATCTTGACCACCTCCATCTTGCGCTCGTTGACGCTGTAGACCGTCTCGAACGTCCACAGAATCACTGCCCGGCGAACCCAAGTCGGGGCCGACGAGCCGTCCTCGCTAGGCGTGGAAGAAGGTGACGATGGGTCACATGACCAGAGCTCCTGCAGCATCGCAATGTTGCGCACGAGGTCCATCTGGGTCGGAGTCCCGTTGCTGCCGGTACTATCGGCCGACGAGGCCGATGTGAAGCTATCGTCACCGACGTCATCACCCACCTCGGTGAATCTGTCCGACTCGCGGCGGCGGGTCGAAGTGGACGCCGACGTCGCTGTCGATCCGTAAGACGACCGCTTCCCACTGCTCTTCTTGGAGCTGGCACGCGAGGCGTACACACCGGCCGCCTCACCACCATCCTCTTCAAGAGGGTGTCTGCGGTATGCCGTGAGCATGCTGAGCATCGTTGCCCACTCAGGGGCCGGAAAGGGCACAGCCAACTGCTGCCGCCGCATGCGGGCACTCTGGAAGCAGTCACAGTGTCCGCCGTTGCCCACGCCGTGGCATCCTGGTCGGTGCATGTACTGGTTGCCAATGTCACGCGTGATCACAGACACCGGTACCTGGTTGGCGCTGCTGCCAGTCTCCTCGTCGTCCGGCCGGCCTGGCACCAGCTCGCTTGGCCGTGCCAGCCGGGTCACCGACTTCCACCGGTGGTTCTGCAGGTACGCCTGCTCAATCGTCACCTCAACCAGGCTGTTCAGTTCCGATCCCTCCGGGAACCGGTCTGGCTCCTGTACGTCGAGCGTGACATGGAAATGAAGAATGTCTCGCAGATCCTCGCGCACAACCTGGTCCAGCGCCTCGCACATCTGACCGGGGAATCGGTCTTTCCAGTCCTGCGAGATATCGCGCACCGAGCTGGCCTCCTTCTGGCTCAGAGCACGCGTGTACTCCTGCAGAAGCGTTCCGCGGATGATCTTGCCACGCTCTGGCCACTCCTCACGCTTGTTGTTGAGGTGCAGGTGGGGGTACACGCGCCCATCCAGTGGCAAGCCATCGGGCTTGGTGGCTTCGCCGCGATGGGGACCGTCACTTTCATAGCGCACAGCCGCGGATGACACCAGGATCCAGCAGAGGCTTGGCCGAATGGCCACAAGTCCGTCCGACGCCAACAGCTGACCAAAGTATTCGTAGTTGGGCCGCTCCTCGGGCAGACGTCCATCAAACAGAGCACGCAGCACCCGGTTGTCCTTGAAGGACTCCTTCTCAAGCAGGTCCTTGCGCGTGTCCTCCTTCTTCTCCTTGCTGGGAAAGAAGAAGTGGTAGCACCGATGGTGGATGAAGAAGTTCTTGAGCACCTGGATGTGGCTGGACACCTGCTTGCGGCCACGGGCCATCTTGCTGTCGGGCTTGACGCCAGCCGGCAGAGACAGGCAGTAAGCCACCCAGAGGTACTCGCTGATGAGCATGTTGCGGCCGTGCAGCTGTCCGCGCATTGCGTACTTCTTGCGACCCATCTGGGGTATCAACAGAAGGGCTGTGAAGACTGTCAGTAGGTAATTCAGACAACTTCGCTGACTGAAGATGCTTACCATCAAGAAACGCATCTTCGAGCACATCCGGCCAGATCTGCTCTGTCTTGTCGTCCTTCTCCGTCTGCTTCTTGCGGTAGGCCTGGAATTGCGGAGACAGGTAGATCGGGTTGACGTTGGCATTCGCGTTCGGGATTGCAGGGCCAAGACCATTGCTGGAGCTGATGACGCTGCCGCCAGGAAAGCCGCCACCCAGGGCAAGACTGCCATGATGAATAGAGTGGCGTCTGGAGAGCAGCTGTTGTTGTTGCTGCTGCTGTTGATACTTATGAGCGGAGTGCTGGGTGTATTGCTGAGAAGGGAGTTGCTTGATGAGCGCCTCAGGGTAGAAAGTAGGCTGCGTATGTTGGCTGTGGTAGGTGTAGACGTTGTTGTGCTGAGAAATATCGAGAGACTGGGTAGGTAGGATGGGAGCAGATGGGATGGAAGATGCTGCTACTGATGACACCTGTGTGCAGGACACTAAAGGAAGTGCGCTGGATGGCAATGAAGAGGTGGAAGCTGGTGAAGAGTGTGAGGCAGTGACAGGAGAGCAGTAGGCAAGAGTGTTGTTGCTGTTGTTGCTGGCATGAGACTGCACATTGCCAGTAGCCTCCTGAAGCGGGAGACGATGCTGCGAAGGCAGCACAGGGCAGACAACCTCCATTGCTAATGATTTTGGTGAAACGAGAACCACCGAAGCCGATTCCACCAGGGCAGCAAAGTATGCTGTCGATGCTTGCAGCCAAAGGAGAGTACACGGCGAATTCAGTAGAATAAAGCACCGCAGGGCACGTAGAGAAAGAGACCTGGAATGGACAGCTGGGACTAATTGGTGATCCTGGCTGCAGAGAGTGTGTAGAGTCTTCTGAAAGAATGAAGAATGACTAGTGAGAGAAGAAGGAGAAATGTAAAGACAATGAGGGAGAGACGGGAGCAGTGAGTGTATGATAAAGAATGAATGGAGTCCAGGAAACTAGAGAACTAAGCTGGCTATCAGGCATGCCAACAAACCGGACGGGCAGAAGCAGGAGGGAGAGCCTTCTTATGAGGGACGCTTGCCTCTAGATGCCAACGCGTAGATGTGGCCTGGCCTCATTCCTCGCGAGCATTCCGTTCCTCTTCGGCGTATGAGAGACAAGAGGCTACAACAGGTTGGAGTAAATGAGCAAAGGGGAAGTGCAAGTGGATGCCCATCTCCATCAGAGGTCGTCTGATGATGAGGTACTTCCAGCGGTGGGTATAGGTAAGAACAGGCTATGGATGGGCAGGGATTTCTTCTTGCTGACTCGACTGGCATGCGAGTGTCCTGGCTATGGCCAGTCCCGTTCCACACTCTCCTTGGCGAGGGGGTGGCCTCATTAGGAAGGGAAAAAGGGCGCCGGTCATCTGGAGGTGGAGGGGCCTGGAGGGGTTGAGCAGAGGGAGGAAGGGAGAGAAGAGGGGGGTTCATCGAGAGGAGAGGGCGATTGCAGACTTCTGCAAGAGACTTCCGTGGACGCATGATGACGTAGGGAGACGCTTGTCTGGTGCAGGCCAAAGGCGAGAGGCGAAAAGACGGGAAAGAGAAGCAGGAGAGGCAACATCAGAGGCAACAGCATGCCGTTGTCCAAACGGATCCTAGGTTCGGGTAGACGAACCAGGTACCCGAGCAAGCCAGGACCTGTCCAGTCCCGTGAATGTGACCCTGTCATGATCGACCAGTGCTCCCGCTGCCGACAGACTGGCTGATGATGTGCGCGCCTGATCGAAACAAGACCGCATTCTTCAGGCTCGAGTTGCCACCCTCCAGGTCTGCCGACTGGCACGCAAGGAGATTTCGTCGTCGCCAGCAGCCGGAGAGCCCTGCAACCCAACACATCCACAAGGCTCGGATGCGCAAGCGCGCACGGCATCCCTTTCCCTGGGCCCTTGGCCTGCTTCTCCACCAGGTCCGGCGTCACCGGAGCCACTTTTTCTCTCTTGATCTGCCGTCTAGTGCATGCCGGCCGGTCAGTTGGACTGCGGTCGGAATGCAGACGACAAGGCAGCAAATGGCGAGCCAACATAAACAGATCCGCATAACAGTGTCCAGGCACGAGCCGTCCATGAAAACCGGCAGCTTTGTGCGTTTGGTGAGCTTTGCGAGCAGTAGCAAGCTGCAGTTGTGTGAGCAAATCGCCGCCGCATCTCGTACTCGTCAAGGGAGGACAAAGTGTAGAATGTTGTTTCTGCATCACAGCCGATGACAGGCAGGTCAGATCTGCCCAGCTGCGCTACAGCTGCAAGCACTTTTGCCTTGCATGAGGAAACCTCCGAATGGGGCAGTTCAGCGCTCCTTCCTCTGGCCATCCCTCTCGTCACGCTTTGCCGGTCGCGCCGGCCTATCACGGCCACCCCCTGTTCTCCGCAGCGACACGCGCTCCTTCTCGATTTGGCCGGCCGTCCTCCCTGGCTTCGCAGGCTCCACTCTGCAGCAGCAAAACGGCCATGCGAAGGCGTGTCAGTGCGCGTCTATTCCCGTCCCTTCTTCTCACACACTGCACCCCACAAGACATTTCTCACACATGCATCGACGAGTCAAGGGAACGGGATAACTTCTCGACCTGAGCCCTAGTAAATCAATTCCTCCACGCTCCAATAATGGCGACTCCTTCCTATGCAATAAGACAGTCCATAATATCCCATATAGCCCTGGGGTGCCTCCGGGCACGCCTGTTTTCCCTATCGTCTCATATAACTTCATTCCTGTGTTGAGCTCCCTTTCTTCGCCTTGGACTTCGCCCTTCCAACTTGCCCAGTCCAGACTCACATGCCCTCCTCGGCCCCTTCTTCGCCTATATGCACCTTCGTCCGCTGTCTGCGTCCGGTCGTCAATTGCTGCAGCGCCACTGTGTTCATCTGCGAGCCGACTTTCTTGCGCATCTTGGCCAGCTCCTCCTCCGGATCCAAAGCCTCTGCCTCGGCGTACTGCAGCACCAGCCGCCGTCCGAGCAGATGCGTATCGCGCAGCGCATCCATTGCGTGTGCAGCCTCGCTCGCTGTGAGAAACTCGGCAAACGCATAACCGCGCGTTCCGTTGCCAACCTTGCGCGGCAGCCGAACCGCCTTGACTTGTCCATATGTGCTCAACAGTGTGCGGACGTCCTTTGGCGTCGCCTCGAACGGCAAGTTCTTGATGATCAGCTTGCTACCCCCGTTGGCCGCCTGCTTTCTCTTCCGGTCCGACTCCCGCCGCTCGGCTGCTGCGTCTTGCTGGCCGCGATGCGCGGCTTGCACCGTCAGCGTGTGGCCGTGCAGGATGAAGCCGTCCATCGCTTTGCCGGCTGCTGCTGCTGTTGCTTTGGTCCGGAACTCTACAAAGCCGTAGCCCATGCTTAGCGTCTCGCCCGGCTTTTTGGTGTTCGGCTTGCTGTTTACCCGGGCAGACACAAAGCCTGCCAGACTCGAAAAGGCCCCTGCCAGCTGCTCAGTTGTTGTTGTGAAGTTGAGGTTCCGCACAAACAGCGAGCTGGTGGTAGCTTCCGTGTCTGCTGCATCGTCGACGTCTTCTGTCTCGACCTGTTCGCCAAGAAGTTCACTGGCTGTCACCTTGGGGCGTTTTGTTTTGGCCTTCTGGTCGTTAGCACCGACTTCAGTGTCTTGTAGAGTCTGGCCGTGCGTGCTGTCCCCAAATAGGTTCTCCGGGCACTTTTCCAGCATGAGCACCGTGTCGTTGACTCGCCGGTAAGCCAACCGTGAGTATGCCAGTCGGCCGTGAGCTGCCTGCGCAAACTGCACAATCGCAATGGTGCCGCCCGTAGGCATGAGCACGCGAACCACAGGTCCGAACTCCTCAAACATGCTACGGATCTCTTGCGACGATGTGCCATAAGCAAAATTCTTGACCAGAATGCACCTGTCTCCCCGCTTGGTATGCGGCTTGAACATGTCCAGATCGACACCATTGGCGGCGAAGTAGCTCCTGGTCTCCTCGATTATCGACGTTTGCCGAACCGCCTGTCTGACAGCTTCGCCAGACGAGGTCGGGTCTAGCATCTCTGACTTGGACACGCCCAGGCGTTCCGCCACTGCCGCATTCACTGCGTCTTGGCTCATGAAGAGAGCATTCCACGAAAACGTGCTGGTTGCTGCCTCCTGTTTCTTCCGCAGTAGTTTCTGCTTCTTCAACGGCATCTGGGAAATGGCAAACTCGTCCATAGCCACATCTGTGGCTGACTTCTTTGCCTTGGCTGGAAGTACATGAAGGATGCGACCCTGGAAAGTCTTGCCGTCGCCATTCTGGAATGCTGCCAGCGCCGATGCCGCGGTGGCAAAAAGCACCATTGCAAATCCCTTGTTTGCACCAGCGTTGGTCACTGGAAGATTCACCTAGAAGCGGGAAGCGACACGAACAAGCGTTAACAGGCTGGAATGTGTATCGTTGCCGAGTAATAAGATGAGCAAATCAAACTGCATTCTTTTGAAAAAGGATGCTCCTCGCTTTCGTTCAGACAACAAAAATCTACTAAAATTCTTGGCCCAAGGTTCTCATCACATGTCAATAGACGTAAGATGTCCCTATCTGGGGTTCATCATTGAAAGGCTGAGGAGGAATGCAGGCGACCCAGTTACGAAATACTACATACCTCTTTCACGGGGCCAAAGGTTTCGAAGTACTTCCAGATGTGTGCTTCGGTGGCATCATATGGCAAGTTTCTGATAAACAGACGGGATGTTTCGCGAATTTGATCTTCTGGCAGGAGTGGCTCTTGTGATGCAGGTGCCACCTCGACCACAACATCCATTTTGCTTTCGATGGGTGTCGTGCTATCATCCGGTTTCTCCTCTTCGTCGATCTCTTCGTGGACCTCGTCATCCTGGGCCTCAACCCGTAGACTGGTTTGTGCTTTTGCCACTGCCTGTGCTGGTGGTGGCGGAATACTTGGTATGATTGGCGGCTCTAGCTCGCTGGGATCAAGCAAGTCCAAAAGCCGATTTGTGCGAGACCGAAGCCACTCGTCATCCGACGCGGACGCGATTGCTTGTTTTTGTTTTTGTTGCTGCTCTCGTTGCTGTGCCTCCTGTTGCGACACTCTTGAGCTGGAACTGTCCGTGGCATTCTTGACGACTTCGTCTATAGCAGTTGCGCTAATGACTACTTTAGTGGCGTCCTTCGCTTTCGGCTCTGTCTCAACAGTGTCTGGGTCGTCGTCAAGAGCCTCCTTCCTCTTCTTAGCTTGCTGTGCTGGCAACAAATTATACTCGTCATCGCTCTCTCCTTCAGCAGCAGCTAGAGCGGCCGCTGCAGCGGCCTCTGCGGCATTGTTTTCCAACTGTGCCGTCTGACTATCACCCATTGCTGCAAAGACATCTGCCGTGCTGCTTATGCCTCGGCCATGCTGTGGCTTCATCACCTCAAGAAACTCGCGAAGCTTGGGATCGGCCTCGTCAAGCTTCCTTCTCTTTGATTGATCTTCCTCCGCCACTTTCTGTGGATCCTCCTGAGCTGCCTCTTGCCCTTCGTACGGGCGCTTCAGGCTACTTGCTCCCGGTAGCGATAGATCGCCGATGGGTTTGGCCACCTCGACGAACAGCTTGGACATGCGGATGTACGACCGATTAAAGTATCGAACAGCAGACTTGGCCTCCTCCGCCGTGCGGTAGCCCAGGAAGGCTATCCGGCGCCGGGTGATGAGCTTGACATCGGTGATGTGACGGCCGCCGGAAGAGAAGTGCTTGCGAAGGCTTTCTTCGGTGATATTTGGCGGCAAATTCTTCACGAAGATGCGGGAAGACTCCTCCGCTGCATCCGCAGAGGCCTCTTCCAGCACCTTCGGACCAGCCAAGCTGATTGGCATGGCTGAAGGCATCTTGGGGAACAAGATGGTACTTCCCGAAAGGTAGAAGTTGGGAGTAGAAGGTGGGAAAATGGAGGGAGATGCTGCTGCCGAGATTTTTTTTCTACTAAGAAAAACCGTCTATCTTATCGAGATTTAGGTGGGCCCGGAAAAACCACCATTGGAGCCTTACCCGGAAAAACGTGGGTTGCTGGCAACCCAAATCGCTCTAACATGACATGGACGGTGCGCTAAGCAACGCCTCCTACCCCCATGTTTGTTGTCGTCCGCCCTTGCCATCGTAGACAGCCTCGGAGAAATCACGCGCATTCACCCTTTTTGTCCTCTCCGACAAAAGCACGATCTTGCGTATCGCTCTGCAACTTTTGGGGCTTCCCACCTTCACAACGCCGACGGCAAGAGACACGGTAAGACCATCTGCTCACTTCATCGGCCGAATTTTCTTTCTGCACAACGGTGCCGGATGATGCGCGAAACAAAACTTGCGTTTAGACGCTGAGCTTCCGGCCCGCTTCCTGTCCGTTCGTTCTGTGGTGGCATTCCTCTCCACTGCGGACGGTCTAAGAGAGGCGCTTGATTGTGGAGGTAGCATTGGCATTTAGGAGACTGATAAGCTGACTATGTGCCCCTTCTACTGCTACAGCACCTCCGACTACATTTTCTATTTTCCGATTCTTTCGAGTTGCATCGAAGCCAATGACAATGGCTGTTGAAGCAAAGACAGAAACGCCGCCCCCGCCGGCGCGCGAGAAGCTGGAGGGTGAGTCGAGAGAGAGGGGGAGAGGCTAGGAGTATGGCAAGGGCCACACGACCATTTATCAGACACAGACGTATACTAACTGCTCTGCAACGGCTACAGCCCAGATTAAGTCGGCCGACATGGTATGATGGCCCAATTATAGTACTCTGCTAGACGCCTTGGAGACGATCAGTATTAACGTTGTTCCATTTAGACGGAAGAAATGCAGACGGAGGCCATCGAAGTGGGTATGTGTAGTTTGACAGCTCCTCTTCTCTCAACTACGAGCCCTCTGTTGGCTGACGGTGATGACTATTCTAGCTCAGGATGCTATGGCTAAGTTTACCGTCGAGAAGGTTCGTGCCGCTCTCTTCCGTCACAACAACCGCAGCTCAATGTGCTAACATAAGGCTGCAGGACATCGCCAAGTATATCAAGAAGACGGTGCGCTAGCCTTTGTGCTAATCCGTGCTCCAACACTCCCAGCCTCGGTGCTGACCGCAATTTTAGTTTGATGATCGCAAGGGTCCAACCTGGCACTGTATCGTGGGCCGTAATTTCGGCAGTTTTGTGACACACGGTAAGCGCCATTTTATTACGTTCTACCCTCGTCAGCGGGGAAGGGCCATGGCTGACAAACACAGAAACGAAGCACTTTGTGTATTTCTATCTCGGTCATTGTGCTATACTACTGTTTAAGACTCAGTAAGGGATGAAACCAGTTGGTCAATAGGATGGATATTGCTGGGAATTGGTGGAGCAGGAAGTTGTCTGCGTTCTGATGGATGAGAGGCGGACTGGCTGGCATCTTCTTGCCTAATAATCGAGAAGGCTTCCCCTGGCCGCCCTGTTAATTAACGAGAAATACGAATATATACGGCTGCAATACTGTCTTGCTCACCAGTTCAAATGTGTTCAACTTCCAATGGCACTGCTGGAATTTCAGGTGGTATTTCTGTACTTATTTCATCAAGAGTATCTCTGCAGGCTGCGACAAAATTGCTAGCATGAACGACGCCAGAGAAAACAGATCCGAGGAGACGTAAACGGTCGACCTTTCAAATAAAACACCTCCCATTTCCTTAGGTGTCCCCCAAAAGAATGTAATCCTCGCCTTTTATACCTATGCTTTGCGTTGTGACTGTGCTCCTTTTGGATGGAAATGCAAATTAAATCAGGTTGTCATCTTGGTATCATCAAATGGCCATTATAGGGGCCTCTGTCACTTATCCGATATCTCAATCTCCCCGCCCTGATCAAGCCCGCACCATCGCCTCACTGTAGATGTTCTCCTTCATCAACTGGAGGCGGTGGTGCATAGCCAGCAGGTAAACAACCTGCGCCTTTGGCGGATTATCTCGGCTGGATATGTCTTTATAGAGTGCTTCATATTTTTCGTAGTAGATCTTGAACTTCCGTGCCTGTTCGACCACATCTTCTGGCAGATGCTTCCGCTTCTTGGGCTTGCCATTGTTGGTCGACGAGTCCGTCCCGTCGAGGTTATTTCGACGCTCATTGACCATCTTCCGTTTCTGATTGGTATTGCTGCTGCCAATGGGGGGAACGCTCTCTTCCGAAGACAAGTCAATCTCAGAGGCGTTGGCTGGTGGCGAGGCTGCGAGCGGAGACGATTTGGTAGGTGAGTTGTTGTTCTTGGGCTTATTGGAAGGTGCGCTCCCATTCCTGACGTGGCCACTGCGGCCGCCGCTGTGATTGCTGCTGCTGCTGGTAGTGCTATTCGGGCTCACGTTGGATGCTCGCGCTGGTGGCGGCGCCGCCTGTTGTTGTCGTGGTTGGTGGTACTTCTCGTGGTCTTTTGTGGGTAGCAACTTCGGTGCCGGTTTGCCAGGCTTGACCCTCTTGCTTAGCGGTCCATCCGAGCTGGAACTGCTGCTGCTGTCGTCTTCATCCTGACGGATACGTTTTTTCAGCAACGGTTTGGCTGTGATCTGCGATTTCACCACCTCTTTGATAGGCGAGGGCTTGGGTTTCCGTACATCAGCCGGCGGAGCAACCACAGGCCCCTTCCGTGCCTTGTCTCCGATAGATGAAGACAGCGCGACCTTGGTGTTGGCCTTTGCGGTCACAGACGGCTTGGTGTTGGCGGCGCTCAATTTTGACTGCCGGACAGCCGTCGCCAGTGGCATCGACTCGGATTCTGATGCTGACGAGTCGGAGTTTGTGATGAATTCGTTGGACTTGAACTTGGTTTTTTCAGCGCTTGGCTTGGCAACAGTCGGCTTTGTCGGAGACACCTTTGGTGTAGACGATGGCACCGAAGTTGGCGCCGGGTTGGTCTTCTTTTTGGTCGATAGTAGACGCTTTTCTCGAGCTGAGACCTTTTTCTTGGCAGCCGTTGCCCCTTGCTGATACGGCGAAGCCGAGATGCTTTCGGAATCGGCTCCCTCCTCGTCAGTCCGGTGACTGCCATTTCCATATTCGCCCGAGTCGTCGCGGCCGCTGCCACTGCCACCTCCAGAGTCTCCAGACTCATCCGTTCGCTGTCCCTTCGTTTTTGTGGCAGGCGGTCCCTTGGCGATTGCAGCATGAATCTTGCTCAGGATTCGTCCTTGACCACGTTCCTCCTTCCGCAGCAGTTTCTCCCACTCCGGTTCTGATTGCGAAAGCCGCATCTTGTCATACTGGCGAATGGCATTATCGATTGCCTGTTGCCGCTCGTCATTGCTTGCATACTCATGGTTCCACACGTCGAGCTCCCTCCAGTATTTCTTCCGGAGGCAATAGTTCTGTGAGTCCTCATATAGGTCTGCTACCTTCTCCAGCGCGTTTCTGAAGTCGACCTCAGATGCACCGGGATACTTCTGCCACAATATGTCATATGGCTGCTCCTTGAAAGCGAGTTCATGGATGATGGGTGCCCGGGCCCGTTTAGCCTGCTGAGAAGAAGCATCGTTCGGGGCCAGCGAGGGCGAGCCGATGGCACTGAGGGCCGGGCTAGTTGGTAGTGGTGATACAGAAGTACGGCCATTGGGAGACCGTCTTCCGGAAAGCGCCTTGTGCAAAGAGCCGACAGCGCGCTTGATGTTCTTGCCGTTTGAGGCAGGACCGCTTCCCTCGATGACCTTGGTTCTGTTTGAGGAGACAAACGACATGGTAAGCTCCATATTCACAAACCACGACAACGCGCAAGAAAAGAAACGTAGAAGTGGGGGAATGAGCTAGCATACGATTTCTCCTGCTTTTCAGCCTCCTTCTGTGCGAGTGAGCTTCGTAGGAGGGCGATGTCAGTATTTAAGGCGGCGTGGGACTGCTGGTCGTTGGCATCTTCAGGCTCGGGTGAGGCTTCCTCTTCGTATTCATCATCTTCATCCTCGGAAGAGCCCGTTCGGTACTGATCCCAGGGGTCCCCTAGTTCTGGTTTTCGGAAGAGAGACATGGCGAATTGCGGAAGGCGTTCAACCTTGGGGGAGCTGCTCGCAGCATTGGCAAGGAATAGTTCGAGATCATCGTTGCTGTCTTCGGTCGTGGCTTCGATATGGTGGCTGGAGTTGCCGTAGAGGAATGTCTGCGACACGAAATCAGCTCAGTGCCAGTCAGGACGCGGCATGCGAACAAAAGCAGCGCGTAAGAGAGAGAACGTAAGGGGGGGGGTTCATACCGGCGTGTTACCCAGAGAAAGGCGAATCTCGTGACCCTGGGCGACAGACTCGATCATGCCGTCAATGACCGCGTCGCTCAAGTCTAGAATGAAGGCTTGAGTGGGTAGGTGGTCAATGGAGTCGTGAAAAGCCTCCTCCAGCTGGAGGCCGGCATGGGGGATTTTGAGAGCCATCCCAGACACCGACCGACAACCAGAGGAAAGCGTGAGCTCAGTCGTGGCAGCTGAGTATTGTTTCGGTCTTTCCCTGCGTTGCTGCAATGTTTCTCGTGCGGCAGGACGTGTCTATAGCCTATGGGCTGTCGTAGGAGGGAAAGTTTGAAGGAGGAAGAAAGGTCGGCAGAGCTTGGGAGGGAGAAAGTTTGAAGAGAAGCAGGAGGAAGTTTGCAGGACGATGCGAGGATCGAGCTGGTCGGCGTCACCGGCGGAGGCAGTCGTTACATGGTCGACAGGCCCGGGATATAGGGGTGCAGAGAAATGGAGAAAGAAATGGACGGAGATAGAGGGTTCGGAGGAGCGGCGAGTAGAATGACGAAGTTCGAAGCAAGAAGCAGGGTAGTGATTAGGTGATGAGGAAGAGCAGTGATACGGACGGGAGTGAGACAAAGGTGGTGAGGGCCAAAGGTACTCTTGGCCTCCGGTCAGTCGGTCGCTCCTGCTGGTTGTGGCTATCTCCGCAGTCTACCCGCGCCTAGGCCTTTGACTCGCTTTGGGGCGATTTCGCGGACTCTTGGCAGGATGGAAGAGCACGCAAGAGGCCGGCAAAGAGCTGGCGAGAGGAGATGTGCGAGAGACGAGAGACTGGAAGCGACCAGAGAGCATGATACGAACAATGGCAGCAGGTAAGGTTGGAAGGCCGGAACAGAGGCGGAGAGGCACAACACACGAGGTATCTTACGAGGGTAACTGGGGCTAGGCCAAGCAGGGCGACCCGGCCTTCTCTCGGGTACAGGGTGCAGAGGGTGGGAAGGGCAGCGCAGCAGGTACCAGTACTTGCCGCATTTTTACGCTACCGGGCAGAGATTAGGCCACAACTAGCTTAGCGGCTGTTGCGGAAGGCACTATTGGAAGACCGGAAGGACTAACTGACGGAGAGCAGGAGCACAGTCTGTAGGAAAGAGGCCTGGCGAGCTGTGTGGTTGGCGGAAACGGGGGGGCCATCGCCCTGCTAGACGGGCCGGGTGGAGCACGTGTACAGTACATGTTCACGCAGGCAGAGATACAACCTGGGGACGAGCACTTGGGCTGTCGGCGTAGGGGCAACGCCAGGCACGCAGCGTCCCCATACTTGTGGGCTGGCACAACGCATCACCGCCTTGTCCTGTGGGAGGGATCGCATGGTCGTCATCAGCTCCGCTGCTTGGATGGGGGAGGGTGTGCCTACGGAGTACATAGTAGGCGACACATTGGCAGACGGGGGAGAAGGCAAAAAGGCAACAAAGTACGAAGTAAGAAGGCGCCAGCAGGAAGAGAGAAACAGGTTACGGCTGCCTGCCGGAAGACCACATGGCCTGGCAGAGCCTTTGAATGCCTGCTGGCCGGCACATGCAGTATAGCTTCGTACGAGAAGCCGACCCACGAAAACAGTGCGGCCGGTCCGCAAGCTACGAGTACGTACTCGCAAGGAACGTGGCCAGTCGTGCATGGTGGCTCTCGGCAGCGCCTTTTCGCTTGCCTCTTCGGGTGCTTCTTTGCTAACGTAGTCTCTCGGTCGGGCCATCTCTACCATGTATCGACGGCGCATGCAAAAAGGCTCACGACCCGTTTCTCCGATCACACACCAGCAAAACACTGTCCGGTCTCCCCGCCTCTTTGGCGAGCTTGCCCCGTACGATTGTGTGTGTGTGTGTGCACGGAGTCTTCCGTGTGTCCATGGCAAGATGCCTTGTGTGTTCGCCTCTGACCGCCTGCTCGCCCTGTCCGTCAGGAATCATGCTGAAGGCACCCAGGGGGGGCCAAAAGCCCCGCTAGAAGTGTGGCATGGGCGTGAAGTCCTCTGCCCACCGTACGAATAATAATGAGACTCGTTATACCATGTTTTGGTTGTTGGGCGAGCAATGGCAAAAGAAACAGAGACAAATCCCAGGCCCGGGTCTGCCTTCCGCCAATGCGACCCAGACTGAGCCCCTTGTACTCCGTACACAGTAGGAAACGCTGGTCGTGGAGACAATTGCAAGGGGGGGCTAGAAGGAAAATAGGGAGAGCGAATGGCGGTTGGTGGGCCACGCCTGATTGAGCTAGTCCGGGTCTCTGCCGTTTGGGCGTTCAGGCGGCTGGACCTGTCCGCGTGCGTGCCAATGCCATCGCCAGGGCGCTTGCAGACGGGCAAAAATGGCCGACCTAGGCAGCTGGGCCAGCGCGAGTTGATTTGCAGGAGACTGCCCATCACAGCTGAAACATGGCCGTATTTTCAAGGATCGCTGGCCGTTGTGGATTTCGTCTGAAGTCGGAGGGATGAGGAAATCCGCGGCAAGCAGATGGGAAGATGAAAGATGGCAAAGATGGCAGAGATGGCAGATGGCAGATGGGAGATGGGAGACGGGGGAAATGGGGGCTTCTGACAGGCTGCATTGCTGCGCCAGGCGCTGCCGGCCTTGTTCGCAAGAACACTCGTATTTCGGCCCTGGCCGGCATGCAAAGCTACAGTGGGCAGGTTAATTATATCATGTCTGTTACCGCAACTTCTTAATTTGGCACAGCGTTCCTGGCCGCAAAGATAGATACGCTTACTCCATAGACGACAGGGGACCAAGGCCCTTTCTGTCTCACGTTCTTCGCTTCTGGTGTTGGAATGCGACCATTGCGAGACGCTTCTAAAAGTTTAGCTCACCTAATTCCCTCTTCTTTTTCGAGCAAATGGTCCTGCTCGGCCTTCCCAACAGCGGTTACGCCAGGCTGCCACGTCTGCCCTGTACCAGTAACTTTTGGTCGAAACAGACGATCGCTTGTAATTTGCATAGTATGTATACATAGTACTGCTGGCTCACACCCTCCATTATCTCACCCACACCCTCCTTCCTGTGGCGAGGCCGAACCAACCTGGTTGGCTTCCGGCAGGCCTGAGCCGTACCACGAAAATGTCTAGTGATACCACTTTCCTTCTTCTACAGCCGGCTCACCCGCTTCGCCACCCTCCTCTTCATGCGGTCAGTGTACTGGGCACGTGACTTTGCGAACATCTTACGCCAGCAAGCAAGGATACAACGTCACAAATGCCCACGTACACAGTATCTTACGTCCGGTGTTCCCGCAGTCCGAGGAGATGGGCTCGAAAGGCTTGACTCCGTGCTGCGTGCCAACGGCGTAGGAGAAGAAGGAAGAATGAGAGTCAAAATGGTGCCGCCCGTGCTGGATAGGTGAAACCTTGCCTGCACACAGTACTGCTCAACGTCTATTACGCGTATTTCTTTTTCCAGCTGGCCCTCGTTTTGTTTCACCTAGCCAGCTGGGCAGCTCCCGGTCAACTAGGAGACGCTGAGCATACACAGTACCGGCACCAATCTCTCTGATGGATCCGCGGCTAATTGCGGCAGCACGGCCTTGTGCTAGCAAGGCCTTCCATCCACCTGCTGCAAAATTTTACAGACGTCTGCTGTGCGCTTGTAAACGGAGGGAATTGCTGCAGGAGATCCTGTTATCTTGAGGGAGGCATAGTTGCGAATGGCGGACCTGTCTCAGTCCATCCAAAACAAGGGACCGCCGAGATCGCCCAGGATTGTCTTGAAGAGGCAAAAGAAAAGCTGAGATAAGCCGCATTTTCGTATCTGAGTAATATACGGAGTACGGAGTACATGCATACGACGTAGATGAGCCTAGACAGACCCACAATATGATGACTAATCAGAGTCAGACAGCAACGGGCGGAATATACGTCGGCCCGTATATGTGTGATGCTTAGATGGTGAGCTCTGGTCAATCAGCGAGCCGCGCTGGACGAACAGCGAAGAAGCGCCGCACCGAGCAGAGCACCGGCCGCATCTTGCTGCGATGCTGTGGCCGACGATGGCGGCGAGCTCAGAAGACGACGGTAAGCGGGCGATGGAGTCCGCTGTCGGGACCGAGGGCGACTACGGCGAGACGTACGACGGAGGCGAGCTGGACAATGCGTACGACGAAGAAGAGTACAACGATGACGCCTACAACATATACGGGGCGCTCGACGGCACAGGAGCTGAGGGCGGTGGTAGCGAAGACGGCGAGGACAGCGAGGACAGCGGCGACGTGATCAGCGGGAATAGTGATGAGGACGAAGACGGAGACGGAGACGGAGACGAAGACGAAGATGAAGACGAAAACGAAGATGAAGACGACGAGACGGACGGCCTCGATGGCGACTACAGCAACAGACGGCAGCAGCGTCGGCAGCGGTCGATGCGGATGAGCAGGCCACCGGTACCGCAGCACAACTTTGCGCCACCGTTCTACGGACGACCGCCGACACCATTGCCACCATCGCCATCGCTGACATCGCTGTTGCGGCCGTCACGGCCGACGACGCCAGACGCGACGGACGACGAGCTGGAGCCGGTGCCGCGGGCTGCACCGCAGGTGCCGACGTACGAGTACTACGGGTTTGTGCTGTACCTCTTTTCCAGCATGACGTTCCTGATGTACCTGTTGTGGAGCTACCTGCCGAGTCCGTTTCTGCACGGGCTGGGCATCTACTACTACCCGAACCGGTGGTGGAGCCTAGCGATCCCGAGCTTCCTAGCCATGAGCCTAGCGTACACGTACGTGGCACTGGCCAGCTACAACACGGAGATCCTGACGCTGCCGCTGAGTAGCATCGAGACGATAGTCGATGGGGCCGCCAAGATGGCCGCCGTCGATGACAGCGGACGCGTCGTCGTCATTGGCGGGCCCGACGGCCGACGGCTGCAACCCAAGGGTGTTGGTGTTGCTGGTAGGGGTGAGACCAGTCGTCGAGCAGTCGGAGACGTCGCTGCCTCGTCAACGCAGCCAACAGCCTTCCACTATCGCCAGCCGTCGTCGCCATCGCCACCACCCGGAGGGCTGGCCGGCTGGCAAGATCGCCAGGCCGGGGCCAGCGGCAGCAACAGCAGCACGCGTCACAGCAAGAACAAAGCGAAGACGGGACGACGAGACGGCGGAGACAAGCACGGAGAGAGGCGGAACGGCCTGATGATGGGCAGTGGCCGACAGGCGTGGAAACGGCACCAGTCCGACAGCCACAAAGCCCAAGGCGCGGGAAAGCCCTGTAGACCGGACTGGAACAGCCTCTGGAGCGAGGGGACGGACGCGGTCATGGACATCCCGCTGGCGGGCGTCTGCGAGGTGCTGTATGCATAGTTTAGATGGCCGGCTGCAAAAACACAAGAATAAAAGAAATTCGTACTCCTTACTTGTTGCCTCCCTCTCTTTCCTTTTTGGGCCGTTGTCGAAATAGTGGACGAGCTCGGGAATTTTGTCGGCCCGGGCGCCTGATTTTAGTCGTCAGCGCAGCGCAGCCCCTCTGCAAAGCCAGCCATCGTTGAGGTTCAGCTTCGACGACGAAAGGGCGAAAAGCGACAAAGCGACAAAGCACGTGAAAAAGAGGACAAAGGCAGGGACAGCGTTGCGCCAATCGAAAGGCCAAGAAGACGCAATCGACAGCAAAACGAGGCATTGACGTCGCAATTGCAGACGCGTCTGGATTCTAGATTCCAATTTCCGGTCGCGACAGAAAGGATCGAGCTCGAGGAGCTCACGCTGACACGGTGCCGCTGGCGACAATGGCACAGGCACAGCAGCCATTGACGTCGGCCACGCAGCCGGCGGATGTGTACGGAGGAGGTGAGGAGAGGAAAGAGTAAAGAGAGAAAAAAACAAAGAGTGAGGCTGACGTGAGCAGATGAGGTGTCTGCGCTGGTGCTGGACCCGGGCTACTGCCACACGCGTGGCGGGTTTGCGGGCGAGGACGTGCCCAAGGCAGTAGTCCCATCGTTCTACGCGCACTACGCGGCCAAGGGGCCGGTGGGTGGACGCGACCTGTTTGGCGACGAGGTGCTGATCCCGCGGGCGGAGCTGGAGATCCGCAACTACATGAACCGCGACAGCGTGGTAGAGGACTGGGACGCGGCGATCCAGCTGTGGGAGCACGTGCTGGTGCGGCGGCTGCAGCCGACGCGGCTGTCGTCGCTGACGCGGGCCGCCGGGACAACGAGCAAGAACGTCCACAACAACAGCGGAAGCGGGACAGACGACATGGACGTGGACCTGGAAGCGGGTGAGGTGCAGGAGAAGCCACTGGCGGAGAACCCGCTGCTGATGACGGAGGCGCCGTGGAACAGCGGCAAGGCGCGGGAGCGGGCGATCGAGGTGGCGATGGAGAGCTGGGGCACGCCGGCGTTCTGGCTGAGCCGCACGCCGGTGCTGGCGGCCTTTGCGGCCGGCAAGGCGTCGGCCCTGGTGGTCGACGTTGGCGGTGCCGGCACGAGCGTCACGGCTGTGCACGACGGCATGGTGCTGCGGCGGTCGATACAGCGGTCGCCGGCCGGCGGCCTCTATCTCTCGGGGCAGATCCGCGAGATGTGGAAGACGGGTATCGAGCCGGCCGTGCCGATTGTGCCGGGCTTTCTGGTCGAGAGCAAGACGGCCGTCGACGCCGGCGCGCCCGCTCAGGCTCGTCTGCGCAGCTTTCCCTTTGCCATTCAGCAGTCCTTCCGCGCATACGAGGAGGGGCGCCTGCTGACCGAGTTCAAGGAATCCGTCGTCGAGGTCTGGCGAGGTCCCGGTCGCTTTGGCTCGCCCGGCAACGAGGACTTTGCCCGCTCGCAGCCCGGCCGCGTCTTCGAGATGCCCGACGGGTCCAACCAGATGTGGCGAGAGCAGCGCTACCGCGTCGCCGAGGGCATGTGGGACGAGCAGGCCGGCTATGTCGGGGCCGCTCCCGAAGAGACAGCGGCCGCTGAAGATGATTTGTCAGCATTGTCAGCATCTGTCTATGGGCCGCTGACTAAGGCACAGACCATCCCCGAGCTCGTGCGTGCGGCTGTCGGCAGCGTGGACGCGGACCTGCGGCCGTTGCTGCTCGGCAACGTCGTCGTCACCGGCAGCACCAGCCTGCTGACTGGCTTCAACGATCGGCTCAACAGCGAGCTGACGGCCATCTGGCCGGGCGTCAAGATTAAGATCCACGCGGCCGGCCTGACCAGCGAGCGGCGCTTCGGCGCTTGGATCGGCGGCAGCATTCTCGCCAGTCTCGGCACCTTCCACCAGATGTGGATCTCGCGGGCCGAGTATGAGGAGAACGGTGCGGCCATTGTGGAGAAGCGGTGCAAGTAGTCTTGGAGACGGAGACGGAACATTGTGTATTTTTGTCGCCGGGAAAAGGCGTTTATTGTTAAGGAAAGAGTACAATTATTCTCTACGTCTGTCTATCGTCTTTGTGTAGTCATCGATCCCCTTTGCATGTCCACTTATGTCTGCATGCCCTTTTCCATATCCTTTTCTTTCATCTCCTCCCTCTCCTCTTCTCTCTCTGCCTACCACCCTGTCCACCTCTCCCACACGTCCACAATCTCCGTCGGCTCTGTCCGGCTGCTGTCCACAACCAGAAAGTGTCCGTACATGGCTGCCGTGATGCACGCGTGGTTTGGCCAGATGCGCACCCGTTGTCCGAGCGCCGGCGTGATAGCTGCCTCCGGAGCTCCGGCCCACGTCAGGATGCCGTGTTCCTGCGAGATGCGCGCGACCTGCCACCAGCCCGCGACGTCGGGCGCTGGCAGCCGTGGAAACTCGACGCCGGGCACAGCGACGCGGGGATCCGCCACGACGGCCGGCCAGGGCGCCACAACCCCAAAGGCATCCGCATAGACGGGCGCATCGCCATGGGCGTCGGTGCGCTTGACAGACTCGCGGCCGAGCGCGAGACAGCCGGCATTGATAAGCACCTCGTCCATGCTGTCGGCACTGTTGCCATCGCCGCCTCGCTTCGGATACAACGACGCCACGTCGGCCAGCACAGTCATGGCCAGATCGGCCAGCTCGTCCACAGCCCCGGCGCCGGCCCAGCTGTGCGTGGCCAGCTGCTGCAGATCGCGTGTCGGATAGACGCCGGCATGGGCCTCCAGCCGGAGACCGTCGTGCTGCAGTCGGTCCAACGCCGTCCGCAGCTCGGCCGCCTGGCCACGGTCCTGCTCTGTGCCGCCGCTGTCAGGCGCTTGAAACGCCCCCCCGCCCAGACCCGGGTGCTGCAGCGTCGCCACGGTCGGAGATGCGCCCACCGACAGCGTCAGCGGCGGCACCGCCAGCGAGAGCGTCGCCGCCACCGCTCCGACCTCGCCGGCTGCCGTGGCCAGCGCACCAAACTCAGCCACCAGCTGACGCATCGAGGCCCACGGCTGGCGCGCATCGTACGAGTGGCCCGCATGACAGTAGAGCCCGTGGAAGACAATGCTGCCACCGCTCGACTCGTGCTCCGCCAGGAGACTCTGCAACAGAGCCGTGCAGCTCGCTGATCCCGGAACCACACCCGCTCGCGATGACCCCATGTCAATCTTGACAAACACCTGCACCGCCGCCACGCCCGCCGCGTCTGCCAGCTGCCGCACCGCTGCCAGCTGCCCCGCGTTGTCCATGATCACCGACACGCTGCCCGCTCCCAGCGCCCGTCCAATGGCTGCCAGCCGCTCCACCACTGAACTGTACAGCGGAAATCCGTATAGCACGTTCACACGCCGCCCTGCCGCCTGGTACTCGCGCATCAGCGGCAGCACACGCTCCGCCTCCAGCAGCGTCGACACCACTATCTGCACTGGCCCCGTATCGCCCACCTGCAGCCGTGTCAGCTCTGTCGTCTTGTGCGTCTTCACGTGGGCCCGCCAGCCAAGTCCCAACGCCGCGCACGATTGCAACATGTGCTCGCAGTTGCGTGCCACCGCTGCCCGGTCCAGCACCACCGACGGCGTCGGCACCGCCGCGTCCTCTAGATGCTTTCCGATCAGCCTTCGTGGATCCATCATGTCGTGTCTGGTTGCTGAAGTCTGCTTTGCTGTCGCCGAGCTCCGTCTCCTGGGTGCCGTCCTCCTGCTCCTATTAATACACGCCTGCTAAGCACGATAGAGGGGTAGCGTACGATAGGCCCATCTGGGCTCGATAGGAACTCCGTTTTCCGTCTTGCTTTCGCCGCTTTTTGCCGTTGTTTCAACCTTTTCACCTTTGTATGTCGCTGAAAGTGCAATCACTTCACTCGCCAATAAGTATGCCCGTCGACTCCCAAATAGGAAACAATGCTGCTCTTAATCGGGCATCTGCAACCTGCACTCTGCCCTCACGTGCCTGCCCTTCTGGGCAGTTTCTGCAGTTGTCGGAACCAGATTGTTATTACAGTAACTACTGCCTAAAGCGCCGCTTAAGCGCCACATACAAGCCTAAGAAACAGAATTACAAACGCCTTCGTCGCGCGCCAACATGTAGCCGTAGATATCCAAGAACAAATCCTAGAAAAAAAACCCAGCCAGGTTGGGGCTCCATAAAGAAGTAAAGCCAGACAGCCCACGAATGTAGAAAGGATGTAGTTGGGTATTGAAAAGACGGTATGGTATCTTTGAAGAAGAGAAGAACACGACGGGGAAGAGAGAAATGAGAATGGGAAAGAAAGTAAATCGGAAGACAAAAAAAAATGGTAAAACGATGGTGAAGGCTCAGCGATAATGCTCATAGCAGACTACGAGTCGACCTTGACTCTCTTGGCCTCGTTGTGCTCCAGAGAGTCAGACGACGGTGCATTCGCCCCGATTTCCGGGCTCTTTCTCTTGTTGATCGCCGGAACATGGTCGTCTCGAAGGAAGCTCGGCCCTGTTCCCACGACCGGCGTCGCAAAGTTCAGTGGGCTGGGTAGGGTCGCGCTGTCGCCGTTTCGCCCAAAGCCCCAGTCCGGATAGAAGCTGTTTGGGCTCGGAAGAAGCTCGTTGTTGAGGAACCGGGACGGAAGCGCCGATCCTGGCGTGTCCACATGCAACCCCCCATTGTTGCCCTGGTGAGGAGGCGGCCGAGCAAACGGGTTCGGTGGTCCCGTAGCCCCGGCTGACAGGAGAGACGACGCCGATGGCGACGGCGGTGGGAGCACCATCCCTCCATGGGCATGGTCGCCGTTGCGTCGACTCCCGGATGGCCCCGTGTCGCTTCCGTTGCGCGGCGACGATGCCGATCCTCCCGTGCCTGTCCCACCACTGTCCTCCGATCCGTCCGGAGGGATCTCAACCCGCAACCGAGGCCGCAACGGGCCTGACCGGAGGCTGTTCTGTCGTGACGGCGGCGTAAAGACAGTTTCTGGCACCGATGAGACCGATCCCCGTCCCTTTGGCTGTGGCAGCTGCCCCGAGCTGCCGTCCACGTTCTTCGCCGTCTGTGCCGCTGCCTTGTTTCCCCGGCTTGCATTGCCCGAGTCAACAGACTCGTTGCCGCCCATCTTCTTGCTGGGAGGTGATTCCAGCTGAGGCTCCGTCTTGACCGAGTCGCTGTGGAACGCGGCCAGGTGCTGCGACAATATCGATCGGCTCTCGTCAATGGGCGTGAATATGCTGTACTGCTTACGCTGTGGCAGCTTCTTCACCTCCGGCCAATCCGATGCAGCATCCGACTTCACGTCCACTGGCGTTGGTGGCTGGGGCTCCTGAATCTGCGGTTGTGGCTGCGACTGCGGCTGCTGGAACTCAGGCGGACTCTGGGACGGATGCTGCACCTGCGCTTGCCCTTGATTTTGCGGTGGTGGTGGCAGCGATTGTGACGGCCGAGGCGACGCCCGAGGGGGCGGATGGGGCAGCCGCTGCGAGTGCGCTTGCGGTGGAGAGACCGAGTGTCTCTGCGGTGGCAGGGGCGGTGGTGGCAGAGACGATCCTGGCGCTTGCGTGACCTGAGGGAAGCTGGGCGGAAGAGAAGATGGCCGGTCGTCCACGTACGATTGCATGTGTGGATGAGAAGGCGGCCCGTGGTTCTGCTGCTGGGGCGCGTATGGATACGACGGTCCGACCTGCTGCATGTTGGGCTGCGGCGCATTCTGCTGCGCCTGCGGGTTGTAGATGGACGGGTGCGGCATGTAGGCATATCCGTTGGCCGAATGTCCTGGAGGCGGGCCCTGAGAAGCCTGCAGCCCGTTCTGCGACACCCGGTGTACGTCGTTGCGGGAGCCCGGCCGGGAGATTCCCTGCGGCGGTTGCGGCGTGTGGCCGCGCTGCATCGCCTGTGTTGCCGACGCGTGGGACGCAAAGGTGACCCCGTTCGGGATCGGTGGTGAGGCCGATGGCGTGTGGTGGCGGAGGTGGGCAAACTGCTGCGGCTGGCCTGGGTAGTGCTGCGCCATCATGTGCGGATCCATCCCATCCGGCTGCATCGGTGGGGAGCCGTCGACCTCGTCGTCCGAGCCGTCGTCCGCGCCACCGTTGAAGTCCGAGGGACCCTTGTGCTCGTTCGGTCCACCGTGGTATGTGTACCGTGCGATCAGATCGCGCATGTCGCCGGACGAGTACTCGTACAGCTTCTTGTTGCTGCCAAAGATGAACACGGCGACATCGACGGAGCAGAGCACTGACAGCTCATGGGCCTTCTTAAACAGACCACCCTTGCGCTTCAGGAACGTGCTGTAGCGTGTCAGCATGAGCATGCAACCCGCCAACTTCCTGCAGGCCCAGGACAGGCAAACTTACACGGAGCGGTTCCGATCATCCTTGATCGCCTTGATCTCGATCTTTCTCCGGCCCATAGTGAGAGACTGGAGTTTAGACTGGGCGCGACTGCTCTCGCAGTGATGGAAGCGAGTCTGACGCAAAATTCGAGTCCGTCGCACGGAGGCTGCTGGGATCGGCTGGCGCTGGTGCCAGATTGCTGGGACAAGGGGACTTGCGAATGGGGAGCAAGATCGGAGCGTTGTATTTTTTTGGTTCGCTCAGCCAGGCGTGGTGCTTGGGTTTCTTTTTTTAGGTCGCGAAGAACGAGAACTGCCCAGATGGGCGCGGGGGGGGGGGGGGAAGGGAAGGAAGACAAAAACGGAGGAACAATACAGAGCACACGTCCGAGTAATAAAACACACAAAATGACCCGATGGCGATGTGAAACACTAGAGTGGTACGGAAGACGCGACGCAGCGACAGGCTTGGTCGGGACGAGAGCCAACTGCAGAGTGGGGAGCGAGGAGATGAAAAGGGAGGGTTTAAGAGAAAAGGGGAGGCGATGAGACGATATTTGGCTTAGGACAAATAATAAGGAGCCTTTTAGGTGGGTTTGCCTTTGGTGTGGGCGAGCGACGAAGAAGGAAGAAAAACGACGTCAGGGCAGAAAACCCGGGCGCAAACGTGCGTTTGTCCTTCTGCTGCGTCGACGTTGGCGGGGATGATCCCTTGCTTATCGACGCCTTCTGCAGTCCTGTCCTGTCTGCTTCTGCTCTGCCGTCTCGGTCTCCTCTCGTGCAGCGGACTTTCAGCCCAGCAGGTGTGCGACCGGGAATCTGCGCGCAGCGACCATGTAAAGTCTCAATGTGCGCGCCGTTGATCGATCAAGCCCGGATGGCTGTCGTGCAGCGCGATGGGGCTGAAAGGCAAAAGGTCCTAAAAATAACTTTTGGCGTCCTAGCTGGCGATGAAGAACGAACGAGAAGACAACGGTGGGAGGTGGACGGAAAAGGTGAGAGGAGCGAGGAGCGAACGAAAGAAATGGGAGCCGATTGGCGCACAGGCGTGCTAGCAGCCCGGGCGAGGAAGGAAAGAACAATTGGATGGTGTCGCTCCTTAGCCGCCGGCTGCTCCTGCTGCTTGCGGGGGGACATTTAGATACGAGCGAGGGAGTATTACAGAATTGCTCCGTACTCCGTACAGACAGAAGTAAGATACTCGGGTGGGGCGCGAGCAGGGCTGTGCAGGCGTGCAGGCGTGCAGGCGGCAGCTACGGCGTACTTGTAACTACGACTCTGAATTATTCAATCGTCCACACGTGGAATTCTGCCCTCCACTTTTTTCTTCCTTTCCACACTTACCATCAACCACACCGAGCGGGTCAGTCGATCAGCAAGGGCACCGAGATATGAAGACCGGCCGTGCTCGTACTCGTACGAGACCACATCGTATAGGGATTAGCTGCCGGCTGCTATGCAACCAAAGCACATCATACACTTCCACCGAGCCTGTCTCCGAGCCGAGTGCATGTATCCTCTCTTGGCCATCTACAGCCGACTTCGCGCGCACCAGAGCAAGGGCCGGACTGCCGTATAAAACTGCAGTGTACGGAGTAAGATACGTCTTATTACGCCGTTCCTATCGTTAGATGCAAAGGTGGGCAATTAACAATGGTCTGTGCGCCAACCCTATTCCACGCCGTAAACTGTGGCGTTGATGAGCGTAGTCCAGAACTGCGATAGGCATTCCAGTATGACATAGTGTCACTTATGGGCGCGGATAAGTGGCTCGGTTCTGACAATGGGCAACTAGGGGTGGGATCTATCACACATTCGCCCCTCCTTAGTTTACCGGTCTCGATACTGCCGCAGCCTTAAGGGCAGCGCTATTTTCCATTGGCCGTTCTGGGAGCGTTTTACCATGTTGTAGGGCTGTGTTATGGCATCTTGTCATGCTGTAGTCAAGTAACAATGATCCCTAGACACAAACTCCAATTGGGCCGACCTTACGTGCAGTCACCATACTGGTCCAATGGAAAGAATAAGCTGGACGATTACACCTCGCTGATTGGCTGCTTGAGGCTTTGCTGTACTTTGTGGCTGATGGAGATCAAATATGCATGCATTACTCCGTACTGTGCCAAGCCATATTCAGTATGGAGCGTCTCATTTGCCATCTTGTCGGTTCCGGCCCGAGACACAAAAAGCCGGCACAACCTATCGATGTTTAGCCCTGTACATTCTTCTCTCTTCTCTTCGTGACCTTTGCAATGGATTCAGCATTTTCGCTAAACCGAGCAGCCTGCAAACGAAATTCCCCCGGACATAAGGAATGAGGCATCCAATGATGGGGACACAGGAACAGCGACGTCTAATTGCCGATACCCTTCCCGTACTACGACGTATATAGAGCCGTACTAAAAAAGTTCTAAAAATAGAAGTGAAGCGCAGCCGAAGCGGTCCGCCTGCCCACAGTACGGCATAACAGGTTGGCCAATCATATCTTGGAGACGCACTTATCAGCGTGCAGGCAATGTGCCGCCTGGAAGGGTTATTGGGTGCATTTTCTGACGATGTGCCAGGTAAGATACGTATGGAGACGGCATAACGCTTATATTAGTAAGCCCAGTGAACAGCGTTGCAGGTCCTGAAATATGGGGACATTACTTTGCAGGACGTAAGATACGCGGGATGAGGCTCCTCTAGAACAAAGACCAGTATCTTAATAATAGTGTAGATGGTAGACGTCTTACAATAACAACGTCTTTGTTGTTATTGTATCGAAGCTGCAGACAGAAACAGAAAGCAAGCGAAGTCAGCACATAACAGCAGAGTCAGAGCATACGTGCCCATCTGCACTTCTCCCATTTTCCCTCCAGTGTTGCAGTGAGTCCATCCAACAGTAACAAAATCATAACATAAAAACATAAACATGGCACCACACTGCCAGGCTCCCAATTCCTATGCTGCAAAACAACGCCTCCGTGACTAAATTTTTGTTCGTCACAAGTGAAAAGACCTTCCAAACCCACCGAGTCCTTGTTCGCCCGATTGGCACTGTGCCAACATAACAGATAATAACGTAAATCAAGAAATAATGATTAAAGGGGGAAACTGGCCAATAGCGGCCAATACCAGCCAAAGTCCGGCTGTCTTCATCAAATCACAGGCTTAAGCAGGACCACTCATCCCGTCTGGTGCGTTATAAACGCCAAACGCTCCCTCTTCTGCGCCTTTTTCGGCCTTCCATGTCCCGTTGAGCATTGGACAAAGCCTAGGCTTTCGTTAGTCGAGCTGGCCAGAAGATGGGTAGCTGAAAAAGGGGGGTGCACGTACTTTTTGTTTGTCTTGATATGGCCCTGCAGTCCGCAATTAGCACACTTTCGGGTCGTAGTGCCTCCACGCTCAACCGACGGGGCTGGCGAGTCGGGGTCCCCATCGTGGATCTGTTGTTGTAGAGCCTTTTGCTTTTCCCGAGCATGCCGGCGCTCCTTGTTCCGGTGTAGACGAGCTTCCTCGGTCTCGAGTCTGTAAACAGAAAATGACATGTCAGTCCTCGCTTCTTGATTATGCACAGATTGGTGTCAATCACATACCGTTGCATCAGGACACGGTCGTAATCAACGTTACCGGTAGGTTTTACCGAGTAGGGACTGCCAGTTTGTTAGCTATTGCCTACAAAAGAAATAGAGGGGAGGGGTCCAAGGACGTTGGCCACATACTCAATCTTTTCCATGTCAATTGAAGCCCGCTGTCTCATGTATTGAGAGATGACGCCCGGGTCATGAACAATCTCCGTCTTGGAGTACGTTTGGCCCGTCTTTTCATCCCGGTACATTCGCGTGATGCGCAGCTTTCTCTTTTCAGGGGCGTTTGACATGCTGGGCCGACTCATCTGGCTCACCCCATCATCGTGGTGATGAGGTGCCGGCGTAGCAACAGGCTCCTTGGCCGGAATGAACCGGTCGTCTTCGTCGTCCTGTGGCTGGACATCCTCATCGTCATGTGGTGTCTCGTCTTCCAGCGTGGTCTGCTGAGATGTCCAGATCTTGCGGATGGCCTCATTGTAAAGAGCGTCCTGCTTCTTTACGTTGTACATGTGTCCATTGTTGGCCTTTCGCTCGCGCTCCATAGCGTCAGCAGATGTAGCCGCAGGACCCTGTATGGCCCCCATAAACCCTCCCTTCATGGATGTCCGGATGAAACTGAAGCCGAGGCCCTTTCCTGTTGGATCACCCGCGCCATGTAGCTGAAGCATAGCCTTTCCTGCGCAGGCGTCGATAAATGACTTTGTGGTCTTCCATGGTACCATGCTCATAGCCATGTTTTCCTTGTCATTCTCATCGTCGATGTCATCGAGCGCAGCGTTGTCGTCGAGCTGGTACCCGTTTTGTGCCAGCTCGTTCTGGCCTACTTGCATTGCATCGTGTAGACAAACATCGTCTGGCTTGATCATACTGTTAATTGTCGCCAGATCCATCAGCGTGTCGTTCGGCTTCAGACCCCATGTCTTCGATTCTTTGTCGTAGTGAAGAAACTCTTTGAGCTTCTGCCGGTTCTGAGCGTCATTCGAATCCTTGACATGCGATGTGATATCCGACAACGAGACTGATCCGTTCTTAGAGATCATTCGGTAGGCCACCATCTTCAGCCGATTCTTGCTGAGGGCAGTGACCTTTCTCGAGTGTGGGCCTGGAACCTCGGCAAGGGGGAATGTCTGCCCGACCACGAAGAGATGATCGATCTTACGCAGGTAGTAAGACGTTCCGTCTTGGCTTGTGTGTGTTCGGCCAAACAAGAAATCCGTCGACCGCGCTTTGTGCTTGAAAATGGGCGCGTGAAACATGGGGTTGTGTAAGGTAGGAACCGTCTCGCCGGGGTCGACAGAGCCGAAATTGGAAAACGGCGATTTATCTTCTGGCAAAAGGAATGACAGTTCGCCCAAGTCCGGTTTTGGTGGGCGTTCTTCGTCAACCTTGGACTTGCGCCGGTAGTAGTTGATGATTTTGTTTCCCATGCCAAAATTGGACATGACCGTTGGGATCTCCTCGCAATATTCGAAAAGAACAGCGGTCGAGTTGTCGCCAAGAGTCAGGTCCTTGGACTGTGCAAATATCTCCTGGATCTTCTTAAACTTCCACTCCCGTTTTGCCACCTTGTGCAGCTTGGAAACCCGAACGGAAAAGCCGATACCCTTAGTGACCTTGAGCTGTGGGCGATGATAATCGTGCGGCTCCGGACCATAACGTGTGATGGCGTAGTAAGGCCATAACAGCTTGAGAGCTGGAATGCTGTGCTCAACCTGGATGTTGCTAAGCTGCGCCCGTACACGGTGTTGGTGGTTCTCTTTCAGCTGCTCGTAAGCTTGGTCGTTCGAATAGTTAAACCGGGCCGCCAGACTGCGTCCCAGGCGGCCGTTCGGCAGCCGCTTTTCGCCCGGGGTCGTCGTCTTCACCCGCTTGGCAGCGCGTCCAGCGTCGGCGTCATCCAGAAGCAGCCTGTGGTCAGACATATCCAAATACACGCGCTTGGCAGCTCGCGCTGTGGCTTCTTCAAACGCATCAAAAGACGGCGCTACATAGCGAGCAATAGCAGGCAGGCCACGCTCGACGATAATCTTGCGCTTTTTCACCATCGGCATGGATCCTAGGATTTCGCGTTCCCACTCGTCCTGTTCCTTCTGTTCAGCCACCTTCCCAAGCTTTCGCTTTCCTGGCACAGAACCGGCCGCAGCCTCATCATCTTCTGCCGGGGGTGTCAGAGGCCCCGCGACGTCGTCCCAGTCGGCGCAGATGATGGAGAAATCTTTCAGCTGGAAACCACCGACGGGTGAGTCTTCATCGCCTTCACCGAAGGAGTCAAAGAAGATGTTGCCGTTATCGGCATCTTTGGGCTCAGGTTGGAGCAATGACACGAAACCTTTCGCGGCGGCGTCTTGGATCCGATGTTGCACACTTGCTTGGGCTGTCCCTGGGATGCGAAACAACTTTTCTTGGTCCGCCTCAAACTCAATACTGAGCTTAGCAGGAATGAGGGGCTTCGGCGGCTTCGTTGGTTTCTTCTCGGATAGAAATAGTGGTTTCGGCGCAAGTTGTTCGTTGAAATTGAGGATCTTGCCCTTTTCGAACGAGGGAAAGGCTAGTCTCACCAGGTCGATGAGATTTTCGGCAGCGGGTGGGATATTCGGATCTTGGTTCGTATCGTGTCCGTAGTCTTCGGGGAAGTTGAGAGCACGGTCCCTATCAGTCACAGTAAAAGGATCGTCGGCAGCGACCGGTTCCAAGCCAGTGGTTGTGGTGCTGTCGTTATTGCCATCGCCGCGAAAAGCTTTGTCGACGGCAGCATCATATGCGGCTTCGAGGTCGCTCAGTTCTTTACCCGGTACTGGAGATAGCCGGAAGCCACCATCGTGGGTGGGCGAAAGTTGGTCGCCGAACAAATCATCTGTTTCATTACTCGCACCCGTATCATCGGTCAAGCCAGGCAAGTCTCCAGAGGTGTTATGTGTCGCTTTCTCCTCTTCGGGTAGATCGTCGTCGCTGATGTCTTCGAAGTCTTCGGCATCGTGTGCTTTGCCCTCCTGGCTGAATTTGATGTTCAAAAGATCGGCTGGGAGGCTACCACCCTCAGCACCCTGTTGACTGCCGCTCAGAATCTGCATGATGGCCTCCTCATCTTCATTTGCCCTGCGCTTCCAGTCATCCTCGTTCAACGAGGAAAACTCGCGCTGGCCACTCTCTGGTGCCGACATCTTGGTATCTGATCGCGCGATCGTAGTTTGGCTGTGATGTCCCCCCAGAGAGTCTCTCTCTCCTCCTCCTTTGTTTCTTCTCTCGGGAAATAATAGGACGGCGAATCACGTCATCGCAGGGCACCTAGGTATCGCTTTCTATTCGCACTTCGGTTTCGCACTTCTTGACGTCGATATGCGCCTTGTCGACGGTAGGTTGCAGCCAGGAAGGGGCAGTGAATGGGGCTAAGCGAGTTATAGAATAACAGGGGAGATAAATCTGGGGACCGATGCAGACTCCAAGGGCGGGAGCCAGAAGACTACTATGTGTTGAGATGAAGGGTGTACAAATGTTGAATTTATGAAATGAACTTCGAAATTCCGCAAAGCGCGACTGCCAGCATCAAAAGTGGGGTAAATTCCATGTATTTAATTGGCCAGATTTTATTCAAATTCTGTAGCTATATCACAGGAACTCAAAGCTTAGACTGGTCATGTGATATAAACGTAGTCATTGGTCATAAACAAGCCTACGACGTATAAACTGGCGGTCCGTTGACACGATAAAGACGTACTAATACGGAGAAAGAGACCCGACCTTGTTATTTTTGTTGACAGGTTCCTTTCTAGCACACGAGGTTCCCATAGTGTCTCCACGTTCCGGCCATGCTCCTAGTTTATCTGACGTGGCTGCGGCCCGCTCAAAACGGGCCTACTCGTACTCCATACATATCCTGATGCATCGAGGCCCTGCTCAATATTGTATGTGCATATGCATTGGCGGTGGCGGACGGGGATCTGGCCGAGTCGTTCTGCCCTCGCGCTGGGGCCCTGCTGGTAATGCATGCAATCGAACGCCCCAAACGGGTACGTGGCCTGGGCCCCTTGACCTGGAAACATGCGAGCATGATGCCAAACCTTCTTTCAGAAAGGGGTCTATATTTTGACCCATATTTGCATAAAAGCATATCTGGCACCTATCATCATGTTGTGGGACATAGTGTGGGTTACTTGAAATCACAAATGATTGAAAAGTTTGGATGGTCTTGACAAAAGGCTTTTCGTTCGCCCAAGCTTGCTTTATTTGGTTTGCAATTTTTTTGTCCACAGCTCTTTTGCTGTTTGCCTTTCCTTTTCTATTTTACCGGCGTTGGCGTTTGGATTTTGCGCCTTGTTTTGACTTTGCCTTGTTGACGTTGGCCGATATTCCTGCCTTGACAGCCTCCTCGACGCTGACGCCTTTAGCATCGTCGTCATCGCCACTGTCATCAGCATCTTCCTCCTCATCACTTAAGCTTCCCAACGATATCATGTCATCATTGTCCTTGACATCCTTATCGTCGTCATCAGAGTCCGAGAGGTAGCTTGGCGCACTGTCGCTGCCAAAGCCGTCAGACTCTCCGTCCTTCTCATCCTTGCTGGCATCAGCAATATTGGTGGGCGACGCAGCGCCCATAGGAGTAGCTGCCTCGCTCTCCACGTCTTCCCGCTTGCGCTTCTGCTTCATCTCTCCAAAACGTCCAGAGCGGCCGTCGACACCTTTCTGCTTGACCTCTGCCGGAGACAGTTCTGGTGCCGAGAACCATGGGATCTTGCCTCTCAGGAAATCGTTCAGCACGATGATCGCCATACCGTCGAGGTCGGCCTCACCACCGGCTAGCAGCCGACCACGCTTTCTTGAAAGCTGTTCCAAGAAGTCGACATCGTCCTCCCAATCATTTAACTCATATGAGCGTGCAAGATGGTGCTTCTTTGTCCGCTTCAGTACGGCTCCAATGTACTGTGCTGGGTTGTAAACTAGAGCAAACCGTTAGACGGATGATCTGTGAACAATTTTTAGAAACTAGATCTGTGATTGCTTACTCTTCTCTGTGCGAACTGCTCCGCGCAGAAGGATATCTTCTGCCGAAGCATTCTGGTCTGGCGGGACAATACCGGGGCAGTCAATCAGATATATTCTCTTCATCTGTAGCAAAGCTTGTTAGCGGCAGATAGGGGGCTGTTGATTACAAATCGGGGAACGTACCAGTCGAACAAATTGCCACACTTTGGTCTCTCCTGGAATAGGAGCAACGGTACACGCTTTTCTTCCCAACAAAGCGTTCAGCACGGAGCTTTTTCCGACATTGGGATAGCCGACCAGGCCAACACTGATTTGTTTCCTGTCTGCGTGCAGCGAGGAGAACTGCCTTAGCAAAGAGATCAAAGATCCCTTGCCGAACGGGTTGGACACCGATGCGCGGAATGCACAAGTCGGCACCGTCTTTTGTAGAGTCCGGACCCAACGTGCCTGTTGCCTGTTAGTTATTTGTTCGTCGTAGAACAGAAATGGCAACAGCTCATAATTGCAGTGTCTGCATCACTACTAAGAAACTCCACCAGTGGGCATCCAGAATGGACACGGCGGGTTTCAACTCAAAAGCGATGTAAACTTTCGCTCTCCGATAGATTTCCAAGACGGAAGCTATCAACAACACAATGGTCATGTAAAGGCCAAGGGCTGCGAGGGCTCAATTTCGATCTCCCAATGCCGTAACGGATGACCTTCCATGATCTGCTGCAAAAATGCATGCGGTAGGTCCCCTGACTTAATCATTGGGGTGCCATGTATATGGCGAAGGGATTGGAGATATGGGGCAGAAAGCCAAAATATAAAAGGAAAGTATAGTGAAACTTACAGCAACGGCTGAGGGAACCAAGTCACACTACAGTCCGGTTAGCAATTTAGTCGAGTCTGTGATACCATGCAGTGTTGCTCACTTTGTTCAGGACGTAGATTAGGTGTTTCTATAACGAATAGTTAGTTTTAAAACTAGCAAACAGCCAGTAAAGAAAGGGCACTAACATGAGGTGCCTCCTTGCGGAGATAGTCTTCGATGCTTCGACATGTCGTGCCAATTGGATCCCGGGCATCTAGCACGTGGATGACGACGTCCGACGAGTCGATGGTACGGTACAGCTCGTTCCAAATCCGTCTGCTCTGGCCCTTGTTGAAGATGGGCTCCATCCGGTTTGAGGAGCCGCCGACATCTTCGTCCTCTGCCTCGCCGACTTCAGGAGGGGCAAAATCTGCTCCATCGACATCCTCGACCTCGCCAGTCGTCTCACCGCTTGCAGCGGCAGTCAGACCGTTCTGGGCCAAGTTCGAGCGCCGGTCATGGTACGACGAGATACTCCGCTTTGCGGTGTCGGCCAGGTCGTCGAGAGAGCTGAAGTTCTTCATGGTGACCCGCTTGCGAGTAGCCTTGGTGCCAAAGACATCGGCAAACGACTCCACCAGGGCCGGACGGCTCTTGGCCAGCGAGGTCTCGTCTTCGATCAGCGACATGGGCAGCTTGGCCGTCTTGAGCAGAAACCGGTTAGGGTCCTTGGCCTGCTCGGCCATGGCCGTCCGAAAGGCCGACAGGCTCTCCTGACTGATGACGCGAGAGTTCTGGAACCATTTCCGGTTGGGCTCAATCACAGCTGTCGGCACATCCCGGCTCTGGAAGACGGCAGCCTTGGTGATGTTGCCGTCGGCATCGCGCTGGGCGCGACCCTCCTTGTAGACATTGAGCTGCTTTACCCTTTCTGGACCGCATCAGTACTTGGCTTGCTCGTCCTCATCTCAACACCGCAAATGGTGGGACGGGAAAGCTTACTCGCTGAGCGGTAAAAGTTTTCGCCCTTCACTCTGATGTTGCCATCGGTCGTCTTGCCCTCACGGACCCGCCGAGTGGCTTCTTTCTTCTGTGTTCCCATTGTGTGCGGCCTTGACCGTCTTGGTTCGGGATATAAAAAGACGGGGGTATAAAGACGAGGAGGAGGGAAAAAAAAGATGGGAGATTCGCAGTTGACTTTTTTTTTTTATCAGCGATAGGAAAACAGTGGAGCATGAAAAAACCTCGCACTCAAATGGCTGGTACGAGATAGACTTGACCCACACTGTGATGACGGAACGGCGATATAATTACCCGTCACGAATTTCTCTGCTTTGCAGCCGAGCAATTTTCCTGATACACCACCACGGCGGCTCTCTGGACGTTTGGACGATTGGACGATTGCCAATTCTACGACGCTCTTGTGGATCTACACAATGCCTCCCAGGCTGATGATACGGTCCGGCAGCGTGCTGGGCCAGGCCAGATGCAGCGGCGGCAATGTGCCATTCTCGTTGATCGGCCGGCCTTGTGCAGCTGCTCGAAGCTTTGCGTCCTCGCGCGATCTGGCGACCGACAAGACGGCTTCTGCGGCCAGCGGCAGCAGCAGTTCTGATTCCGAGCCTCCGCGGATACCACCCGAATCACCGCGCTACATCAACGTTCCCACACCCCCACAGTCTGAGGAGATCCGCCGGCCGCCGCAACGGGGTCACCTCCCAATTCCCCGGGACATTTTCCACCTCAAGTCGTCCGCGGCAGCCAAAGACGGTGCGGATGGGGAGTCGCAGCTGAAGAAGTCGGATGCGGCCGCCTGGACGGCTGCTGCGGCGCCGCGGTCGCAGGCTGAGGAGCGCGGCGAGCCGCCCCGGAACGAGCGCGAAGCCTGGCGCCGGCGCCTGGCCGACAGCCGGCGAGAAAGTCTCGAGGCCGGTCTGTCCGGTTTGTGGGAGCGCCAGCAACAGCGCCAGCAGCGCGGGCGGGCGCGGGCGGAAAACGTGGCTAACCGAAATCGGCGGGCTGCGCTGCTCAAACCAGACCACCAGGACGACGTGCTCACGCGGTCGTCGGTGCGTGAGGTCACGTCCAAGATGACGGCTGTCATTCGTGATCCCCATCGCCACGAGCGGCAGGCCGAGTCGGCCGCTCGCACGGCCGCGATTGCGCAGTTTAAGCGCGAGGGCCGCCGTGACGCCCTGATGGAGCTCTATCAGGCGGCCGGCAAGTTCATCGTCGACGAGGAAGAACTAGGACGCAAGGTGGACGAGCTGTTCCGGCCCGACTACTTCAAGGAGGAGGGCTACAGCTACGGGACGGTCAATGCGGAGAACATCTGGGACGTCGTGGGCAAGCCGTCGACGGTGCAGGACATGATGAGCGGCATAACGCGGACAGAAACGAAGCTATACGACTCCAAGCGGACGGAGGTCGACCGTACGACGAAGCGGCAGAAGCTGGTGGCGGAGGCACTCACTGGCGGCAAGATGCCGGTCTAAAGATCAAATGGGCATATGGATGATGTCTTGTATATTAGCCACAATACAAAAATAACACTTCTTGCTATTGAAGCCGTAACAATGTGAGACGAAAGATTTCACACTACATGCGCGCATGAGTTTGCGTTCTGTTTACAGAAGACTGTTTATTCATATCCATGTCGTAAGTATATTATACTGAATGGCCTAAGAGCCTACCCCGATTGACACGTTTTTTGTTCCTTTATTCAATGAGTCAAAATCCAACATGACAAGTGATAGAGTAACATGGCAGGACAACGGGTACAGGGGAAAAGAAATCCTAAACGCCTAATTGCAAGTTACATGAAAGTGCACCCCAAAGTGGTGGTGACACTGCGAGAACAAGGTGCTCGCTTTGCGAAGAAGCATGAGACTATACAAGGGGTGGAACCCGACTTTGGCGAGTTCTATCACCGCTTCTCCACCAGTAAAATGTGCATAGCACCGTAAGCCAGGATGACGAAGACCACGGCGAAGACGCCCAGGCTGGTGATGTCTTTCCAGAGTGACGAGTTATTAAAGCCAAAGGAGCTGAGAATCGCGGCGCCGGGCACAGTGATATCCAAGCCATATTTGCGGTCGACCAAGACCAGAAAGCGCACCTCGTTGACGATAAGCGACTCAAAAGCGTAGTGGAAAATGGACAGGTATTGCAGCCACACAGCGGACGCCGGGATCTTGTCGTGGTTCAGCAGAAGACCGGCAAACAGCAGACTGAACAGCATCACCAGACTGCCGATCAGGTTGGCAACGCCACTGTCCTTGCACACGATGCCGATGAAAAGGCAGATTCCGGACGCAGCGAGGTTGAAGAGCACAAGCACCAGGATGAAAACGAAAAAGTGCTGGACATCTGGCACGAGACCTGTCATGGGGTAGATGATGGAGCCCATCAAGATTGGAGGCAGAATGCGCAGCGGAATGATGTCGAAGAGCACCTTGGACGCAAAGTACGTGATGGGCGAGTAATAGCCGTTGGCCCGCTCCCGCACAAACAACAGCCGCTCGCCGGAGAAGGTGCTCAGACTTGTCAGGGTGCTGAAACCGAACAGAGCCAGCACAAAGAAGAATAGACCCAGTCGGTTCTGGAACCCGGGAATGTCGACTGTCAGACCGTAGAACAGGAAGCCAGACAGCACGCCGAGCAGAATGGAGATGGCGTAGTGTGTCAACATCAGCATCGGGTTGCGGTACAGGTTCTTCCACGTCCTCTGCGACAGAATGACAAACTGGCGGAGCAAGCCCACTCTCGCGTAGCCTCTGCCGACAACGCTCAGGTGTGTCTTTGTCCTGCCGGAAGAATTGCCGTTTGCTTGTGGAGAAGAAGAGCCAGTGCCATTGCCATTGCCATTTTCAGCAACGTCCGCGTTGAGGCCGTTGGCGGCCAGGGCATCGGCGATGGCGAGGTGCATTTCATCGTGGGTGCTGCTGGCAATGTCGGACTGAGCAAAAGACTTCACAAGCCCATCGAGGTCGCTGCCACCAAAAGATCCCGGCAGCGGGTCGTCAGGGTCATCCACGATCTGAGGCGGGACGATATGGGGTGGCTGAAGGCGGAGTTTGAAGCCGTCTACTGCGTCGTCGCCTGCCTCAGATGAGGCAACCGTATCAACCGTGTTCTTGCGGCGGGTAAAAAGCTCTCGCTCCTGGCGGAGACGGACGGAATCCCGATGCTTGCCCTTGTGGCGAACCGCCGACGATGTGGCCTCGACGTTTGCCAGGCTTGCGTTCACGCTCTCATCGGCGCCTAGGCTTATAGCCGAACCACTGGCAATGGACTTGACGGCACGGGTGCTGCTCGGGCGCTCGGTAGCTGTGTCAGAGACTGTAACCGTCACAATCGGACCGCCTACAACATCGTCGTCGCTGAATGGCTCGGGGTTGATTGCGTGCATCGTGAGATCGACGAGATAGTCGGAGATGTTGAAGCCTGGAGGACACGAGTAGCCGATATCATCAAAGTAGTCCTGGCACTGCGTGAAGGGTCCGGAGTACACAGTACGACCCTGGGCAAGGAGCATGAGACGGTCGAACAGAGCGGTAATGTTGGAACGCGGCTGGTGGATGGTAAAAATGACGGTGCGCTTGTAGTTCTTGGCCAGGGTCACCAGACACTCGATAACGTTGTAGGCGTTGTAGGCGTCGAGACCGCTGGTAGGTTCGTCCAAGAAGAGGATAGACGGGCTCGTAACGAGCTCGCAGGCAATGCCTACACGGCGCTTCTCACCACCCGAGATGCCACGGCCGCGGCCCTCCTCGGAGCCGATGAGGGAGTCTCGGATGTGGTAGATGCCCAGCTGCTTCTCTACCTCAAAAACTCGCTGTTCCTTGGCTGAACGTCCCATGTCGCGCGGGAGACGCAGAAGGGCGCTGTTGAGAATGGTTTCGTGGACTGTCAGTGTTGGCAGCATGGTGTCTTCCTGGTCGACAAAGCCGACGACCTGCTTGAAGTCGCTGTCGTCGACCTTCTCGCCATTGACGTAGAAGTCGCCCGAAACATCGCCGCGTTTGTTCTTGCGAGCAAGAATGTCCAGAAACGTGGTTTTGCCGGCACCCGAAGCGCCCATGATGGCCATTACTTCGCCAGGACGAGCCAGACCGCTGATATCATCCAGAATGAGCTTTCCGTTGAGGACATAGGAAACATGCTCAAAGTACAGAGATGCAGGTCTGTGGTCGGTCATGAGCTTGATGGACTCATCGTCCGAGTCGTCGAGGTTGATAGGCCCGTACTTGAACTGGCGATGAGACATGTACCAGGTCAGCAGAATAGCGGCAACGAGGAAGAGCGAAGAGGCAGCAATGACGGCAGCGATAAGAGGCGTGTTGATCTTCGGGACGGGCTTCTTGTAGCCGGGAACTTCAGTGTTGTAGAGACACTCGCCCGAGCGGCAGGTGAGATAGATGTTGGGATCCCCAAAGATGCTACTGATGAGCTCATTCATGTGCGGTTCTTCGAAAGAGCAGTCGTTGGAGCCCCGGGCTTTCTGGGCGCACTCAAAGGAAGCCGGACCCTTGATCTCCTCCTTCAAGTAGTCGGTGAGATCGACGGAGCCATCCTTGCCACAGAGCATGCGATCCTGTACACAGCTGCAGTCGATAGTCTTGCAACGATACTGGGTGTTGTTGGAAGAGTCGTCAAATTGAGCATCCGAATCGCAGTCGGTCAGGTGGCAGAAGAACGACTCGGCCTGATCGACCCAGACTGTGTTGTGTCAGAATGCAATATGTATGGCAGAAAATCACAGGAGCGGGAATGACGTACACTGAAAATCACACTCAGAACTGTTGCGGTCGCAGGTGAAGGTGACTTGTGGTATCTTGCCGTCCAGCATCCCCAGGATATGCCTGTTGGTGACGTCGCACATCTGGTAGTTGTTCTTGATGACATCGCCCTTCTGGTAGCATACGCCGCCTTCCTTTGTCTCCATCAGGGCGTTGCATGCTAGATCTTCGGTGCATACGTTGCAGTTGATGCCAGTCCAGCCCTCGTCGCATTCACAGGTAGAGCCTTCATCACGCATAGGACGATCGTATCCGCCAGCCAGGGAGCCGCATACTATAAGCAGCAGGGGTTAGTTGGACGAACTGGCAGTTGTAGCGGTAGACCGGTGGTAGGAGAGTACTGACGTGGCTTCAGGCAGTCCGTACCAGCCCATCCTGGAGGGCAGACACATGTTCCATCATAGCTGTTGCACTCGGCATATTGACCACAGGTGGAAGAGGGCGTGAGACAGTTGAAGCTGGACAGAAGCTGAGATTAGCAGGAATGGAGGACAAACATGGAATCCGAATTCCATCGATCGGGCTAGACATACCAAGGCGGGCAATCTTTAGGGAAGCCGCTCATAAGGGTTATTTGTGCTTGCATCGCATCGAGGGACGTGAAGTTGGAGCTGGCCGCCACGACGCCTGCCATGGAAGCAGCGAAGACCCCGACAGCGAGGGCGCTGAATCGCCCCGAAGCCATCGTTGCGTTTGCCGGGTCGCGAGAACAGAAGTCCGATTAACTGGAGCTGGGTTTCAGCAGCAGAAGTCGGCCACCACTCGGGGTAGCTGCGATGAAACAGACTGTGGCAGAATTCCTGCACTGACGTGTGCCAAAAGTTGCGAAGTAGCTGCGCCGCAGCTCGTCGTCGTCAGATTGTTATGGTAGGTGATATCCACAGCAACCAGCTGCCGGTGAGTAATCACGATAGCGGCCGGGCCGAGGAGCAGGCCGAAATGGCCAAGTAACAGAAGAGAGATCAGGGATGACGTCCTTCCACTGGGAGAGTGGAAGAAGCAGGAAGGGCAAAGAGCTCGGATCGCGGCTCTCGGACGGCTGAAGGGGATGCCTCAAAAATGCGTGACGGCCGGAGGTAAAAGGTATGGAAGACCGACCATATTTGGGGGGTTATCATCGCAAGGTGCGACGGGGAGGAGATTGGTCCGCGTAGTGAGCAATAGCGCCTTATCGGCCTAAGCTCCAGGTTGCTAACCCTGGTACCTGTGCTAGATGCAGGGCTGTATGTGGTCCAATGTACTGCTGCTAGCGAGACACTGCTATGACGTCCACTGAGCGCTAGGCTAGTCTTCCTCTGCACCTTCCCACTAAAGTCATGCGACAGAACAGTGTGACAGTGTGGCATACGGTCCACGTGGCAAGAGTCTGCTTGACAGCTGGCTGACAGCTGTTACAGAACGCTGCAGCGATGACGATACCCAAACAGGTTGGGCCAGTGAGCCATTGGCAGGGCGCCATGTCAAATGGCAGGGCGCAGCGGTATTGACAAGGACAGGGCGTCGTCCGTGGGCAGCATATTTACCGAGCTCGCTCGCTTACTATGGCGGGACAAAAGCCCATTGTTACAGTGACAACAGCACGAATTCTTTACCGAGACCATCGCCCTCTGCAGCGAAGATGGTCAGGATCGAGCCGTTCGAGGTGGAACAATGGATGGACACGTATGAGACGACACCGGGAGTGATCAACATCTCCGAGACCTGCGCGGCGTCCGTGTCGATCGAGGACCTGGTGCGGCTGGCCGAGACCGAGGCCTCTGCGAGTGTGGAGAGCCCTCTGTCGTCACTGGCGGCCACGAAGATGACGTACGGCGCGATCCGCGGGTCGGAGCTGCTGCGGCAGCGCGTGGCCGCCGTGCTCGACAGCGGCAAGGACGCGGACGTGCCGCCGCTGCCGTCGGATGGCGTGGTGATTACGCAGGGTGCCATTGCGGCCAACCACCTGCTCTTTTACGCGCTCATCAGCCCGGGCGACCACGTCATCTGCGTCTACCCGACGTACCAGCAGCTGTACGGGGTGCCGACCAGCCTGGGCGCCGACATCACGCCCTGGAAGCTCAAAGCCGAGAACGGCTATGTGCCAGACCCGGACGAGCTGGACGGGCTGGTGCAGCCCAACACCAAGGTGAGAGTCCACCGAATTCCGGGAGCCGGGGTGCTCTCGCTGCTGACACCGGCAGATGATTGTGATCAACAACCCGAACAACCCGCTGGGCGTGCCGATCCCGCGGCCGGTGCTCGAGCAGATCGTCGCGATAGTGCGGGCTCGCGATATTATCATCCTATCGGACGAGGTGTACCTCCCGCTCTGGCACGACGAGGAATCGACGACGACGACGACGACGACGACAACAGCGCCACCCAGCATCCTGACGCTAGGCTACGACCAGACGGTGGCGACAGGCTCCATGTCCAAGGCGTTTGCGCTGGCCGGGCTGCGAATCGGGTGGGTGGCGTCGCGCAACCGGGCGATCATGCAGGCCGTGCTGGCGGCGCGCGACTACACGACGATCAGTGTGTCGCAGCTGGACGACGGGGTGGCGCGCTTTGCGCTGTCGAACGCCGTGCGCATCCCGCTGCTGCAGCGCAACATCCGGCTGGCGCAGACCAACGTCCGGCTGCTGGCCGCGTTTGTGGCGCGGTGGCAGGCGAAAAACGGCGTGTGCTCGTGGCAGCGGCCGACGGCAGGCACCACGGCCTTTGTGCAGTTTGTCCAGGACGGCCAGCCGGTGAACGACGACCGGTTCTGCATCGACGTGTTGGAGGCCACCAAGGTCCTGCTCGTGCCGGGATCGCGCTGCTTTGGCGGTGGCCTGGACTTTCGCGGCTATGTGCGCATCGGCTATGCGTGCGAGACGGCCGTGCTGGCGGAGGGATTGGCAAGGCTGGACGGCTACCTGACAGCGCATTTATCTGCCAAATAAACTTGTGTGGAGAGGCGCAGTGGCAACGGGACGACCATTCGCTTGCTAATACGAAATGCTCGTATTGTCGGATGGATGCCGTATTCGTGTACACGAGGCATGGGCGCGAAATCACAGAGAGGCCGCCGGGGGGGGGCTATGCAATGCAGCAGCCACACACGGTTTGGCCACTTGGCCAGCGGTGAGGCGGCCGGACGGCGTCGGATCAGAGAGGCTCCAGACAGGCGCAAGACGCACCGAGAGAAGGAAGCCGGTGTTGGCTTGGCGCCAATGGAAGGCCGGCGGCAGCGTGAAACACAGCCACTCGGGCTCTGCGTTTCAGGGCACAACGAGAGCTAATCGGGGCGCTGGCTTACCTGTTGCGGCTGTAAGCGTTAGGCAGTGGGGCTTAGTCCATACGTCGTACGTGGAAGGAGAGGCAGGAGAGGCAGGATAGACCCCCTTCCGGGAAAGGGCACGCGTACTTCGGAAGGGCTGCGCTGGTGTACGCAAGCGCGGCTGTTATATAGTGGCGGCAACCAATCAGCAGTGCCCAAGACGACTTCGGCCCACCCCATGCGTACGAATCCACAGTGCCGCTTTGTGAACACCCCCCCTGTCCGCCCGCCTGTTTGGACCCGGACACACTGTTCTCGCACGGTTCCCCGACGCAAAATGCCGGAGCCCTACCAGACACGATGCGAAACCTAGAGGAACGTCGTCAGGACTCCGCTGTCGTCGTCACCGGCGTTGGATGAGGCATGGCAGGATTTGCTTCATGAACACGCGCTGGGCCCAAGTGCCAGCAGCCGTTTTGCCCCCTTCTCGCCGGAAGTATTTTCTCGCGCTCTCGCTCACTCTCTCCTCTCCTTTGTTTCCGGTATCGTCGTTTCTGACGTTGCTGTGCCTCCGTTCTGTCATCTGTTCGCACGCCCCTCGAATCCTTCCCAGGTGATCCCAGAGGCTTGGCGAACCGGCTATTTCTGCTGCCTGCTATTGCTCATATTTGGAGCTCCATACTGCCAGTCTCCTTTTCAAAACGGGCCGTTATTTCTTTTGCATAGCATCATATTTTCCATTGCCGATCTAAACGTCAGTGCCGAAATTCATATACCACTCCCCTGGCCCTCTTAGACCAGCATCAACGTTCTTCGTCTGTCATCACCATCTACTCCCTTCCGACGACAATGAAGGGCCACTCTGTGGCAGCTGGCGCCGTGCTGGCTGCGACTGTCAACGCTGCGACTCCCGAAGGCGTTGTGCAGTGGAACATTGGCAAGCGCCAACCACATCCGCGAGCGATTCGCCGGTCCGTTACCAACACGGACCAGATTACCATCAGCAACAACGTCTCCTCGGGCGGCTACTTTGCCGAGTGCGAGGTCGGCACGCCAGCTCAGACGCTCACATTGCAGCTCGACACGGGCAGCAGTGATACGTGGTTGCCGGCAAGCAATGCGTCTGTCTGTTCGACAAGCCGTCATAGCACCAGCAGTGGCTGTAGCCTGGGCTCATGTACGTTCGCCTGTGCGGTTGAGCAAGGCTTTATGATGATGCTGACCAACAGTCGACTCCTCTTCCTCATCGACCTTTAGTATTGTGAACTCGGACTTTAGCATACAGTATGTAGACGGCAGCGAGTCGGTCGGCGACTACTTTACCGACGTGTTCGTCATTGGCGGCAGTACTATATCCAATCTCACAATGGGCCTGGGCCTGACGACGGACATCTCCTTTGGCCTGGTGGGCGTAGGATATGCGTCAAATGAGGCCATTGTGGGCACAGAAGACTCGTTCTCGGCCGAGTACGCCAACCTGCCGGTAGCCCTCGTCAACTCGGGCATCATCAAGTCTAGGGCGTACAGTCTGTGGCTCAACGACCTCGGTACGTGTTTTTAAATTGTCATACATGCTGCCAAGCAGCCGGATGGACGAGACTGACTCTTTCCCAGATGCCAGCACCGGGAACATCCTCTTTGGCGGGATCGACACGGAGAAATACGACGGCGAGCTGACGAGTATCGACATTTACAAAGACTCGTCATCGGAGACGTTCACGTCGTTCATTGTGGCGCTGACGTCGGTCAACGCGTCGAGCTCGAGCGGCACAGACCTGCTGACGTCGCGTGAGTTCCCGATCAGCGTGGTGTTGGACTCGGGCACGACGCTCTCGTACGTGCCCAACGACCTGGCCGCACAGATCTGGACAGAGGTGGGCGCGGTGTACAGCAGCGATGTCGGGGCGGCGGTGATTCCGTGCAGCAAGGCCGGGGGCGACGGGGTGCTGTCGTTTGGCTTTGCCGGGCCGGGCGGCCCTGTGATCAACGTGACGATGGACGAGCTCGTTCTGGGCATCGGCTCGGCCACCTTCACGTCGGGCGAGTACAAGGGCGAGACGGCGTGTGAGTTCGGGATCCAGAACATGACGGGCGACCCGTATATGCTGGGCGACACGTTCTTGCGGTCGGCCTACGTGGTGTACGACCTGGTCAACAACCAGATCGGGATTGCGCCTACCAAGTTCAACGCCACGGCCACCAACATCGTGGCGTTTACCAGCTCGGGCGCGGCGATCCCGTCGGCCACGACGGCACCACACCAAGACCAGGTGACCAGCGCGACATCGTACACGACGCCGGGTTATGCGGCCTCGTCCGGCTTTTCGTCCTCGGACAGCAGCAGCAGCTCTTCCAAGAACAGCGGGGCATCCTCGCTGGTGACGCGGGATGCGCTCCGTGTCGCTCTTACAGGCACGGCCATGTTTCTGACCGGCGGTTTGCTGATGCTATAGTGGCGGCCAGTATTGATCTTGCATGATACCCCCAGGATGGCCGGGCTGTATATAATCCTATTTCCCTTTGATTTTTGCTTTTCGCGTTAGGAATCTGGTTGCTTGCATGGGACGGCGAAGGCAGAGCACAGGATAATTTGCATTTTGATTAAAGAGGCACGAGGCCGTGGCAGCGAAATGGAAGACATTTTACGATCCACTTACACTGTAGACTGCCGTGAGAAGCGCTGTGATTGGACGGAAGGACGGAAGTAGCGCTGGTAGCAATTTGGGTGTGGGGGTACAAGCGCTGAAAGGCCGGCCGATAGCACGGCTTTCGATTTTTTCGGCGATTGAACATGAACCATTTTCCCCCAACCTGTTTGCGAGCCAAGGCATACCGACGATGAGCAGCGCACGCAGGGCAGTATTGCTGCTCGGCAGCCCGGGCTGTCGAGCGGGCGCCTCCTCGACGGCGTCATCGATGCTGCTGGGGCGGCGACTCAGCCTCGCATCGACACGCTGCAGCAACAGCCGGCTTTCAGGCGGCGCATCGCTTCGGAGCAGCCAGGTGGCCGGCCAGGCTCGACGGCAATGGTTGAGCGGGAGTTCTCGGCTGCAGGCGGTCAGCGCGGCGGAGGCAGCGTGCGTGAATTGGCGTTGGTGTTGGTGTTGGTGTTGTTGTGCAAGAATAAGAACTTTTCTGACTTTCCCAGGCTAAAGGCGGCCCAGGATGCCGCGGCGAACTTGACGGCAGAGTCGGTGGCAGCCAAGATGGACCCGGCCGAGGCGAAGCGGCTGGCGAGCGTGCGGAACATTGGGATAGCGGCACACATTGACAGCGGCAAGACGACGGTGACGGAGCGGGTGCTCTTCTACACGGGCCGGATCAAGGCGATCCACGAGGTGCGTGGACGCGACTCCGTCGGAGCCAAGATGGACTCGATGGAGCTGGAGCGCGAGCGGGGCATCACGATCCAGTCGGCAGCGACGTTCTGCGACTGGGTCAAGCGGGCGGACGACGGGTCGGGGGCCGAAGAGACGTTCCACGTCAACCTGATCGACACGCCAGGCCACATCGACTTCACGATCGAGGTGGAGCGGGCACTACGCGTGCTGGACGGGGCCGTGATGATTCTGTGTGCCGTCAGCGGGGTGCAGAGCCAGACGATCACGGTGGACCGGCAGATGAAGCGCTACAACGTGCCGCGCATCAGTTTTGTCAACAAGATGGACCGCATGGGGGCGAATCCGTGGAAGGCGGTCGAGGGGATCAACAGCAAGCTCAAGATCGCGGCGGCCGCACTGCAGATCCCGATCGGGACCGAGAAGGAGTTTGAGGGTGTCGTCGATCTGATCCATATGCGGGCCATCCGCAACCAGGGTCAGCGTGGCGTGAACATGAAGATCACGGACGAGATCCCGGCCGAGCTGGTGGAACTGGCCCGCGAAAAGCGCCAGGAGCTGATCGAGAAGCTGGCCGACGTGGACGACGAGATGGCCGAGCTCTTCCTGGACGAGCAGGAGCCGACGCCGGCACAGATCAAGGCGGCCATCCGGCGGGCCACCATCGGACTGCGCTTCACACCCGTGCTGATGGGCACCGCTCTGGGCGACAAGGCCGTGCAGCCGATGCTGGATGCCGTGTGCGACTACCTGCCGAATCCGGGCGAGGTGGCCAACACGGCACTGGACCGCGCACAGGCCGAGAAGAGCGTGCCGCTGGTGCCGTACAACTCGCTGCCTTTTGTCGGCCTGGCCTTTAAGCTGGAGGAGAACCCGTACGGCCAGCTGACGTATGTGCGCGTGTATCAGGGCACGCTGAAGAAAGGCACGTACCTCTACAACTCGCGCACCGGCAAGAAGGTTCGCATCCCGCGCATCGTGCGCATGCACTCCAACGAGATGGAGGACGTGGCCGAGGTCGGTGCCGGCGAGATCTGCGCCGTCTTTGGCGTCGAGTGCGCCTCGGGCGACACCTTTACCGACGGCCATCTGCCCTACACCATGACGAGCATGTTTGTGCCCGACGCTGTCATGTCGCTGTCCATCCGCCCGAAGCGCAGCAGCGATGCCGACGCCTTCAGCAAGGCCATGAACCGCTTCCAGCGCGAGGATCCCACCTTTCGTCTGCACGTCGACGAAGAGTCGGAGGAGACCATCATCAGCGGCATGGGCGAGCTGCATCTCGAGATCTATGTCGAGCGCCTGCGCCGCGAGTACCGCGTCGACTGTGACGTCGGCCAGCCCCGTGTCGCCTACCGCGAGACCATCTCGCGCCACGCCGACTTTGACTACCTGCTGAAACGCCAGTCTGGCGGCCCGGGCGACTTTGCCCGCGTCATGGGCTTCATCGAACCCAACATCGATCCGGCTGCCAGTCCCGACGACGGCGACGGCGAGGCCAACAAGACCGAGGCCAACAAGTTCGAGCAGCGCGTCGCCGGCGGCAACATCCCCGACAAGTTCCTCTCCGCCTGCTCCAAGGGTTTCGAGATCGCCTGCGCCAAGGGTCCCCTCCTCGGCCATCGCGTCATCGGCTCTCGCATGGTCGTCAATGATGGAGCCACTCACGTGACCGACTCATCTGACTACGCCTTCAGCCTCGCCACCCAGCTCGCCTTCCGCCAGGCTTTTGCTGCTGCCGGCGGCCAGGTTCTCGAGCCGCTCATGCGCACTACCATCACCGCCCCCAACGAGTTCCAGGGCAACCTGCTGATGCTCATCAACAAGCGCGGCACCGTCGTCGACACCGAGATCGGCCCCGATGACTTTACCCTCGTCGCCGACTGCTCCCTCAACGCCATGTTCGGCTTCAGTACGGACCTGCGTGCCGCCACCCAGGGCAAGGGCGAGTTCTCCATGGAGTTCTCCCACTATGCCCCGGCCCCTCCTCATCTGCAGTACGTCTTTCCCTGCCTTGCATGTTCTGTACGCTGATTCTTACTAACTGTCCCTGCAGAAAGGAGCTCGTGGCCAAGTACGAGAAGGAGCTGGAGGCCAAGCGGACCAAGTAGACCGTTCGTTGTGTCGTCGGGTAGATCAGCTTGTCATTTACACTGTACATATTATGTGGTTAGACAAACAGGGACTCATGAATACATCTTCACTCATGCTTATGTAATGCCAGGATGGCATGGTTCACGTAAGCAGCACATAAGTATAACCGATTTCTATAAAACGATACGTTTCATGACAGGTCTGCAACATGACTGAGAACAAGATCAAGACAAATGAAACTCTCTGCGAGAGAAAGACAAAGGAAATTTTCGCGTCGGCGTGTTAGTGAGATTCGTGACATTGTGCACACAAAAAACAACAGTAGAACTTCTTCACCGGGACACCTTTCAAGAAGGTCGCCCTACTCTCCATCCACCTCGTCTCCCCTTCCAACTCCTACTCCTCCGTCCTTCTCGGCGCGACTTGCGGCGGGAATGGACGGCCTGCTTCATCTCAGAGAGCAAGCAATCCTCCATGTGTCCAGAGACGGCGCGGAAGACAACAAAGTACGGCATGCCACCGTCTTGTCGTTCCGTCGTTCAGGTCTCATTCAACCTTGCCCGAGATCATCGTCTCGGTCTTTCCACCTCCTCGGTGGAGCACTTGACTCCTCCGCTTTCTTTTCCTGCTCATCTCATGCTTGGGACTCTTTAGCCCAAACAGAGGCCCGAAAAATGAAAAGAGAAAGACAACAACTGTGCTGTGTGGTGTGTTGGGAAATCCAGAAAAGCCGGCCAAACAGTAAAGAAAACTGATCCGCACAATGCCGCATCGTGTCGTCTTTCAGCCCAGCTGCTGCGAGTGGCCGTAGATGCCGAGATCCGCAGCGCTCTGCGACTGTGCCATGGCCGTGTGGATCTGCTCGAGGAAGGACAGGTGTGTCCGGGCGTCCTGCAGCTGCTGGAATGTCTGCAGCGCATACGGCTGGCTGAAGTTGCCGACAATGTCGCGCAGCGTCGCCGTGTGCTCGCTCCACATCTTGAACGACTGGTCCAGCTGCGCCTTGGCCGCCGCCGCCTGCATCTGGGCCTGCGACCGGCTGCTGTCGGCCTCGGCTGCCGCGTTGTGCTGGCCCTTGCCTCGAGACGATGCCTTGCGCGATGGCAGGCTGCCCGCTGTCACGTGACCTGACAGGCTGTCCTTCTTGCGCTTCCGGTTCTTGCTCAGCGAGTGGCTGCTGCTCGACGTCCGCGGCGGCGATGGCAGCGTGGCAGCCGCTGCCATCTGCAGGCTCTCGTCGTGGTGCACCCGCCGCATATGGTCCTTGAGGTTCCACTGCCGCGGGAACCCGTTGCCCATGGTCGAGCGCTCGCATCCATCGTACGTGCAGCGGTATGGCTTGTCGCCGTGGCCGTGCATCGCGTGGGCCTCACGCTCGTGGCGCAGAAGACAGGCCGTCGACGAGAACCGCGTGTTCTCGCACATCTGGTTCTTGCAGCGGTACGGCTTCAGGTGCGAGTCGACAAATTTGCTGTTATCAGGTTAGAAAAAGAAAGAAAGAAAGAAAACAAGACACTGACTCGTAGTTGCACTTGAGCTTCTCCGGCTTGTGGTTGCAGTTCGACTCGCTCTCCCACGGACAGTGGTACAGCCCATCATCGTCGGCAATCGCCTCCTTGTACAGGGGGTGGTCCCGGACCGTGTCGCTCTCGCTGCTGGAGCGCTGCCGCATCGTGGCAGATCCGCTAAAGTCGCTGGCCATGGCGCTGTGCATGGGCTCCTCCGCTCCGGGCAGCGGGCCAAAAGACGACATCGTCGAGTCGTGGCTCTCTGCAGGCGACGACGACTCCGGCCGGTACGACCACATGTCCTCGGGCGCCATGTCGAGAGAAGACCGCCGCGAGCTGCGCGTGTCGATTGTGAGCGGCGAGCTGAGCACGCTGGGCTCAAAGTGCATCTGCGTGCAGGCCGGGTCCACGTGCTGCTGCACCGGCTGGTCCAGACCCGTTCCGAGATCACCGACGTAGGCGAGGCCGTCCGGGCTGTATGTCGACTCAAGGCTGGGTTGGTAAAGCGATGGAAAGTACTGCTGCTGCAGCATCTGGTTGCTCGGTCCCATCGACGCATCCGGGAAGTAGTTCTGGCCGACAGACGGCACCGAAGTCATGGCAGTCGCCATCGTGCTGTTGGCCGAGAACGCATCGGTCATACCGTAGCCGGCAGCAGACATGGAAGCAGAGACGGAAGCATCAAAAGCAGACGTCGGCGCTCCCTGCGAGAGCTCTGTCGGGATGCCAGGGCGAGTTCTCCGTGCCGGAGCACGAACGGTCCGGTTCTTGTAGCTCCCAGCAGAGCTCCGCGACACCGTCCGGTGCATGGCAGGAGGCAGGTTCCATTTGCTCTGGTACTCTTCCATGCTGTTCGCCTGGTATGTGTTTTCCTCAGAATCCTGGGGCATGTCTCCTTGGTCGGAGTAGCTCGCGAAGTTCTGTGATCCTTCAATGGTGGCATCCCATGAGCCACCGTTCATGTTGGAAGTTCCCGGCTGGGATCCAAGATAGAGCATTCCCGAGGATGAAGAGAAAGAACTGCAATAACAAAGAAACAATTCAAGTCAGTGTTCTGTTGACCACCTCTGCTGTCCGGCTTTGTTTGCTGTAGAGGCTTCGTCCAAAATGTTCTGTCATGCATGTACGTTGACAAATGAAAACAAGAAGAAATGAGCAACAAATCAAAAACGCCAATGAAGAACAATGTCCAAGAGAGTACAACTTTGTCCCTGAATGACGGTTAGCATCGAGACATCACACGCGACATGTGCAGGGTGTAAACCAACCGTCCTGGTTCTGTCCCACAACTGGCTGTATCAGTTGTGGGCAATTTTTTTGCAATACTGGGTTCTTGCATAGTCGACTGTGTCTGTTTAAGTCTGTATTTTGTGTGTACTGTGTTTCCAATCCTCTGTTCTGTTCTGTGTCGAATTGCTCCATGTTTGTCGTTCTTATGTTTTTTCCATGAAATCCTCACTGGGTCTGTTGACATCCAGATGAAAGCAATCGCTATACAGCCCATGATGTCGTCCTGTGCTGCAAAAAGAAAACAAAAAGAAAGTAAAGTCAAAACAGTCCAAATGGCCAGGTAGCCGATGTAAATCACTCCAGATCCGCAAAGAAGCTCCATTAGATCCTAGAAAGAGGTAGGTTTTGGCGTATGTGCTCGGGCATGAAACAAATTCAAAACTCAGGATCCAGTAATACGAAACTGCTCTTAATGATTCGTGATAATGAGCCAGAAAACAGTCAAGGCAGAAGAACGCTTTCCAAAAGGTGACTGTGTCAAAGCTCCAGCTGGGTAGAAAGAAGCAGCAAGCAATTGAAAGATCCAATCCGCAGTCCAGTATCCAATGGATCGCAACCGTATCAGACTTCCTCGATACATGTCTATAGTTCCAGGGTTTGCTTCGTGTCCTTTGCTGTTGGTCCAACTGATAAATATCATGTCCTATATAGCTTACCTTGATCTTGAGGTCTTGAGTCAAATATTATATCGCGCAGCTTCCGCCTCACCACCTGGGCAGGCGAGGCGTAAGAGCGGACGAGCATTACTCAGGACGGGTGCTGTTGTTCCCATAAATCGTCTGAAAAAGCAGAATAATCCAGGATATCCAGAGAAGGGAAAAAGGTCCGGTCCGGTTTGAGGAAATCCATTATTGTCGAGACAAGCTTTTGGCCTCGCCAAAAAGAAAAAGTCGCAAGAAACCAAACTGAAAATGCAAAATGACCTCCCAATATGAAAAAGAAATACTATGTACCTCGGTGTTGCTGAGTCGCTCATCTCAATTTTGTATCCTGGCATTTTCCTGGAATGAACTCTGGTTTTCTTTGAGTCTTCTACTGTCGGCTGACAGCAGGTATTCCCTTGTATTGTGGGTTTCTGGGCCTATTGCTTGCTTTGCAACACGGAAGAGAACGCACGTCCAGAGACAATACGAATCACGTCTGTATCTGTTCACAGCAAAGACAAAATCCTGGAACAGTGCAGCGGGAGAAGAAGAGACCTGTAAAGCAGGTTGGAAGTCGTAGCGGGGATATAAAGACAAGGGTCGTATGAGAAAGATGTTGATCGAGAGAGAATAGAAAATATGGGACTGTGGATACTTTGGGCATGAGTTGGGCAGAAAGAGAGGGAGAAAATATTGCGATGGACCACGGGCAAAGAGGGGGTTTATAAACCTGATGGAGTCAGAGAGGAAATTAATGAGGAAATGAGGTGAGTAACAAACAGGAAAAGGGGGGGGACATGGGTTGGATCGAGCAGGGGTGCGCATGCAGAGTCGACAACCCCCAGAACACACCGCTTGTCGGTGTCTGTCGTGTCCATCCTATGCACATGTGTGACGCCCCGTCTGTCGTCCAATCACGATAGCACAGTCGTCTTCCCAATGTGCACGTTCTGAATTGTGGCTGCAGCTCCGCCTCCGTCACTCTTGCCAGCACTCTGTTCAACTGGCTGTCGTTGTCTTGCTGAGACGCCTCGTTCCACTCTGCACCCGGCCATCACAGTGGCCGCATATCTCGTATGCGTGACTATGGCTGGATGTGTGAGCTGGCACAGGAGGAGAAAGCCTGGAGTGCAATGAGAGCCACTCGTTGTCCTCTGGCTCGCTCATAGGCTTCCTGCCCGCCTGCTCCACAGTAAGCTGGCCACGATGCTACGGCCAGTTTTCTCTTTCCTCGCATTACAAGTGGATCCTCTTTTACGTCATCCGCCCTATCAACGGCCTGATTGTGCTGCTTTTTGGAAAAAATTCCACTGCCAGCTCATCCATGCAGGCGATAGGTCCGTGTGAAAAAGGCGCGTCGCCAATCACATATTGTTTCGAGAATAGCACATACCTGCCAATGCTCTTATCGCCCTCTTTTCCTGCTCTTTTTCGGTTTACTTGATCCGGTTATCTTCCCCCCGGTCTTCTCTTTTCTACTATGTAGTAGGCGTTTTACTACGGAGTGCTCCGTGCGTGTGCTCTGTACCTTCATCTTACTAGGGCCTGGCTCTGGAGGCTGGTTCGTAGAAAAAATTTCCAAGATGCAGATTCCATATTGGCCTACTCCCCTAGCACTGCTTTCTTCTTCCACCAGTAGGATGCTCAAAGACCGGAGACTGGGTAAGAAAAGGAAACACTCTATTCGTGTCGGGATGGCCCATGCATGAATTGCCAAATCAGGGAAGCCGTCAGACCCGTACTCACCCCCATAGAACAGGCCGCAAAAAGAGGGGTTTTCCTTGATGCATCTGTGTGTTGGCAATAGTTGACTGGCTGGTGTCCTTATCGTGGGCTCTCCTGTGGCCACTGCCGAAACGCAGCACATGCCCCACCACGATGCGTTGTCGAACGTGCCCATGGAATCATGCTGCCGTAGGTCTCTTCGACTGGTCACAGACCTTGGAAGGTCAGAACAACAACCCTTCACACGGCATCGTTGAAAACCGGAACCAAAGGCGCATTTTGTTGCCCGATTCTTTGTGTGCCTTCTGTTTCGCCTGGGCTCCCACCTGTTGTCTGACCACGGATGTTAGTAATACAGGCGTGCTACTGGCAGAGGCATTCAGTCCGACACCATCAGAGTTTCCTCAGCCAATGGCGCAAAGCAGCCGAAAGATGCCTGGCGTGGCGTCTCTGCATAACGGGACGACTTGTGAGCTGGCAATGCCAAGCAGTCACAACCTCGTCCCATGAGCCGCTTCTCTGCAAGCGATGCCAACATGAGGCGTGTCAGCGTGCTTTTTTTTCCCCTGCACGACGGCTGCAGATGTGATACGGAACGCCAGAAGAGGAAACTCATGAATGTCCGGACACCCGACCCCGTAAACTGTTTGCCTTGCTTTGGTGCAAGAACGTGTACTGCTTGCACCTTTGTTTGTTCCGAAGGTGGCGAACAATGGAAGCGCCGGATGATGGAGGCCACGGTTTTCTCACGGACATTCCCCTCGTCAGCTCACTTTGATAAAGGACCAGATGCCTCTTTGCTCAAATACGTGAAGATGCGATCGCTCTTGAAAATAAACAGCCACGCCCGGCATGCGAATATACTGACAGCCGTGTCAATAGGACGCCTCAATCGATACCAGGCGGGTAGCAAGTGTGTTTCTTGAAAGCCGTGTTGTGCGGCAGTGGCAAGAGGAAAGATTGCTGTCGCGTTCCAAAAGCTTGGTAACGCCGCAAGGGTTCTCTGAACGATGCTCATCCAACCTGGGACCTTCACAAGTCAAACGAAGTCAGCGGGAGATAGCGCACTTTCCGTTCTGTCCTTGACGGGGGAAATACCTCAATTGTCTTCTTCCGCTCCGTCCTGCTTTAGACACGCCTCGTATTTCCGACCCAGCCAGGCCTGTGTACCATGAATTAAACCGGGCATAAACGGGCATATGTTGGGCTCGTTGGCCTCGAGCTGCGGAAATACAGATATATTTCTCTATCCATATGCCAACAGAATGATCAAAGCTTGTGGTTGCTGTCGGTCTACCCAACCATCGTAATGCGGCGCAATGGTGCTGTCTCGTCGTGTGGGCTGTCGAGTTTGGTCTAATCCGCCCCCCTGCTCTGCACTGCTCTGCAGACACAGCCTCCTGACCTCGCCGAGACCGTTTGAGGCGACCTGAGGAGGTCGCCCCAAGAAAGACCGGCGGCTGTCGAGGCTAACAGAAATCCGTTTGGCCGTAGACTTTCTTGCTAATTTTCTCCAAATGGCATGCACATATATTGCACCTTCCCCCCATGCTCGATGACTCATCCGTGTCACCCTCCAGGCCGCTTGGTCCTCACCTCGCAAGCTGCCGAGGTTTTGTATCTCGAGATGGAAAGAAGCAACATGATGGAGGAGAGCGGAAAAGCGAGACGACCGGGCGCAGCGCCAGCTTTCTACACTTCTTTCCAGCCAATTTTCCTCTCTGACAGACAGGCCTCACCGTATGGTGTCGCAAACGGGACCGTTCATTCGGTCCAAAAATCGATACCCTGCAAAATGAGGCAAATTGCTGTCTTGCCGGTTCTCAATTAGGCATTGCCTCCATCTGAACACGTCGATAGGGTCACAATCCCCACTTCTATATTGCCTGTTTCGTCCCTGTACAGGGAAGAGATGGATATCGAGGGCGGTCCAACCCAAAGCATGACGATAACAAGCTGAAGTGACGTGGAATACGAGGAGCACTCCTTATCATGTGTCCTTAATCCGACAAGGCCAGCACAGCAGCTTCTAAAGGGGAAGTTCGGAGCGCAGAGTTTCAGAATGCGGTAAACGGGTTTTGTCGAATCATCGAGCATTGGCATCGACCACGTCCCGAAATGGAGACATTCACGGTCAAACATCAATCCAGTCGAATATCCAGGATAGCAGAGAGGGGCGTTGGGCAGCAACGGATGGCACGTGGCGTCCCCTTATTCTCTGCTCAGTCCGAATAGCCAGTGCTAGGAAGAACGGATTCGCCAGCGCCCAACATCCTTGTCCCCATTGTGTTGTCATTCTAGAAAGACCGAGACGACCATTCGGGTCGATAGGCTTGGGACGAGACGCCCGCACCCTTGGAGTGGTGTCAGCTTCATGTTGGTGCCCAACCCGGGCTCGAGAAAAGCGGTCCCTTCATGCCCGACAGCCATAATGCGGTGACGTGAGCGAGCAGGGCCTACAGAAACTGGCAATGTTGCCTTACGGCTGCGGAGGTCGAAGTCGGGGCCCGGAGGAGCAGCGAGCGCTTCACCAGACACGTCGTCATGTGCGCGTTTCTTCGCGCTGCAACCGAACCTTCCGTGCTCCCTGCACACGACAGATTCCCAGTCTCTGTGGCCCTCTTGGGGAGCGGGCATCTATTGCTTTTGTTCGGCTTCGGCCCTACGTGCCCAAGGAGACAGTCCAAAAGCGGAGTTTTTCGCCAACTGCAATGCTGTTGCTCCATCGGTTGGGTGGGAAAGGCCGTCTCCAGCTTAAAAGAAGTCGCCCAACTGCTAAGACCCTGTCCACCGCCGGTGGCTACACGAGCCATTGACAACGGCGGTGACTTCGTCTCATAGCACTGGTTTTACTGCCTCCGTGACAGCGTTGTTTCTGTAGCTTTCTTTGGTTGGACAAGGAGCGGGCAACGCAAGGTGTCCGCGTCTGAATGGCGAAAAGCGTCAATTAAATCGCCATGCAAGCGTCCCAAGTGTATCCTCGCTTCCCAAAGCAGAGAGCCCACAGTTGCATCAGATGCTGCTTAAAGGGGCGGCTCCTCCTCAGTCCGCTCCCACGGCTGGAAGTCCACCAATTCCCCAACCTTCCCCGGCTACCTTAGACCGGAGAGGACAGACGTGAAAAGGTCCAGAACAGAAAAGTGACAGGTGGCCCTAAAAAGCTTGTTCGCCATCGGTCCATCAGGCCCTTATCCAAAAAGACGTTGACGCCGAACAACAGCAGCAGGACACCCAGCGGTCTTCTCGGAAGATCTTCTATATGCCGTTAGACAATTCTCACTTCTACATCTGTTCTCACGAGTCTCAATTGCCTGCTGGCATGCTCTCCTTGTGTTGTCACTCTGACTATCGGGACGATTGTCTGTTCGCTATCCAAGGTTCCATTTCGGGTCGCCACCACCACAGATCCACCTTGGAACAGAGCCATCTTCGTCCCGTCTACGTCTTTGCTTTGGATGCGAGTTCCTCTTTTTGATTCCAGAATTTGGTAGCGTGAATTTAAATCAGGCTCGGTCTTGGCTGCATCCCTGCTCGCCAACAAGCATCCACAGAGACAGTTCCGGAAGGAATCGATTTTGCCTCAAATTGAAGTCGTTTCCCTAAGCATTTCTCCGGCCACGTTTGGCCTCTGCCGTCCCCAGGACTTTTCCTTGAACGGTCTCTTCTTCCACTTCCACTTCCGTTTCGGGAGCCACGATGCTCGAGGCAGACATCAACTACCGGGTCCAGGGTGCTGACTATGGCACACACTGGGCTACCACTCGAAGGTGCGGACAACAAACCCTTTGGATTCCCTAGAGGCTGACCAGCCAGATATCGGGCACCATTGCACGGCCAGCACAGTCACACCCGGCTAACTTGCAAATAGTCCGCCTAACGGATACAACGATGGGTACCAGAACAGCGGATATGACAATGTCCGTGATCCTTATCGGCCACCAAGGTAAGGTGACATCGCTGGGAAGCCATTCCCACACATCCCATCGGCCCCATCGGTCTACCCAGCTTCTTGGACTCTCCCCCTGTCGTCCCCCCTCCTCCTCCCCTTACCCTGCCGGCCGTGCCTTACCCCATGAAGCTCAGCTTGACCTTCACGGACTTTATTTGAAGTGTCATGAAATAACCTCTATTGCTCTCAAGTGTGCATGTGTCTCGAACCGGCTCGGCTGCATCTCCTTTCGGCTTCTCATCAACACCCAATGGCTTTTCTGTAGCCACAAATTCTTTTCAGCAAGTTCCTCGGTCCGACCAACAGTACCCTTATTCCCCTCCTCCAAGCTATGGCTGGCCACAGTCATCGTACCAGAGTGCACCCAGCTATGGAGCCATTGGCTCTAACCTCCCATCATACAACAACACCAACAACAATACCAACAACAACAACAATAACAACAACAACAACAACAACAACAATAGCAACGCTGGCACGCCAAATGGCTGCATCGGCATCTCCAATGGACGTGGTAACTACAGGTTGGAGGACGAGGCTCGGGCACGTGACGTCCTAGCCAGCATCATGCCGATGGCTACCGATGACAGCATGGATCGCCCATCACACAACAGGCGCCGCCAGTCCAGCTTCCAGTCCAGCTTCCAGTCCAGCTTCTCCCCGAACGGCTCAGGTGACGATACGATGACGGAGTCGCCGAGCATCTCCGATCTCTCTATGGACGGCAACTACGAGAAGTCTCCACCTCCTATGTCGAACATGCAGCTGGGCTCGTGTCATGAGGCCTACAGCGGCAATGGAAGCTTTGCCGCTGGCCTGAATGACGGCAGCCGGAGCCGGCCGCCGAGACGCGGTGGAAACCGCGATGAGTTCGACGGTCCACACCAGCTGCTGCCACGGCCAGCACCCCAGTACATTGCCCAACAAGAACGGGAGCTGCCACACCTCCCGACACACCTGCATGTCGAGGAACAGGACGCCGTGCTCTCACAGGTCAACGACCGGCTATCGCAGTGTGCCTTTGACTTTGTCGCTCGATACCAGTTTCCCATCCCGCTGACACAGGACATGCGGCGGGTGTCACGCCCACAGGACCGGGAATGGACTGAGTGGGTGCAGCTGCTGAAGCGCCTGGCCACCAAGCGGCGCATTCCTGCCCGCGTGCTGTACAACAACCAGATCAAGCAGTTCGTCACCATCCTGGAGAACTCGCTGGAGATGCGACATGCCGCCCGCCACCAGTCACGTCCGCTCAAGGACGACCGAAATATTCTGCAACTGATTTCCGCCGGCATCCAGGTCGCAAAAATACTCAAGGATGCTCCAGCCATGGACTTTCTCGACCGTCTGTACATTGACACGGAGAAGCAGATACAGGAGCGGAGTGCTGCCGCCACACGGTTCCGCATCTTGTGATCGTACGTCAGCATGATAAGACTTACCGTGCCATTGACCGCTATTTCTTTTCTTTGCCCAAGAGCTTCGGTCAATCTCTCTTTTTCTTCTCTATCATTTACCTTTCTCGTTTTCGTCGTCTTTCTTTCTTTCGTTTTTTTTCACGACCCAACGCCTTCAGACCATTTTGAATTTCTTCATAAGATGCCCGCCCTGTTCAGCGAGCCAGTCTCTTTGTGGAACAGCCCAAAATGCATGCCCGGAACGAACTATATATCGAATCACTACGTTTTATGTCGGATGACTTCCTTTTTGCCGTGGCCAGGTCTCATGGCAGCGAAACACAGACTTTATACTTGTACATGGATGTTCTTGGACTCGGGATTTAGAAGCCCATACTGCTACAATGCTTGCGAGATCACAGCCTTGACCTGACATAAATGGGCGGTACACCTGAGGATTCTTTGACGCCAAGCAACAACAGCCTTGATTGTTTATTTTGATACCTTCCACTCTTCTCGCCTGTGCTTTTACGCGTGCGTTGCTTTGCGATATCTTGGAACTAGGCTCTGAACAGTTTCAGTTTCTTGGGGAGGCTATTTTATTCGATTCCTGTGGTGTTCTGCTCATTCAATCATCTTTGCTTTAAGTGTAAGAAACATATATACACATGACTGTCACGGTGGGCTAGACATTTCTTTTTATGTTCTTTACTCTTGACCAGCATCACGAACATAAATCCAGCATTTAGACATTCGGGCTGGAAGCCGACATTGTTGTGTCATCGGCAAGAAGAGAGGAGTATATGGCATAGCAGTGAGACCTCGTGTTGGTCCAACTGTTAACCAAGTTACCATCCAGATATTCTCAAGTCATTTACCCCGGCCAAGAGCACCTTTTCTGCTTACTCTTCGAACAGGCCTGCGCCTTCACATCACCGATATGTATGACGCTCAAAACATCACCGCAGCACATGCAAAGCAAAATTTAGTCTTGTAGGAATAAAAGAGAGTTCTAGCTCGAATGTGTTACGCATAACGCTCCAACAAGGCCTCTAAAAATTTAGGCCACCTTAAATCGGGTTCTCATCAAAGTACACATCGGCGCATGATAACCAACAGTATCATAACAACTTAGCGTCGACAACCGTCCAAGCTTAAGCTTTCCTCATACCTTACCTCCTCCGTAGGCAGGGAAAGAAGACATCCCAAAATCAAGATGATTGAAGTATCTTGTTAGGCCTTGTGAAAGATAGCAAGAATGTTGAGCACAATCGCCCGGTATAGTCAAAGGTCACATCCCGCGGGTACGGGTGTGGCTCTATGGTGTCCAAATTGTAGTCTCCGCCCAAAAAATCTAGTTCATACCCTGCGCGCGTGAGTAGAGTGATGGACCCATTGACTGTAAAGGGGCAGATGGGTTTGGGGCTCACAAGAATCGCCTGACAACAACTCACGCAAGCTAGAAACCATTTCCACTGCCGAGTCATCCAGATCGCCTGAAACGAGAAGTCTATCGTCATCAAGAGGGTTGAAAGCAAATTTCACTGCAGATGACGCCGTGGACGAACAAGAAGAAGCCTGGCTACTAGACGACGATGGTGAAGAGCCTGATGTAGATGTGGTGGTAGAAGTCGTGGAGCTGCCCGATGCGGTTGCCCCTGTTTGGTATATGTAATGGAACTGGTGAGCGAACTGGCGGAAGGGCAGGTTTTCGATAGCCCGACCAAGCTTGACGGCCTCGGAACGGGCAAAGTTGGGTTGCATGGCGCGCTCATTTTGTATGTCGGATTCATTATGAGCAAGAGCAAAATGGTCTAGAGCAAGACCCACAGCTTCCATGAAGAGACAGAATACCAGAAACGCGGCCAAGCACGGAGCCCACGAATTGCGCGACTTTGGCTTTAGGTCCCGCGTAAACATCTTGAACAGCTTATCGACCTCTTCCTGCATCAGTTCATCGAGAACGGCCTTGACCTGCCGGTTTAGCATGCGCGGGGTCACAAATATGTCGTTCTGTGGCACCATGCCAGAGGGCGCGAGATCGAGAATGGTCTCTTTTGTGAGGCTGATATGATGCGACATGACGTAGTGCATCGTATATATGGCGAGAGCTTGTTTGACGATAGGAGACTGAATAATCTGTTAGTATTGAATGTCAAGGAGCAATGCGGTTAGCACTTACATTTGTTTGAAAGTAATACTTTCGGACAATCGTCAGGATCTTCTTGGGCAGGCCTGTCTGCCGAAGATTGGCCGTGAGCTGTTCGACGTAGGTGTCTTCCTTGATTAGGTTTTCGATGTACACACGCAAAGTCCTCTTAATCCTATCCTGCTGCGACGAAGCGCTGGTGCAAGAGGTTTCAGATAGGTCCAGAGCAATAGGCGCCGCCATAAAAGACTTCAGGTGACTCCGGTTGCCGGACAGGGTCAACCGCTCATGATGTAGTATTTCACGCGACTTGGCAGTGAAGAATCTGGCGCCACGGATCTCCAATGTGCTCTTGAAGCCTAAACCACAGGACAGTAAAACGGTGCACGGCTGAGTGAAATCAGCGATGTGGGTAGACATGTACGCCGCCATCTCGTCCTTGCGGAAGTGGGAGCGAATTATGGCCGGGAAGAGCTCCACAAGAAAATCATCAAAGCGCCAGCACACAACCTGAGGCACAGACGTTGCAAGCCTTGTGCAGTTCTTGCACGGACGGTTTGCATCACAGCGGACTTTCCTGGCGTGGCAACAGAAGCATGCTCCCAAGCGGCGGACTTGCAGCGCTCCTTCTTTGACTTCGTCAGCCAAAGGACCTTTACGGCCCTTCTGGGTGGTGTTGAAAGCCTCGAGGTGGTCGAAGAGGTTTTGTTTGCTGCCGCTGCTAGCATGTGAACTGATTGTCGTGGGAGTGACAATGATAAATCTGTCTTCGTTACTGACACTGTTGCCAGTGCCAGCGTTTGTAGTGGGTTGGAACTTCTCATTTGCAGAGGAGTTATTCCCGGTCTTCCTCTTCTCAACCCGGGAGCCTGTACCCTTCACTTTGTCCAAGTTACCAATAGCAAGCTTTGAGGAGACTGATTTGGTCAAGGATCCAGCCAATGGCGTAGCCTTGGTAGCAGTTGAAGCATGAGCGGCTGTAGTTGCCTGCTGAGATTGCACTTTCTGTTGCTGGTGCTGCCGCATAGGCGACCGTTGTTGTTGGAGAAACTGCTGTATTTGGAACTGCTGAAACTGGTAGATTTGCTGGTTTTGAGACTGTTGTTGCTCGTATGCACCAGTGATGGATTCCAGCATGATGTTGGCCGCAGACCGCATACCGGCCTCTTGAGCAGAAGCGAGACTGGTAGAGGAGAATGTGCCTTGCGGGGATGGCGAGATATAATCGTCCATCGTGAACATCGGGGAATCGTGCTGCTCGGAAACATCCATCGGGTTCCAGGGGCTGGCATTGGCAGGGGACTGCATTTGGAAGGGGATGTCGAGCCTGGCTACCTGCTGCTGACCCTGGGCTCCTAGCCGGGCTTGATGCTGATTATTCTCGCGTTCAAGTCTTGAAAAGTCATTTGCCAGTCCAGAGGCCTGTAGGGCTTCAGAATAGGGATCCGGTCTTAGTGCTACGTAGGAAAACAAGTCAATTATGGTACGAGAGGATGGAAGCCATGAAAGACATCACACGGAATGAGCTTACATGTATATTGCTGGTCTAGGAGGTATGTACTTGGTGAAGGCATAAATCCGCTGGCATTAGTTGAGATGTCCGATGGCGCCATGGGGAGCCCATTATCGGTTAAAAGGCCGGTAGCGTTCATCGAAGCAGGCATGAAGTCAGTGTACTGTACTGAGTATGAGGTTGGTAGTCGTTGGCTATGAGCCGAGAGGAGGACCGGTGATGGCGCAGATGTCAGAGGGGGTGGCGATGAATTCAACACCATCTGAAAGGGACCAGGGCTCATGCTCAAGTTGCTGAGACTTGGGCTTGGCCCCCGGTAACTATGGCCGTGATGGGCAACAACACCATACGACGCCAGACTGTGGCTGGCCGGGCTCGGTAAGAAAACAATAGACGAGTCCGAAAGAGAGCCAGCGATAGGCGTGCTCATAAAAGCCCAGGACTCATCGTCGGATGGGGGACTGTCAAAGTCCCCCAATGCCGAGTTGGCAGGGGAGACGTTGGTTGCCATGAAGGAAGGCGTCGTGCTAAGTGCCGACAAACGAACTAGGTGCCTCTTGTGTGTGTTCGGTCTATTGGATGCGAAAGCGTTTGTGAAGACTCCTGATTTTTGCTGAAAGAGTCTGGGAAGACGAGGATGGAAATAGGGCCAGCGCGGGGGTCTATTTATACTCCTCCCCTGCCCTTTCAAGCCTACTAGCAGATCGCTGCAATGCTTGAGTTGGGTCACTTGCCGGCTCAATCTATGTGCTCGTGCGAGGTAATGAGCTATGAGCTGTCAAAGAGTGTTGTTGTGCGCCCATAAAGTGAGGCTCCGCTCTCCTAGTAGCTCTGAGAAACGTCGACGGCCGTAACAGTTGTAGTGGCTGACAGCGGTTGTGCCTATCTGTCAAACTAAGACCAGGTTGTACAGATGACGGTGAGGCCAACAAATGAAAGCGGGCAATCTGCTCATACACAGAAAGTGGGTGGTGCGAGAGATATGTAGGGACAGCAATCCAAAAGTTACGGATCGTGGGGAGAGGGGAAGGAAGTTAAGGAAGGGAAATCCGCCCAACTTCAGTCAGACAGGAAGGGACCTTAGTCGCGACTGGTAGGAGCACCGACAGACATACGTCGGTCGCCTAAATAGGAAAGGACCGTGGCAGAGTCGCGGGGGGCTGTGGCTGCATGGAACAATCACGCCAGGTCCAATCTAAATTGGGGTTAAAGAACACGTGCGTTGCGAGAAATCCATCTGGCGCAACAGCATTAACGCGAAACTCTTTGGGCCATACGGAGTATGTATGAAAGCTCGATATAACACTACTTAGACTGCCTGCAACAGCCCAGTTCAACAGTAGGAGGAGCCCTGTCAAAGCCCACTTCCTGTCGTCCACTTGCGCAACAGGAAGGACTAACGCGGGTTTCGCTTAAAACAGTAGATTGACACATCATGCACGTTAACGTTTTATGGCGTTAATAAGCGAGCTTTACAGCCATTTCATGGTTTCGGCTCTATTTACGTATCGGCTCCATCAAATCTTTCATGCGGCTCGTGTTCGCGAGGGACGAGACGTCGTGCTCACAGAGCATGCTCACTTGTACACGGACGAGATGTTTGTCCTATTTAGTCCCATTGACGCACTTGGATCGACGCCAGCAGGGTGGATTGGACGGGTTGTCTAGACCCTTTGGTTTTTCTTCCACATTGAACGATAATATAAGTTGACCGAACTGCACATTGAATGTATGCAGAGGTAGGCAAATTTGTGGGTGAAAGTAATGCTGAGTGGCAGAACAATCGTATGCAGAGGCGCTCAACAAAGAGAAAAGGAAAGGAAAAAAAAAACCAGAAAAACATATACAATTTGACATGATAACCCTACTGACTCCAGTCTCAATCTTACCTATGATGCGACAATGCAACGACGAGATAATTTCAATATTCTTGTCATCGATATTGAAGCTCCCGCCAGTTATTTTCAGAAAATCCGTCCTCCATGGTGGATGGAATGTTGTGGACAGTTTTCACGCAACAGTAAATACTGTTGCTTTGAGGCAATGTAAAATAATGTAGGGAAGAGAGGGAAGTCTTAGATCCAGTCGTAAAATATTTTCTCTCACGTATTTATTCCTCTAGTTCATTCTCACGTGACTTATATCCACCGCTTTGATCACGTGTACCGTGTTTCCATAAGATCGAAATTTTGCCTGCTTTTTTTGCTGTTTACTTTCTTTCTCTTTACACTTATTTCGCACGATCAATCAACCGATTCTGATTCAACCTACTTCCTATCGGTCATAATTATGTGCTAGATGAACCGGACGTATTCGCTCCTTTCTTTTGGGTTCTACCCAGCTTGTCTTGCATAGTTTACTACTGGCAGAGCGGGAATAGGCGGTCTTCCTACATGCATCTGTTACAATGATTACCTCCAAGTAGCTTTCCGCGCCTGCTTTTTGTCCCGATAAGATCGGAAATTTTGCCTTAGACATAGTTCGTTGTTCCTTATTTTTGCATATGCGCGTCACCTGTGGCCTGTGAGTCATGTTGAATTCTATGGGGCGTACAGTGAGCTCGCATCTTTGTAAATCAAGGCAACTCAGCGAAAAGGCGGATACTTAAGATGCTGCGTGGGCATCCTGTTTTGCTGGGCCATTTCTAACAACCGGATTCCGGCGTATGATCACAAAATTGCATCAGGAGCACAGAGTATGTACATCGTATAAAAACTGCACGTGTTGGAATAGCCTCTGCCGCGATGAAGGTTTTTTGTACTCACCTTCTCACCTTTACGTGTCCACACTTACCTCGCAGCAATCACGAAATCTTTTCCCGGGGTCACTCGAAAGCTAAACAAAAGATGTGTTCCACCATGAGGACTATAAGGATTGTCAAAGACGAGCCGGCGTGAAGCTTGTGTATGCGAAAGTGAGGGGGGAAAGGCGGACCGGCCAGGCGAACCGGCCAGGCGAACGGCTGATTGCATGTTTTACTAGACCAAATAATTCGATGATGCATATCTGTAAGGAACACTGTCTGTGTGTGATCCCGGGAAGTCATCCCCGGCTGTCGTTCGACACTGTCCTGTCTTTATTCTGTCTTGTCATTCGTGGCAAGATGACGTTGTCCAGTTGCACACCTTTTCCCTGAGATTACACTGAAAGTTGGGTTGCTGCCAGAACACATGAAGCCACCCGGCTGGGTTCCGGACGTAGAGGTGGAGACTTGATGCAACAACGACCCCTGGAGACAAAGGTTCGATGCCAGTGTCAAGGTAAGGTTGCTTCTTCTTTCGGGCCGTGGCGCCGATTGCGGGTTTGTGTGCAGCTCATGATGTTCGTGACAGCCCTTTGAGAATTAGTACACTGCCACTTCTCGACAACAAGCTTCATGAGCCACCCAAGCTATGAACTAGCTTGAAGCTGCTTGTCGCCTTTCCTTCCTTGATAGTGCAGTAGACTGAGGTGACTCACGGATGCTTGTAAAAAAAGAGGCCGCGGCTCGGTTAGGATGCTTAAGGCCCCCGGTGATCTCAAGAGGCACACCAGTTGTCCAAAGCTTTAGTCGGCACGCCTCTCCTCATCCTCTCCCGTATAGTTATTATGACCGGTTACTCGCGTAGTGCATTGGAGGTCTCATTCTCAACAACGTCGTCACTGATAACAACGCGCACATGATGGCAAGATTGCCGAAAGCTGACGCTGTTATCACCTTCGTAGCCCCATGCTGTACTCTCCTGTTCCCAGGAAAGTTGAAGATAACGAACAGGTTGGATACTTTTTTTAGCTCCCATGCGCCCAATCATTATATTTCAAAGAACAAACCATGCTACTCCGAAAAGGGCGGCGCCGTTAGTTTTTGTGTACGAAAAAGCAGGTCGGATACTTAGTAGAAACTGCTTTTTCCTTCCTCCGGCTTCGCCTACTGCCTCCGGTTATGGAGGGCGATAGAGGCGCGAGGAAAAGAATAACGAAAAAAAAAGGTTGCCCAATACGCCCTCTCTTGGCACGTCGATATCTGAAGCAAGCATATATAGCTACTATCTACCCAACCTCTAATCCAGACTCAGTAGTAAGACGCGGGCTTCTTCACACTTTGACCACAGAGCTACTTTATATCGTGAGTTTCTTTACTCTTTCCAGAACTGAGACTCTTTGTCTTTCTTTTTTTTCAAGTCTTAAAAAGCACATTTGTGTTGAATGACGATAGTTATCTTTCTTGTCTAAAACCCCATAATCTTAGTTTTGTTGTGCGATCATTTTCCCTCCTGTACGAACTCACAACGAGGCGGTATTGCATCGGTCAAAAACAGCAACACTACGAGAAATCATCAGATCACGACAGTTTTGAGGGTTTAGCTCCTTCTTTCAAGTATTCGCTTCTGTTGTGCTCGGTTGCGTTATCGACACCTGATACAAAAGAGAGCCAAGCGAACCCGCCATATCGGCTACTGTGGGAAACACAATGCCTACCCTCCTTGATACTGGGATTGACAAGCCCAAAGTTGATACTGGGAGTGACAAGCCCACAGATGCAAATCCCGCTCCCATTGACCCATGTGAGTTCGGCTTTTTTTCCTTTTTCTTTTCTTTTCTTAGCCAAGCAGCATTCTATGAGGGAGATAATACTGCACCTATACCATACTTGTATATTGCATGGGTAGGACGATCCGGCAACGAAGCATCGTCAGGATGAAAGCCTGAGTGCTTTACTGAGAAAGAAAGTCACCTCTTTATTACAATGTCCCTTCACTTCTCAACCTTACGCTCTAGTTTGTGTTGTTTTTGCCTCACCCAAACGCCCTAACCAGGTTGCTTTTTGCGCTCGCCACTTAAACTTTCCGATTCCGTCGCCCTTGCATCTCCGCAAAGTGCGGCTTTCGTCCCTATTTTCTTCATTGTACCCAAGTATACAGATGCATCATAATGCTTTGTGTCGGGTGCCGTCGTGGCACTCCAAGCCTAATCCCCCAATGCTTGGGGAGATCTGATTTCTTTTGCTCCACTGGTATCATTAGACGCTTATTGTTACTGACCGCCTCTTCTTGAACAGTTTACGGAAAGTGACCGGTTGGCTCTCAATCTATCTTTCCTGTGTACCGGACTTTATTGTTTTATATTTGAGTTTTATGTCCTGCTTTCTTTTCGAGAATAGTCTCCTACGGCTAAGGCGGGGGTTTGAAAGTTATTTTAGACGATTTATATAGCTTATAACGACTTCAGTACATGCTTTCTAGTTAGGTAGCAAAATATGGGCTATATCTGATATTGATCGATGTATAGATGTCCCGAGATAATTCTGTTAGGCAATTTAGTCGGCCTCCCGACTTGTACTCTAAATGCTCAAGTTTATGTAACGGCAGTGTACTTCGTAGCTGCTTGTTTATATTTTTGCTCCCGCAGGCAGGAGGCCTTCATGCTACTAAAAACAACCTGAGCCGATTCGCTCCCAGGAGCGAGAAAAGAATAATACAATAGATAAAAAAAAGGCCACATTCTAAATTACAGAGAAGGGAAATTTTACTTGCTCTAGCGAGCACACTGTCCACCCATGCTTCTAAATCGGAGGTATCTGGACAAATAAAACAGCAAGGGGAATGAAAGGAAAACATTGTGTGATGGAGGACAGGACGCCTTGTACTTCGTTGTCCCAAACCGTCCATCACGCGGGCAGCGAGTGGTCATAAGGCCCATACAGTACACCTCTCCATCGCTGATTGAAATGAGAAAGTAATATACTTTGAGCGAAAAGGTCGCTAATCAATCTTGGCTTCCTTGGCCGCAGTCACGGGATAGATAAAAAATGGGAATCTATGCACAGAGCGGCATATTCGTTTCGCCATGTGATCTAGGCGACAGAAGTTCCGGTATTTCACAGGGTAAAAGAGGAAACGAATATTTATCTGATCAGTTTTCGAACGCAGTACCAACCAATATATTGAAGAAAATGGCCGAGGGAAAATAAAAAGTAGTGGCAAATACGGTATCCATTCAAAGTGCGATTAATAACAATGTTTCTCATAATTTTACGGAATTAAAATAAGAGATTCTAGCTTCAATCTATCGAGTTCAGTATTTTGACTATTTTTGATACTTACTCCGTACTTTCGACACGATCAGCCAGTACAGGTTTTGCAGAGGGACGACTGCAAGACGACAAAAATGATAGTTTAAAGTATACAATCATGGATTCTTGTTACAAAGCTAAATAAAACGAGTGAGAAGACGGTGAGCGGGGCCGTTTACCTACCCATGCAGAAACTTTCGGTTTCTACAACTTTGCCAGAAATAACAATCGTTACATAATCATATTCGTTTATGGCTACAAAAAAGACTGAGTAAATGTGGCGTATACTTCCACAAAATGCCCGGCTTTCACGGCCCGAAATATAATGTTTCCAATATTCGGATAACCAATAGTCTAAGCTTTTGAAAGCACTGTTCGTAGAACTTTTATGTCTGGTGTGCCAAAGGTGTTGGCCGTTGAGGTGGACGATCAAAATTTGGCCAAAGAAAGATCCAGGATTTTAGGATTAATCCAAAAAGTTTTATTATTATTGCCGATCAAACGCTATGCAGCTGCCTTGTAGTGAGTACCTGGCCCGAAGCTTATCCCGAACACACCGTCAGCTTGTTTAGTTTAGGTAACTACCAAAATCTTACGGAGTACGGAGGAGTACTTTACTCGTAATACGGGAAGCCTTGTTGATACAGCGGAACCCAATTAAAGTTCTTCAGTGGCCCTAAAAGGAAAGACCTGATCCAAGCAATCAAACCTCCCAATTCGCTTCAACTTTTCAACCCTTAGAAACCGTGCCTTTGCCACGTTTGGGGCCGCCCTGTCATGCTACGAGCTTGTAATATGGCTTTTTGTTGCAGATCCCACCAGCTGGCTTTGTCCCAAATTCCACCAAGACCGCAAGCAACTGGAGATAATTTAGGTTGCAAAGATATTGCACTTGAATCGGCATGGTTCTTCTGTCATTTGATATATGATTGTCTCTCTACAGCAAATACGTCATATGCAAACTGTGCTACTTCACTCTCTCCCTCGAATTTTTTTTACCACGCTAGCTACTGTTAGTGTTTTGGTGCTCCTACCACCATGTCACTAACAGTCGGCTTTTGTGGTAGAAAACTGTGAAGGTTAAAGGAGGCTATACGTAGCGGTCATATAACGTGATGCACTGTGAGGAGCAGGAGGCTGAATAGGGTCTAGTGTGGGCGAAAGAGTGTTGTGTACTAAGGAAGAAATAGATACATCGCGACCCTTCTGGGGATCCGTATTAATACTAGTGTTAGGCCCCGCTTTTGTTCCTTCTGACCAATTACAGGCCCGTACGGCCAAGTGGGGCGGAAGGGCCACAGTGTGGCGGATTCCAATGCTTGACAAAAACCCTTACTTTCAAGCCGCCAAAAGCCAGGTATTTTTAGAGTTGGCTGGCTTTTACGATGGCGCCTTTCGTCGACTTGATTGTTTTGTTGCATACCTACCGGCGGCTTACTACGACGATTGATTGCCTCGTCTACTAAGACTTGAAGGCGCTTTACGAGAACGCTGGCCAGCCCGTTGACCCTCTCCCGCGTAGGCATCACTACGTTTGGACTGCGACTTTAGGGTCAGGAACCCAAGAGAGGAATATACTAGGAAGCTAGGCACGGTATACAATAATCCGACATTTCGAGCTGAGCGCTTACTCACTTGGAGGAGTAAGAATGCAGACCCGAACGGTTACGACCCCCCTTTCTCTTCGAATATACAGCTGGATAGTTAGACAGGGCACCTTCTACGTGGGAGGCAGGAGGGGCAGTCTATAGAATATCGCACGCTGTACGTCGCATGCCCCTTGGGAGGCGCGAGGGACAACTCACTTGAGTAACTAGTGTTGAGGGCACAACCTGCCTTCTGTCCTGCTTCGATGATAAAACGTATAAATAAATAAATAAAACTGTGCTACTTCACGACGCAGACCACGAAATACACTGTGTTGGCCTAAGTTGGCTGAGTGGGGAGCTAGCTATCTTACATGTTTTAGCGGGGCTGCTCTGTTGCCAGTATTAGGCAATGAGACTGGCTTCTTAATGCCGTCACTTTATCTCTTCTTCACACATCTAACTCGCCCGCATACTCCGACCCCTCTGAGCACAAATGGCAGAATCGAGCACTCTGGCAGCTTCCGCTGCATCCACAAGCTCGACAGCTATAGAGGCTCTCATCGAGGCGCGACCGCCGGCCACCGACCAGTTCACGTACCTGACTCTCATCCAAGAGAATCTGTCACCCGACGTGTTGCCCACATTACACGAAATCCTACAAGATGTCCAGCTGACCCAGGAAATTGGCTGGGACTTGGTGGAGACGTTAGTACCGCTGCTTCCGGGGTCTGAGTCTTGTCTTGACGATGTCGCCCGGCTGGGCAACCCGAGGGAGGTGATCTTGAAGGTACTGGAAGTCTTGGAAGGGCTCAAGACAACCCGACTTTGCGGACCTTCCAAAGGCGAAGATAAGAGGGGCGGCGGAGGGGGGGAAGAAGACGAAGACGAGGAAGAAGAGCTCGCAAATGTCGAAGAGGGGAAGGAGGAAGACCCGCAAACAGCCGAGATGACCACCAGGACTTTTGTTGTGCTGCTGGGAATGTTGAGCGTCCTTCATCGGCGGATAAAGACAAAATACCCATCCCGCTTCCTCGAGACGACACTGCGGACCATCCTAGCTGCCTACCGCCCCGATCAGCTGGCCATGACGACGGCTGTTCTCGGTCTAGTTCGCTCCCTCTCTGCAAACAAACGGCCCTTGCCACCACTGCGTCGGTCACAACCACATCTGATGACGCTGGATCTGGCAGCCGGAGGATCCGAATCTTCGAAAGAAAGCAAAGGGACGAGTACGGACGCAAGCACTTCGATATCAGGTGCGTTGGTGCGACAAATCAGCGCCATCGGCCAGGTGGCCAGCAACACGGACCAGACGGACGAGTCAGCCGTGTCTATACCTGACCCAGAGGCCGAGGATCTTGTGGACCCGGCAGAAGGCGCTGTACAGCAACGGCTGCTTCAGTCGTTTTTGACGTGTATACTCGAAGCCTACGTCAACGCCAATGAAATGGCATGGGCGCCACGGCTATTCGAACACTATCATCCGAATAAGATTGTGCCGGGTCGTCCGACAGCTCTACAGAGATTCCGCGAAGACCCGGATCTGGCGGCTCGAGACTCTACGGTTGGAAAGCTTGTGGTGAGTTTCCACGGCGGATTTTCCTGATTAGAAGGCGATGCCTTGCCCTCTACACGTCAATGTGCCCGCTGACAATGTATATAGGCTCTTGCTCTGGACCTCGGCCTCAAATACTCGGATGCATTTGTGCACAGCGTGAGCAATGGGCCAGTGCGACGTAATCCTCTCGCAGCAATTGATATCGCCGCTACTGGCACTGGTCTTGAGAGCTCTGACGGCATACCCTTGTCAACGGGTGGCACAATTTGCCTCCTGGCGTATTGGGTATTCTCGGTGGAGGTGTTCAAGGCGGACGCCCCGTTGCCCCGGAGATGCACATATTTCCAGACCACTATGCGATTTTGAAGGCATATCTTGAAGATGGTGCAGCATCCGAGGTTGGGCGATCACCAGGGACCGTTGAGGCCATTGTGACCTTTGGCATGTGGCTGGAACACAGTGGACTGTACTTTGAGTCACCCGCAAGCGCCGAAGCACCTGTGCCAACGCCCTACATGCCTTATCACCATCTGCTGACGCTCTGCTCCATGCTTCACCCGTCTCTTCCGGTGCGCAATGCGGCCACGTCGTTGGCAGGTGCGGTGTTGCATGCCGATCCGGATCCGGAGGACCGTCTGAAGATCCTGCAGGATCTGTTGGAGAATTGCATGTTTGCCTCGCTCAAGGCGTGTGCGGTGACATGGCTTCGGGAGGAGATCATTGCGGCAGGCAATGGCACCGGAGCTAGAGCACAGAAGGCGACAGCTGCAGCAACGAGTACTCCATTTGGCAGCACAGAGGCGGTCGAACAGCTGCAGTACGCCATCTTCCCAGATCTACAGGCGCTGCACCAGAACGTAACAGCGAGCACGCCAGAGAACGATGCGCGGGCCGTGTTGCTGGAATACTGGATCCAGAACTCGCCATTTTTGTTGCAGGCGGCTAATTTTGCGTACTTCCTGTTTCAGTCGGAGCGGTTCCGGGCCACGGTGGTGCCACCGGGAATGGGGCCGGCCATAGGGCAGCGGTACGTGGAGCCGCTGGTGCAGGCGGCAATGCGACTACGACGGGAGCTGGACGACGGTGGCGGCAAGGTGGCCGAGACGGCCGAGACGGCTGAGCTGGAACACATTTCCATGGACCTGGAAGTACTGGCTAGCCGGCTGCAGAGCCTGGAACTTTCCTGAAAACGGCAAGGGACTGTGTTTAAACCTCTATAGACTCGGTTTGGGTGTGCAGCCGGTGCCAAGGCCTCTCTCATGTACAGTCATGTGCCGTACTCTGTTTGGATATGTCCATGATGGCTTTGTAGCATTCCCCTAGGGACCTTCGGCAGAGACAGACAGCGTATTAGTCAAGCACTAAACACTTTATAGGAAGTTACCCGGGGTCTAATTGGCAATGCTCCTTGTTCCAAATCAGTGGTATCTTAGTTTAGGAATATTGTTGAGGTATGTTCCTTGCCCCATTTGGATGATGTACTGTGCAAGAGTACAGCTGGTCCGGTTCATTTGGTCTACCCAGCTGCTTCCATTGGCAGGCGTCTACTCCATACACGGGCTGATTCGGCCGAAGCCGCCCGACAACTAAAGCTGGCGCAGAATAACTTCCGCAGCGTCCGCAGATTGGGCCGAGCTCACGATATCGTGTGGTATCTTACATACCAGAGCGGCCGTGTCTGATTTCCAAGCAGACACGTTAAGCAACAAACAACCCTGCTTCTCGTTGATCTCCAATCGCACAATTCGCTGACACCATGCTTACAATAATCTCCACATATTTTTTGTCAGGAACGACTAAAGATACTAATGACGATTGTGGGGGAGTTGCCGGGCAGCCAGGCCCATCTCGTGGTCTGGAGGGGTCCGACAGCTTATCGAGCTAGGAGTCATTGCTGATTCATGGGTGGGGCGGGACTACGACGTACACCGGTCTTCATCGGTTGTGATTAAGCTCGGGAGCGCGCTTCTGCGCCTCCCTTGGCCCTGGAGCTGTTGGCGTTGGTTCTTCTTAACCGTATTTCTCCCGGTATACAGACTCGTATAGTAGAAGTTAACGAGGCAGGCATGAGCTGAGAGGCATATCAGCATTGGGACAGCAGCAGAAACAGAAGCGGCGAGGTTTCTGAATATGCAGGTGTTGTTGTAAGCGACTTACATCGTATGAGCGGCTCCGCAGTGCTTTGAAGTACTCTTACATAGTACGGAGTAAGCAGTATTGGAACAGCTGGTCTCATAGCGCTAACCCGCGATGGTCCAGCTTTCGGGACCATGTTCTGGGTACAACGGCCTCTCCTGTGTGGACAGGACGCGAAAGGCTGGACAACAGGAAGTAACCTATGGGGCCGCCCCACACTTGTATCGGTAGGAAGATGATTGGGGGCTTACTAACGCCACTCCCTTCCCTATCATGCCTGATTAATGATTACGAGTGCTCTACACGGCAGGAGAGATCCTGTGCATCGACCGAAAACCGGGCCGCTAGCAGCTGCCGCCTTAACAGCTGAACAGGCTGAGACTAGAGGGTGTTTTGTATATATAACGTTCTCCCCTCTTCTCTCATAGTTCCCCCACCTACAAGTCTTTGTCAACACGCTTCCCAACCAATTTCCCACATCTCAAACAACTCAACCGTCACCATGGCCAAGATCGCTATCGTCTTCGTGAGTATTCGCCAGTGTCCTGTAGGAAGCAGACAGCTTGCTAACATGTCCAGTACTCTATGTACGGCCATATCCGCAAGATGGCGGAGGCTGAGAAGGCTGGCATTGAGAAGGCTGGCGGCACTGCCGATCTGTTCCAGTGAGTAGAAGCCAACTCTCCTCCCATCTAAGCTTTTCAATTGCTAACTCATGTGTTTGCAGGATCGAGGAGACCCTTCCCGCCGATGTGCTTGCGAAGATGCACGCCCCCGGCCAGTCGACCGACATCAAGATACTCTCTGACCCTGACACACTGAAGGAGTATGACGGCTTCCTGTTTGGTATCCCTACTCGTTTCGGCAACTTCCCTGCCCAGTGGAAGGTGAGCAATGACCCCAATGGCGACGCTATCGGCAGACAGCATCGTATTTGAAGCTTACCATTTTTCTTCACCCCTCTGTAGACCTTCTGGGACAAGACTGGCGGTATCTGGGCCACCGGTGGCTACGCTGGCAAGTTTGCTGGCGTGTTTATCAGCACGGGCACTATGGGCGGCGGCCAGGAGGTCACTGCTCTGAGCACGATCAGCACGCTCACCCACCACGGCATCATCTTCGTGCCGCTCGGCTACAGTACGGCGTTTGGCCAGCTGGCCAGCATGTCCGAGATCCACGGCGGCTCGCCCTGGGGTGCGGGTACCTTTGCTGGTGGCGACGGCAGCCGGCAGCCTTCGGCGCTGGAGCTCGAGATCGCGACGACGCAGGGCGAGTCTTTCTACAAGACCGTCGCCAAGTCGACCGGTGCGTGATTGATTTGAAGAACGAGATCGATGGCGACATGCCCGCGACAGCAAGCACTTGTGCTCGAGGTGATCGAAGAGACGGCTAAGACGTGGTATGTCTGTAGGCAAAAGCTCGTCAGTTTCGGCACCGGCGGCGGCGAAGGCTGGTGCAGGTGTAAACTCGGCTTCAGGACATGATGCAACTGCGGCAAAGGCGGCTGCAGCACCGACGCCGTCGGAGATGAAGAAGAGCACTGAGGGTCCCTGTGGCTTGCCAGCGAAGTGTGTTGTCATTTGATTCTCAATTTCGTATTATACCAATCAGCGAACAATAAACACGAAGTACAAACAAGTCTTTTTCGAGTGGGTTCTTCGCCGGGGTTGCTTGGCTGGCGGTGCGATAGAGCCTAGCAGACAGCCGAGGCCGTTTGATATATCCAATTGTTTCATTTCATAAGCATAGGTCAGGCTAGTCGTGTATTCTTAGATATTCTAAATCTTGGTCGTCCGCCCAGCCAGCGTTGGACCTCAAAGGTGCAGTAGATGCCTGTTGTGGTTAGTCATCACGTCGAAGGTGCTGTTTGGCTCGACAGCTAAGTTCCAAACCCCGGCTTCTGCGCCTATCTGGGTCATAAGATACAAAACTGCGCATCGGTTTTACTGTTACTTCCTATCACCTCACATCTTGCTGATCTCGAATGCAAGGCTGGTGTCTAAATGGTCACGTGCACGTCTTCTGCATACCCCCAAATCAGGCTGCTCTTTCCAATCTGGCTGCTGCCTTTCTCGTGGCCATGTACAACATTGGGGGCAGACAAGGCAAAACTGTGCTGGATGCTGCTGTCGGCTAGATGCATTTATGCCTAAGAAATCGACCAAAGACATGACAATATCAGACAGAAATACTGTTGTTTTCCCCTTATTTTAGTCTACCCGACGCCACGATGAGGTCCTGGGAAGAAATCTAGAGTCTGCGCAGAACATCCTCGACGACCTCGTCCGTCTTGGCCGAGCCGCCCAGGTCCGGGCTCAGCAGCTTACCCTCGGCCAGGTTGGCGTCCACGGCAGCGTAGATCTTGGCAGCCGCCGTCTCCTCGTTGAGAAACTCGAGCATCAGGGCGGTGCTGCGCAGCGTCGCGATCGGGTTGGCAATGTTCTTGCCCTGAATATCGGGCGCGCTGCCGTGGCAGGGCTCGCCGATGGCAAAGCCCTCGCCGACGTTGGCGCTGGGCACGAGGCCGAGCGAGCCGACCAGGGCGGCCGCACCGTCCGACAGGATGTCGCCGTACAGGTTGGGCGCCACGATCACGTCGTAGTACTCGGGCTGCCGGAAGAGCTTGTACACCATGGAGTCGACGATCTGCTCCTCGATGCCGACGCCGCCGTCGACAAACTTCTGCGCCGCCAGGGCCTGACGCGCAACCGAGCGGAAAAGGCCGTCCGTCTGCGAGAGCACGTTGGACTTGTGCGTAATCGTCACGGCCGGCCGGCTGTGAATGCTGGGCACGCCGGCCTCGCGGATTTTCTGCCGTCGCAGCGCGATCTCGCCGGCCATGGCGGCGATCCGGTACGACGCACGCTCCGAGATCCGCTTGATCGCCTCAGCCACCTTTCCGTGGCCGTTGGGGTCCTCAAATGTCCGCTCCTCCTTCACGTACAGGTCCTCGGTGTTCTCGCGCACAATGACCATGTCGATCGGCTTCACCCCCTTCTCGCCCACCGCCGTCTTGACAGGCCGCACATTGGCATACAGATCCAGCTTCTTGCGCAGGGCCACGATCGGCGACGAGTAGCCCTTGACGGCCGTAGTCGGCGACGAGACAGCGCCGAACAAGGCACCATCGCACTCCTGCGTCAGGATCTCCACCGTCTGATCGGGCAGCGCTGCGCCCGTCTTCTGGAAGGTCTCAAAACCGGCCTCCAGATCGACAAACGAAAACTTGAGCCCGAGGCTGGTGGGCAGCGCCTCCAGGATGCGCCGGCCGGCTGGGATCACCTCCCTGCCAATGCCGTCACCGGGGATGAGGCCTGCCAGATGGCCTGTTAGCTGGCTGCAAACAGAGCGGGCTCAGCCTTGCTCACCGATTCTCAGAGTCCTTCTGGCTGCCATGGTTGCGGTACAATGCCTCAAACGGAAACAGGCAGTGTTGCGTAGATCAATATTCTCAAGAATTGCCAATCACACCAAGATTTTTTTGCTTATGACTAATGTTGAGCGAATTGCGACAAACTCCGTACATTGGAGGGATCTTCGTCTTTACCGCCGCCATCACACTATAATCAGCCAATAGAATTACGCCAATCTCTCCGCCTGGTCACCCGCCGATGAGAGCTAGGAGTCATAAGCTGGGCTGCGTGAATGGCAGGGGCTTGACTTGCCCTGGCGGCTTCTGTAGACCATTATAATTCTGTTTTCTGCCTCACCCAATCACTTTTCATTTTAGCGTACTCCGTACCTTAGTTGCAACTTTTTTTTCGGAGACTTGCGTCTTCATTTGTAGGCAGCATGAAAGGTGCAATCCTGCCCAGCCAATGGCGGGGTATCCTCGCAGCTCTACCTGCCGACCATCGGAAGCTGGAATGCGTTACTTTGCGCCTTTGGCGCTTGCCCGTTATGGACTGAAGCGTTTCCGCTTATTTCACTTGTAGCCACTGATGCTGCTCCTTTCTGCCTTGGCGGTCAGCACCACTATGCTTTCGATGCCCCGTTGACCAGTTGCCGATCTCGATTGTCCTCACAGCACCTTTTTTCTTCTTCGCTTTTCATCTTGTCTTGCGCCGAGTGGGGCTCTTGCCTTCTTGGGGAAAGGGCCTATTATGCGGATGGTTCCTTCTCTTAATTATTACCCCTATTCTCATATTACGAAGTAATACGGGGAAGGTGTCACTTCCGACAAAACGGCGAGATTGCTGAGCCCGCTGGTGCTCACAATACGATGAGAGGCGTCGAGCATGCATCAGTGTGCACTACTATGTATACTGCATAAAACACCCCTGCGTCTTGCGTCTGTCTCGTGTTCTCCCGCCCCAGAGGAATCTTCTTCGAGCGGAGGGCGCGAGCCCAACCGAAATCATGGCTGTCGGACCTGCCACATGGTTGGCTGGGGTTTGCCTGTCGCACTTACCCGTTATTGGAAGACCTTAAGAGACTTTCAGGGGCTCAAGGTGGCAGTCGCGCCCGTCGCAAATGCATGAACGGCCAGCTGGCCAGAGCAACGCGAAACGCGGCGTGCATCACTCCCCCTCCTCGCGGCCGTTTTATGCGATGGCTTCTGCCTGCCACCTCTCGGGCCCGCCGCGCAAATTGTTGCACGATGCCCGCCATCCTAATTTACTCCGTTTTCCCTCATCCGTATTCATCCGCATCGTTTCCCGCACTCTTCTTTGCCTAAACGGAACGTTAAACGCGTGACTGAAGAGGCACCTGGCCCCAATAATTTTAATTCTGGAGCCACATTCACAAGCACCAGCCCAGACCTCCACCGAGCATTTCCTCTGCCTAGGCAGCCCGTTTGACAAACATAATCTCCAACACATAAACAACAGGTCATCCGGAAGCACTCACAAGCCAGAATCTTTCTCCTCGTTGCTTCATCTTTTGCATCGACTGCATCTACCGCATCCGCTTCATCTTGCTACTTTTTTCTTCTGCTTTGTCCTTTCTACTGAACTATACCCACCTTTCTTCTCCTTTCTGGCAGCCTAGCTCCCTTTTTCTCTCTGCTGAGCCCACGGCGTCTGCTTTTTCGAAACCCAGTGGGAATCATTTCGAATTCGAGATAGGAGGGCAGGCAGGTGGTAAGACGAGAGCCGGCTGCCACAAGCCACGACACTCCGGCGCTCGTCATCTGTTGCCTATTCGGCTCGCCTCAACCGCTGGCCACCCTTTTCAACCTACCTTTGAGCTCTCGCTCGTCCGATCTTTCAACCTCCAGTCAGGCATTTACGACTCTTTCCTTTCTTTGAAGACTTTCACAGTCGCCTGCGCCGGCTGGTGGCTGCCGCCACTCGCGCTCTTCTTACATCTCCAGCGGCCTACCTTGCAATTTATTGCCGACGAGCCGACGGCCAAGCATCACGATGAGTCAAGTCAGGAATCTTCGCGCAATGTTTGAGAATAAGGGGGAGACGAGTCCACCGGATCGTGGGCGGGTCCCAGCAGCCCTTCAACCTCAGGGTACGTTTTTACCCTGTTCTGTGTCTCATAGCTAGTGCTAACTTCCTTTTGCCGGGACAGCTTCAGATCCTCTCGGACCACTCGCCCGAGTGCGTACCAGCTTCGTTACAGTTGAAAAGGGCGGTCGAGTGGGTCTGCAACGAGACAACAGTACAGATTCCGGCAACTCACAAGCCCGTAAACTCAGCGGCGGGAGCGAGGGGGAAACCGTCCTTTCTCAGACAGATGCAACCAGCACTACGGCCGGAGACAGTGTCGATTCGCAAGCAAAGCCAGCAGTCGCCCTTTGGCGAGCAAACGTACAGACACCAGATGAACCAATGAAGCCCTTCCCTCTGAGGACACCTTCGCCAAAAGCAGCCAAAGACTCGCCAGCACCAGTAGTGGCGTCTGATCCACCTCAGGCCTCAACTTCGGTATCCGCTTTCGCTCCAGCTATGAAATCTCTTTCGAATACGTCAAAGTATGACGCGCCAAAGCTGTCCTCCGAGAAGACGGAAAGAGTGGCGAGTAGGGGCAAGTCCCCAGAGAAAATTGCGGGCAAGGCAAGCGAACTGGCTTCTGTGAAGGCTACCTCGTCTGGCACCAGTTCTGCCGTCAATGTTACAAAATATGCCGGTGCTTCTGCAAAGCAACCCACAGCGGCGACTCCCGCTTCTGCGAAGACCAAGACGGCCAGCAGCAGCAAAGGCAAGGATGCGTCCAAGCCAGCGGCCACGACTGCCACGTCTCCCACCAAAGCCAAGGCCACCAAGAGTGTGCCCAAAATCTCTACAGCGGCACACTCAAAGCCGGAAAAGAGGGCTGCGGCTGCGCCCTTGAAGACACCTACAAGTCCCTCCAAGTCGCTGGCACTCAAGCATCACAAAACTCCTGAGAGAAAGACGCCGGCCCCGTCAGAGAAGACAACGCCAAAATCTACGACCTCCTCATCAAGCAGGTCTACAGCTTCGTCGTCCTCAAAGAAGCCCTCGGCTGTCCATAAACTCTCTCCTAATGGTTCGGCTTTTGTCAAGCCGAAACCGAGGTCGCCCACCCGCCCTGTGCAGCTTCCCGCTGGACTCGTGACACACACAGCAGCCTCGGCTACAAAGGCCAACGTGACTCGCCAGACTCAGTCAAGACAAGCCGGCAGTTATGACAGCACTCATCAGCCCTCGGCCAGGGCTTCCAGCAGAGCCAGCATTGCAACTGTTGCCACAACGGCCACCAAGACAACACAGCGGGGCCTTCGGAGACAAAACTCGACCATCAGTCGGTCTCGGCCCAGTCTCGGCCCCCCTCCGAAGCAGCCAGCTCGAGACCATTCTGCACTCAAGAAGGAAAAAGATGTTGATGAGAGCTTTTTGGCCCGCATGATGAGACCAACTCAGTCTTCAGCCTCGAAGACTGCAGACAAGTCTGGCGCCCCCCATACTTCGCCTCCCCGAAAGCAATCGCCAGCTCCCGTTAAGCGGACTGCCCGCAGTGAGCATAGTCCTGTCTCAAGGAGACCAGAAAGTGCTATGCATGCGATGAGCCTTGCGTCGACGCCTCCACCCTCAACACCCACACCTGCAGAATCTGTTTCGGTTACACCAAAATCAACTGGATCCAGAGCCACTTCTAGCGGGAAGGCGTCCCCTGTTGAAGAGACGTCGCCTATTGAGAAGTCGTCTGTCACCGAGACTGTGAACACGGCAGATGTACCCAAGGCTGTCGAACAAGCACAGCCGGAGGAAGCAATTCGCGTGGCCACCCCAGAACCAGAATTGGAGCCATTTCCGGAGCTAGTTCTGGAAGAAGAGGCGGAGCCAGTAGCAGCTGATGCAGTAGCCCAGGAACAAATGACAAAAGTTGTGGGGCTGGCACAGCCCGAATCGGATGTCACCCCTGAAGTTAGCACTCCGGAGGAACAAGAAGGTAAAGGCGCCGAAGTAATTGAGGTAACGGTATGAGTATTGGACGGCACGGATCTGGAGGTCATTCTGAATTTTGTCATTGCCTGTGGAGGCTATATATGCAAATGCTGGGTAAATGTATCTGGCGTTGATAATTAATTTCTTGACCTATACTGCATAACCGTTTTAATAAAGTTCTGGGCTATATCAGCTACATCAAAGACAATTGAAGAAACGTAGTCTATTATCCGACGTCTAGTCCGAAGTGAAATTTATGCAGTGATTTTCGCTGATTTTAGGGGGAGAGGAGGTTCCATAGGTTATAGTTTAGTTGCCATTCGGAAAATAGAGATCTTGGCCAAGGGAAAGAACCTGTAAGCAGCACCAAAGCAACGTCTAAAGGACTCTATGGAACTGCAACCAGTCCTAGATTCAACTCTGATGAGTACGAAGTATTCGTCTTGATGTTGTCTCAAGTACTTCGTGCACGTGACTACCCCACGTGCTAGTGTAGTCCTTATCACGTGATAACTGCCCCTCTAGGGTATTTTCCCACACAAATTCACAGAAATTTTTCAGTCTTGCGATAGATAGCGCTGAAACTTTTTCTCGGACTCGCCTAAATAGTTTTCGAACTTTATTCTACAATTCATCACGCAGCCAATCCTCACCATTAGAATCGATTATTCTACTGGAAGACGGTCAGAATGTCTAAGTAAGACAATGATGAGAATACCCTCTACTGATGCATATTGAGCAAGCGGCTAATCGTTCTCTTCTTCAGAATCACCGTCGCCGGAGTGCGGTATGCTTTTTCCAACCCCGACCCTTTATCCTCGTCTCGGCGGCCCGCCTCTGTTTCTATGCAATCTTGGCCTGCTACCGGGACAGAGGCTCTATACTAAGATGGAACGGTACTGACATTACTTCCAGTGGCAATGTTGCCGAGGTTCTCGAGTACTCGCTCGAGACCAAGAAGAGGAACTTCCTCGAGACGGTCGAGCTCCAGATCGGCCTGAAGAACTACGACCCCCAGCGTGACAAGCGTTTCTCTGGTACAGTCCGCCTGCCGTCTGTGCCCCGCCCCAACATGGCGATCTGGTATGTAGACAGGAAGGGTTGCAGAAACGTAATGGCGTCGGTGGCCGCTAACCAAAGCGTCGCAGCATTCTCGGTGACCAGCACGATATCGACCGTGCCAAGCACGGCGGTGTCGACGCCATGTCGTCGGACGACCTGAAGAAGCTCAACAAGAACAAGAAGCTGGTCAAGAAGCTGGCGCGCAAGTACGATGCGTTCATCGCCTCCGAGACCCTGATCAAGCAGATCCCGCGTATCCTCGGCCCTGGTCTGTCCAAGGCTGGCAAGTTCCCTACGCCCGTCTCGCACGCCGACGATCTGTCGGCCAAGATCATTGAGGTCAAGTCGACGATCAAGTTCCAGCTGAAGAAGGTTCTGTGCATGGGTGTCGCTGTCGGCAACGTCGGCATGACCCAGGAGCAGCTGGTTGCCAACATTATGCTGGCCATTAACTACCTCGTCTCGCTGCTCAAGAAGGGTTGGCAGAACGTTGGAAGCCTGACCATCAAGGCTTCCATGTCGCCGCCCCGCCGTCTGTACTAAACGCTTCGTCGTTTCTACATGAGGAAGGCGTTTTTTTTCTTTCTTTTTGCGGGGAGGATAGGAATGCGGAGGTCTTTTGACCAGATCACCACATGTCTGCGGATAGATCATAGCAAATAGCGGATTGTAGATGGTGTAATAAACCAACCGATTTCTCTCCCACAGCTGGTTTAATGTGGCGTTAAACATACTTCGTACGGAGTAGACTAAGTGTTTTTACTGTAGCGGATGATGTAATCCCAGAAATTTGTAGGTCGATATTGGGCCCAAACAGTGGATTCCACATTCTGCAGTTGCTGCAGCTTTCACGGCTGCGAGCTACAGGTTGTGATGACCTTAACTGGTACTGACTACAGCACACATCTGGTCTTACATCGATTTATCGCCAGAGAAAAGTACTACGAGTCGAAGTAGAATGTCGTAACCACCCCACCGTCAAGGACCTGTGACGTCGTCCATGGCAATGTATAAAGGGAAGAGGTGGCCACTTTGTTAGAGGAGGCCGGGAACGGAGGGAAACCCATGGAAGAGATGCAATAACCCTCAGCAAGCCACGTTTGTGGAGCCTTCTTAGAACAATAGCGAGGACTCGCTCTTCACATGACGGTGTAGAACAAATTCTCGCCGATGTGAAAAAAAGAAGAGAAAAGAAAGAACGAAGAGAAGAGAAGAAAATCCAGATATTTATGGTGGTATATAAATACGCTAGTATAAAACGGGACTAGTTCGTTTTTATGCTGTTAGCCTCTCTGATTCTTTTTTCTTCCAAGAGAGTGGATATTAGTTGTTGTGCCGTACGGATGTATTACCTGACAGGCCGTATTATTCATGACTTGAAATTTGACAATGCTGCTATTTACATGAAAAGGGCTGACCCCTATGTGCGTTTTCTCTTTATCTAGTGTTTAGAACAGCAGTTCTGCTTCCTTGCTCCGCCTTTAAATCTTGGGGCCGTTTGCATCTGCGAAACCCTCAGCGACAGCCACCAGCAGCTGGTTTGCAATGGCCGTGCGTGGCGGCAGCCGTAAGTCGCCTTCCTTGTAGCCTGCTTTGACAGCTTCGTCCAGGCCGGCGGTGTTGTGCAGCAGCGCGTTGCGGACCTCGTCCATGGAGAACCAGCGGGCGTCTTCGAGTTCGGGGTCGTGGCCCAAAAATATGGTTTCTCCTTCACCGGGCTGGGCGATGGCGACAGCGCCGATCATCAAGTTGGCCGGGAACGGCCATGGCTGCGAGCTGTGGATGACGACGCGACCGACAGTGACACCGCTCTCTTCCCAGACCTCACGGCGCACCGCCTCCTCGACCGACTCGCCCGGCTCCAGGAAACCGGCCAGGGTGCTGTACCAGTCCTTGGGGAAACGCTTGTTGCGGCCCAGAAGGACGCGGCTGCCGTCGGCGCTGACGCAGGCCATGATCACGGTCGGGTCCGTCCGCGGGAAGCTCAGGTTGGAGACGCCCTTGCGCGCGGCGCACGGCTTGCGGTCCACGGCCGGCTGACCATCCGCGACACCGGCCAGGTCGGTTGGGGGGCACACACGCTTCGTGCCCGCGTTGACCGACAGCGTGGGCTGGCCGCACTGTGCACAGAACGGGTTGCGTGCATTCCAGTCTAGGAGAGCACGTGCTTGGCCATAAGCAGCCGCTGTTTGTCATAAGCGGTCAGCACGACAGCCTCTTCTGTTTATTGCTCTCTTGCTCTCTCCGGGACTCCTTACCTTCTTCGGCCACGAGGTTCATGCCTCTTGCATTCGTAAAAAAAGTCAGGCCCTTGGCCTTGGCGGCCTCGATCGCAGCATTGGCCCGGTCAGCAAGTCCGCCACGGGGAGTGACGTCGACAGCAAAGTATGGGTTGCCCTTGAATGTGCTGTAGGTGAAGCTGGGGGGGGCAGCTGCGGTGGAAGGCTCGGCGAATTTGCTCTTCTCGTCAATGCCGAGAAAGAGGATGATGGGATGCGGGTCATTGGCCGAGTTGAAGTTCTTGGCGGCGTCTTCCTCGGTTCCTGCAAACGGCAGAGTGCCCGTTAATGGCGCAACGTCGGACAGGAGAGACCAGGCGAGTCGAGGCGGCGTGGTGTTGTGGACGAGCGGCGCGAGGTTGTCGACCAGCAGGAAGCGTGCGGCAGGGTGGGCGAAGGCTGCCTGCAGAAAGGCATGGTCTGTCCGCAAGAAGGAGACCCGGTTGAGAGGGCTGCCGGAGAAGTAGTTGGCCACTTCGCGGCCGAATCTGCGCGTCAACATTGAGTCGTCGGCGGGCAGCACGGGAAGATCAGCAACCGGCAGTGCCATTGGAGGGAAGGCTGGCTATGGGGATCCGAGGTCCAGACTTTCGGTTTCCTTGTTTTTCCGTTTTTTTTTCCGTTTTTTCTCGTCTGATTTGTTTTTCTTCCTTGTTTCGATCTGGAGAACCTGGTTGTGCAATGAGCGAGCGAAGCCTCACGATGACATCCGGCACATCAGAGGTTGTAGGCAGATACTCGGTCTATGTAACAGCTTCATTCATGTTTACAGTCCAAGCTATGCGGGGGACCAGGCGGTATTATATCGGAGGTTTAAAAGGGGCAATTATAAATCAGAATCAAGCTAAAGAAACGATAGGCTATCTGAAACCAATGTATGTTGACGACGAAACGCTGCGGCTGAGTCTGTATTCCTTTCTGCAGCTGAAAGCCATGTCCAAATATCGGGCTTCACACTCCCGTGTCATGCCGGAGTCTAAACGAGCGGCAGACGGCGTCAACTCTATGAATCGGCTTCCCAATTCTAGCATTCCAGCTCTGACGGCATCGTGCCTTCAATAATTGTACCCCGCAAAAAGGAACGAAAAAGCATGACGTAGCGGGAAGGCGGTGAATATCGCGCCGGACTTGGCCGGCCCAAATCCACTATTTTAGCTAGGGAAGTTTTTTTCCTATGCAGCTGCTTCTTTCTGCCAGTCACAATCATCGCCAACTGCTCAAGCTAAGCAGATGGCGTTTTCATTGTCCCTCAAACGTGTTGACCCCTTTCTTTCCCCTTTCATGTATCCTCGGCATTTTTCTTTTTCCCTCTCACCCCCGTCTGCTGTATACCTTCACCCCAATCCAAGAATTGAAGAAAGCCCTATATGCACGGAGCTCAATTCGTCCTAAATCGCAGCCTCGTCAAGCCTTACTTGCAAACATGGTTCCTCCGACAGGACCACTCAACCTCGGCGTGGAGGAGATATCTGGAATTTGCGGGTGTGTAGCATGGTCGCCGGGATACAGGCTTGGGCTTCCAGCCGCTAACATGCCAGGTCCATATCCATTGCCTGTTGGGTAGTCGTCTTCTCTCCACAGATTATCGAGAATTTCCGTCGCGGAAGTGCCGATGGGCTTTCGCTTCAGTTCATCATTGTCTGGCTGGCAGGTGATGTCTTCAATATACTGGGAGCTGTCTTGCAAGGAGTGCTGCCGACAATGGTAAGATCCCTATCAGTCGCCCAAGTCTCGGTCTGATACCTCGACTAACCGCTGCCTCTTTTTGCCTTTACAGATCATCCTCGCCATCTACTATACGATTGCCGATATTGTGCTCCTCGGCCAGTGCTTCTACTACCGCGGGTTCACATGGAGAGACGACGTGGTGCCGCCAAAGGCCAAGACGCGGAAGACCAAGACGAAGCGCGCAGTTGGAACAACAGCTGCCGGGACAGTCAACGAAAGCATCTTGTCCGAACGGTCAGCCTTGTTATCCCAGGATGAAAGCCACCGCAATCATCACCATTCACAAGGGCATGATCACCACGAGCGCCGCCGTTCCAGCTGGTCGGCCCTCTCGCCCGCCGTCCCTTTTGTGTCCGAACTTGGCTCGTCCGAACACCACACCTCTGCCTCTGTGCCTTCTGCCTCTGCATCTCCGGCCAGCGCCCGTTCGTCTGCCTCTCGCCTCCAGGCCACCGCCCTCAACTTTCTGGCTATACTCATGGTCTGCGCCGCCGGTGTGGCTGGCTGGTACTTGAGCGGTGGTGCCCAGGAGAAGAAGAGCCAGCCGCCACCATCGGGCGAGGACGGCAGCGGCGACGATCCGCTCGTGTTCAGCGTCTGGGGCCAAATCTTTGGCTACTTCTGCGCGGTGCTGTACCTGGGCTCGCGGCTGCCACAGTTGCTGCTGAACTGGCGGCGACAATCGACAGAGGGCGTGAGCATGCTGTTTTTCTTGTTCGCATGCCTCGGCAATCTGACGTATGTGCTGTCTATCTTCGCGCACGAGGAGCACAGAAACTACCCACCCGGAGAGGCGCGGCGCCGATACGGGCGCTACCTGCTTGTCAACCTGTCGTGGCTGGCTGGCAGTCTGGGCACGCTGCTGCTGGACATGGGAATCTTTATCCAGTTTTTCATGTACCAGCGGATAGAGGATGACGGCAGCGAGGATGACGGAGACGACGCAACAGAGGTTGCCACCTCCTACAGCGATGATGAAGACGACGACGAGACATTTGAGCCCATCCTTCAGCGAAACACATCCTATTATGGTTGAGCGGCAGTCTTTGACGGGTCCTACCGAGGCAATTCAGAAAGGATGCGAGCTACGAGAAAGACGAGCAAAGAAACGAGAGACTGATACAGTTAGATATGTTGTAAAAGTACGCGCGAAATGGTTTATTGGACTGCAAAATTTCACTGAAACCGCAAGGTTCTTACAGGGAATGGGGTTAACACGGAATTGGGCGTTGGGTATACAGCCTTCAATTGATTCTGAATGAGTTTCTTGTCGAGATTGGCTATCGGAGTTGTTGTCACGGACGTAGTTGTCAAACAGCCATCTGTCTTTCGGATACGAGACATTAAGCCGGCAATGAGTGGTTGTATAGCCTGTCGCAGAGTATCACTGCAAGAAGCTTGTAATGGAAATTTTGAATTAACGAGGAAACCGCTACATAGAATGCAGGACGCAGCATGGACAGCTCAAACAGGGATGCTTCGTCTTAAAATGAAGAAGGAAAATCAAAAGAGGTGACAAACAAGAGCTTCCCCCAAGATGACCTTTCACCTATATCATATATACGCACGCGTATATATACTTCCAGGAGAAGCAAGAAAATGGAGTAGAACATAGAAGCGCAGAGTCCCTTCTGGAACAATTTCATTCTTCTGCGCATTATCATATTCTTCCTTGTCCATCCATTCGCGCAACAAAAATAAGACACACACACCAGTCATACAATCTCTTGCGTCCACAAGCAATTACCATGAGACACTACCCTCTCAAATCCAAGTCGTCTGTCGTGCCAACTGGCACCCCTTGTTCCTCACCGCCTAGAAAATGTAGCATAAAATGCCATAGTCGTAGTCTGTCATGAAGCTTGCCCCCTTTCCATCAAGGAGAAGAAAGGACTGGCTGTTTCCTCGCTCGTAGTTGTCTATTGCTTGTGAACCGGGGAAAAAAAGACGGCCAGCCGAATATAGGAAACTGGGAAAACGGCACCAAAACAAATCAAACTCGACTGCCAAAAAGCGGACGGAGAGACAGTAAGAAAGTCTATAGCGGTTGGGATAATTCGCCGTCAACCTATGCGGAGATGAGCGGCTCCTCCTCCTCCTCAGACGACTCTTCCTCCGAGTCTTCGTCGGCCACCGGCTTCTGGATAGGGATAGCCGCCTTGGGAGCGGTGGGGAAGTCGGCCTCGCTGACCTTTTGCGAAGGGGCAGTGCTGGGAGCTGTAGGGAAAGAAGGGGCGATTGGGGTAGTCGCAGCGGACGTGGCATGGCGGCCGCGCAGCAGCTGCTGAGCCTTGGTAGTGTAGTCACCTAGGTACTGCTTGGTGAGATCAGCGGCATGGGCAGTGTGCTTGTGGGCGGTTTCGCGAAGCTGGCTGGTCTGGGTGTTGATCACGTTAGAAGCCTGCTTCAGCTGCTCGTCGATGAGCTCCTTGTTGGTCTTGTAGACAAGGGGGGCGAAGAAGACCACCGTGTTGAAGATCAGAGCAAGACCCCAGTACGGCACGAACTTGATGAGAATGTACGCAATCAGGGCACCGACAAACGCCTGGCGATACGTTAGCAAGCAGTTCTTTCGGCTGAATATCAGTGGGACAAACGTACGGCAGCAGTAGCGTAAACATTCTCGGCGAAAGCAATGCGCTGAGCCTCGATGACGAAGAAGTTGAGCAGATCGTGCATGTCACCGAGCAGAGCCTCAAAGGTCTCGCGCGGGATGGTGTAGTACTGGCGAGGCCGGAGCTGGCTGGCCAGACCTTTGTTGAGCACGGCCTTACCGGCAACCTCGGCAGCCACGGCCACACCCAGCACAATCCAGGTCAACTTGAAAGCCCACCGGACCACATCGAGATACCGGCCTGCGACGATAAACGTCACAATCGAGGCGTAGGCGATAGCAGACGACCCTGTTGTGACCGGTCAGTCCCTCATACTTCCTGTCTCTGTTCACGGCAGTTGCCGGAAACTTACGAGGGTTGTCCCACGATAGCAGGTTGGAGAAAAATGAGTGGAAATAGGTCGGCGGGGCCGAAGGCTCCGAATACTGGTCTAAGCATAGGTCAGCATCGTAACTATTGCAGAGTATCGGTCTGCTATTGTGCTCGTCGCAGCGCCCGGGTCAGGTCCAACTGGAACACGAGGGCAACAGTGTTGTGGAGATGGCATATAGCAAGTAAGGATATGGAACGATTCCGGGATGAACTGTGATTAAGGACGGAGTTGTCAGCAGTGTCTTCGTATGTTGATACGTCGTGCCAGCAGGACACAAAGCTACTGCAACCAGAACATGGCAACGAGACATGCAAACACACCTCACTACTCTTAGCAGAGCTGCCATTGGCGGCGGGAGGGCTGGCAGTGCTGGCCATTGCGATTTGAGGTTTCTGTAACGTATAGGGAGGTTGTGTACGAAATTGGGATGTGTCACGCGAGCCGAGAACAAGGTCTTTGTGGTAGACTTGGGTTGAGAAATGGCCTGGTCGGGTCTGCTCCACAGGCACGTTGTCAGTTTTCAGGGAGAATCCGAGTGTGCAAAAGGGTTGTAGGTGGAAGCCGGTGGTTATGAAGAGGAAATAGAGCAGGGAGATGTTGGAGAAGGGGGACAACTCGATGATGCAACGATAAGTGGCCACAATTTTATTGACCTAAGGGGAAATAAATAGGGGAGATTGTCCGAGATCTGCAGGTGGACAAAAGGACACGGGGACGAGTAGTTGCTGCCTGCTACCCTGGCCGTCTCTTGCTGCTCAGCCGCCGCTTGCAGTCTGGACCGTGGCAGTGTGACGACGAATGGCTTCTGGCAAGATGCGTGCATAGAGGGTCACGCGGTACGGTCGAAGGGGGGGAGAAGAGGGGGGGGGGGCGTGGTGGTGAGGGCAGAGGTAGGAGAAGGATAAGGAGCACGTTATGGCATCAAAATAATGGCTTACCTCGATGGAACGCAGCACGACGGATGCGGACGGTCAAGCAGGATGCTGAAAGTGTTTGCGTCTTGTTTCTGTTTTTCCGACTTTTCTCTCGCGAGGGAGGAAGAGGGAAAAGATGTGGGGAGATTAGGGAAGGATCGAGGGAAAAAGTGTGGGAAGAAGGGGCACGCGAAAATAGGTGATGTCAGTGCTAAGCGTCGTCACCTGCAGTGCTGTGTTGTTTCCTTGTGTCTGGAGTCTCTAGGCTGAGGACTAGCCTGTACGAGCAGTCGTAGGCAGTCGTAGTGCCTTGAGTCAATGTGTGTTCGACTCGCTGTCCCGCCCCGGTGTGGTCCGTGTGTCCGTGCAGCGTCAGTGCTCCATTGCCTAGAAATAGATTGGCTGCAGGTGCGACCGACCCATACGTCGCTCGGAGACAAAGGTGGATACAGGCATATTGTCGGCACGGGGCTGCTCTGTCTTGCCGCCAGAGAGCGCTGCTGGGCGAGCAAAAGACCGACCGAGAATGCAAGCCTGCGGCTATACATTGTAGTTGCATAAACGAGCTCGTCCTGGGTCCTGTCGTCATAAGCTGCACAACCCTCTCTGTCTGGCATGTGATAATACTGCAAAGTCTGTTGTGAATACTAGTAGTAAATGTCTCATGTTCACAAATCTAAATCGGCTCATGGCTATCCAAACTATCCAAAACCGCTACTTCATACTGGCGCAGATACTCCACAGCTCCGCGCTTCTGTCAAGTATATAAATACTTTGTATATACGCCATTGCTATGCCTGCCATGCCAATCACAGTGGTATCTTCCAAACGCAAAATTGTGAAGCGAAAAATGTAGAGATGAAACGGGTCCTGTTCCACCAAGACACCGACTATTGGCGTCTCCAGCCAAAGAAGCCACCATATCCTGACGGTGCCGCGGTCGCAGTCGGTGCCGTCGCTGTTGTCGGGCTTTTGTTGCCGCTCTCGACCGGCGCGGTTGCGTGCCGACCGAGCATGTTCATGGCTGCCGCCGTGGCCGTGTTGGTAGCAGTAGAGGCCATAATTGATGAGCCCCGATTGCCCGCGTGCTGCAGCATGGCCGTCATGTCGGCTGGCGAAAGCCCCAGGGCCTTACGAAGGCTGTCGAACTTCTGTCTGCTCTCCTCGACTTCTTGCCGGGCAACTGCCTCTGCCGTCTTGGCTTGCACAAGCTCCAAGACGAGGGCGTCCGACTGCTGGTCTATGCTGCCACTGTTTGGCCTGATATTCGACGATCCATACACGGACTCGCCGCGAACCGTGAGCGACGAAGCCCGCTGGGCACCCCCGTTGCCGACGGGGAGTGATGGGACGTATGACGCCGATACCTGCGATGGCGTGGACTTGCTGCGGCTGAGCTTGAACTCACGCAGACCGCTACTGGAAATCCTACCGCTTAAGGTGGTTGGTCCTGTGGCTCGCCCGAACCACTCGCCCGCAGCATCAGCACCCCCACTGATTCTATCGCCGGCGCCTTTTTCATTCTGGGTGGCTCCGGCTCCAGCACCTGCTGAAGATGTGGAAGCAGCGCGTGTTCGCATGTCGTGTATCAACCGTTCTAGCCGCTGCTTGTCTTGGTGAAGGCTTCGTACGTGCGCGTGACTGTCTCGCAGCTGCTCTTTCGCCGTGGACACTTCTTGTTCCAGGTCATACTCTCGGCGGCTGTGCTCCCGGCCCTTTTCGACCTCGTGGGCGAGCTGCTCCTTTGCGCGAGCCAGCTCATCGCGCAACTGCGCTTTCGTCTGCTGGGCTGGCGCCTGGCAGTCCTCAGAATCCGAGGGAAATCGGGCATCCACTGGCTCCAGCAGAGCAGTAAGCTCTTCACATGATATGATGCAATTGAAGTCAGTAGGCAGTGCTGTGCGACGTGTTGACGCAGTCGGCTTTTCTGTGCCCTCCTGCTCATCGGATATATCGCCTTCTTCCTCTTCGCTGCTGCCGGGTGGAGGGCTCTGGGTTGTTGTTTTCTCGCGCAGAGTATGCAGTAGCGCCCGCACCGCCTTCCGGTCTTCATCGCGATCCTCTCGGTCGTTCTGCAGCCGGTCCACCAGCACGGCATGCTGGCGCTGCAGGTCGCTGAGAGCAGTGAGGAGGTCCTCAATCTGGCTGTTGAGATACCGCTCATTGTCGGGTGGTTTGCTGAGGATGCTGCTGACAATTCTCGCACCATTTGACGTGTTCGCTTTCGTCGAGTTAGCCGAGTCGCGCGACATCGACGTCGCCTCGGTGGAGGCGGTGCTTAGGACAGAGGATGACGATGAGGCGGTGGAGGAGGTAGACGATGTCGCGGCAGACGTGGAGGCTGCCTCCATAGAATTAACAGTGGAGGCAAGGCTTTGCTTGGAGGTACTCCTCCGCAACATGCTAAGAGGGCGCAGCGGCGCCGCACTTAAGCTGAGGCCGTTGGAGGCGGAGGGAGACGCCGAACTGGACGGGTCGGATGTGTTGGGCGACGATGCACCTGAGGAACGGAAGGATGAAGGGAAGGTGGCAGATGTAGCGGTCGGGGGGGAAGATAGAGAAAATGAGGACGAGGATGACACCCAGAGGCGACCAAGGAAACGAGAGGCTGCAGTCGCAATGGCAGACGTGCGATCCACATTGGCGTTGCCGGTTTGATTAGTATTGGTGACCTGTGCTTTGCGGTAGGCCTGTTCAAGCAAAGCCAACCGGTCTCGGGTGACAACGCTAGACAAGCCTAGAAAATGCTGCACGAATTCGTCGGCGTTGTAGTGGTAGCAATCCCAGAGACCGCGCGAGAGCAAGAGCTGGATCGCATCCTCAAGCTCGGCACAGGCCAGCAGGCGCTCCTCGTTCTTCTGCATGATGGATAGCGCTACACGCATAATCGTCTCCGCCGCGCCCTCAGCAAAGACCACGTCGAACATGCGAAACAGCATGGGCAGGGGGCATGTCACAGCAAAAAAAGATAAGAACCACTGTGAAACGTAACCGGCTGGGTCCACCTGCAACTCGTCCAGATGGGCCGACAATTCTGGCAGAACTGCGCGCAACAGCTCTCGAAATTGGTAGATGCGGACGTGTAGGCCGGCGAGGTCGGGCGTGTAGGAGCTCCGAAGATCGTAATTTTCCATCAGTCTGTAGCAGAAAATTAAGTGTAAGAAATTGGGAAGACGCCAAAAAACAGCGCCATACTTCTTTCAAATGGCGGCCACGGAAAGTCGAGCTAGATGAAGCACTCACTTTACGAGAACGCAAAACGCTTCCTTGTCGGGCATGTGCATGAGCAGCGGCCCGACAAGGAATGCCAGGCCCTGGCAGTACCCGATGCGTCGGTCGTGCAGGCTGTAGCTCTTAAGCACACGTCCCAGCATGCGCTGGCCGTCGCCGTCTGGGTCACGGAACATCTCGACGCCAGGAAAGCTGCGCCCAAGGTCCTTGCCGATGAGGCCCTCGTAGGGGCTCGTGGCGACGCAAAAGCGATCAAACCGGCTGCCAAGCTCTTCGTCACGAGCATCTGTCATACCCTGCCACACGACACCACGCAGCGGGGGCGGAATGCCCTTGCGGATCTTGTTGGCTAGAAGCGTGGGCAGCCGGGCGGCGGTCTGGTGGTAGTCCTGGACTAGGGCCGCATAGAACTCTAGGTCTGTCAGGGGAGGCGGCGGCAGCATGGAGTACCGGAGGGCAGGCGGCGTCGGCCCGTTGATCATATCACGGAGCTGAGCCATGGAGGGAGGCCGGGGACGACGAGGTGTCTGCTGCTGCTGTGGCTCGGGCCCGTACACCTTGACGCTTTTCGGGTTCGTTGCAAGCTTTGCGTTTTCTTGCTCGAGGCGGGCAAGCAGCATTGCAGTCTATGCGGTGTCAGCGGTCAGCATTTGGCACGGATAAACGAAAAGGCGAGAACCCCCCTCCCCAAAAAGAAAGCACATACATTCTCGGTGCCTTTACCACTGCACTCCTCGTCTTCAGTCCGCTGCAGCTGCTCCCAGTTAACATCGGGATCGACGCTGTCATCAGACTCGTCAGCTTCGCACAACGTGGGCATTGCCGTCCTGATGCTCGGTGTGGCGGCCGGAGTGCTCGGCTCATCGTCGCTCTGCTCGGCGGCACTTGTGTCGATTGTCAACACAGGCGGCTCGGACAGGCGGACAGTGACGAGAGAATCGTGTTCGTCTAGACGTCTCATGTCCTCTTCATCGGCGGCTGTGGCTGCAGTATTGTCCACGAGAACGGTATCAGGGTCGCTGTCTGCATCTACTGCAACCTGAGATTCTCCGGAAATAAGAGACTCATCTGCGCCATCTAGCTCTGTTGGGGTGCCATCTTGCGCGTCTGAGACATCTAGCACAGAAGTGTCTTCGGGAAGAGACTCTGGCTCCAAAGCCGGCATTTCTGCCACCGTAGGCGAGGTCGGCTCATGCTCTGTTACTGATATACGCTGGGGCTTGCCGTTCCCGTCGGACTCCATCGTGGAGATTCTGAAGTGAGTCGCTTAGGATTCACTCGGTCGAATGAACGAATAAAAATGAGAACAAGATTCTCCGGAAAAGATCTGTCGTCGGTGTATGGCGTATTCTTCTGCTCACACACTCACAGTCATCCCTAACCCTTTGCCCCTCAAATGCCGATTCCAGCAGAAGCAAAGCACATCGAGGACCAAAGGGAGAGAGGCTGCTGTCGTATCGGTGCTTGAGATGTCGGTGAAGCGGATGCTGCCAAATGTCGGTCTTAGGAACGGAACAAAGACAGCGAGGTATTCCCGAGTTCGCACACAAACAGAGGACGGGAAAAAGTGCCTCTGTATGTGGGTATAATGAGGACGATCACGGCTCTGGTGTCAGATATGATTTGGCTGTCTCTTCCTCCTTGGATACTGTACCCCAAAAAGGACCAAAAAATATAAAATATAAATATAAATTACGCAGGTAGATTCCCGGAGAACGGTCCGAAGGAAAGAATACCTGGTGGAAACTCTGGAGAAGAATCACTCGGACAGGGATGGGAAAAGATTGCAGGTTAGCTTGAACGAAGACTCAAGCGGAAAGGTGAGGAAATGAAAGTGTAGAGAAGGTTGTGATGCTTGTCTCCCCTGACTTGGCCAATGGGTACCACGGGCCATGCCAGGACGGGTAATCGTCTCATTAAACGTTGAAGGGACCAGAACAGCACGTTGCAACGGCTAGCGCAGGAGAGGTGTCTAGTTGACTGAACCCCTGGATGTGTTGCCAGACACAGCCTAGCGTTTCCACTTCTCGATCGCTAGAGGCCACTTGGGGGCTGGAGCATGAAGGCCAAATTTATGAGCGCACAGTGAGAACATGCACGTCGTACTATAGAAGCAAAAAGCGGGTGGCGGTGGACGAGTTTAGCCTTGAACTTGACAACAGGACGGGAAGAGAACAAGCAGTTGCGAGGTATGCCAAATTGGCAGGAGATGCGACCTCTTACATGGTTTGTCACAAGGGTGAGAGCCACCCATCGCACCTGCTCTGTTTTTCCGTATGGGGTTGATAATACCGTCTCCCTTCATAAAGAAAGTACAGAGTACTCGTATGTACTCGTACTCGCAGGCGCGTCTCTGCCAGTGACACGCGACCGGCGAAAAGTGGATATGATCCCCACTAGTAATAGAGAATGATTCTTATGCCGCTCTTTTGAAAACCCGCTCTTTCAGATTCTAGTCGTAATCAGCATCTCCCAACCTCTCGACCTTCTTCACTCAATCCGCGTATCAAATTATACACCAACTTACAATGTATGGCTGAAGCTATCTCCAAGTAACCCACGCTCCGGTTTTTGTCGCGTTGCCGATAACCTGAACCATGATCTCCTGCCTCTTTGCCGCAAATAACCCTGCCATCGCTATCTTTGGAGAGATCCACCGAAACAAAATGTAAAGGCTGCTCAAGGGCTCCTTGCAAGAACGATAAATGAAAACCCCGCTCCTGGGGGGAAGAGATCCAAAAACGAAGAAGGTTTACGCTAAATCTAAATGGCTGTTCAAGCCATGGGGATGCCTTGTGGAGGACCGGGTGGGCCGGCCATCATACCCATCTGTGGTGTCCGATGAGGTTGTGACACAGGGCTGGCCTGATGTACGCCTTGAGACATAGCGCGGTTGTTGAAGGCGGCCATCGCGGCAGGGTTCGGTCCTGGTACTCCAGCCCCTCCGGGGGCTCCGTGTGCGCCACTCGACTGGGGGCCAAACGCCGGTTCCTTAGTGTAATCTACACCCGGGTAGAAGCTTTGCAGCTTGGCGTACAGCTCCTTGATGTAGCGCAGCCGGTCCTCGCGGTCGCTGTTGATATCCACGTCGGTCATGCCGATGGCATCCGGTGCCGAGGACGGCTGCGGCCGCAGCCTGAAGCCCAGGCTCAGAGCGGGTGCCATCAGGAAGCCGGGGCCCTTTGCAGCGTTCGCCGTCACTTTGCGGTCGGCCAGGCTCGCCAGATAGGACAAGTTTGACTGGATCCGTTTCATGCACCTATCTCTGTTAGCGGTGATTGAAATTTGGCTGTGTGAAAGCCGGTGGAGAAACTGATATGAGAAATCCAGATGCAGAGCGATAAAACTTACTGGATGTAGTCTGCGCGCACCAGCTTTTCTTCCTCGGACCCTGGCTCGGAAGACTCTGTGACTGAGGGCTCGTCTACACCAGCCTCTGCTGTGTGCTCTTTTTTCAGAGCGATCTGTGTGTTTCGTAGCTGCACAGACTCGTACAGCAGCTCTTGGTTGATGCTCAGCAAGACAGTGAACAACTCCTTTTCCCGGCTCTCTGTACCGGGGCTCAGAGGCGCTCCCATCCCAACAGCCTGCCCGTGGGCTCCGACACCGTTGGAAATCAGCCCGCCGACGCCATGACCTGACCCGTTAGGAAAGTTGCCGGCCTGTGGGGTAGATAGCCCGATCGGCGTGCCTGGCATGTTGTTGAGGTGGTGCTGTCCTGGTGTATTGGGAGTTACATTCTGAGGCATCCCTTGGAGGACTTGAGGACTGCCACCGTACGGAGATGGCTGCTGTTGAGGCTGCTGCTGCATAAGGTGCATTTGCTGTGGTGTTTGATGTAGGTGTTGGAGCTGCTGCTGGTTGTGTGGGATGTGCTGCTGCTGTTGTGGCGGTGGCTGTTGGTGAAATTGCTGGTGTTGTTGCTGGTGTTGTTGCTGGTGTTGTTGCTGGTGTTGTTGTTGCTGGTGTTGCTGAAGTAGCTGCTGCTGATGCTGCTGTTGCTGTTGCTGTTGCTGCTGCTGCTGGAGCTGGTGCTGATGTTGTTGCTGCTGATGCTGTTGAAGTTGGTGCTGCTGATGCTGCTGTTGCTGGTGCTGCTGCTGTAGTTGGATCTGCTGCTGGATCTGCTGCTGTTGGGACAGGTGCATTCCGGCCATGGGACCACCAGGGCCTTGTTGCATGGGATTAAACTGTCGCTGATGTGGCGGTAATACCATGCCGCCAGGACCTTGCTGAGGTGGAGGCATTCGTTGCTGTTGTTGCTGCTGCGCCTGCTGTTGCATCATGGCCTGCTGCTGAGAGATGGCGTTTGGGTTCATGGGAAAGCCTTGCATTGGTCCGCCAGCCATCATGTTGAAGTTTGGCGGCATCTGTTGCCCCGCACTGGTTGGGATGCCAGCTCCGTACGGTGAGCCGGAGTATGGCGTCTGGTAGGCCACTGTGGATTGAAGAAAGTCAGCCTTGTCGCACGGTAAAGAGAAGTCGAGGATTGACCATCGAGGGGGGCCAATGGGTCACAGCCACATAGGGCCTGTAGGACAGTGTAGGGCAATATAAAAGAACGGGGAAGTGCAGGGACGCGTTGCGCATATCAATTGCAGACTTTTTGAGTTCGCGTAGTGGTTTGAACGTCTTTCGAATGCGACGCGAAGTGGGTTTGTTGGAAAAGATAGCCAATTGCGCCTTGCCAAGATGCGCTTTCGGACAATAACACAAGACAGATCAGGGGCAGCGCAAAGGAATGTGGACGACACCCGAAAAAAGAACGGGACAGGAAAGAGAAGAAACAAGGCAGCGATAAGGATGGGAAAGTAGAGACGGCGGAAACAAAGACAGTGTCTTGGAAAATAATTAGATGAACTCACTTTGCCCGTTAGCAGCCATATGGGGCATAGCGGGATTTTGCATTATGCCTGCAGGCCCAGGGTTGGCCATCATGTTCGGGCCGCCAGCAACGGCGCCATAGGGGCCTGGTCCAGCAGCCATAGAAAATGGCGGACCATACATTATCTGCTGTCCAGGCATAGAGCCAGGCGGCATGTGGGAAACAGGCTGCTGCATCTGCTGCTGTTGGAGCGGTTGTTGTTGTGGAGGCTGCTGCATCTGCTGCTGAGGGGAAGGCGTGTTGAAGGCTTGGCCGGCCGCATTGCCGAAGCCGTACTGGGTGGAGTACATGGCTGCTTAGAGTGGACGGACTGGGGAGACGGTTTCCAAGGTGCGAGGCTGTCTCGTTCAAAAGGCAGAGCACCGGAGGACGGGAGAGGGGCCGATCTGCGGCAGGAAAGTATGAGACCTGCCTTGCTCCCACCAGGACGATCGCTTCACTTCGCTCTCACACGCACGCACGCACGCACACACCACACACACACTCCCGCGCTGGCCACGTTGGTCTTTGCTCGTGGTGTGCGTCCTGCAGATGCGGGGCCAGGGCGAGGAGGGAGGGCGCTCCAAATGAAAACAAGGTTGGATGGCGAGCCAGAAGGGAAATACTGGGGTGTGTTACCAGGGGGGGTGTACGATAATGGGGACTTGGTATAGTGAGAGCTTTAAGTGTGTGGGAGAGAGCTGCAAACGGATATCGTGGGGTTAGTGAGAAGCGTGTATGATTTTGGCCGGTCTGATCCGTTGATAGGGTGGCGAGCAGGTGGGATATTAGGCTGCGGTATAACGAGGCGAGGAGACGGTAGATGGTTCTGGCCAACACGGCACGAGAAGGAGACGAGGGGCGTTCACCGGCTGCGGACGAGTACTCGTAACGAAGAGAAGAAAGAGTAGACACAGGCTAGCTAGAGGGTGAGTGGGGGTGAACGAAGAGGAGGACGGATGGAGAGAAGCGGACTGCCGGGGTGGTCCGCTGCTGGGGCCGTCAAGCCTGGGACGGAGATTAAATGAAAGGCGTTGTATTGCAGCAAGAGACCGGCAAAGAAGACAGTTGGACAGACGATCTGTTGGCTGGACAGACGACGAGAGGGGGGGGCCTTAAGAGTGGCTGTTCTTAGGGGGCGGGAAGAGGCCGAGGGAAGGCTGGCTGACAGCAGCCACGAGGGCGAACAGGAGGAGAAAAAGCGGGAGAAAAGGGAGAGACAGAAAAAGGACACCGAGAAGCGACAAGAGCGGAAGGGAAAAGCAAAAAAAAGAAGCGAGGCAAGGGCCGGCGCGAAACCCCTGGATCGGTAAAGTAGCAAAGACGCGACAAATGGAAGAAGAGCTGATCAGTAATGGCGTGTACGACGTAGACGAGAGAGGACAAGAGGTCTAGATCCTAGTCGTAAACAGCTGCCAAGCCTGGCCAGGGTGGTGGTGGTGGGAGCGGTCTCGTTTCCTGCGTGGTGGTCGAGAGTGCGTGCGGAAAAAAATAAAAGGGTGTTTTGCTCGCTCATTCTCTGTCGCATTTGGCCAGTCTGCCATGCTGGCCTCTGTTGGTTTTTTTTCCTTTCCCCTCCTGTCTTTCTGCTTGGGCCTTTCTGTCGCCCCCTATTTTTTGCTGGCCTGCCTTTAGTACAATAGCGAATGAGAAGCGAGAGGCTGGGTCCCTCAATTGTTGCCCCACTTGGTGGAGACGTGGTAAGTCCCGCTTGGTGGGGCACGACTGGCAGAGGAAGGATGATCCAGGCTTTGCGAGAGACGACGTCTGCCATGTACGAGTACGGACTGCATACGACATATTAGGTACGAAGTACGGAGTACACGGAAGAATGCATGTTTAACGGAGTGTTTTTCCCCTTGAAATGGAAGGAATTTGGCCAGGATCTGGAAGAATGCAATCAATGTGGGTGGGGTGTCGCTTGCTTCAGCACGTGCGAACATCACGTGACTGTATGAGATTTGGCTTGTACAAAGGTCACGTGTAGCGCACGTCGCTACTTCCCATTACAAGGTGAGATACTCAGAGTAAAAGTACGTATCGCCATCTCTATTTGCCCGGAGGCAGCAGAACGACTGTGCATTGACGTGAGGCGCGAGGTGCGTGGCCACCAGACGAGACTAAGACGGAAAAGCGGCTACTAGAAGGAAAAAAAACAGCGCCGCCCGTTATCGGCAGCTCGATACGGAGGAGTCATCGACGGGTTTATATCTCGCCAGCGCCAGAAGCCATTGGCAGTGACCAGACCGGACCAGACAACGTCCCGTGGGATTTCTGTTGCAAGACCAGCTGCCCGTCATGCCGTTCGACCTGCAGACATGTGCACGGCCGAACATCCTGGCGCTTGAGCCGTACCGGTGTGCGCGAGAGTGAGTGCCCGGGTCCCGTCTCCTCGTCTCCTCGTCTTGCAGCGTATTGGGCCTTGTATTCTGACCGCGCAGCGACTACAAGGACGATGGGACGAACGTGCTGCTGGACGCCAACGAGAACGCCTACGGGCCGCCGCTGACGGCAGTGAGCGACAGCGGGCTGGCGGCATCGGCGGCATCGGCAGGCATCGACCTGCTGGGACTGCACCGGTATCCCGACCCGCACCAAGAGGAGCTGAAGGAGCAGCTGTGCCGGCTGCGCAACACGCACGCGCACACGGCGCGGACGCTGACGGCGGCGAACTTGTTTGTCGGCGTGGGCAGCGACGAGGCCATCGACGCGCTGCTGCGCTGCTTCTGCGTGCCGGGCCGCGACCGCATTCTGGTGTGTCCGCCGACGTATGGCATGTACGCGGTGTCGGCGCAGGTGAATGACGTAGGCCTGGTGCGCGTGCCGCTGACGGCGGCGCCGGCCTTTGACGTCGACGTGCCGGCAGTGACGGCCGCGCTGACGGCAGCCGTGGCCGCGACCGACTACGATGTCAAGATTGTGTATCTCTGCTCGCCCGGCAACCCGACGGGCGGCCGGCTGGCCAAGACCGACATCGAGGCCGTGCTGCGCCACCCGACGTGGAATGGCATCGTGGTGGTCGACGAGGCGTATGTCGACTTTGTGGCCGACGAGCGGACGGCCAGCCTGGCCGAGTGGGTGTGCGACTGGCCCAACCTCGTCGTGCTGCAGACGCTCTCCAAGGCGTTCGGTATGGCCGGCATCCGTCTCGGCGCTGCCTTTGCTGATCCTGCCGTCGCCCGTCTACTCAACAGCCTCAAGGCGCCCTACAACGTGGCTAGCCCGACCAGCGCGCTCGCCCGCACCGTCCTCGCACCCGCCGGTCTCGCTGTCATGCGCGCCAACCGCGCCCGCCTTGTCGCCCAGCGCACCCGCCTCCTCGATGCCCTCCCGCGCATCCCCGGTGTCGGTCGTCTGCGCGGCGGCACCGACAGCAACTTTTTGCTGTACGAGATCCTCGACCCCGCTGGCCGCCCCGACAACGCCACCGCCCTAGCCGTGTACGAGATGCTGGCTGAGCAGCGCGGCGTCGTCGTACGCTTCCGCGGCAAGGAACACGACTGTCTCGGCTGTCTGCGCATCACCGTCGGCACCGAGGCTGAGGTGACCAAGCTGCTGGCCGCCCTGGAGCAGTCGCTCGTCGAGGTGCGCGGAAAGGCAGTGTAGTGATGAGTCAGCATTCGAAATGGCAAACAGAAGTGGCAAAATGGCAAATGGCAAATGGCAAATCGAATCCGTACTCCATACATCCGTTCCCTCAGTAGGCCGTCGTCTCTTCTGCGTCAAAGAAGACCACGTTCGCATCCACCGTCCGTCCGCCTCTCGGGCCGACAAGATCCAGAAGAAGGCCCAAAGTCGCGTGTTAGCACGGCCATGCTAGTCTGCCTTGCTAGAGGGGATTTGTCATCTCGGAAAGTGAGTTGGAAAACGCTTTTTTCGGCAATAGGCAGGAGCGACCTCGTTTGTTACTCTCGGTGCATGTGCTATATCATGTGCCTGTACATTTGCATGTAGAATAGTATATCCAGCTCCTAAAACACCCGACGCCTTTCTAAGTCACATACAATCACACCAACAGCCAGGCCGAGACGCTGAATACAAGCCCGAGTCCCAACCAACGGACGCCCATCTCGCGGGCACCAGCAGATGTCATCGCCACTCTGACAGCTAAAGCGGGCTTCATCGGTGACGTCACCGGTGAAGACGCTGAGATTGCCCTGCTAGCCACCTTGACAGCCGTGTCTTGCGCCTCGGGAAGCGCCAGCAGCGCCTGCACGGTCTCGAGCGCACTCATCTGCTGGCCCAGGCCAACACTTCCATCGAAGCCGCCGACATACCACTTCTGGCCGCAGGTAGCACCAGCCGGCGTGGGCACGCCGTCACCGGTGCCCGAGCAGGCCTTGGCCGCTGCGGCTGCCGATGCGCGCAGGTACGTACGCACAGCTGGGGCCAGGACCGGCACCAGCGCGGCCGAGGCCGACATGAAGCGCGACAGGTAGCCCTTGAACGACTTCATGTCTGTGTCGCACGTGTTGACGCCCTCGCACGCATGCTCCCAAAGGACGTCGGTGACGTTGCCGCTCGGCCCGCCATTAAAAAACGACGCCTGCGTGGCCGCCATCAGGCCGGCCGTCCGCGAGGACCAGAGCTGGTGGTCGGCCTCGCTCGTGCCCGCCGTCAGCGACCCCGTCAGGTTGGCCATGGCCGCGGCTCCCTGCAGGTAGATGCCGGCTGCGTACGAGAAGCTGAGCATGTTCACCTTGGAGCAGTTGTCGTTGGCGTCCACGCCGTCCCAGACGTTGTAGTACTCGTCAACGAGCCCGATGGCTGTCGACCAGTCCCAGATCCGCGCCGCCCAGTCGACGTACGTCTGGTTGCCTGTCAGAGCCGCCAGCCGCGCTGACAGATGGAAGACCCCGCCGTTGCTGACCGAGTTGCGATAGTGTAGCCCGTTGGAGTTGCTCGCAAAGATCTGCCAGTTGAACCCGCCGCCGCACTGTGTCGTGTTCCACCGCGCCACCATGCTGCTCCAGATGTTGACGCCCAAGTCCAGCCAGCTCGGCATGCCGGCCGGCGTCAGTCCTGCCGGTTGCGGAAAGTTGCGCTCGGCTGCCGCCAATACAGCAAAGCCCCAGAATGCCTGATCATCGTTGCCCTCGTCGCCGTAGTGCTTCGGCAGCATGAAGTCGTAGTTTGGACCCACCTGCGCCATCAGAGCCGTGGCGATCATGTCGTCGTACGTGCTGTCGTTGGTGTAGTGCGAGTAGTCCAGCATGGCTCCGAACATCGCTCCACTTTCCCACCAGTAGTAGGGCGTTGGCAGGTCCTGGAACGTCTGCGAGAGAGCGCGGTCTCTTGTCAGCGGGCACAGATACGTCGTGGAAGTTTGGAAGCAGTCGTCCAACTCACCTCGGCCGTGCCGTTATAGTACGACATGACACCAGAGGCCAGCGTCTTGGAGACATCCAGGATGGAAGCTAAGCATAGGGAGGTACCAAGTCAGCAAGATGAAGCAGCAGACGAAAAGGGAACCACGCCCACAGGCTCGTGGAAGTGTGCTCACTAGTATCGCTCACGTCGAGCGTATCGGGGACTGTCAGTGAGGCCGCGGCCACTCCAGCGAACAAGAGTGTAGACAGCATAGTGGAAAGACAACAGGAAGACAGATGTGATGTAGTAAGATAGAAAACAAGACGTGTGAGCGTAAGATTGGCCGGCCAGGTCAGACAAACACAAGGACAGGCCAACACAATATATAGATGAAGATTCGGGCCTTGAGTAAGAGAAAATGGAATGTGTAATGGAACGGGAGGCCAGCTCAAGCAACTCGAAAATAATCCGGAAAGGATGCACTGGGCAGAGAACAAGTACGATAAAGAGAATGAGGGGATCAAGCTCGCAAACGATTGACAGCAAAGCCTCGAGCCTAAAGAAGACAAACGACAAAAGAAGAAAGATCAGACACCGGAAGAGCTCACGTCAACGGGCCAAAGCTGGCCAAAAGGGCTGGAGCGGACGGGGGTTAGTACTTGTACTCCCCGATAGGAGAAAGAAGGCATTTATTGGGCTGTGCAGACACGCAATGGGGCAGCAAGGCAGGATCGCCCCAGATCCTACGCTGGTTGGCCGTTTTGCCTTCTTCTTCTGACTGCCTCTTTCCTCTTCCGTCCTACGGAGTATTACTCCACAGACGTTTCGTTTCATCTGCCAGCAAAACTGGCCGGTTGGGCCAATCATCGCCCACTGCCGTTTAGCGGTTACGGCCTTAGCTCCAGGCACCGTCCAGGGGACACTGTCCTCCTGGTCTCGGCCTTTCTTAATTCTCGGCCCCCGTTCATGTGGTTTTGTGTTCTTTCATTGTAATTGGCACGTCCCACCGCAACCACCGACTCCTTTGTCTCTCGCATCTGTTCTTCTTGGGTCTGTCGCCAGATGTGGCACGCCTGGACCAGTCGAGCCTGGCGCTCGTATCCGAGTGAGGCGCGCGCTTCACAGACTTCAACCGTGGGATCCAATCATTTCTATAAACAGACGTGACTAGGGTTTGCTTTCAATGCCATTTCTTTCCTTCTTCCCCGACGTCTAGGCCGAAATTAGCGGATGCGCCCGTCTGTTTCACCTGGCTCATGGCTTATGGCTGGGACATATTGAAAAAAGCAAAGAAAAAGGAGCGCATGTCGATCGTTTCTTTGTTCGCCAAACGTTGCCAAGAGAGCCCTAACACCGCCCACGGCTTGACTTCATTGAGCTCTCACAGGAGAAACGTTGCCTCCAGCTTCGCTTTTTCAAACTGTGGCACCAGCCTTGGTGTCCACAAGACACAACGAGGAATCAAGGCTGATGCCGATTGCACCTTGCCAGGTATATTACTATCATTGACATGTCTGGGGGCTCTTGGAAGAGCAGAGCGCTCTGCTCAGAGGACAGCAAGACAGATGGCTAGCACAACGACTGTTGCCCATGGCACGACATGCAGCAGCGACGACGCCGATGTCGTCGCCAACGACCCAGGTGGATCTGAAAGCGTCAGCACGCCCCAGCGCACGTTGGGTGCCGTCAGCGTGCTACACCATTCGGTCTCGAATGCGCTGGCTCGGCCAAGTCCAGGGCCGCAGGACGAGTAGACCGTGCAAGCGGCTGCCGTCGTGTTGTCGAGCTGACAGTCGATGGCGACAGTTCTGGCGAGTCAGAGGAGAGAGAGAGATGAAAGACAGAAGTAATGTTTGCTTGTGTACTCACAGCGACCCCGACAACGACTCTGCGTAGTGTAGACTGGACGGCCCCTCTGTGACGACAAAGGGAAGGATATTGTCCAGCTGGCAAGACAGCGTCGACTGGTCGTCGCAGAAGATGGTCACCGTCGTTTCGGCCGCGCTGCCGGTGGCCGATCCTATGATGCTGCCGCGCAGCAGCGACCACTGGTCCGGCTCGAAGCCCGGCACGAAGACAGGCAGGGTCGAAACTGCAGCCTCAGCCGTAGCTGTAGCTGAAGCTGTGGCCATGGTCCGCGGCATTACAGCCGCAGCCGGTGCCAGAGTAGAAACCGCACGCGCCGTCATTGCGAGACGCGATGCCAATCGCAGTCCACTCGTCAGTCTGCACACAAACGTTTGATTGTCAAGATGAAGCGGAGATAGGATGTCAAAAAAAAGGGGGGCAGGCGCCAAGACTGATATGGAGGATAGAGGGGCTGTCTAGGTGTCTTGGAGCACAGGCTCGGGTGAACTATACGACTACGGCGAAGCTGTCACCAAAACAAGAAGTAGTCCGTCCGGCCCAGGTAGAAGGGCCGATGTTATTGCCAAAATCGCTAAAATGCTGCATTGCGGATGGAAATCAAAACCAAAAACCGAAAACCAGATTGCTATGCGGAGATAAACCAAAGACAAAGGGTCAGATGCAAGACAGGGAGCGCACAAGAGAGGTCAGATGTGGCAAGCTCGGTTCCACGGGTGATTACATGCCGGATCGGCGCTCCTCGCGGCCGTCGAGCCAGCTGGTGCAGTTGACACAGCGGAGCGCCTGGACTGGTCAGCAGGCGAAGGAGACGAACGAGGAGAAGAGGACGGAGGAGGAAGGAGTCTCACCTTTTCGCTGATGCGCTTGCGGCAGTATTTGCACTTGACCGTGTGCTTGATGATGGGATCGTGGGAGAAGTACTGGTACAGGCCGGCAAGGGCGTAGAGCGAGATGCCGACGCCCAAGAAGTTGATGGCGCGGTTAAGAAAGACACTGTGCTGTGAGCGGGGATGGCAAAGCAGGAGACAGACAGACGGAGAGAGGCTCACCCATAGGCCATGACGACGGCGCCGTCATCCTGGGCAATCTGCAATGTGTTGTAGCCGTTCTCGGCTGCGTAGCTGGGCCCCGGCTGCAGCACGGCAAACTTCTCGTCCAGATTCTTGTTAAGCGGCAAGAGGACCGACAGCGGCGGCAGCAGGATATCGCTGACAAACGAGTTGACAATGGCCGTGAAGGACGCCGCGATGATCAGGCCAAAGGCGATCTCCAGGATATTGCCCTGCAACGCAAAGTCCATGAAGCCCCCCCAGACCCGCTTGACCGCTCGCTCACCCAGCTCCATGACAGTGTCGTCCTGCTCCAGATCCCGCTCGTCCAGGAACGGGTTGGACGCGGTCGGGTCGTCGCGGAACGGCAGCAGCGACGGCGCAATACCTGTCCGCGGGACCACCGGCCCCACCATGTCCATGTCAGCCGACGTCATCCTGATCGGTTTGCAGAGTGGGGACAGAGCGTGCGAGGAGAATCTGGGGGACAATGGCACGGACGAGGAGAGAAGAGGGAGGAAAACGAGACGAGAGGACGGAGGATGGGCGAACCGATATAAGAACATGTCCTGGCCTCTCCTCCCCACCGTCCTCGCCCCTCTCCCAACCTGACACCGCTGCTGATCGACCCCTGCCGTTGCGCTCGGGGCCTGCCTAGATAAGGTTTCGTACGATGCACCCACCTGGAGTGGTTGGCAAACACATCTGAACTTGAAGCTATTCCCATGACAGCTTTAGCGCCTATCAGGATTAGCGTGATCGCTTATCTATGTGGGACATTTCACGTGATGATCTGTTACAAACAAGTTTGGAGCAGCACAGGTGAGGTGAGGCCTGCCAAGAATGGTGGTAAGGCTCAATGACACACGGAGAGCAGTGTTGGCACGTCCATTCAGAAAGCAAGGGCAGAATTTGGGCTGTGATCCAAGAGTTCAGTGCCCAAAAGTGGACAGAGGTACGGAGAACAGAGCACAGTAAGTGTATTAACGATACGCTTGCAGGAAGCGCTAATCCATATTCATAGTAGTGGCCGCTATTTGCAGACTTGCAGCTTTGACGATTTCCACCGCAATTTTATGCTCGCCCGAGCGACTGCATACAGTCACGCAACATATGAGCGCTCTTCTCGCCTTCCACCAATACGTCTTTCATTGCAGCCGTCAAAGAGAATTAGAAAACGATCAGCGAGACCAATACGGACAAACAAGCTCTGGTCAGAAACAGAAAGCCAGCCGCTATCACACCATCCCATCCAATCCACTATCCCTCGTCCCTTAGGGCTTCGGCTCGGCTTCAGCGGCCGCGTCTGCCTTGTTTTTGGCGGCGGCTGCGGCGGCTGCAGCCCGTGCATCTTGGTGCAGCCGGTATGCCCAGTAGACAGCAGCGAGGCCGTTGAAGACAAATGCAGCCCAGGTAAGGTTGCAGAACGCGGTGCCCCGGACGGCTTCCATGCCGATCGTATCCTTGCCCAGCCGGTTGATGGAGTCGACGGTGGACCCAGCGGCGACGACGGCGACGACGGCAGCGATCAGCAGCGCCATGGCTGCGCCCGACGTGGTACCCAGGCCGGCCAGCAGGGTCTCGCGCGGGTGCGAGGCGAGCGTGACGAGGGCAATAGCCGACGTCAGCAGGCCGAGACCGGCGGCACCGACGCCGACAATATAGAAGACGGCAATGGCCATGCCGATGGTGGGGATGCGGTTGAGAGCGCCGGCCAGGCTTCGTGAGGCGCCCAGTGCCAGCAGGCCGCTGTCGCCGGTGAAGCCGGCCTGCAGCTCACCGTCGATGATGCCTGAGAGGTTCAGCTGCGGGATGGCAATCTGCGACGTGCAGTTGGTCACGTTGCGCCAGTTGTTGGGCGCTGTCACGTTGGGCGAGAAGCTGCCCTCGCACGAGTTCATCACGTGTAGCGTATAGAACTCGCTGATGCCCAGCAGCACCGTCATCCGGTTGGCCGCCTCGGCATACGTCAGCCCGGCGATCTCGTTCTCGGCCGCCGCCAGCGTCATCTCCCGTGCTCGTAGTCGGTCCGCTGCTGTCCCGTTGACGACGTCGTAGTCGTAGTCGCTGTCGCTGCTGTTGTGGCCGTGTCCCGGGTCGCGCTTCTCGCGTAGCGCTCGTGATGCCCCGGCCGTGGCGAGATACAGCTGTGGGACGTAGTTGCGGCCGAGCACCGACGTGTTCAGCTGCAGCAGAAGACGGTCAACATCTGGCAGTGCCAAAAACGGCGGGTTCTCACGTACCATAATGACCTGGTAGTCTTCCATGAAGCCGGGCGTGTTGCCTGCGAAGAGACCTAAAGTAGTGATGATAAATCCAATGATGGACAAACCTACGGGGATGAGAGAATTGAACCACATCGCCACGCGCAAGAGGGAGCCTCCCTCTCTGGTTCGACAAGAAGAAGGCAAGGCAGGGAGTGTATTGTCAGCAGCACGTCAAAGTACAGTGGGAGCCTTCTTATCTGTAAGAGTTCTTTCTGTTGACAGTTTGTTAGTATGCCGGCCACGATCTAGTATAGATGCAAGCTAGTCGGAAAGGAGAAGAGGAAGAGTTATCAAGCGAGTCTGCTTAGAAAAGCCTATCCAGGAAGGTCAAGCCTAGAGGTCAAAATGTTTCAAGAATGAGGTAAAAATATCGATATGGGAATCAAGCAGAACAGCCAAATTATGATTAGAGTTTAGAGTAAAGCTAAACAGTTGCAGAAGTCAAGGTCGACTTCACCAAAGAAAGGGGCAAGGTCGTATTTATGAATGGCCAAACAGTCTTTACACACCAGGAAACCCGTCACAGCGTAAATAATAGAACGAATGTTCCCGGATGGCAGGGCAATGACTACGCTGAGCTGACTGGAATGTGCTGCCGCATTCCAAGAGGAGCGCTCGATGCTTGCTGGCCCCCTCATTGTCTCGTCCTTTTCAGCTTTCTCGGACATTACAGATGCAGAGAAGGAGTGCCTTTGTATTAGACCTAGCCTGTGCGGGCTCCAGCATCCATCGCTGGCCAGGACCTGGGGCGAGTCAACGAGGCTGCGGATCCGCGTCGCCTTGAGCTACGATCACGTGACCGTCTCAGCTCACATTCCACAGCCCATATCTACCAGCAAGCACTCATCCAGGTCTGTCGCCCAAGACCGTGATAAAACGGCCCCGTCCAGCCCGTTGCCTCCGGATGTGACGCTCAATCATCTGTACCTCGCTGGCCGCATTCACCTGCCTAGCCACCTCGCCCGGCAAGTGCTCTGTCGAGGCCACGCCGCCGTACCCGTCACCACACGCGCTGCCATAGCAGAGCACCAGCGTTGTCACCTTGCCCCAGTCGCCCACCCAGTCCACCGCGTCGTGGTCCGCCCGGTGCATCAGTGCCGGGATCCACGATGCACAGCCCGTCAGGTCCAGGTACTCAAGGCCGTACAGCGCCTTGCTCAGCTTTCGGACCACGAGGATGGCCTCGGCCCAGTCGTCGTCTAGCGAGTGGCTGTATGGGCCGGTCCCGCCGTACTGCACGCGTCTCTCGCCCACGTGCGAAATGACGGTGACGAACTTTGCATTGGGCGTCAGCGTCGGCTCGGGCCAGTAGGCCAGGCTCAGGTGCGTGAGCGTCGGAATGTGTGCTGCAAACGCCAGAAGCTGCCGCCAGTTCACCTGAGACCTGATGCTTCCGGGGCTTTGGGCAAGAGAAAGATGTGTCAAGTTCGGCAGCAGTGAACGGGGCAGCGATGTCTCGCCCGCGGAATCCCACGACTCCTGCAGGTCCAAGCTGGCTCTCTTCTTCGCAGCTGCAGAAGATCTGCCCATTCCTAAAGGGAATAGAAGGTCGCTGAGCTCCTTGAGTTGTATCGACCGTCCGATCGACAGCGCGAGATCGAGGTAGTGGACATCCTCGTTCGACAATGTCGGGCTCGGCAGAGAACCGTCGTCCCAGTCGCCATTACGGCCGTCAGCCTCAGCGTCTTCGGATCGGTTTTGAGCAGTAAAAGGCTGCGGCAGCAGGAACAGGGTCCTCAGGTCCGCCACCGTCACGCCCTGGCCAGCGTCTGCACGGGCACTCAGACAGGACACGACCGCAGCTTTCAACGCGCCGTGAAGGTACGGAAGGTAATATTGGTTGAAATGTCTCTGGAAAGCCCACTCGATGGCAATCTTGCGCACGACGATACTGACGAGACTTCTGTGGCTCGGAGTAGAGATTCCAGGCATGCTAATACCCCGGGGAGTATGGTACTTCTGGGTGTCTGCCTGTATCCGCCGTGGAGCATGTCGGGACTGTGAGAGCCAAGATGGCGGAGGTGCTGGGCCTGCTGGAGCACGCTGACGACCACCAACCCCGCCGGCAATGCCTGCAGCTTGCGTGCCAGCAGCAGCAATGCCACCCCCATTAGCTTGAGCCGCTGGGGCAGCTGCTGGCATACCTGGTAGAAGAATACGGGCAATATCTGGCGGAACGCTGGGGGCCACGATAGCATGGGCAGCTGGTGGTGTCAACCCATTTCCTGCAGAGCCAGTGTCACCACTTCCACTGCCATGGCCCGTCCCGGCAATACTTGGAGCAAGACTGGCCTTACGCAGACTTGCCAGCAGATCATTCACGTTTCGGGTTTGAGGTTCTTCTAAAGTACAGTCAATGGATCAGCAATAACAGCCAACACATGTGGTGCACAAAAGGCTAGAGAATCTGCAAGCCGGTGGCAAAAAGCAAGAAAGAGGACTTGAAGGGTCTGGGAGAGCACGAAAAGGACAGATGGCCAGCAGCAGGGGGGTGGGAATAGGGAGAAAGGGGGAGAAGGGGGAGAAGATGCAAGAAGGAGACATGATGAGGACTCGTAAGAGTGGTAGCACGTTGAGGGAGGACAATACCCAAAATGGCATAGATGTAAGTAAAAGGCCGGGTTTGCTGCAGCGATTGGACAGACCATGATGGAGGTTACTCTGGAGGCCGGAGCTCTCCAAAGAGTGCGGCGCAGTCGTCTGCGGCTTTGAGTACTTGGCCCAGTGCCGTCTCTTGGGCATGCTATGGTCCTGTGTTGTGTTGCTTCTGCAACACGTCGAGGGAAGGGGGAAACGAATGGGCAGACGGATTGCTGACGTGACAGAGACACACGGAAAGGATAACAAGACGCTCAGGACAAGAGATGTGGCCGAGAGCAACGAAGACAGAGGGGCGTACAAGCACTGAAAGGAAGCAAAGAGTGGGATGGAGGCAGTGATGGATGCAATCGAGAGGAGAGGGGGTGGGGGGGTGAGGTCTGGGCAGGACAAGGCGCCCAGCAGCGGGGGTGCCGGCTTTCCCTCGCTCAAACTGGAGGGAACCTGCTCGCGGACCGATCGCCTGTGCTGTTGTTGTTGTCGTGTTCGTGTCTGGTGTCGCCCGCCAGAAGCAGTCTTGCTGTCTGCCTCTGCGAGAAGATGCAACGACGCGTGCGTTTCTGTGCTTGCAGGAAGCTGTGTGCCCTTGCTGCTTCCTCTATTATGGGGCCCACAAGATTGCTCTACCTCCTTTCGTGTCTTTGTGCGATGCGCATTTATACGATGTAAGTAAGGCGTCGTCGCCTGTTGTGGTGGTCGGCTTCGGGATGCCGGATTTCTTGCCTCTCTTTAGCGAGACGAATCAGCTGTCTGCGCTTGCCTGTACTGCGTTCCTGTCGTTGGTAAGCCCAGACAGTGCATTCTGAAAATAACACTGTGGGGGCCATCACTACTGTCGATGACTGCACGTCGAGGCATCAACAGAATAACTCATAAAAAGGGCCCATTCCAAGGCTCCTGCTGCAATAGAGAGTGCCGCCTGTCTTTCGTTCTATCATAAGACATATTTTACGTCAAAAATCGATTGCTAACGGCCTGTGACCGCAACATGCGTGCAGAACCAGACAGAACGGACCAGGCCGATGAGAGGAGTCGCAAGTAAACAGTTGTAAGACAAGATTTAATTGGCACAAGACGGCCACGGGGCCTCGGGGTGTTGGACTAGACAAAGCTTCGACAAAAGATGGTCGGGGCGTGAGAGAAAAAGGCAATCTACTCAGGCAAAAGGCGATTCGTCGGTCTTTCTTACATCTAGGCGTTTTCGATACGCGTTAACAGTTCAAGTGTTAACTCCAGTTTCATGTCCTCTAGCCCCTTCTTACTCCAGATACACGATAGTAACCTCCTATGCTCCGTCTACAGCTGGGGGTGTGGGGGCAGTAGAAGGAAGGGGCGAGAAAACGATTTGTTTCAGTGTAAGATGCATGGACAGGGAGGCAAAGACCATTTGACTGGACGGAACTCTGAGACGTACCCAGGCAGAAGGTATTGAGAGCACGAAAACTGATTCCCCGATTCCTCCGACATCTCTCGGTTAAAGCTCTTGTTCCGATATAAATTGCGAGCTAGGAGAGCACACTAAATGGGGAGATCAGAAGCAGATAGTCCATCTCCAATCACATAAAGCTCATGTAGGAGTACAAGAACAGCTGCAAGCACTAGAAGGGTCTTAGCTAGAGTGCAGGACTACAAGAGTATCAAGAACAGACATGTTAGAGACGTCTAAGGTATACTTTGAGCCCCTGTGGTGTATCAATTTACGCCTTATAACTACAAAGTCGGAACTTGCAGCTCTTTAAGTAGACAAATTCTTCAGATCTCTCGCCGAGGAATGAGCTGCCCAATATTTTTGCCCTTTATCATTCAATCACTATTCGGTTTTGTATCGAACAGACTGCAAACTTTGCCCTAGTATACCCATAAAGTATAGCAAGACAGACGTAACCAATACATTATTTAAATCAAACAGAGGGAATGGTTAAGTCGTCGTTTAAGATACAGGCACCGCACAGTTCATTGTCAGGATGTTATGTCTTCTGGTAGAGGGGGCCCAGCATACAAATTTTAGCAGTGCTCAAGAGAAGGATGCAAACCAGATTTCTGCGGGCTAGAGTGAATGACAACACACTCCGACTTCAAGTTTCCAGTTTAAGTGCCAGAATTGAGGGATCACCTAATTTCTGACTCTTACATCTAGACATTCAAAGTGGCTACGAGAATATGCAGTTGTGCGCACGAGAGCATCAATGTTTTTTGTACGTTCCGTTCAGTAACAGTACATATATTTTGGCGTAAGCCATCGAATCCTGATCCTACTATTTTACCTGAAAAGACATGTTTGATGCAAGAATTCTTCATCCTCATAGTCGTCCTATGAAACACTACTCTAGAACAATCTCTTACAATAGATAAAATATAAGAGTGTATAGTTAGCATAGAGCATTACGGAAATTGCAAGGGGTGTATAATAAAATTCTAAAACGTACTTCTATGTTGTGTCCTGATACTAAGCATATCTGCTTCGGAAAGATAACCACATAGCTCCCATTTTAATTTGCTTTTTATGGTGATAACTTTGAAAGCCTTTTTTTTTGACAGCTTCGGCCATAGGTTTCCTACTGTAGAAGTATTATCCCCTATAAATAGTCTTACTTTCATTCTAACTTCCTAGACTATTCTTTGCTTTCGCGTGACATACTATACTGGAGCAGGGTCGCTTTGTAAATATTTTCCCAGTGATCAGAATCTGGCCTTACATGCATATTCTTTTTGCTTATATTAAATAGTAAACAGCCCTTAAGATATTTATTTTGGTTTTTATGCTGTGTCCATAGTGCGACGACGACATATTTTAAAACGCTGTCGGAGTTGTCAGTCTCCTTAGTCCCAATTTGGAAATGGTTAGCGACAGAATTAGAAGCCTGGGTGTGACCGTTGAAAAATATAGCAGTCGCTGGTATAAGGCCAATATTGAAGAGGCATTTTTTCGATGTTGAGAAACAGAACAGTATGCACTAGAAATTGCCTGTTACTGCAGAGGTACTTTGAGTGTCGGGTTCGGCGGGCAAAACTCACAGCAAAGGCGATGGTGTAGGATAGTGGTAGCAAAACACAATCTTGCCTGGGTAAATTCGGCTATTACTAAGAAACATAGGCAGCGTTACAGAGTTACTGTGTTTTAAGTTTGCGACGATAACACATACCAAGCCATCTCCAATGCCGTCATACATTTAAGATAGAACAAAAAGCTCTACCGAAATAGGGATGCTTTGTAAAGGTGCCTTCAGGCTTGGTCTAATTAGCTAGATAAATCTGAATAATACATCACAAGTGCCATTATTGTCTTTATTTAAGGCCTCAAACTAAGCGTAGGGCTGTCATAATATATTGAGATGGCTGTATAGTGCTTACGGAAGATGCATCGCGTGCAGTAAACATACCCGGTGGCAATAACACAGACATCGGGCACTGATAGCTTTTTTTTGAAAATCAAAAAGAGCACGGAAACTTCTGTGCACAAAATAATCTGGCCTTCAACTGGGTGGGCTCGACTTTCCCGAACTGAATGTCCGGTTTGCAACTGCTTCTGCGAAATATTTGAAAAGGCACCATAATTTCATTACAGGTTAATGGACAGGGCAAGGCGATCTAGCACATAATCTCCTTGTGGAGAGTTTTTCAGTGGTGTCTGATCATATTCTTCCTCCGTATGTATGTTCGGAATGAAGGTGATGATGGCCAATAGCGTTGGTCGTGTGAGTGCTTAAGTCATTTTCTCGAGCACGCCACTGCTGCATATTTTCTGCATTTTCGAGAAGAAAGCAGACGCTTCCCATTTTGCAAAATATTGACTTTGCTTGTGCTACCAGACATGCTTTGATGTGACCCACACGGATATCAATTGTGCTTGACCTAAGTGATCATACGTCTCTTTCTGAAATATGGATGCTAAATTTCTCTCAGCTTCGTAGGGGTCTCTTGGTTTTTTCGGGGGGGTTATTTTTTGCTTGCTGCTGATAGAAGCTTGGGCTATGCTTTAAAATGATTTGAACCCGAAAAAGACAGCGAGAAAAGGGGGAACGAGGCGAGCTGCATGTCGGCAGGCTCCTTGTCTCGTTGTCCATTTTGATAATACCAAGAATAAAAAGAGCTGACAAGTCTAAAAGGTACTTGCAAGGTCCATGGGGGTACCAAATGAGACATAAGGACTCCATCTCTCGTTTCTTCCGTGGGCTGGTCCGGTAGCTACAGCAATAAGAAAAAAACCAACGCAAGCGTTGCAAATGTCTACTTCGTATGTATCTTACGTGCTCTGCAAGCCTCTAACAGCAGGAGAGGTAAGCAACCCAAATTTAGAAACGGCACCTACAGCTGTTTCAGACCTTTGATTAAAGCTCAGACATTTAAATTTTCCTCATTCTCTAGGATATATGCATGCCACTTTTCACTACGAAAATGTCACGACTTCCGGACAAGGCTATGTGCTTTGGCCTCCCTACCTGCAGTGCAGGCATGTCCATATTGCTCTGACCATGTATGAGCAGTAGACTCGGACATATGTCCCTAAATTGCGCGGTGCGAAGCAGGTGTCTTACAATGCTCGTTGTTTGCCCGCTTGCGAATGATTGGAATGGCTGCCAAGCTTGCAGACAGGGTGGAACCAGTTTCCGGCGTGGCTGGGTCTCCAACTTGGCTTTCATGCAAGTTGAGTACAGATCCTTGAAATGCGGTCGCCTTCTCTCTTCTACACTATCTACCATGACGATGTCTGTTTTGCTGCGGCTCACCACACACTCAGCCGGAGTCCGTTTCAGTTGACGGGCAGTTGGGTATGCACGCGGGTCATTCCATTTCGGCCAGGCCATGTGCAAGTACTGCATATCGCTGTTGCGAGCCACCTGGCATATCGCCTGCCAACTGCTCTTTTCTCAGTGCCGCGGAGTATCACGGATATGCACTTCCAAGAGACTGGATACGAGGAGTTGCAAACAGAAATACGAGGGTGCGGCTTGCCACACCCAATGATCGAGCAGCACATCGGCCCCCTCTTCTTCGCGAAACCCGACAGGCCACTGCTCTTTGGCAGATTCGTTCGGAAGCGAGGAGGCAAGGCAACTAGGCCCACTAATGAAGAAAAAAAACAGGGCTTGGGGCCCGTAAAGCAACCGGCAGTCTGCGTGCGAAGGGCTGGCAAGCCGAAAATA